AGATTCTTAATGTTTTATTCTATGTAGAACTATTGAAATGATTGAAATTTTTTGTTTATAGATAACGCAAACTCCATTGAAAGGGTTCATACACGGTGTTTAAATAAGAAGGTAATATACAGAATTATTAATCAATAAAATATTTACAAGATCAATATTAACATTGGAAAGCATTTAGCAGCTTTTATTTGATATCATAAACTTAATTTTCGTATTTTTATCATTCAATCTCTCTCCTTATCATTTATTTTTGTTTCTTTTGTTTCAATTTAAGAGAAATTTTATCATTTTTCTCTTTTTATCAAAAGAGTTTTTATTCTATTGTTTTCTTCAAACATTCCATATCCTTTATGTAGGACGTATGGTAAACATATTGAATTTTCAGCGTTAATTTTTTTTACCCTAGTGCTCAGCCACTGTATTTTAAATCAAGCGTATTGAATATCTACCTCGTTTGAAAGGCATAGCTTTATTCTGATTGGATCGTTGGAAGAGCAACTGACTCTTTGCTACACCATTTCATTTTGGAAACACCCCAGTAGCAATGAAGACTTTACTATTTATTGCCTGCATTACTTTTCTTTCACCTTCTGTAAACGGTAACTATTACAATAACTAATTAATAATCGAGTTTCCTACTTAATGAATAAAAATGTACAGGTGCGGCAGAGGGTAACTGGAAATATGGAGAAGAAGGTAAGTACATATTTCTTGCCAGATTGTATCGAAGCGTTCTGGCCATTTATTTCGCCAATTTAACCTTTTTCTCCTTTTTTTTTAAGAAAACTGGCCTGGAAAATGTACAAATGGTACGAGGCAATCTCCCATTGATATTATTACAGCAAAAGCCGAAAAATCTCCAGAATGGAAAAATTTTACCCTAACTAATTTCGACAAAGACCTTAAATCTCGAGAATTTAAACATACTGGAAAAACTAGTAAGTTCTAATTATTATTATTATTATTAAATTTATATAATTATCTTAATTTGTGTGGAATTCAAGGGACATTTCAAGCATAAAATTCCAAACATTCTATACATTATGTAATTTTCTTTGATAATAGGGGCGCATTTTTGAAAGTGAGGTCATGGGGTGTACTCCCTTGTTGGTGGGAACGAATTAAGACCGAGCCCCCTTAGGCTTAAATTTTTTTGAAAGAAATCGAATAGCTTTTGAAAAAAAATTCTTTTACTTAATATCAAGAAAGAAAAGAATTTTCTATCGGTTTTATATTTTCATCCTATTTTCGTTTGCAGACCATTTACTCGTTATAAATACTGTATAGTATTTTTATTAAAAGTCATTCAATATACTTTATTTTATCTTTACAGTTCTATTGGATTTGGAAGGTTCTGGATTGTCTATTGAGAATGGCGGTTTAAATGGAACTTACCAGGCTTTGCAGTTACATTTTCATTGGGCGAATGATTCGAAAAGTGGAGCTGAACATACAATAGATGGCAAAGAATTTCCATTGGAGGTAAAATTTTTAAAGACAATTAAATTCGTTCGTCAATTTAATATTAATGGTCATCTGTATTATTTGTATTCATACAGCTTCATATTGTAACTAAGAATGGTGATCAAGAATATGGACAACAGCATGCCGTTCTCGGATTTGTGTTTAAAGTAAATATAATATTTTCTGTCTCCGTCTCTCAACTCTTTATTAACGTTTTTTTTTTATTTATTTTTATTAATTACTAATTTTCTTTTTTTTAGGTTGTTGACAAAAATAATACCAAATTTGATAGCATAGCAGCTGAAGTTCCAAAGATTAAAGCTGAAGATGCAAAAATTAATATTGACGTTAATATCAAAAGCTTTTTACCCTCGAACATGAAAGTCTTCTACAGATATTATGGTAGCTTAACCACACCAAATTGCGACGAAGACGTTATATGGTCAGTTTTCGAAACACCAATTGAAATATCGCAATATCAAGTAAATAAATTAATTAATTATCAATTTTCTATATGTATACTAACATGTATATATTTGTTTTAGCTTTCGATATTTCAAGATATTCATTTTTCGCACGGATATGCCAATTATAGGTCAATTCAAAAGTTAAATAACAGAAAAGTGCTCAAATTTGAAGCAAAGCCTGGTGAAACTTCATCTGCAAGTTGCTTATTGTACAGTAGCTTTTCTCTAATAATCTTACTTTTCGCTACCTATATGTTGTAAATATTTGCAATTTTGGTTAGCTACTTTTTATGAATCAACTAGTTGCTAATTTAAAATTAATGTAAAAGGAAATAACTATAATTAATGATATCAGCACTTTCATTACACTTTGAATCAAAGAGTACGTTTTTTCATATTTCGCCCTAAAACAAAGAATATATCTATAGATAAAGTTATGTGTTTCGATTTTATTATTTAAATGATTTGGTTCAATTTCATTTCTAACGCGTACATTAGTAGTTACATACAATAAGCTTTTATACACTTTGAAAAGTAAAAGGCATTCAAAATTTCAAAAAGCCACTCTTTTTTGTATATTACAATGGGGATAGTAAGCTTTTGACACTTATACACTACTTTTTTTTTTTAAACAAATTATTCTTTTTTCAACTGAATGATCGAATTGATGGTTTTGACCTACTAAATTGTCTTTTAAAATGATTTATTGATGAATTAGGCTAAATTTCAAGGTTACTGGAACAGGTAGCAGAGGAAGATATTTAAATATCGTACTGATCATTCACCTGTTAAGAGTCTAATAGCTATATTTCTCGGGGTTGGGAGAAAACGGCCCAGTTGGCTAAAGTTTAGGATAAGTTTTTGGACATTTTTAGGGTTAGGAAAAATTTCATTTTGATCTTTTTCAGTTCGTGTAGGGCTGAACTGAGGGTTAGGAAGCAAAAAGTGGAAGGAAATCTTTGTTAACTGGTGGGTTAGGGTTAGGGTTAAACACCAAGAAATGGGCCGTTTTCTCCCAGACCCATATTTCTCTACGTATTTTGTTTGTTGGATCGCCATGAGAAGATTCCTGATTTTCAGTCACAAATTTTACGAGAAATAGACACTAGATGGACGAATTGACAACTGCGCCATCTTGCAAACTATCCAAAATTCCTTGTCAAATATACTATATAATAATGCTGTTAATTGAATGTCAGTAAACAAAATGGTAACTAATAGATACATCTCTATTATAGATTATTTATATAAAATAGACAAGAGAAGATCAAATATACAAATTTTACAACGTAATAATATTTTTTTATATAAACCGATAGAATTATTAAAAGTTGTAGTCGTTCTATTGTTAAATAAGTAAAGAATGTCATTGAGAAAGAAAGAAAAAAAAAGGCGGGAGGGGGGAGAGAAGGGGGTATAAGGAATAGAAATAAAATTTGTATTTAATCATTTGAAAGGCGGCTATCTTCTTACATATATAAATTATATATATATATATATACTGTATATTGTAGATAATAGTTTCAGATAATAAGTTTTTGGCTTTTTTTTTCTATAAATCAAAGTTCACTTTAATTAAATTCCTGATTTTCTTTTGTTCTATGTACTCAACTATTTTCATTCTGCTTTTGTACTTGTTGTTCATTGTCCTTATCGTCAACTTTGTTTAAGAGATGCATAATAAACTTAGCTACGTACCAAGTCTGAAAGTGTAAAAGACAATTATACATATATATAATCTAGAAATAAATGATTTACTTCTACAAAGCCGCACAATACTCTTCCCATTGAAAATGTTACAATACAAATCAAAATTAGCATCTCTGGTACAATTCCATCATATATTTTATACTTAAATACATAGAGGATGATTGGTAGTATGTGTAGTCCGGATATAGCAATAAATCCATAAACTGTTTTAAAGTCTATAGATGACAAAGAAAGAGAAATAATGAATTAATTGGAACGACGAATGAAATAATTAAATTTACTATTTTCCATAACTTTTTTTACTATAAATGGATCGTTTATAGTTATGACTTTCCAGTCTGAGCCCTTTTTTGCATAGGTTGAAGTAAACGTTAACCATTCAAGACAGGCTATAAGATATCCGAACTGTAATTTGAAAATAAATAGACCTCTTGCTTAAATGCAATTATGTATAAATAAGTAGTTATAAGGTATTATCTTTATAAACACTGAATATTTACTACACTACGCATTAGGAACTGTAGCATAAGTAATCAAGATTGTAAAAAATTATATTTTGATAACTGAATGATAACGAACCGAGAATAGTCTACACCACAACATACCACGACCTAATAAGTCTAATATCACATCAAACCAAGCCCCAAACTCCGAGACTTGCCTCAACTTTCTAGCTATCATTCCATCAAATACTGTAAAGAAAAGAAACTATGTCGATATTTTTTCGATGTAAATATATACGGCTCACTATCCAATCCTGCAAAGACTAAGTAAAATAGGAATGAAGTAGACGGTTGGTTGTAATAGTATAGCCAGGAAAAAACAACCAGTAACAATCTTACATAACCTGAAAAGTTAATAGTGAACTTATGCGTCAAAATTAAAATGACACATATATATTTTTAAAAATTGTTTAAAATCTTTAACCTATAAGATTGGGAACGAGGAGAAGTACTTTCATTCCCACTGCCATTTAGAATATTATACAATTTCCTAACAAAGTTGTAAGAAAAACAATTGATCCTCCCACTCTTCTCTCGCTTTATCTAATACTTAAAAAATTCCTATTCTTCTATTGGCAGATTGAACTTCTGCGAGACATTTTATCGCCGAACAAATCTATCCCAATCGTATGGATTTACAACTGTAATTAGCGAATTTGCTACAATTTGAAACAGTTGAGCGATATTCCATGCATAATAATAAAGACGGCAGAAAATCTGTTCGGAATTTTTTTCGTCAATTCTTATTAATATAGCGAATTATGCAACAGATGTCGCTTTGATAATTAATAATAATTTTGATAATAAATACAAGTTTAATTAGTAATATCAAATTGTTTGCTTTACTTTTTTACTAAATCTACGTTTATTCATCAATGCTATATATAAATCCTTTGGTTTCTTTTGATAATTATAAAAAGAGATGTAAGATAAATGTTTAAAGAAAAGATTGAAAAGTAAACTTATATGTATCAAAATGAATTGGAAATACTTTTTATATTTGAATGTTTTCTTTTCCGTCAAAATATTGTTTGAATTAAAATTAAAAAGTTTAAATTATTACATTTTCTTGGTTTCCATTACAGATTTGACACTTCTTTGTTAAAAAGTTCTCCGCACTTTTGACGCAGATGCCTGTTTAGCTGTCGACCAATCAACGACACATTACTGGAGCCAACTCTTGTCTAATTAGCATAAGGGTATATATGTTCACCGAATGATCGGTTCTCCAGTCAATATGCAAGTTCGACGAGAAGAAACTTCAAAGTTCAAGATCAACCTTTTCGCCAGTGGGGAGCAACTCTTCATCTTTTGTGAAGAAAGTGCAACATTAATAGAATATAAGTATTTCTTTTTTTAAGCCTGTTGATACTTTTCGAGTGGGAGAGCAAAACTTTAAACAATATCCCTGGTTGATAATGTTCAAATAACGACTCTTCAGTTGTTTTTTTTTTGAAAGCCAATCATCATTCATTTTTTAAAGATCTTTTTGCGCAGACGCGATTGATAGTTCCGCTTTATGACGTCATGAAAACTTACTTGAACTACTTTCTTTTGGTAATGGAGACGAGGTCGACGGTATGTGCTCCAATATCCGTAAGTATAGAAATAGTTTAACAGCGCCAATATGAACATTTAGTGTACATTAAAACGTCACTTAAAAACGTTACTTCGGCGAAAGTTATGTTATGTAAGAATTAAGCTTTTAGAAAAGAAATGTTTTTGAACAAAAATCTAAAAAGCGTGACATTTCGAAACAAGCTTTTTTTATGAAAGTGATACATTCTACGCATGCTCTTTATTGCCTTGTGTATAGTCAGTCATCTGTGCAAAAAAACATTTGCAGTCATCCGGATAAAGAATGCTAATTTTCTCGATATCGTATATTATTGCCATTTAGGCCACACTTTTCTAACGTCGTTTTTTTCCCCAGTTACTGATGAAGATATAAAACAACACATCAACAATTTGCTGAAGGATGCAGACTGTTTGAAAGTCAAGCTTCCCGCTTAACAATTGCTGTACTTTGTTTAAGCCACGGCAATCCGCCATTTTCTTTTTTTTGAGACTGAAGAAGGTTTGTCATTAACTTGAAAAAGAATATCTTGTAAGGTTTTTGAATTATGAAGCCGGTAAAGTACCATGAATTCCGTGTGCTATTTTGTTATTCATTGAAATAGTATGCAATTCAATGGCACTTTCACGGCGGCATAGTCACCTTAGAGAGGTACAGATACGGTAAAGAGATATTATTTTTTCATTTGATTAAAATAAGTTTATTTTTTTTTTTTCAAATATGATATTTTTAAAAGGGTGATGATGTATCACTTGCATGCAATCGCTGTTTGCAATGAACCAGCGTTTCGCATCATGTGGTAGCTCATGACTTTTGAACAGACAACGAGAGATATTATGGAATTTGGCTATCGGTTATTGGAGACAATTTGTTGGACGTCAGGTTCAAATTGTACCCAATGACCGATATCTTGATTTCATAAATCACAATTTTTGACATCAATAATTTGAAACTCTTAAAGATTCATCTACTTTTTAACTACTTTGCTAAGACCATTGTGCAGTAACGAGGACCTCAACGAACGATTGCGAATCAAGTTTGTGCGCTGATGTTCTCGGACGACTGACGTGGCTCTTTCAGCTGCTTTGAAAAGGAAAGAAGTGATGTACAAAACTTCAACGCTCAGCAATTTTCATGTCTCCAATCAACTCTTAAATAAAATGTGCAATACAATAACTTTTGTATATGTTAAAATAATCTTTGTACTTTTTATAAAAAATACATTTCTCTTAAAACTATAAAATATGTTGCTTTAGTGTAGTAAGTGCATTTATATATAAAAAATATAAATTGGTTCATAAAGTAAAGAACATATATAACACGTGACTGTGCATTCGATTTTGAGCGATAATCTACTCAATTGAGTACGCGTATTAGAACATTGAAATTTTTTATGATAACTTTCAAAGTTTGATGATAATAAATTTAACAAAAAAATCATAATTGAAAAACAGTATTTAGGCGCTTTTTATGTCCATGACGCAATTCCTGAATAAAAAAAAGAGTCCGCTAGTCTAAAGCTGAAAACAACAATCAAATACATCGCTTGACCTTTATTTTTTATAATTTTGCGTATTTTTAACCATTATTATCTATTTCGAAATATAATGGATAAAATTTATAGCTTATTAAAAATAATAATATTTAAAAATTATAAATAATCATTTTCGTATCTTATCCAGCCTCAATTCCATATTAATAATTTGGCGCGAGAACAGTGCAGCAAAAATATCGTAATATTCTTTTTTTCTACTTGTCAATACGACTTATTTTCGTGAATGAGTGAAGATAGAGGTAAATAAAGTAATCTTTTTCATAATTTTCAACTTCCAATTCCATTGTTAAAGAAAAAACTTGGTATTTCAATATGGACGATGTCTGACCATGCCGTTTAGACATAGTTATTACTTAGTTTTTTTTCATTTTAATTTATATATCTTTCATGCTTTAGACAAGTTATCACAATCTTCTGGCTCTATCGAGGAGCTCAGAATGTTGAAAGACAACAAAGAAAGTACTTTTGAAGAATCTTCTGTTTATGGACGGCTTGGAGAGCAGACTTGTAGAGGCAGTTGTGACTCAGGACATAGCAAAGTTAATGGTAGCACGACTATAAAGATAACTGTTAAAATCAAAAGTCCCAATGGAGCTGAATCAAGCGTGTCAACGTATGTCCAAGAGATACCCATTGAAAGTTTGCGAGAAGGTATACAAACGGACATTGAAGTAAAGCCTAGTTCCGATAAGAGAGACTCAAATCATAGAAATTCTGATTCTCAGATTCGGAATGCCACTGATAAAAGAGACAATTCCATTCAATCTACAGCATCGAATCCAGCGAACAATGGTCCGCAACTAATAAAGTTTTGCGATAAATCTGTGCAAACAGAAATTTTGACACCTAAAAAGGTTGTACTACGCAAAAGACCGCTCGAATCACAATTACCAATGGAAAGTCTGAAATCAATTTTCCCTTTAAAACGTTTGAAAGAAAGCAACAGTTCATCTAGTGGTATTTTTTATTTTACGGCCGAAAGTATATTCCCGAAAAGTGAACAAAACGATACTATTCAGTATGAAGAAAATAACAACATCGGCATGGAACAGACACAGATATATGAATCCAAGGGAAACTTTGTACGGTATGAAGAACATAAAGATGAAGAAAATTCTATAATTATGACAGAATGCATATCATGTTTCAACAAAAAATTCGGTCCAAATCGTAATATTTTACATAACGATGATATTGAAAGCAACAAACTTCATAATAATAATAATAATAATAATAATAATAATAGTAATGAAAGTATGATAGCACGCCTAGAAAACGAAGGAGAGGAAGTAAAAGAAGATTGTGAAGGGGATGAAAGATATGAGCATATCAAAATTTTCACCTTGAACAACGAAGAGAAAGAGAATTCAATTTTGGTAACAAACAGCGATTCAGGTGACTTTGAAGCTACTGCTGAAGATGAATCTAATGTTACAAACATTCCCAGTGAGTCATTTGGAAATGTTAAAAATTTAATAGTGGCGTATGAAACAAAGGCTATTGGTAGTGGATCGAATATTAATAATTCCCAATTAAAATTAAACCACAAAGAGAGAGATAAAAAAAAGACGGGAATAATCCAAAGAGCTGGTCACTCTTCTGAGCAAAGCAGTTGTAAATCTGATACAGAAACAAGCGAACTAGAAACAGGCGGCACAGAGTCCCCAGCTCTAGTACACATTGAATCTAATAGTTCACGTTTGAATGAAGTTGACGATATCGAAACTAAAACTTTAGTTGCAGAAAATGACAAAAGTCCACCAGTTGAGGCGTTCATTATTAGTGACACTATACTTAACGAATCAGACAATATTTCTTTCGCTGAAACAGAGACAGTAGTGACGGCAACTGACGAAGCCTCTCTTGTTGCTGTATATATAAAGGAAGCAGATGGAGATCCTTTGTTGGAAACGAACATCTCAGAAAATGAAAAAATTGCACCAGTTTCTGAGTTAAAAACCTCAGCTGAAAATGATGTTTGTACAGGTGAGACACTTCAAGACGAAGCAGAACGTTTACAAACGACTAATTTATTAAACACATCATCCGCAACCACTACCCTGGAGATAGCGCCGAGAAAATCCACAAATAGAAAGAATAAAGAGTCGAATAAACAGGAAAAGGTTGCAACAAAGATGACAAAGATGCAAGAAAGTGTCTCAGCCAAAATTAAACCTTTAGAGAATAATGAAACTAAATCTGTTAATTCTTCTAGAGAGAGTCTTCTGGAGAAACAGACAAAAGCTTTAACAAAAAGAGAAAGAAAGTCCTTAAAAAAGAAAATGCCCGAGAAGTTAAAAAACAAAGAAATTGCAATTGATGTTAGTGACCAGAAAGCAGCAACATTTGCCTCAAACAGTGAAAACTCAAATGAAACTTTTGAAAATCAAAATGTAGCAGTTGAGTGCATGGTGGACAAGGAGGAAAGTACAGTTAGTACCTCTTCGGTGGAGAAAGCGCTTAATGATTCAAACCCAAACTTTGCTAAAATTAATTCTATCAAACCTAAACGTGATGAATTATTGCCTGAAATCGAGCCTGACCCAAACTCGAAAGATACAAATTGTGGAAAACAAGAATCTAATTTTCATAATAATGATATCAATTCAAAAGGGAACGGCGAATGTCAATTGTCGGAAACCACTTTTGAAAATAAGTTGCAGCCATATAGCCAAACAGATTTTAATATTTTTGATGTAGATGAAAGCGACTTTAATTCCGACGACAACAACGACAATAACGATGACAATGACGATGATGATGGTGGCGATTCCAATGCATGCATTGCTGCCAATCCTGCGGACGAAAATCCAGATAGTAAGTGGGTTCCCCCAAACGTTCTAAAGAGACCCAGATATTTTGACGCTGAGGAGAAGAATCGCCCACGGTATCCTAGACGAGCTATTTGTCCAAAAGAGTTCTATATTAAACTGAAACTCGAAAAAGTCGCGGAGGATAATTCGATGGAGCTGCAAGTAAAAATATTTGACAATTCACCGATTGGAATTAGGGTACATTTTATACTATAGATTTGAAATTAACTCTGTAAAATTAATTTTTATAAATTATTTCATAGGTATCACCGACAGACCTTCTTCAATTGTTGATTGTAAGCGTGCAAGATCGAAGGGGTTTTTATACAAGAACAAATCTTGGTATCTACTTAGAAGGAAAACGTCTCGACAGTACTAAAGAGATTGGGACAATAGAAAATCTCTCACCAAGTAGCATCTTGTCAGTTGTAGAAGGTAACGAAGAGTATAAATATTGGCGAGTTTGATGTTTGATGTTATTTCAGAGCCTTACACTCCAGCTTTAATTTCGGCACACATTCAGAATTTTGTTCGACTTTTTGAGAATCATATATATCTGCTTAAATATCGGAATATGAACGGTCAATCTCCTACTTTTTTTTCCCATGTTATGAAAGGTATGCAACATGTTTATCAATAGTATTCTTATTAAATAGAATATTAAAATTTTACAGAAACAAAAAATACTGCTTCAGTAACTGAGTTTCTATTGCCTAATGCAATAGAAAATTTCAACTGGTCGTATCTCCACCTCCACTGCCCTCCATTCGAAAAGGTAGGTGATCAGTTGATATCTACAAGAAAGAAACCAATTTAAACTCTCTTTCTATATTAAAATAGTTTGCTGGTTGTCTGAAGAATTTAATGTTAAGTAAGTGGCATCCACCAACCGCGGAGAGAAAACGAAGAGGAGATTTCTTGTACTTATATGTTGAGACTTTGGAAAATAATAATTTCCACGTCACAGGATGCGCCAGGGGTTTTTTTATTAACAGATGTACGACCGAAATTTTCAACCCAAAACCTGAATCCGAACCTTTCTTAAATCACAGTCTAGCTTACCTCTTGGGTGAGGTTAGTCCCCAATTTAAGATAAAGTTCGAAGATTTTATGAACTTTATCAGGGATTCGAACCCATTGGAACGTTATCCCTATGGTTCACCTGTATTTAACTGGCTCTCACCCAAGGTGGATAGAGTTTTAGACTGTGATAAACCCCTTTTGAATCTTAACGATTTGTATAGTTTAAATGCTCGGAAGATGACGTTGAACGAAAGAATTCAGCTGGCTTATGACAGGCCTAGAGCTGATTTACGAGACGAAATTAAACGTGAACATGACATATATGCTGCTCACACTGAATTTAGTACTCAGGCGCAGAATGCTGTTGTAAAATTGCTAAATGAAGGAGTTCAGAATAATCGAGATCAGTGGGGAAACAATAGGAACTTTTTTATTTACGATGGCTTCTCATTGGAAATTTTAAACGATGAAATCGAATACGCGAAAGCTAATGTATCAATTTTGGTTGCTCGAGAGTTAGGGGTTCTTCCTCTGAAGCTTATTCGATGCAGGGGTATGGTTATTATTGACTATAAGGGGAGACGAGTTTTCGCTAAGACACTACTGCCTGGTATGCGCGAAAAAACATTTAAACCAGCCCATCTTGAACACGGTTCTCTTCTCAATGGGTCAATAATTAAAGCAACCGAGAGAGACGATTTATGGAGAGATCTGGACTTAATGTCAAAAGAATTGAAATTTAAACTTCAGACTTTCATCGATGGCGATGGCGTCGAGCATAGGAATTGTTTACCCCTGAACTGTAATATATACAGAGGCGGCGATGGCAGAATGTATATCGAAGGCATAGAGAATTTATTTCCACACGATCCTAACTTTAAACCTGATTTACCCGAAGTATTTTTCACAAAAAATATGAAAGCCGCCTCCCTACCTAGAGCAATCCATCATGATTGTTGCATATTTAGAGAATCTTTATCTACCCAATTTATATGCTCGCGACTTAGAACTTTTGCGAGTAAATGCAAAGCAGAGATTAAACCTAAATATCGGAAAAGAATAGTTAAAAGTCTCGTTCAACAAATGGTAAATGAAAGCGAATATCCACTAGACTATACAAACATTTTGGAGAAAATTCTTAATGACGACGAAAGTAATCAAATAGAAGAGATCGACGACGAAAATGAATTTTTAGAGGAGAGAAACAAGGCTATCGATCTCCTCTCATCTATTGGCTCAGTTGATAAAGACCGTCTCCATTTTTGCTTTAATCCAAACTCTTTTAACACTATAATAAAAATTCCGCAAGAATTAAGAAGCACTTATCACAGAGACGAAGTGATCTTATCTCGTATGAGTAATTATATTTTAACGAAAATAATTCCCCAATTTGCCACCAAATTTCATGGCGAGTCTCATGGAATTGTCGATGGTGATACTCTTACGGCTGAAATGCACGATACGGCTATAAATATTAGATATTTGGGCCTTCTTGTTAATCATTTTGCGACAGATCATTACATGTATTATGTGTGTATTAGCGAAATTTTAAACAGAGCTGTGAAGAGAGTATTTAGGTAAGTTTTTTTTTAAAATTAACTTTCAATTGCTAAACGTATATAATATATTAAATATTTTTTTTTAATTAGGCGTTACATGAAATCGATTCAAGTATTCCACGAAGCAGCTGGTATATCACATTTTCTTAATTGTTACCTGTCGAAATATGTTAGGAACACTTCGAGTGTGGAGTGCAATGATGAACTCTTATTAAGTAGAAACTCTAGGAAGAAGAAAAAAGTTTTTCCATTTATGACAGAACAAAGATTTTTCGAATGGGCGAAGGAGACAAAGAATAGTCTCTGGGGGAAAATATTAAACGAAGTCAATGATAGCTATAATTACAAGTTTTGTATAGATGGTTATAAGAACGTTCCTGAACAATTAGGCTTAAAGAATGTTAGTCTTCTTCGAGCATTTTGCAGAACAAACGGACTGCAATTAAAAGTTAGACAATATGATTTCAATTCTGAGCAAGAAACTTTCAAAGTGGAAGATTTAATGGGTATCTTCCCTTTAGTTAAGAGTACCGGAATTCGGTCAACTCTACCAGATAAAATTTTTCACATAGGGATGGAACGCCTCGGAGAAGATGACTTATTAACGGCCAGTCGTCATATTCATCACGCAATTCTTTGTTTTAAATCAATGTATGGGCCAATTCACGAAGATATTGCAGCATGTAGTCGTATTCTAGCAAGAATTTTCTTCTTATCTAGTAACACAACTTCTGCGTGCTTGCTACAAACCCAAACTATTATTATAATGGAAAGAATCAAAGGAGCCGATTGCGGAGAGCTAATTGAGGATTATATGTTTATGGGAGTCTTTAGTTTTGCAGCGCAAAATGGTGAAAATGCCTTACATTGTTTTTATAGATCTCGTTATTTGCTATATTTGATTTATCCGGGACAATTGAACCATCCTTTGATGGGTATAATCGACATGTGTATAGGAATCGTTTTGAGATATCTAAGAGAATTTAAACCTGCTAAAGCGTTTCTAGAAGATGCTTTTATAGTTCTAAGTCCATTAAATGGACATCATAAAATGAAGGCTGCTCTCTGCCTTCGCGCTAAATCATCTATCTATTCAATGGAATTCGATTACAAAAATGCTATAGTTGAAGAAAAGAGAGCGAGAGGCGTGTTTTTGGAAATGGCGTCAAACGATCATTGGACCGTAGAAAAAACTTCAAAGACTATCGAGAAACTTACACAACTGTATGAGGAACACGGAGACCGATTATATCAGGAAGCCCAGGGCCCAAAAGAGGGAGTAGGTAGGACGAGGAAAGACTTAAAAATTGGCCTCGAAGTCTTATGTACAGCCGTAGCACTTAACAAGCGTAAAAAGTAAGTTTCCCGAAATAAAAAAAGTTATAATTAGTATTGTATAGATTATACTTTCAATGTTTTATAGATTGAACATTCCATTTGGTCCTCAAACGTTTAATCTGAAATTTGAAGAAACACGGGATGAATTCTGGTTTAGAAGGTAGACTTCCCTCGAATTATATGAACATATTGTGTGTGTAAAGTCCCAGTTGGTTCACTGGTATTAGCGTGTGAATAAGTCGCATAGAATGATTTGACGAAAATTTGTTACATTTAGGTAACAGAATCCGATCCATGAATATGCTTAATGTTGACTGTAACAGTCCTTTGTGCGATAACTTAAATTCACGTTTCGTATCTGTTTTATGGATCTAAATATAACATCATTTCTTTATGCATATGATATGATTAAAGCAAGTTCTCGAATAATAATCTTCTATTTATTAGTTTATTGTATTAGAACACAGTGACCGGCTATTGAACAAAACGTTAAACAGATTTTAAAGCCAAATAACAAAATGTTGATAGTATTGAAAAGTTTATCTCTTAATTATTAGGAGAGCTGAGCTGCTAATTAGAAAGCAAAACCGGATATTTATCAGCAAAATATATAAAGAAATAAACAAACACGTCATTCAATACGGTTCAAATATGTAATGTCTACGTGGACAAATAGAGATGATCCATAAATTGTACTGCCATCCTTCTCAGTAAGTGGTACAGTGCGATAACCTATGAATAGAAATGGTTATTAGAACGAGAAAATTATTACTTTCGTTAAGATTTAAACGAAATAAATACTTAGGGAAAAAAGAGAGAAAAAGATTAGAGAAAACTTACCGGGAAGCAAGCTGGTACAAGGTAAAGTGTACTGGCCAACCTTTTCATTGTTGGAAAACTGATCTTCATCGAATACGATAAATCTATTGGAAAGTAAGAATATATAGAATACAAAACAAAGTTGATTGTAAAAGCGAATTAGAAGTGTAACAAATTTTTGAAAAATACCTGATTAATGCCATTTCTGGTACATTCAGATGAAAACTAAGTTTACAATTCCATTGTGGATTAAAGCCGTTATTCTTGACAATCGTCGTATTTTGCGAAGTGGAATCAACTTGTAGACCGTAAACTTGTACTTTTACATAGGGGTCAATAATATCGGCAGAATCGCTTTTCTTTTTTGGCAATTGCGATCCGCTTATCACCTATTAGTCATGAAATTATTTGAAAAGTAAGCAATAATTCAAATAATTTTATTTTATTTATATAATAATAATAATAGTATTAATATATTACCGTTATAGTCAAATTGATAGGTTGACAATCTCTAGGTTCACCAGCCATAAAAGGACTTTCTAAAAGTTTTAAACGTAAAATAAAAGTGGTGAATTTTTGTTAAAATGTTGTTTTGTTTTTATAAAAAACAAAATTAATAATAGTAATAACCTCTCAACATAAATGATGGCTTTAAAAGGTAACCAGTCATACCATTATCTTGGAATTTGGCGCTATTCATTTGCATAGGTGTATCGTTGGTTTGGTAATTAAGTGCAACTAAGTAATGAGAAATATAAAGTAATAACTTTTAATTATTATTATTAATAATAATAATAATAATAAACCTATTTGACAGCCGCAAGCCCACATAGGTATTGGATTGTAATTGGTTGAATCAACTCTTAGTCCACTTGGATAAATTCTGCTCAATTGACATCTGTTATGTCTTAAGTATTTTTTAGGTTTAGTAACGCATAATTCGAGCGCGGCATCCTCCGTAAACGACGACATTTGTTTACAATTACCTGTATGGATTTTATACGAAGATAAATTTCACTATTTCTATTTTATCTTTATCCTAGCAATTAGCTTTAAAAGAAAATTAGCTACCTTTCTCTCGGGCATCTTCGAAACTTTTAAAGTGTACACTTTGACAAATTACAACCAAATCACTTAATTCCTTAGCCAATTTTAGTTTTTTACTACTCTTCTTTTCGGCCATTTTCTCCTTAACTGACGGATCGTCTATTTGTGATGCTTCATCTTCGTCAGTTACCTCGCCATCGTCGTCTTTTTCGACGGTTTCCGGCAATTTTTTCCCCTTTACAAGTATCTTACCGACAAGACTTTCGGGAGATGGAAGTTGTGCCATATCTCTGGGATACGGTGTAGCATACAGCATATCTGTTTTTATGGTTTTTATATAAAATAATACAGCTAAAAGAACAGACTAGCTAATTGTCCCTACCCTCAAGAATTGATGTCATATGATAGGCCATCCTCTTCTGTTGTTCAACAGAACAGTGATTTTCAATAGACAATATAACCGGGTACCTGGATATATAGCACTTATATAAAAAATAATACCGTTTTTTGTTTCTTTTTTTTAAATATAACAATAAAAGTAATATCATACTTGGATGTTTCAAAAGCCGACATCTTTATTGCTTTAATAATATCTTCAAACAAAATTTTGGTTGTAGCGGTATATCCATGATAAACGATTGGTTCACCGTTTGGTCCATCCCAACAGTCCACTGTATAAAAAATATTTTACGGTGAATTCAAATTAATTACCAGATTTGAAAAATAAAATAGGTAGTATAGGTCTTACGTTCAACGCATCGACACCCTTGTCTTAGGGCCTTAATATACATTTCAACGCTACTCCTACTCGCCAATTGATCTCCTGTTAAGTATGTATTGTGACTTGCGGCAATAAAATAATTGCTCAAAGGTCTTGTCATGTCATGGTAGACTTCTTGTTCGTGCGCCTGATTCTTAATTAGCATATTGTCGTTTTTCGTCAGAAACAAATGGAAACCTTTTTTTTTTATGAAAAAGAAAAAAAGCAATAAAAGAAGACGTTTAGCCGAATAAACATAATATAGATAATTTAATTAATTTAAATTAATAACCATCCAATCCTAATTTTCCATCTTCACCCAATTCGGGACAAGGTTCAAATTCTCTAATATAGTGAATAACTTGTTCCATAGTAACATTCATCTAAAATTAAAATAGACAATAATATTAATAATATGAATAATAATATAATATAAAATATTTACAAAAGAAATAGCAATAAGCTTTAAAAGACATAACTCATATATAAAAAGAACAAAACAAAACAAAACAAAACAAATACTAGCAAACAAGCAAGCTATTATTTTGAGCGAAAGAACGAGAAAATAATAGATAACAACCATTAAAAAAAAAAACAACGACGCTAAATAGAAAGAAGACACATTATTTTCAATATTAATTCCTATTTTTCGTTATCTTTCTCATAAAGGGCAGAAGGGGAACAAAAATAAAGAAAAAATTGACAAAAAAAAACAAACACATAGAAAGAAGAAGAAGAAGAAAGAACAAAAGAAAAAGAAAAAAAAAGAGAAAGATTTATTTGTCTTTTTTTTTCTGAATTATCTTTAGTCTTTCTTTGTTATGTCTCCTTCTTCTTCTATATTAATATTATTATTAATATTAATAAAATTCTCTTCTTCTTTGCGTTCGTTGTTAAACTTACAATTAAATGGAAAATAATTATTTGTAATTGTATTATTTTTATTTGTTTGTTTGTTATAAAGAACAAGAAGCTAAAAAAAAAAGGGAAAAAAAGGGAAAAAAAGAAAAAGAAGGAAAAATATAAAAACACAAAATTATTTTGGTAAATTGGCAAAAAATAAAAAGTAAAATATTAAAAATGTATCAATTGCATAAAAATAAATAAATACCTTTTGTTCGTTAACCAGAAATGATGTTAATTCGTTGACATCCAAAAATTCGTCGCCATTCTTATTGTATCTAAAAGTACGTTAAATAATTATTGTATATGGTTAAAAGGGAATAACCCCGTGGGAAAAAAGAAACAAAAAAGAAGCTAATAGATGGCAAACCTATCGTAAATAGCTTTTAATTCTTCACGATTCGTAATAAGCTTATAGAAATGTAAAAACTCTTCTTGATTGAGGGTTTCCTCTCCCCTTCTAGTTCTATTCGAAGTATCGGTATTCGATTGCTGTCGAAACAAATAAATTTTTTAGAAAAATGAACGAAAAAATTGAATAAATTGATGAATTAAAAAATACAAGCAGAAAAAGGAAAATCTTTCCCTTAGAACAATTTTTAAACCAAATATTTATGAAATTATTTATACTTTAAAGGCGTGCAAAATCTAGTTTGATTTATTATACGCTATACAATAAAAAAATAAATTCACATCTAATCTTCAACCAAAGAACAGAGGTTACCATTTACAACAGTTTTAAAGGTATATTTTGTTGATATATCTAACCTCCTAGACAATACCAGCAGTTGTCCTTTATTTAGTTTATATAGTTTATATTATATACAAATATATACTGTATATTAATTTATACAGTAGATATATATTACTTATAAATATTATAAATTATAAACTATATAAAAGTTTTTAAAGGTATTTTTATAAACTATAAATATATATTTATATATACATACAACATAGTCTATATAATAAAATATATACTATATATAAAGACAATATAAAGAAATTATCGCAAATAATTAAATTAAAAGCCATAATTAATAATTAAAAAAATAAAATGAACATTTTAACTAATAACAATCACCGTGATATTAATTTCAAGGGGTGGAAGAAGAATGAAAGAAAAGTAAAAATAGCAAACTTACTGTCTTCTGCGCTTCCATTAGTCTCTATTTTTAGTTGTTTCGTTTGTTTTGTTTTTATATTTATATCATTTTTTTTTTTTGGTGACAAACAGTGTCAGAAAAGGGAGAAAAAAATATTTGCTTTCATTAGAATTATTTAGACTGAAAATAGAAATAGAGAGAAAGAAAGAAAGAGAGAGAGAGAAAAAAAAAACTGAATATATGTTAATGTTAAAAAACAAAAAAACGAAAAAATAATAAAAAATTGAAGAGATTCGATCAATGATTAAAAGTGAAAAAACATTGTGAAACGTATGCGTATAAGAGATTGTTGTTTTCCTTTATGGAAGGAGAATATAAATGGAAAATAGGGTCTTTTGCTGCTTTGCCGTTATTGTATGCAACTCGTATTTAGCGCCGAAAAATAAAAAATAATAATTGTAAAGTTAATAAAAGAAAATAACCTCGAATAGCTTTTTAGCATTGCTCTTATCGATTCGAATGTTTACGTCATTTAATAATTCGCATATTTCGGCTAGACTTAATTCCTTGTCATTGTTCTTATCAGCTTTCATAAATAGTGCTTGCAACCACCTGGTATATAATAGAAATAATATGGTCAATGTCTCAAGATACAATTAAAAAACTAACAATTGATGTAGTTCAGCTGGAGAGGCTTGTTGCATTTTTCGCATTAGGCCACGAATACCCTGAACCCATTGATCTCTTTTTTGCTTGTCTGGCGCAATTAAATCAATAGTCTTGTATTTCGATCCAATAACGATGGAAAAACATTGGGATTCCTAAACAAAAGAAACAACTAAATGTAATATAAGTAAATTATAAATTATTCTTAAATAAAATGTTAAAAGAAAAGATTAAAGTATAAATACGTCAGCTCCATTCGCTCCTTGGCCACCCTTCTGACATTTTGTAAATACTTCGGAATTAAAGCCCTCTCTAACTTCTTGTATATCTTGTAGACGAACTATTAAAAATTTCATTGTTAAACATACTCAATAGATGTCAATAAAACTACAAACTTATATAATTTGGCGATCCTGAAGCACAATGGCTAAATTTCTTCGAACCTATTTTATGAGATTTTAAATACAAGTTTATTTTATTCGTTGTACAAATACGGTCTTGTAAAATTCATTTAGAAAATTATATTATGTGAAAATAAACAATAACTACCTCTATATCCTATTCTTAAGAGTTCAGTATCGAAGAGAAACGTTCTCAAATACACTTTTCCCGATCGCTTAACCTTTCTCAATTGTTGACCTTTTGTTAAGAAATTCACCGTTTCCGCTGGCGTTCCATCTCTCATCGAGACTAGAATAAATTTAAATAAAATTTAAAAATCATTAAAAAGAATCCTCTATAATTTCGTTGATGCAGACTGCTGTTGTTTAATTTGCATACGTATATTAGTATATAAAATATACTGTATATTGCAGTAAAATAAATTATAAAACTTAATATACAGTATATATATAAAGTATATATGCAAAATAAACAAATTGAGGTAGCATATAATACATGCTGGGGAGGTATAGATCATCTTTAAACAATTTCAACAATAGAAAAAGTAATATCATAACATCAACTAATCATAGGGTAACATGCTAAAATAAATAAATAAAAGAGAAAAAAAAATATATCATTACATATATTATCTTCTCGTTCTTGTCCTGTTATTATGTAAAAAGATGGATTTTATGCTAATTTTCAAGTTCTAGTCAATAGAACATTAGCGAAAAAAGGAATAAAAACAGGAAAACAAACGCACAAAGATATTTCGAATTTGATAGGATTTGAGGGGGAGGTGTGGATGGTGGGGAAAGGGAGATAAGTGAGTGATCAAGAAAGGAGAGAGGGAGAGAAGGAGGTGGCAAATGTGAAAAGAGAGAATTTAATCAAAATATCAAATAGGTGGAAAATAATGATGTCAATGATACAAAATATATGTAAAGAGAAAATCAGATATAATGATATTGGCTAAGGGAAGGTTTTTATTTATTCTATTTTTTTATAATATATATATATATCTATTTTTTTAAAGATAGAATCTTTCTCCAATTGAAATATTCCTATGTAATATATATAATATATGTAGTAAATATACAATTAAAAGGTAATGAAATAACTAACAATATATAGATCTATCTAAAACACCTATCCTTATCTCTAAAACAACATATTTAAAAATAATAATAATAATAATAATTGAAAAAGAATTATATAGAAAGACTAGAGCCAAATATATATATATATATCGATGATAACTGTCTATTCATCGTAAAGATAAATTATGAACAATTATATATAGAGTATATTATAATAATGTACTGTAAAAACGTTTCTTCTTAATCAATTTCCTCTTAATAAAAGGAATGAAAGTAAATCCAAATCCAAATTGATAGTAGTAAATAAAAGAAAACTACAATAATATATATATATATATATATATATATATAATATTTCTGATATCATTATTATTGTTATTAACTATAATAATTGTAATAGAAAAAAATCTAAATGAGACAAAATTATTCTGTAACAATATTTCTATATAGTTAATATTGATCAACAATAAAAAATATATATCAATCAAAAGATTAAGGGCAAAATGAATTTATATAGAAATCTTTAATCGATTTCTGTACAATTAAAATATATACAAATAATATTAAAAAAAAGGAATAATAGAGGATCTATAAATTTCAATATCGACTCTTTATATAAATTGCATCTATATATATAACATTATATATATAAATACAAATATATATGGATTGTTACTTACAATTCTCTTTGACTTTAACTCTCCTGTCTGGAAGCATTTTTTATTTTGAACACACAAAGTTAAAAGAATCGAAAATCGATAAAACAGCGATTTAAGACAGGAGTACTGAATATTTAACGAATGTTCTAATAAATAATTAGCTTACCTGTTTTTCCCCTTTTAAAAAAACCTCTGATTTTACTGGATGTCGGTTGAGAGGTTCTTTTCTTAGTATTGCCATTTTTATGCTCTTCTTCAACGGGTCTCTCTCTTCTCAAGACTCCGTCGCTCTTGTCCATGATTACTTGTTAGATACAGCAAGTTTTTTTTTTCAGCTGAAAATATACTTGAATAATGAATTAATAAGTTTTTATAATTATTTTATTTATTCTATTATATGTCAGACCTGTAAAAAATGATTTAATTAAATATTGTCTAGCGTGTATTGAGGTTAGTGCATTAATACATTTCTCTCTCTCTCTCCCTCTCTCTCTCTCTATATATATATATATATATATATATATATATGTGTGTATGTGTGTTGTGTAGACATATATGTATACATATTGAATAGCTCAGGCCATGTCCCTATAGAGTAGTACTCAACAATCAATAGTTTGTATATAAACAATTAGCCAAAGCCGATATGCCTGCCATGCATATGTTTTGAGACGCTTGATAGACTTGCTGACTAAGGGACACATATTCAGCCAGCCTTCTTCAACAACAAGTTATGAAAGCCAGAGTAAAAGCTAGAGCTAAACAATTTAAGATTGAAGAAAAAACAATTCAAACCGAAAGTAATTTTTCAGATATTTCAATTGTAGAGATGTTAAGATTGCGAATATAAGGTGTAAAGCAGCCTTACCTAGTGAACAATAGCATCAGATTAGATTAAATGAGTAGGCTTATATTGAGGCCCAACCCAACCTACAAAAAGTGACCTTGACATTTAATAAATGTTATAAATAAACATTGAAATTATAATATTAATATTTTGAATTTTAAAAATATAAAAATTAATATGGCTAATGAGATTTACACTTAAGAGATCAAATTTAGAGGTATCGACTTCCCGTCTTTTTAGGAGAACAATAAATAGAGTCGGAGCAATAACCACTTTTATTTTTAGCCTTATGGGATTCTCGTATGTTCTCGCAAATCACATATGATAGAACACGTATATTAAATCTGAAGGAATAGATCAACTTTCTGTCTCCCATAAAAAGCGATCGATTCAACCTAATGAGTAGTTCTGATTCTACGTTTGAGGGGTCGGACAAAAAAGAGTCCGACAACTCGTCAGCCTCTAATTATGAGTGCAATATTTGTTTCGATGTAGCTAGAGATGCCGTTGTAAGTATGTGTGGACATCTATTCTGGTATGCAACTGCATAATTTTAGAATATTTAGGAAATTTAGCAAAACTATTGTTAATCATACAGCTGGCCATGTATTCACCGCTGGATGACAGCTCGATCTGGACGAATGACCTGTCCTGTATGTAAAGCTGATATCAATGAAGATAAATTTATTCCTCTATATGGCCGAAATACAACCGATCAACAAGATCCAAGAAAAAAAGTACCCCCAAGACCTCAAGGACAACGACAGGAATCGGAAAATACAAATGTAAATATAAAAAAATCTTTATTCATATGTTATTTTTTCCAAAAAAAACTCTCTTAATATGTCGCTATATAAAAGAACTTAAAAAGCTCTCATGTGTACATTGTACATTATGCGATGTACCGAATAAAGTACACTGCGTTAAACTCTTCATTATAAAACTTTTCAAAACTAAATATAATTAATATATAGAAAATAGAATTTTTATAAATGTTAGTTCTAAATATTAAGTTTAAAGTGCAATTACCTCTTAATGAAAGGAAATAATAAACCTAATAAAGAGACAAGTAAATAAAACAATAAATCTTTAATAATATTAATTTACCCATCAAGAGACTTATCATCAAGAACAATAGATTATTGCTTCCTGTACAAGGGAGAAAGCAATTATATTGTATATACAGTATATATATATATATATAACTTATAGTTTATATTAATTTCAACAGGGTGGCGGCTTCAACTTGGGAGAAAATTTCTCCATGTCTTTCGGAATAGGTGCCTTCCCCTTTGGCGTTTTTTCAACGTTCAACGTACCCGATAGACAAGGACACTATGGTCATGGACATACTCATGGTCCAGCTCCAAATCAAGATGAGCAATTTCTCTCCAAAGTGTTTTTATACGTTGCAGTTTTTTTCATCTTTTGGCTCATATTGGCTTGAAAATTTGATGAACTTTACCGTCTAGTCCTTACAAAAACAAAAAAACTATAAACGATTTATTATAAAGGCTTGCACAGACTATTACTACCATTACTATTATCATTATGATTATTATCATGACTATTATTACCAAGTATTATACACTTAATTGTTTCTTATAATGAATGTTTTTGTTATAAAACTTCTATAATTTCATATGAAAAGAATGAGATTCATATAAATGATCATTGTTTTAGTAAATTTATATTTAAAAAAAGATCATAAGAATGTAACTTTGAAGAACTTAGAAACAAACATGGAATAAATAAACAAAGAGATGGTACATCTTTACATATCAAATCGAAATTGTTACAAAATTTTTGACATTCACGTGATGGATTGATCAATTGATGATAATTATTCATGTATGTAATAGTCCCTTCATCCCTAATGGGAGTGAAATGTATACATTCTAATGAAAAAAAGATTTAGCTGCCTTATTAAAAGCTCTTTTATGACCGCTTCTATTAAAGATAACTTTTAGAATTGTACTAATGTTATACAGCCAGTGTATATGATTAAAGCAATTTAATATCGCTTGTTTTGAATATATTTAAATATTTAATATTGTCAAATAGCTTTACAGCTTTTTTTGTTTTATTTTTATACATTTTATTCTCAGCATGCTTCTTTTATTTCTAGGAGAACTTAATTCTTAAAAGTTGTAACTAGTTCTTTTTATGTCAAATTAAGTTTAATATGTACTATTTAGTGTCGCCGTGACTTTTAAATGTTAAAAATAGCGATATAAACTATTATAAAAGTGTAATTTATCGATTGCGAAATGGTGGAAAATGAATAATGTTTAGTCAGTGCTTTAGTTTAGTATACTAAAAGGTTTTACAGTAAGTATTTGACTAGATGGCGCAGTATCACATAGGCGGAACCGGAATTAGAACTTATAAATAATAAGACGGCAAGCATTTTTCAATTATTTTGATAATTTAAGTTAACTTCGACTCTACTACTCATGGGAAATATTCATACAGTAGGACCTAATAATGCCCTTGTAATATCAGGTAAGGTGGAGAATGCAATGTGTCTAATTCGAAATTAAGACATTGTTTAAATATTATGTTACTTGCTATGAGTAACATTTTCCTATTTTCCGATATTTTCCACAATTTGAATGCTTTGTTCTATTTAAGAGTTTTATTACTTTAGGTGGTTGTTGCGGTTCACGCAGATCGAAAACAATCATCGGAGGATGGGGCTGGGCATGGTGGTTTGTGACAGATGTACAATGGTAAGAAAACATAGCTTCTTTTTTTATTTTAAACTAAATGCAAAGCAAACAATTTCTTTTAAAGCATCTCTCTGGAGGTTATGACTTTAAATCCAGTCTGCGAAAATGTTGAAACGAGCGAAGGTGTTCCAATCACTGTCACTGGTGTTGCCCAGGTATATTCTATTATACTTATCTAATGTAAATGATCACCCTATTAATAAATTTAACCTAATAGATTAAGATAATAACTGAACGCGAATTACTAAATACGGCCTGCGAACAATTTTTGGGCAAGAGCGTTCATCATATTGAAACAGTTATTTTACAAACTTTGGAAGGTCACCTAAGAGCCATATTAGGTATGTTGAATTTTGACAAATAAACTTTTACCGTTATCTGTTTAACAATTGTGTTTACTATAAAGGAACTCTCAGTGTCGAAGCTATCTATCAAGATCGAGATAAATTTGCTCTTCAAGTAAGAGAGTTTGCTGCTCCGGATGTTGGTCGAATGGGTATCGAAATTCTCAGCTTTACGATTAAAGATGTTTACGATAACGTCGAATATTTGGCTTCTTTGGGTCGGGCTCAAACTGCTAATGTGAAAAAAGACGCCGATGTAGGAGTTGCTGAAGCAACTAGAGATGCAGGAATAAGGGTTAGTCGCTAAATTAACAGTGGATTATTTTTTATAATCTGTTTGCTTGATATTTGTCTCACAGGAATCTGAATGCGAAAATACTCGAAAGAACGCTAAATTTCTGGCAGATACTAAAATAGCCGAATCAAAGAGAACATTCGAAACGCAAAAGGCGGAGTACGATGGTGAAGTGAATGCTAAACTCGCACAAGCCGAACTAGCTTACGAACTTAACGCCGCCAAGATGAGACAGAAAATTAGAGCGGAAGAATTGGAAATCGACGTCATTGATAGAAAGAAGCAAATTGATATTGAAGAAAAAGAAATTCAAAGGAAAGAAAAAGAACTTATTGCCACTGTAAGAAGGCCTGCCGAAGCTGAAGCGTATAAAATGGAGACTATAGCCGAAGCTCATAGGTTAGTCTAGTCATTTTTTCCTATTTTTTTTCTTGTTATCTTTAGGATCAAATAGGTGCGTTCAAACAATTGATTTACTGTCATTTTTTCCTTCTTTTCAAATAGGTTTCAGACTGTAGCAGCTGCCGAGGCGGAAGCCGAAAAGATTCGATTGCTGGGTAGTGGAGATGCAGCAGCTATTGAATCCATCGGTAAAGCCGAAGCCGATAGAATGAAAATGAAGGCTGTAGCTTATAAGCAATACGGAGAAGCGGCTAAACTAAGTTTAGTATTGGAGAACATGCCGAAGATCGCTAGAGCTGTTGCTGCGCCATTATCAAAGACAGACAACATAGTTCTGCTTGGGGAGGATAGAACAACAACAGAAGTTACAAAGCTCGTATCGAATCTACCACCAGCAGTTCAAGCCCTTACGGGCATTGATCTGAAAGAGGTAAAAACAAAGAGAATAATAAATTAATTATTTTTTTATGTCTTTTTTTTTTCAATTAGCTACTTAAGGTTCCTGGACGAATGGTTTGAATAAGAATTTTCGTGAAAAATGAAGCTTTTTTTGTCTTTCTAAATTATTAGCAGCTGAACATTTTTTTATTGCTTTTAACATTCATGTAGACAAAAAAAGAGAAAGACAAATTTGCTTTTAAGTTTGCTTGATAATGTTTACTGTTATTCTTTTACCTTTTAGTTTCTACTCTCTGCTACTACTCTCTTTTTTATTTTTGGGTCAACAAAATAAGCCCTCATATGTCATATTTTTTCTACTAACAAGCAGTATTTTTTAAATTACCAATACTATAATCCCATTCGTGACTGTCTTTTAGATATATATATAAAGTATATACTGTATATATACAACAGTTTATGATATACGTGTGCTATTGGTCTTTTTTCTTTCTTTTGGAATATAGATTCAAAGTGTTATAATTATCCGTAATCAAGCAAGATTACATTCATTTATTTTTAATCCGGTTTTGATAAGGATCCGACTTATTCAATTATTTATTTGCTAATAGTGGGAATATTTTTATTTTATCATATAAAAATTCAGAGCTTGCAAAAAATTAAACATAAATCATATAGTCAGATTATTTTACATACTTATGAGCATTTTTCAATTGTTTCGATAACTGGAGAAATTGTTCCAATTCTAATTCGACAGTTTTTCGAATGGGGTAGTCATCTTGATCAATTGTCAGTGTGAGTATAACGAATGGTTTGTTAACACTGCGACAATGATTCGAAGACGTGGTCATTCCTAGTGTCCATCCCATATTGATAAGCTGTATGCAAAAGGGTAATCACAATCTGTTCATGTGAAAAAATACTACCAAATTGCTAACCTTTCCAGTTATTATATTATCGCTCATATTCAACCTACAATCACAGTGCTATTTTTAGGGTTTAAAATAAAAAGTGCTGTCAACTCCGTTATCTCTCCTACGTTGTTTGGATAATAAATCAAATATTATACAGTTATCTCTGAATATTTTTGATAAGATGCTAATAATTTTTATTTTCTTAACAAAAAGTTATATACCGGTTTACATTGTCCACGTGACCATTTATAAAAAAGACATGACATTGATGTTTAAGAAGGCACTATTCGATTAGAAATACAATATTTCAATTAACAAGCTATATCACGTTCTTTGACTAGACGATAACGAATAGTTTTAAAAAAAACAACTTCGAAATTAACGCTAGCCGCACCATAATTTCATTAGTTTCATGTATTTGATTTTCCCTTGAAATTCGTGAATCCAGTTAAAGTGAATGACATATGGGTTCTGTTGACTTATTGCCTGAGACTGATACTCTTTACCGTTGTATCGGTAACCATCTTGTATCATCCGACCATTGGGAAATAAATCCGAATCGAGTGTCATCCATCTAACTCTATGGCTTGAGTATCTCAAGCATAAATTAACGCCAACTTGATCATTCCAATCTGATTCTTGGAAAGCAACCATTCCTTCCCAAAATTTAATTATACCAGGAGTTGGAATGATGTAGGCAAAACCGGCGCAAGCGTACCAATTTCCAAACCAACCTTTCAGACCCCAACTATCGAATCTTCGCCAACCTGTTGCATCTTTTTGAAAGATCATCTCATAACGTGGATTTAGAGCATCAGCCTTAGATGTATTGTCATGAGTTAATTGCTGAAGGTAGTTTAAAGGGGACTTTAGAAAAATAACATCCGTATCCGACAGTAATATTGGATAACCACATTTAAGTATTGAATAAATAATTAAAGTTCGATATTTTAACAATAGGCCATAATTTTCCGTACCCCATTCCGCGTTTGAACTTGCATTAAAAGAATTTTGAACGTTGTTTTCTTTCACCTTATCGCTTAGTGCTTTTTCTCTCAGCGACCTAAACGTGGGCGACAACGAAGGTGTCCAGCATTTAACACCAGGTATGTTACCAATTTTATCACATAGATCATTGTTAACCGCTATAACTAACAATTTCGAAATATTTGCCTTTTTAGCATTACAAATCCAATTTGTAACCTGTTGCGACCAACCAGAATTAGCGTAGGTCAAAATGATCGTATCGTTTGTCGTTAATTCACCCGGATTATCAAAAGGGCACATAATGCTAAATGTATTAATTCGGGGAATACGATCGCAATTTTCAATCCCTTTTTTTAAGCGATTAATTTCTGGAACGTAACGAATAGCCAATTCTGTAAAATTTTCGGCCACAAAAAATATACATGTAACTAAGGCCGCCAATTTCGGAGCTCTTAAGATCCTTTTAAACATTTGAGTGAAAAATGTCAATTGCATTGTGAAAACGTAGGTTTTTCTTTTATCTCCAAAATTTTTAGGCTTGAAGAAAAATCCTGAAATTGTAAAAGAAAATTACAATACTAAATAGAGGAAATAGATAACAGTGATACGCGAACGAATGTCAACTTTGGATTGTTGTTTGATTTACAATAAACCAGTCAACTAGAAACGTATGTACTCATATACGACGCATATTATTCATATTATATATTAAAAGCTTATTGAACTGGTTTCAATGCAAAAACTTTCATCCATGTACTCTTTAAATTTACGTATTCATTATCTGTGTCATATAGTCTCTGTTTCTCCCCCGCTCTCTAGAATGACTCGTCTCTGTTAGTCATAGTTTTAATGGATAAATTTCAGTTGCCAAACGATTCATTTGTTTGTAATATCATATTTTAATAATATTAAGAGCTACAATTATACTGGCGATCTCTCTCTCTCTCTCTCTCTCTTTCTCTTTCTCACTTTTTCCCGCCACCAAAGAATCTTGTCATATTTTTACTACAATGTTATGCTTGTGTTTGTATTTGCCAATATATGTAAATATATTCAAGTATTTTACTTTTTCATTTGCTTAATACAGAGTGACACAATAATAAAAGGAATACTTACAGTTTTTAACAATTATGCTAAGGTTAGTAGAACTCTGAACAGGTAGGTTATTTTTTTATTTTGTAGTTCTAAATACCGGACGAGGATATTAATCTCTCCCCATCTTCATTTATATAAATGCATGTATACATATACATACATATATATATATATATAAATCAATCAATGAATATGTATATATATATGTATATACAATAGTATTTTAATTCAGACTTCCGGTGTCTTGAGACTGCAATGACATTAAATTGATTGGTTGTATGAAGGAATTATTTCGGAAGAAATAAGCTGCACCTACCTCACTCACCTATCGCTATTCAATTGCCGTGATGTGATTCGAAACGCCGCCTATATTTCTTTCAAAATGCTCTTTCGTTTATATAATTTCGTTCAACAGTGTTGACATCTAGCGGCGAATGTTGGTATCTATTTTTATATTTTAACTAATTTAAGAGGTATTTTATGACTTTAGTAGGTTTATTTAGAAAGTAAAAATTACTATATATATATATATATATAAATATGCGTTTATTGTATATAATTATATAAAAATTTTGAATAACATTGATAATACTTTTATATTAAATAAGGTATGAGTGTTTTTAAATGTTAATTATTGAGGGGAAAAAGAGAGAGAAGGATTAAGCAAGTAGTTATTATTGATTAATATTTCAAATATATTTTTAAAGAAGGTTTTTGATTATAGTCCATTAGATAAAGGGAAAATATTTCTCTTCCTCCTTTATCCTCTCTTTAAATATAGGACACTGGTTAGAAAAAGCATAAAGAATTCAAAATAAAAGCATTTGAATAGAGGGAGGGGTAGCATAGTGAAACTGTTGTGGGTTTGGAAAAATATCATAATAGGGCTATAGTTTAGTTACTTCGCTTGGAACTATGACGAAAACTTGTGACGTGGAACAAATACTTTCAGAGTCCGTTGTTCTTTGACGTCTTTTAACACAAACTTCTTTTTCTTGAATTTTACTTTGCCCATTAATAATGCTTGATTGAACGTGATTCAATGTACGAATAACTTCTGTTGAGCCTACAAAATATGAATCTTTTGGCCTCGTTTCAATTTGGTTATTTCTACTTGTTGTAATTTTTCTATTTTTAAGTATAGTTAGAATCATTTCGGCTATGAGAATAGCTAAGGCTACACCAACTCCAAAACCGAATAGAATGAATACTCCTGGCACATATTCAAGTTTTACTTTAGTCTTTTTGGCAACTTGCTTAGAGATGAAGGGGCAATAATCAATCTCCTCGTTTTGCTTTATCCACAATTCAATAAGGCCAGATTCTTGTTGGAGCATTATTAACTTTGATAGTCTTTTTACAAATGGAGACCCCTTATGGACAACTAAACCCAAACCGCTGCTTAAAAAGTTCTTTTGCAACAAAATAAGTTTGTCCTTATTACATCCGAGTGAAGCTGCAAACTGTTGTAAGTTTACTTTATCCCCAAAAAATATATGCGTAAAATCTTTCAACTGTTGAAAAGAAATACAGTTATAAAAGTCAAGTACTAAGAATAATTTAAATACGATAATCTAGTAGGCTGATACTTTGAACAGTTTATTATATAGTAAAACAATGGGCGTTGCCAAAGAAGGTGTAAAAACTAAGAAATACTGTTAGAAAAACATTAAAGAGACAAGAGAGTGAAACAAACTACTGATAATTTAGTAAAGAAGTTGTACCTTTGTTTAAACAAAGAGTACATCTTCTACAGTTTTCGATCTATATTTTAATCGTTTAAGTCATACAAAGTCCAAATGTAAAAGGGAAGAAGATAGATGATATACGCAACGAAAACACGATTTGTGAAATTCAACTTTTGACCGTAACCTTATAAAAGCTACGTTCTATTTTTCTTATCTTGATAATGATAAAGACAAAGATATATTACTGTTAACTAATTTAATAGAAATACTGTATTAACAAATCTTATACATACATACATAAGGTATAATATATCCCTTCAAGTTGTTGTAAAAAGCCGATATTTACTGACTGGCTTGAAATTAGTGCTTTTTTTAAGAGTTCATTTTTAACTGCTATTTATATATATATATATATATATATATATCCATATATAACAATGTATATTGTAGGGGCAAGGAACTATGACTGAATGTAATTATTTTACAGGGTTAGGTAGCTATTTAAGATATTTAGTAATTAATTAGAAGAGAACGGCAGGAGAGGGGGCTAAAGAGTACACTGACTATAGTAATACTGATTAAATTGGGATTATGAAAATCGTGAGAGATAAAGGTTCAATGTACATCTTTGGGCTTAGGGCGACAATATGAGTAAAAAATCTTTATTCGTAGCTTCAAGAATATTAGTATAGGAATAGTTAAGCTCGAGAAATTATTTATAAACGATTGATGTGGCCTTTTGTCGCAACGCAAAATCTTTTCCAAAAAGTTCACAAAACGCCATCTTATGGATAATTCGTAAATTAAATGTAGATTACATTCAGAAAGAGAGCGGAACAGACCTTTTCTAGTAGTTCTGGATTTCCATGAACAATGGAATTCGTAACAACAGAATCCTTATGGGAATAAATATTATCTTTTGCCATTTGGAATGGATGATTTTCGCTTTCGTTAGTTTTCTTTAAGAAAGAGAAGGAGAAAGAACAATGAATTAATTATTAACGTTATCTTCAATCTATTTTTTTCTTTGGTTACCTTAACAAGATCTAAGATTGCGCTATCCTTAACAAAAACTAATACTTTTTCATTTGCCGCTGCGTAATTGGTAAGTTCTGCAAAGTCTTTAAATGGTATATCCCTGAGTACCACTGTCAAAGATGCCATCAACATTCCAGAATAGACAGTTGTGAACATTATAATAAATAACCACCAAAAGCTGAGAACTAATCTACCAGATGAATGTTGCGGAAGTTTCGACATTGCCTGCTTCCAAAAAGATCCAAGAAAGAAGAATAAAGAATCGTAGACTGGTACACGACTTTCACAATTTGATATCTTAGCTGTTAAATGGGTTATTGCAGTATAAATAAGTGCAGTTACCAAGCAAGCTGAGCCGGCTAGTGCCCAAACATCGTATTTAAATATATGTATAAAATAAAGAATGTTATTTTCTGGGTCTGGTGCTCTATATAAAGCCGATATAGAATCGATGTAGTAGGGAAAGGTGAAAGATACATCCTTCGAACGATCGTACGTAATACTAATAGAAAGGTTTGATCTATTTATGTCTTCTATAATCTTTTCTTTTGCTTTTTATAATACATTTAGATCATTCCTAATGGATTAGATTATTCTATACTCATCCCTTAACTCCTATACACCTACTTATCCCTTCCGTCTAAGGCTACATAACTATAATGTATTGTTAAAGAATTTTTTTCTGTAGAGACACTATGATTTATTTTAAAATGGCTATTTACAAAAATAGATCGAACCTTAAGCCATCTGCTAATATACTAGCGGTTTTATTGGTTACTTGACCAATTACTCCAGACCACACTCCGGGAGATAGTCTTTCTCCAAAATTAGCGGATGAGTTGACTAGAAAATCATATTTAAAATTGAGCTTTTCCGCCATAATATCAATTGTATTTTTTAGGCTTCCAACAATCTCCTTCTGATTATTTCTATATAGAAAAGGTTTATAGGCTAACGTGGTTATTATTTTAAGTTTTTTCCCAGAAAAACCGTAAAAAAGAGCCGATAATGGAGTACTGTTTGAATTTATTTCAAAGTTATCATCAACATCTGCTATTAAATCGTATTTATCTTTCGCATAACACATAGCCGTACAAGCCATTATCAGATATTTCAGTTTAAATTTCTATGGCAACAGAAATTCAATTATTTCATGTTTATCTCATTAATTAATGAATGAATGGATTAGTTTGTTAGCTACCTTTTGGACAGCATATGTTACCCTCAAACTTTTTGTAATTAATGGATCTGCTGCAACAGCTAAACTATCTCCATGCAATAAAAATTCTTTAATCTCTTTAAGCTGTATGAAGTGTTGATAAATATAGAAATTAACTAAAGGTCCAAGAACTTCCCAATTCTTTCTCATTTCATAAATCTGTTATAGGGGAGAATTATGATAATTATTATCTCATAAGTTAATCAACATTTCATTCAAATTTATATAATGCGAATGCTCTAGATTATATCTGCAACAAATCATTTTCCAGATTTTTATCTACGATTGTAGTGTATTTTTTTTAAATGAATTATTCAATTCTTTTTTGGAGGGATAGCCATGATGATTTGATAACTGAGTGAGAGGGGTGAAAGAGAAAGAGAGAGAGAGAGAGAAATAATAGGGAAAAACAATAATCATAACAATTGATTCATAATTGATTCTGCTAATTTATAATCGGTTTCCAATCAATAAAACTGTACTTTTATTGTAAATCAAAACTTTACAACTAGTCTCTTTCCTTTGTTCTAGTGAGAAATAACATTCGAAGAGAAAGGACAAAGATGTAGAAAATGAAGAAACATAATAAGAAAACGAATAAGATATTCATATTTTTCACCTTTTGTACATATAATATCAATTTATACACTATGTATATTTAATGTTCATTTTGATATTAATACCATTGATTTATCAAAGTGATTAATTAAAAACTACACCTAAAATTCACCATGTGATAAGTATTCCTTTAGATGAGATTATCAAACGTCTGTCTAATCATGTAATTTATTATTCTACAAAATATTCTCAACACACTCCTTCACTCTGTTCGTTTTTCGTACATCAATAATAAAAGAAGAGAGTAAGGGGAGAGGATGCTAGGATGAGGAGGAGGAGAAAAGAAGAAGAAGAAGAAGAAGAAGGAGGAGGAGGAGGAGGAGGAGGAGGAGGAGAGGGAGACGAAGAAAAAGAAAGGAATTAAAATTGAAAGAAAAACACTTAAAAAATTACTTTCACAGCTGGTATTTACAATTAAATTAATATAAAAGAAATGTTATAATTCGTATTACAATAACAGAATTATTTTACTGTTAAATACGATATATTTTTTCACCCATATACCATATTGTATGTATTACTTATTGAATTATCGATAATACGAGATGATTGTCAATACAACACGATTTGAAATTATAAAGGATTTTCTTTTCTCATTTTATCATTTTTGTTAAAATTAATTAAGATATTATCCCTCTACATATTCTTATAAACATTTTCTCTCTAACTATTTTAATCTAATTAATAAATAAAGGTAATAACTATTGAAATATAGAAAGCTTTTAATATTATGAGCTAAAAGTGTTAAATATTTACTCGAGACGAATTAGAAATCTATTCCATGTTACAAATAATAAGGTCAGATGTTTGTCAGTGAAAAGTACTTAGAGAAGAAATGAAAGCTAGAATAAATGATAAAACAAACTAATCCCGCTTTACATGTATTAATTGAGGCATATGAGATATGTATGTAAAGTATAATTCACGGTGATATTTAGAACACTATGTTACATTTGTCATTACACTAGCTACTGTTGCTACGGGCTGGAGCAATTCCATCACCCACCGCTAACTATAACTAATCAATATTATTTAGATGAGGAAACGTACCTGCTTAAAGAAATCGATAATCGATGATCTATTTTCGCTAATGACAACAATATTCAGAAATTCATCGTGATAGCTTAAAAATTGAGTTTGTAAATTTTTTTCCCATTGATCCTTATTAAGTACCATTGCAGGAACTTTATTACTTTCGAATGCTGCAAAGACTTTATCAGTAATCCGGCTTAGTTCTCCTATAGAAAATGAAAAATGAGAGAGTGAGAGAGAGAGAGAGAGAGAAGGAAAGGAAAAAGGAAGAAAAAAAATTAAACGAAATTGACTTTTTCTTTTTATATCAATATATCTCTTTATATATTTTTTATTTATTTAAATAAAGGATAATATATTATCAATTTTACCTTGCAGTGAGACTATAACTCCTCTATTCCACTTTGCACTTTCCATTAAACTTTCTAGTAGATAACTATACTCCTCGGATGGGAAACAGGGATAAAGAATATCATCATTTTCTTGTGAATAATAGTAGCATCTTTTTAGTTGGTATCCGTATTTTTCAACGTGTTTTACGCTCCCAATGAAAATTTGAATGGGGCAGTTGGCATCTTTAATAATATATTAATAAAAGTATGCAACTTTTTATATATAAGATATACAACACCTGAGAAAGTTGGATAAAGCTGTCCTTTAATTGAGCTAATGTCATATATCTTTACTTCTTTGACTGGGAATAATTTTTTGACAATTCTTTCTAACGTCTTATCTTTTTCATCAAAAACAACGCAAGCTAAAAAAAAAATTTCAGGGCGGATTGAAATAATAAAGGAAGAGAGAGAGAGAGAGAGAGATATTTAAAACAAAAAGAGTTAAAAACTCTTACGTAATCCAAGTAGAGGACTTATATAAAAAAAAAACAGGGAAGCGACCAATAAAAGGTTCATGTTAAAATTATCATGTCAGAGGAAAAAATATATCCACGGCATTCTATCACATATTGCAGTTGAGTGAAAAAAATTGGTGCAAGCTGTATTACAACAGCGTCCTCTATATGTGTAATAGTTTGATAACTTTATAGTCTAGTATTAACTACTTATAAGGTCGTCTTCGTTGGCTAATTTCCCGTTTGGAAGGAATGTTGTCGTTATATTGATATTTATAGTTTTTTTATCACCATTTATAAAAATACTACCTTTAAACTTTATTCACAGATATGAAATATATGGCACGTCTCTCTCTCTCTCTCTCTCTCTCTCTCTCTCCTTTATCTTTGATATCGTCTTTAATAATGTTTAATTTTCTTTAATATTCATTTATTTGCTCGACTCTGTCTGTACTCATATCACATGTCAGTTAAATTACTAACCAAATATTTATCAGTATAATGTTTAGGTTATATTTAGTGTACCATTATCATTAACAAGTAGTTATTGATAATTGTATTTATAGCAATTTATAAATAATTTACTATTAATTTTTATTCAACTATGTAAATTGTATTCATATGAATAAAATAAATTAATTAGATTAACTAAGTGAGATTTTTAAAACAAAAAAAAAATAAAAATAAATAAAAGACTGACATAATTAAAATAAATAAAAAAAAAAACAAATCATATAAAGAAAGATTGATTAGATTATTCCTTTTTATTGTAGATTTTTTTATATTTGGCTTGTTGCTTGTAAAGATGAAAGATTTAATTAAAATTAAATTATTCAAGTCAAACTAGCGCAATTAGCATTTGGTCTCATTTTATCACCAATTTTACATTGAAAGGCCTCGCCAAATTCTGGAATTTGTTGTAATGCAACATTTATCCTACGAGGAAAAGGAAAGGAGAATATGCTTTGTTTTTGTATAATTTAAATATAACTTTAATACATACTCAGAATCAATTGGTAGGAAAAATGAATATTTCATCTGATAGTCTATATTTCTCGGATGAACTTTCTCGCACAATGACTTAAAAAAGTGTTTCTCTTATTAGTTTTTAATAGATTTGTTAATAAGTATTACCTGAACGCTTGATAAAAATACAAATTGATTGCCAGTAAAATTCATACCAGGTAATTTCACGTCCAAAGAGTGACTATTTTGCTTTCTATAACTCCTTAAACCATTAATTAATGATCTAAAGACTATTACATTCTCAGCAACTGGTTCAGCGGCTTCGTGCATCCAAACATCATTACTGTATCCGTAGCCGAATTCTATCTGTAACGGAATATCTTTTACTATATATATAAGATATATTTAAATAGATTTATGTAATATTATGTTACTCTTTTCTCTATTCCGTCCACGTTTATAGTGTAGAATATTTTCCCCTCGAGGTTTCTTTGCTTTATACATCTAGTTAAGTTTTTAAATCTATCAAAGGATTCCAATGATAAAAGTCTTCGTTCATTGTTGTACGAATATCTAATATCTAAATATGGAATATTACAGTCTTTATTTTTTTATTCACTAAAGGCCAGTAATTAATCTACCATTTAAAAAGCCGGCAATATCCAGGGCCTCCCACAAAGTAAAATAACCCAATGAACCCAAATTCAAAGCCGGCGGACCGTTTCTAATGTATTGATCTGGTTGCTAAACATAATATAATTATTGTCTAGAGTGGAAACGTTTTATTGCGTTCTTGGTACCTTTAAAAAACTCATCGGTATAAAAATTTGATTAGCTAGAGTGTACGGTATATCGTAAGAGTGAAAGAAATGTCTCATGTAAACTGGTTTGTCGTTGCCACTCCTTAAAGCGTCACTCTCGGCGTGAGCTCTCAATTCTGAGCAATTAACAATGTTTCCAATAAAATTTTTAGGATCGGTATTTAGCTTTTAAAAAAAAAGGAACAATAATTAATCTCATTGACCTTGTTCTAATATTATTATATTTCATGTATAATTACATTTTGCCGATACATGCTTTTTATCTTAAATGATTCCCAAAGATCGTCACTCTTTCCTAAAGTAATACCAATTTTCTTTTTCTGTCAATGATGTTATTATATAATTAAAAATCTTAATCATTTATACTTTCTCTCTCTCTCTCATGCACTTACTCTCATATTATCCTCTGTTACTTGATCTGCCATATAGCTATTGGATCGAGTAAAGTACGTTCTTAAACCATCAAAAGAATTTTGTAATATTTTATCAATTTGACTAAATGTCTGCGAACTGTGTTCTCCAGCATCAATATCCCATTGGACTAAAGCCTCCGGTACAAACAATTTCAAATAGCTTAAACACTCCATTGTGTGACTTTGAGGATTGTAGTAATAGCCTCCATCGTAAGAATTCTTGACATAATCTGAATGTTTTACCTGATATTTGGAACTCAAAAATGGGCTCATTTTGAAAAGAATTCTCCAAAAAATGAAATTATTCATATCTCTAAAAAGAGAAAAAGAACAAACAAAGAATTAGTTTTAAAAGAATAATTAATTCTCCCTTTTCATTCTGTTTCTTTTTTTATCTCTATTTCTGGCATCTTTATATTAGTTACATTTAGTTATTTAATTGTATTTATTGTTTGTAGACAAAAGAATCGGTTATTAATAGAATTGTACAAAGAAGAAAATGATGAGTGAAGGAAGTCTGTTTTCTCTCCTTGTTTTTTTTTTACACCTACGTTTTGTGTTATTTATGATTAAGAAAGAGAATACAAAAGAAACATTGTTCTTTGAGGTGAAGAGAAAGAGAAAGAGAGAAAGAGAGTGAGACTGAGTTTATCAAATGTACTATTCTTATTTATATCATTATTAAATGAATTTTGTAATTACCTTCCCCAAAAATGAATATATCTATCAAAATGCTGAAGTTGATCGTCAAGACCTCTTAAATAAACCATATCTGCCCTCACTTCGTAATCGGTGATTGGTTCGGCTCTTGGATAGTACTCTTTCAATATCCTTATAATGTCAAGCTATAAATAATATTCGTAATTAATAAGAATTTATTGAATATATAAACCATATATTTTTTTCCTTTTGCCTAATAAAGAAATATCATTATTTTTTTATATTGTTATTATAAGAAACAGCAAATATTGTATTAGTACACGTACCTATAATTTTCTTGTTACGTTATTAATGGACTTTTTAAGAATTAATTTATATAAAGTCCTTAGATATATATTGTTCTTGTTCTTGTTCTTCTTCTTCTTTATGAAATATGTATAATACAATACTTTATGATAAAACCTTTCTCTCTTTTTCAACTAATTGGTTGTATTTCATTGTAATATATTAATTATTCTTACACAAGTTTACTGTTATTTTTGTTGTACAATGGCTCCCTCTCTAGTAGAAATTATTAACCAGTTTTCATAAGATTGTCATACATTTCAGGGGCCTTTTAGTATGTTTTGTTTTATTCGGAAGTTCTTAAAGATTTTACCTGCTTGCTTTTAAGCTTTAAATCAGATCTATCCTTGATTTTTTCCATAGAAGGAGAACCATACCAATAATAGTTGTAATTATCTCCCTCCTGCAAAAATGAACTTATGCATTATTTTCCTCGGCAAACAAATGTTAAGACTAACCCATTCTATATACCATTCAATATAGGTTGCATCGTAAGCAAACGTTTTTATTTTACTATCCATTGCGCTATCTACTTTAACACCAATATCTTCAAGGTAAGTTTTCGCTATATCCATCATGTGTTTTCTCAATTTGTCTCTATCATTATAGTACGCCATGTAGCCGGGTGTCTCAGGTTTTCGAATCTTTATTGGGAAGATAAATGAAAGTGAACGTTTAATTAAGGTATACTTATTTCTATTTTTTCTTTTGTTTTGAATAACTATTTACTAACATTAACGACATTCTTTTTTTTCCAATAATCATAACTTAACTCGATATTAAGGAATACGTCAACACTAAGTTCCTTGTGAGCCATATAGATAGCGTGACTAAGGTCCATATCCTTTTTTTTATCGTTAAAATTCGAGTCAAGAAGGTAGGTACTATTTAGTATTTTTTTAATATAGGGCTTTAACTGAGCTGCTCCTTCCTTTTCTCTGCTATAGATATCCATGCAACTTTGATAGATGTTCTTAACGTGCTTTTCGTACCAATTACTCTTATCTATTATTATTATTATTATTATTTATAAGGGTGAAAATAGCTTATAATAGATATTTACCACGAACGGGACTTGTTAGAGTTTTAGCTAGATCGGATAAATGTTGCTTATATAATATATCGACTCTCTGCTTTTTATATTCATTATTGGCTAAAGTAACTCTATTTAACCATCCTCCACATGCCCATTTATAAAAGTTTGAACATGGTGTTACTTCATCAGACATCATTGATTTAACCCTAGCAGCCGCTCTATAGCAACTAGCACTTTTACAAATGTAATATTTCTCTTTCTGACTTGCCGATGTTGTTGGTTGAGCTGTTGAACTCTTAGTTGTCTTTAATGTTGTTGATTTTACAACTTCCTCCGCAACAGTTGGACGGTCATGATAGTTTGGATGCTTAGACAATCCAACGACTAAACCTATACAAAGGATTATAATGATAAGTACAGCAATTCCAACTATGTAAAGAACTTTTCGCAAAGTAAAGGTGGGACGATCATCTAAAATGCGTTCTAAATCGTCTTTCATCTTTGAAAAGTGTTCAAGCTTATTCTGGTCCGAGTTTTGATCTGTCTCTTCCATATTCTCTCTTTTATTCCTAACTAACCGAATCAGGTGTAGTTTATCAGTGGAGGCGGACTGTTAAATGGTTATTTTGTCGTTTTATATTTAGATAATTTACATAAATTTTAGATGGTATCCAATTGATTAACGCCCACTTTTTCTTTATTAACCTTCAAATTAAATACTACGTTTAGTTTTTAATTAGAAATCTAAACCGAATATGATCAAATTGTTACCTTTTTAAGAATAATAAACAACATTTGAAAGATGAATAATATCAAGTAGGCTTTTACCATTCACTTATACTGTGTATGTAGAATATTAATCAAATATTTTTCCTGTTAGACTAATTAAAATAATGAAAAACTTGGCATACAGACAATTTTACACCGATGCATTCATTTATAATTAATTATTGTTATATTTGCATAAATTAATAAATTATCTTGCAAAATACTTTTACTTTTTTATCATCTTTTACTCATATTTAATATTAAGATTCTCTTACTACTCAATCATACTTCATTAGAAAGCCTAATGTTTATAAAATGTATTATATATTGTATTTATTTCTTTTTTTCTTGTATTGTTTATTGATTATAAATAGTAATTCAAAAGTGTAGATATTCTTTAAAAATGTGTCGATGTAAGAAGAAATCTCTCTCTTTCTCTCTCTCTATCTCTCTCTCACAACTCGCAACGATTGTACCAAGGTGGATTCATTTTACTTCCTGCTGGGCACTGGAAAACTTTAGCAAAGTGTCGACTAGTTGATAAAGCTATATTAACTCTATATTTTAAAGGTAACATAAATTTAGCCAAATAGTTTAAAAAGAAATTTAAATTGCAGCTTACGATAATTCATCGGGCAATAACAATCCCCAACGAAATAACAACTTTAAATGCTTTTCGTAAGTTATCTTACGACAGTTGCTTTGAACGCTTAACGTATACAATAGTTGATCAAAATTCAAATAAATTCCAGGTAATGTATCTTCTTTCGCTCTATTCTTTTGAAAGTTGGCAAAAGCCTATTTAAGAGGAATAGTGATATAGTCTATGTAGTTAAAATTAAACTAGCATAAAATTATACTATATTTACTTTAAATGAACTGTCAAAAATCATTAACGAAGTTAGAATTTTTCTAGATATTTCATTATTTAGGAATTTGCTTAGGAAATTTGATGATAATTCTCCAAAGTTGTACTGTATATTCGATGAAAAGCAGGCAATTGTTAAGTTCTTTTGTTTATTTTATCTTTTTTTTACACTTACCAATTGAAGATTAGGCCCATCATGAAATGGAAATTTTAAATCTTCGTTTATGTATCTTTCGCCAATACAACTAGCTTTTTTCTTAAAATTTGTCATACTTTGTTTTGTAAACAAATTCTTTGGAGTAGATCTTCGATCGAAAAAGAGATCTGTATGATTTTATTTAAAATATTAGCTGTATTTATAAAATAGTCAAGTATTTAAATATACCTTTGAATCTTAATAAACTTGCCAACTTTTGACCAACTAAAGCATTTAAATATCCAATATTAATAACGCCAGGCCTAGATTTTCCATAAAAAGGCCTCTGTTAAGAAGGTAGATATAAGAGAACTTCCTTTAAATATATGTAAATTCAATGATATACTTGTAAAACGGGTAATGGTACATATAGATCGGATCCTTTCAAAACAATATTACGTTTATATAGTAATTTTGAATTGAAGTTCGTAATTCCCAAGTTATAAATTTCTCCTCTTAACGATGATGTCAACTCTGATATTCTTATTAAGATTGTAATTAGATCTTGATCTTGTCGAATGTCTAACTGTTTCGTCGAAAATTGATAATAGATTTTATTAGAGGGTAGAAGGAAAAAATCTCGTTTACTTACTTTAGCGTATGCCCTTTTAATTGCATCTGACTTGATTACTTTCTCTGGTACTCCTACGTGAATTTCTATATCATGAAACTATGCAGTTTGGGATAAAGAATTATTTTTGCTTTCAGATTATGGGGAGTTTATAATTAGAATATAGTATGTACCCTCTTTTTTATGTTATCTTTTGTTTTTTCATCCGCCCAACTGGACTGCATTATATGACTTGTAAATGTATCGCGGAAGCGTGTTAACGTTTTAGCTACTTGTCTTAAATCTTCACTTTTGTACGATAATAGACCTTGTAGGAAATAGGCGGACATTTCCGGTAAGAAATGATTCATTAAATCTATACAATATTCAGTTTGGGTTTGTTCTGGTTGCTCTCCCCATACTTTTTCAATAACATCCCAATATAGTTGATCATATTTTGGACTTGTATGAAACATTAACCAATAGGTGGCACATGAGAGAATGTAGTTATTTAGCATTCTGAAATGAGATGGAAAGAAAGATAGTTTATAAGATAGAAAAATATCCTGATTTTTTCATCAGTTATCGCTAACCTGTTTGTATCCTGATCATCTTTCATATCTTTAGTATATTTATGCACCATGTCCAAGTAGGCAACGTCAGCAACTAGAATTTCAGTACTGCCATCTATTTTTGCTCCATCAAACTCATTCTCCAGCAAATATCTCCAATCGAACTAAATAATTAATAAAGAGCAATCACAGTTTAAATTACATCTAAAGAGTAAAGGAATAGACTGATTCTACCTCACTATATTTTGACGATAGTTGATCGAGAGTCATTATCTTCTGATTCGGAGATCCCGATTTATTAATAAAAAACTGGATAGAAAAAAAATTAAATGTTAAAAGAATTACATCAAGGATAAGAGATTGGATACAAACTTCATAAAGAGAGCTTTCAACTTTCAAAACATCATCAGCATATTTCTGACATCTACCGTAATTTGGTTTTTCTTTATCCAGCTGTTCATCTTGTCGCATATACACGCAAGATTTATTAAATAGATCCCAATAAACCTTTTTGAACTGTTTGAATAATTGATAAGGTGAAGCAAACATTTATATTTAATTAAGTTTTTCAAACGGAATTTAGCTTTGCTAATTTACCTCTTCGTTCGTAGAATAAGAAATCCAACTAAACCCAACTGGATGAAGGTTAAATATATTAGTTTTAGTTTTATTTGGATGATTTTCAATGTGAAAATGGAATAATGCCTCCAAAAAGAATTCCTTAGCCATATTACCCATTGTTTTCGAAACATCCCACTTAGATATATCAAAATCGTCATCGAACATATAGGTAGAGCTCATTACTTTTCGAACGTGATCTATTAAAATTTTTGAACCGTTTGGATTAATTTCATAGCTGACGCAAGCCTGGAAAAAGTTTCTAATAAGCTTCTCCGAATGCGGAATTGTGTCGTCCATTTTTAAAGGAGGATAGGAGAGTGCTTGTTTTAAAATGAATTGTAATCTTTTGATGTTAATCGAGACAAAACGTTTACGAGATTTGTTTTTAAAATGTTCGTTTTAAAAATATGGAGCCTAGGAATACAATCGTTATAAAAATATTTTTAATTGCCGTATGATTTTTAGCTCTTAAACGAAGAGTCTCGAAACCTGTTGTCTAATTCATCTCTAACTGTTACTGTCCGTCTTCTTGCTCGATTATTATTTAGCCAACCTCCGCAAGCCCATTTATAAAAATTCGTACAGGGGGTGTAATTCTCGTCCAGAGATGATTTAATATGTGCCGATGCATATAGGCAGGAAGTAGACGTACAAATTCGGCCGCTACTGCCCTCTACTACTCTTCCGAATGTTGTCAAATTAGTCTTATAAATTTCCGACGAATTCCAGCCGATAGTATACCCGTAGATAAAAAAATTATTAACCCATTTTGTTATTGTTTGTTTAGTTTGTTTAATTATTAGACGCTGAGAAGGGTTATATTATTTTTTTATCTATACTTTTGGTCGGGTCGTTTTGTTAAGATTATTTTCGAAGGTGGTAGTTGAGCGTCGAGTAGCTTCCGGTTCAAAATTCCTAAAGTTATTGCAAGTATGATAAAGAGGAGGAAAAGGAAGAGAATGAGGAAGATAACGTAGTTGGTCCTCTCAACCTGTTTTTTCCAACTCTTTCTAACCGTATCACCAACGGAGGTGATGTGTTTAACAAAGTCGTCCCTACCTAACTCTTCGCTAACTACTTTCTGACATTCGGCACGCTCCTCATCGCTAATCTTTTCTTCATTTTTCTCAATTTTGTTATCGTTCACTTCACCAACAACAACTTCCGCCATTACCGAATTAAAGCGGAATGATCGAATGCAAACTAGTTTGTAAACTAACGCCGAAACCAGAAAACACCCACCGATTAAACTATGCAAAATAGGCGTGTAATAATTCTGTATTCACCTCTTTTTTGTTTGTTATATGCTGAATTTGGAAACATTTAACTTTTTTAAAATGAAATTGAATTAAAATTATTTTTAAGACAACGAAGATATTTTTCAATAGTTTTTGTGTTTATTACTTTAACTAATAATCATTATTTTTAATGAGCCTTAACCAAACGCCCATTAAACCATCATTACATTCATATTTCTTTCTCGCAGCGCCGCCACCTCCGCAAAGAACAGGTGCCTTTTGCTGTTTTCGTATCCGACTAAAGTGCAACTCTGTGTAAAATAATATGGGTATTTTAATTTAATTCCTTAAGTAGAAAAAAGTAGTTTATTTTCTATTTGCTTCTATTTGTTTCTTTAGTATAAAAACACACTTTATAAGTTTTGACGCAATTGTAAAAAGTTCAATAGATTATCTTATTAATTATATTAAATTCATCTTAAATAATTATTTTTCTACCTTTAATTCTATTCTTTACGTTCTATCTCGTTCTATCTAGTTTTTTTTCCTTTTTAACTTATCACTTTATTCCCTTTCTCCCCTTCCTACTCTTTTTCATTCTATCTGTTTTATTTGATTGTTACCAAAATTGAACTTACAGTAAAAGCTTATAGTTTAAATAGACATTATTATACTTTTAGGGCAATTGTCACTAGTAAAGTAATTTTATTAGGTCATTCACACATTTCCATATACATTAAGTTTGACCGCTCCAACTCCCACAGGTTCGATCCCCACATATGAGCATCCCATAATAAGCCGAGACCAAACTTAATGACTTTTCCCTCTAACGCATCTCTAAAACTTAAGTTAGAAAAAAATGATGTTAAACGATAATAAAATATTAAAGGCTTCCCAAAACTGGAACAAAACATAATTCAATAGATTCTCCCCCTTTCCCGTATTTTTAGAAACGTTGACATATTTAAAAAAAACATTTACAACTTTGTATAGAAACTAATAATTGATTAGAAACATCTATCATAAATGAAAAACTACTTATATCACTTTTAAATATATAATAGAATTAATTTAAATAGATAAGTATTCCATATCATTATTTGTATATGAAAGAAAATGCCCAAATGGTTGGTCATTTCATGATCACACATGCTCTCTTCATTTAGAATATTTACATATATACAATCTATATGTATACGGTATACTGCTTATTGTATGTGGGTTTCGATATTGCTTTTTTTATACTTTTGAACTTAGTTACTTGTTTGGAAGACAAAGAAAAATAAGGTAGTAATGGAGAATAAATAACCAGTAGAGAGAAAGAGAGAGAGAGAGAAAAGTTTAAAGAAGGATTTTTCATATCTTTATTTTGATCAGATATTATAAAAATATGTTTATTTTTGGCGACTATTTCATCAAAGATAATAATGTGGACAAGGGATAAAAGCCTGTCAAGTTAAAAGCAGACCTTCTCCTATTCTCGGTTTTTGAAACAAAAAACAAACAAAAATATTATAAAAGAAGATTAAGAGAATGTGCTTTCCCGAAAATTCGAGTCTTAAATCTCTTCCTCCCCTTTTCTCTCTCTCTCTCTCCCTCTGAATTTATCTCTTTTTGAGAAATGAACAATTTTAAAACGACTTTTATTTAATAGTAAAATAGTATCTTTTTGATGATAATAAAGAGAAAGATTATTTATTTTAAACAATAATTTACCATTTTCAGGATTTTCTTCGAAATCGTTAATTGAAAGAATCTTCTTTTCTAATTCCGTTAAAGGAGCAGTTCGAACTAAAACGATAATGATAGCCAAGGAAAGGACAACTAACTTCTTCATATTTTACGTCTGAAATGTGACGTTGGTACGGCACGCCTAGAAATTTATAGACGCAGGGAACTATCCAATCGGCACCGACTATGGTTACAGAGTTATTAATATCAAATTAGAACTGATATAGAACGTCTTATTCTTTATTAAATTAATCATCATGATATAATAGTTAATAGATAGGGGAGAACTGATTAATTAAAAATCTTGCCTCTTAATAAAACAGAGAATTATATAATAAGGAAACAACTCTTTACATTATTATCGTAGTATTACCATCATATTTTATGATTTTGATAATATTAGTCATTCATAAAGTGTTGTATCTTAAAAAATTTTCTCTTCATTCAGTTTATCAAATGATAGAAAAGATAAGATTTTTACAAAATATCTTTGTTACGTAGTAATACTGTATATGCATAGATATTCTATTGTTGTTATATTTCTTTACTGATTTAGCGATAGACGGTAAGCTTGCAACCATTCTTCTAGTTTGCTAACAACGTAAAATTCAGAGCCGACTTTACTTAGGAATTCAATTTTTTCATTTCTAATAACTCCAAATCTTTCTGGTAAGGCTGTATACATCTTCCTAGCCTCATTATTCATTGGATCTGCAGATATTTTCATCATCGACTCAGTCCAGCCGTATTTTTCGTATTCCTTTCTTAATAAAAATGTGGCTGTAATCCTCTCATCGAGAGATCTATGCGATCTCACTTTGAATGGATTAGTAGCAAACTGCCATTGGTCCGTTGCGTGAGCCTCCGATATATATATTGTAATAAAATCAACTATATCTGAATAATTATGAACAACTTTCATAAAATGCTCAACTTGAGCCATAAACGGGGGTCAGGTACAACTTCCAAAATTAATAACTAAGGGTCTTGCTGAATTAGCAAAGGATAGTAAACTCTTCTTTTGTTTGATGGAATTCGATATTTTTCCACGAACTTCAATAACAGAAGGATTCGGTGCTGGTAAACCTACTTGACAATATTTACCGTACAATTCTAAATCGATTTGCTTACGGATAATATACTTGTACATTTCCCAAGAACCAATTGTAACACCAACTTCATTGTACTTAATAGGAGATAAATGAGTATTGGATTTTACATGGAAGTCGTAGAGAACTTTCTCCTTTTTCTCCTTATCCATTCTCCATAGATTGATAACGAGTTGCAAATACTCGATAGTGACCCTTATTAATCCAAAGATTAGCAGGGGTAACTTAATAAGAAACGATGTCATATTTTCCGTAAGCTACTCCATACCATTTACACTATTTTTTAACAGAATGTCGAAGACAGAGTTCAAATTCCACTGTTATAAAGGCCTCACTTATATTATTTACGTATTAACCTTACAATTTTTTATATAAAAGTCCTATGAGGAAGTAGTGTTGTTCTCCAAAGCAACTTAACTCCAACAATCATACTAATTATTAACGTTTTATATATTTCTTAGATTAAATATTTAATAATCTATCCATTTTTTCAAATTATTTTACTTTTTAACCTTTTATTTTACCATATTTTCTTTGTTGAAAAAATTATATGTTGTTTTTTTTATCGGTACTTTTTTACGACAGTACTGCCATCTGTTATAAATTGGTTATTAAACTCGTGAAAAAGTATACAAAAGATGAAAGACGAGGTAGATATATTGTTTTGTTTGGGTAATGCTATTTTTTGCCAAATGAACAAATTGACTGATGTTTTTGTCAAAATTTAGAGTGCTTTTAACAGTTTCTATTTTAAAGTTGAGGCGTTATATTACATTTTGTCGCAATATATATCATCACTTCAAAAACTAATCAGTCTTCACACTATAGTACAGAGCTGCCATCTGTTTTGATTAATTTTATAATATAATAAAAGCGCTGAAAAAAGAACAATTATTAATATTTTTTAAGAAAAATTATCAATAAAGTCCGAATGAAACTGATCCTTAAAACGAATAAGTCCAATATCTAAAATTAAGCGTAAATCTTGTATTACAAAAACAAAGTTGTAAAACTTACGTTGATTGGTTATAGATAAATTTGCATACTATTTACATAATATAACCGCTTGCCAGAACAGCTGGTCTGTTAGAGAAGTAAACAAACACATACGTTCAGCAGAATCACAATCTTATTTTTTTACATCCAGGTAGGTTTTACAGTTGTTTCTTATTTATTTAGTCTTATACGAAGCTATACTTAACGTTAATTAATTGATTTTTGTATTGGACATAAAAAAAGAACGAATTCTAATACGTTTTTTGTGTATTTTGTTCTTTTTAGAGAAAAAAAATATCTGCACGCTGGTAAAAAACATTGTGCAATACTGGTAAAATATAACAGCCTATCTATCAAGATTATCTATTGAATAGTTGTCCTTTAAAAAAATTGAAATCAGCAATTAAAAAAAAATTTAAATTATGGTGAAAACGTTCCAAGCGTATTTACCCTCTCAATGTCATCGAACATACAGTTGCCTTCATTGTAGAGCTCATTTGGCAAACCACGATGACCTTATATCTAAAGTGAGTAAATTCTTTTCCTAGAGATTTGTCTCGAGGACGTTGCCTTGTAACCTAATGACTTTAAGTTGAAGTTATTTTTAGACGAATAACTTGTATTCTCATTGTTTTTATTTTTTTTACAGTCTTTCCAAGGCAGTCAAGGAAGGGCTTATCTCTTCAATTCAGTGTTAGTATCTTTATCTTTTTTATGAGTAGAATAAGTTTCGTGTTTTTTAAGTACTATTCCCTTTATTCTTGCTTATTCTTTTCTCTATCTCCCCGTCAATTTATTTATCTATTTTATTCTTTTTTATCTTAATAATACAATTCATCAACTTGTTAAAGATCAATAACTTGAAAAAAAAATAGGCCTCAGCTTGTTTCACTCTTCTATTATTATTTTTAACCGTAGTTACCTAGATAGTACCTTGTTTACATATCAGCTAGGCCCAAAATTATTAATGTAGTGTCTATTTACGTTTTTTTACAGGGTGAATATAGGCCAGAGCCAGTGCGAAGATCGGGTTTTGTTAACAGGACTGCATTCGGTTGCCGATATATTTTGTGAATGTTGTAAAACAACTCTGGGATGGAAATACGTAAGAAAAATTTACCGTTATTAAGCATTAATCAACAGTAATACGCTACAAGATTAATGATGTTTAGGATGATAGATAATTCAATATATCGGTCAAGCTCCTTTTCATTTCGAATTGTAGAGTAAATTTGTTTTGTAACGAAAATCGACAGAGACTAGATTTAAATTACGACGAAAGAGAAAGTTCACTTTTAATTAGCATCCTTTCACCCTATTTTCTCTTTTTTTTTACTAATCTCTTTCCCTTGTAAGCTAGTAATTAATTGCAAATATCAGGCAGAATGGGGTACGATTTCCTAGAAATACTTATTTTCTGTCAAGTAGGAGTCACCTTGAACGGCCTTCATTGACTTGATTATATTATTAAAATGACATCGTGAATTATTCATTGCGGTATATTCCTCTACTATCAGAGTCTATTTTGCTCTTGTTGTTTTCATTTTTTTTCTTTGCTATATTGCAATTATTTCTTTCAATTAATGTCTCTCTCTTTCTCTCTCTCTCTCTCTCTCTCTCTATCCTGTCTCTCATTTCTCTTTATTTCTCATTTCTATTTTAATCGTTATATAAAGGTGTTTTACAAAACGTTTTTGAATAACCGTTTTCCTCTACTATATTAGGCAAGCCCATTTCTATAGACTTCCCTATTTTTTTACCTACCTTTGTTGTTAAGCCTACATACCTTTTTATCGACGTATTTGCATATTTTCTAGGGAATCATAAGTGAATCATTGATAAAGGAGCGTAATTTAATTAATATTCCTAAACATAAACAACAAGCTAAAATTGATCACCTTCGATCGCCACGATAATTGAAATAAGGTATTACTTTGTACTTGGTAAAGTAAGCAAATGATTCATGATAATATTTATGACTTTACTTATTCAATATACGAAATTTGTGTAGAGTATAGTTATTGCGCAATAGTATTAAAATGATAACAGTATGTTAAGTAGGACATGTAAAATAATACTTGTGTTACCAAGTATTTTTTTAAAATAATTTATCGATATGAACAGGAACATGCTTTCGAATCGAGCCAAAAGTACAAAGAAGGAAAGTTTATTATTGAACTTGCTCATATGATAAAAGATAATGGATGGGAGGAATGATAAAATTTATACTCAACTCTAATCATTCACTCTTCATTCTCCTAAACTTTATTTGATCAAATATATATATATATATATACTGTATATATATTCTCCCCCTTCTCTCTCTCTCTCTCTCTCTCTCTCTACTTGCTTCTTTCTCGACACTTTCTTCTTCAAGCTCCTTCAAAAATTGACTATGAAACACTGTGTTTCAAAGAAGAGAACAAAAGAAGAAAAAGATTAAGAAATAAGAATTTTTTTCTATATCTGTTATACCAGCTTAGACAGCTTGTCACTGCTTATTATAAATGTCAGTTTTTATTCGTTTTACAAGTTTTACACGGTACAAATTGTGCTTTCTTCAGGAAAATCAAAGATTATTTATATTATTATATGTATTATATACAATCATATTATTGAATAGATTTAGTATCAATATACAGTATATTTTATACAGTATTCTGTGTATAAATAAAAGAGAATATTCTTTAAAAATAAATTTCTTCTTGAGTAAAACATTCAATATAGAAGGAAAGTGTTTATGTTCTAGTTATTTTTTAGTCCATTTTAAATGTTCGAAATATAGAACAAAAATAATACATTTAGAAGAATATGGTAGCTTTCAAGGCTAGTAATGAAATGTATGTATTTAAAGTTCATTGAACGCCTATTAGTGGAGTTTGGATGTTGTCTATTTTTAGAATTTTCGCTTTTTCAGTAAACAGGAAAAAAAATAGAGATGCCATTTCACCCACGAAAATAGTGAAATAAATGAGGTTAACGCTTAAAAGAATTTATATTTACAGTATCCAGTTATTAAAAAATTCGTATTAAGCTTATTCAAGTGGAGATTTATTCTTCATTAGTTGCACTATTAATATATCTAGCTTTTTGTTCCATTTACTATACACTGTTAACGTTCTATACGATCTGTGCAGTATTTGAATGTAAATAATAAAGGATCGGTTGACCGATTTTCTCTAAGCCTATTCTGTATGTGAGGTCGGTAACTGGTTTTAACCATATTTTTATATTTATTTGCTAACTTTACGCAATAAAATAACAGATAGAGTTAGATATATGATATTGAGTAGTTTTGACTGTTTTATAATATGTCTAAATCAATCACAGAAGGCATTAAGTAAAAGAGGTAATCATCAATTATTTGATTTTAACAAAAGACCTATGCACTAATGGCAGTAAACCACTGAACAAATTTGATTGATAATTGACAAATGCAATTTATGGCCTTGTCTTTAAACAGACGCTATTGATAAACAACAAAATCGAATTATAAAGAATCACGCGAAAGGCAAAAATCAAAATATTTGATTTGGTATCAGCTTCATATCAGCTTTCATCACTTAAAAATAGACAAGGATTACTTTATAGGAAATCTCTTCTTTAAATATAAATATAGAAATAATAAGAAAATCTTGATACTTGATTTCCATCTAGCGTTTTTTTTTATAATTGATGAATAAGCAAAGATCTATGAATAAATGATAAATGTATCTATTTTCACTCTTGGTTCCTTGTGTATACTGTATAAAATAGTTGAAAACTGAAATCAGCCTTTACTCGTGTCATTTAAATAGAGACTCATTAAGGAACGGCTTAGGAAAGGATGTAAGAGGGAAGGGTGGAATTTTAAAGAATGATGAGGTTGACATAAAATATTCTTTTGTAATTAATAAACTTGTAAAATATTAGCGAAGAAGATAAACTAAAATTTACTATCATGATTATAGGAGTAATCGGATTTTATTACGTTGGAATTAAAGGAAAAGCCTGTAGCTCTTTTAAAACAAATTTAGTGAAGTTGATCCGTTTTAGATGAACTAAGTAAGAAGGATTAATTGTCAAGCATTTGTCGTTGTTTATTCAAAAAATTTCCTATTCTAGTTTAACCTATAAAAGAAAATAGTCTATCCTTTTTCCTCTTCCGCTTAATCACTCTCTTAACCATCCTCCTTAAAATATTAATAGTACCTCTCTCTCTCTCTCTAAACTATACAACTGTCTAGTCTTACCATCTCGCCATATGACATGACTTCCTTATAACAATTTCAAAACTTCTCCTGGGATTAATTACGTCATTAAAAGGGATTAACGAGAAAAAATGTTCTTTTTTAAGAACTTAATGCTGTTTTCTGTTTTTCTCTTCATTTGGCAAGGCTACCATATCTTGCGTGGGCTAACAATTCCCAGGGTAGTAGTTCATGACAACCTTCTTACATATTCTTTTAGTGCTATAGCCAAAAATAAATTATGAGTCAATTCCAATAGATCGATTATCGAAATCAACAAAAATTAATATATAATATATACTATAGGGTGCTAGAATGTACGATAGGTTCAGATAGGTATTGTAGATAATTATATAGTTATAAAAAATAGTTTTAAAGGCATAAAACTGTGATTATTTAACGTTTTCTTCTTTTTTATTCGTTCTTTATATTTATACATATTTGAATTGAATAGAACTATAAAAGAATATCTTGTAGAAATGAAAGCAAGGTTTCTATTAGGATACTTTTATCTCTCATTTTTTTGAATAATATAAAAAATATTCCATATTTTCAAATATTGCATGTACTGTATAAGTTTAAATAAGGTACGTAGTGAAAATCTCATCAAATATTGCTACTTATGCCATCTGTTGGCTTCTTGGTTAATCTTTATAAACGTACGTCCTCAAAACCCCCTCTCTCCCTCCCCGCCCCCTTTTTTATTTCTAGTAGCTAAGCCTAGACATCTGCTATCCATTAAACTAAGAAAGATTTATTGTCTTAGTTATATTTAGTAGCGAAAAGAAAAAGGATATATTTATAACTTTAATGACTTGAAAAAAAGTGAATAATTTTATCAAAAAAAAAAAAATCTGGATTCTTTATTCTAACAAGTTTATAATATAGATTCAAAAAAAGGGTCATTTACATATTTTTAGCATTGTTTACGATAGTAATGTCTAAATTTAATAATCTTTTTTTTTGTTTTTTGCGGTTAAGTAATTGATTTTAATTTATAGTTCTAAAAAGGAAAAAAATCCATAAAGGAGATTTAATAATCGATAGATACATGACTGGATTAAAATTATTTTTCTATTAGCTATCAACCTTAATTTTTTTTATCATTGGACAAAAATGGGACGGTAAAATTTCTTTGAAATTTTATTTCTTCTTTTTCTTTTTTTATCAAGTATATATAGGCTTAAAAAAAAACTAAAAAAAAAAAAAAAAGTAAGATTACAGAAGCCCTTTAATGTTTTCTAGATTCGAATAACGTACAGTTGTTCACTGGCAAGTAGAAGTATCCACCAAAAGAGTTGTATATATAGACATACAATATATAATTAAAATCCAAGTATATTATCGTTTAGTGGTTATTCCTCATAAAGGTGTTAAATAAAGACAAAACTTTTCAACTACACTCCCGAATACTACGGTTTGTTTGTGTCATGTACAAGCATATTAAACACTGGCTAGCATAAGGCCGAAATGTATTTATGTAGATATTAATAGTCAAACACAACCGGAATGTTGGTTACTATAAATATTCGTTACGAACATGAAAATTACACTTCGCTCAAAAAGTTACGTACATAATATAAATAAAAAAATATCTAACTTTAAACATACAGCTTAGTCTAAGTAAAAAAATAATACGTTGGGTTACATAATAATTCTCACAAACGATACTACGACAACTTTAGATTGGCTTATCGCCTTGATAAACGCTATTATATAGATACATTCGATTTTCCCTTTTTATAGATGAAATCAAGCAACAAGCAGCAATGAATCCAAAGAATTGAAAAGCGCATACGCAACAGACAACTACTAGTATATAAACGCCGTTCTTCTCAAACCAATCCTTTAAACGTCTGTGGCAGTTCTGTTCAGAAAAATGAAGAAAGATTATATATCAAATAACATAATAAATAAAATACCATGCAGATAATCAGAGCAACAGATAAAAGTACTAGTAAATATTATTTGAAATAAAATTGGTATCCCGCAATCACTAATCTTATTTTAATAATCCTTAATTAAATGGCCTTATAAAATACCATACGATTTCCTCCTGCCCCCACCCACTTTTTATTTTTATCTCAATGCAGGAATAATTAAAAAAGAAATAATAAACTTACATAAACGTGAAGATAGTCAGTAACTCCGTTGTGTAGTTTTCTTATATATTCGTCGGCATCTTTTTGGCATTTTACCCTATCTACAGGATCAGGCTTTTCAACATTTTTGTTATGTAGCACGCAGCAAGTGTCAGGTACGAAGTATCTAGTCAATTCAGGCTCCTATTAAAAAAGATTATTTATTTGTAATCAACTTTTTGTTTTGTTATTGTTCAAGAATAAATGTTCAAATAAATAGAAAAAATAAAAAGCTCTACCGTTGTCCCATGAGTATCTGTATGTTCTTTGGTTATATTATACCACAAACTGTTTTCATAATCTTTCGGCTCGCCACCGCCGCAACATCTCATCTGTTAAGAATATGTTTTAATCTTTTTTTTCATACATCTCAAAAGATCTAAACCTATTTAATGCGAGTATCAACTAAACGAAACTTAGTAGCAAATCAAGATTTTCCTTAATTAAAAATAATGATGATCTAATATCACGGCTATAGCAGTTATTAATAAATTTTTAATTAAGTTGTCTAACCAACTGCTAGCAATTAATAAACAAAGTTAATTCTTACGTTAACTTGTACAATATCCCAATACAAACTAAATGCATCGACCTCGGCTGTAGGATCGAAAAACTTTCTTTGATATTTATGCTTCACGTCGTACGACATTCTCTTCTTCAGAAAGTTGAAAACCTGAGCAAAAATACATTAGTGCATCGCAAATTACTGCTAGACCGATACTATATGTAATAATATACCTTATCCTTATAAACAAATGCCAGAGCAGCGATGGTAACTTGCGATAGGAGTATAAGCAAACATAACACGGCATACTGTTTGATAAAAATCATAGAAAATCGCATAAAAAAACTTATTTCAAATGATCAACTTACAAATAGTAGACATCCAGGCTTTTCGAAACAGGCTCCGCAACAGCCGAAAAAGGAGATAAAAATGATACAAGCCGCAACGGCAATCATTATATAGCAAGCAAGGTGGAGATTATCGGCCTGGAAAAAATATAAACAATAATATATACTATTTTCATCATCATAATCCCTAAATTTAAGTCAATATTATCGAGGACAATAATTAATAATCATTATTCTGATTAAGAATATTCTCTATTTGTAAAGGATTTAAATATTAATTAACCTCCCAAGGTTATGAATATCCTTATTATAACCAGATAGAAAATTTTTATATTGAACTCTGATTAATATTAACAGGGATATTTCACTCATTTTTCATATCTCTTTTATGCCTATATATATATATATATACTGTATATTTATAAATTATAAGTGAATGCTTTAACCTGTAAAAAATATTCTTATAATTCTCTTAAAATAAAGTTAAATATCTCAAATAAAAGCGGTTATTTTCTAGGTGATTTATAATACACTCTGTTAGAGATAATTATCATCAAAAATGTTCTATTTCATCCTTCCTCTTATACAACTTTTTTAAGAGAACAAAATGCTCTCTTTTTTTTTACCAGGATCCGGTCTAGTAAAAAAGACTAAATCGCAGTTGGCGGTTTTCTGAATACTTGCGTGGTGACTATAAACTAAGTATTGTATTGTAAAAACTTACCCTAAGAGATACTTTGAGAATTTTTAATGAGTTTAACATGTCGTTATCAATTCTTAGCCAGATGCCGAATGTTCCAAGGGCACAACCGATAAGCTGAAATGTAGATATATATATATATATAAAATAGATGAATATATTACATCGACGAAAACTATAAAAAAAAAATACAGCAGTGATATAAAAAATGGGTAACTTCTGCACTTGTCAGAGTGTTGAAATTCCATAGCCTCATTTCTTTCATTTTCTTTTCCATTTAAATTTTAAATTAGATGAAGGAAAAACTTACCAAGAATAGAACATTTAGGAAAACCAAGTAATATCTGCTTATCTTGTCGCGAGCATCTCGGGAACACATTTTGTTCGTTAAAAAAATTTAAATGCGGTCCAACCAAAGTAAGAAATAGTAAAAAGCCGATTAAATTTGTAAAGATCGCTGTGGAGCAGTCCTTGCACAATAAATAGTTGGCCTTTGCTCTTCGAAAACTTCAGTCAGAAGTAATGCGAACCGATGAGCAGATTGGAATACAATGTGACGGGACAAACTGTTTTTTGTTATCAAATCGCCATCTTGTTTGGGAAGGTAACGCCATCTAGTGATAAGATTAATTTTATTAAAAATTCGTTTAAACTTCACTATTTAGTAAGTTATTATTTATTAAATATTTTAAAAGATAATAAAAATTAAAGAATAAACGAAAATTACTACAACTCGTAAAAACTGAGGCACACTGGGATTGAATCAATGAAGTTGACGTAGAGAACTAATTATCATCTAATTTATGCGTTATTATACGTTAAATGGAAGTGATGTGATGTGGAAGGCGTCACAAAAGTTACTTCTTATGTAAGTTTTCATTTTTGTCGTTATTTTATTTTTGGACAACTTCGATTTTGGCCGAAAATCGTCTATCGGTATGCCATAGGTCTATTTACTCATCTCATCAGCTGCTACTCGTGTTCTTAAAACGAAATTAATCTAGAGAAATGCAAAGTTTATAATTATAAGAACTGGTTGAAAATTTCAAAAGCTCTTTAATCTATTAGAAAGTCATTGCTAAGTAATTTTAGAAAAATATAAAGATTAATAAATTTTATTTGAGGGCAAGATAGCTTTGAAACTAATTAGGTATATTTGATGATTAATCATGAGAAATATGTTTACAACAGAGATGAAACAGCAAAAGCAATACATGGAATAAAATTTTGCTCAAAGTAAAGAAAGAATATTTAAATAATAAAAAAGGACAGTGCCAAAAGCTTCGATGCAATAATGACGGAAAAAAAGAATCTCTGTCCTCGTCTTCTGGATTATGTCGTTATTGTGGGTTCTCGGCATCCATCCCGTAATAATAATGTTGCCCAGACTCCTGAACTACTTCGAAGATATCCCGTAGAAGATCACAAAGACTTTTCTCTTCCTCCGGATGTTGTTTTCTTTTGCCAACCAGAGGGTTGTATAAGTGTTAGTGCAAAGAAAACTGCTCTTCAATCATCCACCTCATTCGTATTTACGCTAACGGAAAAAGATTCCGGCGTTGAACGTTATGGAATGTGTTTGAACTTTTATAGACCATATGAACGCCGTGCTCCTGTATCTGATCACTACAAATTTGATCGACATGCTCCTTCGTTGTCGGATTGCAGTTCATCGTTGAGTCTTCCGTCCCAGGAGGAGGAAAGACCTCGTTCTCCTAAATCGCCACACACGCAGAGACGTAAAAAGACAGCATCCAAAATTCGAAATAATACTTTAACATCTCTTTGCATTATAAGTCATCATCCATTCTTTAAGACTTTTAGGCAATGTTTAAACGTCTTCAGGGAAACTGTTAAAGCTTGCAACGAAAGATCAGGGCCTAAAAGAGCCGGAGGTTCGAAATGCATCTACAGGTTTGTACATTCTCCTTAACTACTCCCTGGATAATATAGCTAATCTGATTAACATCCAATTTTATTATATACTGTATATATATATATATATGCCTGTCATATTTTTATTAAAAAAAAAACAATCTACCTTCAGGGATACTGTTTGGAGTGTTTTAACTGGTCAATCTACAGAAAATATGCCCAGTTTAGTAATGAGAGAGGTGCAAGAGATAGAAAAATGGATATTTAGGCTACTCAGCGCTCCTGTTCCGGTACCCGGAAAGACTCGCGTTGAGGTAATTTTCACTCAATTTTACGAATATGATATGTATAACTAATAAATTTTTAATTTGTTTACAGGTTGAAGTGCTTCCATCCGATATTTATTCACCGTTTCTTTTTGCTTTACCCGAACGAAATCGTTTTTCATTGGTTGATTTCCCCCTTCATCTACCTCTAGAATTACTCGGGGTCGATACATGTTTGAAAGTATTAACGTGCATTATGCTAGAACATAAGGTTAGTCTCACTTTTCTGAGTTTACTTTCTTATCACGTTTATAGCATGCTAATATAATTACTTTCTTTTAAAGGTTATATTACAATCTCGGGACTATAACGCTTTAACAATGAGTGTAATGGCTTTCGTATCCATGCTGTACCCATTGGAATACATGTTTCCTAAGATACCACTCCTACCAACGTGTATGAGTTCGGCCGAACAGGTAAAAATATCTTTGACAATTTCCTACAATAGTTTCTTATTTGTCTCTATAATAAGATATACTACCTAGATATGTTATTCTAATTATATATTGTAACAAACTTGTATTTATTTCTAGCTACTACTAGCACCTACACCTTTTATAATTGGTATACCGGCAACTTTTCTGAAATACAAAAAGAATTTCCGTCTACCCGATGATGTTTGGTTAATAGATCTTGATTCCAACTCGGTTGATACACACAATAATTTTCACATTAAGTATATTATATTTCTTAATAATATTTCTATAATCTTCTCGTTCAGATTACGAAACCAAAGAATGCCGAAGATTTACCTACAATTCCAGAGCCGGAAGCCTCTACTTTAAAGAACCATCTGAAACAGGTATTTACCATAAGTTTATTGTAGAATTTTAGCACGTAGTTGTTATTATTTAGCCCGAAATTTTATGGAATCCAGAATATATCAGCGTAAGTTAGAATTCCTTGAGGAAAAAGCATAAATCGTTGATTATTTTTAGTTTTGCTGTGCGAGAAATGCATTATAAGTTCTTTATTTTATTTTTTTTTTTGGCTTAATCTAATTTACTCTTGCATCAAATTCAGCCTATTAGGCATATGAAATATTTATGCCGTAAGAATAATAAAAAAAATTCGCCATTCTATTAAGATATGTAGAATAGAAGAAGTGAGAATAGAGATGTTAAAAATACATATTTATATATTAAGAGATAATATGTTTTTAAAACGATTCTATAATATATGTAACTTGAACATTTTAAAAGTCACCGCTTAATTTAATGTAATTAAAAAGGATAAAATGAGAACATTAGAGAAGAAAAAGCAGAAATGTAAAGAGTAAGAAGTATAAAAATAGCAAAAAACATGTTTTTTTTTTTTTTTAAAAAAGAATACACAAAATTTAACAGGTTATTAATCATTTAAATGCAATGAATAACTGTTGGTGTTCTTATATACAATATTAACGTCCGAAGTTATTCGTTAGTTACAGACTAAAAGCGATTACAACAAAAATGTAAGTTAACCAGAGACAGTATAAAAGATTCTATAACGAGCATCGCTTGCTTTAAGCTTTTATATTAAAAAAAGAGAGAGAAAGAACAATGATATTAATCTTTTTTATTTATCAAAGCCAATGTAACGTATTGCTTGTTTTATTTTCTGTTAAGGTGTAAGCGTTTTCTTTCAAGCTATTTTATTAATTAACCTTGGCAAAGACGTATATGTTTTTCTTGTTTTTTTAAAAGAATTTATTCTTCTCTTACATATACATTATGAACATATAAAGTATATACCTTGCCTTATTTTTCTTCCTTCTTTATTCCTTTCTACCTTCTTACTTTTATTTTCTTTAAAGAAAAATCTTTTAATTAGAGTATTGAAGAGAGTAAATGCAGGAGTTTGAGGAGGAAAAAAAAAGAGAGGATTATATACTTTTTTATAATTAAAAAAATTCAATAATTCCACATAGATGATTTGCTGTATTTATTTAACTATTCTATAAATATGATGCAGTATGACAGAAAATGTTAACATTTTCTTTTTATTAGGCCTTGGCGAGTATGAGCATGAATCCACAACCCATAAAGAATTTGGATGCTTTGGCACAAAATCCTGATTTGTGGCAGGCTCGAAGAGAAAGTATGACCACTACGTCGACGGGTTTTAATCCGTTAATTTACGGAAATGACATAGATTCAGTCGATGTAGCTACAAGAGTTGCTATGGTAAGGTTTCTTTAGTTGTTAAAAAATATATATTTAAGTGAGTTTTTCTTACCTCATCTATAAAATAATTAAAACAGGTACGATTTTTCAATTCGCAAAACATACTTGGGAATCTATCGGAACATACTAGAACGTTAAGATTGTATCCAAGACCCGTTGTTGCTTTCCAAATGGCTAGCTTTTGTAAATCGCGGCCGATACAGAGTCAGTTTACTAGTAAGCTAGCTCGGACTCAGGCTGTAGAATATTTCGCTGAATGGCTACTCAGGCCATCGAATGATGCATTTGCAAGGGTGCAAACTTGGACAGTTGATCCTAAGCAGATTGGTGATAAACCTAAGTGGTATAGTCAACAACTTCAACTCATCGCCTTTCCCCTTTTCGATGAGGAAACGTCAACGCTGGGTGCCGCTGTTAGATCGTTGAGAGAACAGGCAACTTCTGATGATGTTCCTACAGGTTAACAATTTTTACGTGATATTATCTTAATTAAACATTCTCAATCATCAATTTTCTAGACGAAAGTGGAAGTGATAGCGAAGAGGGTGCTGCATCAACAAGTTCTAGTTATTCATCTTTATCCGATTTTGTTATAGACATACAAAATAGTGAAATAAATGGCGAAACTCCAGGTAAATATTATGTAATCTTATTCCCGAGCAAATAATTAACAAAAAACCTTCTCTTCTCCACACTATGAAATGTAAAATACTGTACAAATAATATCATTTCATTTCCTCATAGAAGAATAAAGATTACTATTAGTTTTTTTAATGTCTAAATTAATTTTTTTTTTCAATTCAGAAATCTATCACGAAAGCCAAGTTCTAACTGTAGATGAATCTAGAGTATTTAGTCCGCCGTCAAAATTACACGTTCCAGAAGCTCCTACGAGTGGACCTGACGAAGATTCAGATTCGACAGATGGTTCCAGTAGCCCTACTTATTCGACAAATGTCCGACCGCAATTTCCATTGGCGGATGTGCCACCACATCCTGATGAAAAGACAAAAACATCTTCACAAAAGGTAAATGCAACAGAATGTTTCTGTTTTGTATTTTTTGTATTTACCGTTTTGGTCGTTTTATTTGAAATAACAAAAAAAATACCATGAAAAAAACGACTATTACGGCTTAAAAAAAACTATAACGACAAAAAAAAATCAATAAAACAAATGTGCGCGGCAGTGCGAAGGAGAATATTTCCGTTATGATTCGGGGAATTTGGCGGCTAGGGGAATGCAACAGTTGAAGTCTTCCGGAAAACCGGAATCGCCAACGCCCCAAACTCCGACTTCAGGTTCTCCAGGGCGACCGCAACGTCCTCCACCGCCGAATTTAAAAAGCAGGGTTCGTGATAAGACTACATGTTGTACTCAGATATTTTCCTTTTTTTGCTGAGAATGTACCGTAATTTTTTATAGTTAATTATAGTTTCGTCACGCACTTTCCAACTATTTATTCTTTCCTCAATAGTTCCTCTCCCCCGCCCCCATTTTGTCAGCCGGACGGACCGACATTGAATTGTTCTTCGTCTTTTAGGAAATAAACTTGTCGTTGCCCATTATCTGTATCGAAATACAGATCCGTTTAATGATTGTAATCACGTATTTTTCTTCTTTTTACAAAATACTCATTCGTCAGTTGTTTTTTTTTCCTCTCTCCCTCTTCTCATTTTATAAGTTGTTTTTTTACTCAATAACAAGTTTTTTTAAATACTTGTTTGTGTACGTATTTTTAAACGAAAATCAATAACAAAAACTACTTATTCAGAGTTTAAGTCGTTCGGATAGTCAAAAAAGTCAAAAAGGAGAAAATATACAAGAAAAACAAGCAACGTTGTCATCACCATCAACAAAAGCAAGAACCGAATCTCAAAGTTCGGTTTTCTCAACTATAAGCAATCAATTGGACGATGTTACCGAAAGTGCTTCTTCCAAATTATCAGAAATTTTTGGTAAGTAAATACTGCTTTCAAATATATATATTTACATTTCTCTTTGCATGAGGGTTTTTTTAAACTTTCTATTGAAAATATATAGATATAGATGTATATATGGTACATTTATTTATATACAGCTTGTACATATATATATATATATATATATATTCTATTATATATATGTCCTGTATGTGTCTGTGTTTTTCTCTTTTTATATTTATATTTAGCAAAAACGAAATAATTTTTAAAGGGTTAAAGGATAAGAATATGGATTTTCTCGCGAAAGTTAACGAAACTTTTGAAACTGCTAGAGGTACAGGTGTCGATATATTATTATAAACACTGACGTAGTTTTTAGTTATTCAACTCATTCCAACCAATCAATTTATGCATGTTTTATATGTTAGATATTTGTATTATAAAAAAGAAAAGGAAAAGAAAGTAAATTTATTGATTAAATAAAAAAAAACGTTCTGTTTTTCTTTTTTTGTTTTTTCCCTTAACGTTTCACCAATTGTTCAAATGAAGAACGGGATTATTTGATAAATTATTTTTTTAGATCTCTCCTTATTAGCTTTTAATTTAAGCTATTCAAACTGTTTTAAAAGCGTATTTTTAGATGGAAAATAGCTATTTTCACTTTGTCTCTGGTATATACTGTATATATTAGAAGCAGAAAAGTAGCTTTATTTTAGTATATATATATATATATATATATATATATATATATATATAAATATAAATGTTTATATATATAAATATACACTAATATATTGTAAGATTTCATGTCATTTAAAGGAAAGGAAGTAAAACAGCAACCTTATAAATGTTGTAATAGAAACCAATGATTCTCTATATAAATCTGAATATACTCTTTTTTTAATAAAATAATATTTACGATTCATATTGCTTGTCAACAGGCAATTCTAAGCCTGCACTATCTACGAAATCACCAAAGCCCTATGCACCTTTAGGCAGTAAGAAATCTCTAGAAAAGTCATCTCTTTCTAAAGCTGTTGCTAAAAGAATGGAACCACAAACTGTAAAGCAGGCAACGATAGAGAATAAAGCAGTTACAAACAAGTAAACAATTTTTTTCTATTGATCTTTTTCCCCTAATATTATTAATTTTAATTTTTTTGTTATTTCAGTGAAAGTCAACAATTTTTAAAAGATGTCGTTAGTGACGTCTTGGTTGGTCAAGGCGTTGGATTCTTTAGAGCCTCTAAGGTTAAAAAACTAATGGAGGACGAGAATTATAGAAATCTTGTTCTTGGTCGTCTAAAGGCGTCTAACGAGAGGAAGCTAACAGACGAAGATCGTTATGTCGAGGACGTTGTAAGTAATTCACTAAGCCCTTTCTCTATTATTTCTCTATCATTAAGTAATTGATGTATTCGTTTCCATTCAGTGCATTTCCAAGAAAGTGTTTAAAGACATGTTAACGCTAATGAAAATTATCATTGGGGGTCTGGAGCATTCTTTTCAAAATAATAATGGTTTAGGTGGAATGTCATCGGCTTTCGCTTTATTAGAGATTATTCATACTCACTATTGGGAAAAGGATAATGGATCAAATAAAAGCGAATCGAGCAACCCATCTTTGGTAAGTATTTAAAAAAATAGACTAACTTTCAGCTTTTATTAAGGTGAAATTTCTTTTTTAAAAGACTAATTCACCGTTTGGAAGTCGTGAAAGCCTTAGCTCAATGGTGACAGACTCTTCACACGATCCTGTTGGTACAGTAGGTAAGTGTATAGAATATATAGATTTTCCTTTTTTAAAAATTTATCTCTTCTTACTCTATGAATTCAAGTATTACACATCTGTAGTTATATACATATACAGTATATATAGCATATATTTCAATTATAAATTTTTTTTTGCATGATAAAAAATCTCAAATTATTTCATTTTAAAAATTAATAACAAAGGATCAATTTTGAGTGGATGGTCGAAACCTTTACGTAGATCTTTATCAGCTTTTGAAGGCCAGTGGCTTTTTTCTTAATTCTTTAAGTGGAGACTTCCATCTATTTTTCTCATCATGTATACAAGAAAAAATATGTTGATATCGATATGGTGTTTTTACTTTTTTTTTTTGGAATCTTCTTTCATTTTTGTTTTTATTGTAACGTTGTTAAGTAAAGGATTAATTTTTTTTGTGAAATTCTTCAATGAAAAATAGATGTTTTTATAAAAAGTGTATTCATATGTGAATTAAGTTTTTTATATCTTTTTTCTCTACTTACAGGAAATGCAAATGTTACTACTGATGAGCAGAGTATGGTTGAACCAAATGCAAATATTGTAGCGACAAATATAGTCATAACTGATACGGCTGGGTTGGAGAGGACTAGTGGAGAACAAGGAGACTATTTGAGAGAGTTAGTTAAGAATAAAGAGTTGATGAGAGGAAAGAAGAGCGATTTAGCAAAACTATCTTCAATGGACTCTGAAATATCTGACGCTAGTACTCTTGTTAGCACCAGCTCAGATTTTACTGGTGAAGATGGTAGAAGAAATTTAAAATTAGGTCAGCACAGTTCTTTTAGAAGCTACGTTTCGGATACAGAATTAGAGTCTACTGTTACTGGAAGTACGAGCAAAAGTAGGCGATCTCTAACCCTTTTGAGTAATGCTAAAACTCCTATGAGCGGGGGATATCGTTACACGGATGGAAATTTACTGACTTTTAGCTTGCCTAGTCCAGAAAATAAGCGCACATATTTATTCGAACCGACGGTTGCCAGAGAAAGATCATGGCTATGGGACAAATTACAATTTTGGGAAGATTCCTTCCTCGATGCAGTAGCCCAAGAACGAGATATTATTGGTATGGATCAGGGAATAGGTGAGATGATTGAAAGATACGAGTCACTGAAAGACGTCGAGAGAAAACGAGTAGAACATGACGAAGACAAACTGTTAACGACAATGTTGTATAATATGATTGCTTTTATGGTCATGATGCGAGTTAGTAAGAATGAAATAAAGAGAAAGGTGAGAAGGCTTCTTGGGAAATGTCATATTGGTTTACAGTATAGCGCACAAATCAACAAGCTTTTGGACGAAATTCATAAACTGGTAATATATACATAAAGAAATAAATATTATTATCAATAACTGATGTTTTTTTCTCTATTAGAATGCCAATGACATTGATCTTAAACCAGTTGGAAGTAGGATGATGTATAAACTCTCGTTCAACGTTCATAAAGGTCAGGATAATAGTGGAGAAATGCTATTTATGGAAGTTTGCGATGATTGTGTAATACTTCGTAGCGTTAATGGCACAATTAGAGACAGGTATGAAATATTTATATGCATGTCAGAGAGGCAAATACTGTATATACTGCGATATTATTGTTGTGTTATATTTTGTCTACATAATTTCTCTTTTAATTTATTAGATGGTGGTATGAGAGATTGGTCAATATGACATGTTGTAGTCAAACTAAAGTTATATGCTTTTGGCGGGAAAAGAACGGCAAATCCGAACCAACAACATTCTATACAAAAAAAGTAATTATAATCAAGAAATGATTAGGTTCCGACAGTAAAATTATTCCATTCTATTATTTTAGTGTAAAGAATTGTACGAGTGCATTAAGGATGCTATGGATAAAGCCAGACCCAAACCTTTCGACATTAGTAAGTTTTTTCAAACTACTTTCTTTCATCTTTAATTTTACCTACTCTGTATATTAGTTAGTTAGTATATTTCATTTTATCTGAGTTATTTTTTTCAAAAGGTTCGAAATCGCCTGGTGGTACGTTTCCTGTGCAAGACGTTAAAACTGGTCAGGGTGGTATTCTAAAAGTTTGTAAAGATGGAATTAATTTATTACTACACAGTAGTAAGGTAAGTGATTTTCTAATAATTTTTCAAAAAATCTACCTTTATAATAGATTTATATATCTCTTCAAGCTTATCATATCTTAACGAAAGTATACTGTGTATATATTTATATATGAAACTAACATATATACATATATACCAATGGTAAAATATATATATATATATTTTAATGACCTGACATAAAGTATTTTACTTTATCTCTCAGCTTTTTTCAGTATACATTCGTTTTAACACTTTCATGAAATATTTTCTTTAAATTATCTTTAATTTCAATTACTTATTTAAAGAGATGATCGAATAATTTAAAATATTTCATTGAAGTCCATTCATTATTTTAGGATTTAGTCTCGCAGAAAATGTATATCGTTCTCTTACTTAATTTATAATTTTTTTATTATTATTATTTTTGTACGTTTCTTTTATTACTTCTTTTATAATTTTATATAAATTATATTTACTATTTATTTGTTTTATTTAAAAAAATTTAAATGGAAAAATAGAAATATCCTTTAAAAAAAAAGAACGAAAGAACGTTTTTTAAAAATCGAATAAAAAGAGCTTTTTCTATTTCTTTCCTTTTTTTATTATTTTCGAAAATATATGTCAGCAATTTATTTGCTTGACTAAATCCTATTATTTTTCAATAATTAAATAAAGTTTGAAATTATACGAAAGAAAAAAGTATATAAATGTATATTATATAGATAAATAGACAAACTATCTATTATCTATATATATATATATATTTATTCATTTAAAATATTGCTAATAAATATTTATCATTTTAAAAAACTCAAAATTAAATAGTTATGTTATGATAAGCTAAAAATTTATCTTTAAATTTTTTTATTTGTGTTTTCTTTTTTAAATTCTCTATATGTTCCATTTTCCCTCTTGTTGTCAATCGGATTTCCTCGTCCATGTTGTCTTTTTTTTTACTTAAAAAACCTAGATACAGCAACAAATTTTTATAACTTATCTTTTTCATTATGTTTTTTTTTTGTTTACAAACAATTACATAAGTGAATAGATATAGTAAATATATTAATTTATATATGTACTATAGCTATATTAAAAATTAATAAATATAAAGAAATTAATTTTTATATTAAAATTGTTTTATTAGAAAAAAATTATTAAAAAGAATTATTACTAAATTTCACGAAATCAATTATCTCTTTTTTTCAACTGCCATAATTTTTTACTCTTTAATTTTTATCTGCTTCGTTTTTGAAACAAAAATTTTTCAATTTTAATTTATTTCTTCTTTTGTTGAAGTAAATATTTACATATTTGTTTTCAAGCTTTAATCAAAATTTTCACTTAAGAAAAATTTATATCTGTCTATCCATTTTTCTTTCTATCTCTATCTCTATCTTTCACTTTTTTAATCTTAAAAAAAGTCTATCTGTATAATACTTTATATGAATAGTAATTATATTTATATATATATATGTATACAGTATATATATATATATATATATAATTGTGCCTATATTTAGTTGAATATTAGTTCTTAGTTACTAAAGCATCAAGACAAGTATTAACTAGATGTATACGAGATATAAACATATACATATATGTTTATATTTTTGTATATAATATTAATATGTAAATTAACATGATAAAATTTTGTATCTTTCTTAGTTTAAAATTTAGATCTAAATAGATTAGAATAACTAATCGAATGTAGAATAAAACAGAACCCTTCGTTATGATTTCTTTTAAGTTGTTCAATTATTTTGTGTATTTTTTATTTATTAATCATTGTTTTTTTTTCGTTTTTTTTAAAATATTTATATATATTTATACATTTATCAAACCGTTGTTTTATTTTAAAAAAGAATCACCATTATCATTTAATATACAGTATATATATATTTATTTATTTATATATATTAATATTTTTCTTTTATATATATATATATATATACAGTATATATATACATTTTTATATATTCATATACACACTTTAAATGTGTTTAAAGGTCATAAATTATAAAGAAATTTAAAAAAAAAAGTATAAAAGCAGGGATGGTAAACAATAAACGATAACAATTGTTTATACTATCTTTTTTTGCTGCAGGATATTGAGGTACAGAAAAAAACCATTCAAAAAAACAAACTTAGAATAAACAAACACGCGTAGATAGTGACCGTTGTGGCGATTGTTGTTCATGTTTATTAGTTTATTTTGCGTTCGTCTCTTATGTGGTTTATTTGTTGTTTATATTTGAAAAAAGAATGCGTAATATCCATACAATACGTTTAAGAAATAGTTAGTTGATTATAAACGAATATATTTAAATAAGATTAATTCAGTTTAAAAGGGGCGAATTTCTTTTACTTGCGCTTTCCCTTTTTTTTTGATAAGTACGAAAATATTAAAAAAAAAGGTATTTTTTTTTTTCAAAGAAATTCTCCCCTTTGAATTGTATTTTTTTTACTTTTCTTGCGTTAGTATGGAGTTATGCATTTTTGCACGGTTTTTTCCAATCTGCCTTTCTTCCAATCCCGTAAAAAAAAACTTGCTCTATCCATCTGTAAGATCTCACTTCCACCAATCGGTTTTGATTTCAGTTATATATTGACATAAAACGGGTGAAACGCTGCTGTACTCATAAGGATGGCATATTTGTACTGGAGGAGTATGGTAAGGCAGTATCTCTCTCTCTCTCTCTCTCTCTATTGCTCTCTCTGTTGCTCTCTCTATATATATCTCTCTATTGCTCTCTCTATCTCTACCTCCATTCTCTGGAATTATTAAGCTTGTTGTTTGCATGATAATTTTTAATACGATTATTCATATATAATTGATTTTATAAGAAAAGCAATATATATATACTGTATATATATATATATTTTGTTTGATATACAATGTATAGAAATTGTCATTTTATCTTCTATTCTGAATTTATTACATGAGCAATCGTATTTGACAATCAGTGTAGCAATAGTAAATTGTAGTATGCTTTATCTTTCGTTAATTAACTAATATTCTTTAGATAAAGGAAGAACTGATATTTTTTTTATAAAAAAAGCAACACTTCGTCAAATATGAATAAAAGGAAGAAAGCTCAGAGCAATATACAGTATATATATATATATATATATATATATATTATATATGCAAAATTTTTTATGCATGATTTTTTCGTTTCTTTTGAAAGGGAAAAAGATTCATTATCAAACAATTTATATCTTTTTTTTCTGGAAATACTGTTGTAATAATAATGCGTAAAAAGAACTTGTACAACAAAGGGGAAGAAAGAGCTGATTATTATCATCTCTTATTTTCTCTTTTGATCAAGAATTTTATTTATAGAAACATATAAAGTATCCAATTGTATTTCCTGTATTAAGAGAGAATGAGACATTTAAGTAAAGAGGGAAAAAAACCTTTTTTTTATTCAAGCCTATCTTTCCCTATAGTTTTTATCTAAATATATAAATTAACAGCTTTTGGGGTTTTCTTTTACTGTTTTATTACTCATACTCTTTTGTAAATTGTGCATCATAAATATTCATTAAATTATATACTTATGCTGTAAATAGTGATTAATAAGAAAATGAGTGGAGATATCTTAAGATGAACTTTCTCTGCAAAGGAAATTTTATGATTATTCTTTGATGCACGATGTTGATCTTAAATTAAGTCTAACTAATTTTCTGAGGAGAGCGGTGCTTTATCTATTTTAATATTATTATTATTATACTTTTTTAATATCAATATTCTTATTAACCTCAATATATAATATGTTTTTTCTTATAAACATAATATATACATATAAATGCTCTGTATACTGTTAACACAGTATATAATTAACATGTACAATTAAAATAATAATGTTTTTGAATAATATTTAAGAATAATTATTTTTCTTTTTTTTAAATTTTACTTTAGTCATTAATTCATCAATTATTTATTTTTTGCAATTTAATTTTCAGATCCCAAAACTCGGAAATCAATAGTTAGAACATTTAAATCGTCTATGGTAGGTAGAAAGTTTTCTCTTTGTTTTTTACTTATACAGGATAGCATATTGTATAATGTTACTCCTGTCTGATTTCATCGTTCTACCCCCTACACCTACTCTTTTTTTTTTTTACATGTACTGTATATACTGTATATATTTGTTTCCCTTGCATGCTCTAATTCCTTTTCATTGTTTTGTTTTTTTCCTTCCTTTCTCACGAATGTTTATAGGCTCAGGAGATGACAAGGGCATTTCTAAGGATAGTTAGCGTTCATAGGGAGATGTTCTTACCTGGTGAAACACGACAAAGATCATCGTCTTGGTCTTATTCAAAAAATACTGAAAGCACAGAGAATGATGTAGAAGTGAATAATGTAGAAGTGAATAATAATAGAGTAGTTAGAAAAGTTATCAGCATTGGACCGAGTTCACTACGTACCATAAGTGAAACAGATAAAAATAATGCTAGTTTGTATCTTAATTTTTGGTTTTCTTCTCTTAAAAGCCATTTAATTTTCTTTACAACATTTTATTCCGTCTTAATTTCAGTTAATTATACTATTTATCTGATTTATGGTCGTTTTTTTTTTCAATTCAAATAATACGTCTTTACATACAATAAAATTATAATAGTATTTTAATGTACTATTATAATCTATTGTACATTGTACATAGCACGTTAAAAAACGCTTATTAAATAGCAATTTAATATAATCGGAGTTATATAGTTTATTTATTATTTTGCCTGTTGCTCTGGACCTTCGCCAACCAATGTAAATTGGGTATTAAAGGGAATTGATGTTTGCTAGATTATCGATATTGATTAAAAGTATACAATGTAAAAGAAACTTTTATACAGGACTATGTATTATTTGCATTAAAAAAAAAACAAAAGACAAATCACATTCTGTATTAATGCTATAATTTTCTTTCAATTGCATAAAAATTAATAATTTTCCTCTCTGTTCTCCAGTGTTAATTTCTTTATTATAATTTTCTCTTAATGGCCTCTTTCTTCTCAAATACAGGCGAGTGAAATCAACTACGCAGTTATATGCATATTTTCCTACGCAAATGTTTCCAATGACAAATTAGATACAAATTCAACGGATTTTACATCGGACTGCGGGTTGGATGACGCCATTATGACACTCTCTGAACTTGAAAATATAGCACCAAATAGGCCTACTTTATGCATGTCATAAGATTACTTCCTTCTCTTTATAGAATTAATTATTAATACTTTTTATGATTATCCAACTTTACTTTCGCAACCTTGGAGGATTTTTAAATTCTGAAACTATTCCATCTATGATTGTTGGCTGATTGATTTTAAAAAAAATATAAAAAACATAGATTAGGGGAAAGGAGAAGAAGCCAATTGAATTCCATAATAGAAAAAGCACAAATTTTTCTTTATTTTATTTAACCGTCCATTCTCTCTCTCTCGCTATTCCATAAAAAGATATATAATATTCATTAATATACAGAAAACGATATTTATAGTTGGATATCTTACTGCTTTTTGAAGAATTCTCTTTTTGGGCTCAAATATTATTCGGTGCTACTTTTCAACGTTCAGAGATATTAAATGCAGTCTTATGTGTTTTTCTTTGCAAATCCTGATTGATAACGTGCTGACTTAAACAGAAAAGCATATTATCTTTTATTATTATTTGTCTTTGTTAAATTTTCACTTGAAATTCTGCAATAATTCCAATGTTATTCTAAGGAGAATATTTAGGAAAGACGACATTAATGTATATTTAGTTAAAAATTTCTCTAATAACTTATTTTTTTTCTTTCCATGACTTTATTTCGTAATGTTTAGTTTATCTCTAACTGCATTTTTGGGTCTTACTTTTTAGTTGTGTGTAAAGATATTAACAACATTCCAATATGTTTCTAGTCGAATACAATAAATAAAGAAAAAAAGAATGATCTGTTTTTAACTTTTTATCACACTTTTATTTTTTTTTCATATGTACAAAACTGAAAAAATTAACCTTTTGTAAAACACTTATGATAGTAATTGTAATATATTACATAACATCATACTATTTTTCAGATAGGTCAACAAAAATTTTGAAAAATACCAACTTTATAAATAGGCAGATGGATACTTTCAACATGCATTATACGATTAACGCTCATTTACACTTTATCATATTTTAACGTTTCCTATAATATTATTGCAGTACCAGCCCCGTAACAAACAAAATGCTGTATTCTAATATACATGCTAATAAGTAAGGAATCTAACCTCTCGCAATTTTTTTTTTTGAGCTTTTCTCTTATTAATTTTTTTTCTTGTTTTTAGATTTAGCAATTTCTTCAAAATTTCAAAAATATCGAGAGTATTAATATTCATGGTATCTATCTTAATTTGAAAGTGTGACCATATGATGGCGCATCTCAGTAATTAATAGGTTCAAGAGAGTTTCAGTATGGAAAATTGTCGGCATCGAACATTATCGTGATATTGATCGTTTACATATTCGCTATCAGATACATCTGTATCATCTTTGTTGTCATCGAAATTCGTATTCCCATCATTACCGAATCCAACATCTTCAATGTCATTACTCAAGTCAGGTAACTGATAATTTTTGCTGGCTAAAAATTCTTTAAGAGCTTCAACGCCAGCATCAGACATTTCTTGAAATTCCGATGAAAATAAAGATCCAGCAACTGACAATCTAAGGTGGGAGCGCGTCAGCAGCTTCCTCGAGATACACGAAGTACGGGTTGTTTCCAGATTAAGGTGTCTAAGATTCTTCAAGCTATTTATCTCGCTTGGAATATCAGCCAAGTTCGCATTGGAACTCAGGTTTAGATTACGCAATTTAGAAAGTTTTAATACGTTTCGTGGGAACGTTTCAAAGTTATTGTTTTCGATAGATAAGGTAACCAGATCCACACTATCTGCTATTGAATCGCTTAAGTCGGATAATTCATTGGATCCCAAAAATAATTTTCTCAAAGATCTTAGGCTGACATTGTACTTCCGAATGTAATTATCCGAAATATTAAGCGTTTCTAACTTTTCAACATCGCACAAAGAAGCAGGGACGAATTTGAATCGGTTTTTCCTCAAATATAAATTTTTCAGATTTGAACATTTCAAAATGGAATCTGGTATTCTACTCAATTGATTGTCGGACAAGACTGCACATTCTAAATACTGTAAGTTTTCAAAAAAGTCCTCGTCAATTAAATCAATTCTATTTCGACTAAGATCTAAATTTTGCATTGTTCGTATGTTCTTAATACCGAACGGAATGCTACGTAATCTATTAGCAGAAATAAATAAATGTTGAAGATTGTATAATTTTTCAATTTCCATGGGTAACGTACTAAGTCGGTTTCCATTCAAGTTCAAGGTATTTAACTTTTTCAGACTGCAAATTCCCGCCTCCAGCTCCAATATCTTATTTTGAGAGACGTCTAATAGTCGTAAGTTTCTACAGTATTCAATATGAGTTAACCGTTGGATATTATTAGAAGATAAGTGCAATTCTTGAATATTCTCCAATAGACATAATTCTAATGGTAACTCCTTAATATCTGAACAATGAAGATAAAAGTAAACTAGATGACGACAATGTTGGATTTCTTTCGGGATACATTTAGCATTATTCACAGTTAGCCGGACCGTTTTCGAATAATTTTTCCACGATCTACCTTTCACATGCTTGATTTCAGTAATTACGGCATGTTCGTCACCTTCAACTTCAACTTGATAATTTCTGGACTGAGCAATGGTAGATTTTCCTGAAGTAGAACAGGAACTTCTTAGTAATATAATACGTTTATTCTTCTCAGCATTTCTAGCATCGACTTACCATTTTATATGCTACTTAAATAAATACACTAAAACAAAATAAAATACATACATAAATTAAAATGTACCCCTCCCTATATATATTTTAGCCAAGAGTTATATTAATAAATATTTTCTCCAGAAGTAGGGTGTCTATCAGTAGATCGTTTTATATAGTATCCCATATAAATCCTATATAAATTATTTATGAAATTAATAAACTTATCATCTAAATAATACTTTAAATCTCCGACTAAGCATCTTCACTTTATTAATATTTAACAATAATAGTCAAAAATATATGTTAATGATTATTTATTCTCTTACCCAAAACAAAGTATAGATAAAGATACTCTTGTCTAGAAATGATGGTTCCAAATGAAACACATGGAAAATTTGCATACTATAGGCTGTTTATATATATTGTCTGTTTAGACAGGTTGTAAATAATGTTGAATATTTAAAAGAGCATTGGTATAACTACAATTCATTTAGGCCTATTAAGAGTTCAAAAAGACTAAGGAGGGGGGGGGAAGAAAATTCGAAAGAAAGTATAAAATGAACAAGTAAAAAAAAAAACAAAAACAAAGATACTAAAAACTAAAAATAAAAAAAAAATGTTTTCAAAAAAAATTCTCAACTTTACCCCTTTTAAATGACATATAGGGAAAAAACTACTTATCTCTCGCGCTAATTAAACTCAAGCAATACCTAATTAGTAGAATTTAAGCAAAATTTAGAACTTGATATCACAGTAACCCTGGATCGAAATGTTCTACTTTCGTGATGAATATTCTTTTGAAAAAAAGAAAAAAAACAAGACGATAAAAGGTTTTCAATAAGAATAAAAACTAATAGGAAGTATTCTGGACAAGTTTTTTTTTTCTTTTATTCGAAATATTCCCGTAAATATTCTTTTTCTTTAAACAAGTACGTTCATTAAAGGCTACCATCAATTCCTAAGGCTAAGCTTCTAGGCGTGATTCGAATCGAATTAGGAATTAATTTAAGAATACTAATAAAACTGACTTATACTCTTTATCGTAAAGATCATTTACTCTAGAGTATATACCAATTAATATTTGTGTCTTTTATATACTTTTTATTTTCCATTTTATAATCGATATCATTTTGCCTAAATGTGTTTGAATAGAATTATTACCTGTTCTAAGAACAGGAAGAATATTTCTTTTTTTTGAAGTTTTCTTTTTATCTACAGTATTAATGGAATTGTTTCTATTCCTAGATGTTTTGCATTCAAAATGTGTTTTTGAACATAAAAAATAATGATATACTTACTAAATTTTTCGCTTTTCGAAAAAATTTTGAAAAGAACATCTTTTAACGTTCTACGGCGGACAAAATACTCTTTAGAGATTCTTCTGCGATGACGAACACCAAACGGCGACACATCTAGAGAATAGCAGTTTCGAACAGAAGAGTTAGGACTCTTCGTTGAAGCAGACTTTTCCCTCATGATTACCGTCGAAAAGTTCGTCATTACTTCTCCACCCGTAGCCATTTTAAAATGTAAAAGTACCTCAAACAACCCCCCCCCCTCTCTTATATACGCTTTTAGACCTAACATTGCTCAATAGTAGGCCTAATTATTATGATGACTAAACTAACCGATAATCAATTTTTTGGCCAATAGCAAAGCTCTATCTCTGGCGGAACGTAGGCCGAGAGATCGCTAAATTTTCAATACTAGCTGAGCTTCTGAAAACACCTTGTTTTCTCTTTTCTTTTTTTTCTTTTTTTTACGATAATTCTTTATTGAAACTGATTAATATGCAAAAATTTATCTTGATATTACTTTTGGCTCATACGACGCGTATCTGTCTCTCAAAAAACGTAGAAAACGGATGCTCGACCAAAAAATGCGACTGCAACGTTGTGTTTGAAAAAGAAACTTACTTACTTCGAGAAGACGAAAAAGAGACAGTGACATTCAACTTGACCTGTGCCACGTCAATAAATATCACTGAGATTAAGAAAAATCTGGATTTAGATCTGAAAAACAGCAGTTTATATTGTGTTAAAAATTGGACGATAATAGATGAAAATATTGAAACCGGAATAACCGGTCTTATTGAAATTAAACCTTTGGTTACCGGTGTTGGTAAACTTGAGATTTCATCTGGGAATAATGAATGTATAGTTAAAAAGATACTAGACTTAAAAGTACAAAATTTACACTCTGTCATTCTATCTAGGTTGTCTTAATTCGCTTATGTTTGTTTCAGATACTAAGGCGTGATACTTTGATGAGTGTATACTATCCCGCATTGGTAGGAACTCTTGCAACAGTTGTTAATGTTGCATTTGGATGCGCCCTTGATCCCCGAGTCATCTTAAAGATTGTAAAAAAGCCTATAGCTCCATGCTTAGGCTTTGCTTGTCAATTTTTAATTATGGGCCCGGTAAGCTTGCTCTTCTAAACAGAAAACTAGTCGAACTATTCAGGTCTTATAGTAATCTCAATTTAATTATACAAGAAACTTAAGTATCGTATTTTTTATATATTTATAAATATATATCATTAATCGCTTTATATATATTCCCTCTTTCTATATATTTCATAAAGTATGTAAGCGACAAAATATCTATCATCTTTTTTTTATATAGAGCTCTCTTTGTTTAGCCTTCATTCATTTTCCTGTTTCAGCTCGCTGCTCTAATGGCTAAAATAGCGAACATCGATCCTCTATACGGTTTGGGCCTTGTAGCAATTGGTTCGTCTCCAGGCGGTGGTGGAAGTAACTTTTGTGCTGCTTTACTAGACGGAGATCTAGAATTAAGCATCACAATGACAACATTTAGCACAATTGGAGCGTTGTTCATGACGCCTTTTTGGTTTTGGGTTTTTGCCAGACTATTTTTAGTTAATGGTGCGCAAATTACAATTCCGGTTGTAAAAGTTATGATATTCCTCGCGGCCATTACTATACCATCTGGTATTGGAATAATTCTACGATATCGTAAACCTAAAATTGCTGACATATTGGCTAACCTGCTGAAGCCTATTCTTATTTTAATTATTATAGTTATAGTTGTGCTAAGTATTTATACCCATTATGACATTCTTAAAACACTGGATTGGAGGGTACCTGTTGTTGCTCTGCTTTTTTCATATATAGGTTATAGCATTGGTGCTGTAGTATCTGTTGCAGCTGGCTTAAAATATCGCCAAATCGTTACAGTCAGTTTGGAGACTGGAGTTCAAAACATGTCTGTCGGCTTAGTAATGATTAGTTTCGCTTTGCCACCGTACGAAGCTGAGAAAGCCGGAACTGCAGTTTTATGTTTTGCATGCACATCCATGCCATTGGCAATGATTGCTGTTTTCTGGAGGATAATATCACATAGAGAAACTCGACAAAATTTCATAATACAATCTAGATTATATTGTTTACTTTCTCTTTGCAAGAAGAAAGAAGAGGAAGATGGTACTATTACAAGAACTGTTACAGAACAGGATTGTAAGTTAGAACCGTTGGTTGAAAAGGTATAACATATATTTTAGTTTATTTTTTCTCCCGAATTTTGTATAAGAAATCTGTTGATGTTTGAAAATATTTTTCGTTGCCTTATTTTGTAAAAAAAAAAAGAAATTCTTTTAAGTTTAGCTACATCTTTTTTTTTCGACAATTTATCGATTAAGCTATGGAAATTTGTTTGAATACAGTTAAAAAATAATCAATATACATTCTCATTTAATGATGATTATTCAGGAAATTTCAACTACATAAGGTTAATGACCCAGAGATTTATACCCTTGGCAATTATTCCAGGTGGCACTACGAATGAGACTAATTACACCATTTTATTGCTTGTTGTAACTTGAATTGATAAAGATTGGTAGGTGCTTTGACAACCACCAGGTAGTTGTCACCCAGTTTACTTTCTCCCTCTATCTCGTGAAATCATTTGAGACTTTTCCTTTATAATTTCTGTAAGAAACTTTTTAAATTCCCGTTAATTATTTGTTTTATACTAATGTATGTTTTATTCTGATACTTTTAGTATATAGTATTTTTTGCATTCTTTTATCAAGTTAGTGTAAAATTACCGAAGTGCTAATCTTTCTTAGCACTTACGACCTTGAATAGAACGATATGTTGCTTTGCTTCAGATTATTATCGATATAAATTACTCTCTTAGTCTCTCTAGATTAAAAAAAGTTTATTTACTCTAAATGTGGATCTTTCAACATTCAACTCTTAACGTCTGCTTTGAGTAACTATATGCGCACCCTAATCATTCTTAATTTGTTTTGGAAAATTCGATCTACCCTATATTCTTTTTACAAGCTAAAAGCATCCCTTAACTTTAAATGTTTGCTTTTCTCCACTTTTAATTAAGTTTATCTGTTCGACTGATATTGAATGGGAGGTACAGATAATTATTTGCAATTAGTGCATTTGCATCTATTGTACTTGCACGAGTTTTTAGCTTATTTTTAAAATCGACTAATAGGCTAAATCTTTCTCAAATGTAATAGTAGCTGACGAGACTAATAACATCTCAATAGGTTTGTTTAAGGACATATGCATCAAGAAAATATAGTGTAAATATGGTATTGACGTTCTTCCAAACCTTTAGTCATTTTCTTTACGAGTAGAATCACTTACAGCTCAATATTTGCAATTAATATTTGATGAAATAGAAACAAGAAGAAAAATACATTTCGTTAAGTAAAGATATAACAATCAATAACATCAGCTCTTATAATCGTTGCAATATTAAAGCATTCGCAGGGTTTTGAAGACCGTCATTAGAATAAATGGGGTAATACTACCACTAATAAGATACTGTTAAAATATAAGATAATTTTGAAAAGTAGGAATTTCTTTAATTATAGCTGAATTTTAAACTCTTCAAAGGAAATGTTAAATTTGACGAATAGGAGTAATGTCCATTCTGACTCTTTTCGTGTTCTTGTTATACATTTGTTTGTCTACTTTTGAATAAGGCCGTAAGTTGTGCTTTTTTAGTAATTCCTCGCGTAACCTATGAAAAATTATTAGTATTAAAGATATTATTCATAGAAAAAAAAGGAGATTTACCGTTTCAACATCATCCAATTTAAGTACAAAACCCTTTAATGAAAAAAAAATAACAGTTAAAAAAATACCCAAGACAATTTCCTATAATTAATTTTCTTATAAACGAAAAACAAAAAAAACCTCTTGACATATAGAGCGCAGATCTTTCAAATATTTAATCTGTAGGATTTGGTTGTCACTCGTTGGTATTAACTTTTCCTTTGTGATAAATGATTAATATTATCATAACGTTTTTATCAATAATCTAAATTTATTATTCAATATTTTTTACAACTTACTACGACCGCATCTTCAATGGGCCTCATATCATTTCCAATACTCGGTTCAATCATATCAATGTCACAAAAATCTATATCCAGGTCAGTATCACTGACTAGTTCCTTGGCAGGAAAATTATTAATTCTTTTGTCAGTATCCTATAAAAAAAAACTACTTATTTAACATCTATAAATATCAATTGGTTACAAAAAAGAAAGTAAAATGTTTCATGTACCGTGTTAACCTTAATAACTTACCTCAAATTTTTCTGAGACTTTGCACCATAATGGCTTTTTCTGGAGAATAAGAGAGAAATACAAAATATACGATAAGTAAAATGCTTTTCAAGAAGATGGTGCAACTTACTTTGAAGATAAAAGTGCGATCTTCTTCTTCGTAACTGCTTTCTAAAGTTATTTGATGAAACATATGCCCAAAATCTTCATTCTTGGCGAACGGTAATACTTTCCCAGTTTCCAAAAGTTCATCTCGAATAAGAAGTGAAATATCTTCCTCGGTGAAATCAGAAGGTCTGCAAACTGGAAACGGGTGCAAGTATCTATTAACTCTTTCGTGTCCGAAGAGGCCTACAGTCCATATTTTCTGCAAATCATCATTAGAAAGACTAAGAATATCTTTGTCAAATTCATCATCTATTTGAGAATTTAGTAAATGAGATATTCCAATAAAATTTAATGGATCTGTCCAAGGACTTCTTAATATTTTTCTGACATACGGATGTTTCCCAGAATGTTTTATAGCATGCAAAAGCATCTTTCTTTCTATTAACTTCGAGATACTTTCTTCAATGGTATTTCGACAAGTCATACGATAAATCGTACAACCACGCTTTCTTGCTAACTTAAGGATCTTGATATCTCTCAATCTCTCCAAGTCCACATCAAATAGAATAATTGTATCCGAAGCAGAAGGATTTAATACTACTCGATCTTTGTCAACACAAACCAAATAACAGAAAGTTCTCACCTTTCTCTCTGTTTTATTTTCAAGAACATTCTTAATAATGAAATATCCAACAAAAGCAAGTAACACCTAAATCAAAGGTAAAAAATTGAAAATAAAGCTGATTTTATGCTACGAATTATCACTTTTTGCGATGTAGCTTTGATCTCTATATAATTACTTTGTATATTTTTTAAAAATCATATAGGAAAAGGTTTTAGAAACTTTCCCTTTTATAGTTTTGAACCTTTGTTGTGGATGGTTACTCACTCTTTTCAGGATATTAGAGCAAAATTATAAATCTATAGACTGTTTAAACCCTCTTACCATTGTATCCATCAACCACACGATCGTAATATCTATAGCCGTCATAGGCGTATTTGCAAGTGTAGTCTTGACTTCTTACAACTCTTCCAATAACGGATAGCATAGGTCCTGACTAGTTTTTTGAAAAAACAAAAATTAATAAAATGTTTGATAAGAATTAACAATCTTGTCTAACCGAGCATAAAATTAAGCAGCGATCTTCCAACGGATTCATTTTTCTTAAAAGTCGTAAGAGTATTTGACACTTTGCTGAAGCTGCTATAATAGTCGCGATATCATTCGATTTACTTCTTATCATATGTATCTAGTTTAAAAATCATAAACGTATGCATGAGTATATTTTTCGGTTATCAACAAATCTCTTACCCCTTCGTGATCATCCAACAAAAATGGATGATTGCAGCAATGCCTCAATTCATCAATATAAGTTTTTACACTATGCGAGGAGAAAGTTTCTTTTCTATTAATAAATTGTTTTGTAACTTTCTGATAATAGTATCTATTTTTAAAATAAAAAAAAGGAAACTTGTTTATTAAGAATCTGTGTACTATTAAAAAAAAGCGAACTTTTGTAATGATGTCATTTCAATAAGGAAGACAAATTCTAAAGGTTTAGGAACAATCTCAGTTTGTAGATTAATAATGTACTTTGGAGTAATTTCACTATAGAGTTTCTTATTTTTGTCCTTAAGAGCTTCTAAGCATCTCTGAATTCTGACGAGGATAAATTTATAATTTAGGAACAGGAACTAAATTTCTATAAATTGAAAATTTATTTTTACTCAATATTTTTGGGATCCAGGAGTTCCAAAGCTTCGAAAAGTTCAATATTTTCCTCTTCTTTCAATTTCACGCTTGTTGTCAATAGCGTTAAAAATTTACCAGGAAGAATATTATGACTAGCCTATGGAATTAGAATTAGAAAAGTGTAAACAGGTTTAAAGCAAATAATCTTACAAGTCTGCTGGAGTTTGAAGAGAAAGTTATACTGTCCACTAGTACAACTGACCACGGACATATAGCTAAACTTCTCCAATCACAAGAGTAGATCAATCCAGTAGTCAATGCAATATCAAATCTTGGAACCTTGCAGCGATTTGGTTTGGTAATTGTATGGAAGAATTCGTAACGCCATAAAGCTTCTCTTGATTCCTTATTTCCCATAAATTTTCTAATTCTTATACCTGGCATGTAGCGTCTAATTACTTCACTCCAACAGGAAACCATACCAGGCAAAGGTAAAATCATGAGAACCGGACCGACAATATTCTTATTTCGAAAAAAACAACATCGTCGTTATTTTAAAGCAATTGTTAAAAAGCTACATATTTAAATCTTACATCTGCTCTTATGCTTTTCAATAAGCTTATAATAAATTTTTGTCTTTGAGGTAATGGTAATCTTTCCAAAACGGCAATACGTCGTTCAACACATGTTTTACGTAATCTATTCAAGATGTTCCAATGAGCTTTTTTTAAGTTCATATCACGGATGTAGGTTGGACACTCAATAATTTCTTGCCTTAGCTAAATGAAGAAGATCATATTTTTGGTTTTAGAAAGTGTATGGTATATACTGTATAGTCTTTACATACGTCTTTTGGGTTGACAAGCTTCCTTGGAAGTGACCAGTCCTGTGTTAGTTTTTGTATCTCTAGTATATAGTCATTTAAAATTGATTCAAATTCAGGAATATTTGCTTGGAGAAAGTTAGGGTCTTCCCAAGTAGCTTCATCCAAATCACAATTTCTCCACTTTACGAAATATTCTATTTCACCAGGTTGATCTTTATTTGGTCTATCAAAAAAAGTTTCGTATAATTATTAACACTATCAGTTTCGTAATTAGATTTAACCTACCGGCAGGCTACGACTCGGTCAACAAGAAGGCGTGTAGTTAGGTCCAGCTTTCTGCACATTTCGATATGACTCTGCGGAAAAGTTTGATATATTATATTTTTTACAACGAATAATAAAAACGATTTATTTAATAGTTTACGTGATGGGAATTGAAAGTGACAGGTTTTGGATTATCCTTTTTCCAATGATGATAAAGACAACCAGAATATTTCTTGATCTAGTAATAAATAAATATAGAGTTGAAAGTAATTCCAGAGAACGTTTCTTACCCATTCTTCTCTTATCCAGTCGCACTTCCAGTAGCTGCTTCCTTGGAATTTCACATACAAATGTCGTACATTTCCAATATACTTTAAGGCAAAAAACTTTGAAACTTTTCTTTGTTGGCTCTTATCAAAACGAAAAGTTAGTGTTAAAAAGCAATAAAAATTTAAAAGAAAAAGTTACATCGTCCTTCCGAACTTTAGAGCGTTTACTTCTGGGTGCCATACCTTCTTGATCTAAAATATAATTATAATTATAAATATTTTAGGTGTATATCTTTGGAAAATGTACTGAATTTCGTAAGAATGTTCCATTACCAAAATACTAGTAAACTGGTATCAAATTCTAATTACCATTAACCCCGTGGAGTCCTATTATCACTCATGCACGAAATATTAATTTTTGTTAAAAACATTAAAAAATAAAAAACTTCGATAAAAAATTCACTTAAAAAAAACACACACAAGTGTAATATACAATGAAAATAAATAAATTTCAACTAAAGAGAAAATCTACGAAAATTAAAACTTTTCTTATCATTAAAGAAAAAAACACATCAAAGTTTGACAACAATAAAAGAACTTACATTTCGAGAACTATTAGCTTCGAAGTCTTGTTCAAAAATGAAAATTATCATACAGTTTAGTAGGATAAATTAGATGATATTAAATTCCCAATAGAATTACTGATGTATAGGTGTAAATTAACAGAATAGTAGCCTGCTATTTGTTTTATTCAAAAATTAAAATTTATTCATCAACTTTTTATTAATCAATATAAGAATGAAAGGAATATTTGTTACACGCAATAAGAACAAGTGTCTAATAATTGAAAATCATACTTCTCTGACACCCTCATCTATTCACTTATGCTATTTTCGTTTTTTTCGATTCGTATTACAATATAAACTAACAATATTCTAACAGAAAAAAATCAGAGACCTATTTAAAATAATGTATTTTTTGCTTTTGAATATTAAGTACTATTCTAAAAATCTCTCCATATAACTAAAAAAAGTTTCCAAGCTTGTAAAAAGAAAAACAATTATGGTACAAAGATCCTTTTACGTTGTTAAATATTTAGAATATCTATACTTTCTCATGAAAAAGAATTCCCTTAAAAATGACTATAGGATTAGTAAGATTAATTGTATTCATATGATAATTGGCAAACAAACAAAAAAAAGTATACCTCATCTAGACGATTGAAATTGTCGAAGCGATTTGAATTTAAAAAAGACTTTGGCTGACAAAGTCAAACAGGCCTAAAAGTGAAACGAGGAACATATTTTCTGAAATGATAGATGGTACTTTATATAAACATTCTGGATTCTCCATGCGGGTAGAAATAGCCAGATACAGCGACACGCAGAGTTCAATGTTTTACTTTTAATTTAAATTCCGACGTATAAGTTAAACCTACTTTCTTCATACGAAAAATTCTTTTTTTAGATTGTAAAAACTATTAACACTAACTTAATATTTTTGTTGGACTAGAGTAACGATTAATGATATTAAAAAGTACCTTTAATCAGTAGGGTTATGCAAATTAAGTGGAATAAATTGAGGTACAGGGAAGAGAATTTTATTTCTATTATTAACTATTTATAGTTGTGCATGGATGGGTAAAACTAATGGTAGGATGATAAAAAGGGTACTCTGCATTTTTTTTCTAAATATTCCAATTGTGAATATATTGTATATTAAGAATATGAACAATTCATGAACAAATGTAAAATTACGAATTAACTTATTTTGTTTCTACTTTCTTTTTCGCACAATGGCTTACAATCAGAAGAGATTTAATAATGTTTCATTGTATGTATCTGTTTTTTTAGAAACAAATGCATCTGTTGAATTTTAATGCTGAGAAAATTTTTTCGATCTCCATCTATTTTGATTTGAAAAACTTTCCTTATGTCCTTCACACCTGGATTCAAGGTTATATAGAACTTTACAACAATTTAAATGTCTAACAAGTTATATTATTCCTAAAAAACGAAGGTTTTGCTAATTTTATGTGTAACTTTAACCTGTTTACCAATTTTTTTAGCTTAATTACTAATCCATCCATAGAATAAACACGTGACTATTGAATGTTTATATCGTTTGTATTGTTAAAAAACAAAAGAATTGTTTTCTCTCTATAGATTAACAGATACTTATCTTATTTATTTGTTTAATGCGTTGTTAAAAGTTTCTGAATTGAAGGAATTATAGATAAGATAAAACAACTTTTCTCTATATAAGTTTTCTATTAAATTTTAAAGAGTAAAATCTGATTTTGTCTATCTTTATATTAAGACAGGGAACGGTATTTTTTTACTCAGCTATTTATACAGATGAAAGGTAAAAGAGGAGAGAAAGTAGGACAAAGAGATGTATTACATAACAAGTGCACTATTTGTCCTTAAATTAATAATGTATTGTATATTTTAAAAAAGAAATTCTATGCTGCTCGCAGACAACAGGAATATTTTTTCTCCATTGCAAAGTTCGTCTATAATTGTATCGTGTCTTACTTTAAACAATAGAATTGAAAATACGTAGGATGATAGTATTAATTTCCAACAAATTCCTTGCGCATGCTGTAAACCATTTATAAGCTTAATTAAAACCCTTATTCAACTCTTATAATGGAATTAATATACTTTTATAAGGGTAGAAGTCAAACTCGTAATAAACTTTTCACGTTAGAAAAAGTCATATGAAAAGCGATAAAACAATACGTGTTGTTGCCGTCTTCAGATTCGAAAACCAATGAACGGTTCTGAAGGTCAAGGTTACTGGAAAGTGGTAATTTCTCTTGGCTGTTTTACGTCTACCGCCTTACCAAAATGGGAGAAAAAAGCAAAAAATCTAAAAATAAGGTATATTTTCAATAAAATATAAAAAATAAAATTACCATAAAATCTATAATAACTCAAAGAAATATTATATGAATTTATTTTTTGGAAAAAATGAAGTAAAAATGTTTATTTCGTAAAAAACACGAGATGCACGTGCATGCTGTTAAGATTTTTCTAGAGAATGAAAAAAAAATACTAAAAAAAACACCTAAACTTTTTCAATTATTTTATAAACTGCTCTTAAAAAATGTACTTAACTTTCCTAATTGAATTTGCAAAGTTAATTCGAAACTATTAAAAAAGTTCTATAACGGAACATTTGGAACATTCTGCGTAAAATGTTGTTAAACTTTTATGGTTAAACAACATGATTCAAATGTCAGCCTTATCTGTCTCTAAATACTATCATTTCTATAAATCCTTTTTATACTTTAATAGCATAGTACTTATACATGGAAAACAGAAGACGTATACGATTTAAACAGATAATAAATATACCAGCTGTTACGCTAAATGTTCCTTATTCCTATTCTTTTATTACTTTCATACTTATTTTACAGAAAATTACAGTTTACAATACTTTTACAGCTATTTAATTATTTATTAACTTTCTAATATTAAGTTATTGTATTAATGAACGATATAAATCTTCATATTTTCATTTATTTATCATCCACAAAAAGATATAAAGTTGCTTTTAAAAGCGTATAACTCGCTATACATTATGATATTGCATTTTAATTAGTTGACAAATTATACAATTTCAAGTGCAAATTATATCCATTATAATGAAAATTTATATATAATAATAAAAAAGTACTAGTGCAGCTTGTCAATGAGAAGTTCATACTGTGTTAAATATTTTCAAGTGTTTTTTATTTGATTCGCATTCGCTATACCAGCAAATGTAGACTTGAGCAATCTATTTTCGTTTCTTTGGAATATTCATTGAATTTGCGAAAAGCAAACACTAAAATATGAACAATTTTGTTATCTTACAGCCTAAGTAAACTTATATTTAACAATAACTTTAATCTATTTTTATAGTATTTATTAGATTATAATTAATATACTCTACGTAAGGTTTACAATGCTAAGCTATGTGTTTGAATTGGTTTAGAAAGTTTATGATATTTTTAACTGAAGAAATATTATCTAGTATCCGCTTGAAAGTTTATTCAGATTTCATAGACATTATATTATTATTTGTGTCATCAAAGTCACACTCGAGTAAATTTCAGTTATCGATCTTAACGAGTGTCTATAAGCATAGTTAATATTTTGTTGTCGACTGCTGTTGAGATTGTGTTGTATATTATTGACCAGTAGGCCCAATTAAGGCCTTGAAATATTCACACTTTTTAATATAATTGATTTTAGTTTCCTAAAAAATAAGTTTTTAAATATTATGTCGGAATACTTTGTAAGAATATCTGCATCTCTATCAAATAGAAATAGTCTTCTAATTAGATAAATTTTTTGGACAGAGTGAATACCATTTTCAAGTTGGTGAAACTGTTATTGGTCTATTTAACTTTAAAAAGATTGAAGATGAAGACTTAACATTTAAAATGGGTGAAAAATTAACAATTATCTCATTAACCCACGATAAGAACTGGTATAAAGCAAGAAATTTGAAGGGGAACACTGGAATGGTGCCAGCCAACTACATAAAAAGTGAAACGATTAAAAACTTTTACAAATCAAAATCCGCAAAAAAATACGCTTTCGAAGAGTTTGTATCAATTTACTTTTTTATTAATTTTAAATGATGAATTTTTATAGCTGTTATCATCCCCAAACATCAAGAGATAAAGCTATTCAAATACTTAAGAAATTCTCAACTGGGGCTTATCTGATTCGAGATAGTCATCATTTTCCCAACGATTATACCTTATGCATAGCAGTATCGGATTATAACTTTAGAGTAGAGAATTATAGAATCATTAGAGAAAATGGAAGTCTTACAATAGATGAAGTAATTTATTTTCGTTCAGAATCTGATTTAATCGAGGTGAGAATATACTTTAAGAAAGAATGCTTGCTTTAGTCAATTTCTTTTTTGTTTGCTTATCAGTACTACAGCACAATGGAAAATCATGGACTAGTTGCGACTCTAAACCAGGCAGTTAAACCAATTGAATCGCAACCTTAAGTTTCTATGATACTAAACAACCTATGACAAATTTTACATGTTTGCTTAATGTACTTTTTGCTTATGAAGCTTTAAGGACCTTGAGTGCATTTGTAATACCTTAACTGTATTATTTGCTTTTAATAATACATTTCAATGAACATTTTGTTGAGTATATAAATAATAAGTCTATAAAATTTTGAAAACATTTCATAGCGGTATATTCTTTAGATTTTATCTTGTCACTGGGGAATGATTTAGAGAAAAATCAATAATTTTATTATACCCTATTCTAGCAATCTTTCTTATTCCAAGTTGATTTCAGCTACTAATTCGTTTTTTTCATTATTATATTTGCTTCCTATTTATTCTAGCGAACTTTTACGGTTCAACTTGTGCAACCTCAAACGATCAAAATCCTATTATTAAAATTTCTTTACAAATAGATCTTTTGGGCTAAATTATTGGGCTAAAGTAAAAAAAAATTGAGATTAGTTCGGAGTTGCTTAATTCCTAATCCTATTACTTCTTAATGAGATTAATATAATTGTTTAACACCGAAATATTATTTTTAAAAACTTTTATTCATAAAAAAAAGGATTTCTTTTTACAACAGCTGATATTCAAGACTAAAAAGTGATTTAAAAAAAAAAAACAAGAAAAACAAATGAACAAAGTCAGCAGAAATATATCTAATCATCGATTTCCGCGTCTATAGCTTGAGCTTTTAGTTGGGCTTCAGAGATTTGATGTAAAGCGTAGCGAACGTTTTCCAGTGCTTTTTCACAGTGATGCACTACACTTTCCAATCTTTTTGTTGCCTCATCACTATCTTTTTCTAGCTGCTGTAACATTCTGTATTGCTGACTTTGCTGTGATGTAAAAGTATTGTTACTTAACCATTGCAATTTATCTTTTTTCTATACTATCTATTAAAGTAAATTGTATTGCAAACCTGATATTCTATTCCGTGTTCGTCGGTTGGTAATGACTGAACTAAATAATCAATATCTTTAGCAGTTTGACTTAGAAGTTGTGCATAAAGCTTTGGAAGGTCTGGAAAAAGTTGAATTTGGTAAGAAAATATTTCCTACTTTAAATAAACAAAAAGATTTTTATTTTACTTTCATCATAAACGCCATTGGAATTTTTAGAAGCTGTGGATTTGGAACCATCGAATGGAAGAGGTTGTGCAAATTTTTGAAGGATTCCAGTGCTGTTGCAGATTTGTTCAGCCATCTATAAAAACATTATAATATCGCTCAATTTTAGAATTTATTTTTATATTTGGTAAATAATCCAATTCTAACCGATATAACCAAATCCTGAAGCTGTGTTAATCTATCAGAAGACATTATGGTTTATATAGATGAACTAGAAATAATAGTGTCTTAAATACACGAGGTTATAATCTTTGAGTAGGGAGAGACGTAAAAAAGAAACTGGTATAAATATGGTACGAATTCGGATTTATTAAGATTCTTAAAGCCGTTTTTAAATGATTTCAAGTTCAAGAAAATATTTTATTGGAATAGTATACAAAAAAAATAATACAGCTACGAATTCATTTTTTCTTTATTACTCGTTAGCAGAAACTTGTAATTTTTGAGTGCAGTACTAACGTTACAAAGCGAAAGCATCTTTCGAGCTTTACTTTAAATTTAAACATATCATGCAAATAAACCAAATCCAGGAAGAATTATAAATTCGATATATAAACACTGAAATAAACAATTTAATAATGGGATAATTTTAAATACTTCGGAAAAGTCACTGCAAATCAACGGGGAGCAAACCAAATATGAGACACTATATGTTCATAGAATTAGAAAATAGTAGCTTTTTTCCCTTCTTTTTACTTTTTCCTTTTTGCTCTACGTCTTGCTTGGTCAATTTCCTCATATTTTCATCTATGGCTCGAGATACACCATCCTTGTAAGTGTCCTCGAATCGAGGAACGAAATCTTCATCACTGTCAGGTGCTAGCGTAGTTTCCACAACAGTCGATTTTGGTAAGATAGGTGGGGGAATTTTAGCTTTTCCAGATTTCAACATTTGTGCGAAAGATACACAATCACTGGGACTCTCTGGCCCAGGAGGTGTTCCTACCGCTGGTTCAAAAACGTCAATTGACTCAGTTTCAATTCTTATTTTTTGAAAGTCTGATCTGACTATTTCGCCTCTTCTGTAGTCTTTATATTTTTCTCTCTCAGCCTTTTCAATACGCCGAGATAACTTATCTTCTAAGACTTTTTTCTTCTTCCTGTTCTTCATTCTCGTTTGTAAATCGCTTTCGAATTTTGAAAGATTTTCAGGAGACAAAACTGAGTTTATATTGATTTCAATCATCATTAATTCGGATCCTATAGGAAGGTGCGAGTAGAAGCGAAGTCTACCTCTTACATTTTCTTCGGTAATAGTAAATCTTTCAATTTCAATTATCTGAGGAAAGTAATATTTTGCAAAAAAAGCCGATAATATATGTATTAAATTTAGCACACCTGCCCTTCAATTATATCAGGACAAGCTTCCAAGGATCCATATTCAGCAATAAGCATACGCGTGTTTAGCCAATGCAGATAAGTTAGTTCACCAGTTTGCACTGAAAAAAGTTATAAACAATATAATTTTGATATAATAAATTTTCACAAATACTTTTTATTCAACTTACGTTGATAAAAATAAAAAGATGCTTCATCATTTCCAACAGCACCTTCACTATCATTTGAAGTTTCTTCTAAGATTTCATCACAGCCCTCCATCTATTTGTATCAAAATGAATTAATACGAATAAAATAATGAATGAAAACACAAGCTGAAATAACCTGTTTTTCAAAACGCTTCTGACTCAGCTCTATGGCTTTGTTGACAAATTGATGATCTCCTTCAATGTCTTTGGGATCGTCATCTTTTATACTTAACAATTCTTCCAACTCATTATTGATAACTACAAATCAAATGTAAAAAATAATGTTTACATTATAAAAATCGTAAATAAATTATCTTACTAACTTGAATTGATATCGTTTGGTGATGCGATTAGAATTTTAGCACATGAATTCATCCAAGCGTCTGTAAAGTTATACAAATTTTTTCGACCGAATTCAAATTTATCACGAGGCACAGCTAGAATGTTCGATTTCGATCGTCTCATTAGTTGAAACTTTACGGTATCACCAATAGTTATTGGGGATACTTTCTTGAATAAGAGGGGTCTGTAATTATTTACTTGAGATAATTATAAATATTGTAAAACGGAGCAACTCGATTAGTTACCTCATGTCCTCTTCAATTTCGAAATCGGACATACAAACGGGACATTTATGGCCTGTTAATGATAATTCTCGATACTTTAGAATGCAGGGTAAACAAAATCCATGTCCACATTTTGTAATTCTGGCTGCGCGCATTTCCTCTAAACAAATACAGCAAATTGTTGGTTCCCTTTCATTGTTAAACACTCGAACTTGAATAACTTTCTTCCAATTGACTAATTCGTTTGGATCGTTAACATGTCTTAAATAAGTGTTTTCTTCAGGGGGTTGTTCTAACACAAACTGACAGTTGCACAATAAGTATCTTTCTTTGTTTAAAACAGGAGGAGGGGGTCGCCGATAATTTTGCCTCCTTACATGATAATCATCGCCTGAACTAGTTCGTCGGCCGCGTTCTTCATAGGTGAACGATAATAGATGATTCAAATTTTGTTTGGGAGCGTGGGAATTCAACTTTCCCTAAAGAAACAATTTCCAAATTCAAATTAACCTATTTTCAAGTTTTTAATCCATATTTACCCCATGTTCTCGATCTCTACATTTTTTGTGGTTAAAATTTTTCGAATCGTTCTTAAACGGCTTCGCTGTTTGTTCACGTCGTCTGACACCATAATTTTGCCTTGGAGCATCTGTAAAATCAGTTGAAAGTTGTTAAAAAGCACTGTACAACTCAAAATGATCATTCAAAATTATATAAATTTTTCTAGAGAATAAGCAAACTCTAAACCTAAGGCAATACCCTGAGAAAGCATATCGTCAAGTGGCGTTGATTTCCCTAAATTACGCAATAAGTTGCAGTCGATAAAATGGTATTTGTATATATTGTATTTATTTTAATATTGTGATAAAATTTAAATAAGCTTCCAACTTGTAACAGCATTTTACAAGCAACTAATTTTAATTACGCTATAGATCAGTTGGAAAATCAATATTTAATAAAATTGTGAAAGATAATTTTATCAGCTGACCTGCTCTCTTTTCAGAGATAGATTTCACAGTCCCTGAAATAGGTATTCTTTGATTTTTCTTTTCCATGTTGTCTAACATAAAAATAGATAGCCGAATTGGCAACAAATTTGTGCTGCTTCACTTCGATGCTTGACGAATACATATTAGCAAGCCATGATTAAAAACTTTATGAAATAAGTAAAAATTTATCTCCTTGGAGATTTACAGTTTACTTTGAGACGTTAAAAATGCAGAAAAATTTATAATCAAGAAATCGCGGGAGTTAAATAACACCCGCAGCTGTGCAGTTGGCACAGAAATCAACTTTATGGAAGATATTTACGGAATTTCTACACCACTAAAAATGGCGGACGAGAAAGTAAGAAATACGAATTCCCCGGATGATAATTTTTATTTTAGTAAAATTAATATTTTTTATTATTAAGTTTTATTTTGTTATTAATTATTAATTTTGTAAAAAATTATTTTTTACGAATGTTTCTAAAAAAACGTATTTCCGCTTCCTTTTACTTTGGAAAGTTGTAACTTACCGAGGTGTGCACATCGTTTCGGGTCAAATTTGGACTTAAACGTAGGTTTACGAATGTAGGCTAGGCGTCTTCTTATAGTTGAAGTCATAGACAGGAAAATACTGGCCGATTTTTTGAGAAATATTTTAAAACTATGATAAAAGTTGACTTTTTTGTTAGCACGTGGCCAATAGTAAAATCTAATAACAAATAAATGATCTAGTCATCGTTTAATAGAGTAACTTTCACATTATAGCAGAAAATTTCTCTCCAGATTTAAACATTAATTTTTTTCAGATGCGTTACGTGGCCGCCTATATGCTCGCTGCTTTGTCAGCTAAAACCCCCTCTGCTAAGAGCATAAAGGCTATCTTGGACTCAGCTGGTGTAGATATCGAAGCTGACAAGATCGATAGTGTCCTTAAAGCCATGGACGGTAAAAATATTGCTGAAGTCGTCGAAGAAGGTATAATAATTTGAAACTATAATCCAATCAAATAGATTTTTTAAATGTATACAATTACTAAATCCAGGCTTGGAAAAACTAACTACCGTACCAACCGGAGGAGCAGCAGCAGCACCAGCAGCCGCCACCTCTTCAGAACAAGCAAGCTCTTCAGCCCCAGCTAAAAAAGAGGAGGAAGAGAATGATGAATCTGATGATGATATGGGATTCGGTCTATTCGATTAAGTTGTTTTTTTCACCGAATAAAATTTTCATTATCATTTGACTTTAAAATTTTTATTTGTAATAGTTTGGATTTAATTTTTTAAGAAAAAAAATTATGTGAATTTAAGCATGAACACTACTGAACGACATACAAAAAATATCGAACGTATTGCACGGTATAGAAAAAAATCTTTTAAAACAAAACACCTCATTAACCGTTCTAAATACGGCAGCAGTAAATATCAAATAAAATGGATAGAATCTTCAGATCAGACCAAGGTGCAATAGAAACAAAACCCGACAATAACTCTAAACAACAACTACGTTTACAACATTTAGGGTAGTGTTTATGTTTTGCTGATTTTGAAAGTAGATCGGGTATGTAAAAATAAGAGACATCCATATGAAGAATGCGTGTGGAAAATCGTTAAGATTCCCAGACATGTGGAGAAGGCGGCAACTCGCTTGCATGAGCTGTTTGAGAACTAAAAAAAAATATACAAAATTAATATTTAATATCGTTTTCCCTTACGCTTGTCATACAGATAAAGAGAAGAAAAGAATTTAATAGATAAAATTTATTTAATTTCTTTTCTTTCTCTCTTTGAAAGCACACTTACCTGGAAAAACTTTTGAACGCAGCGGAATTAGGATTAATGCATAATGGAACGCGGGTAGAAGACTTTTGATGTTCGGCAATAAACCGATTTAACTTTGACCTTACATTTTGTACAGTAGTCAAACCTCGTTCCATATCTGTCGTAAAAGGTTCGATGCAACCAGGCTCCAACTCCAAAGCGTATTGGCGGGCACCATTAGGAGCTGTACCGCAGCATTTACACATGCAAGAATGATAGCGTAAGCGACCCTCTTCAATATAGGGATGACTTAAACCCTCGTCGGCGTCTATTCTTTTGTCAGGTCGAAAGACGAGCATTCTACTAAGGAGATGAACGGCTTCATGTGAAGTATGCGAGCTTAAATTATATAACGGTGTCAGATTCATCAATTTCGTAGGACGCTTAAGGATATGTGATTTAGCAGCTGAACAAGCTGTTTGCATATCTTCCGGTCCGGGAGTACCAAGTAAGTTCATGATGAGATCCAATTGCTGAATTGGTGAAGCAGCTTGAAACAAGATTCTTCTCGATAGCAACTCTGCAAATATACAACCAATGCTCCACATATCTATAGCAGACGAATAGTGACGAGCTCCCATCAATAGCTCGGGTGCCCGGTAATACTGTGTAACCACCTCCTGAGTCATTTGTCGAGAAGTATCAGGTTCTTCAACACGAGCTAGACCAAAATCGCAAATCTTTAGGCAACAATCACTATTGACTAGAAGGTTGCCCGGTTTAATATCTCGGTGGATAATCTTAGCCGAATGAAGATATTTGATACCACGAAAAATTTGATACAGGAATACTTTAATGTGGTCGATGCTAAGCGGTTGTGGCGAGACAATGATCTTGTGTAAGTCACTTTGCATAAGTTCCGATACAACATAACTGTAAATTAAGAGAAAAACAATAGTGTTAATTAAAATGAGTCATCACTATAAACGGTATACATAAATTTATATATATATTCATATATTAAGGTAAATTCGATATATCGTTTTTTTCCTTTTCTTATTTCTCCTATTTCGCTACGATAATAAGAAGTCTTATATTTACAAATATAAAGTTAGAATTAAATAAGAGAAATTGATAGGTATATGAATACCGTACGTTCTTACAGTCTTTCTTCTTTTGCATACCCTACCTAGTTTACAATCATTAAGTCTAACCATATACCTAATTAATAACAGATGCCGGTAAGGGCGTGCCAAATTCAGCTCAGCTTTTATTATTAAGAGAGAAACCAAGTTCGGTAATGGCCTCAAGCTATTAGCAAGAAAGGGAAAGAGGTATAGATTTCAGTGTTATACGCATTTTCACTGAATACAACTTGTATCTTTTATATCTTCGTCCCATTCACTCAAATTCCCCCCCCCCCCACCTTCCTCCTTTACCCTTCTCCTCCTTTATTTATTTAAATAAAAAAGAGTGATACAGGTGATACTTTACTATTTCTTTAATAACAATAAAAAAGGCTACTCCTTTTCAGATTTTTTGTTATTATTTCTTATTAGTATCATTATCATTGGCGTTTCCTTTCAAGCGGTCAATTTTCTGTATTTTTGTTTGTTTATCTAGTTGAAAGAATCATTTCGCTACTCTTTTTCTATATCTTGCATTTTAGTAAAATAGGTGTGGCCATAGACTTAATTAGTGCGATAACAAAAATACACTTAATAAAAGTTGTTTTATTAACTTGGTCTCTCAGCTAATAAGTCTAAAGTAAACCCTTTGAGTTTGGTATATAAAAAATTCTTTTTTACGTAAACATTATTTCGAAATAAAGGAAATTACTTGTACTAGGTATCCATGTTTTGTTCTAAGAGTTTTTTCTCTACCTATACGCAATGGTAAACAAGTAAGAATAAGTGAAAAATCTCAAGATAGTCGTTGTATCCTCTTTCTCTTCCATTCGTTCTCATTTGAGAGAAACAGATAGATACAGAGATAGATAGATAGATAGAGAGAGAGAGGATGAACACGAGATAAAAAGAAAACGGAATCTATAAGATAAAAATAAACTGTAATGACGTACATTTCCGAAAAGAATTGACTGTGAGGATGAAGTATATCTAAAGCTGACAAAAGCTGTTTAAAAAAAAAATAAAAAGGAATCTTTTAATAGAGAGAAAAAAAAGAAACATATCTATACAGTATATATGCTATAATGATGAAAACATACGTTATCATGTTTGCAATGACACAGTATCTTCAGCTCTCTGTACACTCTCTTCGCCGATATCAGACTTTGAAAGACATTCGGCATTTTCTTTAAAGCAACCCGTTTTCCATTCCTTGGGTCCGTAACCGCCCTTTAAGGGTAAAAAGAAAAAAAAATAAAATAAAGAAATAGTGTAGAATTGCAAATATTATACGACTGCTTAAGCATTTTGCTGTGTCAAATATCGTTAACGGAAGAGAATGTCAACCATATATTTTAAACCTTTTTCTATACGAGTATACTACGTATATTGTATACTAAAGATTGTATATCATATTCAATTTCAAAATGTACAAATATTTTAATATTGCGAATGATTTGTGTAAAAATTAAAAAATTTGTTTAAAAATAATAATAATAGTAAAATAGAAAGAAGATAATTTAAAACAGATAAAATATCCTTTTTGTTTTTTTAATATATTATACAGGTAGATATATTTCAATCTAAATGGGTGGTAAGAGTAGTAATAGAGGGAGGTAAAAAGGATAAGAGGAGGGGGGCGGGAGTAAAGGAATGGAATTAAAAATAAAAAAAATAAAACAATTTAATAGAGCGTGAGAATGGTACTTTCAATTTAGATATGGGTCTATTAATCTTAATTAAGAGATTTTCCGTAGAGCGATGAACATAAATTCATGTGTACTGTATACACTTGATGTATAAGTAAGTCTAGTGTAGAGTGTATACCGAATACAGTCACGAAGGCTTTTAGTATAACCGCCAATAAAGATAGAAAAATAATAATAGTATTTCAATTATCGCATAAAGAAAGACCGATAAAGTGAATAAAAAGGAGAGAGAGAGAAAGAGAGAAAATTATATAAGATGAGAACTCGTTTTCTTTTTTCACCAAAAATATATTTTCTTTTTTTCAACAATCAGGAAAATCGTGACTTTCTTGAATAAATCGTTTAATCATTGAAATAATAATAAATCTAAAATCCTTTTTTTAACAATAAAAAAGGAGAACTACCCCTTTTCTGTTTTTTAAAAAGGAAATATATTTTTTATTGTCTTGAATTAGATTTATTAATTAACGTAATAAAAATTACCAATATGTAAAATATAGTGGCTAATTATATTTTATCCTTCTTATATTTATCAAGTCATCTTTTCTCACCTAACTTCCCCTCGGTTTTCGTCTATCTATCTATCTATCTCTCTCTCTCTCTCTCTCTCTCTCTCTCTCTCTCTCTCCTTTCCACTTTTCTCGTCTACTTATTGCATATAATTTACTCGGCTTTGCACACGCCTACCTGTCTGTTTTTATTATTATCAAATCTGAATGATAAAAAAAACAACTAAAATGAAGGGAGAGAAAGAGTGAGAGAGAGTCAAGATAAAGCATTACCTATTGTCTCAGTACTTTTGTCTCATCAACAATAAAAAGCCTTCAAAAGCGGTTGAATCATATTAACAATTATATAGAATTTGTAAGAGAGAAAAAAAAACCACAAACTACCCAAAAACACGTATTAACTCATATAAAAATTACTCTTTTCTTTCTTTAGTAATCCTCTTTACTATATTTTTTAATACATATTTTAATATAAACCCTTTAGAGAATATATAAAGTATATATATATATATATATATATATGTATATAAGTACAATATAGGCTGCAGTAGAAGCATTGTTTTTCAATGATAGAAAAAGAAAATAAAAGAACTCTGTTAATGTATAACGATTCGTAAAGAATAAATATTTAATTTATACATATTCGTTATTAGTTTTATTATCATATTATATTTTATATATACTAAATTCATGTAAGAAAAAAAAATGTGTATATATGTGTGTATTTCGGTATGCAACGCGCAATACAATAAATATATACAGTGTATATTGTGCTTTCTTTCTTCCTTTCATTTTCAAGTACGTATCTTAATATTTTATCTCTATTTCGTGATTTTATATTGTCTATATAATATTAGTAATTTTTGTGAATTACTCACTTAAAAAAAAAAAGAAGAGAATATACGAGCAAATGATTAAGAGTAATAACAAAGAGGAAGTTGAGATAGATAAAAAAAAATTGACTTTTTGTATATAGATGTTAATATACGTAGAGATTTATATACATATATATGCAATTATTTTAGAAAAGAAATTAAATACTAACCATACCACTCCAAAAGCTCCATAGCCAATCGGTCTGTCGGGTGGTACATCTTGCTGGGAAAGAACTGTACCTTGGTAGTAAGGGAGATTGGCGGCTAGAATAGGTTGAGATCCGTGATCATGGTAATTCTGCCTCGCTCCGACTAGTGCCATAATTTAAGGCCATAAAATAAATAACACTATCTCATAGCAAAATAATTTTCCTAAATTCTCGCTCCAGCGTCGGCCTGAAAGAGTTGTTCAAATTAATTATCAGTTATAATATATATCACATTCATATCTATTACTTAAAATAAAAAAATGTTTAAAAAGTAAAAAGATCTACCGAATTCGACGTCTGAAAGCGAAATATGAAAAATCGCCTCACATGCGCCGAATACACAAAGCCGTCACGTGACCTTATGAAAATTAATTAGATTGTCTGCTAGGAATTTCCTTCAGACGCATATTTACCCTGTATCGTTATTTTTCGCCAACAAAACTAACCAATTTCGGAGTAGATGTTTAAAAGTTACTAGACCCTTCGGAGTGTTGCTTGATCTTAGCGAGTTAACTGCCTGACAGCGCTCATACTACGCATGTGTTTTATACTAATATTGCAGACGACAGGTTAAACGCTAAACTGGTTTCCCGTCGCCATTTCGCATACTTTCGTTAAATGTATTTTTTTTGCGGTACCACTATTTTATTGAGTTGTATTTTTAGGTTTGTTTACTACAACTTTCTTAAGTGATTGGGAAATTTTTAAATTATATTATCATTTAAATAAATTATCGCTCAAATTGGCTTTGTTGTTGATTGATAAATTACAAAAGTTTTAAATATAAAAACGCTGGTTTAATCCTAAAAAATTACTTCCTTACTACTGCTAGATAAAGAAATTTTCTCTGCAAAGAATCGATAAGTAAGTTCAATTTAACATTCCTTTTCTATATATAGGTAAACTATACACCAACCGAGACCAGACTAAGAAAGTTTTAAGCATTTTTCTAAAGCTTCAGTTGAGCTTAAAATTTGATAGATGAGTTAAAATCTATTTAGAATATATACTTTTCTTGCAATATTTAATTAACATTAATATAAATAATGTTATTCTATTAAGATAAAAAAAACTAATTATGTATCTTATAAGGAATAATAAGAAAAAACAATCACTCTTTCCATCTCTTTTCTAGAACGCTTAAAAGTCTTTCACTCTTAAAAGAATAATAAATTAAATCTTTATCTTTAGATAAATCGATTCTATTTCTTAAATATACAGTATATATATATATATATATATATATATTTTAGTGCTATAAATAATATTACTTCGTCAAAACGAAAAAAAGAATAGAACAAAAATCCTTTTTTTTATATTCTTTTTTTTTATAGCTTAAATATTTCGTTTTTCTTAATTATAGTTAAATCAAAAAAACTGTATTGATTTATTTGATTTAAAACAGTTTTGTTATTCATCTCCAAGACATTCTCTTGAATTATTTAAAGATTCTTTTTGTATTTTTGGATTTAATAGGTAAAAAAGAGAGCCATTTTTTTTTACTTAGTTTATTCTACTACGTTACTTATTCTATTAATAAATAATTGAATTAATTATTTAATAAAGACAATAAATTACATACCATGTTGATAATGTTAATATTCCCTGTTGTAAAATGTTAGATATATTTTAGATTTTCTTTCTATTTTGTTTAATACTAATTTATTTTATAAACACTTTACACAAGACTGTGTATATTGCATATATAATTGCAATAAGTATATATATAGATTTATATACATATATAGTATAATAATATGCTTATAACCTCTCTTATTAGACAATTTTCATCAGTTTATCCTTGTCGTATTTATATCCTTTAAAGAAGTTTTCAGTCGTCTTTTACCGATATGAATGAGATACTTTATGACGAGCTATTAATTAATTACTCTACTAAAAACTGCATCTTTGTATTCGTCTGTAAAACTCTAAAAGTGCTCATTAGATGCTTCATACAAAGAAATAATATAATATAAATTGTAACAGTAAACAAAGTCCTTTTCCTAATTTTTAAAACATTTCTTCAATATATTATGATTTCATTATAATGAACTCTCTCCTTGATTTTTCCTTACCTATCTTTCCTTCCTCTTATATTCCTTTTAGTCTTATCCTCTCCTTTTTTTGTACACTTTTTATCCCTTTAACATCGTTAGCCATATTACTTTTAGGCGTAATCGTATCAACATAATAATTAAGCCTATAAAGTAAAATAAACCTTATCAGTTATAAATAATTAATTTATTATATTATTTATAAATGAAACGATTAAAAAACTACACTTTTTCTTTTTGTTATAAACATATCCCCTGCCAGTTTCTTTTTCTATTTTTTTTCTTTGTTTTTACTTCTTAATATACTGAACTGTAATTAGGTATGTTTCTCTATTACTCCTGCAGGGATATTAAACTGCCAGAATACGGAATGAAAACGACCGTTTTAGGTATAATTTATTACAATAGTATTATGGTTAATAACTTGTATATCTATATATCTTTTTGACAGTTATATGTATGCATTTTATTACTGCTACTGCATTATTAAAGAATTATAGAAAATTTGAAGAAACTAGCAACGAACTTAAAAAATTATCTAATTTATATTCTGATATTAGTCATTTATACAGCATTGGAAATTCAGTAGAAGGTGGTAAATTGTTGTCTTTAGCAGGCAAAATATATCTACATTGAATATATAAATACTTATTTTTTATTTAAATATAGGTAGGGAACTATACGTTATAGCTCTAGGTAAATATGCTAAAAAACACCAATATCTTATTCCGGATGTTAAATATATTGGTAACATTCATGGAAATGAGGTAATCATGTTTTTATAAAAAAAAAATGTTTCAATACATTTCCTGTATACATATTGTAAAACCGCCTTTTTTTGAATCTTGAGAGCATTGCAATATAGCTTGATATTTATTGTATAAAATGCAATTAAGACTATAAAAAAGGAGGAGAGGAAGGTGGTGGGGAGGGGGATAGGGGTTTATCATTATTATAGACTTTCATGATTTTTCTATTACTTTATAGATTGTTAGTAAAGAAATTTTATTGGAATTAGCTAACTTCTTGTTATCATCTTACTCAACAAACACTACAATAGGTTTATTATTAAATAAAACAAGAATACATATAATGCCAACAATGAACCCCGATGGCATGGAAAAGTCAATATCTAATATGGAATTACACAGTTGCACTGGAGTTGGAGGCAGATATAATAGTAACAAAGAGGATCTTAATCGTAACTTCCCTGATAAGATTGTACCTAAATCTCAAAGTAATTTACAGCCCGAAACTAGGAATGTGATTCTGTTATTTTAATCTCTTTAAAGCGAAACAATTATTGATAATTTTTGTTTAAATTAGTAATTTACTTTTTAGAAAGAAGTGTAGTAAAAAAGAAATAATAAGTATTTAACATCTCTATAACTAAATCACATTCCAGGTCAATAATGAAATGGCTTGAAACTGAAAAATTTGTTTTATCGGCAAATTTTCACGGTGGTGCTCTAGTTGTCTCCTATCCTTATGATAGTTACCCTAATGCCATAGATAATGGCCCATCTAAAGAATATCTTACACCGGATAACGATATTTTCACTCATCTTTCAAGAGTCTATGCAAATTCTCTACCGGTGTCAAAGGCAGATTTTAAATGTAATAGTTTCGAGAATTTTGATGAAGGAATAACAAATGGTGCGGCTTGGTATCCAATAGTCGGTGCGTTTCAATACTATTTAGTTTTTTTGTTTTCGAGATATAATAGCTATTATTTTTACAGTATATTTGTCTTTCACCTTTTAGGCGGTATGCAAGATTACAACTACATAGTCCATAAAACATTTGAATTAACAATAGAAATGTCATGCTGTAAATTTCCAAACGCTTCCGATTTACCATCTCTTTGGCAGCGTCACAAAAACTCTTTAATTATCTTCCTACAAAAATCACATATAGGTAAATAAATTATTCCAACTTTCATTTATTTATAAATTACAAAAAAGAATTTTCTCATGTAACAAAATAAATTGTTACCGTTATTTAATCTATATTTAAAAAGGCATTAAGGGAACCGTTTTTGAAGAAAATACAAAGCTGCCAATAGATGGAGCCAAGATTTTCGTAAATTACAGATCGACATATGTAGAAACAAGCAAATTAGGTGAATATTGGCGCCTCCTACTGCCTGGGACATATATTATTAAGGTTTGTATTAAGGATTAATGTAACTAGAATCGTCGTATAACAATAACAATAATAACAATATAACTCACCGATGTTAGGATTTATCGTTCCACTAGAAATACAGTTTGTTATTAATTGATGCGCAGCACGTTTAAATATAACGTTATTAATAGAATTTTCTAGTATAGAGTGGAATATTTTTTAGAGCGGAGAAGCCTTTGCTAGAATTTTTATGTAGAATAGAGTATACGCAAAGATTCTACAAAGAGAATAAAGGAGAAACATGGAGTTTATATTTGCGAAATTGAGAAAGCTCTTTCCTATAACTACATAAAAATAGCAGGACTCAAAGTTTCAAAATTTATTTTATCACCTTTTCCTTCTTTCTCTCTCTCTTTCTCTTTCTCTCTTTATATTTCTAGTATTTTAAATTACTTCAAAAAGAAAAATTTATATTCTAACTTTAATTTAATTAGTGAACACAATACTTCATTTGCATAAAATGTAATTTATATACATGTATTTCAGTTTTTTTTTTCAAAAAAGATTACAATGTCCTATATTTTTATAGGTTGTCAAACCTGGTTTTATTACACAAGAAACGGAAGTAAACGTCGCTGAAAGTAACAACATGTCTGCTCAAGTTATTAATTTCTTTTTACGATCTTCAGGCGAGAATTTGATTTCCAACTTCTTGCCCTTGATTCTCTATCTTTCTTGTAAGATTTCTATTATGCTTGCATGATAATTCAGTTCACTTTGATGAGTAGAGAATGTCTTCATGCCCAGTTTTTTCTTTATTTTTCTTTGATCTCCATTTGATATTTTCTTTTACCTTTGGCTTTTGTGAATATAAATAAATTAAACATTTAGATTTACAAAAATTTAAATGTATAAATATATAAATAAATACAATATCATATTTATATAAAGTTTATACACTAGAAAAAAGGTAAATTTTCAATTTAACTAATTCAAACAAGCAAAAGAAAGACGATGGCTTTCAACCACAAACGAACGAAAGTCCCACCGATCATAGAAATTTTCGATTGGAAAGAGCTTTCATCCGTAAATGGCGGAAAGAGATGTTCCTTTCACAAACTAACAGCATAGAATGATCCTCAGTTCCTTCATACAGATATAATCGATCTTAAAAACACAGCTGTTATGCTAAACTGCCATGTGCATTTATAAATATTCATGTCCACACTAGCCAGCATGGCTAAAATATTTCTTACTTATACTAAAAGAGCTGTATAGGTAAATAAAAGAGAATATATATATATATTAAAGGTATTAAAAGTGTATATACGGATTATATACTGTATACTGTATATACACTGTATACTGTATACACACTATATACTATATATATACTATATACATATCTAGAAAATAAAAAAGAGAATAGCAATAGTAAAGTAGAAGAGAAAATAAATATAAAAATATCACAAAAACTGAGGGGAGGGGAAGAAGAGTAAAAGAGGAAAGAGGAGAAAATATACATAAAAGTATATAGGCAGAAGTAGATATTTGACCCGTTAATTTACCTTTGTATAGCGTTACAATTGTCAGAACTATTCTTTCTCAACTCTTACACACATATATATATATATATAGAATAGTTCTGTATATTGGTACTCCCTTTCTGTCTCTCTCTGTCTCTCTCTCCAAATTTTACTTACAATACCAGATGCAAACATTTTGTTACATTAATACTCAAATGATTTAGAATCATAAAACTTTCAAATTAATACCAATACAAAGAAAAGGTATATAATTAAAAGAAAAGCTTAAAATAATAAGATTCTATATAAGAAAAGGAATGGAAAAAAGAGTAGAAGAAAAAAAAAAGCATTGACTGTTATCGAACGTATCTGTAAATATTAATAGAATACGCCTGTACAATTAAAACACGAAATATGACGGTCAGATTGTGCGTTTTGAAAATCGATTGAACTTTTTTTAACAGCTGTTCACACATCTTCTTACCACTCGTTATTTCGTTCGATTCGAACAGATATAATTTAAAAATTTTTTTTATCCAATTGATATACATATATATTCCTTCTTCTGTTCCTCTTCTCTTCTTTCTATCAATATGTCTCTCTTCGCTATTTAAATCTATAGTTTTTAATTTTAATATATAGGTGAGAATGTTAAGAAAGCATTAAGTATTAGTATATTTATGTTTAATTTTAAAAGAATATATATACAGTATATATATATATATATATATTAAGATATATGATTATTAAACTTGTAAATTAGGCCTATTTATTATTACAATTAGAGTAAAAAAAAATAATAATAGTCTTTATTGTAATTTTTATTTGTAGATTATTTAATTAGGTATCATATACTATATACATATATATATATATATATATAGACATTTTTTTTTAAAAACACAAATCTCCGCTTGCTCGTATACACTACATATATATGTATATATGTAGATTTTTTTCTCAGTATATATTTAATGTAGCATATTAGATGCGAACATAAAAGATCGTTATTTCTATATAAAAAAAAAATTTGCTACATAGAATGTCAATATAAATATATTTTAGAAGAAAGTTTTATAAAGAAAAATTTTTTTTAAAAAAACAAGAAGATATACCTTTTCTATATTTTTCATATATTTGTATTTATTTGAGATAAGAATTTCTTAAGAAAAGTACTATTTTCAATATACTTATTAAATATTCTAGTTGATAAGGTGCTCTCACTATTAATGACGTCTAGCTCTATGCTCTCTGTTTAATATTATCTTTCTCTATCTCTTTTAAATATACAGTATATATATGTATATATATCTTTCTCTCTTGTTTCTTTCTTCCTTTCTTGCTCCTGCTTCCTCTTAAAGGTAGAAGAATAAAAGTGGCAAACTACTGCTATATATAAAATATAATAACCTGTGCAATCCTCATATTATATATGATTATAAAAATTGACATACCTGGTGCCATCTATAGGAAAATAATTACTTCCTCTTTCTCCTCCTCCTCCTCTTCCTCATGCTCATCTTCCTCCTTTCCTCTTATCTGAAGAAATAAACTAACTAATCCAAAGGTCGCATAAGCTGATGATAAAACAGAGAGACAGTTGTATATTCAAAATCTAAATAAACTGTTTGCAAATATAATCTGTAAAGGCGGCTTGTTTGTAAAGCCTCGTAACGGCATCAATCCTAATCAGAATAAAAAACCGCGTAAACTAAGCACTAAAGCGAAAAATGCTGCACTGATAAATAAACTAGATTGTTTTCAAAGATAAAGATAAAATGAGAATGATGCAGTTCGTCTGCGGCAGTAATGCAGATAAATTCACTTATAAACTGCTGGGATTATTAATATATTCATCCTGACAACCTTTATTATAGGTTTATATTTAAGTATTTTATTATAATTCTGAGTGTTATGCATGATAAAAATATTGAATTAGAAAAAATAAATGTTTCTCTAATCCCTTTAATCCATTCTTTGAAAGAAGGGAGTCACTCATCTCTCATGTTTCAAAAGTGTCTATATATCTATATCTGTAATCTATTTGTTTTTTCGCATTAGGTAAGCGGATATTCATCCCGATATCTCTCTATCATCGACGCCTTCATCCTCATCGCTACCCCTATAATGAACATACTTTCTAAAAATTGCACGTTTTTTCCCTTATTATGCGTCTTTTTTAAAATAATTTGTAAAAGTGTTTTATAATTTTCAACAAAAAAAGTAAAACTGCAAAAACTGCAAAAACTGTAAAAATTTAACAAAAAAAAAAGAGTTTTTTTTCTCCAACGTTCCACATGTTTTATTTAACTTTATTTTTAGAACTTTTCATTAAAAATAAGCTAATTTTGTAAGTAAACTGATAGGATGAATACCATTCTGTTTAAGATTTAATTAATATTCATCCTAACGTCTTCGATTTGTTAATTTTGTATACAGAACTGATTACTAAGTAAATATGGCGTCGGTTTACCCTCGCACCAAGAAGATGCTAAAGCGCGAAAGAGTGACGTTGAATGTTGGCGGCCAAAAGTTTGTAACTTACTATTCGACTCTAAACTCGTTACCAGCATCGAGGCTAGGACAATTAACGGCCTCCGATGTCTCTTACGAAACGGTTACTGGAGAGTACTTCTTCGATAGGAACCCTTATCTTTTCCATTTTGTTTTGGACTTTTACAGAACTGGAGAATTACATTTTCCGCATGATACTTGCGGTCCGTTGATAGAAGCTGAATTAAGATTTTGGAAGATCAGTACCGATCATATAGCTCCCTGTTGTTGGAGAACTTATAACGAGTACGCGGAAGAAAGAAATACGTTATTAAACGTTGAGAAAAGCTTAAAAACATCTAATTCAACTAGAAGAAATCTCTCAAACGCAACTGTTTTGGAACAATGGAAGTATAAAGTCTGGAAATTCTTAGAAGAGCCTCCCTCTTCTTTGTCAGCTAAGGTACATTATATAATAGGGTTTTCCTTCAATTCTTTTATATTAAATTCAATAAGATATATCTTATTTTCCCTCAATTTTTGCTTTCTTTCTTCTAGCTTTGGGCGCACTTCTACGTCAGTCTACTTATTATATCGCTTATTATTCTCTGTTTAGAAACTCATCCTAAATGTAGAATTCCCCTTCCTTCAAAAGAATATCAGTATATCTCGTCGATAAGGCAGGATCTATTAAATATGACTAATAACAAGTTGAAAATGTTAATAACAACTAGGGCTCATCCTTCTCTTATCTATATGGATTATATATGCACTTTTATCTTCAGTTGCGAAATCTTATTACGGTTTATTGTTTGTCCGGTGAAAAGGATATTTTTTAAATCTTTCTTCAACGTTCTCGACTTACTTAGGTCGGATTTTATCATTAAAAATTATTAATCCTATCAAACATACAAACATACTAAACATACGTATATAGTTGTATATGTATATATAATATATACAGTATATATACTAAATATAAAGAAAGAAATAAGAGGCAATTATTATTATATGATAAAATCCGATTATATTACTTTTTTATTTGTTTTTTTTTTATAAAAAAAAAGCATCTTACCAATGTTTGTTCTGACGACAACCGACTTCCTCGATAGCACTTTATGGGTTCGACATAATATTTTTATAGGATACTGCGTTCTCTCTTTGACATCGGTTTTTCGTGCAATAAGGGTTCTAAAGTTGGTCAGAAGGCATAGAGGCGTTAGACTTATGTATTTAGCTGTAAAGTCTTCCGCCACACAACTTCTTCTATTGGTTCTACTCCTGTTCATCGGAGCTATTATCTTCTCAACTATGATTTATTACGCTGAATTAAACGAACCTGATACTTTCGAGAATATACCAGTTGGTTTATGGTGGAGTATTGTAACTATGACTACGGTCGGTTACGGTGATCAATTTCCAACATCACTTTTGGGCTATATTGTTGGATCCATTTGCGCGTTATCTGGAGTTTTGGCAACTGGCTTACCAATACCTGTTATTGCAAACAGTTTTCAACTTTATCACAAGTACGCAAGACTACAAGCTAAAATGGACGCAGAACATATAAGAAAGGATGACGAATTAATTTCCAAACTATCCAAAAGAATGGGTGCTCATGCTTCTTACAGAGGCGGTATTCGTAGATTGCAAAGGGTAAATTTCCATTACAATACACAATTTCTATAAGTAACTCTAACACTTACATAAATAATAAACTGTTAGTTGTTTGTATACCACTTACCTCGACAACTTGTCCGCATTTAATAGTATATATTCTTCGAGAATCCCCCATTTAACCTTCACCCCTCCACCCACGATCTTCTCCCTATACATATCATATATATATATATATATATATATATATATTATATGCATGCGCGTAACAAACTATATATCTTTATTTACATATTAAGAGTCATATCGGCTTTTACGTAAATTGTTAATTAGTATATATGATTTAATTAATTGTAAACAAGTGCTAATCTGCAATTGCTGTTGCATATACTTTATATATTGCAATGAGAAAGAAAAAAGAAAAATTCCTCAATAACAATAACGTTCTGTTTGTCAAATTTACTCTCTTCTAATATAAAATTTAATTAAATTTACTGTTACCAATGACAACATCCCAAGCTAAACATCTCACCTCTTCTCGCTTTACTACCTATATATATAGTCTACTGTCGGAGTGTAGCATAAATATTGGCGCAATATTACAATTCCAATCTTCTTTTATCATATTAGAAATACTGAGCCGAGCTTATTTTAATTCATTCTTATTAAAATATGCAAGTTTTTGTAATATTATATATAGAGAAAGATCTTTTTTATAAACTCTTTTATTTAATCTATTAGGCTAAAAATCTGAACTGTTTCATTAATTTTTGACAACAATATCATTTACACGCATAAAATACGCTTATTAAAATAAATTATATCAATAAACATACAATAAAATATGTAGTAAAAGCAAAATGGAATATTTTATATACGTGTATATAGTGTATATAAATATATTACATTTGTATATAATCGACACATATAGTATTGTATACACATCTTTTAAAATTTTTTCAGTCTTTCCTGCTTCAAAGATATAGTATGAACTAATATTAATATAGATATACTGTATGTGTATAAAAACACATGAAGATAAAGAGAGGGGAGATATATATATATAAGAGATTCGATAACACAAGCACCATGCGATTTGCATACAGAAGACTGAAATTAAAAGTATCTTCATCTTTCAAAGAAGATTAAAATGATATATTGTATATAATATAATAAAATAAATAAATTAAAAGCATCCTTAGTCAGCCATATCCATATTTTCATATTTTATGTTCTTTTTCTCTGTATCATCTAATTCAACAATTTCTACACTTTGAGAAAATCTTGCGTGTTTCAAAGGATGATTTCCGCAATCTGCACTTCCTTGTTTCTTAAGTATTGTATGCATATCAGCATCCACAGTGTATGGTAAGGGACCAACCCACTCTGTAGAACCCCATGTTGGTTCGGCCAGCTTTCTTATAACATGCTCGTTTTTACACTCTATCGGATACGAGTCGTCTCGTACTACTCGTACAAAACGTCTTCGTCTAGTTGCCGGAGAGACTCCTGGTGAACACTTTGAGAATAACGTTGTTTCTGATCTTGAACGAAAGGATTTGAATATATTAGTGAGTTTAGGTAGTCTACCGAAAGATCCCAGATGATGAAGATCAAAAGTATTAGATCGCTTCCTCATTGATTTACCCTCGTCAAGGTCATATTTCCTGTGGGGAATAATTGTTGATTAGATTATATATTACACATAATCATATATATTTACAGCATATATATGTAATGCAAATTGAAGCGCCATCTACTTTCTTAATTATCTTTAATGTCATATGTAAAAAATGGAAAATTCAACATAGAAAGCTAAAGAAAAAAACGTACAAGGTTTACTTTTGTAGCTTAAATATATACTGTATATATTATAGGAAATCACTATATTATTCTCTTTGAGAGTAAGATTTTCAAAGAATAACGATGGTTCTCTATAGAATAAGTGAACGTGCTTTCTGATGATGCGGATACAGAATAAGTACAGCAATTTTAAGCTATCAAGAAAAATATATAAATTACAATTAATGAGTGCAGACGATATAGTCAAAAAGAAAAGCATGTTTTCTTAAGTGGCAAGGTGAAAAAAATAAGAAAAAATAGATTACCTAGAGGAGAATAGATTAACTTTGTAGGATTAAATAGTTAATCCATGTTTCTATATACAAATATTAGATATATAAATAAATACCTTATATTCACTTATATACACTTACATGTTTTAATTTATAAATTACCTATGCTTTTTTAGAACAACTGGATTGTATCGATTCAACGATTCAATAAGAGAAACGTCATTTGTACAAGTTTCTACTATAAACCTACTTGGTGATATTTAAATGAATATGGATTTTTTCCAAAAATAAATCCTATTTCAATGACGATTAGGACGTTTTAGTAGTTTAAATATTCTTGTTATTTCTTATTCTTTCCACTAAGCCTATATTTGTATTCTGTTTTTCTTTCGTTTAACCTAGATTTTTTTATTATTATGTTACATTCAAGTAGAGACTAATCGATTCCCTTTCCTTTCTTGTTTTGTTTTTTTATATTACCTTATTTCGAGATCCATTAATTTTTTAGATGTTTCTTCTATGACGTCTTCTGAGCATTCTGAGACTGCTGGTGATACTTCTACAGATCCCTCTCTTGATGAACAACGATCATCGTGAACATATCTACCGCATTCGGGGCATTTCTCATCGCTTAGGGGCTCGTGTTGTACCCTTTTCCTTACCGTATCGAATACGTCAACATGTTCACTAAAGTGGGCATGTCTTTCGGTATTCTCGTGGTGTACATCCTCTAAATCAAGAGAGACTTGTCTCTTTAGAATAGGATGATCAACGCCGGTAATTTCGTACGGTCTTTCGTCTAATGAATGATATTTTCTGGCTTCCCAACACTCGGTTTGCTGCTTCTCAACAAAATCTTTTGTATATTTACGGATCACGTGAGGATTCTCAAATTCTTCTCCTTCGGATTCAGCGTTCTTTATGATTCGACAAAATTTTCTTTTAGCTGGTTTGGCAGTGCATGTTACAGAACTATCTGAACGGCTACGCAGCAATTTTGAAAACAATTTCGCATTTGTAGGACGTTTCGGCCACTTCAGTGGTAAAATAAGGCTAATCCTCCTCGATTTTTCCTTTTCTTTATCCATTTATGCATAATCTATGAGGATTGAAAAACGTAAACTGAGCATGTAAACAAAATAGTACAGTCACCTTCAAGGCCGAAGAAACTTGAGCAGTAGTAGAAAATAAAATAACTTGTTTTTAAGGTTGACTAGCAGATTAAAATTCAGCGCATCGTATGCAAAATACGATAGCTCAGCACGTTTAATTCGTAGAAAAAGACGTTAAGCATCAATTCACGCACAAAATAGTATTGTATCTGCTACATGGATGAAAAATTGACCACACGTGCTTTCACTGCGCATGCGCAAAAGAATGTAATTAGTTTTTCGAAATAAAATATTATTTAACATGATTATTTTTTTTAAAACTAATCTAAATATTCTTTAATATTTTTTAGCAGAAAATCTTAGGGTCAAAGTCGGTCAATGACCTACGAATTGACCAATTATCTATCAGAACGATATTATAACGACGTATTGATATCAAACATAAAAATTATCTTTATTATTAAAGATTTTCGACAGAATACCGATTGTATTTGATTCTAAAAAATATGCAGAAAAATTCAGAGCCAACGATTTCTTTTGCCGGCTGTGGATTTTTGGGTATTTATCATGTTGGAGTTGCAACTTGCTTGAAAGAGTATGCACCTCATTTATTAAGTGGTAAATTATCAGGTGCTAGTGCTGGTTCTTTGGTAGCCTGTGCTTTAATGTCTGGCTGTTGTTTAGGTAGGAAGATTTAACATTTAAATAAAAATTTAGTTACCAACTAATCCTATACAGGAGAGTGTACATCGTTTACACTGAGAGCTGCAACCATAGCTAGGCAGTCTTCAATTGGACCCCTAAGCCCAAAATTTAATGCTATGAGATTATTGCATGACGGTCTAAGCGAGGTAGTTTATAACTTTAATACGTAATTTCTAAACTAGAACAATCTAACCTTTTAGATGACATCAGCTTTTTCTTTATTCATTAAAAGAAAAGAGAAACTAGCATTGTATACTAAATAATAATAGAAAACTTTTTAGTAAATATGTTTACCATTTTTAGATAATTGCACCAATTTTAAGATAGTTTTATCTTCTATTCTTTTTCTTTTATTCTATCAAAATAATCAAGCCATCACGTACTTATAGGATAATAGAACGATGAAAAATTACGTAAATCTTGACCTTGTTGTAAATTATTCATAGGTTCTACCAGATAATGCTCACCTTATCTGCTCTGGGAAGCTCTTTATATCTTTAACAAGAGTTAAAGATAAGAAGAACGTAATTATTTCAAAATTTTACTCTAAAGATGACTTAATCGAGGTTTGTTTATATTATTTAAATTAATACAAATTTAATAAAATTCTTTCTCCTTTTGTACAGGCTTTAATTTGCAGTGCCTTTGTCCCTTTCTACTGTGGACTTCTTCCGCCCTATTTTAGAGGAGAAGTATGTATATTTCCTCTTCGCCTAAAAAAGATCCTTTGTTATGATATTGAAAAAATGAAAAAAAATCCCTTAAAAAACGTTCTTTCTTTCTTTTCAATAGTGTTACGTTGATGGTGGATTGACGGTAAACATTCCTGTATTTGACGAAAATACAATTACGGTATCACCATTCGCTGGCGAAAGTGATATTTGCCCCGAAGATCCTTCTTCAAATTTCTGGCATATGAATTTATCGAATACCAGTATTCAATTTACATGCAGTAATATATATAGACTAAGCCATGCCCTCTTCCCTCCCCATCCAACGGTGCTAAGCGACATGTGTCGTCAGGGATTTGACGACGCTCTAACATTCTTAAAAAAGAATAGTAAGTAATTTAATGCAAATCTACTTGTACACAGAGATATAGAGAAAGAGAGAAAGAAAAACATGACCTCAATATGAATTCAACCGAAGAAACTAGGTCCGCTCTATAAACTATCTAACTATTGAACCCTTGACCGAGTTCTCTTTTTTTATATTTATTGTATTTAAAAGCTAACAAAATAATGGAGGGTAAAAAAGCAAAACAGAGGCAACAGCTGTTTTTTTTGTACTTTCTCTGTATTTCATATTACATTGCGTACATCTATAAAATTCATATAAATACGTGACTTTCAACTTCCAAAGTTGGCCTTTCTTTGTATTGAAAGTCATTTGAAATTTTTTTTTTTTACTTTCTCTTTCTTTATTTCTTTTTCATAGATTATTTTTTTAAGCTGTAGGATAAATTGTTACAGTTATTTAAATAGGTCATATATCTCTATCTTTTGATATAATATACAGTATAAAATAGGATTAATATTAAAAACTAAATCAAAAGTTTATGCTTTTTGTTTTAGATTTCATTAATTGTCCTCGTCATCTTGAAATTCAAGCAACTTTCATTCCCGAGGAGGATGCAGAAGAAAATAGCAGCATTGATGAGAATGATGGAGGTAATGATTGGAATTTTGATGAAAATACAGAAGAGAACGATGTTAAAGAGTGCCATGAATGTAAACAAAAGCATAAAATTGCTCTTCTCCAAAATTTACCACCTACAGTTGTTCATGGTAATTATTATTATTCACTATTATTATTGTTATTTAGAACCATTATATTTCATCATTATTAATATAGCTTTACAAGCTGCTTGTGATTCGGTAAATAAGGGGCTATTTGCACCTATATATGGATCAAAAATATACAAAGTTGTGTCTCTGCTTTCTTCACCAATAACAGTTCCAGTCGATCATGTATTAAACTTAGGCCAAAGGTATAATTGTTTACTTCCAACAACTAGAATTCATATGCTAAAATTATATATTTCATTATTTAGGTTTCTAAAATGGGCTCCCTATTTACCTAAGGAATTCCGATGGTTCGTTTCTGAATTTGTTGTACTAACAAGATCGTTTATTACAACATTTCAAAACGGAGGTCATCGATATAGCGCAAGGTAATTTCCGCTTTTATATTTTGTCCTAATTTAATTGATGTTAATACTGTTATGCAGATTTAGCTGCCAATTGGCGGTAAGTGAGTTAGAAAGTCAGGCAGCTCCTCGTCATCGTCCTATCGGTACTAGTCCACCTTACTTGAAGCCATTGAAAGAGAAGATATCCACTGAAGCTGAATCGTATTCTGTTTCAAATCTTGAGTGTTTTGAGGATAAACCTCTCCAAGAAGGTACCTCCCTACCTGATGTTCTGCAAGATGCTATAGTTCGCCAAAGACACCCATCAGATCCAAACGCTTACGATACTTTCGAGAATAGTGTATTGAGAGAGGAACAAATGGAATCCATTTTGACCTATCATTATCAAGATGAAGGGACAGTAAAATACGAACAGATATTTAAAATGTGCTCTGATTAACTTCTTTTCTTATTTTTATTTGGAAATTTTCAATTTTCCAGCAACAGTTACTATTCTTTGTTACCGTTAATGAAATAAACGACTTATTTTATGGATAAAACACACAGAAAACTTATGCGTTTTTAATTGATTATAAAATAGTATTCAGTTTATCTATACAGATAGTCGGCTTTTAAATTTCCCGCAATTTCTGCCTCCCACTTATCTCCATTTTGCAGTAATTTTTCCTTATTATAAAGAAGTTCTTCGTGGGTTTCTGTTGAATATTCAAAATTCGGTCCCTAAAATAGATTTTTAATAAAAAATATTATTAAAAGTTTCCTTTGTATAGCAACTAAAAAAATAAAAATTTGCAAGAAAAGCTATTTATAATATTAACTAATATTTATATAAGAGATTTAATTTTCTTAAGTAAAATATACCTCTACGATGGCATCAACGGGACAAGCTTCTTGGCAGAAACCACAAAATATACACTTTGTCATATCGATATCGTATCTTGTTGTTCTCCTACTTCCATCCTCTCTAGTCTCAGCTTCAATTGTAATTGCCTAAAAATTTAAAAAATAGATAAATAAGCAATTACGTAGCAAGGTTTTTAAGGGAGAGGTATAAATTGTTTTATTTAGTAGATCGACCTGAGCTGGACAAATAGCTTCACAAAGTTTGCAGGCAATGCAGCGTTCTTCCCCTGAAGGGTAACGACGCAATGCATGCTCGCCTCTAAATCTTGGACTAAGAGGGCCTTTTTCAAACGGATAATTTATGGTCGCAGGTTCGCGAAATAAGTAACTGCCTGTTATTCCATAGCCCTTGAAAAGTTCCTTAAAGAACATTCGGGTAGCAGCCCTATCCGTAATTGATTTCCAATCCATGTCTGGATCCTTATCGCTAATATTGACTATAAAAAGAAGATCATTACAATAGAATTTTGATATGTACAAAGAATACTTGCCATAGTTAAATCTAGAGATAGTCGAGCTGAAACTTCTGGTAAGGGCTCGAACTATTAAACGAAAATAAAGTTTCGAATGAAAAAATAATTTTTACTGAAATACTAGTTAAAGATTTAATAATTTATAATAGTTTTTATTTAAAATATACTTAAATATCTTTTTACTCTGCATGTTACTAAAAAAATTACCGTTTCTAGCCAAACCGTAAAGTTTTAATGGCATTTTTTCCATTAGCAAGGTCAGTTTTACTAAAATTAAAGTGGTTCCCTGGCCTATACAGTTTAGCTATTCTAAATGCCGGAAATTGTTGTATTTTGTTTTTTTCATAATCTTACGAATTGCTTAGTGACTATTTTTCATTAACAATATTTATTTAGTTTTCCTCTATGGAGCTCTGGTCAATCTGTAATATGGCAATAGTGTTTACAAGGTTGTAAAAAAATTTTCCTTCAAGACTTAAATCAAGTTTTTTTAAATTTTCCAATTTAAATTTAGAAAAAACTATCAATTAATATATCCTATTATCTAAATCTATAACTCAGTTAGTTTATAAACGAATATATGTTCACCACCTGCCACTTGATTTGCGTTTTCACAAGTTAATTATAGTTCCGCCAAGTTTTAGACAGACCCACCAAGCTGCGGGTTAAAATTTGCCGAACAAATATGTCTATTTGTGTAAGTACTTTGTTTTACCTAATTCTTTTGATATGATGTCTCTACAATAACTCAATTTAAACCTGTAGGTTGATATCTTGGAAGGATGTAAAGTGCCCGTGCGCTTAAAAAATTCAGAAGTTTATCGTAAGCTATCCGATATTCGTAAGATACCTTTTAATCGTGATATTTTTCAGATCGCGCCGAAATTTTGAGTAAAAGAGAAGTTGAAGGCGGATATAGTTACTATGTACATTTTGAAGAATGTTTGTTTTTATATATTTTATCTTCATTTTTTTTTAGTCATCACTTACTTTTTAGACAATAAAAGATTGGATGAGTGGGTTAGAGAAGATAGGATGGACTTATCCAAATTGGAAATGCCAAAAAAAGAAACTAAAGCCCAACTTAAAGATGTTAAATCTCAAAGTGGATCAAGGGCGTCATCACCTGTAGTTGAAGAAAAGGTATAAATTATTTTTCTATTATTAAATAAGCATTTTCAAAATAAATTGCTCTCAATTCAGTCTATGGGATGTATAAAGAAGCGAGATACTGCCAGAAAGCGTTTAAGACCGGATGGACAGGCAAATTCTTCAGTTGAGATAAACTTTTTATCCTCTAAAAGTTTATTTGACTCGTTCTATTCTAGATTCAGGTTGACGTTTCGGATATGAATAATGCTATTACAACCACTACCACCGCCACTACTATCACAACTACTACAACCATAGCTACTCCAACTACTACCACTGTAACATCAGTGATTTCGGCTAATTCTGAAAATTTGCCGAGGCAAACTGGAAGTATGGTTTCTCATCATGATGATGTTGTTACAAGAATGAAAAATATCGAAAAAATTGAGTTAGGTCGTTATAGAATCTCACCATGGTATTTTTCACCTTATCCTATTGAGCTAACCAAATTGTCAGTGATATATATCTGCGAATTCTGTTTAAAATATGTTAAAAGTGAAGTATGTCTATTGAATCACTTGAGGAAATGCCATTACCGACATCCACCAGGAAACGAAATTTATAGAAAAGATAATATGTCATTTTTTGAAATTGACGGCCGTAAAAATAAGGTACAATGAAACAATCTGATTTCAATTTTTTGTAAATGTGTTTTTATTATTATTTTTAGACCTATGCCCAAAATTTATGTTTATTGGCCAAGTTATTTTTGGATCACAAGACGCTGTATTATGATACTGATCCATTTTTATTTTATATTTTGTGCGAAATTGACGAATATGGTTTTCACATTGTCGGATATTTTTCTAAAGAAAAAGAATCGGCTGAAGATTATAACGTAGCATGTATCCTTGTATTGCCACCTTACCAAAGGAAGGGATACGGAAAACTTCTTATAGAATTTAGTAAGTATACTGAATTTTCCTACTGCTATTTTCTTACACAAATGTTTTACATTGCTTTATATTTTCGTAAAGGCTATGCGTTATCAAAAATTGAAGGGAAAACTGGTTCACCTGAAAAACCATTGTCGGATCTTGGACTTTTGTCATATCGTAGTTATTGGTCTCAAACTTTAATAGATATACTTATTAGATTAAAACCTGGAGAAAATGGCGATCGTCCAACCATGTCTATTATAGATTTAGTAGAAATGACAAGTATTAAAAAAGAAGATGTTATTTCAACGTTGCAACATCTTAATCTAATCAATTATTACAAAGGACAATATATTTTCACATTATCAGACGAAACGATGAGTGCTCATGAATCGGCATTGAAGAAGAGAATCATTTCAGTCGATCAAAAAGCCCTCCACTGGCAACCTAAAGATTGGTCAAAAAGAAAATGGTAGATCTGTCTAACGATGCCAACAGATTATATTTTATAGCGCAGACAAAACTCTTTATATTCTCAAGAAATTTTTATACGACTTTTCGGATTCTATTCATTTGAAGAAAATATCTATAGATTATTTTTTATCTAAAAAGAAATATACCCTAAACTTTTTATTTAAAACTTTCTGCTTGTATGTTAGCCTCACAGTTAAATAAAACATCTTTGGATAGTGAAAGATGACTTTACAAGATACGACTTTTTAAATTTTACCTGGAATCTACTCAAAGTAATCATTTTTCTCTCACTGGTTGGTACTATTGATTTAGATGGTTTACGAATTCAAGTTACTTATTCCACACCGAGGCTATAAAAATCATACATTTTCATGCGATCAATATACAAGAAAGAAATTTTTTTTTTTAAAATATAAAATCTTTGTTTGTTTTTTCTTTAAGATTTTATTGCAATAAATTAGTTAATTTTTTAACTGAAAACTTCATGATTATATTGGAAAAATATTACAAAATGTAACATGGAATCAATATTTTATGTTGTATTCAAAAAAATACTTTCATTATTATTTTAAAGAAAAGTTTTAAATTAATAAAATTTAAAATGAATTATTGTAAGACATTGTTTCAGTTGTAAATGAAACTTTTCCAAACTCCCACTCATGAAATTGAAATGACTTTCAAGAATATTTGGTAATATTTTCTAATGTTCTTTCAAAGGTTAATATAAGTGTAAACCAGAGAAAATGTAATAGAATAGAATAAATAGTCCGACCAAACCTAGAATGATATAGCAAGTAATTTTCCTATTCATTTTTCTGGCACTGAGCATATTGGAGAATCTTTTCACACTTCCACCTAATAGTCCATCAGTGCTGTCAAAATCGGTATTCTGTGTGAAATATTAGTTTCAAATAATATCCTACAAATTCCCTATATTTTAAAATACCATGCCAGAGAGATAGTCAACTTGGCCGTGAACTTCCCGTTTAATATCACCGACAATCTAGAACAAGTATTAAGCACTTATAGCTCAAACTACTGAACAGCTAGAAATTGACTAATAATTAATAGAAATGAAGATATTATATTTTTAAATAAAAAAGATTGACAACTAACTCCTTTTAAGGCAGCTGCTTTTGAAGCTAACGATTCAGTTCTCCTTTGGTTTTCGCGATCGAGCATTTCATCGTAATTCACTGTTTTTATCACATTATCGCTCATAAAATCAGTTAAATATTAAAAATATTATTATCAATTTAAAAATTAGTTCAAAAAACTTTGTATTCAAACGTAAAATCTGATTTAGTTATATAGAAAGGAAAAAAGCTGAAATATATGTTTTACTTTCGATAGATTATCGGATTTGCTGTTGTTGCGATGTTTATTTTTGTAACTTGCGTAAAACACTCAAAGCAACAGATGATTACTTTGCTTTTTCGTATATGTCCCATTAAATTTCTTATACTCTGTATTTCTTTATTTTATATTAAATAAATTATTACATGATATTTTATAATTTTTTGGAAAACAACGAAAATATGGTTAACCTTCGAAGTCTACCGGAAGCATCGGTCAAAGCGCATCTGAGAACACGTGAAATTCAACTTCGTTCGAAATTCGCTAATAGAAGAAAACTCTTCAATGCTTTTTTATTTACTTAAATAAGTAAGAGAAAAAGGAACATGCCTACAAAATTAGGAGACGTTACAACAGGTATTTATTAAACTTTAAATACATTTTGTCTTCAATGACCCTCGGCAGTTTCGCTCGCTTCGTCCTTGCGAAAGAAAATCAAATATATTTTTAAGATATGACTGTCATACATTAGCTATTTAAAACAAAATCGTTAGAACAAATAAATATCAACTGTTTAGTATATAATATCTGAAACATGTAAACCTTGGACCTTAAAAAAGCGTGTTTTACAATATCTAGAACGATTACGTCATAATTTGAATTTTAATGATTTCTTTATCTTAGAAGATTCTACTCGTCCAGAGTCAAGCGAAACAAGTATTAAAAGTGGATCAGCCCCAAGTGAAAATACTACAAAAGAAGTTGAGAAAGAAGTTGCTGAAAATGGTAGCCAGATTGAAGAATCGAACAATGCTGCAGCTGTTAACCCTGATGAAAATCATGAAGGAATTCAACAAAACAACATATTTGACGAGGTCACTCTCGATTTAGTAGTTGAGTTGCCAAATTCTGAAAGAGTTGAACTGAAGGTGAATAAAAATATATATTTATACATGCTTTACAATAGATTTTTTGACCTTTCACTACAAAGGAACAATTTTAAAACTTAGTGTGTCGCTAAATTACTTATCGAAATAATGGTTTTCATTTCCATTGCAGCTTGCTCCATCTGAACTAATTCAATCTCTAGCCCAATTGCTTCAAGAGCGGGAAGACTGTTGCGCAAAAACTTGTTTTTCTTTGAAATTAGATGGTACAACTCTAGACGTATTTTCTGAAGTAAGATCAATTGAAAATTTAACGGAAAATAGCGTGATCAAGTTTGTTGAAGGTCAGTGAGTCATTAATGTATGAAAAAAGTATTATATTTATAATATTTTTATAATTCCTTTAGAACCATACAATACAAGAGAAGCAAAAACCCACTTTCGTCATACAAGGGACTTGTTGAAATCTGTTGAAAGTATCGATGCCTATCAAGGTGTTGATGGTCAATCTTTGTCATTTATGAATGTTGTTGCCCGCGGATGTTGTATAGGATCAGCTGGTTTGTATACAGAATTTAAATTTCTTAAAATATCTTAAAATATGATGTTATTAAAAGAAAATGGATTTGCCCGTGAGAGTGACTGCAGTCCTCCAGAATATTTAACTCCAGAAACGAATCTAAAGCAACTTAAACTTCTCCCTTTGCATCCCAATGTTTCTGATAGTGGCGAATATAAACGATGTGTAAATATATCTTAAGCATTACTTTTAATATTTACTGATGGGTTTCTGCTTAAGTACTAGATAGTGCTAGTTGCATTTATCAATGATTATGATAAACTTTTATGTAAATGCAAATATTTTATAATCTATATTGTAGTACTATTTACTACTGAAAGCGATTATTGTATGTAGCAGATAGATGAATGAGTAACTGATATGTTTTTGTCTTTTTTTTAATAGGTTCCGGAGTGTGTGAAAGTTCTTACTCTAAGTGGGTGGAATCCTCCACCACCTAATCGAAGATTTCATGGTGACATTATGTATATTCATGTTGTAACTATGGAAAATAAAAAGATCAGCATTACGGCAAGTACAAGAGGCTTCTATGTAAATAAATCGACGGAGGAAGTTTTCGATCCAAAACCTGACAATCCAAAATATCTCAATCACTGCTTAGTGGATACCCTTTCACAAATAAGTCCTATTTTCAAGAAAAATTATGCTCAAATCATGCGTTTTAGGAAATTAATGCACCCTTTTGAAAAAATGGTTACACCTCATCAAGTACACTCTTGGTTATCTCCTCAGCTACCAATCTTTTACGATCATATGAGAGGCGAAGACGCTTTTTCAACTCGATACCCACTGGAAGACCATCTACCTGGTCAGGCTCGAGACTGGAATGAAGAACTTCAAACAACCAAAGATATGCCAAGTGAAAATCTAGAACAAACGATAATTAGAGAGCGTTCGATATTTAAAGCCTACTCAGACTTTACATCTGTGTCTGTTCGTGGAGCAATGGCAGTATTAGATGGAAATATCCTGGCTATAAATCAAAGTGAAGAGTCCAAAAATAGAATGTTTCTGTGGAGTAATCTATTTTTAAGTTTGGGATATGATGTCAAAGAACATTATGCTGCTTTTGGAGGAGACACAGCAGCTCACGCAGCCCCCTCGGCCGATTTGGCAGCTGTTAATGCCGTTTTACAATCCAACATTGAAGGGGTCTATACGCTTGGGACAACGGTTGTCGACTATAAAGGTCAGAGAGTGGCTGTTCAAAGTATTGTTCCTGGAATATTAGAGAAAGATCAGGAGCATTCTGTGGTGTATGGATCGTTCGACTTTGGAAACACTATTCGTTCATCAGATTCGACTTACGTCGAAATTATGAAAAATTTGGGAAAAGAATTAGATATTAGACCAAATACTGTCCTTGATGCTTCTGGCGAAGAACATTTATTGTACTCTGCTGTTGAATGTAAAGGAATAATTGGTAATGATAGAAGACCATATATTATCGATTTGTTAACCTTGTTTCCTAAGGACCCAAATTTCATTGGAGATTTGGAGAAAAAATATATTTCAAAAACCATGACTAGTTACAAATTACCCAGAGATTTTCGACATAAATTTTGCTTTTTCCGACGCGAATTTTGGAGATTATTTAAAGATTCCCGTTTTAAATTTTTCCTAATTTCTGTTAAAGGAAAAATTCATCCTAATTTCCAACGGGAGATTGTTAAACAAATTATTCTTGAGACTTTTGCTGATGATGACTTCAAACAGGATATGATAAAACAATTGGAAATTATTCTAGGACCAGAAACTGAATGTGAAAGTGATGTATCAACAACTCTTGAAGAAGAGCAAAAGAAAGTAATAGAAATACTTGATGAGCTTGGCTCTCTTGACCAGAATCGCCTCAATTTTTCTGTTAATCCGAATACGTTCCATTCGAATGTTCAAGCTCCCGAAGAGGAAGCGGAAAATTTGGAAAAAGATAAACGATTACTTTTGAAAGCTGCTGAATTTATGTTGACAAGCACAATACCAGCATTTATCATGGGATTCGTTGATCAATCTCAAGGAGTTGTTGATGGATTTATGCTTAGAAACAAGATGCATGAGTCAGGAATAAATATGAGATATCTCGGAATTGTAACAAAGGCGTTTAAGAGAAATAAATTCATGTTCCCGATCTGCATTGCGTCATTGATCAATAGAGCTGCTAAACATGTATATAGGTTGGTTAAATCTTTTGTTTAAAGCATGCTACTATCCAAAGTTCACTATATAAAGGTCAGGTGTCAGTTATTTTAAAGGTGAAAAGGTTGTAGCCTTGATCGTATGATGTGATAAAAAATTTTAGATAGGAAAAATGCTGTTAGTTATTTTTAAAAAAGTTTTCTTAATTTTTCAGAGAATATGTTCAGAACATTCAACAGCATCATATGGGTGGCGCGATTGCTCATTTCTTAAATTGTTTCTTGTCGCATGCTACTTTCAACGCGATGAACTTAGTCGATTCCGATGAACTGCAACCCCGGAAGAAAAAATGGAATAAAAAGAAGGGAAAGCGTCCTCAGTCAAATGGAGAAACTCCAAAAGATATTGAATGGACTGGTGAAACCGCTAATTCTATCTGGACTAAAATCATCGAAGATATTCAAATGTGCTACTATTTTAAAATGGGAACCACTGATCTTGATTCAACCGTTAAAAAATACAAATTAAGCAAGCTCAGTCTATTACGAGCTTTTTGCAAGGCAAATGGTATCCAACTGCATCTCAGGGAATATCAGTTTGAATCAAGCAAAACTGCTAAACCATCTTTTTATGAGGAAGACATTATTGGACAATTTCCTATTGTCAAAGCTTGTGAACCAAAATGTGGTCCAGCCTATAGGTTGCTTGAATTAGGACGTAAAGCTTTAAATAGTAACCAAATACCAATCGCTTTTAAGCATGTTCAAGGTGCACTTTCGATGTTTAATAACACTTACGGCTTCCTTCATCCAGACATTGCTTCTTGTTGTCGTCTTCTGGCAAAAATGTTTTACGTTCTTGCCGATTTCACAGAAGCTATAAATATGCAGGAGAGGGCTACTCTTATTACTGAAAGAGTTTTAGGAGTTGATCATGCTGATCTTGTTATGGATTTCCTTCTTTTGGGATTATTCTATTTTGCACATGATAAGTTGGCTAGTTGTTTACGCTGCATTTATAGGGCTCGCCACTTATTTTTAGTCGCTAATCCTGGAGGAGAAAACCATCCTCAATTGGCTCTGATTGATTTAAACATTGGAATTATATTATACCATTTGGCCGAGTATGACTACTCTTTGAGATATTTGAGAAGTGCAAAAACAGCTTATGAGGTATTACAGAACCAACGTCTCAAAATTGCTCTTAGCACACACCTTATGTCTAAGTGCTATGCATCTCAAGCTGACTTCCGTCAAGCTCTGCAACTTGAAAGAGACACGTATGAAATTTATAACGATATACTGACTGAAAAGAATCAGAGAACAATTGAATCCAAGGAATGTGTAAATCTTCTAACCGAAATGGCTGTTAAATTTGAAAAATTCATTAGGGAACAGGACAAAGCAACTGAACCAGGTGTTGCTCAAGAGTTTTTGAAAACTTTTGCTATTCAACTACAACCAACCACTCCATGGACTATGGAAACCTTAAATATGGCTAACGGAATGATGTTTATGCGTATAGAGTATGTATCATAATTATAAAATTATAATAATCTACTAGGTAAAACTCTTATTATTGTTTATTATTTTCAGATACGAAAATTTAGAAAACTTACGCACAGTGATTAGAAAAAAAAGCGATCTTTTCCAAAATCTCACTGTCTTTAATGTGATACCAGATAATGAAAAAGAAAAAGTTACTACTGAAGATAAAGAGAAAGTACAAAATGTAGAAAAAGCCGAAAAAATAGAAAATTCAGAAAAAATGGAAGTAAAAATTGAGGCTTAACTATGATCATATCTACCTTAAGTTGTGGAAAAAAGACAAATATTTTTGCACATATAGTTTGTTTCGGTGCTGGCAATAATTTTAGAGTAAAAATATATTAAATAATTTGCCAAGATGTGAAACAGTAAAAAATATTTTTTACAATTTTATGCATAAACATCTTTGTACTGGTTATTGTTGCCATGAATGTTATTAAATCAATTATTGCTGTGACTGTTTTTGTTTGATTTTCTGATTTTTTTTTGCGCTTAAAATATAGATAATCGTCTGTTTTTTGTGGTCATTAAATTTTCTAGAAACTCCTTTCTGTGATTACTGTTAATAATATTCAATTAAGGGTGGATTTTGTGTAAAGTATAGGAAATGAACATCAGCTGGCAAAACTATAATCATTTAGATTCCTACGTACTCTTTATTAATGCTGTGTTTCAAAGTTTTGATGTCTAGCACTATAATCTTACTACTTGGAAAAAACACTAATTTGTGTTAAACGATTGATTGTCTACTGGTTATTACTAACGCAAAAATAACAACTAATAGTTTATTTAGACACAAAATAAACATCTAAACAAGCTAAGAAACTTTTTCCCTCATCACAAATATTGCAAAGGCTAAAATAAGGACAATAGTCTGGACTAGAAGGAGAATATTTCCATCTATTTTAGCAAAGTCTGGGTTAGGATATTCTATTTCGGATGTGTCGTTTTTGTCCTTACATTTCAAGAGGCCAGTGAAATCTGAGCATCGGTCTGCCACAGCCGAACAATTCTAATGATAAAGTTTATAAATATCACTTATTGTCTACTTTGACTTTTGTTAACTACTTACCAATTTATTAAATTTTCCAAAATCTTTACAACCGAATCCTTCAAACTCTCTCAAATTATTCAGTACAGTTTCATTTGATTTTATCCAGTCAATCATTTGACTGGCTGTTACCACCCATACATCGTCGCCTAAATTTAGAGTCAGATCTAAAAATTGATCGATAGCGATCATAGCGTGGCTATAATCAACTATGGAATATAAGGGTACATTTAAAATAAAGGGTGCCCTGTTAGAAAATTCTTTGTCCCTTGCGACGAAATCCTTCCATAGGATATTACGAATTTCATCAGCAGTTTCAACGGGGTGACAATGAGAAGCGCCCAATTCGAAGCATGGAACATATTGTTTTGTCCCTTTCTTCTTTGAAGCATAACTCGGTGTATAGATTTCTGTTAAGTTTAATAAATTATTAAAAGACGGCCATTTGGCTAAACCATTTTGAGAATCCTTGTCCTTAAAAGTTGTATCGTAGGAATTATCTCCTAATTCATTATATATAGCTTGTAAATAGGTAAGTGGAATGTCAATTGATTGTGGCCAATCAAAACCAAATGATCCTTTAATATTTTCTCTTTGTATTTTCGTTGAATTAGTCAAGTAATTGACGGCCTGTTGAATTTTTGTTTCAAAATCTTTAACAGTTCCATTTAAAAATGAATTTCTTTGCTTCTCTTTATCTAGGTCTTTATATCTTTCTGCAATACTAACTCCAATCTCATGGCCGTAATTTGATAAACTATGAAAAAACGATTAGAAGAAGAGAAGAAAGATTTAATTCTTTTATCTTTGACCTAAAATTAATATACCAACCTGTTTAAAACGCATTTATCGCTCTCCTTAAAGCTGGTGTTCTTTTTAGGTTTATTTAAAAGGAATGTTGCCTTTATAGGACATCCATTTGGATTTTTCCTTTTATAACTAAATAATTGCTCCAACTTGCAGAGATCAAAATCGTCTATTGTTTGGCTTGAATCTCCTCGAAAAATAATAGAAATTAAATAGGGAACGTTTGTCTTATTCAAGCTTCTTGGAGGTTGAAAATCACATTTTATTCCAAGAAATAATGTACAATATATCAGATATTTTATAGAATTCATGCTTCTTTCCATATTTCTCCTTCCTCTCTCTTATTCCTTCATTCTCTGTCAATATCTATTCACCCAATTTTACAAAGCTATATTTTCTTCCTCTTAGAAATTTAATGCTACATTCATTTTCGCATTGAAATTCCCCTATCGACAAAAATTTAGGTAACAGATGGCGCTGCACATGGAGTTTTTTTGAGTTAAGACTGTTTTAATATACAACTGAAGTGTATTTATTATTAATCCATAGAAAGAATTGACAAAGTTTTTTAATGTATACAGTGTATTTATATATACTGTATATTTGTATATAAATACTGTATATAACAATAGAATAGTTTATTTTTTCTTTGACTTCTTGCCTCTCTTGCCCTTCTTCTTAGTTCTGATTGCTTTCCTAACCTTAAATGATCTCCAGAAAGCTTGTATTGTTGTTGCAGCTTGCATACATAGTTGTAATTCTCTCGCCTCCTTTTCTCGTCTTTCCCTTTCCGCTTCCCTTTCGGCCATGATTGCTTTATATTCTTCTTCCAGTGTTTTAAAGCGTTCTTCTAATTCATTTAATTGTTTCTTCTCTTTCGTATATTGTTCATCGATCTCTTCGTATTTCTCCTGTCTTGATCCCATATTTTCATCATATCTGTTAATCCAATTTTCAACTTCGGTTTCGTTTTTATACTTCTTGTTTCTCAAATCCGCTTCGATGCTTCTGTGCTCTTGCAATTCGTTCTGGTATTGTTGTTTAAGGGCGGCAACTTCTTGAGCAAGTTTACCTTGTCGTCCTTCAGAGTTTTTCTTATCTGCCAGCTCTTGTTTGTCAGCATCGGATTTAACTTGTTTAATACTTTCTTCAGAAACTCTTTCGATAGTGTGTAGTTGATTTTGAAGATTTCTAATGATGTTATTCTTATCTTTAATTTCGTTGTTCTTCTCCTCCTCTAATTCTTTAAGTACACCTTCTAATTTAGCTATTGTATCCATATGATTACGTGCTCGTGCTTCTATCTCTTTTAGACATTTATTGTTTTCAAGTTCTTCTACTGGTGAAGTCAATAACTTGCGAGTGATGATATTCTAAAAGAAAAAGAAGAAGAAGAATTATAGATCGAATACAATTCTAATACTTAATTCATTTAATCTTACCCTTAATTCATAAACAAATTCAAGAAATTGTTTAACTTCAGCGTCATAATCAATTTCATCGTTATCGATATCTTTATGAAAGGCATCATATGCGCCTGGATCAACTGCAAAACACCTTTGGATATTCCTTGTAGAATCGGAAATTAAAGAGTTAATTCTTATAAGATTCTGTTGTAGTTCATTAATATTCTGGACTATCCTCGAGTCAGTAGAGCTTACGGACTTTTGAGAAGTTGGTGTTGTTCCCCTCCTAACAGATGATTTCGTGCTACTTGGGCGGCTGGTGGAGGGTGGTCTTGGTGTTAATACTTGTTCGGATTGGCCATCATCTGTGGCTTTAGCTGATTTTGTTTCAGGATCTTTTTCAAGACTCGGATCAGCTGCCTCTTCTTGTTGAGACTGTTCGGGTTCTTCTCGCTCCCCTTCATCGTCGTATTCTCTTTCATCTTCTTGTTCTTCATGATCCTCTTCTTCTTCATCAAAATTTTGTTCCAATAAATAAGCATCTTCTTCACCACTTATATCAGAACCTCTACGAACCCGTCTTTTCAGCTCTCTAATCCTTTTTTGTCTTTGTTCTATAAAGAGTTTTTCCATCTCGAAAACTTGCGTGTCGAATTTTTCCAATAGTTGTTGATGATTTAAAAATTTCTTTACTAAAGTTTGCCCAAAAGCAACGTTAAATCTTTCCATGTTGTCAATTATATATTCTATGTTTACTGCAATTTCTAATTTCTTGATCGAATCGAGTAAAGTGTGAAGAACTCTTTGGGCCTCCACAGTAGATACTTTTTTTCTTGCAGGCTCTAAAGTTCGAATGGGGTCTACTTTGGGAACTTTAGAGCGTTTTGGCTCATATTGCGTTATATTTTGAGGTTGAGACATAAGCTTCGACATTTTCTCTCCTGCTATTGATGGTTCACTGACAGTAGTCATCGCCTATCTGTTTAATTAAATATACATTAACCTCCAAGTAGAACTATATACTCAAAAATTACCTGTACAGATGATTTAATTATCTGCTTTTTAGTTGGTTGTAGATGGTAGGAGAAAAGTTCAGTTAAAACCGAATGACTGTTGTGTTATGTATTGTGTTGCTTAGTAACAAGTAGTTTCATACAAAAAGTTTTTTTTAGCAGCTAATTATATTTAATCTAAATTTTCTCAATTATAATAAATGTTCACTTACATAAGTAATGCAATTCTCGTATTAATAGACACTTAGCGAACGAATTAGTGAAGAGTTAAACGCGCGTATTAAAAAGTAGTCCGATAGTAAAAAGAGTGGGTAAAAATACAAAAATTGAAAAAATGAAATGATTTAGCTGTAAGCCAGACGGAATATTATTTTTAAAATAGTGTAAATTATTTTGTGACAAATATCAGGAAGACGTCGTCAAAAATTCGAAGATAACTTTTAAAAGCAACACAAATGGCGGAGGATGAACGAGTAAAACTGCTTAACAAAAGAAACAATGATTATTCATCTGTCCCTTCAGGTAAAACTTTTGTGAGGTCATAATTGGATCAACCTTAAGAAGTTACCAATTGTGCTATCATGTCCTTTTTGAGGACGTCTTCTGAGACCTCTTTGTCTCCCATTCTTTCAGAAAGGAACGACGATTCGCCAATTGGAATAAATCCTCTATCTGACGATGGAGCTAATAACAGAAAGTTACATAATGCCGCAATCTATTTGCAGGAAGGGTTATACAATGATAAATTTGATACCCATCCTAACGGCAGTGCAGCAGTTACAGCTTATGTCATTACGCACAATTTTTGGTTTTACTTGTTGGATTTAGTAGCCTCTACTATTCTTTTGCTTCTTGCTTTTTTTGAACCTCCGGCTGTTATAAAGATTAGTAGCATTGTAAGTTTGAAATAAAATATACATTTATCCATTTTTAAAATAATTTATACTATATAAATTGTCTTGATTCGAATTGCTAATTTTCCTGCGACTGGCTTATGTTATACTTTCAAAAAAAAGCAACCTATTAAATTTTATAATTAGACAAAGTTTATAAAATTTCACTGTGAAATATCTAATTAAATCAATTCAAGTTACCATATAATTATTCTTGAAAAAGAACAAAAACAATTAAATTCAATTATATCATTCTAAATCATACTACAGTTTTATGTATTAGAAATAAAACACTACGAAATTTAAAGGTCATATGAATGATATTTGCTTATAAAGTCAATTCTACGGTTTTTTTTTTGATAATGCATATTTGATAACGATAACGTCTGCTTTACGCCTTGTCTAATTCTATCACTATACAGTATTATTGAGAGTTTATTTAATGAAGTGCATACGTTTTTCGATAAAAAATAAAAGTATCCCATTTCTGCTACTTGTTTATTCTGTTAGATTCATGCAACGATTGAATTGTCGTGCTTATTTCTAATTGCTATGGAAGTATTTCTAAGAATTAAATGGCTCGGAGTTGGAATCTTTAGAACTCATTTTCGAAGTGCTATTAAGGTTCTATTTAGAAATATTCTCTTAATAGTCCATTGTTTTTTCTTGTATTTTTCCAGGCAATGGCTCTGGCTATTATGATAGTCGAGGCAATAGTGGTTATAGCAAGAAATAAAAGTCACTTCCGGGTTACCAGATGTATTAGGCCACTTTTTCTATTGGATTGCTTTTATTGCACTGGTTTGAGGAGGTCTGCTATTTAATTAACCATATAATAAGAAAGTGAATAGTTATTTATCTTAGATTTATTCGTCAAATTATACTATCTTTACCACCAATACTTGATATGCTACTTTTAGTATTGTTCAACATGTTACTTTTCTCAATATTAGGTAAGAAATTATTAAAAGAGCCATTTAATTTATCGATACCGGTTTTTTATAGGTTTTTATTTATTTGCTGATATCCCTCATAACGACGTAAGTAAATGATGTAATCTATATATTGCGTTGTATCAAATTGTTTCTCTATAGTACTTCGATTCTATTCAACAAAGTTTTGTTAGCCTCTTTGTTCTGCTAACAACTGCAAAGTATGTTATACATCTTTAAAATTATTCCTTTATTCTTTACTTTTTCAAACTAAAATCTCTTCCCAGCTATCCAGATGTCATGATGCCCGCCTATAATGCTCACAGAATAAACGCTGCATTCTTTATTGTATATTTAGCTATTGAATTATATTTTTTGATGAATTTGGTAATTGATTATTAATATTTATTATTAATTCTTTTAATTTTTTCTTATTATTAATTAAAAATTAGATGCTAGCAGTTGCCTATAACGTTTTTAGTAATCAGGAGAAGTTAAAGTTGAAAAAGTTACTTCTTCACAAGAGAACTTCTTGCAGAAAAGCTTTCTCATTATTAGTAGGTGACCTTTTTTGTTTTTGTTTTACATATTAACTAGGACAATGCTTGAACTCTTTTACTTTTTCTAAACAGGGAAGCGATACTATGAATTTATGTCAATATAGCAAAATTATGCATTACTTTAATCCCTATATGGGTTAGAAAAATATAATTATATTTAAATTATTACTGTTATTAATTATTGTCCCTGTTTTGTTTTTTTTTCGCCGTCAATTATAGATCGAAAAAGCGTTTACTTATCGTTTAAGACACTAAATAAGTCGGGTAATGGGACATTAAACCTGGAGGAATTTTTATGTGTATTCGAAATGATTGGCTTAAAATGGAAGGTTAGTTTTAACATTATTAAAGAATAATAGAATGTTTTCTTTGATTAACTTTGTTAATTAATTTTTCTAAGAATGTTGCAAGCTAAAATTAGTTCATTGTTTGATGACTTTTCAAAATAAGGCCTATACCATTAAAAAAAAAGATACTTGATTCAATAATAACCTTTTCATTTCTCTTAATTATTTATAATAACGTGATAAATCCATTATTGATTTTTCAAGCATTTTCTTATGCTTTTTAATTTGTCTTTTATTCTCTTTACAGCTTTTAATTGAACGTAAAGGACCATGGTTCAATAATTTTTTTCAACCTTTTAAGTTCATATGTAAAATTTTACGTAAAATTGTCAAAATGAAATGCTTCGATATTGGAGTTTGTACGTTTTAAAATATTTTCCATTAATACCTTTATCAGTTCACTAAATTCATTAATATATTTTAACAGATGTTGTTATTGCTGCAAATTTCGCTTTCTTTTTTATAAATACAATAAGATTGTCGATAAGATTTCAAAAGTCTAGAAATTTTGAACAAGAGGAAAAAGCTATTGAACACGAAGCATATACTTTAATATTTGTGTCGAGTAAGTAGTTTCTTTTTCTACTTTTGTTATTGTTTTTTTTTTTTGACGAATGGATAATTTAATTTTTTTTCTTCCTTCCGCCTATAGTCTACGTTGTTGAAATGTCAATGAAATTGCTTGGTTTAGGACCTGTAGAATATTTTAAATCGGGCTGGAATAGGTGGGCTACTTTCTTCATTTTTTTTACTTGGTTAATTCATTTCTTTTCTAAAGGTTTGATTGCGTAGTAACAATTTTGGGTTTTATCGGAGGTTTTATCGCCTATGCAAAACCAACTCTAACGTATATTATCATTTTGAGGCCATTAAGATTACTAAGGTAAAAGATATTGTTCTTTTTTTTTTGTCCTTTATAAATGTTTTTCTTTCAGATTGTTTAAATTAAAATCAAGATATAGAGAAGTCCTTGGAACTGTCAGTGTTCTTGGCGATAGAATGTTTAAGTAATAAATCTTTTCAAAATAAAGTAGTCCTACATACATAGATATATATATTTTTACACAGCATTGCCATAGTTATGATATTATTATTCTATTCGTTTGCAATAGTTGGTATGGAATTATTCTCAAAATACGAAATGAAAGATTGCTGCAGGTAAAATATTGAAAAAATGAATTAAAAAAGTCTTTATTTTTAATTATTATATTATTTTTTAAGGAATACAAGCGTCGAAATACAATATGCATATAGATATGCAGAAAATAATAATACTGGATATTATTATTTAAATAATTTTGAAAATATATTAGCCAGTTCCGGTAGGATTTTTAAATGAATATCAAATAAACTTTTTTTTCAATTTATATTTTAATAATATCTTATTACTTTTTTTTTACCTTACAAAGTGACCTTATTCGAATTAACCGTTGTAAATAATTGGTATATTATAATGGTAATTAATTGATTAATTCGTTTAGAAATAACTTCTCTTAAGGAATATATTCTTAATTAAATGAGTTTTTTATTTTTTAGAACGGATATGCATTTGTGACTAGCGAATGGTATCGAATTTATTTTATGGTTTTTTATATTGCAACAATGGTAATACATTTATATATTAATATCTATTTTATATATTAATTCTTTATTTTTTTCTTTCACAGGTTGTTTTAACTGTAATTGTTGCATTTATACTTGAATCTTTTATGTTCCGTATAAAATACAAGAAGCGAATGTCTGAAGTAGAAGACGAAGAAGATTATCATATTGAAGATCACGTTCGATTTCAAGTCGTTCAAACTCTAACAGAAAAGGAACTGCAGTTATGTGAAGATGCTCTTTTAATGTTAAAGCCTTTATACGCGGAGCCAAATACTGATGAGGTTTTTGATATATAATAATATATATAAAGGTTATAATAGTAGTAAAAACACTTCTTTTTATCTCTTCAACTAGAATTCGATGTCTCATAAATTCGTGGGCGAAAAAGTCCAAAGCAAAGATGATTTTGGGCTGAGAATGTATAGCGACGAAGTTGTAGAGTGGTTGGAAGAAGAACGACTTAAATTAGAAAATAATTCAAGACCCACTCAAGTTTTAGTTGATCATTTAGCAAATGGAACTGACGAAGGAGCCCACTTAGCATAACGTTACATAACGAAGGACTAACTGATGATGTAATAGATGTTTCAAAATCACAAGAGGGAAAGGGGTGGGGGAAGGAGGTGACTTGGGAGAAATAGGGTTTGGGTAAGGAAGTTAATAAAAAACAAGCAACTCTTGCATAAGTTTACTCTAATTTTTCACTTATATATATATTTATCAGAAAATAACGTCTTATTTATTAGACTAATATACATTAAATTCTATTTTAATAAAAAAAGCAAACATATTAATATTATTGTTTATAATGAAATGTATAACAATAAAAAAACGTTATTACAGATATTACGGTTGAACCAGGTTTTTATTATCATTAATCAAATCATCGGGCAAAAGCAAATACAGCTAATTGCACAACAATTGCCCACACTTTTAGATATTTAATTTGTATTTATTGAACCTACTTGTACTCTTTTCTTTCTCTTTTCCAACTAGATATCAAAACTTTAAGAGTTCTTGGAAGACTTCTTTAATATAATCTAATATACATGTGTGTCTATAATGGTTTCAAACAATTTAGAAACGCCTACGAATTACTTCATTTATGAATGAATGATAAATACATTAGATAATGCACAAATATAACAATACATCTGCAGAGAATCGTATCAACTCTGGAGAAAGTTACATTAAGATATTTAAAGATATCGTAAAATGAAACTTTATATTAGATTGTTCCCTCCGTCTCTCTCTTTCTGTCTCTCTTCTTATCTCTATACTAACGTTTTTCATTTTTGTCTCTTGGGAAACCATTGTATTTTATATATTTGAATAATGAAAATACCCTTTGTTCTTAATTAATGTAAAATTGAAAGAAATCTATTAGACGTTGTTAATGAATAAAATAATAATATTGAATACAAAACGCGGAGTAAAATATTAATGACTTGTCGTTTAAATATGGCAACTCTTGTATCAATTTCATAAGACGATAGTATGCGTTTGATAGACTTTCTTTTAATCTCCTTTCTCTTTTCAATCTACTACTGCAATGGAAAATCCTGGTATTGGTCGTTTGACATTCCAAATGGGCCAAATAGTTTACCTATTCAAACGAATTATAGCAGTAGTTCACTTGGCAAAAAAGGAAATAGTTTGCTTGTAAACTTTAATGAAAGTTTGCCAGTTGTTGGAAATTGGTCATTGGGAGATAATTGTATAACTAACCCGGACAGTTGTGAAAATGGTATTGCGTTTGGTTTCTGGGTGTATTTGATAAATGTAACTGGTTCTTCATTAGAAATCTTATCAACTGTAGATGAATCTGCTTCATCTATGGGTTTTCAGATAAGATATAACTCTTATGAACATAAAATTACTTTTTCTGTTTTTCGAAATGGAAGTAAATTTGAGATAAGCACACTTTTACCTGATCAAGCTGGTATCAACAATTGGATGCACGTTGCTGGATCATGGAATAGAGAGTATAAATTTCAACTTTTATGGTTGAATGCAAACTTACGTAATATAACAGAGGAGGAGACAACATCCTCATCATCAGAGCTTGGAGGTAGATTGAGAATTGGATCTACATGTAATGGTTCATTTAAAATTGATGAATTATTTATTAGAGATAAATCATTTTCTTTTAGCGATGTCTTAAATATGCAAGGTAATTCAACCTCTATTTCATCTTAGGTCATTTACCTTTCATAATAATATTTTTGAAAATTTTAAAGATACTCTAATAAAACCTGTTGACAATGTTATTACCTTAAATTTTGATGATATCTACGAAGGATCAATATTAAGTGGATTACCATTTGTCTCGGCTCCTGCCTACAACTTGCAGCTTTCCGAAGGAAAATCAAATTCCGCAATTAAAATGAAAAATGCTGTTTTAAATATTGGTTCATTCCCTGACTGTTTTGGACAAGGTAAAGACAAAGAAGTTTGGTGTCCGGATGGGTTTACCCTCCATTTTTGGTTTAAAGTTGTCGATTTTACCATCTTTCCTCATGAAATAATGAGGCTATTTGGAAATTCAGATTTTAATATGGCATTCACTGGTTTCGGTATATACATAGATCGAGCAGAAGATAACGGTACTCCTAAGAACGCATACGATCTTTTTCTAATAATCTTTAAAAAGAAGCATTATCTAAAATATAGAATTGGTGAAATATCAAAACCTGAATGGTTTGAGATTATATTAACATTTGATCACATACTAGGAGGTTTTTCTGTAAGTTAAGGAAAAATTATAAATTATAGAAGTTGACTAATTAAAAGATGTAATTTTCACTAAGAAAACATTCGAAAACAAAGTGGAATTTATAGGTACACGGTTTATACTGAAAGACAAAAGCATTTATCATCAATATGATGACCTTGGCGATAGATTAGAAAGCTTTAATTTAGATCTTGTTTTAGGTATTCCAATTACAATTGATCTATTTATACTATATATTATATTCATTATTGTTCATAGGAACTAATACAAGCTTTCCGTATATGATTGATAGCTTTAAGTTCTACGGTAAAAAATTTGATGCAAACACAGCTGAACAAGGATTTGGTAAAATATTCTAGTAATTTATCATTTTCCCATATTTAAATTTGTTTACTCCTTTCTAGAAACTATTACAGAGGAAAAAATCTCTCTGACCAGTACTTACCTTTCAATAATCAATAGTACAGAAACTTTACGTAAGGTTTCATGTCAAGAATGTGCACCTTTCTTCCAAGGACCTCATCTTTATTCTGCAAGCAGAATAGTTAAGAATTCTTATGAACAGATTAAATTATATAATACCAGCAATTGTTTAAAAAACATCAGATACTGTTCAAAAGGTATCTCTCTCGGAGTTTGGCTCTTTATATCAGGTTTATTCTCTCTCTCTCTCTCTCTCTCTCTATATATATATATATATATACATTTATATATATACAGTACATATATATATATATTTGTAAAATGTCTTCAGAGAATATTGGATCTGTTGAAGATGGGGTTATTTTTGATAGAGGAGGCTATAGTGACGATGAATACGGCTACGGAATCTATATTCTAAACAAAATGCTTGTTATTCGTTTACAAACCAAGTATTGTTATTATGAATATTCAAGAGAAGTATTACTAGGCCAATGGTTTCATTTACATTTTTCGCACGAAGAATTAACCATAGGCTTAAGAGTAAGAATCAATTCATTTATAGTTGGTCAGGAGAAGATATGCAAACCTAGAACATATAAGGAGAGAACAGAACCACTGAAGCAGTCTCTTGGCTATCTAACAAATTATACATTCTCTCATAATGATTTCATGTTCTATAAACTTTACGTATCGAACTCAAGTGAGAAAAGTCCTTTGAACGATACAAAATTTATTGGAGAAACGGCTAGAACTTATGCATATACGGTTACATTTTGTAGTTTTGAAACAGTTGATTCATATAATTACGTATCGGGTAAAAAAAATTACTTAATGAATATTGATGAAAATCAACCTCCTGTTCAATTTAAACTATACGAAAATGCTAAATTGGATTATGGATCTGTATTGTTTCATAACTACTTGAATCTAAGCGATGGATATGCTATTTCGTCAACTTACTATAGACATTGTTTTACACATCCTGAATATTGTGCAAATGCATACTTTCATTATTCGTTTTGGTTAAAATTATCCGCCTCTTCTTATGGCACTCACTTTTGGGTTGGAAATGGAAATTTCACTTTTCTAAAAGTGTCGAGTACCGATCAAAATATTAACATAACTGCCAGATCAAAAACAAACGTTTGTTATGCATCTTCTCCCGTTCAATATGATAAATGGTTGCTTGTTCAAATATCTGTAATTACTGATAATGCGGCGTTTAAAATTGCTGAAAATATCACATTTGAACTTCAAAGGAAAAAGCAATGGTCTCTCTGTTATGATGAGGTTACAGAGTGGACAAGTTCCGATGAGGGTTATATGGTATTTGGAGCAGATTATAGCGATAATGTAATCTCAGATAAAGGAAAGGCAGCTATAGATGATCTCTTTTTATATTTTGATGGAAATTATAATGAGAGAGAGAGAGGACAATCTGATTTCACTTATGGTAAGAAAATGAATGGGAATTTGATTCATTCAATCTTTCTTATCTTTTTCAGTTGGAGTCACATGTAGTGATTTCAGATATGAAGAATATTTTAAAGAATTTGAAATATTTAGGCTTTCAAGTTATAAATACAGATGTAAATTTCCAGAAGATAAAGGTTCTTAACTAATTAAAATGGTTTCTCATTTAAAAGCAATAGTATTCCTACAGAGAAAGAAACTATAACGGAACTTGAAAGTACAGTTGGCCACAATTGGACTTCCATAACGACTGAAATAAAGTATTCAGATTTTTATTCTACCTCCAGCTTTAGAGGTGCTGTGCAGCATCTTCTTCTCACTTCAAAGAAATCTTTACAATATTTTACAATAAAGTGTTTAGAAAATTTTCAATTATTTAACACTTTGTCAAATACTTACTACGAAACAATAAGTAGAAGAGAGGAAAAATTACCGGGAGCTATAAGCGCTGGTACGTGTCCTTGTAGGAATAAGAATGAATGTGAAAACGTTAATGCTCCTTGCAATTGCGATGGCATTAATTCAAATACGACTGATGAGGGTTCAGTTTATTTTGATCATACAAAAGAGGAAAGTATTTCGAATAGTGAGGTACCTTTTAAAGCCGTTAGAGTGCAAGAATCTCATAGTATTACAACTGGTTTTGCTTGGAAAGTAAGTCCTCTTATAGGGATAGACGATGGTCCGTTGGGTTTTTATTTTCCTTTAGACGATTCCGATACAAACAATATGGATCAGCGTTTTATATATCATCCAACAAATTTTATAAAAGTTGAAGATGAAGGGCATACTTGTTGGAAAGTAGATAGTAATGGTTTGACTATTGATTCAACGAAAAGGAATGTCAAATGTTTCAAGAATATTAACGATTGTATTATGGGTTTTTCACTAGCTTTTTGGGTAAAATATCCCCAGAAAATATATAATCAGCAGACAATAATGTTAAATCTAAATCCGGATGGATTTCAAATTGAGTATAAATCTGGAAAAATTATCTTTGCCGTTTATCAAGAAGGTAACTATTGGGAGAATTCTATTGAAACATCAATTGATAATTGGATTCATATTATGGTTTCCTGGCATCCGATTCTTGGTTCAAAATTATATTTAAATAATATTGATACGATAACAATGAATGGAGAATATAAGACGATGACTGATAAAACACACAGTTGTGTTATATACGGTTGTTCCTTCAATCGATTAGGCATTGGTAGGAATTTAACAGATAATTCTTTCTACATGGACGAATTTTACTTTTCACAAAATGTTATTTATACTAAAGAAAACAGATTAAAAATATACCAAAGCTTACAAATCGATTATTTCCATTTTTCTTTTGATAATTTAACAGCTTTACCAACTTATTGGAACGGTACCAATTTGAAACAGATTAACGAACCCATTGAAAATGGTCTTCAAGTAGATGAACTTTTAATGGGACATAGAGTAACTTGTCCAGTTAGTTTATCATTTTGTCCAAATGGTTTTACGATTGCTTTCTGGTATAAATTCAATATGGAGGAGACTGCAAGTCAATTCTTTCAATTAGGAAAGAATATTAAATTGAATTACGATGGTGATTCAACAGTTACTCTATCATCTATATATTTTAATGATATACTATATTTCCATACGTCAAAAGGTAGTTGGCATCATTTATTCATAACCTTAAATTCTACAATGGTAGAAGTTTTAGTTAATGGAAGATTAGTGAACTCTTCCTACGTTACAAACAGTACTAATAACGATTTTACTTCAATATTAACTTTCAATGGTAATCAATTAGGAGTTGATGATTTACATCTTTTTACAACTTCCGTAAATCAAAGTGTATCCAAACTGTTATCCAGTCAATATAGGCGTAGCTATAGCTTTCCAATGGATAATGTAACTTATCCTATTAAATGGAAGGATTCTGGTAAATTAGTAGACGGCCTTATTGGAAAAGCAATTTTAGTTAATGAAACAACAGAAACTTTTGTAAAATATTCAACAGAATGCTTATCAACAATTGCTTGGTGTTTCGAAGGTTTTACCTTATCATTCTGGATTAATTTAAGACAGACAACTTCAACCGAGAATCTCCTATTAGAAATATCCAATTCGGTTATCTTCTCTTATAACAGAAATGATAAGATGATAATTATAAAGATTCGAGAAGAAACTGAAACGCTATTAATTCAGACGACATTTAATATTTTAGAGTGGAATCATATTGCTCTTAGCTATAATAATGATTCAATTGTCTTGTTTATAAACAATATCTTAATAACAAATGGAAATTTATCAAAAATAATATCTAGCGGAAGTGCTCATCAACCATCTCCACTTCGAATTGGAGGAAATTTAATCATAGACGAATTGAAATTTGATGAAAGCTCTTTAAATTATCGAATTATAAATGATACATATGGTAAACTATAAAGAATAATTAGATCATCTTGTTCAATTAAAATGTCTATTCTCTTTCTTTTTTAGAAAAGGGATTAATATGGAATAGGAATTTATCATTTAGTATGGACAATTCATATGGATTTCTTAATGGCCAACAGACGTCTGGTACAAACTCAACGTCTGGACTGTTGGTTAAATCGGGATTATTTTCAAAAGATGCCACTAAATTTTCATTAAATGGGCAGTTTAAAATTGATAATTTACTGAAAGATACTTGCTTTAGAGATATTACGTTATGCTCTGGTTTTTCCTTATCCGTCTTTGTAAAATTGGATGAAAACTATAATAAAACTGTTATCTTAAATTCTAGTTTAGTAAACTTCGTTTGTGATATTTTTAACGAAAGTTTACCTTTAAGAAAATACTGCAAAATTGAGGTTCTATCTAAAATACAGCAATATACAGCAAAAACTATAAATTATTATAAATGTTTTCGTTTTTTTATCAGATAATATCTTCAAACAAGGTTTGGACTTCAATTTATCGCGTAAAGTTCGGCGTCTATTTCCATTTATTCTTATCGTGGAATTTACAAGACGATCTTAGCGTTTACGTTGACGGTTTACTTTTGGAAAGGTTAACGCCAATACCGAAATTAGATGATAAACTTTATACAGTTCAAGATATCATCATTGGTGATGGATCATCAGAATTTGAAATTGATGAATTGGAAATATTGAATGGGAAGAGTGAATTGATTGAGAATGTTAATAATGAAATCCATTATGAGATTGGTTGTTTGTCAACGATATCTTCAGATTGGACTTTGATGGGACAAGTAAATAATTCATTGGAATGTAGGAGAAACTGCAAGATAAATAGTGAAAAGAGTTTACTAAGCGATACCAACTCTTGTTATTGTTCCAATCTAACTTTAATTAATTATAGCGTCTGCAATGGATCTTATTCAACAGTATACAGAACTTGCGCCTTTCTACCATTCATTAATCCGGAGAGGATAATCAATTTTAACGCAACTGTCAACGATCACTACTCAATTGACAATGAAATTTTTATAAATGTTAACGAGACGTTTACGTTCAACTTGACAACTAACGAAAATACTTTTGCCATGTTTAGAATTAATTTAACGAATGACGTCATCCATTTTACATATATTCGTGATTTTGAATATAAATATTCAATTACTGGCGAATTTATAATTGAAAGTCTGGCTAGAAATGAAAAGAATGATGTAATTCTAAGACAAACAATACAGGTTATCACTCCTAGAGAGTTGATTAGAAATTTAACAATTCAAGGTCCAACGACATTTGAATTTAATTCGACGCAAACGTTCACATACTCTGCAATTGGGGGTGGAACTATGGCAAATTGTTCAATATTTATTAATAACATTCTCCAGGGAAGTATGTTTGTAAAGAATTTAACAAAAATCACAACATACGTTGAAAATTTTACGAAAAGAGGACTAAACGAATTAAAGTTGATCTGCAATAATAAAATATCAAAGGAGGAAGTTTCGTTAAACATTTCCATAATTGAAACAATAAAGAATCTTACAATTCAACCATTTTGGTTAATGGACATAAATGACCCGAAGAATATTAGTTGGAAAGTTGAATCAGGGAATTTAATTGAATATTCATTACATGTAAATGAGAGTTTTATAGTAAAAACATGGGATAATTTTTATCTTTTCGATAATTTTATGAATGAAACTGATAGCTATATAATAGATATATACGCCAAAAATAATTATTCAACAGCATACGTTAATGCTACTGCAAGGATTGAAAGGAAGATAAGTTATTTCAGAATATATTCTAACGGATCCTATTACAAAACTAATGAAACTTTTGACGTTTTTATTAATTTAACTGGTTCAAATGTATGGCAAGATATTTCTTTCGAATCATATTCAATTAGTAAATTTATTCCTGGAGATCAAGTTGAAATGATCAATAAGTATCAAACAAATTTCTCCTCCCCCGGTTATTATTTAATCAACGGAAGTGCCAGAAATGATTTATCTTCTATTAACGCTCTTAGTGAATATATCTTTATTCAAATTCCTTTGGGGAATGCCTCTTTGGATGCTTTTAATGTTACCCATTATCAAAAAGGGATAAATGTCAATTTAACATCCGATAATCTAGCTACAAATGTAACAGTTATTTTACAATATAAGAAATTCGATTCTCCATCGTTCGACATTTGCCAAACTTCCTTTATAAATGAATTTAATTATGAGAAATTAACTTGTACACCAATTAATCAAGATGGTTTTTACTATTTTAAGGCGGAAATGTCTAATAGAGTTTCGACTAAGCAGATAATAAACGATGAAATTATACGAATTGGAACGCCTATTGGAAATATTTCTATAGATCAGGTGACGCCTTTAATAGCTAAAACGTCCGATACGATAAATATCGGTATACGAATTACAGATGGAAGTAATGTTAAATCTCGAGTGTTTTTAGGCTCAATAATGAAAATAAAATCCCATAATGGTCTTGTAAATGGATATTTTCAATACTATTTTCAAAATAATCCAATAGGAATATTTAATATTACTTTAGTAGTATCAAATAATTTTGGAATTGTTACATCAAAGTATAATACAACTGTTGAAATTCAAAAAGAAATTCAAGATTTTCAACCGATAGGACCATTTATTTTCGATTTAACAGATTCTAAAATAATACGTTGGAAAATAAGTCAAGGTTATCCAATAAACGCTACAGCCTATATTGATAATATGCCAGTTTTTGTTGAAAAAGAGAACGATACTCATTTTTCAGTAAATGCCAGTAGTTATTTACTGTCATACCGTCCAGAATTTAAATTATTCATTGACAATAAAGTGAGCAACCTTATAACGTTTTCAAAGAATTTAACAGTTACAAAAAGGATTGAAGGTCTCAATCTACAATTACCAAAAGCCCTATTTAAGACGAATGAAACCGTAAATTGCACTTTAAGCTTTAAATTCGGAATTAATATTAATGTTGAAATATTAACGAATTCTACTCTTAAAATTCCGACTGCATTCCGTATAGAGGATGGTAAAGATTATGAAATGAAATTTTCGATCCAAGGACCTCAGCCAGGGTATTATAGGTTAACGATAAATTGTTGGAATTCTTTAGGTAACGCCAGCAAATCTATATATTTCCAAACGTTTAACGACGTTATTGACTTTAATATAATGGCTGATAATGTCTCTTATCATTGGATGCCTGTCGAAATATTTCTGGCTTTTCCTAGCTTGTACGCATTTCCCTCAGATATGGAAATAATAGTGTTATTCGGGGATGAAAAAGCCTCCAGCGCAGTCGAGAAAATTGATGAATATAATTACAAAATTAGCCATATTTATCAAGAAGATGGATATTATAAGATATCAATCCAAACGTCTAATCCAGTTGGTAATTCATCAACGTCTAAAACTGTTCAAGTTGGACAAGGAATTTCCTCTCTATCATTCTCTCTACCGACAAAATCTCTAATTCTTAATCAAACTTATACAATATCTTGCCAAATAACCGATGGTTCTAATGTATCATTATCAATCGATTATTTTGGCGAAAGAGAAAGCGTCACTTATAGAAACGCTACAACAAATAATATAATTCCAATAAATTTTACCTATAATAGAATTGGCGTTTATAAGATAGGATTGCGAGCGTTTAATTTATTTACTGATATCGATAAAATTATCGAAAACCTATTTGTTGAAGAATTAATTAAGAAAATTGAAGTTATTAAAACTATTTATAGCTCTCTTAGTGATGATAGAGCAATAATAAGATGGAATATAAGTGATGGAAATCCTCTGTCTTGTCGATTAACGTATAAAGACATTTCTATTTGGAATATTAATGAAAATTGTAATAAATCTAGTAAGATTGATATACAGGCACCGTCGCAAGTTGGTTCACATATTTATAATTTTACTACGTGGAATCATTTATCCTTCCTATCCGAATCAATTGAATTAATTAGAATTAGAGAAATTGAATCAATATCAATAAAACTCATTGGGAATTATTTTCCAAAAGGAGAGACTGTTAATATAAGCGTCATAATTGAAAAAGGATCAAATTTTACAGCTCTACTAAAATCTCAATTTATCAAAAATATTAAAACATTCGTTTACAAAGGAGACAACAGCGATAAGAAACATTATTGGTTAAATTATAGATTCCATAATCTGGGACAAACTAATTTATCCCTTAAAGTTACGAATATACTAGGAGAAAAGACTGTAGAGAAATCTATTTTCATTCAAGATAGAATTAAAGAAGTTTTTATGGACGTAAATAATTTAAATTCGTTTAGGGAAGCTGCTACTTTTGAGTTCTATACGAAAAATTCATCAATATCTATAGAAGATGCAACTATTAAATTACAAACTGGAGATGGTAGTTTGTACGAATTTAATAATATTAATATAAACATATCGAATAATTATACAATTAAACATTCGTATAAATACGAAAGAGAATATGATATTAAAGCGATTATTAGTAATAAGATTAGCTCTATAACTAGAAATGTAATTATCCAAGTTGGAGAATGTATCAAGAATCCGCTATTCCTGTTGAAATCGGCAAATTTTACACCTGGAAGTTTAATTCAGTTCACGTTAAACATCACTGAAGGATCTAACGTAACTTTAGCCATATATATAAACAATAATTTTGAAAATATCATTAAAATGGAAGAAAATCAAGCTATCTTTGAGAAAATATTCAAAAATCAAGGAAAATACAATATCACTGCTAAATTTCAGAATAATTTCTGTTCTGTTAGTAAATGGTTAGCGTTTAGCATTGAAGAGAGGATTGAAGGGATAAAACTTCAATTAATGAATACGCCTTTAGTCGGATCGCCACTTCAATTTCAATTTAGCTATTCAAATCTCGGATTAGAGCCCTGTCTTATATGGGATTTTGACGATTCGGGTCCAAGATACATATATGGTAGAGAATCTTGTAGACAGAATGACGCTAATGCTATTTTAAAGGAGTTTAATTACGAGAGGAATAAATTAACTCATAATCATATTTGGAGAAAAGCTGGCTTATATAATATTTTCGTTTATGGCTTTAATAGCGTTTCCAGAATAACCAAACGTTTATCAGTAAGAGTTATAGAATGTCAGAAACCATTTGTAGACATTAGTGGTATTGGTAAAACTTTGGACGAGGCCTTAGTTGTATTTAGATCGGAAAAACTATCTTTACAAACAATCATAGAAAGTCGTTGTACAGAAGCCTATCCTTTAGATATTAAGTGGAAAGTCTTTAAGGATGGCGTGGAATTATTTAAGATTAATACCACTTTACCTTGGTTGAATATACCGTCTAATGTTCTTCCCTATGGTATCATCTTTTTTGAGGTTAATGTAAAGATCACTGAATTCGAAGGAGTAGAGAATACAGCTAGAAAATATATTAAAGTTTTACCAACACCCCTAGACATAAAACTATCTGGAGGAAGTGGTCGTGCAGTTAGATGGAACGACGTCCTATATATAAATGCCTCTTCTTCGGTTGTCGATTCCGATGGTAGTAGCGTTAATGAATTCATGTTTACATGGAAGCGTAAAAATGATAAACGATGGACTATTTTGGGAAAGCAAACTCTAGCCTCCAGTAGAAGAAAGAAGAGATCTGTATGTAATTTTGGATGTTTAGAAACAATAGCCGATCAACAAGGAACAATCGATATTCAAGTAGAAGTGACACAAGGATCAAGGAAAACTTCTGTTAAACAATCAATGGTAGTGATGGATGCCGCATTCATTCCATCCATTACTCTGAAATGTCTTATTAATTGTAAAAGAAAAATGAATCCTTCAAATCGTCTAACTTATGCTTCAGAATGCTTAAATTGTCCTGTAAACAGCGTTTGGCAATATAAATGGGAATTATTCGGCGAGTTTGAAAACGGTACACATCGTATAAATATTGATGACAAGTTTGTCACCGGTAAGAGATTAATGAAGAGAGAAAGAGAAATAGAGCAACAATTAAACAAAAATATAATGTCTTTTTTATTTTATCAGATAAGAACTCTAAGGATTTTTCTCTAAAAGGAGGAGTTGTTCACTCAGGTTACAAATATAAACTTAAATTAACAATGCACAATTCCCAAAGTTATGGATTCATCGAGCAAGCCTTTATAACCAATTATCCACCTTATAATGGAATGTGTAAAGTAGAGCCTAATCAAAGTAACAGTATTTCTTTGCTCTAATTATATAAAAACTACCCTTAACGTATTATTTTCAGTTATATCTCTGATTCATAAATTGAAGGTTGAGTGCTCAAATTGGGCTGATGAAGGTTTACAATTAACTAGAAGTCCTGCCGATGACTTCTTTCAAAATAGAAAACTAGTTTATCAAACTTTTCTTAAGCAAAATTCAGATTGGATTTTACTTCATACTTCGGAAGAAAGTTCAACTCCACCTATGCATTTACCAGTTAATCCTAATACGGAGATAAAAGTTAAAATAATAGATTCGTACGATGCTTTTAAAGAAGTATTTTTAATAGCCCACGTACAACCATTTACAGCTGGTTTACAGGAAATACATTCGCTTATTAAAGGGAGTAGTAGCGAATTAAAATTTTCTACCCTTTCTAAGAATTTCCAAGCCAACTTACGAATACAAAATGCTATCGCCGGTCACCTTAACTACAAACCTCCTTGTTCTCCGAATAATAATTTAAATATAACCGATAGAAAACAACTTCGAAAAGATCTAATTGAAACATTTTCGAATACGTCTATATGGTTGGAAACTAGTTCAGCTTTGAGGCAGGGAGCGTCAACTTTAAATCAATTAATATATGAAACGAATGAAATTTCATCCGATTCAGCGGTAAACGAAATCAATTGATGACAAATTTTTTTTTCTACCTTTTTATTACTTTTATTAGAGAGAAACGTCGGATTTGTTACTTAAAATGGCAACAAAACTATCAACTATTAATGATGATATTTTCGAAGACGCTCTAACTACAGCCAAAGGTTTTTGCAGATATCATTTATAGTCCTATAATTTACTGTATTATTGTAAAAAACACATCAGAAATATCGAAAATAATAGCAAAGTGCGTAGAGAAGAGTTATCTGTCAGTGCCGTTGAGTACTAATCTACCGGACCTACCGCCTAAGGAGAAAGAAAAACTCTTGAAAGAAATTGAACAAAAACAACGGAAAATATACGATTACGAAAGAAAAATTGTAATTTAATTTAAATAATTAATTATTATAATTTATTCATATTTTAAATAATTCTATATAGGCTGAAATTATTTTAACTACAACAATTCAATCGGGGGATATAGTAACGTCGGTATTATCCAACTTTCAAATGCCTAATGAAGAAACAATCGAACTTGGAAACGACAATTGGAATATGAAAATAAAGAAGATATCTAAAGTATCGTTATATATGTCGACCTATATGAACGGGGATGCGAGAGTTGTGTTTCCATCGGTAGCTTCCAACCTACTTAGAGGCTATAAGGAGAAAGATGTCACTTTACAGGTAAGAAAGGGAGAAAGTTACATAACGGTTTTATATTTTAAAGAAAAAAACATATTCTCTTTAGATTATAAGCTCAAAAGAAAATCCAATCTCCTGGGGAATTGATAATGGAAAATTGATAAATTCTGGAATATTGGGGATAAAACTTTTTGACTCTTCAAGAAGACAAATTTACGTTAAGAACCTAACCGAAAATATAATTTTAAAAGTGGATAAAATGAAGAAGAAGAGAGATATCTTTTATAGAATGAAGGCATACGATTTAGATAAGAGGGAAACTAATATTATTTCTCATAACGTTTCGTATGCCTATCCAACTAGAGCCATCAATTTGAAATTAGTACCAAAGCAGAGGAAAGAACCCTTAATTATCTATGTAAGAATGAACGAAAAACCTACAAGTGAAAAGTACGATTCCTTATATTTTCTGCCGTCAAACAAAAACGGATTTAATCAGGTCATTCCAGTAGTCGGAAATGGTACTTGCTATATTGGAGTTAAAGCTAGTAAGTATTCCCTTCTTAATTGAGCCTATATTTAGAAATTCTTTTGTAAAAATATACTTTGTATGTACTTTTCTTATATATTATTATTATTTCCAAGAAAATCAAATATCCTATATGGAATATGGTATTAGTATTGAAAAACTGACGTGTATGTTCTGGAGTACTACAGATAGAGAATGGAAAGATGAAGGATGCCGAGTACGTTGTGTGATTTAACATAGTATTAATTAGTTAATTGAAAGAGTAAATAAAATCTTATACGCTAATAGGTGTCGGATAATCAGGAAGATAATAGTCAGGTTCTATGCGAATGTAACCATCTGACATTTTTTGGGTCAAATATAATAGTAGCTCCGAATCCTATTGATTTTAGTTCGGTATTTGGAAAATTTAAGACGATTGGGGATAATATCGTTGTATTGGCGTTTATTATTTCTATTCTGGTACTATTTTGGATATCTTTATTTATTCTTAGAAAGCTCGATAAAAGCGACGAAATTAAATGGTCTATGAGGAGTTTGTTAGATAATTCGGCATTCGATACTCATCATTACGCCCTTATTGTAAGAATTGGGTATAAGAAGAACTCGGGTACGAAATCCGTTATTAGATTCAGAATTCAGGGTAATGAGGGAAGTTCTCACGTGAGAACGTTGTATGATGGATACCGTCAAGAATTAAGACCATCGAACATCTATCATTATCACATGACCACTAATCAGAGTTTGGGTAAACCAACGAATTTACAGATATGGATTAATCCAGATGATAATAATAAATATGATTCGTTGCTTCTAGAAGAGATAATTGTCGTCGATATTTCAACGATGAATAAGCACTATTTTTACGTTAGTTCTTGGTTGACTGAGACTAATCCCTGCTTATACGTATCAACAATAGAGGGAAAGGAGATTCTAAAATCTTCTAGGCTATGGCCAATGTGGTTAAGAAGAAAACTTACAGACGATCATCTATGGATCAGTGTTTTGTCAAGACCTACAAGAAGTGTTTTCAACCGGTTACAAAGGGCTTCCTGCTGCTTATCATTGATAACAACATCTATGCTAGCTTCAGCTATGTTTTATAGAACAACAAAAGATGAGAGTGCCGATAGCGTTATTAAATTCGGGCCCTTAAAATTTTCTTTGCAACAGCTCTGGATTGGGGCCATGTCGGGTCTGGTTGTTGTTCCCGTTAACCTTCTTATTGTAACTATATTTAGGAAATGTAGCCGGAATCCTAACTCTAAAGAAAAGAAGTTACTTCCTTCTTTCTTGATATTTGTGGCTTGGCTGCTAATATTCTTATCGGTATCGACGTCTTGTTTCTTTGTTCTATTATATTCACTTGAATGGGGAAAGGAGAAATCGGAAGAGTGGCTAACCTCAATGCTAGTTAGCTTTTCTCAATCCGTTCTACTAATACAACCGTTAAAGGTTTGACAACAACCAATCAAAACAAACAATTCCTTATTTATTAAAACTTTATTGAATTTAACATTTTAGGTTTTTGCCTTGGCGTTTATCTTATCTTTCATCTTTAAAAAATCCGATTCAGAGATAGACGATAAAGAATTCCTTCAGCATGTTGAAAATGAGAGAGTTGCCACCGAAATTTGTTCAGAATATCTACATCTTAGAGGTTTGTTTGTTAAAATAATTTTTTCTTTACAAACAGAGTTTGTTTACTTGATGAAATGTCTGTTTTTCATATTTTAGTACGAAATACAAGTAGTGGAGTTCCAAAGCCGTCTTTAGAGCACATGATCGATAATTATATAAATCTAAAACAGGATAAGAAGGCCGAAAATGCCATATTTAATATAATAACGGCGTTAATATATGTATTTTTATTGTTCTTTATAAGTTACAAACAAGTTCCTTTGAGTAGTTTTAGAATTGGCGAAACTGTTCGAAATGGATTTATTAAAAATCTTGATAGTATTTCAAAGATAAAAGACGTCTATATATGGGCTAATAAATCGTTCCTTCCGTCCATGTTTGATGCAGAAGACTATAATGGAACGCCTTTACATTGGAGAGAGAAGCGTTACAGTTGTTTTAATGGGAATATGTTCAGAGTTGGCTCCATCAGATGGCGTCAGTTAAGAGTTTCTACAGAGCCTTGCAAACAATTGGAGCATGTTATTAAAAATTGTTCATACGATTTAGACAGCGGTAACATAGATAAAACAACGATTAGAGATAAAAAATTGCCCAAATATATGCCTAATCCGATGAAATATATCGAGGGTAACGACGTAATAACTGTTGCGAAAAGAAATAGTTATCCGTCGGGAGGTTACATTTTTGAACATAATACGCCTATTCAACCGAGTAATGACTGGTTAGACGCTCGTACTAGAGCTGTTATTATAGAATCTACACTATTCAATCCAAATTCAAATCTATTTGTTCATATAACAATTGTAATTGAACAGAGTATGGATCTTTCAATAAACGCATGGAATCATATTGCTATTATTGACCTTTATCCGTATAATTCTGACTATGGTGTTTTCATACTGGTTTGTCAAGTGTTGTTTGTTTTACTAATACTATATGATTTTTGGGGGAATATTTTAAAGATTAAGAAGACAAAGATGAAATATTTTACAAACTTATGGAACATAACTGGCATTACAAACAATATTCTGTGTTTAGCCGGTTTAGGCTTATTTATAACCAAATTAGTATTAAGAAGAAAAGTTAAAGATTCCCTTAAAGATGATTTCGTAGATATGCAACATTTGGCTATTGTAAATGAGTCATTTACTTATATTCTGGCTTTTATGACATCGATTTCCTGCTTAAAGATTCTATACATATTACAGTTTAATCGTACAATTATTCTCTTGTACAGGACCATTGTATTATCTTCGAAATCCTTGGTGTCTATATCTTTGATTTTTTTCATAAGCCTAGTAGCTCACTCTCACTTTGCTTATTTAATGTTTGTCACATATATAGAATCGTTCTCTACTATGATTTCGTCAATTTATACAATTTGTTTGGCAACACTCTCTTCTCCCATTATGAGAGAATTAGATAAATATAAGGTCCCTTATAGGCATATATTCTATTCCAGTTTTGTACTTGTTAATATTGTTATTTGTCTAAATTTTCTTATGTCTATACTGAACGATGCTCATTTACAAGCTAAACGAGAAAGTGTTAAATCGAAAATTCACATTCTAAGATATTTAAAACGGAAGATGAGCGAAACTACCCAAGAGCTAAAAGCTACTTTTACAATTGAAACGGAAAAGAAAACTTGAAGAATTCGCTGACAAACATTTAAATTTATATTTATTTTCTAGGTGTTGTTCTATTCATTAATGCAAATTTGTCTTGTCAGAAAAACAAAGAGAAAACAACAACTACATCTATCAATAGGGAAAAATACTATAAATAGACAGAGAGGGACGGGGGAAAGGGCAGGAAGGTAGGAAGGGGTAGAAGTAAAGAGAGACATAAGGTTAAATAGTAAATGTATATTGGCGCCATCTGTCACGTTTATCGCATAATTAATTAAAGATATTCCCTATTGATATGAGAATAAATATTACGCCTATATGTCTTCTGTCCAGTATTTTTTTGTTCTCTCTTTATCTTTCTTATTAATGTTTGTCTAATACGAGAATTATTCTATTTTTAGATAGAATAAACGAAATCTTTTGCAACCCTATTCAGGTAAAAAGATACAGTATGATAACTAATAGAGAGAGAGAGAGAGAGAAATTTGCATAAAATTACAGCATTGTAGTAAAAAAGTACAGTGAATGTTATATATATATATATATATATATATATATATGTTTAAATCAAAAGAGTTAAAGATTGCCAGAATCAATAGTACCAATCATTATTCTATCTTCCCCTTCCCTTCCCTTCCCCCCCTCTCCTTCTCTCATTTCCCAACCCCTTAAAAAAAAAACCAAAAGATATAAATTAAAATAAATTACGTCATATATTTTCTATACTTCTTTTTAGCCTAGCTTTGCATTGCATGATTGAGAAAATCTCTAATTTTTTATTAATTTAAAAAAGAACTGATACTGTAACTTGTGTATTTTTAAGAATTCAATATTTTTTGTAATATTACACTTAAATTTACATTTAAATTGTAATACGACTCTATAATTAGTATTTAAATAATTTAAATTTAATTAATCCTACTCTATATATACAATATTCATATAGATTATGTATTGTATATACGTTTATACTGTAATTGTTTAAATAGATGTATACATATATATATATATATATCATTTTGCAGTAGAAATATTTTCATTTTCTTCCTCTTTTTCCTCTTTTTCTTTTTTTTCTTCTTTTTCTTCTTCTTCTTGCTCTTCTCTCTCTTCTTTTTCTTTTTTTTCTTCTTTTTCTTCTTGTTCTTCGGGTTTTTCGTTAATGGATGGTGTTGAATAGGGCTTTGGACTGACGAAATTCGGTAATGTTACCGATTTTAAACTGGCGGTTGGGTTAAATTTTACAGGCCTATATCCAATTGGTGCTAAAAGGAGGCGTCGCCGCCTTGTTAATTCGTCCTCAGCATTTTGTTGATCGATATCGTCTGCTGGAACTGATTCCCTAGGTGACGTTGCGGTTGTAACACTAGGAGAAGGTTCAGGATAGACCCAAGGGGGTTGGGTCCATGCAGAATAGTTGCCAGGTCCAGGGTAGGGATAAAAAGCAGTTGGCATAAAAAAATTGGGCATTTGATAGTTATTTGAAGAGATATTTGATGCAGGATAAGGAGATGATGTCTCAGAACGAGGTGAACTTCTCTTAGACATCTCATTCTTTTCTGAGCGAGGAGAATTTTCCTTTGAAGACGAGCTCCATGGATTATGCTCGGGAGCTACTACGTATAAGGCCATATCATCGTCAACGTCGCTATTATGAAATTTATCTAAATCCTTTTCAGTAGCTAATTCAAATTCCCCTAATTCGTTTGAGTCTCTATCAGGCGACGACAGTAGTACTCTACCTTTTATCGAATCTGACGCACTCGTTGAGCTTCTAACAGTCTTAAATTCAAGTTCAGCTGACATAAGTTCTTTTCTTTCGTTTTCCACAGAACTTAAAGAATCGTCTTTTATCTTTTTGTCTTCTTTCACAGAAGATTTTCTCTTAAGTTTAGTAACCTCGCTGGAGCGAATAGTCCTTCCGTCATCAGTTACAAAAACTTTCTCAGATTTCGGTAATCGTATAACCTCTTCATCTTTTTCATCATAGGCAAAGAATGGTATTTCCTCTACATGATGAACTCTTACCGGGGAAGTTGGTGGAGAATCAAATTCGTTATTCTTCAATTCCATAATATGAATACTCTTAGGTCTTTTGGAACGCGAGAAGGAGTCAAAGGCTTTTACAACATTATTTTTCATGGATTTTATCTTTTTTTTTAACTTGTTTTTTTTTCTTCTTGCCGGAGGTTTAATTGTAACATCATCTTCCGTAACAGTAGTGCAAACAGGAAGTGGACCAACGTTTCTCATATGTAAACCTCCCTTCTTTCTTCGATTTTCTCTTTCTTTTACGGCTTTAATAATATCTTCTTTGAATTTTTCTGGTTTCTTCGATTTTTTAGGAATAAGACTTTCGTCGAATTCTACTCTACTAGCAACGGCAGTTATTAATTCGGATTTGAGCTTTTCCCAAACGGTCTTCTCTTTCGGTAATTCTTCCAATTTAAATGATTTCGGATCAAATACTTCGTAATTTTCGAATTCTGGTGACTCATTTTCATCTATTGAAGATGGTGGTCTCTCTATTATTGGCTCTCTTTGTCTCTTATATGGTTTTGCTTGAGGTGACGCTGGTTCTGTCTCTTTGTCTGATTCTTTCTCAGACTCTATCTCGGCTTCTTGCTCAGTCTCTATGTCAAGTTTTGGCTCTTCCTCTTGTTGTATTCGAGGTTTGTAATCGTCAAGTTTACCTGGTTCAATTTCTTCCCAATCGTCTTCTGGCTCTTCTGGAATACTTTGCTCTCTTGCTAATTTATCAATGTCACTTAAAAATTTTGATTCATGACTACTTTTGGGAGAGGGAAGGGGGGAGTGGTCAAATTTTGCTAATTTTTTCTTCCTTGGTGGAGCTCGAGGAGGAAGTGGCTCTGGTTCCGGTTCATTTTCCTCCTCCTGAATGGGTTGTAAAGGAATTCTATTTCTCAACTTTTTCCGCCTACCAGGAGCAACCTTTCTAGGAGGAGCTTGGGGTTTTAAAGATCCATTCAAGTTCGCAGGTTTAATTATAGGCGTTATAGGTTTATCATTTGAAATCCCATTTGGAATTGGTTCTTCAACGTGAGGTACAAAAGTCTTATTCTCATCTTCCGCCGGTTGAAAGTCAGATATATGTAAAGTAGTTTGATTATTTCCCATATTATAAATAATTTTCTAAAATACTCGAGTCATTTTTACTTTTTCGCAACGATTTGGGGCGAGGCGGTTGTAAATATACAATATAGACACGGTTCATCGATTTTAAATGGGTTTTTTTCTATATCGGCCTTATTTAGGTAGGCCCATTTATTACTAATACATAGTATTCCTTTTTATAAAAAATTCAATACATTTATAATATACTTATATATTTGTATATATAAATAAACAAATTAGTATAGTATTTCTTTACAATTATTCATTTCAAATACATTGAAACGTATATAAAAAGAGACAGAGAAATTAACCAAAAAAGAGAAGAGAGGATGCTCTACTTTAATTGGCGAAGAGTGTTTATGACAACATATCTAGAAAAGATCATATATAATATTCGGAACCAAGTAAGCTGAGTTTTATGTTGAAACATGGCCGTCTAAAGGGAAAGAAGAGAAAAAAACGTAATTAAGCAACTGAATAATTAATGAAGATTGTTTGTAATTTGACTAGCTCTTGTATAATTGTATTTATGCATTGAGTATTCAAAATTAATTAAATAATTAAAGAAAAAAAAACACAACAGAAAGAGAGAGAGACAGGGATAAGACTGGGAAGAAGACAGATAGCGAAAATGAAATGTAAATATTAGAAAAAAAAATAAAAAAAGGCGTCTATTTACCTGAGTTTTAAGAACGTTTGTAAGTCTTGTTACTATCAAAATTTCGGATACAAAGCTCCATATTAAATCCATCCATGACGAATATTTTCTAAACATATTTGTTGTTACTAAAACGTAAATTGGAATTCTCCCTGCAGAATAATGATAGAAAAAAAAAAGAAAGATAAAAGATAAGAGAGATAAATATTATTTACCAGTACTATAATTTTCTTTTAGGGTTCTAAAATGAAGAAGAAAGAAACATACAAATATATAAATAAGATGTATATAGTATGTATATTTTATATACGTATAATAAGGTAACTTATGCAACTAACCGCAAGGCTTTGCTTATATCACAGTGATTAGGATGTCCGCTAATTCCATATTCATCAAATGAGATGAGCTGTAAAATGGTGATAATTTGACATCTTTCACTCTTTTTTTTTATCTTATTTTTAATTCGAAAAAGTTACAAACCATTTCGAGTTTCCTATCGCGGATAAATGCATTAATTCGAGAGGCGAGCTTTTCAATGTCCCATTGCACATTTGGGTTATCAGGAAAAGCCCTAGAGAAATGACAAACATAATGAACAAGCGGTGGGCGCTTAATAGGAAAAATAAGCTATATATAAAATGTTATAAATAATAGAGCGTGTGTGTATATAATGTATATATTTGACATAGAGTGAGACGTACTCATCTGCCGAGATTGTCACTTTACTTCCATCAATTCCCAATTTGGAACAACTTGCCATTAATTCAGCAACTCGTCGGACTCCTTGTCCATAATAATTACCTAAATAAGATCGAAAAGCTTTAATGTTTTTATCGAACAAGTCAACAGATTGCATTTACATATGTTGCAGTTTCCGTTGTTGTTACTTTCATTATCATTATTTTATATATATATATATATATAAACATTTTATGATATAAGAATAGCTCCTAGCCGGTATTTTTAAACAACGGAAATCTTCTTTAATATTTAAAGATACAAATAGTAAAAAGAAAATATATTTACCAGTTGAGCAGCAGTAAATATAAACATTATATTTCCTTCTAACTAGTTCCAGTATAGTTGGAGCAAAAAACATACATTCGTCATCTGGATGAGCGATTACGAAGCCCACATGTTTCGTTTTCATAAAGCGCATCCTTCTCCAAAAACCGTTAGCTTTTTCAACAATCTTGTACATGAGAAACAGTGACAGGGCAACAACAAAAATAATGAGCATACTGATCGGTAATTTAGCAATGAGATTATTAAAAAAAACTAGTAGAGTTTTTTTAAATTTTATTAATGTCTAGTTTGGCTCTATCGAATATTTGTCTGCTACTGGCAAAACACTCTTCGACGTCTTCGCTAATGTACGGACGCCCTTGATCGATAGAAAACTTCAAGTTATTTAAGGTAAAAGAATTTCATCAAACGTAACAAACGATAGCTATTTATTTCATTTAAATGATTAAATACAAATTTACAATCAACAAATATAAATTCATTAAGCTATATAACAATATAAGGCTAGTTTAGAGTTTATTTTATATAATAGATGACGTTTCTTTCCATGAATTAGTAAACACAATAGATTAACCAGTTTTCGTCCATAATTATAAAAAATCTCATGAAAATATAATCAATTAACTATAAAAGCGAACTAAGTAGTTGGAAACTTTTAAATAAATAATCCCTTCAGGCATAATGTTACTTTAGTTACGATAAGTGGACGGTATCCAGGAGCTTCAAAATCGAAAGCAAAATGCTCTTTGCCCACCCTCAACTCTACCAGATATTACACAATCGTAACTTTTTCAAACTTATTTAATCAAATTAAATTGATTAAATCTAGTATTATTATCATATTATTCTGTAAAAGAAGGAATTCCTTTTTCAGCTATTTGTTTGTTTTTTTTTCATTTAAATAACATAACAGAAAGAACAAAAAGAAAAAAATTGCAAGGTTTTTCTTTTGGGTAGAAATTTATCCTAAATTGTTTATTTTTATGGACTAATGGCATCTGCAAGAGACGGAATGTGTTTTGAAACTATTCTAAATTCAAGTAGGTCGTATTGAAAATAATTCAATTATAATATTAGGTAAGATGATTAAAAACAACAGAGAAGGAAATTGACACTATAAGGCAGTGAGAATTCTCATTTGGCGATCTTTTTAAAGAGGTTTTTTCCTTTACTAATAATACTCTTCTTTCTTTCCCCCCCTTTTGGGGTTCGATCTAAATTCATAATTGTCTGCATTTCTACCGGAACAGGGCCGTCCCGTTCTTCTATTTTTATCGATGTTTCAACGCTGCTCGGCGTAGAAATCGATACTGCAGAACTAGGAAGTCGTTCGCGGGCTGGACCTTCCGTCGCCGTCCCCGCTTTAATCGAATTTGACGGGTTTTGTGCGGATCTTCTTTGATATGATTGTCTCTGACGATTCTCCTGTGGTGGATGAGGTCGACGACGGAATTCTTGTTCGCGACGAGGCTGTTAGATGTTTTTTGAAAGAGGTTAGCGACAGAATGAAAGGAAGCAAAGCATGCTAAAAAAATAAAACTCGAAAAAAAAAAACAAAATGAAAGTAAGCACAACAAACTGAATTTATGTCTAAAACTATTTTTTCTTTTATCTAAGCTAAGCTAAAGTTAATTGTGTATTTACATAATATATAAACATATACTATATATACATATGAGAAAGATAGATAGGAGGAGAGAGATAATATCATAAAATATTATAATATTCGATAATCCCCTCGTAAAGTAATTTCTCTAGTTTTCTATTGTATTGTTTAAATAAATTACTCTTAATTATATGAATATTAATTATTTATTTAAATTATTTAAGTGTATCATTTCTAATAATGAAAACTTATCGCTATCATTACTATTATATGCTATTTTGATATTTAAGTAGTAGTAGTAGTAGTAGTAGTTGTGGTAGTAGTGGTAATAGTGTAATTTATATAGTATATATATATATATATATATATATACTTTAGTATATATTATTTTATACAAATTATTGAGCTGCAAGTATCGTCGTTTTCGTTTTACGGACCTTATATTCGGTCGAACCGGAGTCCGATGCCATATTCACACTGTCTTTAGATTGGCTCGACGTAAGCGGGCTTGAACGGTTGTCGAAATCGTCTAATTCTTTTAAGTAGTTCGAGGGCACTAGCCCTTGCTTTCCGTCGAGCTCACCCATAAAAAAGCCGTCGGCGTCTATATCGCCTATGACCATAATGATATCGTCTTGCCGGAAGGATAATTCCATCTATTGAAAAGAGAAAGCAAGGAAATGTAAAAAAGAGAAAGAAATATCATTTTTTATACGTTTCGTGCAAAAGAAAAAAGGAAACTTACGTCGGCATCGACGTTTGGCGAACTCTCACTGGGAAAATAATTGAATAAAGCTCGCATTCGCCTTATTCTACCCCTGCCGAATGGGCTTCTAGCCCGTCTTCCGCTTGATGCAGAAGTTCGCCTATGCGCATGATGATAATGATGTCCATGACCAACTCCACCATTACCACCACTACCTCCTCCGCTGCCTCCGCCTCCGCCTCCTCCACCACTTTCTGAATAACTATGGGTGGGGCTGTGTTTCGGCGCTCTATTCCATCGATTATCTTCTGTACCTGACGACGTTCTGGAAGATCTTCTTGGTTGTTGAGCTACGTCTACTGCAGTTACCATATTACCGGGAACATAGCCCCTTCTGCCATTTACTTCAGCTTGATAGAAGCCGTCCGAATCTTTATCGCCTATTACAGTTATTAATTGTCCTTCTTTAAATCCTAATTCATCGTCGCAACAGTCTCGATTAGGTGACATGGTTTGTGGATCGTAATCGAACAGAGCAACAAACAGAGTACGTTCGGCAGCTTCCTCTTCGGAATCGCCGTCATCCTCGTAATCGATCAATTCTGCTTCCGGGATATCTTCCCGGATTTTCAATGGTCGAACTTCGTTGTTATATCGCGTATCGGTCAACTCTCCTTCTGGTTGATGAGCTGAGCGAGGCTGATTATTCGAAGGATCAATAGGGAAGAAGTGATCTTGTGTTGGGGAAGATGGTGATGGTTTATTATTACTATTACTGTTATTATTATTATTATTTGACTGGTCGACTTCTTCGTCGGTAGCCGAAACGGAACCGGAACTGTCCTTAGTAATCTCAATATGAGGCACTGCCATATGATTTCCTGGTGACTCTTTCTGAAAAGGATAAAGAGAGAAATATGATAAATTTTGAATACTACTTTTGAAAAGTGAGCAAAAAATAGAAGTTAAAAAAAAAAGATATGTTGATAGAAAAACATATACAGTATATAAATACTGTATTTTTGTAAAGAGGGAGATAAAGGAGAGAGTAGTAGGAATAGATTGAGTTTAAAAAAAAGGAAGAGAGAGAGAGAGAGAAGGAACAGAGGAAAGGGGAGGGGGGAGAGGGAAAGATAGATAGAGAAGGAAATAAATATATAGAGAGAAATAGAATAAGAGAAAGTGGGGGAATTGATTTTTTATTTAAAAAGAAAAAAAAAGTGAATGACATCGTAGGTACATAATAGATATTCTCAATTTCCCAAAGAGCGCCCTCAAACCATTAGGTGCAAACTACCTTTAAAAAAACAGTAGCTTTTTTAAAAAAAACACACATATATATAAAGAAAAGAGATGAAAATATCCAACAAAAGAAAGAAATTTTCCATCCGAATATAATGATTAAAAATGATATTTTATAAATTTTCAACATGCTTCTATAATAAATTCACCATTTAATCAATAAAAATAAATACAAAAGAAAACAAACAAAACACAAGAGAAAAAAATTTCCATTCCAGTTTGTTTTTGTTTTTTTTTGTTTTTTAAAGAAAAAAAAAATATGCAAATTTAAAAAACGTAACAACATAAATCACCTGGTCGCAATCGCTACCTTCCTCTTCTTCAATTATATCCGACAGATCGGAATGGCTACTATCATTTAGAAGAGCAAGTGTCTGTGAAAGGTTCACCACAACAACGTGCAAACTAATTTGCATACAAATTATACGTACAAAGTACAATGTTTTTTTGGTTATTTATCTATGCGTTTTGATCTATTATATCTACAGAATAATAAAAAAAAACAATTTCAGTACTAACAACAAAGGTACATCAACTTTTTTCAAAGTAAAAGAGAAAGAAAAAAACACTTTCGAAATCTATATATACTGTATATATGTATAAAGATATCACGTGATTAATTACTTACACGAGACATTTATAGGTATGCTTATTATATATACATATTGCATATTCTTAATTTAACTAATGAATAATTGTCATTGTCTCTCATTGAATACGCAAATGTAGGGGATGTAAGATATTGATGAAAAAAAGATGGATATGGAGGTAGGGAAAGGACTCAGGCATGCATTTAGAAAAAGACAGTTCTTCAGGGGGAATACGCAATTACGAATTAGGCGATATGATATTATTCTCTCATTCCTTATTCATTATATCATATTGAAGAGAAAGAAAGAAAGAGCGAGAGAGGTAGAGAGACAGAAGAGAAAGAGACAGATAAAGTGGAAAAGAGTGAAAGAGAATATTAACAATTAGATAATTTTCTATTAAAAGTATTAAGGAACAAAAAAAAAGTATAAATTATAAATTAATTGTTTACGCACTAATAAAAATTGTATTATAGTGTAATTCTTTGCTATGAATTATACATTCTCCTTCTTTTTACTTTTTAATAAAGCATACGATCACGGAAGAGCGTAAAAAGGAGAAGAAATCAAAGGCGAACGAAATTGGAATACGCGTAGAAAGAAGAGGAGGAGGAGGGGGAGAAAGATATAGAAGAATTTATAGGGAAGAAGATATGGAGAAGAGAAAGAGGAAGATGGAAATTATAGAAAATATAACTATAAGAAATTTTAGAAAAAAGAAAATGAATTAAATTATTTTAAATTAGATTTAGACCCTAAAGTATTGTTGTAATTATTAGAATTAGTCCTATAATTAATTGGTGTTATTTTTAGGCAATGAATACTTTTTCTCTTATGAAATATAATATGAAAAAAAATAGTTGGGAAAAGAACGAAAAAACTATTTCAAGTATAGTAAAGAGAGACCAACCTGTTCGGTAGCGGAGCGTCTCTTGTCCGTTACCTTAGCACCAGAGCTTCCAGATAAAAATTGCTGTTGCTGTAGCAATTCTTGAAGAACATCAGCACCAAAATATACCGCCAATGAGTCGACAGATTCGCTGCTATCAACGCTTAAAGTTCTTACGGTCAAGGCCCGGGGATTATCAATTTTGGCGACATCTGCCGTCGTCAATAGGCAGTGATCGCTAGACGCTCCCATCACGTTCTTGACGTGCACCGAATCGATATATAAGGAATAACCGTGAACTGGTTTCCCGTTCGATGAACCGTGCACGGAGAGACAAACCGGAAGCCACATAACGAGAACACTACCCTTTTGAGGTCCAATTTCACATTGAACCGATAGCGGCGGTTCGATAAGAGGTCTTGACCGAGTTCGAAAGCGTCCGGACGATTCGATAGCGCTTAAATCGATTTCTCCACTCTCCATCAAATTATCCGGTAAAACTACTCGAACAGTAACCTTGTGTAACGCTCCAGGTACTAAATTTAATAAGGCAGCCCTATAAACTCCTGGTTTGCATTTTTGACCGGAAATCTCATCGTCATTCAATATAACTAAGTGCTCACAGTTTGAGGATGAAGGCGTCCATCGAATTGTAGCAGAGGTTGAGGTAACGCCCATCATACGAAGTTCAGTGGGTGCAAGACTTGCACCATCTCCTATCATTATTGTACATTCGTCTTCTTTAGACGAACCAAGTTTCGTTTGGTTTCTAACGCTGACCCTATGCGGTATGTTCATATCAACGCACTCGAGCAAAGCTTTAGTCCTTTCGGTAGGCCTAACAGACATTACTAATTTCTTATCCAAATAGACGTCAAACGATATCGTATCCTTACAATCACCAGGTTCCCATGCGATAACGGCTGACGAGGCTAGTCGCCTTTGCAGTCGTAAGTCGACAGGATACGGAACCCTATAGCGTTTAGAAGCTGCTTCATCCTCAGGCTTCTCATACGTTAGCGGATCGTCCATAGAATTATCCCATTCTTCGAGATCACCTACGCCGGCGGTGGGTCCATATAATACCACTTCCGGTTCTTCTTCTTCTTCAACCTGGCTCGAATTATGACTACTCTGCTCTTGCGTAGTAATTTGTAACGCTGTGTAAAATTCATCTAAATCCTCTTCCGGTACCAACTCAACAAAATTTGATGGAACTAAACCGATTCGACCGTCCATAAGTTCGCCCTTATAGAAACCGTCCTCATCCATATGACCATGCACAAAAACGTATTCACCGGCTTGTAAACTCAGTTCACTTTCTGGATTCTCATTTGGAGAGAATTGCACCGGATCATAGGAGTACTTGGCAACGTATATTTTTACAGGAGTTTTTTGAGCTAATATCCTAACCAAAGACGGTGTTGAACCAGGCCTCATACCTTCTAAAGCCGATCCGCTTCTCGTTAATATACCTAAACCTTCTGCCGGTGATTTATCTGCGTTACCAAAGAAACGAACGGAATATTATTAAAAATTGACAATATTTTGTTTTTTTGTTAACAATTGTTGATTATGACAAAACATATTAAAAAATACAGCAAAAATGTTATGAATATTGTGTATATTATGATAAAGAGTGACAGAGACAGAGAGGTAGAGATAGATAGATAGATAGATAGATAGATAGATAGATAGATAGAAGGTTACAATAGAGAAAACAATTGCAAGAGATGCAGTGAGTAAAAAGAAAAACTTGTAGAAGGAAAGGAAAAGATATATATTATATATAGTACTGGACGTACTATATAGTATATATATATATATATATACGAGAGAGAGAGAGATAAAGAGAGACACAGAGGAGTAGTGGGGGAGACGAAAGAGAAATTGGGATTTAAACGATTAAACGATAAAAAGGAAAAGAAAACGCTGCAATAATGTTAAGTTGTACGCAATTAAAAAAAAGAATAGATGAGAAAAGAGGGAAAGAAGATGGGAAATGTAAGAGTTTGGAAGAGAATGAGTTGAGTAGGAGAAGTGAGTAACAGAGAGTTTGATAGAAAAAAAAACAAAGAATAAAACACCAACCAACGTAACGATCTGCTTCCATAACTACGCCTAACGCTTCGAATCTAGCCGCTATTTCGTTCAATTCCTCACTTTCGAATGCTTCTTCGTTTGTCGTTCGTTCTGTAGCCATTGCATGCATTACGACATAGAAAATGAAATAGGTGTATAGCAAAAGGCAAAAACTTGATGTTGTTTGGCCTTTTTATAACGCATTAAATACGCTTTGTCTTCAAATTTCCAGCCGCCCTCTCTCCTCTTCTTTCACCCTTGTTATTCTTATATTTACCACCTCTTAACCCTCTACCCTAACTACTTCCGGTTACATTTACTTATTTTCTGAGGAGAGAGGTGTCAAATGTTGGAAAACAGTCAACTCTAATATTTCCGAAGCGATTTAATACGTTAGGAGTGAAACGTTTTTATTTTCTTCTTCTCTTTTTTTGCAATTGGGGGAGGAAGCAATTTTGGATTTCAAAGAGTATTAGAGTATGGTTCCGTTCGTTAAGGATATTGATATATAATTAATACGCTTCATGTCAAAATTGTTCTTTCCAATCGATTTATTCGTTGAGTATAACTTTTTTTATTTACCGGCTCGCTCCCCCTTTTCTAGTAAATTTATTCGTACTACCTCCTTTATCATACTATCTATTAGTCTCCTTTCCTTGTTTGCGTCTCTCTCTCTCTCTATCTATCTGTCTGTCTGTCTATCTGTATCTCCTTTCTCCGCTACCCCCTCCCTATCCCTCTCCCTCTCAGATTTAGATGTCTAGCTTTTTTCATCTTTTCGTAAAAAAAAAATCAAACGTATTTCAAAGGGAAAAAAATGACAGCTTCTTTTTTTTTCGCTATTAAACCCTTGTCTCTCTATCTAAGTCTATGATTCTCATTTTTATCTTTGCTATTAGTCTCTGTCTCTTCCTCTCATTCTTATTCTCTTTTATTTTCCGCTGTTATCTTTAAAACTTTTGTAAAATCTCTTTACAGTAAACGCTATATAGAGAAGAAAGGTTGAGAGCGTATTTGGCGCTAGGACAATTTCCTATCAAGAAGAGAGAGAGAGAAACTATTTACGCTCTCTGACTAAAGTATAAATAAGGCATTTATCCGGACACGCTTTATAAGGGGGTCATTCTCCAGTCTAAAAATAGATCCTTTCAAAGAATGATCTTGATTTTGAAGCGTCTTAATCAGGTAAAAATATCAATATGGTTCTCTTCCTTCCCCGAATACAAATATATAGACGGCAATTTCCATTTTATATACAGGGTATCCCAAAAAAAAACCAATAAAAACATATACAAAGAAGAAAAAAAAGTAAAAGAGAAAAAGACGGTTGTATTAAGCAGGATAAAGAGAACCCCCTACCGGTTAAACATCCATTAGCCAGGGGAACATCGGTCCTCTTCATTTCAGTAAACTTTTGCGATAATTCCTCCTGTCTTATGCTCTGTAACTCATATTTCCTTTCCAAGTCCCTAATTTGTGCCTGCATAATTCAATTCGGTAAGGGTGTCTAGAGAATAAAAGATATAAATATTCCCATCACAGACCTTTAAACCGTGTATATCTTCCTCGTGTTGCCTACTAGCCGTTTCTCGTTCTTGATTGAGCATATTAATTTTACTTTCCCTCTCACTGAGTATTTTTAAAACTTCTTCATGTTCCTCCTCTAATTTTCTCCTCTTTTCCTCCTCCTCTTTAAGTGGCTGTTGAATATTTGTATATATAGTATATACAGTATATATAAGTATCGTTATATAAGGATTTTTCTTTTATGTTTTACGGAGTTTTATATTTCTCTTTTCTAAGGTTTAAATGGGAAATAAAGGTTATTTCTTAATTATTCAAACGAGGCAATGATGGACAATGAATAATTATTTCCTACTTTTTTGTTCTGTTTTTACAAACCTGTATTTGATTTTGCAGTTGATTAACTTTTGTCGTTAATTTATTAATAGTCGTCTGAGAAATATCATTTTGAGAACGTAAATTAGCACATTCTTCATTAACCTAGAATGGGAAAAGAGAAAGAAAAAAGAAAATGAGAATCAAAAGTCACGCCAGCGTCACACTTATGCATGCAACATTGATCCTCGCCGTAGTTTGTTCAAAATCGAACATCTGCCGAAAGGATTAACTACATACAGCTCGAATCGATTTTAATCAGAGAAGCCATTAATTCTAAATTCTTACAGGAATATAAATTTATAAGAGCGAGCTTCTTTTTAAGATTCCATAAATATTTCAAGTTGAAGCATAGATGTATATGCGTATCCGTAAGAAATAGTGACAATGGTTGTTATTTTTCGCGAGCCAAGTACACAGTAAAAGCGAGTACAAGTACAGTGCTGCACCGCGCGCTCACATTGATCGGTTTTGCAGTCGAGCGCCACCAGAAGGCCAACTGCAATACGTCGCTGTAAATTTTTTAACGATTCTCAGATATCCGTCTATCATCAGTTTCGAGACGATTAATTCGTAGTCGACTGTCTTCAATTGTTTAATTTCAAAGTTGTGCTGCCATCTAGTTAGATAAGTTTCAGTTAGAGATAACTCATCTTTTATTTTTCTCTCTTAATATTTCACCTTTCTCATCTTTCCCTATCGACTGTGCCTACTGTTAATTCCCGGTTAGAAAATTGAAACGGAACTTTCTAATTCCTTTCAATTGCATTTTTTTACTACTCTAAAATCACAAAAGCCATGAAAACTTTACAAGTAAAACGTTCCTGAAGATAGCCCAGAATTCCAGAATTGCTGAGTAGGAGAGAAAAGAAAAAAAAAACGAAGAAAAAAAAAAGACAGAAAAGAAAAAGAAGACTTGTTCTTTCCTCCCTTCATTTAGCCTTTATTTTTGTCTTCTCCATCTCCTATTTAATCTTCCTTCTTTATACATTTAATTTAGAATTAATTGCTTCTCTTGTTTTTTTTTTAATTTTTTTCAAACATAAAAACAAAATCTCAAGAACAATGTAAAATAAACAAACAAACAAGCAAGTAAACAAACAAACAAACAGTTTGTATATATACAGTATATATATATATATATATATATATATATATATATGTGCTTACCTCTGATAATTGGCAAACCAACTTGGTTTTCTCTGTATTTCCTTTTTTTAGTTCACTCTCCTATATACGGAAATTCATTTAAGTAAATAAATAAGTTGTGAATATGCATAGAACAATGGAAAAAAAGTGGAATATATTATTAATATAGTTAAACGTATGTAGATTATTAAGATTTAATATCTTTTAAAAAAGAAAAAAAAATACTACAAAGTTCTTAGTAGGCTAATTAGCATAATAATACAATAACTTAATTTTATAGTATATTGTTTGTAAATATAGAGTTATTTGTATATAAATAATAGAGCGTAAAACAAATAGGTTAAAAAAGGTTACTAGGGGAAGAAGAGAAAAAAAGGCTAACCAAATCAGAGCACATCTTCTTAACTGACTCAAGTTCTTGTACTAGACCTTCTACTTCTAATTTCCGTCTATCCAATTCCGTTTCCTGTTTTTAAATGATAGAAAGAAAACTTTATTACAACGTAACGAAACACCCATAAATGATGTTGTATATTGTTAAATCGACTCATTAGTCATTTATTATCTATTTTTCCCCTCCATATACCTCATATGTTTTATGAATGATCGAAAGTATTAATAATAGCACGAAATATAAAAATAAAACCATTACTTAAAACAAGGTTATATAAGAGATCGTGTATCATTAATTAAGCTTTTCAAAGAGTTAAAAAATAATTACAAAAAAAAAAAGAGTTAAAAGGAGAGATAAAAAAAAAAGAAAAGAAAAGAGAAGGAATGCAAGTATTTATGCACGCATTGATTTATGTATGTCCATGTATATACTTAAGTAGGTGGATAAAAAAAACAAAGAAGGTTTATAAAGTCAAAAGAAATAAAAGAAATAGAGTAAAACGAGGTAAATCTAGAATATATTAAAAAACATTGTTTTTTTGCAGCTACTGAGAGCAAATGATTAGGAGAAAGAAAGGTGCGATGAAAAAGAAAGGAAAAAGAGAAAGGGGTAGGGTGAAAGAGACCAAGATAGAGGGAGAGAGAGGGCGCGTTGCTATTATTATTAGTATTTTGTTTTTCTTCTCAAGTCGACAAAAATGCCAGAATCGATCAGTCTACATATTTCATAGGCAATTCAATACATCACTCGACGCCGAGTATTTAAAAAGACTTTACGCAAATCGACGCTTCGTCAATCATTCAACCATAGATGGTGACAAACAGCGCCCCGAGATTTTTAAACGTATCTATATCACAAATTAATTTGTATACAATATACAATGTATGCATGCATGTATGTATGTATGCTGTGTAATATTGTATACATAAATTCATCAATTTTCTCTTCTAACCTTTCATTTTTTTCCATATGTATTATTATTATTGCTATTATTAATATTATTATAGTTATGATTATTTTTCCCTCGATATCTTTATGCTCTTTAATAAGAGCATATCTCTCATTCTTCTTTTATTTTTTACCCCAAGAAAGGAACTACAAACCTACTGGCATTTAAATATTTTATGCTAATAACAAAATATATATATACTGTATATATATATAGTATATATAGCAGTTACGAGTGATCGATAGATGAAATATTTCTATAAATATAGGCTTATTCAACCATAAATATCCAGTACAATTTAATAGTTCAATTTTCGCTTTACTTTTGGTATAGACGTACGGTTATGGATGCAAACTCATTACCCTAGCTATAATTTTACGCATATAAAACCCTATATTTATGCAAATAACCGTGTAACGTGACTACTAATCCTGTACAATTTATAATTGTAATTCAGTGTACTTGTAAATAAACTACCATAGTCTATTATATGCTAATTATGGATGCGATGGAGTATAAATAGGTCGAATTTTTTCTTTAAAAAAAATTAACAAATACGCTATTTAGATTCTATAAATTTTTTTTTCGGATTTGTGACGTCGACTCTAGAAGCGTTGTTTTACCATTAATATCATTCTATTAAAAAAAAACTAGTTATACAACAAATATATAAGCACGATGCGATATTATACAACTATTAAACAACGAAATATACAGTATACATAGGTGTATTAATAGTAAATCTATTCTATCCGCTTCTCTATTGCAAACCCTGACAAACCAATTCACTAATTTTTTTTTACACCTTTAGATATAGAAATAATTTAATTTGTTTATTAATTCAATATTTATATAAAAAAGATATTTCTAACAAATATTAGAGATGTAAAATATTAATAAAAATCAATTAAACAATATATATATATATATATATATATATATATATTATTGTATATAGTATGTACTTAATATATAATAACTTCTATTTAAATAAAGAAATAAAAAGAAGAAAAAAACGAAAAAAGTTCATTATCCGTCTTTCTCGCCTTTCTCCCTTTCTCTCTCATTCTCTTTTAAATTACATATTTATTTTTAAGCCGAGAATCTTCTTATATATAAATTTATATAGACATTTTTTAATTCAAATATAATTTCTTTTTTTTTTTTTAGTTAAAAAGAAAGAGAGAAAGAAAAAGGAAATTATAGACAAAATTTTCCGTTCATATATTTAAATATAAAATAATTTTATGTATATATTCCTCTACGATGTAATTTACATATGAAATGCGTATGATTTCCGTTTGTACTTCTTTTCTAAATAATTCTTTACTTATGTAACTATTTTTAAACTGGTATATCGTTAGCTTTTAAAAAAGAAAAGGTTTTTCAAATTGTAAATCATCCCTTGTTATTTGACTATTAATGAAATTGTCAATTATTAATCATTTATTATCAATAAATTGCAGGTAATAACCTATATTATTTTTTCTCTACATCTCCTTCTCTCTCTCTCTCACTCTATCTATATACTCATCCGCTTAAAGAGAATTCTAAAAAGTATGGATAGAACAGGCCTAATTTGTTGAGTATCCGACAAACAATTCTCAACGAGATTCGAGATAAGCAATACGCGCATAAAGAAAACGATATCAAAGTGGAAAGAAACAGGAAGAAATGTACAAAAGGCTTAAGAACCCTTACAAACTTTTATTGTTTCAAATCTTGTACGATTAAGAGAGAAAGGCGTTTAGAGAGCTGTTTTTTACATGCAGTAAAGAATAAAGAAAACTGCTTCCTAGACGCAAATACTATAATGACGATTAAGCGCCTCTTTTGATATATTTCTAGATTATTATGTAAAAATAGACTACCATATAATAGAATCGATTGAAATTCATATTTCATAAATTACTTCAAGAGAACGGCGTCACAGAACGCCCATTATTTTCATGACCTCATCATCAACATTGATCGCGCTTTTTATTAAGAATTATATGGGACATTTAAAAAAAGAACAGCGAACTATATCACTAAACACCATTTGGTTAAATAACTTTAATTAATAAGTAATCGCTTCCGGGAAAAGACTGCGTGAATAATAGGGGTTCAATACAAATGGGCTAGGACGAGAAAGGAAGGAAAGTTAGACAGAGAGAAAGAAACAAAGTGTAGGTGACACGAAGAGGAAAATAATAGAAGTGAGAAGGAAAAAAGAAGGAATACTTACAAGTTTCTGGGCTTGGCGAGAATCCTGCAATAATTGCTGTACATGCTTCTGCAGAGCTGTATTACTTTCCTCCAAAACTTTTATTCGGTCAGGATTTGTATTTGTAGTGTTGTTATTATTATTTGAGGAGTTGACCTGCGAAGCAGGGAGCAAGATTAAAGAACTGAAGTGAATAAGAAATTAATATCCTAATGGACGTTGCCGGAACCTTAAACAACTTAAAAGCGATTGCAGAAGACTTAATATCAAATCCGTTCATTTTTGGACGACCCAAGTTAGCAACGCTACGTTCACGAACAATTTGACGTCCACCTATCCGCCGACAACGCCACCAACTAGAAATATTCATGCAATCTCTCCTAATTAACTGAGTTTGCACAGAGTTGTTGTATGTATATGTATGTTATAAACGATAAGATAAGCTGATATCGAAATACATATATATATATATATATATATATATATATACGTATATGTATATGTACATACATATATGCACATAGGATTATTAAATAAATACTTGACTCGTCGAAAAAACCTTTCCCCCTTCTTTTAATAAAAAGATTTTCACCAAGAGTTGAAATCAATTAGGAGAACAAAAATAGGAAATTAAGAGATCACAGCGACTATCGTCTCATTGTCCAAACCGTCATAAAATTGAGAAGATAAAGAAACGACAGACAAGAGGAGGGAAGAAAGAGAGAGAGAGAGAGAGAAAGAAAGAGAGAAGAGGAGAGGGGGGAAGGAAAGGAGAAATAGAGAGAACGGAGCACTTACGTTAATTCTGGCTAATTGTCTTTCCAATTCTAATTTTTCTCGAGATAGCTGCCTTAATACGGCCTCCAATTCTCCATTACTATTATATACTTCTGGATTCTATAACATAGAAAGATTAATAAGATAAGAAAAAAATGTAAAAACTTTAACATGCATATAAAAACACAAAATTGAATATTTATAAGATAATTTTGTATTAGCGACATTTTTAACCAAAAAAGACAAAAATTTACCGAGATCATGACAAACATGACAATAAATAATTGTAACTAAAACCTTTCGAAGAAAATAAAAATATAACGAAATTACTACTTTTCTTTGTGTTTTGCTGTAAATTATAAACTTGAGAAAAGAGAGGCGAGAGAGAGAGAGACAAAATGGTAAATGAATCGTCGTAGGAAAGAGGGGAAAGGAAGGGATAGAGATTAACAAATTAAACTTTGTATATGATTTTTTATATTGTATATTTTAAATATTTATAAGGAAATGTATTCATAAAAATGCTTAGAAATTCAATAAAACAAAGCGATTAAAACGAATAAATCAACATGAATCACTTTGTTTTATATTTATAACTCTCTTTATTTAGACCAAAAAATTATAATAGATTGTATATTGTATAATCTCTTCCGATTATCTCGTTTATCTTACGTAAAAGGATTCGATAGGAGTTATCGAATGAGCTGAAAAGGGGTTAGGACAGAGAGTAAAAGGCAAGAGTTTATTGGTTGATTGTTTAACAAGAAACAGCGAATAAATGAGACAATGATGAAAATATTTATTCCAATACTTAAACAGTTAATCTTCGAAACAGAATCATATAATCGATAAATCCTCTTTTAGATAAATATTTATTATCATCTATCTTCCTTCACCCACTCCTTTTTTATTGGTGTTATCCTCTTTTATCCACCCCCTCTCAATTCCCCCGCCTACCCAGTTTAAATTATTTTAAAGAATGGATACCAATTCTTAAACAGGCCTGTCGAGAATAAACATATATAGGCCACTAATTACAAGTAATTTGAGTTTAGATCAACTAAAACTGGTCCACAGGATAGTATCTAGAATTGATTTAGGATATGAAAAAAAAAGGGAAGGGGAATTATATCCGTGCAATATTGCTGTCCGACGTAATATTTGACTAAATATAGGTATTAACAAATTGGGAAACACTAATTATTTATAATATAATATTGGTGGTAACCGACCCCAGTTGGAATAAAAAGAGTAATATACACTATCCTAGTAAGAAAGGAAGATAATAAGATGAGGTTAGAAGAAGAGGATAAAGAACAAAGAAGAGAATAGGTAATTCGCCTTTCTTAATCATCAATCTTCTTGAATTTTTTTCTTCTTTCTCACTTTCTTAAGTAATTCATTCACTCGCTCATTTTTTTCCCCGTCCCCTCTCTCTCTCTCTCTCTCTCTCTCTCTCTTCTCCTTCTCATTTTAAATCAATAAGATAACTAACCTGTAAATTTGGTTGAGAGTTACTTAAAATAGAATTTAATTCGTATAGTTTTTTCTTCAAAGCCACTATTTCCTTCTCTTTTTCCGACATGTCTTTCGGATCATGAGCAGTTGATGATGCACCATCCCTGGATCTCATCTGCTAATTAGAAAGAAAGAGAAGATGCTTTTTTATTAAGTGTTTCCGTTAAAAAATTAAAAAACAATCAAAGCCTATCAGATGCTTCTACAAATTACATTTATATATTACAGTATATATACAGTATACATTGTAAATATATATATATGTATACAAATATTTAAATATACATATGTATAGTATATTTTTAATGTAAAGTCCACAATATCATATACAGCAAATATCAGTAAGCAAGGTACAGGCTTTCTCTCTCTCTTTTTCTATCTCTCTCTCTCTCCCTCTCTCTCCCTGTACGACTAATACGTATTTAACTAGAATTAGGCTTGGATTGCTATCATCTGATCGTTAAAAAGTAACATCTACTTTGTCTATTGTCAATATTCTGATTGAAATACGAGAAAACTTGCCTCATTTGCTAATAATAAAAAACGTAAGAAAGATTTACTAAAGACTTCATTTCATATAACTTTCTAGTAAATAAACTAATTAAAAGACAGAAATATGAATGTAGAAAAACAAGGGGAGAGAAAGAAAGAGAGAGTTTAAAAGATAAAAGTAATTAAATATGAGAGAAATAAAGACAATAGAATAAAGAAAAAGAAAATAAGGTTAATAGGGCGAGAGAAGAAACTGGTATAGCTACGAGTTTGGGCAGAGAGTGCTTAAAGGTATAAAAGACATAAATATATATTTATATAGATATATAAAGAAGAAAAAATATTAAATGTTTATATAATAAAGGATACATTATTCAAATACTATATATATATATATATTTTTTGGTTTCCTATAGTTTTTTAATATAAGCAAGAGTCGTAAAAATATTTAATATATATTAATTATTAATAATAACCTTTTGTAGATGTTTACTTTTATCTTCAAGTTTCCTCGAAATAGCTGCCAGTTCGGAGTTTCTTTTTCTCAATTTTTGTATCTTGTCCTCAGCTGGTTTCACTTCATTAGCAAGTTTCCTCTAAAGACAATTAAATGTATAGATATACTGTGTATATATATATATATATTTATTAGTATATAAATTTTATTAAAAGCTTATATGCTTCAGGTATTTTTAATTTATATTTAATATATGCATATTCATAAGGAAAAAACTATGCATAGTGTATATATAATTAATATTTAATTAAATTTCTATTTACCAAGGATTCGTTTTCGCATTTCAAATCCCGAACCTTTTTATCGAGAGTCGATACTTGTGACGTCAAATCCGCTACTTTTTTCCTCAACTGTTTCTCAGCTTTCTCATCTTCCAACGCTTTTTTCGCCTAACAAACAAATAAAATATAATTTAAAAGCAGAGTGAGAGAGAGGAGAGGAAGAACTACTATACGGTATATCCTAAAAAAATTTCTTTATTTTTTAAAGCTAAAGGATTAATACTAGTCGAAAGATCGATATCGATATTCTATACAACAAATCTAATCTCCGTTTACAATAAGAGATTATAGAAGGAAAATGAACGAGTATGTATACGTAATATATATAATAGTATACGTACATAATTTGCTTATATAAAGAAATTGCAGTAGATATCAATGTAATGTAAACATTAATACAAACATCCAACTGCAATTTAATAGACAATAGCGAAATATGTAAATAGTTCAGACCCTTATATTTTTTTTTCTTTTTAAAAACTCAAGAAATGAAGGGAATATAATAAAATGAGAAAACTGCTTGCATAAACTCTTTCAATAAGCCAAATCAAATATTAAGTTTTTCTTGAAAAAACTATTTTAGTGTTTCATAATACCACGTGACAAATTAAACCTACGCTGAAAGTATTAAAAGAGAAGACTACTTGGGAATAGGGGAAATCACATGTCTCTCTCTCTCTCTCTCGCTTTCTCCTTCTGTCACCTAAATATAGAAGTCTACTATATATTTTTTCTGTTATCCCTTCCACCTATAAATCATATGTAATAAATACAAAATGTAAATTTATCTGTCCCTGTCCGAGTTGAAACTGATGCAGATTTCTCACGGTAACATTATGGAGTACGCCAATTGACATAAATTTGCCTCTCGGAAGGCTACCAATGTCGATTTCTTTTTGTCTTATACATTATTTATAATGCAGTATAAATCAATAAGCTTTTAAAAACAAAAAAACAAAATTTTTTTTTTTTGGTAAAAGGCGAGGGGAAGAGGGAGAGAGAAAGAGAGTGAGAGTGAGAGATGCAGAGGAAAGAGGGAGAAAGATACCAGTACGTGATTAGGTTTCCTAACTAATTTTTAGGCCTAGTTAAAATAGAGAATATATAAATAAAAGTTATAGAATAGCTGGGCAACAAATTCTTAGTATTCGAAGAGACCTTAACGTTATTTTGCCTCCTAATCTCCCAGCTTTTAGTAGTCTTTACAGTTGGAGTTGAAGTAGTCTTTTTCTTATTTATCTTTGAATTTTTCTCAGGCGTGACCTTATCTTCCTTTTGATCGAAAACAAACCATAATTCATCTTCGTCGTTCTCCTCCTTATCGATATCGATTTCTCTAGGTAAAACATTATCCTCCCTATAATATTCTAAAGGTAGCCAAGAGGAAAATCTATTGGGTTCACTGTCACCGTCATCTTCAACGTCTAGCGGTTCGTCATTTATATCCACCTGTTTATCCACCTGTTCGGTACTAGATATACCGGATGTTGATAATGAATGTCCTTCTACGTTGTTAAAACTAGTGTGTAAGGCTTCTAAAGCAGCGTCAACAGTATTCTCATAGGTAATATTAGGTTTTTCACTAGCCTCATCACCGGAACCGATATAATCATCATTCCAGCTGATATTATCCTCTTCAATATCCGTATCCCTTAAACGGACATCTTGTGCCATAATTAAACACGTTTATTGAAAAATATCCATTAAAAAATATGATGGTAATTCAATAAAATATAAAAAGAGATAGTTATGAATAATTTTCAACTTAATAATAAAAAATAGCCAACAGAAGCTGAAAAGAACGAACAACCTATACAGAGCACCTTATAAATTTCCTATCAATATTGTAAAAAGTCATATTGCACAGGCAATAGGAACTCCTAACCTAATATTTACTATACCACTTACTCGATGATTAGCACCCTGGACGCCTGACTGTATACTATCAATAAATCGTTGAGAAACAGCGGGATAGGTCATTATGTAATTCCTGTAAACATTTCTTTCATTTCTATTCATGTATAAAGATTAGAAATCCTTCCTTTCATAAGTAATTAAGAGTCAATAATAATTCGATTATTTTTCAATAGAATATTACTAGTAAACTATTAATCCATTCGAGTTAACGGTACAACTTAATATCTTACTATGCAGATAGATTTTTGCACATGTTGCCCACATTATATTTATTTTATTTTTTAAAATCAATAACTACGGTTTTCGTTGATTTACCCACTCAAAAAAAGGAATAAAGAATATGAACGATGCGTGCGACATCTACTGGATGTTCAATTATCCTATTAGTTTATTAATTTAAGCAAACCAAAGTAAACTATCCTCTCGAGATATAAAGATTTTTAATCTCGGGATAATCTTAAGTGAATTAAGATGATGTATAAATGAAGTTAAACATATTTAATTTAAAGGAAAGAGATAATAAGGCATTGTAGAACTTACGGCTTTTTTAATCGTATCCTCTTCTCCATCAAGGTTGTAAGTACCAGACCTTGGGGTAGATGTTAAAGGATTAACCTTCAAAATTTCCCGTTCCTTTTCAGTTAATCTCTCGCTCAGAACGATTTTATCTCGTTTTAAGCTATCAACCTCATCCTGGAGTATTTTATAACGGTTTAGGATTGCGTTATGTTGTTCCCTTAAGGATTTCTTTTGAATTTGTATCGCTGCATTAACGGCTCTTTCCCTTTCGGATACTAGACTCGACTTCAGCCTCCTTATCTCATCCTCCTTTTCCTTAACTAAACGCCTGTAAACGTTTAAAAAAGAAACGGTAACGCTTACTCATAAACTCATTTCATTAGTCTCTTTCAATTATAATATTAATTTAGAAGGCGTACGAAACGAAGATTTAATGTTTCTTAGTTTAGAGTGAATCTCTGTTAATATGCTTAACTTAACGAGATTCAACGAAATTTAGAGTAACATTTAACTTAGTTATAGACGCATTTATTTAATAATTAATTTCAGGCTCACGTACCGGTTTTCGTTATCCTTCTCTTTAATGATATTTTCCTTAACTTTTTGTACTTCTATTGCTTTTTCTATAGAAAATTTTTTCTCCAAGTCTTTTATAGCCAGCTCTTTAACTCTATTAGAGTCCTCTTTAACTTTGCTAATCTCTGTAAACTTATCTCTATATATTTGACGGGATCTTATTCTTTCATTCTCAAGATCAGTTTTTAATTTTGCAATAATATGTTTCATTTCTTCTATTTTTGATCTGGACGATCTGGACGGTGGACCGGAGGGTGGTGGATTTGGGACGGAAGTCGTGGCTTGACGGGGTTTTAGCACCAATTTTTCAATAGGCTCTTTTGGCTCGTGATATTTCACTTCAACAAAAGATAACATTTTTGCATCTTGTGCGTTTTCTTGCTTCGCACCATTCGACATGTTGTTTTTCTGAGCAAATTTCATACTGACATGCTGATCGGTTCGTTGATCCACTACTTTTCATATAAAGACGTGCCTGTACATGTTTATATTGTTAAATATTCGTGCCAAAAACTTGATTGTTAATTCGCATGCTAGTTATAATTCTGTCCATAAAACGTGATTTTATCGAAAAATTATTATTCTAACGATTCAATCATAGAGTTTTGAAAATAAAAGTGCTCTTTAAGCAAGTCAGTAGTGAGAAGGTACAAACACGAACTTTATCTTCCAACACCGTGGACTGTCCCATATAATGCTGATATCTCCCAACAGCTCTCTTATTTAATTCACTAGACGAGTAATTTGGATAAACTTCTCAACTTTTTTAATGTTTACGCGGTTTCACTACTCACGTGATGCAAAACTATTTCCGGGGAAACCTTGGAGCCAGGAATAATTTTTGTCTTTAAAAATAAATATTTTCCCCAATTGCACATAAATATACAACAGATATTTATAGGGTTGCAATAAAATAATTTTTGCATTTCCTCCGCTTTTTATGCGGGCCTGTACTTATCAAAGTCAAGGTTAAATCTCGCACGTGAGACAACTATGTCAAGAAAACTATCAATTCTTCTATTAAATACTGCTTTCAAACGACACATATGCACAACAAATATACTTTTTAGTGGATTTAACAAAGGGAAAAAGCCTTTTGATCCAAGATTTCCTATATCTACTAAAGATGCTAGTCGATTTAAAGAAGGCGGTAGTGAATATATGGAACAACAATTAGGAGATACAGGTGGATTAATTGATACATATACTCTATAAATTCGTTATTACAATTATTAATTAACAGAAAATACCCCCCAATTGCAAGGGTATATCGATGAGAATGGAAAATTTGTCCACGTCCCAGAAATGGTTCCTGAGTTTGTTGTTCCCGATCTAACTAATTTCAAGGTCAGAAAAAATTATTATAAAATAATTTGGCAATAAATATAATTAGATCCATATCATTTAATAAAAAATATGACGATTAATGCATCGTAAAAACGCATATAATTGTAACTCTAATACCTCTATGTAAACGATAATAAATAATACTTTTTTTTTTGCAATAAGATAATATTTTATTCTCTTTTTATTGTACAGTTAAAACCTTATGTATCCTACAAAGTTGAAGATGTTAAACAAAGTGAGCTTACAGAAGAAAAACTATTTATCGCAACAATGGGAAGAGATATTGTTAATAATGTTAAAAGTGGTAAAATGACTATTGAAGATGTTGAAAAACTTTTAGAAAAACAAAAAGAAGAATTTGATAAATCAAAAGATACAATTTTATAAAATTTTCTCTCATTTTCTTCCATTAATAATAATACAAAACAATTTAATATTTACTAATGCAGATTTAAGATGGAAAATTATCAACTTCCGTTGTAAAGTCTCTTTAAACAAAAGTCTTTTATCTCCTTTCTGAATTATGCTGTCGAGTACGGAGAAGCTGGCATTTTATTTCATTAATTCAATTTTTGTTTCCTTTTACTCATTCATCTCTGTCTCTCTGTCTCTCTCTCTCTCTCTCTTGCTCGCTCGCTCTCTGCTAATCTACTATTTGACATTGTAAACTAGGTACTTTCAACTAAAAATATGGAAAACATAAGAAAACGAGGTTTATGACTAATTGATATATTTCAAAAATATTATATTATTAGTTACAGGTTAAAACTTGAAAGAGGATAAATGTAATGATATGACAATATGACAAGCTTAGCATTAAAGCTCTAAAGTACGAAAATCATAAGATACAAAATACACCTAATCAGATTCAAAATGCAAGAGTAATAAGATTACAAGATGTTATAGGAGTATATAAAATGTCATATAATAATAAGGTTTAAGACACGAAGGTTATTTTTAAAAACATCTATGACTTAGGTATCTACAAAATATGGGAGGAAGAGGTAAAAGAAAATAAATTTTAGCATGAATAAGTACGATAGCTCGTTTTATAGATTATTAAATTTTTTTCTATGGTATTAATCGCATGAACGAAATTCAGAGTTCTTAATTAATTATCCTTTGAAAGAAATCGTTAATACCTTATATATTGCAAAAAACTTTCAAAAAAGGGTAATCAATACTGTAAAGTTTAAGAAGGGACAATTAAGAATAGACTTAACCTCATAAGATGGATTTATCTTTAATGATACAGAATATATTACTGAAGATGTTGATGAATTCTTGGAAGGAGTGCAGAATCGTTAATTCAGACAGATAGAAACATACTAATCCAATTAATATTGTAAGTTTGATAAAACTCTCTAATTAGGTTAATTATTATATTAAGAAATAGGACAAATATTTAAGAATGATTCATTGAATACGAATTAAAGCGTTCTTTTGCTAAGTATAAAGATTTTATATCGCATTCCAACGAAAATGTATTCAATGTCGTTAAAAAAAATGACTAATCAATGTAACACTTTTTTTTAATAGTTGACAGACAAAATCTTAGATATCAATGTTCATAAAAAAAAAGTAATTATTAAACAAAATTTCGAAATAAATAATCTTTACATCGTCTGGAAGAAATGGTACTCTTTAGAAAATGATTTCCTGCTAAATAAGCTAAAAAAAGGCAATATTCAAAAGCCAGCTCTTTCATTGAAATCATTGAACCAAAATCTTTCTGCTTAAGGGTGCAGATAAAGGAATAAAATAGAAATTACATATAATATACTAATAAAATAGAATAATACACACATATATATATATACATAAAAAATCTTCGTATTTTTTTATGCAAAATAATTGGCAAAAGCGGTTTGATAAGGAAGGAGCAAATCTAAAGGTTTTAATTTCCTTCTCCCTTTCTCTTCTTTTCGCATAATTATCTATTCCTACTCGGTGTAGATAGTCTCTCTACCTTTTAGTTCGTACGTTCGTTCATTTTAATTAGGATAGGAGTATTGTTTTATTTTATTGAATTTTATCTTCCGATGTTGTCTTTCTCCCTTATTCTCTCGTTCCCCTTTTTTTTTCTTTATAGTTCAGAAGTTTTCTTAACTTTTAACAAATAACAACCTAACAAAAGCAATGAAACATAATATAATATTAGTATTCGATTATTGCTTTGCCCTCGAGTTTATTAGATGTCAGAGGAATTTAATGAGAAAATATAGTTTGCCTCTTAGGCAATAATGTTTGTTAATGACGGTTTGATGAGTTAATCAGTGAAATATTTCATTCTTTCTCAGTAAAATATACCCTTTCATCCTATTTTTTTTACTAATTAGTAAAAACAATAACTAAAATATCCCCAAGTTTTTCGTCCACTCTCAACCCAAATGAAAGGCGGTTCCGATTGATGAAAAGTTTTAAACAGCTGTACAATTTGTTCAGCGGAATGTAGGATTTCCAAGGAAGAGAGCTAAAGATAAAGAAAGAAAGAGAGAAAGAGGAAAAATATTTGGAACATATTGCTAAAATCTGTGAAAAAGATAATTGTCAGGTGTCTACAGGATATTTCCATAGCAACCAAGCGGCGCTACTGCATCATTGTATAGCATTGGCTATGGAAATTATAACGTGATGGGTAAGTGGATGGAAATTGTTTACAAAATAAACATTTTCAATATTTTTTCCAGATCTCATGGAAGTTACAAGCACTACAACCAAACCGAAAATTTCAGTTCTCAAATTAACTCCAGCCGTTATTGCCGTATGCGTTCTGGCTGGATTATGTTTAATTCTTGGAGTTATATACGCCTACATCTATTATACTCGTTTAAGGCCTAAATCAACAAAAATTCGAAAATTTTATCTCGATTGCGCTGGCGAAGACGAGGGTAATATGACAACATCTTCAGCGACCCATACTCATTTATTTCTATTTAAAAAATGATTATTTATTCTGCGAATTGTTTTACAATGGACAACATTCCATCATAAAAATAAACTGTAACATTTCTATATCTTTTAACTATGTATATAAGTGAGCTGTATACAGTATAATACATAAATGTATGTTAGGTATAGTAATAGTAAAGTGTAGTATATATAAACCAATATATAAGGTATATTTTTTTAACTGATAATAAAAGAAAAAAAGAAAGAAATCCATCAAAAATGACGCAAAATCGTGCTAAAAGTATAGAATTTCATTGCAATTTTTTTATTTAATACTTTTTATACAGCAAATATACAGTATGTATATATATATATATATTTATATATACAGTATATTCTTATCAAAGAATTTATCATTATCATCATTCTTTCATTATCTTTTAGCATAGATTTCTTTTCAAACTCTCCTTCCCGATTTTGCTTTTCCTTACTAATTTTTTTAGCATTAATAAGCATAAATTAATCAAACAAGCATCCTTTCCGTTTATATAACACAAAATATTTATTACACTATATAAGATATTAGAACTTATATCCTTTCCCCTTGTTTCATTTTTACTAAATTATCAGCTATTTTATATCCTTCTCCTTCTTCTCCTTCTTCCTCCTTATCATCCTCCTGTCTTCCTCTTCCTCTATTTTTATTTTAATAATTAACATCTACACGAAAAGATGTATATTCTTTGGAAAGCTTGTCTTTTACTATTCTATGTCGCTTTGGAATAGCAAGATGTCTGAAATTATTCTCGTTTTTGTGGATTCTATTGTACTACAGAATTATCCATAAATAATGGCTTTTCATACCATTAAAGCTTATAAGATGTAGGATAAATTTTCCATTTTTTTTTAATAGTTGAGAAGAGATTGTTTTTCCTGATCATTTACGATTCCGTAACTCTATACGCTAATTTTTTCCCTCAAAAACTTAAAAGTCCTAATAATTGTTTCTCTTAGATATACGTTAGAGAATTCTCTTTAATCCTTATACATTTTCCTTATACGTTTTTAATAGAAGTCGTCTTTTATTTCCCTGCCGTCAAATGCTAACCTACTAATACCCTCTTCCTCAACCCACTTTCCAGCCATGTATCTATCTTTATAATACTTCCACAATATATCAACAAATAATTTATTTATAAAAAAAAGACCTCATTTTTTACCTTTCGTTTTTTAGATTGTTTATTAAATAACAAGGGATTATTTTATACTTTTCATACTCTGTTATCAACGTTTTTGTACTTTATTCACGATTGGAGAAATTAACAAAAGTCTTTGAGAAGTATGGAAAATAAAAAATGAAAATGATTAATATAGGCTACGAAACTATAATATACATACGCAATAAAGTAGAGAATAAATTAATTAGCTTTGAAAAATTCAAACTTAAAAGTCGACTTTAATTACGAATCTACCTGTTTATTATATATAAATAAGTGATTAAAGATGGAAAGAATGGAAAAAAAGATAGGAAAAATGAATTATCCATCTCGACTATAACGAACTAAAAGCTTTTCATTATCTATACTGTTAATATATTTACATGTTAAAACTGCTAAAGGCTAAAGGGTTTCCTGTAACAGAGCCTATTTTATCGTTTATACGTAATATATTACGTACAGTTTTTTTCTATTTTTTACGTAGAAATTAGTCATAATTACGAAAATTTATGCTAATTTATTCAAAATATCAGTAAAGTATGAATAGTATAATATTAATAATACTGGGAAAAAATTATAAGGTACTCTATTGATAATCATAATCATATTCCTATTCTCTTTTAATCGTATATAGTAGCTTTGTGTTGAGAATCCTAAATTAACAAGATATTAATACGTCATTTATATTAAATTAATGAACCTATGAATATGCATATTTTCCTCTATTTCCATCATTTTTTTAGATAACCACTTGTATTATTGTCTTATTATGACAGTTACTCAGTTTAAAAGTAACACGTAACTAGCTTCAGTAATTTGAAATGTCAAATTTAAGACGCTTTATTGTCAAAGTATTACCGTCACCTTATTAGAATTATACATATTGTATATACTGTATATAAATATATAAGAATAAGAATAAAAATAAAGAAGAGAGTGAGAGAAAGGTGACAAGGCAAAATGACAAAAGAAAGAAAATAGGTGAAAGAAAAGAATAGAATAAACTAGAATCCGTATGCATTTCCATGCCACAACATTCCTCAAGTAGTTCAAAGATGTAAATCCTATATGTTTTGTTCTTAGGCCTTGGACTCTTGATTTGTTTTACTCTCTATTCTTCTTTTTTTTCCCTCACTCATTTACTCACTCTCCTTTCTTTTATCCATTTTATTGTCATTTAAGAAATACCCTAGTCACTTTTTCTGTCATACAATACTCTTAAACTGTAAATAAAAGATAGCAAGGCGATGCGATTTTACATTCTCTTACTTTTAAAGAAACAGAAAAAACAAATTTTCAATTATTTAGAGTGCAATAGAGACAGATATAAGACAAGGAAGAGTTGTCATTTCCTATATAAAAAAAAGTGATTCCTAGAAATTTTTTCTCTTGTAGAAATGATTGTTTCCTTCTCTTGAGTAATAAACAGCATCTGTCTTCAATTTAATCCTTATTTAGTGAACAAAGAGCATTGGAATTTATCTTTTATTCTGATAAATTTAAAAAGGCAGTACATACTGAATTACAGTTGATTGTTACATATATAGTGTATATAAATTTTTATATATATACTTTATATAAAGTAGTTTGACTCGGAAATGTTTGTAAATAGTGAGGAAATATTGTAAATTGTCTCTAAAGAAACGTTTCCATTTTGACCTTCATCCCCCATCATAATAAAAAATAGCAGATTAATTTCTACGTTTTTTTTAAGATACTAGAGATATTTTATTAAAATTTGTATTACATTTTGACGAATTGTATAAATTATTTTCTTTCTTTTTCATAATCCTATATGAAGTGAAGACATATAAAAGATTACTTAAGGTAAAGCTTCACTAAGGTAAATAGTAATCGATTTGTTACAAGATATGATAATACTCAACGTAGAGAAGATGCTTTTTAAAAGATGTATTCTTGGGGTAGAAACAAAATAAAAGAATTGATGGAAATTAACAAAAGTATATTTTTTCTTTTTGTTTTCAACAGTTTTAATTATCTACCTCATGGACGAAATTAAGGAATGGGCTGTAAGTAAGATGAGCAATAATCAATCTAATACATAGATTATGCTATATAATATCTGTATATATTTAATATTTTATATAGAATCTTCCAATACTATTCGTAAAATAACAGAATGTAATGTTTCTCTTTCAGATTAGCCAATAAGCCAGATTTAATATTTTGGACTGAATGTTTGTTAATTTTATTGATTAACTGACCCATTGCTTAATAACGTTAAGTATAATACATGTAGTATATACATACAAATACATAGACATATATATACATATATATATATATATAAGAAGAGTTAAAAAAAGGGGGGAAAGGCGGTTTATAATAATGGGATGAACCGACATTTATCCTGTCAATATTTATTGAAGAATCAGAGGACTAATACTGTATACATAATGTTGTATACTTAGTTTCTCACATTGACTTGATAACTTATCATATATATCAGAATTCCATTCTTTTTATGCACTGAAATTATATATACTGTACATTGGCGTTCATACTTCTATCAAATACATTACAAAAAAAATGAAAATTATTATTTCTGAGAGAGAGAGAGAGAGAGAGAGAGACGGGAAGGGAGGAAAGGGAAAAGGAACATTGAAGGTGGAAAGGTAAAAAAGAGAAAAATCTTGAAACATGGCCAAGTTGTACACTTGAGATACTTCTTGTTGTTAATACTTCACAATGATTTCTATTATTACAAGGTTATTACTGTTATTCATCCTCTTCTTGTATTTTAATGAAAATCATACAATGAAAACTATTCAGGTTTTCTCTTCTACTCCTTTGAACATTTATACCATTAGGGTTATATCTATCATATAATTAATTATTTTTTGTTTGTCTGTCATATACTCCTTCCTTCTTCTACTTCTCTCTCTCTCTTTCTGCTCCTCTCTATTTCCCTTAACAATTTTCCCCTCGTTACTTTCTTACTTATCTATAAATTATATAGCATATCCCGATTAAAATAGTATCATTTAATTCATCAGCCTAAAGATGTCGCCACGTAACTATAAACAATTTCTAATCCACCTCACGACAGTAGCCTTCACGTAGTCAACTGTAAAGATTAGCATATATGTATTTTGTAATAGGAGAATGATGAATAGGAAGGCAAAGCTATTTAGTAGGCCTAATCTAAAGTATGTACAGATTATACTTATGGATTATTGTTTGTAATTCTCCTCATAAAATGAAATAATCTTTTAACTAAAAAAAAAAAGTCTGTAATAAAAATTAGAAATAAGAGAAGAGCGCATTTTTTGTGAAAATGTTCTGTATCTATTGATTTTGGCTTAGCAGAAATGAATTGGTGACCGTTAGTCAAAAAAAAGAAGTCTGACAGTATCTATTAGAGCATTATCTAGGCTTAATACGATAGGTGCGGCTTAGTCGCCGTATACGGAGCTGTTATTTTTTTTTATTTTATTGAGCGGCTTGAGAGGAAAACGGAAGGCAGAGGAGAAAAAGTGAGAAAAGTAAAAGGAGAATGAGACAGTGAGAAGAGAGGAGAGAAGAATTTAATAATAAAATATATTTATGCATTTGGCTATTTTAACGATAATATGAGAGTATTTGTGGCCTATAATACGGAGAGAGTCTCCTTGGAGGTTCAAGAATCGGATACAGTTGAAGAAATACGTGAAAAAGTTCGAGATATTTTTAATATAGGACCAGACGGTTCAAGTATACTGACTTTAAGATTCTACGGTGGAGAGCTAAAGAGTACATGGCTTATCTCAGATTTGGGCTTAGTTCCAGGATGCAGTTTAAAGTAATATTTAAAAAAACAAAGCCTAAAGATATAATAATAATAATTAATTAATTAATTAATTAATAATTTGGTGTTAATTTTTGTTATCAAAGATTTAATAGCATCGGTTTTTTTTTGTATTACTTTAAATAAAAACTTAAAAGAGCTGTTGTAAGAGAGCAAATTGAGCCTACTTTATTTGTACATTCCCCTTATAATGGAGATACTCTGGAAATTATGGATAAATTTAACGCCCAGGACTTAAAAGTTCATCAATTGAGATCTATTGTATCACGTAAAAGTGGACTTCCTGTTAGTGTCTTCCGTTTAACAACTGTGGAAGGAACTGAAATGTATGATTGCCAATTTATTGACTCTTATGGAATAGGGGTAGGCGATAGAATTGTACTTGAAGTATGGGATGGATGGTCTGATATGTTAAATGCCGCTATTACCGGGTTTACTTCAGATCTCATGGAGAGTCTCTTCAAAGACGATGTCATTTCCAGATTTCAAATGAAGGTCGCTTTATATATAGCAGCGCATTACGGTCACGTTGAATTAGCCGTTAACCTCTTAAGACACGGAGTAAGACCCGATGAAGCTATAGGAGAACACCCTCTAAGACAATGGTGTAAAGGTGAAGAATCACACATCGATACGTTTAAGGCGGCAATTCATGAATCGGCCGAAAGCGGACAGTTAAATGTGCTCAGATCGTTCGTTCATCATAGCGTCACATCCGTTTTAGCGAAAGACGGTAACGGACTAACGGCACTAAATATCTCGTTAAGAATGAAACAAAGACACTGTGCATCATTCCTATTGACCAAGCAATGGAGTAAGATTCAATATACGAAAAAAGCATCACTACCATTATCTATTTATACGAAAATGAAAAAATGGTGTGAACATGCCAAAACAAAAACATTAGTTATACACGGTCATTATAAGTCATCTATTAAAAACTATAAAAGGCATTTAGCCCAAGGAGCTCTAGTTGGTCATGGATTGCAACTAGACGGCTTCGGGCAGTCAAAATTATCAACAAAACCATTAAATTTACTTAAAATAGAAGAGGAAGAATCGGAGAAAAGAAAGAAAAGACTTTATGGTATTGATCCACCATCGGGTCAAATGGACCCGGAGATCTACTTTAAATCGCTAAGTTCAGTTGCACTTATGAGATCTGGACCTAAATTAGGGAAATGGGGTAAATTGGTTTCGAAAGCAAATAATTTAAAAAAGAGTACTTCAGAGGATTCGAATCATGTAAGAATTATATTTTTTTTATCTATTTTTCCTTTCCCCTTAATTCCCTGTTTGAGCATCCTAGGAGAGAATCCTATTTTCTTTCTCTCTCTCTCTCTCACATACACACACACACACACATACCCTTTCAATTATTAAGGGGAAAGATATAATGTTAAAAATGAATGTATATATATATATCTATAAATAAAAATTTTAATCATTAAGCCAGACATTCATCAAATAATCCTTACCAAAGTTGATTAAATACTATTTTAATCTGACAATTTGGTCGGAAAACAATCAATAAAACAATTTGAAGAATATAGCAACAAATGTTTATTAATTACTTGTTTTATTATTCTCCAATAATAGGAAGATAAAGAAAGTGAATCACTTAAATTGCCTCCTATAAAGGAAAATATGAAAAAGAAACCATTTGATCCTAGTAGAAGATCATTCCTTTTACAAACTGGAGCTGAAAGTGTTGGCACGCGTTCTAATCCGGAAACTGAGCGTAGCGATAAAAAATCCAGCTTTCAATTGAGAAAAAAACCGAGTCAGTTAGCACCTATAAAGAGACGACCAGTAAAGCCTTTACCAGCAGATTTAAGGAAGACTATGGAAGAGTTCGATTTTGAAAGAGGTATGAAAGCCCGTGAGAATGCAATCAAATGTTTATCTGTGGCAACGACATTCGAAAAACCTTGGTTACAACAAATAAGACTGGCGTTGAATATCGCTAGAACAGGGGTAAGAAAGATACTTGATAAAAAACCTTATATGTTTTCCTTTGAGGAGAGCGAAAAAAGTTCAAGATCCAATACACTACAAGCTAGAACAGCGTGATTTTCAACAAGGAAAATGAATACACTATCTTCTTTCATTACCCATAGCAACAAATAACTTGATCATTAGCTTTCGTACGCATCCTGCATATAAAAAAAAAGAGCTATCATTAATAAACGAATTGTATACATCATTAAAGATGATGAATATTCAAAACGATATAACTTCGCAAGCTAAATAAATAAGGATTTATTTTGTTCAAAAAAGAAAGAAACATACAGACAGGAACATTTTTATAAAAATGGATTTTCTCTTTTCTTTTTTTTTGCGATTAATGAAAATCTAAAAAGGATGAAAGGAATGCAATCGTCTCTATGTTTAAATACAAAAATTAACAATTATTTACCTCAATATACATATATATTTCGTATTGATGTGTGTATATAAAGATAAAAAAGAATAAATGAAAAAAGGTGGGAGAGAGAGAGAGAGAAAAAAGATAATCCTATAATGCATAAGAAATTACGTGTATTAGCTAAAAACTGGAAATTTACGCTCAAGTTGTTAATGTATCGCTATTAATAAATGATTTTCAAAAATATCATTCAAACAAGCACTTTTTGTGCATGAAAAGTAATTCTCTTAAATAAAGAAAATCCTATTTTCTATCGCAATATGCTTTAAAGGGCTCTTTTCAATTTATTAGAATAAGACAGCGTGAAGGGGGACAGTGTGGGGGACGAGATACGAAGAATGTAAGAAAGATAGGACAAAAGTAGAAAGAAATCTCTCAAGGTTAAAACAGTCAACAACAAAAATAATAATAAAATGTAGAAAAGGAAAAAAAATCGTAAGAGATGTAACAAACTAATTCGATAATAAATCTTTAACAGATTTAAGTCTTCCATATAAAATATTGACAAAATATTACCATTTTTCGCTATAAAGACAGTTTTATTCACGCCATAACAAGTTTAATTTTCTTTTCCCGTAAACGATTTCAAATTATGATAATAAACTATAAAATTTCTTATATTAATTGATATTATTTTTAGCTTCCTAACGATAATTAATAACAAAAATTACACGATTAAATCTTTTATATACTGTTTGTATTTATAAACTGTATATTCTCATTAATGAGTTTAATTGTTGAGAATAGAAAAAAAATGTAGAAAGAGGTCGGGAAAAGTGTAAGAGAATGAGAGAGAGAGAGAGAGAGAGGAGGGGAGGGGAGGGGGGAAGAGAGAAAAGAGAAAGAGAGAGAGAAAGAGAGAGAGAGAGAGAGAGAGAAAATAGAGAAAACTGTCAATTATTGAACAATTTATCGATATATTTATATACTTGATTAAAAATAGATGCTATTACAAAAAAAGTTGTAATAGTAGAAAAACAAAAAGAAAAAATATGTTAAAAAGAGAAGAAATCTTACAGTAGATTTTTTATTATTAATATAAATTTCTATATAAAAGAATTCATTATTTATTAACAAACTATAATTCATAAATGTATAGTATTCAATAAATTGTTATTAGATATAATTAAAATAAAACAAATATAGTATCAAATATATTAATTGAGCCTTGTAGTTAATTATTCAAGATAATACGTGATAAATGAGCAAGAAACTTGTAAAAAGAATTATCTAATAAATATAACAGCACATATATACATATATATATATATATATATGTATTTTTTTATTTTAATTATTCAAGACGTTGTATATTGACACATATAAACGTGATAAAAAATGATTGCAGTTCACTGATATTGATTTACCTAACCCTTTTAATGGAAAACTATACAAGAGAAAAAAAAGAACATTTAGACAACATTGCCCAAAGCTAACTCCCCTTTACAAAAGAAAGACTTATTGACATAGAAAAAACGCTTCGAGATCTACTTTAGAAATCAATTGCGCTGCCCAATTCGCTTGTTGTATTTAATCGATTACCGCTTTTGAACAAGCCTCTTTTATCTAATTATTGCTCCTCGAAATTGTTCAGATCTGCAGGGTTAAGGAGGCTAAAGAGTCTATTATTTAAACGTTTTAAACTGTTAAAAGTTAAATAACATTTTCTTTTTGTCTTACTCTTTCTTACTTTCTTTCTCTCTCTCTCTCTCTCTCTCTCTCTTTCTTATCAATTTACACGTAAATAGTGAATATTTATCGTTTTTCATTTTCCCCTTTCTTTTACATTGTATATAAAAATCTCCCGTTGTTTACCGCAACTAATGGACAATCAACCAACTGACTTATTAAATCTACAATTCAAACGGTAGATGGCGGTGAAAACTGTTTGTAAAAGAACAAAACTTTTTTCCTTCTGCAAGCAAAACTTTTCTATTTTTTTCAAGTAAAAAGGGAAGATCATTTAGAGTTTCTCTTTCTTTTCACACACACATATATATATATATATATATATATATTGTGCTGTATTTATATATGCATGACAATTTGGATAATCAATATTAAGAGAGCTATTCAATATTGCCCGCGCTTGAATCTTTCAAAATAGTCTAATAGGGGAGGATTAAGACTATTTATATTTTTTGAATTAAAAACAATTACGCCTAAAGTCTTTACTCTTTGCTACGTTCTTCATAACTTTTTAATATTACACCTCTTTTTATTATTTTATTGATTTTCTTTATTTCCCTTTCGGATAAAAACTGTCTTATGGCAATCTAATGTAGAGATAAGAGACAAAAAAGAGATATAACGCATTCACTTTTTCTAATATCCTTTGGCTAGAGTAGTCAAATTGTAAACAGATCTTAGCCTATAGCTGTTAGTGTTTACCGGGGAGAAACTAAAATATATCTTTTCCCATGTTCTGTACATATACACGGTATGTATCATACACGCATATTGACTCTCTCTTTCTCTCACTCTTTCTTTTCCTGTCTTCTTCTTCTTCTCCTTCTCCCTCCATTCATAGTATCTGTCTCTATAATTTTACTACCAACCCCCTCGAAGCTTAAGATCAAAGGACTTATAAACACTTGAACTTTTCCTGCCTTTTTATTTATTGTCTATTGTATCATTCTCTCTTGCTTTTAACTGAGAATAATTTGAAGAGGGATTAACGAGAATGAAAAAGAGAGAGTGTGTGTGTGCTTGTGTATGTGTATATACAAGGTCTTTCTTTCTTTTATCCGAATATAAGTTGATATAATTAAAGAAGAAAGACGCTTTCAAGTTAAAAATTTAAATTGAAGCTGACCGAGAAAATTCATAACATAGCTTGCCATGAATTTTTCTTTACCTTTTCTATTCCATTTAATTCTTTCTCGCTTATTTTCATATACTCTTTCATTTCCTATTAATCTTAAATAGAAATAATCAGAGATTAAGTGTGTGAAAAATGGTGCTATTTCCTTACTAATCTTTAATTTTTCGAAATGTTTATCATTAATCTTGACACAATAGACCATTTTATCTACCAATAGATTTTCTAATGATACACCCAATATCTGCATTTAATGCATTTACTATTAATATACCTGGGAGGAATGTTAACGGTGGGAGACAGATGAGAATGAGGAATCGGTACAAGTTAAAAGCTAGATTGGAGGAGAGGTTAAAGCTACAGCGAAAATAGGTCAAAAGACCTTGAAAATATATAACATATCCGTTAAATATATACACAAATAAACATGCATGAAAAGAGCTTAGTTTTGATCAATAAGAGTAGGAGATATAAATAAAAAACTAAAAGCCTTAATCATATAACAAATACTAATATACTTATAGCTTAATACACGATAATTAAAAAGTCCTTATCTTTATAATTAATTTCAGTACTCTTTTAAGATACGAATATCAATTTATTTGTTACATAAAACTAGCTACTTTTCAGATATAAAATGAAGAAAAACCTTATTGAAAATCTTTTAAATATACTTTAAATATTTCTAAGATTTCTTTTTCAGCTATTCCCCCTCCATAACCGCTTTGAATTAACAAGTAACATATTTCACTTCTCTGGAATTTTATAATACTTCTATTTCTATCTCTTGCTCTCTCTCTCTCTCTCGCTCTTTCCCTATCTCTCTCTCTCTTTTTCTTCTTCTTCTTTATTTACATATATTCTATCTTTTTCACTCGTTCACTCTTCTTTTCTTTATCATTATCTCTATTTGAAATCGTCATAATATCCCTCTAGTGTTCACTTAGGATACGTTGTCTATCATGATTCAGAGTCTTACGAATCTCTTGAGATCTTCAAACAGCCTTTTTGAAGCTCGAAAAATCTCTTATTTCTTGTATCTTAAAGATAAAGTTCAAGTCTTTGTCACTCTACTGTTTGCAACACTTTAATTACTTGGATGTTATTTACATAAAACAAGGGAGAGAAAAAACAAATAAATACAATTTTACTTATTAACTTTTGTGTATTCATTATTTATTAATTTCTTTTAATATCATGTTTGCTTTTTTTAAACCCCTCTAAGCTCTCTAAAAAATAATAAATTAACACTAAAGTTCAAAGTCTTTTAGGTCAATTTTAATGTAGAGCTGTGAACAATTTAATGATAAGAGTTTCCCGCTTTTTTCAACGACTTTTCCCGCGCTTTTATCCTCATTCTATCCCTGTCTCTTAGCATTCGATTTTCATATTCTTTAACAAAACCTACGCAATTAAGGATGTTAAATATTCTTTTAACTTAGAATTGATGTTTCGTTGTTAAGAATATAATGAAAAGTAACATTTATAATAATATAACTGACCAATATTTCTTAATTCTAAATGATAAAAAGCAGATATCCTAAGACTCGAGACAAGTAACAAAAACAGAAGTCGAAATGTCCAATAGCACTAGAAATAGGATAAGTCTTAAAAGAGTATACACATATATTAACTATATACAATTTATAGATGGAACTCTTTTTTTTTCCTTCAATAAAAATCTATTTTACAACTTGTTTTCACACTCTAAAGAGAAGGCAAGAGAAAGAGAGAGTGAGAGTTTATTAAGAAAATTCAATAATGAAATTTCTTTGCAACTTATAGATTTTATTTAAAAATAGGTGTACTTGTTCAAAACACTCAAAGTGACACTCTTGCCAATTTATTCTCCCTTTTTTGAAGGTTCTCAAAGTTCCACAAATAACTAGTATATTTAGATATCTATATATACAAAATATGCTATAGTATAACATAAATATATCGCCTTTTTTACCGTATATTACATTAAAAAAATATATAAACATTGTTTAGTTTATAATAATATTCATAATTAATTCATTCTTGTATTTAGTATTCTCTAAAAACAAAGAAAACTCTCTCTAACTAAGTAAACGTCAATAGTAAAAGAAAATAATTGTATTAATTTTGAATTAACCTACAAAAAAAAAAAACAATGATAAAATTGATTAACAATTTTCATTCAGAATTAAAACGGTAGATGACGCTGCTATTAAAATTTATAAATTAAGATCGATTGTTAAAACTAATAAAAAATATCAAATATTTCTTCATTTTCCATACAATTTAATGTAAATATTTATCGGAAAATGTCAAGAGAGAATATATAACTTTTTAGAGGGAATAATTAATCCAATGACTTTGAAAAGTCAAAATAGGTTGATGCGAAAATATACAAGTATTTTGTTTCTTTCCTCATTGTTTTCTTCTGAGATTATATATATATGTAACAAAAAAAAGAAAACAAATTCTATGTTTATCGAAATCATTTGCACTGTCTTCCGGATTTTTTTTTCTTTTTTTTTTGGAAAAGAAATCTTTAACATTATGTTCCAACGCATATGGTTTACATTCTGCTCTTCCAGACACGTACTATACTAAATCTGCACATGCTGGAAACAGCCTAAAGGATCTGCTAAAATTCTATAATATAACCTTTTTCATTTTTTTTCTCCAGGTTGAAGAATTGTTTATCTATCTTTTTAAAAGAGTAAAATATTACAATTATTTAATAAGTTCTCCTTTCCTTTCTTCTTATTTTATTCCATGCACAAAGAAGATAAATTTGAAAGCTTTTTTTAAGAGAAACATGAAAAGCATGACTATGATACTGATTGATCGTCCTACAAATCTCTTATTAATTTCGAATTTAGATATGCTCTGCTAGAAAGATATATAATTTTGGCGTATGTTTTTGAAATACCAAACGAGAAAATATCTCTGTGAGGAGGAAATAACTTATTGTTTATTTTTCATCAGTTTGAACTTTCCTTACCTGAAATATTTTAGTCGATCCTTTACGAAAACATAAACACGCTTTGGGTTACAAAATTGTCACATATCTCAATTCTTTCCTATTTGGGTCGAAAATACTTTTAATACTATCGTATTCTTTTAAGTAATATTATACAAAAAGAGACTATTAGATAGATGTTTGTAGAGGTAGGCCTAAATATGACTATTGTTCTGGTTTGGTTATATCACGACTTTAAAAATCGTACTAAAAAAAGGCATAGTTTATCTCAATATCACAAGTAGTAAATACTATGATTAATTTCATAAGAACATCCATTCTTTTCATTTACTGTATATAATAGTATATATATATATATATATATATATATATATATATATAAAATCTTTACAGATCAAGCTACACCAATCTAGTTTGAATCACAAAGCATACACAGCAGATTTATTATATACAATACAGGTTAGTCATGACAGATTTAACCTTGTAACAATGAATGTAGGCTATGGTATATGATTAAGGGTACAGTTTCCAAACCAAAAACCTACAATTAGAACCATCATTCAAAAGTAATTTTAAGCAGTTTAGAATGACTAGTATCAAGATGTTTAAACGGAATTTCGTACAATACGAATCGATGAATCAGATAGTCTTTTGCCGAATTTCTACTCTATTAATCACATTTCTTAAGCCTATTGTGAGTCCCTTCGAATTGTGCTTAAGAAACTCAAAAAATTGTTAGTACTAGTCAGAAGGGCGTAGTAGAGAAAAGAGCTAATGCCTGAAAAATGACATTAGACTTGGCACAGAAGAAAATGGAGGATTTTAGGAAAAAGGGTGGGGGGGGGGGGTTAAGCAAGTAAATCAAGGTAAAATATCCTGAATAAACACAGTAATCAAATCGTTAGATATTGTATATCTAAAAATCATTACTAATTCTTTTCTCTTCCTTTCTCACCTTAACTAAACAATCGATTAATGAGAAAACGTTTTTAAAAATAGCTAGAAAAAAAAATTTAATATAAAAAACCAATGCCATTCTTTTCCTTTATTATTTTTACACAAAAAATTCTTTTCCCCTCAAAGAAAATGACGTAAAAAATTCAATCAAGTGTAATTAGTATAAAAAATTTTTTGTATATCACTACATTTATTATTTAAAAGCTTTTGACAGTAATCAGTCTATTTTATCCAAAAATATTTACTTTCTTCTGATCGAAATCAAGACTCCATTTGACATTTTCAGTTTGCTAACGTTTTGATATTTCGCCATTTACGAGTGTAAAGTCTAGTCATGAATATTTATAAAAACATGTTCTAGACTTTCACTCGTAACGGAGAAAATCAGTGTAGCTCTCTATCAATATCTCATGCTAGTTTATTCAATTTGAAAAAGGTATAAGCATTTGTGGTCAGTATACATCTAGTCATAATCTGTTATTCGTACGAAAAGAAGTATACAAACCGATAAAGCTTATCGGTAATTTTTAAAAATTCGTACCTGAAAAAAGTACAAACAAGTATATAATAAAACTTTAAATATTTTTATCTTAACTTCCGTCGTATAAAGATAAATAGCTCAAGCACTACAAATGATAACATTGACAGCCTCATAGGTATAGCTAGAATAAAGATTAAACATGTGAATATCATACGAGAGCGAATCAACTTTCAAAATTTGTTAGGTCACTTTTGCTCTCATACCTTGTCAAGAATTGCGAATTAATTAAAGTTATAAGGGCAATCGATTAAGTTTTTAAAATAGTACTAAATTAATCTATATATATTTAAACATTACCTCCACCTTCACTCGCCGCTGGCGTGGGTATGAGAGAGGGTAAATACTGGCTTCTTAACGACATTTGGTAGTCTTGGACGCCATTTTATTTCTCCTGGCTGCTGATTGGTTGCCTTGAATCTAAATAGAAATTCCAGAATGCAGACCTACCCCTGACTTATTTTAAAAATGAAAATGGCGTCTGTTGATATCAATACCAATTCCTATTTAGTGTTGTCTCCAAAGTAATATCTGAGTCGTATAGTAACGTAAACAATCATGGCGACGAGCGGGGGACCGCTGAACTTTCCGAAATGGCTTATAGATGGAAAAGAAACTATTGTCCAAACACCAGTAAGCTCATTAATAACAACATCTGAGTTGATTACTAGTTGCGTCGATAGAAAATGAGAAGCCTTGGGGAAAGTGTATAACAATTAAAAGTGCCTTGGGCTATCAATCAAGCTCTTGCGTACAGCCGACTTTCCCTTTTTTGACTTTCTAACTTTCACTAGTTACGTAATCGACGAACGTTTTCAGGAATGGCTAAACTTTACGAAAGAGCTATACGATGCAATCGAACAGCAAGTTAAGGAGAGTCGGGTGGACAATTTTACAGACTTAACACAAACCGAACGATCTCTCTTTATGGACAGAGCATGCAAAGCTCTCGAAAATAGTACGATAATTTTTCTTAGTTTAAATAAAAGTTTCCGCTTCCCTCCCTCTTCCCCCCTCCCGCGCTTTAAAAAAAATGCACTACTCCTATACCTTTATAACCTTCTTATTATTTATAATAAATATTATAAATCTATCTGTACATTAGATATCTTACCGCAGGTGATTCGTTCAAGAAGATGTATAACAGCGTCGCCGGTTGTATAGATGCTTGTTTAAATCGAGAAGTTTCCAGACAGTTGCTCGAGGACTTTCCGTTGGATACTAAATCTGATTTGATTTTAACACAGGCGCAAGACGGCGCTATTAGTCTCCTTAGAAAGTGGCCGGATATGAAGTACAAGTTGCATGTTTATTTAAACCATCAGTTACCGTCCAATTTACGACTCGTTGCCTGGAGGCTTTTCTTAGAGAATACTAAGAGTATGCTGTTACCTTTTTCTATATTTATTAAATGGGTGTGTTCTTTTATCCTACAACAATGAATCTAGAAGGAAAGGCAACGATCCGGGTATTCTATTCAAAAGGATTGAATTGAATATTTTTTCATAAAAACACCACGTATGAATATAAACTATTTCAAATAGGGTGATGAAGAATAGTAAGAGGTTAGGTTAGAGAAAGGAATAGAGAGGGGGGGTAGATGAGAAAAATGTTAAAAATCAGCGAGAGTTCCTTTCCCATTTTTTTCCACCCCTATTCAACAATAGAAATAAAAGAGTAAAGGAACTTTTTAATACGTTTTTTTACGGCAAGAACATACATAATAGTTTCCTTTTTTATACTAAAAAAATATACATTATTTTGCTAAATTCCATTAATAATAAACAGTTCGTAAGGAGTATACTGACATTCTATCAACAAATCCACGTTACGCAATTTCTCCTCAAGATTTAGAGATATCAAGAACGTGCGAACAACTATTAATACACGAATCGAGTTTTAACGAATTAAAAGGCTATGTAGGTAAGTGAAGAGAGAGAGATTTTAATGAATTCATAAACTTTCTCTTTTATTCTAATATTGCTAATATTCTATTTAAAAAGTCATGATTTTCTTATATACATATTGTATATATGTGTGTGTGAACGTATATCTAAGTAGAGGAAACTATTTGATTAATTTATATACAATATGTATATATTGTATATATACACAGTATCTATATTACACAGGATAAGTTAAAAGAAGAGGTACTTGATTATTGAAACTCTTTTTGTTTCTTTCTCACTTGGTTTTCTTCGTATCACAAATTGTCTCTTGAATTTGTTGTTGCTGACATTTTAAAACGGCACAAATGTAGTATAATTAGTGGCATTTTAAAACTATTTTTAGAAAAAGTATTACAATTAAACATATTTTAAATAGGAGCCTTCTATGCTATGAAAGCTGTTCTTTCCTATCATCATGCGAGGATGAAAACTGAAAAAAAACTACCATCAGCTGATTTCATGCTTGTCATACCTTTCGTTCAAGTTTCATTGCCAAATATTTCTAAAAGAGAACCGGCAACATCATCAGTTGCCGCTTTACTGGTCGAAGAATATTTAACTTTTATGGAATCGAGGCCAAATTTTATGATGCATGCAGCTCAGAAACAGGTAAGATTATGTAATAAATGAATAGACGAAGCCGATTCAATAGAATTTTAAACGCTTGAAGAGTCAAGAAGGTCTGGCAGCGGTAGCGGTCAAGGTAGGAAAACATCTGAAAAAAGAAGCTAACGAATTAGTCGAACCGATTGTAATGACAAGTTATGAAAATAAAGGTAATAGTTTCTTTTAAATAACGATATCATGTTCCGTTGTTTGACCTTTAACATAATTTTACAGAGAAAATTTTAGAATCTGACAAGGGACAGGAAGAGGCGTTTAAAAAAGCTTTAATGGAATTGATTCATCCTTTATTACGTACTTTATTTGTTGGTTAGTTTTTCTAATTAAAGTCAAACCTTTTAAATAAAACATCAAAAACATTTGTGTTTTTAAAAGGTTATCTAAGAATGGATACCCTTCTATTTTGTTGGGATCAAGTTATAATTGGCAGGGATGTTGCCGAATGGATGTCAGAAATTGTACCCGCTCTCATAGCCGTCTTCTTTCACATCTTAAGAAAACAATTAAAAAATAAATCAACGGTTTATTCCATGAAATCTTAAGATGTCAATCTTTTTAATCTAGATTATTTTTTACCATTAACAGGTAGAAGAATGGCACAAGTCATTAAAGGAAGAAGGACAAAAGCTAACTGCAAGTCAATTTCAATACGAGGTAATTAAACGTTTTATTTAGTAAAGATTATTTAAATTTATGCTAATTTGTGACTTTTTCAACTTTGGGAATGTATTTTGCGATTTTTCTTTTAAATATATTCTAATATATATGCTGTACATTACTTTTAGATAAATAGATACTTTATAGAAGATTTAAGAAAGATATTAAATCAAGAAGATAGAGCAGCAATGCCAGTTCTAGATCCAACTTATACACCATATCCTGCTTGGAAACACTGGCACGATGATCCGGTACCACCAAGAATTGGACCAGTTCAACGTCGAACAAATAGAAATGCACGCCAACTGGAACGCGAGAAAGAGGCTAAGGAAAAAGAATTAATAGAGGAAAGAAAACGTAGAATTCTTGAGGAGGAAAAATTAAAAGAAGAAGAAAGATTTAATAGGGAATTAGCTAGGGATAGGCGGAGGGAAGAAGAAGCAAGAATAAAATTAGAAGATGAATTAGAAGAGGAAAAGAAAAGAAGACGATATATAGAGGATGAATTAAACAAGCTAAGAAATGAATTGGATAATTCTAAAGCTGCAAGGAAAAAGGTAACGAGAAATTTTAGTTAAAACTACAAGGAAGCATAACAAGTTCATTTCCTAAATAAGAGATGGAGTGAATCCTATAAATTTCGTTTTTATTCTATTATATATATAAACCAAGTATTATTCTAAAGCCTCAAGCAGCTTTTATAAGAATTTTTTTCAACGTAAAGTAAACATTTACCACTTATTAGGCCTATTTAAATCAAAAAAAATTTTAACCCATGTTTCTAAATATAGTTTTAACCCAGTTTTATTGCCTAATTCTCTTTTTTTTCTCTTTTACAGCTCTCACCAGAGGATGTAAAGTTAGTTGACAGTCGTAAAGTTAATGAATACATTTTATTGCAGCAAACTTTACTCTATACAGCAATTATCTGGTTCCACCCGCACCTCCTGCAGCTAGGAGTATGAGTGTTCAGGCAGACTTACCAACTCATACACCAACCCCTGATAAGCCAACTAGACAACAAGCTCAACAAGTTATGAGAGACTTACTTTGCAAAGTTGTACTATCATTTACAAGAGGTTGATATTCCCTTTCCATCTGTATTTTATCAAAAATTAATTCGTTATATCCTTTTGAAAATTAGTCAATCATAGTACTGGTCAAGAATTGAAGAAGTTGAACGAGGATACGGTATCCATCATTAAACAACATAAAAGAGATTCACAGGCTGCTGAGGTAAATATATTTTGAAACTATTGAAACGATTCAATGTATTATTGGTGTAATACTGTATATACAAAACTTATTTATTGCACAAGTAAATACTTTTATTCTATATTGACATGATTATAATATTTTTTCTTTCAAACAATTTTAAATCTATAGCCTTCAGAGCCTTCAGAGCCAAGAGAGGAACAATGATGAAAAGGATTATATTTATTTTCTTTTTTTTCCCTCTAAAAGTAAACATACTCGTTGTATCAGTTTAATATTTAATGCTAACAGTATAATCTCCTACACCATATATATATATATATAATTTAATTAATTTATAATTTTTTTATGAGAATGAACAGATTGAATAACGTTTTTTTTTTATTTAATAACCTAATTATCACATTTTCTTATATGATTTTTTTATTGAATTAACTAATTAATCTCCTCACAAAATTGATTTTATAATTATTAAAATCACTTTATTTTAACTAAACAAGCATTTTTTTTTAGTTTTCGTTTAATAAGTTTAAAAGATATCCTATTTCTTTAAATAGATACAAGTCTTTGGTAGGAAACTGGCCCCTGGTGAATTGGAAACGATGACACCAGACCACAGGGATCGCGCTTGCCACGCTATGATGGAAATTATAAGAAGAGGTCTCGTTAGAAGAAGACAACAAGAATTAGCCGCCCAACAACCTTCTTACTTTTAAAATATCCTCTTAAAAACCGTCCATTTTATTTTTTGATCATGGTATTTCAACTTTATGATGTTATATTAGTAAAAAAAATACTTAAAAATGTATACAATACATATACAATACGAATCATAAAATTTGTAGATTGTAAAACTTAAGTGCTTGACACAGAAAGATCAGATATTCAATACTAGATTTACCTAAACTCTCTCTTTCTCTCTCTCTCTCTCTCTCTCTTTCTTTCTTTCTTTCTTCCTTTATTTCTATAATTATTCATAAAAGTTAATTAAATTACCGACAACTGTAACATAATATCCTATTTGTTTTCACAATTAGAACCTCAGATAAATATAAGATATAGATTTATTACGAGAATAATAGACTTAATAGCTATTAAGATTTTTTAATCGTTAATTATTAAATATTTTGAAATGTTGAAATACAATATTTCTTCTAGTTTTTAGGATTTGTTGATCATTTTTAATTGGTTGAACCAACTTGTTTAGTCTAGCAACCGTTTCTTTTTGAATATTTCAAGCTGTGGGAATATAATTTTTTTTCTCATCGTACTTAAAAGTATAATTTTATTTTAATTATATTTATGTAAATATGTATGAATAAACTCAGTTGGTTACGATCATATCTTTATTTAATAAGCGTATATGTATAATTAACAAATAGGATTACCAAGGCCTATTAATCAATAACGCCATCTATCTGATTGTGGCGCTAAAATCAATGTCAAGATCGAATCGAGGTTTTTATTGCTCCTTAGCTATCATCAACAAAGAATGTCAAAAGCAGATAACACAGCATTATTAAAACCTGTTAGGAGACGTAAGCCTAGATCTTTGGGGGATATTCAAATAAGAAGCTCACCGACAAAACTACCTCCGTTAAACTCTACACCTTCCCTCGAAGAAGATTCTGACGACGATATCAATGTTCAGGGCAATGCGCTGAATGTTCCCCCTCCAAGATCAACAAACAAAGCAAGATTTACTGACCAACCGTTGTTAAATACGTCTAGACGGAAATCTTTATCACCAAGCCGAAATAATTCTCAAATTGAACACTTAAAAAAGCAGGTAGAACTATTAAAGAAGCAAAGCTCCGAGAGAAAAAGTGAATTGGAAAAATCTAGATCATTAGTTGAAGAAAAACAAGAGAAACTTGATAAAGCCTCTAAGAAATCCGAAAAACTTAATGATACAATAAAAAATCTCGAGAATGAATTGTTAATGTATAAAAAACTTTTAGAGGAAGAGAAGAATGGCCATAACATCACCAAATCCTCCTACACCGAGCAAACGTTAGAAATGGAAAGATCAAAAGAAGAACATGATATAGAAATAGGAAGATTTCGATCTGCAGTAAGTATAAAAAGCGCCAATATTTGATCGATCAATAATTTTCGATAATAAAAGGCATATAATCCAACAGCTCGAATCAGCGGAGATCAAGAAGAAGGAGGAGTTAGAAAGATTAACGAGTCTATTGAAGGAGAAAGAAGCCAAAGTAGAACAAATGAAGAAAAATATGGCCGATACGTTAAAAGGAAATTCCTGGGAACGACAACAACAATTGGATGAATTACATAAAGAATTGCAGAGATCTCACGATGAACAAGAAGAATTAAGGTGCAAATATAATTCCTTAGTGAAAAGATTAAATGAACTTGGAAGTAATTGTCCTCGCTGTTCACAAACTGAAAAAGAAGTTCGCAAGGCTCAACAGTTAGTTACCACAATGCATGTTGCCTTAGAACGTATTGATCAGCATAAGTTTACTTCGAAACGATGAAAAGTGGTGCTTTGCTTCCAATTTTTTTAATTAAAGTTGTTCAAATAGTCAATAATGGCACAGACATATAAAGTGTATACAATTATGAAAATATTTGCATAAATGTATACATAGGATTAACTAATTCTTTGCCACAAAAGCCAATATTAACTTATACAGTATATTCTTCTCTTCAAAAGTAGTATCGTTTAAAATTTTTTACCTAAATTTTTTGTACCCGCTAATTTTTGCTATAAAAGAAAGACTGTAATAATGATAATACGGGAACGGTAATGGTGCTTTTCATGTTTGTTCCTTTTTTTATACATGAAAATGTTTCCTAGCATCTTCACTTAATTGAAGACTATACTGTGTGAAGTAACGATTTAAAAAGTAACAGTTTTGTCTATATTTTTCATGCTACAACCAAGACGTCACTTGTTTTTTGTGACACTCCTGAAATATGCCAATTTGAATATTTATATTAATGTTTATGTTAAGAATAAAATTGAAAATGCCATCGCAATACAACATGTAGAAACGTATGGTGACAGTCGTTCTCCGATTCTTGCAAATTTCCAGAAAATCCCTAAGAATCTGTTTCGGTTGTTAAAATAAAAAAAATACCAAAGTAAACAAGATTAAGCGTCTTGAAATTATGTATACGTTACCCTGTTTTATTCTTATCAAGTAAACGACTAGAAATCGCCCTTATATACGTACAAGTACATATTAGGAGAAGTATTACAATAATTAAGCTTTGAAAATTGAATAATGCTGACTGTAAATATGATTTAATTAGTACAATAAGGAGAAAAAATAAATAAAAAGAGTATATTCACCATCACGCTAGCGAGAAATATTCAATGTATTTTACCAGTTTATTTTGATATAGGCTTAACTCATATCAGACAAAAACTATTTAAGTAATGTATGTTGCGAAGCACCAAGACAGAAACGTTTCATACAATGTTTATGCTATTGATGATCTATCCTGAACACAAAAACAAACTTAGGATAGTTGAATGACATTTAATGTTGAATATGATAACAAAATGAAAGGGCGATAACAATTCAAATACGAAAACTTCCATGTTTTCCGTCGATGTGGCGCAATCTAAGGTAGACATCAGTTCCAATTCCCTGAAAAAGAAATATGCTTATATTATAAAAAATCTATATACTTCCATAAATTATTCCTAAAATTATATCGACGCCATATATGCAAGTAGAAGCTAATCAATAAATAAATCAGATATTCAGTGTAACAGTATAATTAATCAAAGTTCTTAATATGACGGATGTTAATCCATTTTGATTCAGAGATATATAATTCTATCTAATTACCTGCAGAGTTTGAAGTTGCAGGCTTCCGGCTAGATATTCAACATAAGCTTTACAGGCTGGTAAACCAAACCCGAATCCATGCATAGCTCCTGCGGCTCTCGATTCAATAAATTGTCCAAAGAGTCCTCGAGACACCCTATCATCCTCGGTTTGTCCGGATGTAGTAAAACCATAATCCCAAATCTTTTCCAAATGATCGTGACGAATTCCGCCTCCGCGATCGGAAATTCTGCAAATTAGCACGTTACATGTTAAAAATGTCATATACCTATGCCAAAAATAACCAGGGAATCTTAAAATTAACTAACCTAATAATAAAATCAATATCATTGTTAGCTATAGTAACAGTAATAGGAGGCATTCTGTCCAAAGTATCCAAATGAGACTCAACTGTCGCTCTCATTGCATTTTTCAGCATTTCATGTAAGACATAATCCAGTGGTTGAGGAATATATGGAAATGAGCATGAAAGATGCCCATTAATTTTTACTTCAGGTGAATGGCCGTATTTATCTTCACACATTCTTTTAGCAACCTCCACCTTTCTTTCAATAAATGTTTTTGGAGTAAAGTTAACACAAATAATCCCAATATAGTTCGGTTTCTTTTCCGATAGGCCAATATGATGCTCAGCCAGCATTCGTATCCCCAATCGTGACGTCAAAGTTTTATCCAGAAAGGTTTTAACCATTCCTTCATCCTGTAAGAATCTAGAGCATTGTTTAAAACCCTCTGCCAGAGAAGTTACAACATCTCGATGATCGTCCAAAAGTTGCTTTACAAGTTTACTATAGGCTGCTTCGTCCGCTTCGTCTTTTATCTGAAATTGAACAGCTTAATCAAAATCTTGCTAATATCTCTTTATCTATTCATTACCGGAGGAAATTCTGATAAAAGATGAAAAGCTCTAATATACAATTCATGCTGTTTTGAAAAGAAATTATTTTTTATTCTATTGTTCTTTATTATTTATTATTTACTTACGACACTAAGAATGCTAGGATTGCATCCTACAATAAATGGTAGATTTCTAAATCCAGCAATTCGATGAGCTATTCTAACTGGAAGTTCTTTATGCAAATATTGTACACTGCGCTGTTGTGAAAATAGTAAAATTTTCGTTCATTAATTTCAATAGTTATATTATTACTTACCAAAATATCACTGTTATCTGACACTTTATAAGTGTACAGCATTGCGCTAGGAACAAGGCGAACAGAGTCCTAAAACAAGAAAATCTTAAATACCACGTAAACAATTTTTGAAATAATATAAGGTAACCTTGGATGCTATTGCATCTATCTTGCTCTGATTGTAAAACGAAGTAACACTCTTAGCTCGTTCCTGTGTATCTATACTTGGTTTATATCGTAGGTCGTCACTCTGGTGACGTAAAATTTGAAATAAAGGTAGGCGGGCGATAAATGGCCGATTTTTCCATGCCTTTGACAGCATTTTTTATCTTCTCTTCTGTTGGCTATTCGCTTCGGATTTTCTAAATCATCTGGTCTTAAATGACAATTCAAAGTTGACTATACTCATAGTCAATAACTACAAGTCATTTCTTTGGTTTCTTAAATATAAATTGAATATTATCAGCTGAGAGATATTGGTCACGTGTTAAGTAAGTGAAGGAAGTGACGTCATATATAACCAAAAACTGACACAATTACAGTAATGTATAGTTAGTTATAACCAAAAACTAGATTTGAACCAAAAATTTTTAGAGAACAAATAAAGAAATATTATAATATCATTATTAGCATTAACAAAGACCAATCTTATGTCAGATAAAGTTTATTGCGCTTGTAAAACACTCCTTGTCGAAATGACGACATGGTTGGTAGCATATTGTTTCGATAAACAATTCCTGCCTAAGAAGATCTATCATTACACTAAGTTTTTTTTTATCTAATATGTATTTTTTTTAAAGTTGAAAAAATGCTACAAGTTAACTTTAATCTACATGTTTGATATCAAAAAATACATTCAAAGATAAAACGTCGTCCTCAAATGTCATTCATCTAAAGAACAGTATAGATGAACTGGTATCACTTTACCAACGAATAATGATAATATAGAAAAGTATTTGACCTTGAAGTACTATCTCTCATTCAAATGCATGTCAAACAAATATTTCATGTAATTTTTGCTTTTGTATTCAATACTATTTCAAGATTATCTGAACTAACTACCTCATTAGAGATTACAATCATATTTATTGAACTCTTGAAGAGATAGATGTTAAAGATGAAATATACAAGAGATGATGTATTCTTTATTGGTCTCAAAAATATTGTGTTTTACGATATAAGGGCATTTCTTACAAACTACTAATGGAACGATATTAAAAAGTGAAGAAAAAGTCTTTCAACTATCAAGTTTGTCGATGTCAACAATAAATAATGAATTTATTGAAAGAGTTTCTTTATTATTGATAATTTTGCAAGTCTATAGAATATTGAAAAACCTGTAAATTATATTTATCATGCAAATCGTATTTTATTTACAACAAATTCTTCGAGAGAATTCTTAACTGCTAAAAATTTACAATTTCAATAATCTTAAGACAAAATACGAACGAGAATTATCTTTAAAACATTTTGATCAACTTAGAATAATGCATTATAAAACATGATTTAATGCTTAAGATATTTAATTCCTTTAACCATTCTTTAGTAACAATAGTCATGCTAAATAATCCTATTTAACACTTACATTGCATAAAATCTGTTTGGAGGGATATTTTTTATCAATAAATATCGACTTAACGATCTTATTTTATCTTTGTAGTAAATATAGTGATCTTATACAAATTCAAACACAATCTTTTAACAATCCATGTAACTAGTTTTACGGTTCATTTGCAAAAATAAGTCATTTTCATTCCCTGAGTTCTAGATTTAACAATAGCTTATATATTCACAGTGTATATTATAAATTATAAATGTACACTATAAACATAAACAATCAAATTCTCACTTATCCTTTGAATATATTATTATAACTGATAAACATCATGTTTTTGAGAATACTGGCTGATCCGATTGAAATATGTGTTTAACCATTATAATCATTTGATGAATTATTAATTTATTACTATAATATTTTCTTCCTTTTAAGTACTTGACTCTACAATTCTTAAATCGATAATCTTTCCCATTTTCAATCGATTTAGCAATTTTCCGAACTTATCTATGTGATCAAATAGAATGGCTTCTTGACCATTAACTAATTTCAAATTCTCATCTACCCCGAATCTTTCTGTTCCATTAAGTTCAGCTGAAAAGTAAAAGTCTGAAAAAAGTAAAACAGTGATAAATGAAGCTGGTCAAAAAATATGCCGATGTTTACATCTGCTGATATTTTTTTAATTTGATTTCAGATTTAATGCTTTATACATTTTTAATCAAAGTTCCTTTAAGTAGATTTAGATTTTCTTGCCCAAATTATGGAATATTCCACCTTTTCCTTGGGTTATCTCACATTACAGTATAATAAAAATTTGCAATAAATTAAGAGCAACAACGATTCACTAAATTCATTGGCGTCTTAATATAAGTTAATTCAATTAATTACTTTTAAACTGTAAAGTAGCATTTAATCTTATAAAATCTGAAACTTCTTATACAATTTTAATTGAGAAAGCATCTTCACAAAGGAACTGATTTTTATTTATTTTAAACTTTTTACTTTTGAATTTATATAGGCAATATAAACTGGGATTTATTAATGACGAAATATTAACTTTTGTTCTTTCTTTGGGCGATAAAATAATTACCCTTGTTTATTGTTGATTTAGATTATTATACCTTTTTGGACAAAAGGTATGAATCTTAATTAGCATTTTCTTGAAAATTGCTTCGACATGTTTCTACAAAAATTTAATACAAACCATTATCTTATAATTTGTTCTATTTCAATGTTCTACCTACCTTTCCCGCCTTTGACACTTCCGGTTTGTGAGTTGTTTCTAAACTGTTCACGACGTTTCTCTCTCATTTGTATTTCTGCAATAACAAGTAATAATGGCAGAAAATGACCAAAAACCAAAAGTAAGTTATAAATTTAGTAACTTCTTTATGGAAGTAGGCAATAAAGCTACTTATATTTGAATATTTACAGCTTTTTTTCTTAATTTATTTTTAACTATAAATTCAGGGATTTTGTTTGCAAAATATGCTTTTTATAAGTATTCATAGCTGACAGATAACGCTTGTAACTGTAAAAATGGTAGAAAATAAATAGTTGACGTGATTTTTTCTACCTAAAAAGCGCTTAAAAGATTGTTGAGTAGACAGTTTTTTTAACATTGAAAGTTCTCCACTTTTCACTTTGAGTTCATTGCCTAAAAGAACTGTTTTCTCGGTTGAAGCAAATTTGGTCACTTAGTAAAGATTCAATTTATCATTTTCAGTCAAAAAAAGGTATTATTGGCATCAACAAGATTTATAACGTAGAAGAAACTTACCCTAATATGGTTGTATATCGCTCTTTTCAAATAATTTTTCAGCATATGTTAATTCTGACATTTTTAACTTTCAGATTACGATTAACACACCGCCTCATAGCCCAGAAGGTAAAGCATTTAGAGCACGCTTTAAAATTGCTCTTCCCATATTCTTAAAATATATCCCGAAAAAAATCTTATATGTGCTTACATCATCCTACAGCTGAGACTGACGAGGAATACTTCAGGATTGTGAGGGAATTTCCCATAAGTAACTATTTGAAATATTACCTTCTGTACAATAAAGTATACTCTATCAATGCTTACATATTGCGTCCTAGATGAGGTTGTGATTGCGACCGACAACCCAAACGGTTAGATTCTAATTAATTTTCGTCATAAGGACAAAACTAAATTGCATATATTTTAGGAAAGGAAAAGACGGCAAATGAGATTATTCCAGGTATGTATAATAAAAACTACACTACATTTAAGCATTAAAATTTGCCATGTTTTTATATTGTAGTTGGAATTCCGCCACGTGAGGATACATCAGGAGCTGGTAAGAAGTTTTATCATTCATTGTATCACAATTTATTTATGTTTATATCTGTCAAATAGGTAAGAGAAAAGTGGAAGACGAAGAAGGTAAAAAAGTAATGTATTTTAGATCTTCAATAACTACTAAATTATTTGTTCTTAGAAGATGAATATGATGGGGTATTTAGACGTCGTAAGTTGTAATACAGGAAACAATAATAATTAAAATGCGATTAATTGTTAAAACAATTTCTTTCGTTTTCATAATAGCTAAAGTTCCGAAAAGTCCCCTAGTCGTAAAAAGTAGGTATTTTATTTATTGAGTATCTACTAATATGTCAATATTGATTTTGCTTGTAGGAAAGATGTCTTCGAACAAGAAAAATGGCCACAAGAAACTTGATTTCTAAAAGTTGTTCGAACCTTGAGGTTCCATGTTGAATTTTTGTAATCACAATTATATTTCGTTAATATCTGAATATTAAGTTGACCTTAACGAGATTATGGCTATTTATATATTATATATAAATAAACTTTGAAACTTTTTGCTTGAAACTAATAAGAAAGTGTAATAATTAAGTTAATGAATTGTTTTCAACACCATTAGGGATTTATATAATATTAATATATATATATATATATAATTTATATATAGATATTTATAAAGGTGACTTACCATGTTCCAAGCATATAAGTATAAAAACATTAGAATAGGTAGAATTTTGGTTGTGTTAACAACCCAAGCAATGTAAACTGAAAATTCTCTTCAGAGAACCAAAAGCTCTTCAATGACAATAAAATTTAGATGCGCATGCGTCAAAGAAAAAGTTTTTAAAACTCATCCGTTGATTTTTTGGATAAATTAACTTTTTTCACATAATAATATAATTTTTACACGAAAACGACATTATTCTTAAAATAATCATAAAAAAATTTGTACGAAAAGAAATGGCCAAACGTTCTTTCTTTTTGGCGCCAGGCTTCATTAGGCTTCCAAATCTCACAAAGGTAACGTTTAAACCAGTCCTCAAAAATGGAATCTGGTCCAACCGTTATTGACATTGGGGACGAGATCGAGTATATTTTAGATTCGCCTTCTTCATCTCAACCAGATGAAGAAGACCATGTGTGTCCTAAAATGGAAGATGAAAAACCTATGAGACCTTATTGTGAGTATATTCTTTAAAAAGTCGAGAATTTAAATGTTCCCGCGTACTTATTATCAACAGACCGCCAACAGCTGATGGTGCTTGTGGAAAAATCTAAACATACGGGTGACAGTACGTTCTATGCTAATAGAGATACTGAATTTAAAAAACAATGGGCACACTTTCGAAAGCATGTACTTCCTCAGAAATTGTTGAACTATTTTTTACCTGGAATTCCAAATTTTCCTTCGGGTAAAGGGCCAGTTGTTGTTGTCGACAGTGAGCAAACAGCGGATAAGCCTGTCCTACAATTAAGACCAAAACAATTATCGAAGGATGGATTTGTTACAGGTACTTTTATTTCTGAAAAAGAGCTTATTGACAGTGTGAAGAAAGAACGAAGCGAATTTCATTCAATGAAAAAGCCTTAGCCACTTTTAAGGGGGTTATGTTTTACTTAATACATAAAGCCTGATTGCTTGAAAATTATATCATCTTGATACTTTTTTTAATATTTACTAATTTTCAACAAAGAAAAGGTGCCATATAGTATCTGGTACTTAAAGTTATTCCTTATCATTTAACCAAATAATCTAGTAATTTGTATGATAACAGACGGTTAGCTCCTGAAAGTTTGAAATTATGAGATTTTCTCACGAGGTCCATGACCTCGTGAGAATTCTAAAAATCTTCAGAAAAGAATCTTGAAAGCGAAGTTATATTAAATGTAGGAATTGTATTTATTTATAAAAACAGAAGATAATATATACTTTCTTTGAGTTTGAGACAAATACTCAAAGATAACCATTGAGACTAATTTATTCATAATTATAAATACTGGATTCGTGAGCGAATGTATAGAAATTTTCGGTTAAAGAAGTCTTATAAATTATGTCTTTTTAAACATTTCTTGATTAACTGAACATTACTTCTGTATGCCTTTTGCTAATTACTCGCTTCCGATTCCGTATCTACGGGTCGAACAAAGATGAATGGAAATTCTCCAGATGGTCCGCTAGGCAGCTTTTTGCCAAACCATGTACCCGTACTGTCGACTTTTTCAACCTGAATAGTATCACCCTTCTCGAAGGCCAATTCGTTTTGATTGTAGACACAGGGAGAATATGGCTTTACAGCTTTGGCAACAAATGGAACCTTTCTCGACTGCAACTAAGTTAATAACAGTGGAGTTATAAAAAATGTATTTTAATAAACAGTCGTTTACCCTGCTTAGTCTTTCTTCTTTATTAGGAAGTTCATTATAAATAGTAATTCTCGGCTCATGCTAAAATTGTAAATAAGTTAAACGTTAAATTATCGTATTGCCTTTGTACCAATACTATTATGACAATTTTTTCTAACCTTTTGCAAATAAGTTACAGGAACTTGACCTTTTTCTCCTTTAGAATTCTTAGCCGTCCACCATTGAGCTTCATCTTTTTGTAAAATGGTAAGCATTTCCCCTTTTCCAAACGGTAAATCTTCCTTGTCCTTACCGGCGAAAGTATATAAAGTTATATATCTTTCCCTGGTAACGACTTTTTTCAAGTAGGTTTTATCCAGTAAGTGATAGCGATAGAATATTAATAACTCAGGCATATCATTAAAGTCTTTTTCTCCTATTCTGTATACTAAATCACCACTTTCCCCTTTTCTATATTTCTGAATAATGTAGTGTGCAGTGCGATCGCCTTCACTTTAATCATAATAAACTACTGAGATATTGAACTAAACAATAATATAATAATTTACCTCACACAAAGCACTAAATCTCCCTTTAGTGTATTACTATCTCTAACCAGAAATACTCCTGCTTCATTTTCACTATCTAGCAGCCTATTCGCATCCTCTCTTGAATACGTACCAAAATACCAGCTTAGAATGCAAATAAAAATATAAAGAGTCAATTTTAAAATTTATTTTAGTCAAAAATACATACTCATCCCTGTTGTGTGGATCAAAGTCGTTACCAACTGATGTGTCTTGCATTGATTCAATACGAAAACTTGAACAATTTTTTGACTTAAACTAAATATTTCAAAAAATAATCTTTATACAGAAGCTTCTTCAATAGAAATATATATTATAATGACTTTTTCAAGGTCGCCAATCAAGGAAAAAATTAAAGTGAGTATCTATAAAGATACATTAAACGGAAAAAGAAAATAGTTTGTAAGGATTTCCGGTCTCGTTTTCGAAAGTGCACGACCGGGAAGTATGAACAATCTTCTACTTTTTGTTGTGATAAATAGCTAAACAATCCAAGTCAGCTGAAAAATATAATTGAGATAAGATATCCGCTATCCACATTAAATAGGCTTACTTTGTTGAATCTTTATTCTTGAATAATGTGGTGTCGGGTTCCTTGTTGCATATTCCCATGATATTTGGAGAGAGGAAGTTGGCTGGGGTGCAACTAACTTTCTCATATTCCGGCTTTTATGTGCCACAATTTACTATTAATATATGACTAATTTACACTTATCATCATAAATTAAGTGATATACAGATAATTGCAGTAAAATTACCCAAGCGACTTTGATACAAATGGACTGTAATTTTTCTATTTCCTACTTAATTCGCTTAAACACTTTCCCATATTGCGTAACCATTCTGTAGTAATACTTCCTTAAAATAAGTTACTTTATTATAAAAGCGTTTATTCACTTGGAGACCTTTAATAATTAGTCTTAATGAAGGTAATCCTATAAAAACGGTATCCTTGATCCCTGACCATTCTCTTTAATTACTTAATCTTCTAGTATTAAAAATGCTAATGGTTTAGTTATGGCTAATAAATGAAGTTAATATAGATTGAAAATTTTCGGTACTTACCAGAAAGAACTGAAACAGTTGATGGAATATATCCTGCTTTCGAACAATACTTTTTGTACACAATTTACAGCGGCTTTAAAGCTTTAAGGGATCTGTTTATGTTGTTATTACTAAGCCTAAACATATTCTTTTCAAATAATGCCAGGCTAAACCTTATATATATTAGAAAATTAACTGATACGATACTATGATACTACTTCAGTCTGTTTATTTTTAATGTTTTCTTTACTATCGAAGATATATACAGGTCTTTGAACGTAGCTCGAAGTTGATAAGAAAGAAATATTTTGTTTTATTTAGATTATTGGATTGGTAACTTTAAATGTTCCATATATCCCATGAATTTCCTTTTCGATCGAATTGATTCATTAATTCTAATTTAAAGCTAATAAAAAGTATTCCGACCGATGCTGAGTTTGCCCTATAATTTATGTTATTATTGGCAATTATTTGCTCTAAATTACAATTTTTTATATAATGAATATCCATCTATAACTCAAATTGATTATAGTTGCTTTTTTCCCTTTGATTTATTTGTAAATAATAACTATGGTATTGATCTGAATATAAAATCGAACTATGTAAATTGTTACCTAGATGGAGACATATATCATACTGTATCGTTCTTTTCTTTCTATTCTTTTAAATATGTCATCTGATACAAAAGAGAAACTTAATGTATAGTCTTTTCTTTAAATGTTTTTTGACAAGCTAATTAGAAATAAAAAGAATTTAATTGTCTCTTTAATTAAAAAGAGATAGATTTCAAGTAAAAGGAGAAAAAAAAAACAAATTACAAATTAAATTCTTTATTTAATATTTTGAATAAAAACTCTCAATTAATTTAATTAATCTAGTAATATACTTTCTTTCAATTAGGAAAGTCAGTCGTTTCGAACTCGTTTGACAGGGGGCGTTTCTTTGAATAAATATCCTATAGGTGGAAGCACACAACAATGACTAAGCAGCTGATTGGCTTATAATCAAAGATGGCTGGTCGCGTTTAGTTTGAACAGATATTTTGATTCAAAATCAATTTATAGGTAATACAAAAAGCTTTCTATAATTTATGTTTAATGTATAATTGTTGGGCTAATGTATTTTTTTCTTATGACCAATAGACAAAGTCAAAGAAGGCATATTACCTTAATATGGACGACGTTTTAGGTAGTTCAAAATACTGACTGTTGAACAGACAATCATTAGTTTTTTGTCCCAGCAAAAAATTTTATTCTTTATGCATTTTTTAGAAGTTGAAGAGTATAGCTGCAATAGGCTTCCGAGATCTGCAATAAAGCCCACTTTAAATAAGAGACAAAAAGTTATCAAGGAGGTTTTTGACACGGAAGAAACCTACTTGTTTCATTTAAAATTGATTGTTAAGGTAACTAAACTGGTTTTCAATGTAAAATATTAATATATTTTTATCAAATGATGACTTAGAACTTTCAATCTCCTTTGAAAAAGTTGAAACTAGTTCCAGAATATGTTATTTCTGAAATTTTTCAGAACATTGATCAAGTAAGTTCTAAAAATGGAATTTTAATAATTCTATCTAATCTATTCACTAAATAATTTTTAGATTATTTCATTAAATAAAGAATTAATGGAACTCTTAAGTCAACATAGTATGGGAGAGGCTTTTTTGAGAGTCAGCCAATTTTTTAAGTTTTATTCGCTCTATGCTAATAATCACGAATACGCTCTTGCCACTCTTCTCGTAAGTATTCAGAAATAGTGTTTATTAGATAGGCACAGCTAAAGTAATGTCATTTAACTTTTACTTGCATAGAACTGGGAACAAAAATGTCCAGATTTGTCTGCGTTTAGAAGAACGCAGGAAGGATTGCCTGAAATGAATGGTCTTAAATTAAACGCTCTTTTAATAACACCAGTCCAAAGAGTGCCTAGGTTTGTACTTAACTTGTTCTGTTCTTTTTTCTCTTTATTCAAATCTGGAATAATGTATTTCAGGTATAAGCTGTTGTTAACAGAGTTACTTAAGCAAACTGAAAATGATAATCCTGATTACGAAAATATAAAAAGTATGTAAGAATTTGTTTACGTGTAAAAAGAAGGAAAACACTGTTGTTTGAAATTTAGCTTTACTTGTCTTTTTTTTTTTTTTTATAAAAAACTATAGAGGCTGTTGCAGAAATGAGTAAAGTAGCAGACCATATAAACAATCATATAAAGCAGCAAGATAATGCTCAAAAAATGATTGCTATACAAAAAAGTTTGTGTGGAACATCTGTCCCTCAATTGGTTCAACCTGGACGAATTTTTTTGAAAGAGGGTGATTTGAAAAAAGTATCACGCAAAGGTGGTAAAGCACATGACAGAAAGTTATTTCTATTTTCCGATATCCTCATCTATTGTAAGCCGAGCTTTTCTTCTCATAAGCCATTCCGGTAGCCAATTTACTTTCTATCAACTAAGTTTTGCTCTTATCTAAAGTTTTCATTTATTTCTTTTCACACTACAGATGTAGTTGTATATTGCCTCTGAGGCATTGTAAAGTGGAGAGATTACTCGGTCATAGTCAGTCTCAAGCTACGCTATTCGCGGTTTGTAAATTGAGCTTTAGTGAATGATTTGAAATTTGTGTTGGTTATGTAAACATTTTCTATCTATTTCTTTTCAATTAGATTTCCTGTCAAGATGAAAGATTATTACTGTACTCTGATCATAAAACAGTTGAGTCTTGGATCAAAGCTCTACATGAAACGATTAAGTTAGTAGTTAATTTTCTTTTAGGATAAACAAGTCGAAATAAATCAATAGTTTTATACGAATGGAATATGAATTTTTCCATGTGCGCTTGACTGAAATCAATAAAACTTGTTTTATCTTCGAGTAATTTAATATCATAAATCGTTAATGATTTAGTCTGTAAAAGATATTCTTATAAAGCAATTTATCTTTATTTTTCCCTGCAGTTCATTGGAAGAGAGTAGGATGACCCTAAGAAAGCCAAGCAGTACGAGGACCCCTCTGAGAGGACTAGCATTGATGAAACAAATTAAATTGGAGCAGCGTCAAAGTCCGACTATTTCACCTACAAAAGAAACAATTTTCTCTACATTAAATTTCACAGAGAACCAAACCCTTGATTGTTTTCTTATGCCCTTTCGAAAACGATCGAAAAGATTATGAAAAAAAAATACTATTTAGATTCCGATTTTATCCTTTATTTTGTTCATATTTTATAAAAAATAATAGATGTCGTTATTGTAAGACTATATATAAACCCAGAATTCATATGAAATAAAGGAAAATTGAAAAAAGTGAGATTGAAGGAAAAAACTGAGAGGAGATAATTGAATTTAAGGTTTTAAGTACTGATGGGAATAGATGAAAGACTGCTTGAATATTTAATAAGTAAATTACGTCAGTGTTGAACTGGAACGAATTACAATTTTTACTACGAACATAAATCACTGATTTTACACTTTCTCCTATAACCGTTACGATCAGTTCATCTAGATAAGTAACTCGTTCTAAAAATATATGCCTACCTTGGCAACGGAATAATTTACTTGTAACAATTTTTTTTATTTATTTACGCATTTCCTTTTTGCATGAGAAAATTGTACAAGTGGAAGAAATGGAAAAAGAGAAGAGAGGAGAAAAATTAACTTATTTCGAATCTTTCATCAAAAGAAAAATCTACCAGTTTTATTGCCCTAGTAATTCCCCTCTGTTCTTATAGAAGAATAAATCACGAACTGCGTGACTCGATATATCTCAAAGGCGAATTTTGTATGACTGAAACAGCGCTCTTAAAATTACCTAATTATTTTGAATAACGAAAGATTAATTATTAACTACAGAAAAAAGAAATAGAAAAGGAGACTTAGTATTAATCCTAAATATAATGAAAGTCAATTGTAATATAATTTCATAGGTCAAGGGAGAGAGATATGCCAAGAATGAAGAGGTACGCTTTGCTAATGTTTATCGACAAAAATTGACTTTAGGCCTAATCTAGGTGGTTCTGATGTTCGAATCACTTTCTCACCCGCGCTCTCTTTGCTATCGCCCTCTCTCGCTCTCTCTCTGTACAATTTATTTTTTGGTTAAGAGAAAATCATAAATCGTTGATTGTACAACCAATATAGAGTACAAGTGGGGCAGGTTTTTTGATAGATTGGACTTTTTAAAGTCATTCTCATGAAATTCAGAATAGTGTTCGTAAATATTTAAATGCATAATGCCAAAGTTGACAAACTACATTTGAAGAGCCATTGCAGTCGGCGCTATGCAGCTGTTTTCTGAACAAACTTCATTTCTGTTTCGCACGGATAAGATGATTATGAAGAATATTACGAAAATTGAGGATTTAATAAGATTATCCGTTGTACGTTATACAATCATTGCTCTTCAAATTGCTATTATACTATTGGCGTCGCTTGGTAATTGTCTCGTTATAATAATTTTATTAAAAGGCACTAAATTAAGATCGAACGTTACGGCTTATCTCGTCCTGAATCTGGCCGTCTGCGAATTCTTAAATTCTTCTATCTACCAGCCGCTTAGATTAACTGACCTAATACTGCCATTTGAAAGTGAATTTCGACTGTCTAAGGAACATCGGAGCATTTTCTGCAGGATAACTGGATATTGCTCCACTATATTTGCTTGTTGTGCCTTTCATACAATAACGGCTATAAGTATCGAAAGATTGTTGCTAATACGGTTTCCTTTTAAAGCGAAGAGGTGGCTGAGCTCTGGAAAAACAATAAAAGTCTTATTGATAATATGGTTCTTTAGTCTATTGGCACCTTTACCGCTACCTTTATATTTTACATATACGGAGGAGATGAGTATTGATGGAGTTGTTTTAAATTTCTGTAATCACATCGTCAATGGCAACTTAATAACTTCGGGAGGAAGAGGATATTTTATCTTAATATTTGTCCTTTATTATGTACTGCCTCTTCTATTGATTACTGTCAATTATTCTCTCATTTTTGCAACTCTTTATAAAAGGATAGAAACTGATAGCGACGATTCAGCCGTTAGAAGGACAACTAATTCTCGTAGAGTTATAGCTAAATTTATGGTCTCTTTGGCTATATTATTCGCTATCTGTAATGGGCCTTTTTTTTGTACATTCCTTTATATTTGTCTTGGTGGACAAGTGACATCAAACCCAATCTTAGCCCTCAGTCTTATAGATATTCTTAGTTCACTATATGCTGTTTTTAATCCAATAATTTACGCTGCAAGTCGAACTGTTTTAACAGCACCAATAACTGGAAATGATCAAGAGTCGGTTAGGCTAGTGCGAAGGAGTACAAGTTAGTCTTTTCATGTCTTCTACGGGATACTCTAGAGAATTCCTTTATCCGCAAAGTTCACGATGGGATGTAGAGGATAATTGTATGGTAACACGTGCAATAGTCATCTATTAGGGAGGGAAGGCTGCTATTCGTAAATCCGTTTTTCACTCTCTCTCTCTCTCTCTCTCTGTTTGTCATTCACTCTTTCACTTGTCTCTCACTATTCCTCCTCTTTCCTTCCCTTACTTCCTCTCTCCCTCTATCCTTCCCTTTCAAGCGCCAATCCCTCTATGTCTTTCTGTTCTTTCTCTTAATGCAAAAGTGTTTACTCTGAGAGTCTTTTTCAACCTTATTTTTAATCCACAAATGGTTAATATTGAACAAATTTAGAGAATAATTTGGACTAGAAAATTATCCGTAGGAAAAAGAAAAGAGCTTTTTTTATTACATCTATTCCCATTTCAAAAGAAAATTGGTATTAGAAGGCTCTAAACTGAAATTTCGAAACCTGCTCCGGGGAGTAAAGGACTTTCGAACTTCGTTTAGAGACTTTGTCATGTGACTTAAATATAAAGAAGTATTTAAAGTAGTATTAGTGATGCCGCTTGGTGCGAGAGAAGTCTTCAGTGCTGTAGCTTAGGCGCCATCTTTTGGCTTTTATTATAAGAACACTATTGGAACAACGAAAATGAATAGAACATGGCTAAGTTTACTGGACGGAGCAGAATTGACATTCCCCGGAGTAGATAGTTGATAGATTCTTACTGAAAATTATGAATATTTATTTAGAATAAATTATGCAAATAGCTTTTTTTTAATGAGAAAAAACAAACAGCTAGGTTTTTTTTTCTAATTTATTAAACAAATAAAAAGAAGGAATAGAGGGAGAGAAAGAGAGAGAGAGAGAGAGAAAATGAAGTTTGGTACGATTTATTCTTAAGTCTCTTAGGTAAGAATAAAAGAATCTCTGGAGATTTTACTTTAAAAGTGACACTTCACAAAATTTAATTGACTCCTTCGCCAATAGTCTCAATTCTCTTTTAAAAAAATCCTTACATTTCAAATAAGAGATTCCACAAATGTCAAAAAAAATAAGAAACAGATAGGAATAAGACAAACAACAGAGAGATAGAGAGAGAGAGAGAGAGGGAGAAAGATGGCGATAGGAGGAAAGAACATTTGAGTATTTAGGTACTGTTAGACAGACAGACAGAGAGAGAGAGAGTGAGAGAGAAAAGAAATGCTTAAAGACCTTTTAGAACATAAGATTATTATTTCTCTTCTCTTGTTTTTTTTATTTTCAACACTTCCTAATGACTTAACTATGCTTTTCTTTCATTCTGCCATATAAACATATAAAAACTCGGAGAAGCACTTACCTATAGTTTCTTTTACTGTAAACGATCCTCTTCTAAAACGGAAAAAATCGAGCTTTTGCAGGTGTTTCCAAATCTCTTTCCTAACCCATATAACATCAGCATCGGTAACTTGTGTAACTGAAGTTAAATCGATTCTTGATTCGACCTTTACCAAGCTATTCTCAAAATGGATCGATTCGAGTATTGTTTGATTGTAATAACTTTCCAACTTTAGATTTTTAAATACTTTTCTTATCTTTTAAAGGAAGAATAATAAGATAATAATTGATTGATAGATAGATGGGTAGATAGATAAAAAGAGCAAGAATTAACAAACAAATATCAAAAAGATAAACAATTAAAAGATGAGAAATCTTACTTGAAAATCAAAAACTTTTTCTAGGAGGATATGGAAGCATTTTGTCGATCGACGCCAAGGAGTTTTCGAGGCAGTAACATTAAAGAACAAGGAAGATATGTTGTAAACGTAAGTAGGCGATTTTATAGAGTTGAATTCGTTCTTTGGACTTTGAATAGCTAGCCTCGGATTAACGGATAGAATAAGAGAATAAGATTAATGATGACTATAATTTTTATAAATAATGAAGGCGTTTTTCAATTAAAACGCCTTTTTTTCTCTTTCTCTACTCTTTCTCCATCTTCATAAATTTTAAAACGAAAACGAAAAATTTTCCCTTTTGTTTTCTCTTTTTAAATATAAAATAAAAGAAAATAATCAACTTTAAATTGGACTTTATCGATTACGAAGGAAAGAAAAAGTTCCACAAATCGATATAGTAATTTTATCTATTAAACGATTATAGTTGTAAAAAGATATAGTATATAAAGTATAAATGTGTTTCCTATATAGTAAGTTAATATATTATATATAAATAAGGGCGTTTATAAATAGATATCGAATATTATTTATAAAGGAAATAAGGTTTTTAAAACGAACCTTTTAAATGCACTACCAAGCCGGCAACTACCGCAGAAAATCCGATTAGTATTAGAAAATCAACGATTGGGCAATATTTTCTACATTTTGTCCTAGTCTTTGATAAACCATCATTTTCTTCTTGACTCTCTTCAACTGTAGCTTCGGCACTTGTAACATTTGCTTCTTCTTCGTTACCTTCACCTTCGTTTAGGATACCGATTCCAGGGCCGCCGCCACCGCTTCCACACCCGCCACTTCGATCTCCATTAGTTGCTTCATTGTTTCCTCCCCTTCTCTCCGTTAAGCTCATTGTTAGATCTCCGTCGATTACCTTCCTAGATTTATCTAAGGACATCTTGCCGTAATATACGTAACACAAGTCGTTATCGCTCTTGGATTTTATGATACCTTTTTCCGGCATATTTTCCTTCCTTTCCAAAAACTCTTTAATTTGAAGTAAAATTTCAATGCACATCTCTCGACAGAAGCACTTTAAAAGCTTTCTTCTATTACCTTATCTCTTATCTAACTAAATTACGTATTCGAAAAGCGCCATCTGGAGTGTAAATATTTTTTCGTTTCGTAGCGCCCCGCTCGCCAAAATGTTACATTCTCAACCACTCGCAGGATGTGTCGAAGCCCGTATAAGTGTTGTACTATAATTGCCAGGTTGTACATGCTTTCGGCTATAATAGTTGTCGCTAGTAGACCATCGCGAAGAATAAGAAGATTAAGAAAATTTGATTTAACGGTATGTAGTTAATGTTTGTATTTGAAGTCAGATGTTTGTCAGGATATATGCAACACACACACAGTATATATATATATATGTGAATGTATATCGATAGGAGCATATATACTGAACATCTCTGTGACAGATGATTTTACTGGTAATAATCTAGTCGCTCGTAGTTGCCACGAGTCATCTAGTAGTCATTTTAGTACAGTTTTCACCATTAATCTCCAAGATGTATTGGTGATTGATAAAATATAAAAGATTGAGTTAAGTCAGAGACGTCAATTGAATATTTATACGTGTTTTTATGGAGAGCGTTGGTCTCAAAAGCATATGGCGTCTAATAACCTTTCAATACAGTATAGTTTCACGGGGAGTCGACGAGTTTGTTAGTCAGTGAGTTAAAAAATTTGTCTTTATCAATTTCTCTCTCTTTCTCACTGTATCCGTCCGCCTGTCTCTTATTAATCATACGATCTGTTTGTAATTTTAAGTTTATCTTTTATTTCTAATTGTAATAATCAAAAGCTCATTGACTTTTTTAACGAGCAAGCTGTAAGTAACTTATTTCTTGCTAATTGTGCAAATGGTGCACAGATGATTGTATTATTAGAAAGGAAATGCATACCAAGAAAAAAAAGGATAGCGGGAAAAAAAAAAGAGAGAGAGAGCGTGAAAAAAGAACAGTATGCGTAAATAACTTTTTACGAATTTGTCTTAACGCTAAAGTCTTTGTTTACAATGAATTTCTACAAGACTAACATTCTACTAGTGCTCCCCATCATTCTCAACACCTCCTCACCCTTATCCTCTTTTCCCGTCTTTCTATCTTGTAATGAAACGATACAAGTCGTTTTTTTTTATATTCACATAAAAACACAGTAAATTAATCTCTTGCTACCAAACAAATTGAGTTTGTAACAATTTTTGCGAATTTATATATTGTATATATATATATATTTATATATATATATATTTAATAATAGATAAACATCATAGCAAACTAGCCAACAAACGTCTACTTTGCGTAAGTAGTTGTATAAAACTATTGTTATTCCTTTATTTAATAATGGTAAATTCATACTTTAAAGCTTCCATTATCTTTTTAAAAAGTGTTATAAATATTATAAATATACACTTTGTTCATAAAGAAAGAAAATAAGAGAAGGAGAGATAAAGAGAGAGAGAGAGAGAGAGAAAAGGAAAATATAGACAGATAAACAGAATGGCGGGGGAGGGAAAATGCAAATAGATTGGTACAAGAGCAAGCGAGCGATAGATAGAGAGAGAGCAAAGCAGAGAAGACAATAATAAACAAAAGAGAGAAACGATTAAGAAACCAGTCTAGAATATCTTCTCTAAATCTTGCAAGAGCAAATGATAATCGAAAGAAATAAAAATCTTAATTATATTTTTTTACAATATACTTATCAGCATAAAAAATACACGAGATTTTCTTTATATACATAAGTACATATATATAAAGATTGGTGTGTAATTTTAATCATTTAACAAGATAAATTTCCCTTTTAGTTTGTAATTCTAGACAAGTTATTCGATTAAAGATATGCATTTTATTTCTTTTCCTCTCCCTCCCTGCCTCCCTCCCTGCCTCTCCTCTCTCTCTCTCTCTGTCTATGTTTCTTTTTCTCTAGAAGTTTATAATTAAGTTAAAGTAAGTTTTTAAAAAAAAAACAACTAAACCAAGAGTTTGTAATCTAATTTTATTCAACGTAAACTTAGAAAAAACGGTAGAGAGAAAATTAAAAATGGATTTTTCCATTTTATTTATGTCATTTATTTATAGGGAAAAATAACAATTTATTAGTTTATTGGGCCTTATACTATTATTCTCATCGACAGTAATTAATTATTCCAATCATTAAGGCTAAAAACTTAAAGATAACAGAGAAAAGTTTTGATCCATGAACTGTGCATCCAGTCTAAAAATAAGCCTATCTACTTAATTTTATATGCGCAACAACGTATTGTTGTTCTACTGAATAAAGTATATCACGTCCGTATATAGTTTGTCTTTAGATAAATTTTGATAGAGAGATTAAAACAGAGAGAGAGAGAGAGAGGAAAAAAGAAAGAAATGAAGAAATCAGGGAAAAAATAACAAGAGAAAGAAATAAAGCAGACAGCTTTTTTGTTTATTTGAAAATACATTTATAAACTGGACTACAAAGAAAAAGATACTAGGACAAGTAGAGAGTGAGAGATAGGGAGAGCTAGAGATTCCCTTCATTTAATTGCATCTGAAAATAATATAATTTCCTCAGTCAAGCAATAATTTTGGTATTGTCATCAAGATGAACCTTGGACCTGACAATGTATATTATTAACAGTTATTAATCTAATAACCATATCGAAGCAAGGTTAAAATTTAATTTCAAACCTTCATTAGTTGTATTTAATAATGCTTAATTAAACGAATCTTATCTAAATAAACTATAGAAATAGAATTGATGGGAAAAAAAGCGTTTCTTTCTTAAATATTAGTTTAACTAATTACTCGGTTAATACATACAGAGTGCTCTTCCTCTTTCTATAAATAAACATATACATATATATTTTTTACTAGTGACAAACAGTGAGAAAATAAGTCATTATTAGAATTTATAAAATGAACATTATTCATCTTTTAAATGTATTGCTTTTTCTTTTATAAACTGTTAAATAAATTGAAAATAAACCATGCTGTGGCGTAATTCGCACGTCTTTTAACTAGTTGAAATCTCTGACAAACATAATAAATTGGGCGCTCTTCTTTAATAGTTTTTCCTTTTCTAAAGAAGGAAATTGTTCTTGGTTACGAATGAAACTGAAGATGGCGCTTATTTGAATATTGTATTAAAAAGAATAATCAATGAGAAGAGAGCATATAGGAGAATAGACATATGGAAAATGATTAGGGATAAAGGAAGAGAAGTGAAGAAGAGGATAAGAGGAAAAATTTAAAAAAGAAAACGCAAATACAAGATGCAAAGGGGTGAGGGGCAGGCTGGTTTTAAATTTCATACATAACAGATGGCAGCAAAGAGCTTTATTAACCTAACTAATTGCCCCTAGCGTTTATAAACAGACGTGCATAGGAATAATGTAGCCATTGATACACAACCTCGAACTAGTCACGTATTTATAATTTATAATATGCCCAACGCTGATTCGCCCATTTGCCAACAATACCGCCTACCCTGACTCTATAAAGTTTACTGCTTGTTACTTTATTTGCCATTTTCAAAATAGGAAAGGTATTTGATGCGTTATGGCTATCTATCACAAAGTAACGCCGAACTGGGTCAAAGCGTACCGAAAAGAACCTATTACGAAGCTATTACGGAACTGCAAAAATTCGCTCGTATTAAAGTGACTGGAGAATTGGATGAAGATACAGCAAAGGTTTGTCGAATTGTTTGTCAATAGTTGATTAGCAATTATTTTTCACTTGCTACTTTTTCTTTAGCATATCTATACATACGTTTGTAATTGAGCTTATCATTATATTCATCTTTCCTCTTCTCATGTCTCTTTTTTCTTCATCTTTAAAAATTTTCTTTCTTCTTTTCCCTTTCTCTTCCTATCTCCTATTCTTTTTATTTTTGTTTTATACAGATTATTAGTAAGCCTAGATGTGGTAGAAAGGATGTTCGTAAAAGAACAAGGCATAGACGATACGACGTTGTCGGTAAAGTTGGTCGATGGAGAAAGAAAGTTATAACTTACAGGTTTAAGAATGTTTTTTTTATCTCACTCTCTTTTCCTTTCTCTTTCTCTCTCCCCTTCTCTGTGTGTTCGTCTGGCTTTTCCTCTTTCGTTAATTTATAGAGTTTTGATTGAATAAAAAAAAGGGTCAGATTAGGAAGCAGAATAAGGAGGAGGGGGAAAGGAAAGCAGGAAGAGAGAAACGAAAGACGGAGAAGACAGAGGGGGCGAGTGGGTAGGGTAAAGGGGTAGAAGACTAAGAGTTTCCCTTCTTAAGATTTTAAAATGAAAGGCAACCCATTGTGCAGAATAGGTGTTTGAAGTAGACTGATTGCTCTATGGGTTCCTGAACAAACCTAAATAAGACTTCCTTTTCGTATTTCCCCTCCGGATGGAGATTCTTTTAGAAGCCTACAAACGAAAAGAAAGAGGGAACAGGAAAGAGGTGCATGCGGACAAGGGTTAAGGGAGAGAATAGAAAGGGTGAATAAATGATAAAGATTAGAAGAGATAAAAGGCAAAGCAATAACAAACTGCAAACAAATAGACAAACAAAATGTTCGGCATTGTTTGCCTTGTTCAGCGGGGCTGTGGTGCGATTAGCGTATCATCACAACCTGCATGAATGAGGTCAAACAGCGTTCGTCAATGCTCCGTTATTCTCCCTTCCACATGACCAAGCGTCGATGGGCATCTCTTTTCCTTTTCAGAAAAAGAATGAAAAGGGAGAGATGTGAGTGAGAAAACACTTTAAAGAGTTCCCTTTCATTCCAGACTAGTCCATCACACGCAAGACATCTCTCTAGACGCTCAACTAAACATTATAAGAAACGCCTTTGCCGTTTGGCAGAACATCTCCAATTTGATGTTTAAGGAGAATACAATAGAATGGGCAGATATTGTTATAAAATTCGTAGCCGGTCAACATAGCCAATGCATCCCTTTTTCGGAATCTGGTGAGTAAATAAGGGTGGTTAATGTCAGGGTAAACAGTATTCATTTACATGCACTGCAGTACTAAAAAGCGTCCTGCAAAATAGAAAAAAAATTGAAAAAGAGACATATCGATTGCTGAACAGCTATAAAACATCCAACTCTTTTTCATTTTCTTTTTTCCTCTTGCTCTTCGTTTGTTTTTATCTCTCTCTCTCTCTCTCTGTCTATCGGTCTCTCTAGCTTACATACACGCACACATTTTTCCTCCCTCTATATCTTCTTATCTTTTTATCCAACAATATTTTCATATTATGCATGCATATTCCCTTATCCCGCTTTTTCTATATGCGAATAAAAGTGGAGAATATAATTACTAAATCTTATTGATATTCAGCTGAATGCTATTTTAAATACTTCTAAAATAGAAACGTTTCTAAAATAGATGTTTTGACTAATGAGACGCCACCTGACATTAAATTATTCATATTGTAACAGATTTGGCCCATGCTTTTTATCCTGGTTCAGTAAAGGGGGGCGAAATTCACTTCGACGACGATCGCATTTGGGTAGGGAACGATGAAAAAGGCGGTCTTAACTTAAAATCGGTCCTCTTACACGAAATTGGTCATACATTAGGTTTGGGACATTCAAATGACCCTGGATCAATTATGTCAGCGTGGTATACTGGTTTAGAAGTTCTTGGCGAAACTGATATCAAGGCCATACAATCTCTTTATGGAAAACCTGGAGATCCATTCCCAATAGAAGAGAATGGTGGAGATGAAGAATCATATGGGAAAACAGTAACAGCATCAACAAGAGTACCATCAGACAAAGTAACATGGCCAGGTAAGGGAGGGGATAGAAATGAAAAGCATATAGAACAAATGTCAATTCGTTTATATATTTATGTTCAAATATAATATATTTTAACTTATTCATGCGCCATTTTCACACGCTATTCATTTTCCATTATTATTTATTCAGTCGTGGAAAGTGGAACTACGGAACCCCCAGACCCTTGTCAAAAGGCAGTCGATGCGGTCGGATTAATTCGAAATGAATTATGGTTATTTATTGAAAACTGGTGCTGGCGTATAGATAGAAATGGTGTCCGTCCTAATTTTCCAATGAAAATTGAAAGGTTTTGGAGATACATACCAAATAATATTGACGCCGTTCTTTCACCCGGTCATGGTGATATTTATTTCTTTAAGGGTCATAAATTCTGGAGAATTAACTCTAATTCCGATAGAAGTGATGGAGAACCTCTAACAAACCTAGCTTTTCCTTCTTTCGTTCGTAAAATAGACGCCGCCTTTATTTGGTCATATAACGAGAAAGCATACTTTTTTACTGGCAATACGTATTGGAGATTTGACGCTTCTACAGATGATTTAAAACTTGACGAACATTATCCCAGACTTATAAAAGACGTTTGGCAAGACGTTCCTACGAATTTAGACGCCGTTTATACAGATTTATATGGAAAAACTCATTTTGTTAAAGATTTTCACGACTATCTTTTCCGTGATCCTTTTATGAGAGTTAAAAGGAATGGAACGAGAGTCTTTGGTTCAAATTGGTTTCAGTGTAGAAAAAGGATTCTTTTAAGAAGCGATTTTTTCAATATTCCTGGAAATAACGCTACATTGAACGAAATGCATTTTTTTACTTTTCTTTCTATCTTTTTATACCAGTTTTTTTTACTTTTTTAAACATTTAAAAAGAAAACCAATAGGGAAAAGATACTGAAAAAGACACTTTTCTCACATCTTTATCTTTCTCTTTCTCTCTCTCTCTCTCTCTCTCTCTTTTCTCTTTTTATTTCATTTTTTATCTCAAATTACTATAATGAGTACATAATTGTTCGATAGTAGCGAAAGAGTCAACAAAGTCTTCTTCTAGAACGCCTTCCTTAGCATATTCGTGTATATAAGCTCGGGCGCCGAACATTTCCCATGCCCTATTTATTACCTGATTAAGAGTTGGTACGACACTTTGGCAATTAGATAGTAATAAAGCAGATTTAGGAGCATGTAGCATTGGCCTAACATTGCCCCATTCCAAGAGGCCAAGTTGAACGTTATTAGCCGAAGGGGTATATAGCTGCGGATCGGACAGAGGAGACGTATCAATATTATGAGCATCTTCGCCCCTAGCTACCAGCAAATTAGCTATGGATCTATTAAAGTTGAAATGCTTATCGACCTTGATATTCCAATTAATACCCTCCTCCATATGCCAATCACTGACCGACATCTGTCGCAAGTTCTTTAAAAGACTATCCCACTGATAAACATTAAACGTTCTTGCTTTGTTCCAAACGTGAGGTATATCTGTCATTGTCAAGAGTTTGTACTGAGGATGGCAAACCATGTGTTCCAACATATCACCTGAACAACGATAAATCAAGCATTTAAAAGCAAATCATTTTATGGAAAAGAGGAAATAAAGAGTGGAAAAAGAGGGATATAAACAAAAGGATACAATGAAAGTAAATGAGATAAATCGTCTTAACGACGTCTCTAGTGCTTACTTAATGGATGCCGTATTGGATATGTCCAACCATCGGCCCTTTGCCTTTGATGAGCCGGCAGCAGTAAATTAGCTAATTGGGCGCTAAGAACATCGTTGAGATCGTTAAAGGTCACCTTATCAACGTGTAATAATTTCGATGAGATGTCGTGTAATTTCTTATTTTCTGTGACGATAATTGCGTCTGAAGCATTTAGTAGACGCGACAAACTGAGAACTGCGTTGTAATTTTGGACAATGACGTCACCAGAGTCATACGGCCAAACAACTTGATTAACAATTGATGTATGAGGATAGCTGAGAGAATATTTGTTTGTTTCTGCTTTAATATTTTGATAGAAATGATAGCCGTATTTAAAAGAATACTAACCACTCCCTTAATAATTGAGTGATATAGGCTCCAACTCCTGATCCTGTTCCTCCAGCTACACTCATCAATATTAGAAATCCATCGATAGTATCCGTCTTTTCCAATTGACGGTCGATGCATTCTAACACTCTTTCCCTCAATTTCGGTCCGTGTGTTACGTATCCATGAGCCCAATTATTACCAGCTCCTCTCTTCTCAGCAACAATTTGCTTACGGTCATAACACCAATCTCCGGCAGCCTTTTTTAAGTCAGATTCCACTACCTTTTGTTCAGTGTCCACAAGAATGGCCTTGGCCTCTAAAAGTCCTTTTTTATTTTCCGTAAAGAATCTTTCAGTTAGAGTATCAACAAACGTCCTGGCTCCAGGTAAATTTGGCGGGTAGCTCTTAGGATTTTCAATTAATTCGTTCAAGATGGTGTTGTAGAAACGTTCACCAACTTGATTTCCACACTGTCCAACTTGGATAACAATTATTGCCATTAAAATTACCGTTTCGTTGTCAACTCGATCAGTTGTTAGACAGCTTGGTTTACTATTGTCAGAATACAATTGTACCTAACATTCGTAAAGTCTACTTTATTAATCTCCAATAGATCGATAACGTCGAGTTAAGCTGTATAAACGAAGTAAAGAATGAATTATTCGACAATAAAAATATTATTTCTATTATTTACTACATTCTTTCTCCTTCTGTTTCTTATCAAATATATCTCTTTACCAGTTATTGGCTAGTTTATCACTTTTGGGCCTTTTTTTATCATTTTTTTCTATTATTGTTTCATATGTTTTGCCGCAGCGGCCATTGGTAAACAAAAAAATCTGTCTGCTATAGTTCTACTACTTCTATGATTAAAAACAATTGATTTATCTGCTTTTATATAAAACATACTAGTCGTAAATTTTTAGTTGAATATCTATTAACGACGAGTTTTAACATAGACTGCTTATGCTATTCAAAAGCTTGATGAGAAAGTTAGATTAGATATTATGGGTCTACCTAGACACAGCAGTGATAAAAATGAACTTAAATATTTACTCTTATAAAAATAATCTTAAATGGACAAGTGAGAGAATATATGAGAATATTCCCATTATTTAAGGAAGTGAAAACTATTATATACTCTTTGTGCTTATAGATTTTCTTGTCCTCATTTAGGCCTTTTTAAATCGAAATATTCATATTTGCATAAATGACTTAAGAGAGAACTATTATACATTCCAACCGGCATTAATATGTTTACGTTAACGTTGGTTATCAAATAAGATTATTTCAAACAGTTTACTTAAAAAATTAATGTGTTCAAAACTTCTTAATTTGTATAGCTATAGAGAAATGTGTTTATTATGATTATAACTCTTAAGAAAGGCAAAATCAAATTTTTTCAAATAAAGTAAAAAATTTTTACATTATTACTTTTTTAGAGAGGATTATTGTTTAAGAATAATATTTGCAGTAGTTAAACAAAATTATTGACAAGTATGGAATTTACTTTGTTGACTTTTTATAATCATTAGGCTAATCAATATGTTACCGGACTTTAATGGGTTATGGTACCGTCACCTCCATTTACAATTTAGCGCGACCGAAAACTTTCCTATAATTGATAAGATCCTATTTTTGGTGTTTAATGATATTGATAAAATGGTAATGATACCGCTGAAGGAATTAATTACAAGTCCTGAAACTCAAAGATTTAGAAGATAACTCAGTAAACCAATTTATTATTTTTTACCAAAGGTAGTCTATCAAATGTCGATTGTAAAAATATAACTGATAAAAGAGCGATATTTAAGTCACTTTAACTATTTTATGAAAATTCTATTCAATGTCAATATCTAATCTATTCAAAAGAACATTTGTTAATTATTCGAAGGATATTAGATTATTTAATGCTACTCTTATGAAAGTAAAAGTTATCAATAGACTAGGTCTAATTGACTAGTCCTGTAAAATAACAGATTCGTTATTTAATCTTTAAATATTAACATAATACTTAACGAAATTTTTTAATTATTATTTTTTATAGATAATGTTCAAACCAAATCATGCAAAGAACTCTCAGCATTACCCAGTTGTTCCTTTTGAACTCTGTTGTCTGCGGGCTCGAATTTTGTGCATCAGCCGCCTTCACATATATTCCACCACTATTACTCAAATCCGGTCTCGAAGAACGTCAAATGTCTATTGTTCTCGGAATCGGACCTTTAATGGGACTTTTTCTAGTTCCCGTAATAGGAAAGTCATCCGACGCATGCCATAGTCGATATGGGAGGCGTAGACCTTTTATACTGGGTTTGGGGTTTTTATTAATTTTTTCCTTATTTTTTATCGCATTTACCGATAACATTTTAAACCTATTTGTGGTTTCTGACGAAACTGGTGAAAGACTTGGTATTGCCTTATTGATAATTGGTGCAGTTTTGCTGGACTTTACTTCTCAAGTTTGCCTTACTCCGTGCGAGGCACTTTTGTCTGATGCTTTATCTCAAACTGGTACCTCGCAAGAAAGGGGCTTTATGATATATTCAATAATGATTTCTGTAGGCGGTTGCGTTGGATATCTTGTTGCAGCTGTAAACTGGACAGATTCAATTTGGAGTACTATTCTAGGAAAACAAGAAACTGCAGTATTCTCTCTATTAATATTTTTATTCTCCATTTGTTTGTGTTGTACTCTAATGACTGTTCAAGAAGTGCCTGATGAAACAAATAGAGTAGAGAGCTTTAACAATCGAGAATATCCAAAGATATTAAACATCTCAATAAGATCTATTCTAAAACTATTTTCTGAGCCGATCAGAGCAGTGATTGGTTTGTGGAAGAGTGTTCTTCCTTCTTCTATTGTCTTAAGGCGATTGTCATTAGCTCACTTCTTTTCGTGGTCTGCTCTTATGGCGTTCAATCTTTTCTATACTGATTTCATGGGACAAGCTGTTTATGGTGGAAACCCAAATGCTCCCGAAGACTCTAACGAAAGGGCTCTATACGACGAAGGAATACGTATGGGTAGTTGGGGTCTACTACTGCATTGTATAACATCTGCTGTTTATGCTAGTTTTATCGAAAAAATAACAACTAAAGCGGGTAATAAGAAGACATATTTAGCTGGGATATTATCGTTCATTATATGTATGTTGGTTATGCTTCTGTTCCGTAATATCGTTATAGTACTACTCTCCGCCGCCTTTACAGGATTTGCCTATGCAACTTTAACAACTGTTCCATATACTCTAGTTAATACTTATCATTCTAGCAAGCAAATTTTCTTTGCCGATGTCGGTGGATCGACTCCCAGAGGTATTGGAGCTGATTTAGCAACGCTCGATAGTGCCTATTTCTTATCTCAAGTAATGCTGTCTTTACTAATGGGTAATATCGTTTATATGACTGGTACTGTTTTTGCGTATTTATTGTGTGCGGTTTTTTTAGCAATTTTATCGGGGATTTTTGTAATGAGGTTAATAACTATAAAAGGTGAAATGCAAAATATTACTCATTTAATTCATTCAAATGAAATTATATAATTGTACAAATAAAGATTATCTTCCCATTCTGTGATATTTTTCTTAGTCATCTTATTAATATTTTCACCAAATAAATATCTTCAAAAATGATAAATCGCTCATCAATTATTTATCTTTCTCTTATTCAACCGTACTGGCGCTACTACAACTTTCACTTGATGAATTGCTATCTCCTCTTGCTGGAGAATTGTATATATAATCTCTTGTCAACGTGGCAGTGTTGTCCAAAACATCGTGCCAGGTTTCATTTTCATCATCATCGCTAGAGGACGATTCAGTATCGCTATCGTATTCTGAATCTACGGAATGTACTCTGGACATTCGGCGAGCGAAATGATGACGAATTTCGTTTAAATAGAATAGAGAATCGTCCGATGGATATATGGGTATAAATCCCATAGGATTAACACCTATTTCCAAATAACTGTAACAGCTGATATCTGGATACGGAACTATGTTCTTGTATTCTATTTTTAAATTCATGTAGTCGTAACAGCTGTAAAATATTTTAATATTATTCAAAATTTTCTCTCTTTCTCTACATAAAATTATGAAGTGTCGCTTAAAATGTCCTATGATGTTGTAATCCCTAAATAAATAAATACCCCGTATATACAGTTTATACAGTAATTGCCCTTATTCTACACCACAAACAGACACATCATTTTTCTGTTTTTACCCGGTGCATCTTAAGTTTTCTGTAAATAGCATTTTCTTTCTCACCTGGGATCTGGACCCTCCAAGGAAGGATAAGGATAAGACACTATAATCGAGTTTGCGCTATTAATTTGAATTCGCTTCGCGTCTTTAGTTTCGTTCCTCCAGCTGTAGCAGCTTACGTTATCACTTCTCGTAATGTTTGTGTTGAAACTGATCTCCGAAGATAAATCTTCACTATCTTAAAATGAAAGGGAAAGATTAATAAGGATATTAAGTAAAATAGAAATTAGATTCGTTAGTAATGTAATCATCATTATGAAGAAGAAAAACAAACAAACAAACAGTGTATTGCACTATTACCATTGATGCCACACCTTAAAAAGACAAAATATTATATTTCACTTCATGTTCAATTTGTCTGTCTATCTTTTCTCTTCTCATTTTACATGTATTTTTTAAAAATATAAACAAAGAAAGAGAAAATAACCTTGACTTTGTAAATTACAATTGAAATTTCTATCGCATAACTCTTTGGATAGTTGCTTAAAAACTTTACGTCCATTTTTATCCGTTGATCTATCCATAGCTGACAAACTAATCAATGTGTTTAAATGAATTGCCATAATTGCCTAATCAATTATGACTGTTTTATTAAATAATTAATAGAGTAAGGAATTATAGTATGCTTTATTATAATACTTATTACGATAGTATTGAATGTACATATATTTATGGCTTAGATATATACTGTATATATATAAATATGTATGTAAATATAAAAATTCTTTGTTAAAAGTTATCCATTCAGCCTATAGTTTGTTTGTCACGATTCACGATTTTTCAAGTAACTTGAGCGTTGAAAACGTCATCAGTTGACGAGATGCCTAGGTAAAAGCAAAATGAATGTTTTTTGTACATATATATATATATATATTTATATATTTGTGCTAATACCTTCGGAAATTTTTACAATAATTTAGATCATCCTCATCCTCATCCTCTTCCTCTTCGTCATCTTCAACGAGTACTATCAGTAATAATTCGTGGAAGGAGGGAGTTCGCTTACATGTATCGGGATTAGCTTTCGACGTTGGTAAAACGGATGTTATACGAGCATTTGAAAAGTTCGGCAGACTAATTGAGGTTTGTTCGAATATTAACCTTATCCCCTATCTAGATCCCTTTTTCTTCTCTTTATCTATCAAACACATTTATTTATATTCAGGTATGGTTAGCCAAGAATCCGCCTTGTTTTGCTTTTGTCGTCTATAAGTATAGAGAGGCGGCTGATACAGCAATTAAGAAAATGGATGGAAAGTATGAAAAAGAATATCTTTATTTATCTCAAGAAATATCTTTTTTTATCTTTGTTTATTCTTTGTAGACGATTTTTTGGTAGCCGTTTAAAAGTAACATTTGCAAAACCGAGAAAATCTAGTTCCCATTCATATCAGGCTTTCCAAGGAATGAGGTGTTATCAATGCGGTAAAGCGGGTCACTTATCTAAATTTTGTAAATTAACTGAAAGAATGAAAAGGAGTTGGAGACGACGGCATAGACATGATAGGTAAGAGTATCTCCCTATCATTTCCTTTTTTTAAAACATTTTAATGAATAATGTATAGTACTAGATGTTCCATTTTCAAAGTATTCTTTGATAAAGTATTTAATTACCCCAAAATTAATTAATTCATGAAATTCAATTCTTTAAAATTAGATTTCTTGGATCAAGGATAGTAAGTTGAATTAAAATCATGATCAATTAATACGCCATCTACCGACGAGAATAACAACCATTTTTTATAGACTTAAATGAACAGCAAATTCCATTTTTTCCCCTAATGGATTTACATTAATGGATTATTAAGTATATCCAACAAATAAGTGATAACTCTTTTTTCAAGGTTAATATCATGTTGATCTGCCAATTTTATCCCCACTTTCTTTATTTTTACCTTTATCCCAGAATCATTAATAATCCAATAGCTAATATTTATTACGATAAATACTATTCATACAAACAGCATAAATAGTGTGATGGAAAAAATGCTTTAAATATCTAGAAATACCGAAAAAAAAACTCTTTTTATATTATAATTTTTTTTTCAATGATGGAAGAGATTATCATTTCATGTTTTAATGGTCACGTGACTGAAAGAGAGTTTTATAAATATATGTTATATACTGTTATAAAATCTATAGATATATAGATAGATAGAGTGCTGCCTAAAAATAATAAATATAATAGTTTATTAACAAAAAATTTATGGACAAGATCTAAAAGACAAATATGGAATCGGGACACTCTTTTCATCTTCGTAGGTAATCTTATGATATGCAGGTCGAACATTGTTTAATTGCGTTTCACTTGTTAAGATATAATTAAGGATATTTTTCATTATTTTTTAAAAAAAAAAAAAAGATAACTTACTTGTAAAACGAGTATTATGTCCTTGAACATACAGTTATATATTAATGTCTAGAGAAGGAATTGAGCAGATTCTATTAGTAATTTTGGTGGGGTCCTTCACACAGAAAAAAGCGTCGAAAAAGACTCTACAGATCGAGATCTAGATCGAGATCCAGGTCCAGATGCAGGTCAAGATCTAGATCGAGATCGAGATCTCCATCAACTTCTTCGTCGTCGTTGTCATCTTCGTCGTCGTACTCCAGAAGAGCGAGGAAAAGAAAATAAAAAGGGAAGAAAACTTAAAAGAAAACTAAAAATACAAAATACGAACAATTATAGAGAAAAAAAACGATAGCAAAATGAAGAGAAGAGAAAAGAAAAAAAAATGAAGAAAACATAGGAATATTTTTTTATTTGTCTTTTTATTGTTTTTTTTTATTTCATTTTTTAGGATTCAACCCCAACCTGGTTCTTCTTTGAAAATTTCGATTTTGTCGTAATAACATACATTTCTGATCTATAAATTCTTAAATTATTTAAACAAAACAATTCTCTGCATCCTCTCCGAAATTTCGAGTTAAACGAGGCATATACTATAGGCTTAACAAGCGTCGTTCCAAATAGAATAAACACCATTAAAGTTCTTAGTTCTTTATCCTGTTTTCTAAGCCATTTCAAATAGGATTCAAGTATAACAAACGGAGTAATTAGTATAAAGTGTAAAATTGTTAGTATCATTAATAGCTTGTATAGTTTGTTTTGGTTGTTTTTGTTTTTTTTAAAAAAAAATAATAATCGTAATATGGAAGATTAATTTATTTGACTATATAAAAGAACTTTATTTTATATTTTATGTATTTTTATTATATATATATATATATATAAGATAAAAAAAGGATATTATATAATACTCCTGCTTTTTTCATTTGTTCAACTATGTCTAATTGTCTATTCAGAAGTCTATAGTAGTAGGCTTACTGAGGAAAGGTGTAGAATATACTACATAATATACTGTATATTGTACATTATGTAAAGTACATACAGTGTATATTTTTCATTCTGTTCCTGTATACTTTCCTTTATGTAACATACAGAATTGTATTGTTTTTGTTACACTACTGTATACTCTGTCTTTTTTCCAGTTAAAAAAAAAAAGAAAACACGTATAACAACTTCCATATTACCTTTAATATTTTTACTTTTATTCTAGCAATGAATTTCGTAGTTCTCCTTATTGGCCTAGCAAATGATAAAGATATTGTCCAGACGTATTTGAACAATTTGCAGTAGCCCAAAGAAGTAACGCTTATTGGTATCAGAAGCGTACTTATTACGTGAATAAGAATAATACTGGATCGACTGTCCCAGAAGGTAATAGCTAGTGATAATAATACAGAAACGGACCATACAGATCCTATCATCTTCAAAGCAATTACTCTCGTAACTTTAAAAGTTAACGGGTATATAATGGTATAATATCTATCAAAGCAGATACATATTAATACGTAATTAATAGAGATTATAGAAAACCATTGAAGATAATTAATGGCTTCAGTAACATTCCAAGTTTCTTTGAGAATTTGAGCAAGAATTAGCGGCATAGCGATAACAGATAATATCAAGTCGGAAAATGCAATGCATAATATGAAATAGTTAGTTGTAGATTGAAGTCTTCTAGATTTGAAGATTACTAAACAAACTAGGCAATTGCCTATTGTTGAAGAAATAATGAAGAAGATTAGAAAGACTATCTCGCACGTGTCGCACGACAACATCGTTTCTGACTTCTCGCCACTGAAACCGTCACTATAGAAACACACCTAGACTTACTGCGCCATCTAATAATTATCTTATCGCATGTACTATGGGCGTTTTCTTTCTCTTTTCTTCGCACATAAGCCTTCTATCTTAATATCTTCTCATACCTTTTTTTTTATCTCAAATCAATACAAAGCTGATATGACGTTTATTCGTTGCAGTTTTCTCGTATTCTATCACTCTTTTGATAAATCGATGCATGCCTTAATTAATTTACGGAACTTTTTATTATTACTTGTTCTTTTAAAAGTTTACATATTATGTTTATATAAAAAAAAAGTATCTAGAGATAATTCCCTATTATTTTTACTTATTCTTTTTCCTGGCGGGAAAAAATTCACCCCGCCATTTTGTTCTTTTTTTCTTACGTTTTTTGTTCTTTTTCGTTCCGTAGTTTAAAAATAAAAAGTATATAAATAAGAGGAAAAAAAATATTTAAAATAAAAAAGAAATAAATAAATAGTTAAAGAAAAACTGTTGAAAATATTCAGGTTGATGTGAATATTATAAAGGAAAAAAACTAAAGAATCTTTCGCACTTTTTTTTTTTTTTTAAATTTCTAGGCCTTTTCTACTCCATGTGATGTAATATCACGACGATTTCCGTAGGAAGATGCCTTTGGTGGCGGTGTCTCCAAGGCACCCATTTGAAGACCAATTACGTGATGTCCTTCCGGCTTATCTCCGGTTTTCATGTAAATATCCCTACGACTACCAGCCAACATACCAGCTTGACTCGCGCCTTTATTAGAGCCCATTTGCAGGCCTAAAATATTCTTTCCGGCTTCCAGTTGTTCCGGAGTGAAATTTCTTTCTTTGGCCGTTGCTTCTTTCGGGCCGAATGTTGGTCCTTCGTATCCTTGGTTTCTGGCTCGCCTGGCTAAACCTTCAATTGCATTTAAGACGCTTGATAGGTTTTGCTTATCATACAAGTCAGGCGTTGAGAAGAGATCATCCTTTCGAACTCCGTATTGTTGAGCTCTTTTAATAAACAGTTCTATTCTTTCCATTTGTTGAAATGGCGAACTTGCCGCTGGTCCTGTTTTTATTTTTATCTTGTCTTCCTCCGTTAAAGAATTAATAAGCTTGCACAAGTAAACACCATCCTTTAAGGCGTCTCCAAACCGGTCCAGTCCAATTACCTCATCGTCCTCGACATCCTCGACTAATTTTTCTCCAGTTACAGCAAACATCCACGCTCTAGCTTCTACTTCCTTCTTCTCATCGTATCTCATTTTGGACATTTCGGCTGACAATTCGTCGATTTCTTCCCTTTCGCCCTGCAATAGTAAAAATTGATCGATCTTGGGACTGTATATAGACTACAGATGGCGTTAAAAATTCTTTGATAATGGTTAATTAATGGAAATTACATTTCAATCAAGATATAATAGAAAGTACCAGATGTACAGCTCTTATCGCAGCGTAGTCTTTTTTTTATGAAAAGCGTCAAATGGTTTTTTTTTATTATTATTGTTATTTTTAGAAAAATAGAGTAAAAAAGTAGTGTAAATTTTTTCTTACAATAAGCTTAAACAACTGTATTAATAAGCCCTTCATGAACAGTCAAGCAGACAGTATATACGCCTATTAATAAAGATTTAGTACTTACACGCCTATATACAGCTATTTTTATCTAAATAACAAATATTTCAAACATACGATCTCTATTAATAAAAATCATTCTATAAGAATTGCAATCAGACAAAGAAAAATGCAAATATTTTCTTCTTTCTATTAATTCTCTTTTCTTCTTCTCTTCCCTAGCTGTCTCTCTATCTCTGTATCTTTACCTCAATCTTACTTTTCCCATTAATATACTGTGTATGCATACGTATACTTTTATTAATTTATAAACACGACTCTTTTCTCTTCATATCTTAACCCTTACACCCTTCATCTCCCTTTATTCTTTCTCTCTCCCTCGTTCTCCCTTCTCTTCCTCTCTTTTTTCTTTATCCAATCTTATTATAAAAGAAATTAAATAATGGTTACTCAAGGACATGTTGAAATTTTATTAGGATTCTAAAAGTAACATCTAAAGAATTAAACAAGTTCAAAGGTTAATATTTTAGTTTGTTTTTTTTAGATAATAGGCTAAAAACAGATATTTTCTATATGAAAGATAATAAAATTTTGGCTTACACCAGTATAATAATACTGTTATTATTAAATTATTATAATCTTGATTTAATTCTAAAAACGTTTTCGAAAATAATTAAAAAAGTAATTAAATAATAATTTTTTTTATAAAAAAAATTATTATGATAAACATTTTAAAGTATAAAATTTATTAATAGAAAAAATATTCAACAAACCATCTCTTTCTAGCTAAAAAAATTTCGTCTGTTAGTGACTAGAATTATACAGCGAATGAATCTGCAAAAAGGGCGTTACCCCTTTATATACTGTACTTGGTAGATGTTTAAATGAAAATAATGTAATATTGATGTATACCATTAGCTCTGGAGGTAGTAAGGTTTATTGAATATTATAATTATTTTACTGTAGTTCATTATCTGCCTCTGTTGTCTCTTTCTCTTCGTTGCTATCTATCTATCTGTTTATCTGTCTCTTATCCTCCGTTTTCGCTTTCCCACTACTTAAAAAATCCCATCAATAATAGTTCATTTAAAGAAAAACTTGAAGAAATAATTTTATTATAATTGGAAACAAATAATACTTAATACAACAACTTATTAATCTATTTTCAAACCGACATTTGAGATGCCACGCCTTTTTTTTTTTTACTGCAAAAATAAAAAAAACTACTTTTTTAACGTTTATCAATTTTTCCTTCCTGTCTTTTATTCTCTCTTTCTCTCTCTCTCTCTCTCTCTCTCTCTCTCTCTCTCTTTCAAACGTCTGAGGTATGGTAAAAACGAAAATAAATGAAAAGCGTAGTAGATAACTTACCTGGTTGTTTCCTGTTCAAAACGTATAAAGTAGTGTATACTTAATATATTGTGCATATATATTTATGTATATATGTATAAACAAATATATATTTATATATACTGCATATTATGCAGCACATCTACATGTATATTTATGCTGTTGATAACCGTTCCAGCAATATGAAACCGTCTGAACCATTCAAAATTCTCTAGGTATGAACATTGAAAGTTTACAGGCCTAAAAATACATTTATGAATATTAATAAGATGTAAAAGCTGTTAGGGTTATGTTTCATTCTATTTTAAATTGTATTCACGATGATTTATTCTATAGAAACAGAATTGTTCCAATTAAATCCCTAATTGTATTTCTATAAATCCGAAAGGCTGGCGAATCGGAGAAGTTAAATTAAATATGAATTAATGATTAAAGATTTAATTTACATTTGGAAAAATACATATATATATATATATATACTGTACAACTAAAGGAGAATATAAAAAGGTCAAAATAATTCAATCAACTTTTAAACGGTTGGAATTAGTTGGAGAATTTTTTCTCAAGTTTGAAATCTTGTCTTTTTTTTTTCATCCTATCTTCTTGCTTATTCATTCATTCATCTATAAATTCTATTTTCTCTTCCTTTACTTCTTTCATCCATCTTTTTTTCTATTATATATTTTCAGTATACATTTAGACAAAATATACATAACGTATATAGTTAAAAAAAAAAGGAGGCTGTCTACGAGGCCATCTATTGATTTGTAAGAGAAATTATATACGAGGCCATCAACCAAAGAAAGAATAACTTTATAGTTTATACATACTGTATAAACAATGTATATTTCATCGACTTGTATATTCGTATAGTGTACATAAATAATTATTCGTTCGGTATTTATCAATCTATACAATCGTAGACCTAAACGTCACGCATGATATGTAATATATTTCGCTGCCTTAGTAACAATTATCATTTCTGAATATAGGGAAAGATTACTTTATGTACGAAATGAAATACTAATCAATAAGCTTTAAGGAAAGAAGGCAAACAACGATTCTTAAAGGTTTCTTCCCCCAAGGCAAAGGATAAATAATAGGAAAAATAAAGTTGCAAAAAAGAAAAAGACTTGTTACATAAAATTCATTCATTACTTTTGAAAAAAAATTCATCTATTCCCTGCTATGTTTTATGAAGAGGAATAGCGTTAAAAGTGTTAGCATAGGCCTGGGGAAAAGAATAATGGCTGCGAAAGAAGATAGATATAAAAATGGAAAAGACGGAGAAGAGAAAAAAAAAGAAAAATGGGGTGAGGGAGGCGGTGAGACAGAGAGAGTGAGAGAGAGAGAGAGAGAGAGAGAGAGAAAATTGAAAAAGAAAAATCTAGGCAACTGTTGATTTTCAGCGATTAGGTATTTTTCATCATTTTTAAAGCCAATTACGAAAGATGAAAACTAGTACTTAAGTTTATAAATAGAAATTTTGTTTGTCAAAACAAAATTTGTTTCTCTTTACGTTTTCCTTTGAAAAATCTCTTAGTTAGTGTCAAGTGGAGAGAAAATCCGGGTAGAGATTGACAGAAAATAGTAAAAAAATATTAAGAGAAGTTACGGGTAAGAGATTAAGTTTATGCTCTTTTTTTTTCCTTTAGATTTTACAAATCCGTACAAGTTCTTTCTTTTTAAATAACGAACATCAAAGGGACTAATTTCGGGTTGAAATTCTCTTGATTTCCCTATGCAATTCTCTTTCCGGGTAAATAAATATTTAAAGGAGTAGCTTCGTATCGATAAGATATAAAATAAACATAGCCTATAAAATGCTTTCCGATGTTTTAACGATAGCGACAAATACAACTATAGATAGTTAAGATCGAATGTCTAATATCTAATATATACAGTATATATACATATATATAATATATATTTGTATATAATCATATAGTGGCTGAAATACTGATCAACGCTGCTTGAAAGTATTAAATAATACATAAAATAGGGTAAAAGTGTTAAGGATTTAACGAAAAAGTATATTTAATTGTTAATGAACGGTAGAATCTTAGTTCTAAGTCCTCCATCGGATTTGCAGACGACTTCGGAGACAGTAAAACCAAGAATGCAAACTATTACAAACACTATAGATGTTACTAATGAGATAATAATCGCTAGTACTGAGCTCGATAATCCATTTCCGTTTCCGTTCGTTGTTCCTCCAGAGCTGTCACTTGCCCTTGATTGTGCATCTGCGCTCAATCGCTTTAATTGTGCCCCGGATGGTAGTTTACGATTCTTTTCCAATATGGTCTCAACAAATTCCGATGGGCACCTCTCTGGTAATTCGAATATCGTTCTACAATCGATCGAATGATTTCCGGCGGGAAAGAAGCAATCTAGAGAATCGACTTTATACTCGTCGTATGTTCTCACCGTGCAATTCGAAAAGATTGACGCGTTCTTTAAATGAGGACAACCAAATAAGATTATTTTGACGAAAGTATCTTCTTTTAATTGTAGAAGTTGTACAGTATTTGGCAGGGAATCTAACGATGCAACCACTGTTTGCTCCGATTTGCAGCTGTATTTCATTATCTGAACTGGACCATCGGCAGAGAGGAGGCCGGAAGTGACGTTAATCTCGTTTGTGCCGTCTATTTCGAACGTTTGCTGAATTCGTAAGGAGTTGGTGACGTTGACAAGTGTCTTTCCTGCCGTGGTTATCTGTAATAATCCATCTACAGCAAATAAACGTCCATTGGCATAAAACTGACGACTGGGCCGTTTTGTTAATAAAGTCACGACGACCAATACTCGTTTAGACGCTCGTATCGTTCGTATTCCAGTCGAGTTGGTTGACGTCAAAACGCGTTTGTCACCCTTTTTTAGCCTCCATTCTATATCAGCGTCTAAAGATACGTTTGTTTCAGCTTGTAAACTTGTTATTGTTATTTGATGCCAAGACTTTGGTATTATGTAAAATTGTCCAAAAGCGTCGACAGGTGGAATTTCATAATCAGCTTCTACTTTAATAGAACCGTTACATAAGAGTCGAGTTCCTATTTGAAAGAAATTTAAAAAAAAAACACCATTTAATTCCACCGATTTTTTATCAAATCTAAGCAATCATAAAAATGGAGAATACAAATATTATTAGCGTCTAACAGTTGTGAGCCTGAGGGTTAGATTTAACCCTACATCAATTCGTTTCAGAAATCTAGACCAGTGTTAAATTTACCATATATTTCCTACTTTTTTATCATCTCTCTCCTTTCTCTCTCCTCTCCCACACCCTTCTCCCCCCCCCCTCTACCCACCCTTATCTCTCTCTTTCTCTCTCTCGCTGTATGTTTAATTTCAACTTTTTTAATGACATTTTATACTCTCACTCTTTTTATAAATAAAAAAGAAAACATATCAAAATTCCTGTCATGTGACATACTTTGTTTTAATTAATTACAACTATAATTCAGATTGCTGTTTCCGTATAATAACTCAATACCGAAGGAATTACAATGTCTAAGTACGTCAGAACGAATTTACTATAGATATAACAGTCATGGCGATCAGGATGCTGATGACGCCTTTATGGAAACACGTTCTATGTATTCAGGCTGAGGGGACGTCTATATAGCATGCCCTGTTTTTTTTTTCCGTTTGATTGACATACCTATATTTACTGATAAATTCATTAATTATCGTTTATTTTAATCTCTCTCTCTCTCTCTCTCTCTCTCTCTCTCTTTCTCTATTTTTCTTTCTTTTTTCTCTCTAGTTTTGTAGAATTATTAAAATTAATGATAAAATCTGTCTATATCTGAACGCCTTATCCTTTTATTCCAGGGATTTATTCTTTCTATTTTCTCTCACCATTTATTCTTTAGGAATATGAAATCTATAAATATGTTGCTATTTAGCCTGACCTTTATGCAAACAAGAATAAACGACCTTTTAGGACAATATATTATGACATGATATTTATCTCTCTAAAAGGAAGGGAAAAATGAAGAAGAGAATGAGGATTGAAAGAAAAGGTGTAAGTGAAAAAAAGAACTTTGTCCATATGTTACTATTAAAAGGATATACAAAGAGAATATTTTTTTAATGAATTTTAAATAGATTAACAATTTTTCTTCTTTTCGTTAATTAGCTTCTCTCTTTCTCTCTTTCCCTGTCTCTGTCTCTGTCTCTCTCTTTCTTTCTTTCTTTTATTTTTTCTCTTTTAATTTCCTCTTCTTCTTCTTCTTTTTCAAAGAGAAAATAACAAAACAATAGTTAAAATTGAAATTCAATATAAGTGATATAGGCCTATGGTTTGTGAGACGCATTAGACTTGACATTCTACAGGCGTTTTAACGTCAAAGCGAGTGAATTTGTTAACTGTTCCAGGAAAAGAGAGAATAGAAGGGGTGGTTAAGGGGGAGGAGTAGAAGAGAAAATGAGAAACAGTGTGGTAGAAACAGAATTATAAAATAAATTTGAATGAAGGATATAAACCTTGGATATTTATGGCAATTTTACAAGGCAGAGTCAGAGAAAGATTTGGAGAAGGAGCTAGAAAACTAAGAGATCTATATTTCAGACTATTAAATGAAAAATAGAAGAGGGAAAAATGCGAAAAAAGACACGGAGCTACAAGTGTCTAATGTTGTAGGTTATTGTTAAAGTACTCAGTTTCTGTTCCGGTCTTTTTGTAATATGAATAAATATAGTCCACGAAAAGAGAAAGCATGAATATCAGTTCTTTCGAAAGTAAAGTATTAAATATGGCATAATCATAATATAGGAAAAGAATGAAAGAGGATCTAATATCGCCATATTAGATGTTATCGCTATTTATTTTTTTCCCTCTCAAAGAGTTTATCCTCTTCTTTAGTCTATATTTCTGTCTTTTTTGTGACATTAATTCTTCATGATGGAATATATTAGGTCTATCAATGAATAATTAAACTGGTTATTAATTAATAAATACTGAAGAGCAATTAGTAATTAACATTAAGAGGTATCTTCTTTAGAGAATTATCTTGCTAGTTAGCATGGGATTTGGTTAGCGTGGTAACGATATGGTTAGATTGAGTCTTGTCGATAGCCAGGAATAAAACTCGTGACACGAATGATCTTTAATTGATAGAAGCGTAGAACCTATTTAAACGAAATGACTGAAAAGCTTCTATCTCTCTTCATTCTCTTCCTTTTTTTCTCTTCTATTAAATTATGATAGAGGAGAAGAATGCAACTTAGAGTCCGGAAGACCCCGCCGCTAAACCATTTTATTAAACTTTTCCCTTAGCGTAAGAAGTGGAATCCTCTCTTTTCCTCAAAGGCTGGAATTCTTCTCAATAAATTGTACATAAAAATATTATAGGTCTTCGGATCAACAGTGAATGCCGTACCCCTAAAGAATTATTATTGATCCAATGTCTGATGTAAATTCGCCTTTTTATCCATAAAAAGAAAGAAGATATTATACTGAAATTAGAGGAGATCAGCTTTCACGTTTTTCCTAAGTGTTTTCAAAAGCTTTTTTATATTCCGATCGTTCCAGTATACTCAGTGTTTTTCTCCTTCTTTTCCTTCTTTTCCCTCTCTCTCTCTCTCTCTCTCTATACCTTTTTTACTCTATATTCAATCTATTTTTAGATATCCGAAATAAGCTATTTGGCGTTTGTCTGCGATGCCAATGATAAATTTATATATAATACTCGAAAAGTTCTCAGAACGAAATGTAATAGAGCTATAGACTTTGAGGAAAGTTGATTAGGCTCAGAAGGAATAATACGAAAAGAAATATGATATTCAAAAGGCTGATTATTAAGAATTTGAAAATACAGTTGAAAACATGTGCTTAGAAACCGATAGAAACAACACATTAATCTCTTTTAATTAACTTTCCTATTCGCATCCTCATTCTGATTATTCTTTCCTTCTTACTTTTCTTCTCCTTATCTTACCTTTCTGTTTTTTAAAATATATAATATTCTTATGCTACTTATTATATTTAAATGTGGCATAAAAAAGAAGGCAATACAATTAATAAGCACACAAAAAAATCGTATTAGATGGAGAGAAAAAGTTACAAAACATGTATAAATCCTTCTTTACTGCGAGAGGATAACAAAGAGAAAGAGAGTAAAAGAAAGATCGAGAGTAGAATATTGGAAGAGGGGAGAAAGAGTAGAAAACCCTCTTTCTATAAACGACTACAATTATAATGGTACCGTTAAGAATTATATAATTGGTGTATGTAGAATTTTTAGGAATTACATAGAAATTAGAAAGCTTTTGGGATTGAAAAGAAAAGAATGAAGCATAGGAGGAATGGAGATATTGATGAAGAGTGTAAAGAAAGATAATAAGATATATCATGAATTCCTATACTATTATTCTTTTCTTTTTTTGAAATTTAAAAAAAAAGAAACATACCTGGTAGGATTCTCGTACTAATTTCTTGAAATGCAAGCAACTGCAATATTCTTCCATCTTCTAATTGAACAACGCTTGTATGATCTAAGCAGTTACGTATTTTAATATCTGTTAGGCGCTTGTTTCGTTGTAAGAACGGCGTGACAAATTCATCGCCGCACCACTGAGCGAAATTAGCTAAATGCAAACAGTTTTTAGTAGGATAAGTAAACAATATTTTAACAAACGCAAAATAAACTCTTACCGCATATAAGCGCCGCGTAAACGACACATTCGACGGCTAGCCTCATATTGCAGACTTTGCAGTCACCAGCGCTCCAGTTGCCAAGATAACACGTAAAAACTCGGCGCAAACATGCGTTCGCCTACCGCATAAAAAAAGCCTTTTGCAGTAATTTTCTTCTCCCTGCCTCTCTTTTTTTCATAACATCTACAAAGCTAACAGTGCTAATACGGTTTGTAGAGGTTTCTTGGCGGGGCGCCCACGTCGAACAGTAGTTTGTAGTTTGTCATAGTTTGTCAGTCGGAGAACTCGACCGTACTATATCAGTTAATCAATCATAAAGCGAACCAAAAATTATATTTCCTCCCAGTTTGACAGGCGTTATTCAGATTCGGTTACCGTTCGTAACAGTTTTTTTTTATATAAACGGAATAAAGAAAAGCAGCCTCTTTTTGTCAGCCTTTCGTTTCTAATTAATCTCCTTACTGAACGACCGGAAAAAGTTTTCCTTCCTATTTCTTTTTAATTTGAAAAGTTGTGTGATTGGAAGAAGTAAATGTTGTAATTCACTTTTTAAAAGGGCGGAAAAACGGGAAACAAGTTGTATTTATCGCTTTCAGCTCAGTCGAAACTAATCGCATGGGCTATACTAGGCTTTATCTTCCAATCAATCACAAGAAGATTCAGCAAAGTACGCACCCTTTGCCTCCACCGGTCGTGAATAATTGTAATGAAACCTAATAAACTCGTTGCTATTGACTTCAGTGTGTCAATAACTTTTTCTCACAAACTAATTTTTAGGCCTACATGATATCAACAAATATTTACACCGCAATCGACTGCAAAAAAAAGTTCAGATGTATATTATATATATATAAATGTGGCTGCATATATATGTAATTTCAACAATTTTTATCTTTTACTTTATTAGAGTTTTTTCAAACAAACTAAATTCATAAAACTTTGATAAAAACAAGAGAAAATGTAAAAAATAAAATCATAATACTACACTTAAACATCTTTTTTTGATTTGATTAAATATCATTTTGGCAGTAGCACCATGCATAGATATAAATATATATATATATATATATATAAGTATATACATATCTATATAAATATATATATATATATATATATACATTACAGTTGAGCGAGGCAAGTTTAAGAAAAAATACTTTTCCGTTCAGTCTGCAGATGGCGCTTTGCCTTATCGGTAAGAAGGGCAAAACTGGTAGACAAGTCTTCTAGCATTATTCGGTGGCTTCACGATTATGTTCTTCTTGTAATAAGTTCTAATGGAGCGAGAAAGTTTGTCATAGTTCATTCTGGGACAGTGTTTCTCCTTTCCCCATAATTCTGCAACTTTATTAGAATTGTCGATCTTGAAAACGCCTAATAAACAAAAGAAAAAAAAATAGAGCAAATGAGTAAAATTCTGGTTGAATAATGATAAAAGTTATTATTTTCCAACTAACCTTCTGATTCGTTTATCCATCTGATCGATTTTCCATATAATGCTGGTTCACTTAGGAGTTTTCTCAAAAATTGCCATAATTGTATATTAGGCTTAGTTCGGCCCATTTTTGGAGAATTTGATCTGTTCTGAGGAAGTTGTGCCATTTGAGGCGCCTGTTGAACGTACTCGGGGTTGCCGTATGAACTTACAGATGCAGTTAGATAGTCAAAGTCCGCATCATTAAATGATAAATCATTTGTTTCCATTCCAATGTTAGGCGGAGCTGTTAAGTAAATTAAATTATAGACAAAAGAAACATTAAATTTTACATTTAACCTTTGAAAGCCTTAAAAAGTGTTACATGCAGCTATCACTTAAAGATAATACGCCCTTTTTTTTAAATAATGATTATAATCTTTATAAATAAATATCTCTTTCCTTATAAGGGTAGTCTACATTAACAGATGTAATGATGCCTGTTGTATTAAGTATACCTCTTTGATAAAGTAACAATTTATAGAGCTATATTATTTATACATAGTAATCATTTATATACATAAAGTATATATATATATATATATATATATTTATTTATTAGTGTATATAGAATATAGTTGGTATAGTATACATCTATAAATAAATGTATACGCGTTCAGACGATTTTTACTATCGAAAGTAAGCGATTAGGCGATAAAAATGTCAAACATTTACAAATGATAAATAAATTAGATATCTCTATTGTATACTATTATAAATATATATAATTCATAAATTTATATATCTTGCAGTTATATTATAGGACAAACTTGAAGTTTATCATAGCACTAGTATAACAAACAACACTTTTTATTTTAATATTATATATATATATTTATGTGTGTGTGTGTTTGTTTTTGAAATAGGTTTGTATTTATGTCTGGGTACTAGTTTGTCATTATTATTAATATACCATGTACGTATATATTGTATATGTATATATATTTTTGTCTATACTTACAACAAGCAGGTCTGGTGTAAACTGATTCGCTTGAAGAATAATTGAAACTCGCTTCTAAGTTTTGCCAATTATATCTGTTTGATTGTTCTTTGATAATCTCCTCTTGATTAGTGGCTGGATAGTAGTATTCCTCCATGCAGCTTATAACGTCGTTGAACGGAAACTCGTGTTCTAAACGATTGCCGAAAAGTGCGGTTGCCATAAAGTCTTTAAAAATATTGTTCTGATATTCTTCCAACTAGTTCTCGTTAAAAGTTTCTCGGCTCGAATTGGTTCCAAGCGTTTTCGAATTCAAAGTGAAGTAGAAGTATGCTACAATGAGTCACGTGGTCCATAACAGACCACGTGACGAATGGACCAATAAGAATCGAGCACCGATTGACCTGTAGTACACGAATTGTCCATTCATAAAATCTGCTTACTTTAAACATCTATTTCAACCTGTACATAAAAAGTAGAGCAGAAAAATAAAGCACTTGAAATATATCGTACAATTTACAACAAAAATATTGACCTTATTGACAATTCAATCAATGACTGATAAAAGAAAAAATATAAAGATTTGAAAAAATCTCGTACCCGCTGACCCCCCATCTGTTACAAGTAAGATTAAGGTGCCGATTTAGTTTTCTGCACTTCCGATCGCGTAGGCGGGCATAAATTACTTAAAAGTTAAATTTTAAATACAATTATTATTTATACAGGTAAAATGACATTGTATCTTACTCCTTTTTTTTCTTACACACTTGTTTATTATTAAAGCTATTAGTGTTGTTTTTACCCCGGCCATTTTCAATTTCCGGTCGTTCTTTTTTTTTTTAAAAAAAGAACAATAGAACATTCCAACAATGCTAATAAGGACATCATCGTTAGAGATAGAAAATTTGTTTAATTAAAGAAATCAGTCATAATGAAGTAATTATCATTATATTTTTTTTAATAAAAAAGAAATTTATTTTATATTAAAAAGAACTCGTATGATAAAAGAAGAGTGACTGAGTGAGTGAATGAAAGCTAGATAGATTAATAAGTAGATAGGTATAAAGACAAAAAAGAAGAGACAGAGGGAGAGAGAGATTATTGACTGATGTAATATGTTGTTTTGTTGTTTTCCCAGTTTTTACAGACTAGGATAAAAAATGAAGCTTTTCTTATGGACCGGTTCAAACCACTTTAAATTAATAATCTTTTTTCTTTAAAGATCTGTTTATGTTTTTTTTTCTTCTTTTTGCAGACGTAAACAAGGTCACGCGTGCACTTTTGCTCTATCGATAAGCCTACGTGTCAACAAGTCATATTTCTGTTCATGTTAGTATAAGTTTATATGTAGGTATATAGATATATATTTATACAGTATACTGTATATTATATATATATAGACCACAATGATTACTTTATTAGTGAGGGCTGCGATCTATATATGAATGAAAGGAATTCACGATCTAAAAAAACGGAAGAAAGAAATATCGTCAATGAAGAGCAATGAGAATTTGAAATTCTAATGATTAATATTCAAATAATTTGAATAGTAAGGGTATTTCACCTATTATTAGTTTCTTTAAAAATATATTCAAAAGCTTTTAGAGCTATTTTAGTCTAGATTTTTCTCCAGGCCAATAATTTGGCTGGCCGTTGTTTACAATCGATTATCAAAGCGAGAGTGCGGCACCGGAAGTCTTATCAGTATATAGTCTACACCTATATATATAAATATATATATATATGTTGTGAATATACGTAGGAAACATACATGGCCATCTAGCGGTTTTTACAACAACTATTCGAGGAATCTTCGGAATGCTAATAAACGAACAGCAATACAGAGATGATTATTACAGATGCAAAGCACATGATGTAAACAACATATGTTCAAGGTTTTTTAACTGGTATGTGCTCTATCTAGTCCCTTAAGTTGCCCTTGAACATTCAAATCGCCGTTATCTTTTAAATTGACTTTCAAATCATAATTGATTGCATGAGGTAGTTCGTAGTATTGACTGTAACGTCTAACATATTTGGAACCATCACCTAAAGGTTCTTGTTTGAAGGCAGTTACAGTTATTCTCTTTCCACCCGAAACACATCTAACCATTACCTTCTCTTGAAGGAAGTCAGGCGAAAGGTGCAAATCTATTGAGAGTGATCTATGAGATTCTTCTTTTTTGACAATTATATCTGAGGCATCGAATAGGTCGGTCTCACACTTTACAGGAATAATTAATAAGGTAGTTTCTCCCGGTTTTGATTGACCAAGAATCTGGCGAAGTCGTCCATCGCTGTCTAATCTCTCAGTTCTTCGTTGAACAATTACCCCTTTTCTATAATCACACACTTCGGCTATTTCGTGATAAGTCGCCAACTTCTTGAAGGGACTATAAGAAGATTCACTAGCACTGGAGCCAGTATCATCATCACTTTCCTTACGACTATGAACTTCTACACTATGAGCCTTTCTAGTTCCATATTTTAGCAGCGTTCTTTTCTCTTCTTGATGTTGGAATACTTGACGCGGTGCTCTTTCAGTACCTACTTCAGTTGTACGTATTATACCAGAACAATCTACACTTCTATTTAATCTTATCCTCTGGAGCAAACTTTTCTTTGGTATCTGAGGAACTTCTTTTTTCTTCAATTTAACAACTGGTTGAGGCTCAGGAGGGTTGTCGTTCAATTTCACTCCATTGAATTTACTTAAAATAAAATTATAACCACCTAGTTTGGAATCGGAAAAATCTTCTTTGTTGAAATTACTCATATTCCAGCAGAATGTCGAATGTACAGCAAAAGCAGCGCCAGATGGAGCTGAATGCAGAAAAATAAGGCTAATGCTTCGCAGAATTGATAATACGCAAAACGTTGGAAATAAGAGAGCAGCTGCAATATTCTCTGCAAAAGTTCAACGTATTTAAAAATTGTGAGCTGTTCCGTAATTGAATACTTTGCAGTAATTGCAGACTCATTTGTAGGTTTTCTAAATCGAATTAAATCGTTTTCTTTCAATTACGTAGAAGATTTCTTGTTATCTGCTAACGCTAACCAATGTTTGGAATTTAATATACTCCTTTTTTTTATTAAAAAAAAAAGCAAGAAAACTTTGATAATCTCAATAGTATAAACTTCCATGCAGCTTTATTCCCTTATCACGTGACTTTTTGGATTCGCACATTCTTTTTCTAGATGGTTTTTTCTCTCAGTTTGGTACTTATAGGCTTACATTGTTATTTTTTCTTATACTGGAATAATTGAGTAAATATGCAAAGCTAAAACTCAATGTAACTTTCAAAATTGAGTAGTAAGAAAGAAAAAAAAAGAATACGCAGTAAGAGTCTGAAGTTTGGGTTTGTTCCATAAATTTCGTTCCAAGCTATTTACTTCGTAAAAAGAATTTTTCTAAGGTAACTTTACACAATTTCCCAAGAATAAAACTTTCTTGGTTATCATTCTATCGTTATCTCTATTTTAGAATAAAGAATTAACTGTATATATTATTTTATTTAGTAAATTAGTGAAAAAAAAAACAAGCAGATATTTCAAATATTCTCCATATTATAATTTATTTATTGAATAATAAAGTTAGGCCGTTTAAAGAAGCTTACCCGTTTTTTTTTATTTAAATCACTGGTCTCGTTATCATAATATGATTCGCCTTTTTGATAATATTATTATTATGATAAAAATGACTATAATAATTATAAACAGTTAACAGTTTATGTTATATTTTTCCATTTAAAAATTTCTTAATTAATGTATGAATTTCTTATTTTAAGATAGTACTTTCTATAATAGTATAAAACAAATGTTAGAGAACGATAATAAATGAGCGATAAGTAATCTAGGCAAAATGTACGGTCTGTTTTTCAAGTTGCATATCAACCGATATTGATTACCTACGGCTATTCAATAATAGAAGTAATACAACTAGGAATTGAGAACAGGGAAAATGGCGACTGGATATAGCATTCGAGAACAAACTTTTCAGGTATTTGTTTTTTTGCTATTTTCCTTGATTTACCTTATTAATCTAATTAAAATATGCAGTAATATTGCAAGCTTTAGATAATATAAATTTTTGAATAAATATTGTTTTTATTCAATTGAATAATCGTGGCTTATTTTTTTTAGAATGCCGTTGAAACTGTGCTGAAACCCAACGGTGTTAAAGTTGGTGGCTATCCCGAAGATATATTTATTGACTTAAAACAGGAAGAGATCGATAAATGGACCTGCAACATCTGGTTAGTTAATATGCATCTCAATGTAAAATTTAATGATTTTTATTAGGTTTATAAAAACTTTGTAGTTTTTAAGTTGTTTTTTTATTCGAGTATTCTAATAATTTGATATTTTCCTGATTCTTATTTCGTTAATTAACTATGTATCAAATAATTAAAACTATAATTAAAAATTTGTTTTGGCTATAGTTACTTAGTCGCCAAGGACATTAGGGAATGCACTAATAAGCATCTCTTTTGCCATACCTGCATTTTTGCTTGGACATTAACCTTTGGAGAAAACTCAGAAAAGTGTCCTGTTTGTAGAATTGACCAAAAGACTTATACGGAGGCATGTGCGGAAAATCAATCAGTATTAGAGAAGAGGGTCAGTTGTCCAGAAAAGGACTGTGGTTTCAGGGCTCCTCTCAAGATATTTTTGATGCATACGCATGGAAAAGAAAAATTCTCAAATGAACATATTAAAGATTTGGAAAAATTAAGACCACCAGCACCAACAAGGGGAAGAATGCTCGTTTTATCACCCCACGGATCGGGCCAGCAAAGACTATTATCTTTTCGAGAGCAAATACATAGAGGTAGATTCGTGCTCCAACAAATGATGATACTTCTACATATGGAAAATCGACTGAGGGAACGAGCTACAATGCAAGCAAATTCAAACTCTACTCAGAGAATTCGTCAAATCGATGAAGTTTTGGCGCTGAATGAACAATTAACCGAAGTGAACAACATGCTAACTGCTTTGGCAAATCTTAGTGAGAGTAGAGATGTGCTACAGCTAACAAATCCAAGTCCTCCCGTTCAATCTTCTTTTCCACCATCAATCACAAGACACTTAATTTCAATTCCAGACCTTTCTAGCAGCGGCAGTACCACCGATGAGGAAGATGATGAAACAATAGTACGTTCCGTATCATCAGTAAACAATACATCGAGCTCGTCGAACAATCCATCTCTACCTAGAATACTTAATTCTTCGATAGTATCAGGATCAACAGAAAGACGACCTCCAACTTATGAAGTGAGAGATGTGATCTCCTCCACACAGGGAGCAAATTCATCCCGTGGAGCAACTCAACAGAACAACGAATCTGAAACTCCGGCTGTTAGAAGACCTTACCCTCCCCGAGGAAGATTTAATCGTGCTAGCAGAGTAAATATGGAAAATAGTAATGCAGCTAATAATAGAAATCCAGCAACGAGTAGTTCGCCCGAACGTCGTGGTCCTGCTACTCCTGGACAATTATTAAGAGCAAGGAGGAAATCTACTCAACGTCCTAATCGACCATAGAAAAATGCTACTCAAATAATGCATTAGCATACATTCAAACCATCCTTGCAACTAATATATAAAGTACATGCAGTAAATCCAGTATATGTATATGAATTTATATATACTGTATATACAGTATATAAAATATATATACATGTATATAATTTATTCTGAACAAATATTTATAAATTTTTTGCCATTTACACAACGGTATAAAAAGTTTGAAATAGCTTAACAAAACGATTAATAAAAAATTTTTTAATAAAATAAGAGGAAAAAAATTAATGGAACATTGTTCTAAGAGTTTCAATTACACCATCTGAAGATTTACTGAAAGGAAACAATTTAGAGATTCGATTTCAAAAGGTTCGGTTTTTGCGCGAATAGAAGGAAACTATTTTATTAGAATAAAATACTCTTATCATCTTAGTTACTCATGACAAAAGAAATTCATTCTTTTAGGATTGTTTACATTACTAAAATAATACAAGCGTGTCCATCGTAGAATGAGAGCATTGAAACAGAAAATTTGCATAATTATCCCCATATCAGTTTTGAATTTTGACACCATTCCTTTCAGCTTAATTATTATTAAACATATACGCTTATACATGCACATAAACAGAAATATGAATCGCTTTCCAACATATATTTTAGATATGGAAGAAGTGAATAAGTCTTCAATTATTCTATTCTTGTTCCAAAAGCGTTTACTGTCAAAGTACACAAAAATTAGATATATTTATAGATTTGATACACAGTTAAATTATATTTTTGTGAAACACCTTTTACATAAAATATTATACTGATACATATGTCATTATTATCATTATTATTATTATTATTTTATATGCTTGTATGTATTTGTAGTATATTAATTAGATTACTTTCTGGTGAAACGTCAAGGCCGTGTAATATCTTTGGGGAAGGTTCGAATCTAACAGCTAAACTTATTTTGTTTGTAGTAGTAATCCTTTTTGAGAAGGTAAAAATATTTTAATAGTTTAATTAACAATTTAAAGGTTTCCAAATAATAAACAGGAAAATTTACTTTATTAGTCCAATAAGTCTCGCTAAATCAATACCATCGTCAAAATCTTGTTCAATATATGGCCATTTTCCAGTGATAAATTTTTTGACATCTCGAATATTTGCCATTGCATTTTGCGTGGCCATAATGGCATTGAATACATACTTTATTAACTTAATTTCTATAATATTTAAAAATTATAATAACAAACTTATATGCTCAATTATACTTGTTTGAGAATCATTATCCAGATCGACTATTCTGTACATTTCATCATTAGTAAATTCTAATATACTTTCATCGACAAGTCTGGACAGAATATTCTCTACTCTATTTAAAGACACATGTATCACAAAGTAATTAATTAGAAGAGAATTTTTAAAAACAAGCTTCTCACCTCTCTCTATGCTTTGATTGAAATTTATAAAATTTGTAAAGATAGCGTAGTATAGAAGATAAAGGGGATTTTTTCGATTCACTTTCGAAAAGAATAGCCATTGGAAGAGCATCCTGAATATTCCTTGGAGAAGAGTGTATTAACTTTGAAAAGAGCTCCGTTAAAAGTGGATCTATTTGCGAAAAAAATATATACAAATAAGTGAAAGAAACAATTACCTTCTGTGAAATAAACAAATAAAAGTAACAAATAGTAATAATAACAATTCCTTTGTTTTTAGAAATTGCCATAATTACATAAAAGTGCAGAATGATAATGGATTATTCCATATCCCTATATAAGATTGACAAGACTTGGTAGAAGTTGAAAAGAATAATAATTTAATTAATTACGCTATTATAAGAACATATTATGACTTACGCTGTCTTATTGTCGGTGGAATGTTTGACGTCAACGATACATTGGGGCAAAAATTCCAATTCGAATCTTGAAAAATGTCTTTCATTTTAATTATTTCAAATTTAAGTTCGACCTTGTTTTCTTTATTAGGCCTGCGCTCTTCTTCAGATCCAGTGTCAGATCCTTCAATCATTATCATATCGCATTCCAATTCGTGAGCGTTAGAGAGTTTATATAGTTTGCCTTCCCCCTACACAATTTGTCAAATTACTTTAAATATGCTTTTAAAAATGTTTGTTTGACAGGACAAATAGGCTAATATAATATCTTTAACAAATTTAGTCCATAATAAATAGAGGATATTTTTAATAAATATTTATAAAAGTAATATCTATCTCCTGACTTTGCTTAAAAAGAACACTAATTTTTTTAGCCTTAAAGGCATACTGGTTCTGTTTCGTTATTGCTTTCTTAATATAATAATAAAATGATATTTGTATTTAAAAAAAGGACTAGTTTTATCTTGTGTTGTTCCTTATAAGGAGCAGTTTTTAATCGATAATAGTCTGTTTGTTTACGAAATAACTTTTGTATTGGAAGAAATACTAAGAACGGAATTTTTCATTGTGTTCGAGCAACTGTCTTTGAGATATTATTTCTTTAATTTGCAATTAAAAATTTCAATAACAAAGAAACGATTGTTATAATCGATTATTTATCGTACCTGTTTGATTTTAACAACATGATTCTTCTTAATTGCTTCAGATATGCCTGATTCTAAAAGTTCAAGTTCCCTTTCGTCTACTTGTAGTGTGCTTCTTGGACTTATTTCTTTGATCAATTGATCGAAAGCCACTCGAACCTGAAAAAAAGGGGATAGCTCTAGTTTTCATTGGTTTATATTGTTACTAGTAGTAAATTTATTAATTTTCCAATCACTTTTCAGTTTACTGTAAAGTCGATAGACGGCGCTTTAGTGAATGAAAAGATAATTTATAGTAATTTCTTTGTTTGTTTTTCTACTAAAATTAAAGTTATTATGTTATTTATCTGAGATTTTAAATTACTGCTTTCTCTTCCTTCTATTACTTACAATTCCTCTTAGTCGCAAGCGTCTGAAACCTTTTAGAACCATTTGCATCCAATGTTCTATTTCAGAACAGTTTTCTTCTTTGTCACAATCTTGGCATCTATCTATGATTCTGCTTGGTTTATCCTCCTTAGTTGTTCTTAAAATACAAATATAATTTAGTTGATTTTTCGTCCAGCTTACTAGGATAAAAATAAAAGCTAATTGCACAATAAAGAAGGGATAAAAATAAATATTTATAACTTTCGATGGAAGGTTTTTAATTATCAATAAACCCTAGAGTCTTACCTAATCTCTGTATTTCTATTATTGTTACACAGGTTCATATTTAATTGTACAGAAGCTCTCTTCAAGACATGCAGACTGCTAAATGCACTTAGATTCTTCAAACAGGCCGATTCCTAAGAACTATAGAACAGAACAATTAACTTAAAGTGGTTCTTGTCCAAAAATAAACTTTTTTTTTCCAAAAAAAAATAATTAAAAAAAGTCCCCAAAAAAAAGAGCCACTTTTTAAGTTGAAACTTCCGTTTCACACTATAAGGAAAATTTAAAACCATCAGGTAAATTTTTATTAATTAATATCTTTTAAAAAAGAAAATTAATTAAATTAGCGACGATGGGGAAAATAGAGACTTTTCTCGGAAATCTTTCTTTTTTTGTAAATATTGCACTAAAATATTGAGAAAAAAGAGAAAATATGACGTAATAATGAGTGATTGGTTGACAATCAGGGAGTGAAAGGGGAGGAGTGAATACAGGGAAAAAAGAGACAATAAGTAAAACCTAAAGAAAATCCACCATGTTAAGGTAGTTGTCCGAAATTAAAGCCACTAATAAGGCAGTAAATAAAGGTTTTTGTTTGTTGAAATTAGACCGTTCTACAGCTAAAAACTTCAATATATTATACAGTACATTCTATGATAAAAAAAAAAGGAATGAAACAATGAACCATCTATTATTCTTTGAAGATAAAAGTAAATAAATATTCTTAAGCCCAATATAGTAATATTTTTCATCTGCTTTTGTCCGTTAGAAACGAACCTACCCCTATCTACTTATGAAAGAATAATACATTCACTAAAAGTAGCCTTTATACCATTAGTTTTTTATTTTTTTTTGTCTTACCTCTAAAATTAATTAAAATCAATAATATTTTAAAAGCTTGGAAATATATTATTAATATTCATTAGATATCTTGCACAGTACATATTTTAATCAAAAAATGTACTTTGTTATTACTTTAATTCATTCTTTCCCTTTATATTTATTTCAATAGAAAATATTTATAGATATACAGTATATAATATCTCATCTCTCTTTCTCTCTCCCTTTCCTTCTCCTCCTTTCTTTTTCTTTGGCGGCTTTTTATTCTATCCTTGCAAAATTTAAGTATATAGTTTATATCTTGCATTTACTAAATTGGTCTGTTGATTTTATCTTGTCCACTTTAAAGCCAATTATATCGTATGAGCTTCTATTGAATATATAATAATTATATTCTTATGTGTCTGTGATTACAACAGAAAATATTACAAGTCATAGAAGTAGCTATTAAGCGGCACAAGGACGAAAGCAAAGCCCTTTTTAGGCTTTTCCTTTATCTTATTATAAATTGTATAAAGATACGATAGTATTTTATTAACTGTCTAGTGTCTACAAAACACTGTATATATATATATATTAGTATATAATAACAATAATAAATACAGTATACACACATATCATATCACTACACAATATATTATTCTATTCATTTAAGTGTATAGGACTATTTATTATAAAAAATATGTTTTCAGTATTCTCTATATAAACGAACACTAATAGTAAATTATTTCAACTTCATTGTACTTTAATTATTATATTTTATAAGACTATTTTTCGGGTTACTTTACAAAATTAATACATTTAACACTTTACTTATTGGTTGAATATTTATATAATACTTAATGGTAATATTCCTTTTAATTAAAGGATTAAATACTACCGCTCGATTGGCCACTTCTAAATCGAATCGAGATTAATTCATTATTCAAGCCCCGTGGTCAGTCAATAAACTACATCAACGCCGCACCATGTTGCGGCCTGTTCAACAACAATCCGATATGTGCCCATGTCGAACAAAGCTACGTTGCATTCTTTGGTCTCTAATCATTCCGTAAGTGGCAACATATTTTTTAAAGATGCTTTATATTCTTATTTAATATAGAAATTTATATATCAAAGTTATTATTCATAGGAAAGAAAGATTGATAAAAAGTATTGGAGAGTATGTGTGTGTGTGCGTTTTTTTTTATCTTATGTATAAGAGAGTGAATGAATGAATGTCAGCTAGAGGGAGGGAGAGAGGGAGAGAGACAGAAGGGGGGGAAACAGCAGATCGATACAGTAAATTTTTTTTATTTATTATTGTTCGTACGGGTTCTGAAAACATCCTTAGCAACGCAGAAACAAGCTTCTCATCTACCTAATCGAATTGTCTTCCCGGGCGTAAGAAAGCATCCTTCAAATTCAATGGTTCAGACATCCTTTTCGGAGACGGTTCTACTAGAACCTCGTCAACCAACTTTCGAATCCCGCTACGATGTCGAAGAAAAACGTAAACTACGCTATAAAGAAGCTCTTGAAATACGATTAAAATTCGATGCTACCCGTTTCTCCGAAAGAACAACCGTCTATTTAGAATCAACTAGAAAACGTTTTGTTTCAACAATCGAAATTCAACGAAAGGCTGTGCCATCAAATTATTTGTGTTCGCTTTTTATGAGGCCTGAAAATCATTGTTTATCTAGTTTGAATGTAGATTATAGAACATCAGCTAGGTTTTGTTCTGGAATTTTTTTTCTACCAAAAACAGTAAGTCTTTCTAATATATATAACTTTCAAAATCGTAAGAAAAATAGCACCAAGTTAAATAGTTTTACAAACAATCATCAACATTATATAACCTTGGAATAATTCAAAATAAAATAAAAAATTCCAGGTATTTGATCTTTCAACAAAGTTCATTTGTAAACGTCCTAATTATACTATGCATTTAGCGCCATCTGTCGAATAGTATATGTTTAGTTTTATCAGATGTAAAACGGACAGTAGTTTCTAGTACTATACAATAAAAAACATGTTAATACGACGATTTTATTTGTACTTTAAAAAAGTTATTACATTGAGAAATTCTATAAAAATGATATGTTTCTTATTCAATTCGAGCAAACAGTTGCAGTAAAGTTCATATCGTAAGATTATCAAAAATTTTCAAGTATAAAAACTGAAGTGAGAATTAAACACAGAAACGCGTCATACATGTTTGAAAAATATCAACAGAAATCATAACAAGTATTAGTAGTCAGAAAGAGACAGATTGTAAAAAGAAAAGGAAAAAACGAGGTAGATAGTTAGATAAAAAAAAAAAGAGAGAGAGAAAAAGAGATCTTATAAAAAAAAAATTATAAGAAAAAAGAAGAGAAAAAGAATAAGATAATTGATTAAATGTCATTTTCGACGGATTAAATACCTGATAATGACAAGTATTGCAATAGTTGATAATTTAGAAGATAAAAATAATTCTCTTTAAGAGCTTGTGTCATTTAGCTCTGTTCCATTACGAGCCTTCTGACTATCAGAAATTGTAGTTGCTTTGTCAATTTCGTCGCTTCCTTCTTCAGGGTTATATGTATATAGGGCAATTAACATTGAGACAGCTGACAGAATATTAATAACAACTGTAACGATCGCGAAATTAGTCCTAACTTCTTTATGATCGAAAACAGCACAAGACCGATCGCCGTTACATGTTTTCCTCCAATATAAGCAAGAGTTATCTAAAATAGCGGCAAATGCAAATGGCCCTGGTATCATACCTGAAAGAAAAACATAGTATTTAAAAATTTAATCTAGTTGAAAAGATAAATATTGAGATAGATACCAAGAAGACGGCCGACGAACCAGCCAAGAGAAGTAGCTAAATGCCTCAAATTAAATGGTACGGTGCGCAACATCATCTGGATATGAGGCGTAGCCGAACAGAATCCAAGCGTGGCGTAGACGAATAGAACAACGCCTAATGCATAGACGTATTTACAAGTTGGTTGGCATTCTGAAAACGGTTTTAAGACTTCGGTAACACCTCCAGGAACACATCCACACTGGGTAAACTCATCATTCTTCAAGCTCTTCTCACAAGCTGCATGACATGGAGATATATAATAGTTCTTTTGACTATCGCAAATAGGCTCATATGATGTTAGGGAGCAGTTACAATTACTATTACAGCTATCTATAATATTCTTCTGAGATGAACGCTCAGTTATCCCTATATAATTGTGTGTATCGCATCCAAACAGCATACCAAAGGACGGAATGACCGATAAACACATAACAATACTTGTGAAAATCATTATCTTTCTACAACCCCAATTTAAACGTTCTAAAATAATCGTTCCACCAATACTTCCAACTCCACATCCAACGACAATTATACCACCAGTTAGGATTGCTGCAGTGCTTGGTTCCAAATAGGCTACAATCTCAGCAAATTTAACGGCAAACGATGCCAAACCATTTACAAGAAATGCATTACACATATCAGCAAGAATAACGAAAACATATGACTTAATTGATAAAATAGTCTTGAATTCTGACCAAATTGTTTTCATTAACTCTTTCAATTTAAGACCTCTTAATTTTTTCTGAGTATTCTTTACCTTATATTCTTCCGTATCTAAAAAAAAATAAACACTTAAATCGTTATAGACTAATTATATCTATCTATCTATTAATAGAAATAACAAGGAAATCATTAGTTTAAACGTTTAAAAAACACATCGATACGTTTTGTTTGTTTTTTTTTTTTTACTTTTAACGGAAAATTTTCTATATAGACTTTATTAATTTTAATGTATTGACTACAAATTAACACTTACTAGGCAAATAGGATGCAAAGCAATATAAAGGTATGCAGTTCAATACACAAAATATTGAACCGAAAATAAACGTTAACCACCATGCACCGTAAAATCGGGGATCATCCGATTTTAAGTCAATTCTGTAAAAATTTTTAAATAGATAATGATGCAATCAAAAATTCAATAACTAACTAATTTTATATTAAATTTAATAATTAGCAAGCTTAATTACTTTAAAAAAGATCATTGCAAAATATCTATAAATAAGATAAAAGATAAACTAACTTGTCCAAGTCAACTCTGTTAAAATCTCCATATAATTTTAAGACGGCTCCTTGAGTTACATAGCCAACGGCTGGACCAATAATTCCAATACCATAGAATAAGCCTAAAGAGGTAAAAAATTAATTTTACCCACTGACCTAAATAATTTTTACTTTAGCTAATGAAACTAACCAGTTGTAAGAGAACTTTTTCTTCTACTCATATTCTGATCAAAGTATACAAAGGTTGTAGAATACAATGGACCACTTCCAACGCCTAATAGAAATTGTCCTAAGCCTAATAAGAATAGCACTGATCCCTTCGAAACATCCTTAGAATCTTGACAACCATCGTTGTAGTCTATATTGGAAACAGATGGTTTAATATGAAAGTAAAGGATATATGTATATCTATATAGTATATAAAAATGTAGAAATCGTATTTTTATTAGTAAACTAACTGGCTGAGCATTCGAAATTCTGTTCCGATGAGAAATTGTATGTACTACTTATATAGTGCGGAATGCTAAATATAAAAGAACCAATTCCAAGTAACAGGACGCATGTTGCTGTTGAAAGAGAAAAATTAAATCTGAGTACTATAAACATAATTGAATATCCTACTGTTTCAAAAAATTGATTTATTACTAACATAATAGCCTCATTTGATGTATTCTCGACCCGATTTGGCTTAAAATAACTATGGCCAAAATACAACCAACTTGATACATTATAACTACAACACTCATCTCTTTACTACTTAAACCGAACCGCCTCTCCAAAGTTGTTATCGATCCATTTGTTAGTCCGGAAACTATTGCTCCTATAAGTAAGAAAGAAAGATAAAACAATACATTTAATTATATAAGTATTAATAGTTAATTTAATCATTTTTAATTAATAATATTGTATATAATATATCTATAAAAATACAAACAAGATGCTAAGATGCTGTGCGTTTAAATATACACTTCTTCTATATACTTATATGGCAAATTAAGTAGATTACAAACAAGTAATTAATTAGACAAACCTTGGAAGAAAGAAGCTATGCATAACCATAAACAGGAGCAAGTTGCATTGTTAAATTTTTGCAAAAAATCAGGTTCCCAACATAGATAGCCACACTTGGCTTCTTTGGACTCGCTTTCGTTATTAGTTTGACAAGGTACTGAAGATTGTTCTATTTGATTATCATCTCCTTTAAAACTTTCATTAACGTAGCCTTCCATGTTTTTCAATCAAATCTACCTGAAGGAAGTAAGCATTAAACGAATGAGAGAGATATCAGCAAGCAATCATGCTGTAAACTTCCGTTGCCCCAAAATCTCACCCTATGTATATATTACAGCCTATATTTATAAATAGTGTGTAAGGCCTAATCGCTATATTCAGTCAGTGTAGGCTAAATATTACTTTATAAATTTTCTTCAAAACATATTTGCATTTGCAAATGAAATAAACCTTTTGAACAGAGGACAAGGTTGTTTATGAAGAAATTTAAATTATTTCAATATTGCTATGCCTTATCGTTAAATATATTAAAATATACAATAAATTACCCATTAACTGTTTCTCATGTTAAAATTATTAGTATAGAATAATTTGCCCATGATAGCGTGTAAACAGGATAGTTAGCATAGACCTTGAGTTTGTTGTTATTCATTCTTTTCTAATCATTTCCACTAACATATCCGGATAATGACGAATTGAAGGGAAATGTACATATGCGTGTTTTTAATTGCATACAGATTGGAGTTGGTCTAAAAGATTAACTATTAGTCAAAGATGCGCTGAAGTTATATTCTTAATTATCAAGTGCAATCAATTGTGCACTCATTTTTTTCAAACGCATATAATCCATTTTACTAATCAAAAGAATCTCTAGAAAATTTTAACAGAATCTTTAAAAATTCTCTGCTTGTTCCATAACAAAACAAGCTTAGTGTTTTAAATAAGAAATAATAGCGCGAAATTTAGGCTACCAACGAAAATAATCCGAAGTCAATAGATCGACTCTTTTCAACATAAACGTACATGATGCAATTGAAGTACTTTCCCTTGTTATTTAAAAATATTTAGTCGACTATACCTGACCAAGAGAGGATATTTCCAAATTTTATCTTCTATAATATTACTAGTAAAAAACTACAGGTGGCATTATAAATATAAACACACCTTTTTCTGAGTATTACTCCGCTAAAGCCAAATATCAAGAATTGCATTTAAATTATAACATAAAACGTATAAAATTATTTAAATAATTGGATTAGCTCTTATTTAAATAAAAAGAAAGCAGATTTATTTGGAAAAATCAGAGAAATAATTTGAACTAGTTTCAGTGACGGAGTAACTTCCTGTCAATTGTTCTGTGTTCGCTTCCGCCATTAAATCATACCCGACACAAGTAAGAAGATTATTAAAACGGTTCATTACATTGTGTCTTCGGCATAAACGTCTAAAGAATATATATTAGTGAGATCTAAAAGAAATATCTTATGATTTTCACTTAATGTCGTCGTCAATTTGTTTACTCAAGTAAGTTTAAAAGCTATCTAACTTTTCAGAACGACCTCATATTACCAATTAATTAATGACAAACAAAACACGTGTAACCGAATGATGAGTTGATTTAAGCAAAGTAAATAAAATGGTAGCAATTCATGGTGCAGTTGACAAGTTAAATATCAAATTTCATTTGTTCTAGATAATCTCCTCAGACAATAACAGAGATGGGAAAGGTGCTCTCGAGGATCTTTGGTAATAAAGAGATGAGGATCTTGATGTTGGGGTTGGATTCTGCTGGAAAAACTAGTATCCTTTACTCGATCGCTCATTTTTGTTATTCATTTATTTCGATCCATGTGATAAAACCTTAACTTGCTAGCTATTCTTTATAGGCTGAAACTTGGGCAGAATGTTACTACTATACCTACCGTTGGCTTCAATGTGGAAACTGTAACGTTTAAGAATGTAAAATTTAATGTCTGGGTAAGATCATTGTTCATATTTCTTGTGAAAAAGTGTTAAGGTAATCCGCTTAAACCTGCTATTCTGTTAAAGACTTCTTAGCACCTTATAATAGCCTTATACTAGATTCTTTTAAAGCAGGCGAAGAATTATATTATATTTAGAATAGAAATTATTTTTAACAACCTTTAACTTTTTATACACTATCAACTTTAAAGCTATAATTTACTTTTTAAATTATGGAAATTTAACCTTTTAATAGCTTATGTCTTTATCAATCATTAACTTTGTGTAGGATGTTGGAGGACAGGAAAAGATACGACCACTTTGGCGACACTACTATACTGGGACGCAGGGCCTAATATTTGTAATAGATTGTGCAGATAGGGAAAGGATGGACGAAGCAAAACAGGAGCTACATAGAATCATAAGTGATAGGGAAATGAAAGACGTCGTTATTTTAATTTTTGCTAATAAGCAAGACACTCCAAACGGTAATCATTTGACAAAGCCTAATATCATTTCTATTAAATTATATGATAGATATTAATTCACTTCCTCCGATTTAGCAATGCTACCGCAAGAAGTAACAGAAAAAATTGGTCTTTCGCAATTAAGAAATCGAAATTGGTACGTACAGCCATCTTGTGCAAAGAGTGGCGACGGCCTGCAAGAAGGTTTGACATGGTTAACGTCGAACGCAAAAACTTGACTCTTGCTCAATGATAGATTTATTAAAATTTTACGGTTCTTTTGTTTTGTTTTTTTTCTACCGCCGTCATCTACTGTTGCGAAATTGCGATTATTTTTTTTTATTTTTTTAACCAGGAATTTTTTTTTCAGACATTTTAGACTAATGTATGCCATAGCATGTTGATCTTGTGATAAGTTCTGTAGTTGGAAATAATTTAGAAAGCTATGCAGATTAACCTAGAGCACAATATTTTTTTTTTGCCTCCTTGTAAACATGTAGAGGGCGCGGTACGAAATAATTAAAAGAAAAAAGGGGAAAATTTTTTGAAAAAAAAAAAAAAAAATTAGAGGCGCCTATAAAATTTCGCCACTGCATAATACTAGTCAAGGTATAACGAAAAAAAACCTGTAATTTGTATCGCGTTTTCCAAGTTAATACATATGAATATTTGTAACAGTTTCTTTCTGCTTCAGTATTTGAATGTGTTAAAGGATATTGTTAAAGTACGTAATTCGTAAAAACATATGTAACGCAATTCCTCATCAATCTTTCAATTTACGGATAAAACTACAAAACAGTGAAAAAAAAAGTTATGAGCATTTTGACAAAAACATCCCAAAAGTAGTTCTCTTGTAAATGAAAGATTTGGATGCCATTATATTTGACTGCAATGACGATTTTATGCCTCTAGTTTACCGAACAAGTGAATGTTTCATTGTAATTGAAATACAAAATTCAAAGTTACATTAATCTGAACTGGCGAATTGTTTAAAGAGTTTCAAAAGTTTCCTTTGAAATAGGCTGATCAATCGGAGAGATTCAATTGACCAGATCTCCCCTTTAGTAAAGGAATAGCGATTTTAATATATGACAACCTTGTCATTATGTCTCAAATTTTTTTTTTATTCTACATCTCAATCGATGTCTGACTACAACTAGAGCACAGGGAACAAGAGAGAGAGAGAGAAAAATACACCATCTCTCGTCAACAATTGGTATGAATTTTAAATTAAAATGAAAGAATTTAACACTTTCTTTATTGTTCAAAATATTCAAAATTATCCATTTATATGGCATAAAATAAAAAAAAAATATAACATAAAAATCATAAAACGTCAAGCTTTCTTATCAGTAAATGTCTGAAAAAGCAACAAAGCTCCCTATCACCGATACTATTGTACATAAATTGTAACTTGTATATATTTTCTTTTATGTTTTTTTTTGTGTTTTTTTTAACAAAGGAGAAAGCTTATTATTCAATTGATTGTCTTAGTTTGTTGCTAAATCTTAATTATTACCCTTTTAGATTTTCTTTTTTTTATTTGTTCTCAAAAGAGAAAACATAAAAATATGAAAAAGAGAAGAAGAGAAATTAGAAGAATTTTGTATAAAGTATAAAATTATTGGCAGAATTCTACAGCTATGCAAGTGTGTTGTGTTATTATAAAGATAGAAAATAGCAATGTAGGTTAATACTGTGATGAAAAAAATATCCAATAGAATAACTAATTTATCAGGAAGAAATATTCCTCTGTTTTCCTTTTACCTCTCCTCTTTTCCCTAATCGTTATTTCCCCTCCCCTCTTCCTTCTACTATCTTTGTTACGCTAGAAGAGGTTGATTTTCGTCTATAATATCGTATTGCAAGTTGGGAGTTTGAACGGTAATGTCCACACCAATTGAAACTTTACTGAATTCTTTTACATAAGTAAAAAAGTATAGTATAAACGAAAAGGCGTTGAACCATTCAGATATTGTTGAAGCCAAGTGAGAACCATAACCCTGTTTAGTTGATTTTGGTTTGTTTTTTCGTTTCAAATAAGAAAGGAAGAGAGAGAGAGAGAAAAAAAAAATAAGTATTTTAGAATGATTGTTCATTTGCTTGTATTTTATACATTAAGTTTCTAACCTTATCTGTAGAATTCCATTTCAGCTTATCGCCATTATGCTCCATATTAGCAACTACACCTGTTACAGCAGCTAAAAAAGAGCAATAAATTTTAAAGGAGAAAAAGAGCAAAAGGAAAAAAAAAGAGAGAGAGAGAGAGAGAATATAAAAAAGTAAATTTTTTAAAAATTTCTAATCGCCTAAAATATGTTAACACTAGAAAAAAGTATTCTTTCAAAATATATAACAGATCAGTTAAATATATATATCTTGCAGTTTTAAAAATAAACGATAAGATAAGATATTATAAAAGATTAAAAACAACTTACTGACGACGAAACTAATCAAGCCAACAAATGCAAAAAATAGACGAACATGGCATATCACAAGATTGTTATAATTCGGATGAAGCCTATAGGAAATGATGCTATCGATAAATTGATACACTACACCCAAACCAAAGACTAAACCAGCTCCAGTCAAATGAACCCACCTAACTGAGGTTTTCTTGGTTTCCTATAAAAGTTAACAAATATTTTCCGATTATCTTTGGTAATGTATGATACTAGAAGAAAATCAAAATTGAAAGAAGTTAAGTGGTAGCGATTTACGAGAGAGAGAGAGAGAAAGAAAGAAAGAAAAAAGCAAATAATTAACTAGATATAGTTAGAGACAGACAGAGAGAGAGAGAGAGAGAGTGTCTAACTTGAAAATTTGCAACAAGTGTCAATCCAAAACAGGAAAATATTGCTAATATAAGACCAATTATCTTAAGCTTTCTAATGCGAGTATCCTCCGGATTTGCTACCGCCTTTATTATACGATATCTTATGTATAATGTTGTAATTGCTGCAAAATATGAATATTTATAAGTGATATGAATAATATTTTTAAAAAAACTGCAATAGTTGCGAAATTTTATATGTTTTCTAGATAACCATGTTACTGGACTTGGAAAAATAAGACCTACCGCAAATTGCTGCTAAATTAATGAATTCGGAAAAAAGACAACTTTCTGGCATCTTTACTCCAGTATCACTGTAAACAGGATGCTAATTGTCATGAGTTCAGGATTAAGAAATCTCATAATGTACCTGATGTACGGGAATAATGGATAAACATCATGGTCTAAAACGCTTGTTAGATACGTAATAAATACACAGGTAATCATTAATACGCTAACAGCCATTGGAAAGATGCTCACTCCTCCTAAACACATTTTTGCGATCTGTAGTAATCAAAAATTTTCAAGTTACTGTTTGTCACATGACTATTTGCTGTACCAAATATTTTTTGATTTTCTCCTTCTCCTTTAAAATTTTTTACAAAAAATAAAATGGTTATTCATATAATAATTATTTCCACTTACGGATGACTAAACCAAGGAAACGACTCAATATTTTGATAAACTTTTTAGATTTCTCAATCGTTAGTTTATTCGTCTGCTTGATATGTATCCGGTCACGTGATAATATTCAATAATAAAGTATATTTTTCAAACGTGAAAAAGTTGCTTTTTACAAATACTATATTAATTATTATCGATCGATATATTACCTATTAAAAAAGTTAATCAGTTAATTTATAAAGATTAGTTGATAAAAAGAATTATACTGTATATACTGTTAATATCTGAATAGAGCGGGAACCATCTTCCTATTTATTTTTGTTTTTTTATATACAGCAGCTCTGGTAAGAGTTTTTAATTTCTATTTAAAACATAACAGACTTTTTGTTTTTATTCATAAAACACATAGTCTTTATTTTCTTATATAAGGCGTATAATAGAAGGAGAACGCAAGCTTACAGTTCATTTCATAATCACATACTACCTAGTGAAAATGCAGTTCTTCAATAGGAAAATAATCAAGAATGCATTAAGATAATCATTTATCAAGGATAGCCAATATACAAAAAAAAAATATCTTGCCCTTTATAATCGCTATATTATATAATTCATAAATCTAACAATCTAGAGAACATTGCTTTTAAATTAACATTTATAGTGCACAGATTTTGTTTTTAACTAATATACTATGACAAACATTCTTCTTATAGCTTCTGAAAGTTACCAAGATAAATAGAATGCAGGTTTATTTATATGTTAAAATTTAACCTTTGGTAAATATTCAAGGAATACAAGAATCTTAGCATTTGGTTTTTTCTTCTTCTTTCTCTTCTTTGCCCAATTCTGGGCATTTTTCTTTCATTAATGAATTTTCTACCTCACCTATACTTGACTCTGCCTATAAAAAAGAAAAGTAATTGATAAAAATATGAAATATTTAATTATATTTTCAAAAATTTCCAAATTACTAACCCAATCTTGAATTTCGCCTTGGGCAAAAATACAATAAAAGATTGCTCCTATAAGATAAATAGCAGCTGCTATAAAAAAGCTAACAAGCCATCTGTTAGCTAAACAGGCAACTTTCTCCTCGCAAGACAATTTAGTGCACTTTTTTTTAAAAGAATAAAAATAAAAGTAATTAATTCTTTTTCTCGCCTTAATAAAAAGAAATGAAACCAACCGCGCTTGTTAAAGCAGCCGTGACTAAAGGAGAAACGAAACCTGGAATAGTAGCCGCTGTGTTACTAATTCCTGAAATGATTAAATTAACATGTTAGAAAGTTAGAAAGTTCGCCGTACTATATATTTATTATACTTACCGAATAAAAGCCCAGCAAAACGAGGTGCAATATCGATATGATTTGTCATGACGCCCGCATATTGAAATCCACTAAAAGACGATTAAATATTTTTTTTTAATACGTAATAACTTGTTTTCTAATTAATTGATATTAAATAACAACCTAAAACCAACAGCAATAGTCAGACCGGCAACGGCAGCCAGTGGATAAGTTCCAGGAATATAAGCTGTAATTAATAGAAAAGTACCGGGAAGAATAGTTCCTGAAAAAAAGGAAATATATTAAAAAATACATATAAATCATAAAAGGTAATTACCCATTGAAGTCATTAATTTGCGAACTTTAACCGTTCTAATTCGTTTCTTTCTGAGAAAATCGGCAAATATTCCGCCAAAACTGATAAAAGCCCAAAATCCTATATAAGGTAGAGCAGAAAATAGGCCATTCTTTTTAGTGTAAATAAAGTAAAAGTTTAAAATGGAATTGATTAAAAATTAAAATAAACAGATAAACTAAAAGAGGAAAAAATTACAATAACTTACGCTTTTCATATCGAAATGCAATACGTCCTTGAAATAAGTTGGTAAGCCAGTCAAAACAAGATAGGTTCCCCAATTTGAACATGTATGAGCAACAATAATAGCCCAAACGGCTTTTGATTTAAAAATTTTTAACCATGGCACTTTATAGTTTGAGTCAGTTTTTTTCGTACCAGTACTCTCTATTATATAATCTTTTTCGATTTGTGAAATTTGCCGATGAGTTTCTGGCGAATCGGATACGAAAAATGTCCATAATAGAAACCATACTACACCGTATGCTCCAAAAGCATAAAAAATAGCTGTCCAACTATACTGACAAAGAAATCCAGAAATTGGAAAAGTTATAACGTTTCCAATTTGAGCGCCTGCGTATGTTAGACCGACTAGCTTTGTTCTTTCCAAAGGAGGAGCCCATTTCGCCCAGATGCTATGCATACATGGAAAGACAACACCCTGGATTTAAAAAAAAAAAAATCTATATAACTTTTTACAATATCGTTTAATCGCTTTGAATAAATTAGAACAGTAGTTTGTAAAAAGATTCAATAATATGTACAAACATTTCACTTCTAGTTGTACAGTGTATATATATATATATATATATATATATTCATATAATGTATGTTATTTAATTATTTGTTATGATTAATAACCTTATATATATAATATTTATAAACAGTATAACGTATCAAACGGTTATTTGACCGTTCCTTTAAAAAATTATACATTCACACGACATACTTATAATATAGGCTAAATTAAATCTATACCATTGACTTCTCAAGGACATTTAGGTCACAGTTACAGAAATTCAATGATAACTGTTTCTATATAGGAGCTAGAGAGTGTTTGTCTTTTAGGAAAACATAAAAAAGAGAAATTAAAAACATGTTCTACATTTCTTTCTGTTTTAAAGTCCTTCGTGAGAATATTATAGATAGTAGGATAACATTTTCACCTCTACCGATAACACTAATCTTAATTGACAAAATATATGCTTTAACAATGGATGAAAAAGAAGAAAAGATAACCTATATATATATATTTTATTCTCTTCGTTTCTTTTTCTTTTTTTTTGACACTCACCTGTCCCAGACCTTTAATAAATCTTAATGTAATTAAGAAATAAACCGACGCTTCCGCACCAACAGGAGTCAATAATGTTGCAATAGCTGTCATAAGCATAAATCCGCCAAATATTCTCTTTCCTCCGAATCTCTGCGCCAACCAACCACCCGGTATCTGAGTAATGGCGTAACCATAAAAGAATGAACCAAGAATATAACCTTGGGTTGTTCGATCCCAAACAAACTCTCCGTCAGAGTTTGATGTAGATGTTGAATTGATTTCGCATTCTTGTGTAGAATTTGAATCCGATAACGCTGTATTATTAACCATGCAAACTATGGCTACCGACATATTGACCCTTAAGGCGTAGAGGTTAACGAAGCCCAAGAAGCCGACAAAGGCGAGTAGTAAGCGAATGGAACACCACCATGGCACTGGAAATTTTGAAATTAATACCTATAAAGCTCAGGTAAATTTCCAAAAATCATTTCAACATATAATATATCTATTCATAATTTTTATTAATGTTTTTAAAGAAGGAAATATTGAAATTATGAATAAATCAAAACATAAATAAACAATACTACGAATATAAGCAAAAACATAAGAATTCATGTAATAAATTTCCGGCGGGAAAGTGATACTACTTATAAAGATCAATCCCTTAAAATAGGCAATGCCTTTTTTAGAGTTAATCTATATCTAAAAGCAGGATGGAGAAAACGAAGAAAGTCTCAAACTCTTATGGTCATTCATTAATTAGTACTATCTCATACTTACCCTTTGTTTTATTAGTTGATACTTCGATTTCCATGTTAAACTATTGATTACTCTGCAGAGAGCTGTAAATGTTAAAAGAGACTATAAAAGCAAATGGAAGCTGGATGTGAAAGATCTAAACAGCCATTACGACTAGAGCCCTCTGGCGGTAGGGTAGAAAATATCTTATCTTTTCTCATAGCCCGTACAGACATCTTGTAGAATGAAATAATAAGTTAAAAGCGTAAAACCTTACCTCGTTACATGAATGGCTTGAACCTCAATACCAATTGGCCATCACCAGTAATAAACTTTTTGGCTATTTCAGTCCACTTTTCTTCCAAATCTTAATAAGGAAGATATTAAAACATAAGAATAACACAAGACAATATTAGAAATTTGAATAACAAAAGGGAACATGGGGGAAAAATATCAATGAACGTTTATTTTATTCAAAACAAGAATAATTTACGAGGAGAGATTAAACAGGATAAACAAGTTATAAAGCAGCTACAAAACATTCAAATGATTTCTAGCTAAAGCAGTTGTTGTTAAAATCCTTTTAAGAAAGGGTAAATGTAAAAAATCCATAGCAATATCATACTTGTTGCATTTGTAAAGCAAGATTACTTAATTCTTCCAGTTCAGCAGCCGTGTTCTGCATTTTATGAGCAATGAGCTGCTTGTAGAAATGGGCGGCAAATAATAGAAAAATAATGATAACAGGAACGATAACGACAATAGCAGCTATAGAGGCACTTTTATTCTGTCCACTACCTGCTTCGGGTAAAAAGCGAATCCAACCTAAAATAGCCATCTCCACCAAGAAAAGGAGGATACCTGGAAGAGAGAAAAAAATTGTAAGATGAAATATATATTATGCCCTTTTTTCTCTTTCTTTTATAATTTTCTTCCCCATCCCTTCCATCCTTCTCTTTTCAAGTATAATAATTTCCACATTTTATATCAATTACATATATAAAACGTAAAAATTTAAACTTATTTATAAAAACTAATATATTTCAAGTTTATAAGGTATATATCGGATTTCATATTTGATCGATAGCGTTGTTAAATACACATTTCACATTCAATAATTCTAATAACCTTAAAAAGTTCTTTAAGTAAAAAAGAAACCAATTCAAGTTTAAAAGCGTTCGAGGCCAATCTTTGGTAATCAAACAGTAGAAAAAAAGAAAGTAGTAATTTAGGTAAACAATTATACTGTATATTCTCTGAATGAAGATTACTTTAACCGCTTTTTATATGGGAATGAGGGAAATAGTAAAGATTTTACCCTTACCTATAAATGTAGAAAGTAACCATGCTATATCAACGTATACCCGTAATCTCATATGAGGAGATTCATTAACAGCTTCCATTGAATTTAAAGACGCTACAGCCTCGATGTTCGGCAGCATGCATGTACTTATCATTAGGGCAAGAAGGTGAACACCTACAACCAGTACGGTACAAATACTAAAAACTATTAAGAGACCTTGTCCAACTTTCGCATAATCAACACTTGCTTCAACCATTACTACCTGAAGAAAAGTAATAATTAACCTTTTGTTTTTTTAAAAAAAAAAACACGAAGCATGTAAATAAAAGTAAAAACATGTTGTTATAAACTTCAACGCTATTCTTATCTTATCTCTCGTTTTAAGTAAATAAAAAATTTACCCAAATATAAAACAATATTTAATACTTAAATGTCATAAAATATCCAATAAAATTACTACTTCAAATAAGCACTTTTCATACTAACCATTGCAAAACCTGATAATAAAGCTGAAGTTCTACTTGAAGCTTTTAACTTTGCCCTTGCTAAATGCATAGTTTTCCATGCCATCCAAGTTTCAGCTTTTGAATCTTTAGGCGCTAGCCAGATGTTGTTAGACATGCTTACGTTTTTAACAGTTTCCCAATCGAAAAGGAGTTTAAACCGGAAGCGTTCAATGCAGAATATTTTTTTGTCAGTTTCCTGAGCACGTGATTAGTTACATTTTGTTGTTTTGGCGGCAAATTATGGATGTTGCGCTAATTTAATAATAAATTCTTTTTATTCATAATGCATAGAAACAAACAATTGTTAAACATCCTTAAAAGTCTTTACATTTGGAGAAAAAACTCCAAACGCAATAAAACTAGGCAGCTAATGAATATGTTAATTTGGAATGATTATTCGGGAATGATTATTAATGGCCCTGCATTTATAAAAAAAATTAACTAATTAACTTTCTAAAGCATTTTTGAACTGTTCAGTCAATAAGAATAAAGGTTTCTTCTATAGCAATCAAGGTTTTTTTCACATTTTAAGAATCTTTAGTGTTAATATCATTGCCAATTTTAGTAGTTCCTCTTTTTATTTCTCGCCTAGGCGGTATAAAAGGTCGAAGATGATAAATCAGATATTCTAACTCGTACATCTTATTTGGAGGTATATAATGAAAGGAAATCGCATAGTCACTGCAACAATCTGGTCCATCTTTCATAGGATAATAGTTATACGTTCGAAGCCAATTATCCTTAGGTACTTTTTTTGATTGTATAAAAGGACGAAAGAATGATCAGATATCTTCAAGTATTAATAGTAAAATAATTACCGGCGCCTTTGATAAGATGCAATTGTGGTTCAAATGGGTTAAATCTTTCTCTTCCAAATTCATCTCGTGAATCCATTAATTTTACATTTACGTTGGAAAGGCATTTACCTATTTCAACATCCTCTGGCCCACCATTATCTTGTCTGCATAATAAGGGATTTGGTAGAGCATCCTCAACAAACGCTTTAACAGCCTCCTTAGTGAGAACGTATCCGGCACCACCTATAGATATAAGCAATTTAGACAATAGACATTTGTTGTTTAAATACGATTGTTGATTGTTTCTAACCTGAAGTGTATCCTTGATATACAAATGGCCTAAATCGACGTCCAAAATAAATCTTACTCTGGGAATCTTTGTTCATAAGCATTTTTCTTAAATTTTCAACAATAACATAAGTGTCATCATCGGCTTTCAAGAAAAAGTCTGCATCTTCTAAATGAGTTTTATAGATGTATCGAAATGCCGCTTTTGTTTTACCCCACAAATTATTTCTACCCTCCGCAACTCCTAAATCTATGGACGGAAGATTTGGATCCTGCTCTGAACTCATAAATAATAGTTTATTACATCTTTTCCCCCACGTTGCTTTCACATGCATAGCTTTTCGTTTATGGCTTTTTGGCTCTGTTAACACCCAACATAATATTCTTACTTGTTGACTAAAATTTTGAATCAATTCTTCTTCGGCTTGCGAATGCGATTTAGCATCTTTCCAAACTTGAACTTCTTCAGGCCCCATTTGACTTGTTAACTCACCATGGGTGTGAGGACTAGTTGCAATTAATGCATGGAAATTATAATTTGTTTTTAACGAATAAAAAAAGACTAATGATAAAAAAAATCCTAAAAGTCCACCGGTTAAAAATGAAAATAGAGATCTTGTGTTTACAGCCGAATACAGCGCCATTTTTTCAACTACGTCTGGTACCCTGCTCTGGATGCCATTTAATCAAAACATTTAGATAGCATTCCTCTACCAGATTAATCAGCATAAAAAATCTCTTTTATCGCTCATCTAATACTCCACTTAAGCGAGAGCTGTAAACCTTTTACTTGGTTATAACAATTTATTAGCAGTTGGGCTTACAGGCTTCTTTTAGAATCAAATATGGATGACTACGAGAGTGTGTTGTGTGTGAAAAACGAAGTCTTTGTATACAGAATTCCTCCTAGATCGTCTAATAGAGGATATCGAGCAGCCGAGTGGGGTTTAGATAATCCAGATTGGACAGGGAGAATGCGGATAATCGCGAGAGGAAAAAAAGTATTTATAAAACTAGAAGATAAGAGTACTACTGAGCTTTTTGCTGAGTGTCCAGTTGAAGAGTATCCTGGTCCTTCAGTAGAACAAGTTCTGGACTCCAGTCGCTACTTTGTTATTCGAATCCAAGATCCATCTGGTAGAAAGGCATTTATTGGTATAGGATTTGCTGATAGAGGGGACGCTTTTGATTTAAATGTAGCTTTGCAAGATCATTTTAAATGGGCTAAAAGAGAAACAGAGTTGGAGCAGACAGGTGGGGCGTCAAATTTTGATCCTGGTCCTAAATTGGATTTAGGATTTAAAGAAGGAGAAACTATTAAGATTAATATTCAAACAAAGAAGAACCAAGAAGGAGGAAGAAAACCAAGGGGAGTAATGGGAGGTTCAACAGGAATACTTCCACCTCCACCCAGTGGAGCAAAAATAAGCGCTCCATCATCCATAAGAAATGCTAGCGCTGAGAATACCAACTCCAGTCTACTTTTAGATTTTGGCAATAATGCTTCTGCAAAGGCACCGCCAGCTTCCGATTGGACGGATTTTACGGGAGCCTCACAACAGCAACCACAGCAACAACAACAACAACAACAACCCGATCAAGGGGCTAACACTAAGAACTGGGTACAATTTTAGAGCTGGAGTGATTAGAGACACATTGATAACAATGTCGTCAGCCACTTGCAAATATCTTAGAATTTTGGTCTCCCGACTATATCCTTTACAATTTGATCAGTATTAAATTGATATAAATTGTAAATATAGACGAAAATACTGGACCATAAGCTAAATTAAAACATTAAAATATGCCATTCCATGAATGTAGTTCTGCATTAAAAGAAAAAAAACCTAAAAAAAAACAAATAAATACAAATTGTATATATTTATAAAAGAACAGTATATATGTATTTATATATATATATTAATTTATATATATACTGTATATATTTAAAAAATATTTTTCTTTCATTTAGAATTGAAATATAAAGAAGAGTTTATTGAACTGGATTTTAGCATGTCATGAGCGTAAAGCTGGAGTATCGTCTGTAAAGTCCATTTGACAGAGTCTAAAGCCTGCGAAACCTTTTGAAAATAATACTTTTAAATAATTTTAACTCAATACAATTTTCAGATCTAATTGTTACTAACTGTAGGTAAGATTTGAATAAAATATTGATCTTCAACTTCATTGTGATCAATAAAATCTTGTAATTTCTTTTTTATAAATAACTCCAATGATGGAAGTAGAGGTCGAACACCGATAACTAATAAAATATTCATTTTCACCAAAAAACCTCTAAGGAACGATCGTAATTTTAACTCTTCCATTTTATTTAGGCTGACGTCATCCTCATCGGATTGTGTATTTAGTACATGAGAGATTAATTCGTTAAGATTTTGACTCATTGTTTGAAGATATTTAAATTCGCTGGCTAGACTATTTAAAGAACGCCAGGAATCTATTAACCTTGAACGATTAAACTGTATAGAGCAGCGACTGATTAAATGATGGTACAGCTCGGAATATTGATAATTTTTAAAGCTATCTTCTATTAACGAGTCCAATCGATTCGTTACCTCTTTAGCCATCGGTACACTATAGGGTGTTTGCCTTATAAGTTCACTAACGCAACGAACCGCCTGATCGTAGAATATTTGTTCGAATTAGATAATATAAATAAACATATAGAGTAAGATAAATATTTACCTCATCATAATCAAAGAATATACTTTCATAAATGGTTAGAGAGGACGAATTTTGAAACTTGAGACTATTGTAATTTAATATAAATAGTTAATAGTAATAATAATAATAATAGGAAACAGTTACACTAACTAACCTGTTCTCATTATTAGATAAATAATACAAGTCATAATATTTCGTCACGCGAACATATCTCCAGGATATATAGATGTAAAACTATATAATAATCGTTAAGGGAATGATGGTAATTATAAGAATTATTAGTATTTTAAATTATTAAAGTCTATTACTTACAACAGTAAATACTTGACGTTTTTCGCTTACAACCCTCCTTAGCTCTGTTTGTAATGCGTAAAGTTTTCCACTAATCGAAGTTATTGACCAATGTTCACCGTCCAAGTATAAACCAATGACAATTGGTTTTGAATTTAAATTAACCAATCTATGTAAATCATCCACCACTTTTTTTTAAATTTTTATTACATTTTAGTTAGTTTGTCAATAAATTTTTTTTTTTAACAAACAATAATACTATACCTTCGTTAGCGTATAATTCACAACCTTCGATAATGCAGCGATCAGGACCAGTAATAAGAATATAATCTCTTAAATTAAAATCAGAGAGATGACCGTTGATTGCACTATGTATAATTTGGTGCGAACCAAACGTTTGGCATTTATGAACCTAATGAATAGAATGTAGATTAGGGAAATTTTATCATATTTAGACCTTTAAAGAGATATTTTACTGTATACAACCCATCCTTTTTCCGGGAATTCGTATCATAAAATTCATTTATTACACCAGATATATCATTCAATTCGGTATTACTTAGATATTGTAGAGCTGGTTTTAGACCTTAAAATAAACGACAACCTCCAAATGTACAAAAACAAACTCGCGATAAAAGAAAAGCAAAATATCTACCAAAATATCTATTGTTTGTCTTATAAATTAATTCGTAGTCGTCCGTAGGTTCAATAAGAGATTTATTTTCATCGATAATCTCTAAGATATCCTCTTCGGACATGCCAAAATGAATTGCTCTACAAACATTAGATTGTTTCGTTTCTATGATTAATTCCCTTATAAAGAAAATAAAGAGTTTACTTGTAATTAGCCTGATTGAAATGATCAAGAAAAATAACAAAAGGATTTTTCGGAAGAACTCGTTCGCTTAGTATAAAATCAGTTTGTGTCTCTGTCCAAACAATGTCTAAATGGGAGTCTATTATATACTGTTTAATTATAAAATTATATTTCTATTAATATTCCATCACTATTTAATAAATAAAAAATTGTTACTTACCCTAATTAAAACTGTTTCTTTAGCAATGTCACTATTAATACCATCCTTTTCCATGGCTGAATTGACGTCCATAGCTGTTAATTAAAGTTTCTTTTATAAATAGTTGAACTGATGCATTTCTATTTTTATTTCTTTTTTTTTACAAACTTGTACTACAATCCTTTATTAAATTCGATAATAATAAATCTTTGTGAACTGGGGAAACGGGTAGACTTAAACCACTCTGGTCATTCTTATTAAAAGCATTCTTAATGCTACTTTGTAGACCCTAAAAGTTAAGGATAGATTTTATTTTTTAGTGTTTATTATATATAATAAGAGTTAATTACGAATAATTCGTCTAAACAGCCCATTACGTCGTCAATAAATAGAAGTTGGAGAGGAAGACATTGTACGTTAATCTCCTTAAATATCTCTGCAGTCTTTAAGAGTAAAGATAATGTATTTTTAGTGCAATTTATAAGAAAGCTTATATTCTACTGTATATAATTTACATCTGCTGTTATAGGTATCCTAAGTTCTCCATTTTCAGATGTTTCGTATAAATTATTAATAATACTTAGCCATCTTTTCGCGCACGATATTTCATTCGAACATCTTTTTATCCTTATTGGTTAAATATAGTATATACAATATAATGAATATTCATTCAATAATAAACAAACCATCCTTCCTCCGATAGTAGATTCTTTAATTCTGTTGCATATTCATCAACCATACCATTTATAGCTGGCGAATTGTAATACTAACCAAACAAGAAAATGAGAAACGATGGATACTATTCCCATTTGTTAATAATAAAATATAATTGATAAATACGTACAATATCGCCATAAAAGTTAATTAATTGCCGAATAATAATGTTCTTATGCATAAGATGACCAAAGCTAACTGCTAACGATTGAAAACATTTAAAAATTTCAATAGTTATTTTTGTCATCTTTAAAGTTTCTTCATTTTCTTCTCCTCTATTACGAAAATAATTAATAATTGAGTAACAATTTTCTTTAATTTGTTTAAAAATAAACAAATAAACAAACATATAAATTAATAACCTTTTTAAAAGCATTAGAAATAGATTTGCTATATTTCTATCAAAAAACCTTACTGGATTATCGTTAGCAACTATACTTTGAAAATATGATTTAATCGGATCTGTATATTGCCATGCGTAAGGATCTATTGATGTGTCGTTTATTGCCATATCTAAATGATAAAAAGAAACTGATTATATGTTTTCTAATGATTTATCAATAAAATTTATTTTATTAATTACGATCATCAATTAATATATTAAAGTAAGCTCCTGCGCTAGTAACATCGTGGAATATACTTGTATGAATTGTTGATAAAGGAATTTGTCCAAATGTGAATAATCTATTATCTCCACTATCATCATTAGAATTTACATAAGTAAGAAAGTATTGCACCTCTCCGTGTCTAAATCTTTCATTAGCTAATCTAAAGCATAGCTTTAATTTTGAGAAGAGAATTATTTAAAAGGAATAATACATTAATTTGTATAAGTAACTTACTTCTATTGTTATTACTCTCTTTTCTTTTGTTGCTGCTATTATCATCTTTACAAAGTCATTCTATTATAATTTGTTTTTTATAAAAAACAAAAAGTCAACATTTAAAAATAATATAGAAAAAGTAATCGTTCTATCGTACCCTATCTTCTGTAACTTGACTCCAATTTAATGTCTCTATTGTCCAAATAGAAGATTTTAACTTCCGAATTGGCATTAATACGTCTATAAAGAATTGACGCAACGTTAATGAATATTTGTCAAACGTTTCTATAACATTAACAACGTACGAAGTAAAATATGTCGACTGTTTTTTAATAATACTTCCATATGATTTGCAACGCTATTTGCGAAAATGTCCAGAGCCTGTATGATTCGTTATTGTTTGTTTGTTTTTAATAGAAAATAACTAGTTTCCTCCCCCTTTGCCTTTCCGAATTACCTCATCTAATTCTTCACCTGTAACAATATATTCCATGCGAGTTTCAATAATTTTTGACGATTTTATAAAGCTTCCTTCAAATATTGTCGCTCCAGTTAGACAAACTATAGCCTGGTTCTAATTAATAATAAAGTTATATTGGTGAATATTACTATTGAATTTACAATTGAAAATTATCAATTAGCTTACAGAATATCCTCTAGCTTGGGTTAATGAATAGTAAGGTGGCTGAAGTTCTTTCAAAATTTTAATATATTGAACCATACTATCTGGATTAACGATGCTCATAAGAACTCTTAAACCGTATATAGGAACATCTTGTGACCCAATTCCTTTAAAAATTTTCTTACAAACAGTCTTTTCGTAATAACGATCTGCAATCAATTTGTATTAAATTAATACTACTCTAATCTTGGAAAGGAGTCAACCTCTTTCTCTATAAAATAGTATTTTCTAAAAATAACTTACTACAAATATGAAATATCTCATCTTCGTGATATTTTTTCAGCCTATGTCTATAAAGTTCAAAAAGAAAAAGGTAACATTTTATTACATTAAAACTGTATATTGTATACTTTTCAGCCGCTTTTCTCATCTCTCTTGTCAAGAATGGATAAGGATTTTTTGGCAGATTATCTGCAGAGAGTAATTTATGGCACATGGAATCAAATTCTTTCTCCACATCATTATCCCTGACATATTCACCCAAAATCTATGAGGTGAAAATAAAATTTACTACCCTTTCCTAAAATTACCGCATCTGAATAATTAGATACTTGTAATAGATAGTTTGGTCCTTTTAAATGATCCTCTGGTTCGTAGCGCACTCGATCATTCTTTGATGAAGTAGAGCTTGAAGTCTGTTAAATTTTACTTTAATGTGTTAAAAACTAAAGATACATCTGTGAAAAAATACATTTTGATTTCTAGAGTTTTCTCTAGAATCTCTGGCGCTGGGTTCAGGAGTTGTCATTTAATGGAACGTTATCTTTATATTATTATTATTATTCTCGTATCCAAGAAGACTTTTTCAAGTAAAACATTTATAATATTACCAGTTTTCATTCGCCTTTTGAACTTGACCCTTCCCACAATACCTTTTATATTTTGTTATTCCAAAATAACGGTTTTTAAAAAATATTTTTATGGTTTTTAACTTATTTTTATAAAATATATTTTATTGCATTTAATGATTTTTTCAAAGAAGAACCGATTGCAATTCGAGATCTGCATAAAAATTAGTTAACATATGGGGGAAGAGGAGAAAAAATCTCGCGGCCGAAATTTGGTACGAATCTTTATATTCGTGAACTAATAATTTCAAATTTCTGAATCTTTTTTTTAGCGATCAACTGAAAGAATTGTATACGATGATCGTAGCGAAACGCCTTCAGAAAATGAGCGCGGCAGAGACTTCAATATGGAAGAAAAACTGAAGTCAAATTCATATAACCATAAACACATAAAAGAGTTAAAAGGACCCGATCTAAGGATATGCTACTTTCAAAAGAACGGCTTCTCTACACCAATACTAGTCAAGGACAAAACAGGCTTAGGATTAAGAGTACCCAGTAAGAATTTCACTGTAATGGACGTAAAGGCATGCGTTGGAGGCAGACGAATCTTGGACGTGATGGATGTTGAGAGCCAAAATTCTTTGCATATGTCGGTGAAAGATTGGATCGAATACTATACGAAACCTGAAAGTAGAACGAAGTTGCTCAACGTTATTTCTTTGGAATTTAGCCATACAAAATTATCTACATATGTTGAACAACCTACAGTTATAAGACAAATTGACTGGGTCGATTGTGTTTGGCCTCTTCACTTGAAAGATTCACAAAGCGAAGGTACAAATGCCTTGGACAAAATGAAATATCCAAAAGTTCAAAAATACTGTTTGATGAGTGTTAAAGGATGCTACACCGATTTTCACATAGATATGAGTGGTACATCAGTTTGGTACCATGTTCTGCATGGTTCCAAATTTTTTTGGATGATACCACCCACTTCTTCAAATTTACAAATTTACGAAAATTGGGTAATGTCTGGAAAACAAAATCGTCAATTTTTCGCTGATCTCGTTCCAGATTGCCAAAGAGTACGTTTGTCAGCTGGGTGGACGTTCTTCATTCCAACCGGTAAAATTTTTTATCTATCTTAGCAATCATAGAGAGTATAATAATAGATCTTTATCGAACTATCAGGGTGGATACACGGCGTTTATACCCCAGAAGATTCCCTTGTATTCGGAGGAAATTTCCTTCATAGCTTCAATATTCCTTTACAAATAGAGATAGCTTCTTTGGAGGATCGTACCTTAGTACAAAACAAATTCAAATTTCCATTTTTTACCGAAATGATGTGGTATTGTGCCGAAAGATATTGTAGTCTCCTATTAAATCCACCGTTACGATCGGTAACGCCCGAAAATCAGGGTACACCTGAAGAAATAAAAAAAGAAGACGGATCTACCGAAAGTGAAACTCAGACTCAAATTAAAAAAGAAACATTGAACGATTTAGATTTGAAAGAAGAAGCCAAAGAATCTCCGGACGTTAAGGAAATTAAACCGAAAGTTCCCAAGAAAATTTACATGACACCCTTCGAGATAGAAGGTCTTGATATTTTAATAAACTGGCTTGAAAATTTACCGTCCAATAAACGCCATGTACCAAGCGAAGTTCGGAACGCTCCACAATTATTAAAGAAATTAAAGGTATTGCACGTTAAAAACTAATTAATTTGTTAATCAATTAAACAACACAGGAACTTGTCGATCAACATCGAAATGATCCTCCAGAATTAGCTATAAGCGACGAACCACTTTTAGCTTGGCCGGCTCGAAAGGTAAACAAAGGAAATTTATTGATTTTTTAAATTTTTAATTAATACACTAATTAAGACGAGTTTAACCTACATATAGAGAGGTCGGGGAATGTCCAACATGTATAGTAGCTGTACTGGGAGTAGAATAATGAAAAGGTCAAAGGGCATTAATCGATTGGGTCCAAATACACCTAACGGAAGTAACGGTGTTGAATCTCAAATAGGTGATAAGGGCAAGGGAAGTCATCATCATCGTAGGGTCAGATGTAAGAAATGCGAACCGTGTACTCGTACTGATTGCGGTGAATGTCATTTCTGTAAAGATATGAGAAAGTTCGGAGGCCCTGGACGAATGAAACAGACTTGTATATCTAGACAGTGTATGGCGCCTCTACTTCCGTCAACGGCGGCCTGTTACTATTGCGATTCCGGAGAGGGGCGCGAGGCTCCGCCTTATTTGGACGATATCCAAGAAGCCAACGATTTACTCATGGAGTGTTCAATCTGCTGGAAAATATCCCATCCTCGGTGTATACATGCAAAAGACTCTAGTCTTCCAGCTGGTGGATTATGTGAAGACCTGCCAGCGTCTTGGGAATGTCCATTTTGTCAAAAGAATTCTTCAAAAATTCACAAGGAAGCGTGGACGGGAGATAATCCAGTTAGCGAAGATGGAATTGCTTCTGTACCATCCCCACCTGAAGCGGCAACTCCTTGTCCGAAAATTTTGTCCTTAAATGAATACTTAAACGCAAATCGTTTATCAGAGGTAGTAGTTAGGCCTGCACCTATAGTACCGCCACCTCTATACGTGAAACAGAAAGGAGGAGGTTACCATGTTTTTGAAAAGGAAATATGGCAGAGGATATTCGAATTCTTGGATAAAAAATCGTTAGTTAATACAATGTGTGCGTGCAAAGCATTTTGTAGATGGCTAATGGATAGGAGATATTGGTATTCTATTGATGTGTCTGGTAGGCCATTGAATACTTTCATCTTAACTGGTATTGTACGACGACAGCCTTTATCAGTTAATCTGAGCAATACGAATGTTTCAAGGGAACAATTAGAATGGCTACTTATGAGATTACCACATCTGGAACACTTGTTCATCGGTTCAAATTCGATGGCTGGCTGTTCGGCATTGGCCAAGGTTCACACTAGTCGACTAAGAACATTAGACCTTAGCTGGATGGAAGGATTACACGACGATGCTATTCGCTTACTACTTCCAACGCCGTCATTGACGGCTATCAGTCAAAAACTAAAGTTCATTTCGGGAATCTCGCTAAGCGGAACGGATATTACGGACTCTGGAGTTTATCATGTTGTGCGTCATATGCAAATTCTAGTCAAACTCGAGTTAGCCTATTGTTCACAAGTTTCCGACAATGTTCTTACGGGTATGACTGAAGCAAAACACCTTGGTCACGTTGTTCTTACTGGTTGCCATCAACTGACAAATAAAGTTCTAGAACCATTGAAGGACTTGCATAGCATTACCATTTTAGAGGTAAACCACTGCAAGAATGTTAGTTCATCTATTTGCCAAGCTGTTATGACTGATTTAAAAGGAAAAAACAAATCTATCACTATCTGTTATGGTCAAACAATGTCCTCTTATCCCAGATTAGCCGATATAGTCAATGATTTAATAGAGCTATGAAAACAGAAACCAAACATGAAATATAAACCTATTTCTCTTTTCTTTTTCTTCGCAATTAACTTAATAAACTTATTAGTTGAATAAAAACGACTTAAATAATACATTGAACAATATTTATTTAACCTTTTTTCTACGTAGTGTACATAAATCAACGTTTTGTAACTAAAGATTTTTTTATCGTAAATAATCGGCGATTATAAGCCAAGTGCTTGTTAAACATATATATGTCGGTTTAGATGTGTTTTTCGCTCTGTAAAAAGTGTTTTTTAAGCAAACATTATAAAAGACAAAAAATAGTTCCCTAAAAAAATGCCTATTTAGGTCAACATATTTTGAGTACGTTAATTTTTTTAATGCGTCTAGTATGGTAGCCATGTTTTTTTTTTTGCCAACTGAGTTCTAATAAGAAAAGCTCTAATTTTCTTAAAAAGTATGTTTTCAATATGAGACCTACCGAACTTTTCAAACAATGTTCACTTGTAAAGAAAAAGAAGTTAATTTAAGGCCTTTTTGTACAATAAAACTGTTATTTAGATCGTAACTATAGATATATAGATATATAGATATTGTATATAAATAAAAGAATCATTGTACACCTTAATATAAATTTTTGTTAACTTCTAAAAAAAGTAAAATCTAATAAAGAAGTTATGTTCTTTATATACATTTAATCCAGTGTATAAAGTGAAAAGTATTAACTCACCTTGTTTTTTATTCTTCTTTTTTTTTGGAAATTCCAAAATGGAATCTTTACGATATATAATTCCTTGCATAATTTATTATACACTATGTTACTTTATAAAAGTATAAAAGATTTATCCTCTAAGGATTGTTTTTTTGTTACAGTAATTTCTTTTTATGGAAGTATTTTTAGAAATAATACCAAACGTTCTTTTCTCTATTTTGAAATTGTATTAAATATTAATATTTCAAAATTGTGTAAATATAGGATATAATGACAAAAGTGATAATTATTTACTTATCCCTAGGTGATACTTGGGGTTATTATTATTTCATGAATATTTTCACTTTGGATAAAGTTAATTAACTTTTAATTTAAAGATGAATAGAATGGAACATTTCTTTTTCGTAACCACCAGATGTCAGTCGAAAAGAGAATGGCATGATGTAGACATACTGATATAGATGATAGTAATAGACTAATAGAATACATGATCTATAGTAAGATTTATTAATAAAATACGGATTATATTTATCGTCTAAAAATAATTTGAATAGTTAAGTCGTAAAGCTTAACAGGAGCGATTTTGTTCTCAGTTCTATTAAATCCGTTCACCTTACGATTTCTAATAAATCTATCGACTATAAAATCTCTTTTAAAAAGATATGAGGTGAACAAAGGATAGAGAATGTAGAGTAAAGAAAAGATACCCTATTATACAGAGAGAGAGAGAGAGAGAGACAGAGACAGAGAAAGAGAGAGAGATTGAATGAGTGAGTGAGTAGGAGAATAAGTAAAAAATTAAGAAAAAAAACTTGAAATTAATGCTCCCTTTTTATTGTAAGTTACAATAATTGCTATGTATCAATCTTCTGAAAAGAACTGATAATTAACCTTATAGGGAATTATCACAGAACAATATATTGCTAGAAATTCAACTTTTATTCTATGTTTGAGCTTTATAGAAAAAAAAGTATTCTATTCAGGAAGACGAAACGCAATATTTTTTCTACGAAGCCGAGAGAAAAAGTTTAATTGTAATTCTTTGGAAAAAAGAAAAAACTTGAAAGAGATCAACTTCTTTATTAAATATGAATTGATATAAAAATATTAAATATATGTTTTATTGATAAGATTTTTCTACTGAGACGTTTTACTAGACTCTAAGAGATTCTGGTAAAGAATAGACAACAGTCAAGAAGATATAATAATTATTTACTAAAGGCAAACTAAAAGACCACTTTATCCTTTGGATTGCTTAAGTGACCGTTATGATCAAAGAATATAGGAAAACATATATAGTTGCCGATTCAACATTTTCCTAGTAAACCTTGGTGGGCGTTCTGTTTGAACTTTATTCTATTTTACACTTTTCTCTCTTACAATCTTCCCCCTTCATTTACACACCCCCGTCAACGAAATCCCTCCCCCCTCCCTTATTCGCCTTCACTCTTATCATAATATTTTCGTAGTCAATATTTCTCTTGTCAGTTTTTACTCTGCGTTCCTCGCGAAACGTTCTAATCTCATGGCTTGAATAGTTACTAGTTTTATAATTAAGGATCAGTTAATCCCTGTAATAGTTTCGTTGACTAGCACTTAGAAGGAATTACCTATTTTTTTCTATATAATGCAGGACAGCTTCTTCACCGTTAAGTACGGAGGTTTGTATCATTTTTATTTAAATCATTGCGCCAATTAATTATTTAATTAATCAATTAATTAATTTTAATTAAATATGCTAATATATAAATACCTTCTTGACAGATAACAGTGAAGCTTTATTCACGAATTGTTGTAAAGGTAAATTTTTGATACACTCAATAAAACGAACTTGCAACGTGAAAGAGGAAGGTTTGTTTAATTAATATTTATTTAAACGTTCGATTATTAGGAGTGTAATTAAGGTAACACGGATATTTGTTGGAGCTTTCTTAATTTTTTTTTTTTAGATACTATCGATTTACTTAATTCTAATGGAGAATTAACAAACCTGTCATCTCAGAGTTATGCCCATGAATACGTAAATTCATTTATTACACCTCGTCAAACCTACATTCTAATGAAATGTCAAAGTAAGTGTAACACTTTATATTTTTGTGTGTTATCTATCACTTATATTTATTCAAAAAATAAAAAAAATCACATATTCAGATTCTAAATATACCTGTTTATTAAATAATATGGAAGAAATTGATATTGGATTAAAAGGTATTTAAGAAGAATCTTATTTAAAAAAATACTAATATTGTATTAGTAATATATTTATAAATTGAAAATGGATAAAACTTTAATTATTATAAGAAATTGATTGTTACTCTTAAACCAGTATTTAATACAAGATAATTTTAATGGATATACAAGTAGAACCAATCCCCTATTCTCTTCTACAAATCCTATTTTCTAATAAATACACACTCAAGCTATTTTTAAATAACTTTCTAAATAATCTATTTTAAATCCTATATTCGTTTATTTAATAACGTATTATATTCAATTGATAATATTTAAACGTACTTATTTAATATCTTAAATTTTTTACTTATTATTTATACAAAAAAAGTTGTTTTATTTTTTACATCAACATTTACTGTTTGGTTGACAAATAAATGAGTTATTTTTCGCCAGCAGAAAAGATCGTTAAGCTTGTAAATCCGGTAAAAGAGACCACTAAAACTGGATCTAAATGGGGTTCTTTTAAAACGAAAATACAAGTTGGCAGAGCTCTTGGGAGATTGGGTAAAACTAAAAAATAAATGGAAATTTTATTTTTTTTCAAAGGTTTTCTCCTTAACTTTTGTAAATTCTGTTAAAAAATGAAAAAAGAAGTTTTTTGTAAATATTTTTTTAGCATATTTTATATAGAGATGCTTACTGCGGATTTGATAATAAAATGACATTTTGAATAGCAATCAAAGTGGATTGAACGGTGGCAGCTGTAATTAGATTATTATCGATAACAACATGAAGTTTTCTACTACTGTCCTTAGTAGTAGAAGAACTTGACGAAGGTGCGTAAGAGCCACCGTTAAATACAATAAAATCTTGCGGCATTGTCAATCGGGTATCTTGAACTAAAGACGCTCGTACTAAATCGACTAAAGGAGTCTATATAGAAAAAAAATAAGTTTACCATTATCGCTAATTAAATAATTTCTTTCCTTAAAATATTAATATTTTATCATTATGCCAAAAGCTACTCACGCATGTCATACTATAACTGTTAAATATCCAGGTGTTGTTCTTCTTGGCGGGGAATAAGCCAGATACGCCGTTTGAGATAGCGCAAATCAATTCTAAATCAACTAATTTAGTCTTAAACTTCTAATTATATAATACATACTCTTTTCTCGCATAAAATCATGGAGAATCTCCGCCATATGTTCGTCATGAGCCAAATCAAAGTGAGCTCCAGGAGCGTCTGGAATTACTAAGGCACTGTATTTGTCAACTGTTTGAAAGATTTAAATATAGTTTATAATTTTCTTAATAATTGATCTATTGACCAGAAATGCTTTTCAACATAATTGGAGTGGCTTGGGGTTTAGTTTTAAAGTCCGCCAACCATTTATGAGCCTCTTCTGAAAAACCTATAAATTCTCCTAATCGTCCCTTTAAAATTTATATTGACAGTTTCAAATTTAATAATTCTATTTATCAATACTTACGTTCGGTGACGCCAAGTCGATGTTAAACGATGTATTAAGCAATGAAAAGGCTTGCATAAATGATTGTATGTTAACACCTGAGCGATATTATAATAGAAATATTAAACACACTGAAACTATTAAGAGTTGACATGTATTCATTTAATACCCTCAATGGCTGAGCTAAGAACTATCAAACAAGCTTGGCGTGACATAATGTCTTCTTAAAATATCTTTAAAAATTAAAATTAGTTTTTGGATATACAGTCGCCTTTCAGAGAAACCGCCTCTTGACCGGTGAATTTTTCTATGGCGGTAAAAACAAAATATTTAAAAAAAATTTTTTTGTTAATAAAATACAATGTTGTATTAAATCCATTTTTAATATTAATTTAATATCATTCGTTAAATCAAATTTAGTAAAGTCCATGGTGTATTTTCCATGGCTAGGATATGAAAGCGATGATGATTGGCCAATTCAGTGGCGCCATCCCAGTACCCATGCCCTAAACTAGTACTGTCCTGAAAAGAGCAAACTAAATCGTATAACTTTGAAGTAAGTTGAATGTTTTATAGTTTTAGAAGTTAATATTTCATGTGAAAATTTACTTAAGAAGTTTTATTCAATTGAATTAAAATGGGTTCTGAAGAAAAAGGTCATCAATAGAAAAGTAACTTTTAATTTAACGTTTTTTTCAAAATACGCCATGGCTGATAGTGGCATGTCGTAATGACAAGCTGCTTTTTTCCCTCCATTTCTATCCAAATTATGATATCTTTTTGATCATTTAGACTCCAAAAATACTAATATATGTTTATTTTTTCTTTATTTGCAGTAGGTGGAGTAGTAAACTTTCTAAGCGAAATGCTCCAACCAGAGAACTCTGACACGAGCTATTCAACACAAGCTCGTATTAATGAGATTGATAGATGTAGGAGCCCAACTGAAGCTACGAGCCGAAATGAACCTATTGTAGCTGAAGGAGATGGTGAGAGTGGAGTAGCTCCAACAAATAATATGACGAGCGGCGTGTTGTCTACAAATAATGGTGGGAGCGAAGTAGCTCCAGAAAATGAAGAGAGTGAAATAGTCACAAAAATTGATGAGAGTAATGTCATCCCGAATAACAGTGGTCAAGAAGTAGCTCCGAAAAATGAAAAGAACAAAGTAGTCACAATAAATGAGGAGAGTCTAAATGTACTGAATAACAACGGTCAACAAGTAGCACTGGAAAACGAAGAGAGCAAAGTTGTCACGGAAAGCAATGATATCACAATTGTCCCGAATAACAGTAAGAGCGAAGTAGCTCCGGAAAGTGAAGAGAGTGAAATAGTCATAAAAATTGATGAGAGTAATGTCATCCCGAATAACAGTGGTCAAGAAGTAGCTCCGAAAAATGAAAAGAATGAAGTAGTCACAATAAATGAGGAGAGTTTAAATGATCTGAATAACAATGGTCAAGAAGTAGCCCTGGAAAATGAAAAGAACGAAATAGTCATAATGGGTGATAAGATCACAATTGTCCTGAATAACAGTGAGAGCGGAGTAGCTTCAACTAGCAATGTGACGAGCGGCGTGTTGTCTACAAATAATGATGGGAGCGAAGTAGCTCCAGAAAATGAAGAGAGTGAAATAATCACAATAAGTGATGAGAGCTTAATTTTCCTGAATGACAGTGGTCAAGAAGATCCAGAAAATGAAGAGAGTGAAATAATCACAATAAGTGATGAGAGCTTAATTGTCCTAAGTGACAGTGATCAAGAAGTGGGTCCGGAAGATGGAGAGAGTGAAATAATCACAATAAGTGATGAGAGCTTAATTGTCCCGAATAACTATGATCAAGAAGTAGCTCCAGAAAATGAAACGAACGAAGTAGTCACAATAACTGAGGAGAGCTTAATTGTCCCGAATAACGATGAGAATGTAGTAGATCCAACAGATCATGGTGCCAGTCCATCGAATCAACAGTGTGCTAATGTAAAATATGAACCAGTTAATTTTAATGCAGTTTCATACATGAATGATACAAATGATTGTGCTTCTCCTGTTTATCATTGGTGTCTTCCTACATCCTGCCAATATCGCTCGAAATTTGAAAAGTTTGGTTCTGGGGGTAACTCGCCAATCATCTTGAATCATCAGTCAACAGGATGTAAGAACTCTGAGCAGAAAAGCAATTTCGACGGACTGAGCCATGAGTATTAAAAATATGAAATAAGACATTTCAAGTACTATTAAAGAATTTTTTTTATCAAACAGACGATTGACTGAATGTTTAGATGTATCCGCTGATGCTTTCCCTCAATCTGTATATCTGAGATTTAACGGTATACAACATTGTTTATGTTGTCGGTTAAATTCTCAGATGTTCTGTGGCTTTGAATTTGACAACGAAACACGTGAAACAGCACTCTCAACCACAATAAAAGAGGAAGACTTGCAGAGGTAAGCGATGCTTTAACCGATATAGTGGTAAAATATTCCTTTTGTTTAGTATTAAAAGATGACTTAATTTTCACAGAATGATGGGATTATCTCCTCAAAACTCTCCACAGACAAAAGTCGGATTAGACGAGGACGTATCCGCTGGTGATTGCAGTAAGTGTTCTTAATCTAATGGCTTACGTTACATTTTAAATTAAAAAAATCCAAATTATACAATTGTATTTTTTTTACTAGGTATTCATTGCGAGAGTCTGGAATTTGACATTGATACTGCTACTGCATCTGAAGCCTCAGGTTGTGATAAAAAATTCATTTCTTCTCTTAATTTAAAATTTAAAATTTTAGAATCATTTAGTCTTAACAACTCACAAGACAGTTCTGAAACTGAAGCTGCGAAAGTTGACGAGGACGAATCAGACCTAATTAAAAAGTTCAAAAATATTTAATATATTGAGATAAATATATGCAGAGAATTTTGAACAACGTATATTTTTGTAATGTTGAATTGGCGCCAAAGAGTTAAGGCCGATAGATGTCGTTATAATAATAAACTTAATTTTTAGGACACGTACACATTTAAGATAATTATTTTCTAAAATTCGAGTTAAAGTAAATTATTTAGTAATTTAATGAACAAAATTTAAAAAAAAACACAAGTCACGTGATTAGTATGGACATGTGCCCTAAACATGGCCGCAGTGTAAATATTGCCATTCGGGAAGAACTTGAAAAAAAATGCCTTTATTGTATAATTAGATGTTGATTTGAAATAAACTTTCTACTATTAAAATGAACAGATCCTCAGACACTTCTCCCTTTTATTTGCAACAGTGTGATTATGACTTTGACGAAGAAATCAGGCGAGCAACTGAGAATAGTAAAATAACCCACCGTGAGGAAGAAGAAAAACGTAATAATCAAACTTTAACCTCTAATCTTATAGACTTTAGTCCATCACCAACTCGTACTAGAGGTTATAATTTTGACTTGAGTGAAATTGGAACTAGACAACCTTTCGTTCCCTTCCCTTGCCCCAATAAAAGTCCCATACCTGCCGATAACGATAAAGAACTGATAGATTTTTTCAATGATATTGATAGTCTAAGCATAAATTGTTTTGATCCTCTTGGTGGAGACGATAGGAAACAATTGGAGAAATACGAACAAACCTATCTGCGAAAACCCTCTGAAGCGAGTTCAACAAATTCTACTTGGGTAGGAGATATTTTTGAACCCTCTTTTCTACAAGAATTAAATAGAGAACAAAGTGAAAATTCATCAAGGAAGAGTATAACAAACGAAGTAAAGGGAGGAATTACTGATGAAACTGTAAAGAGAGAAGCACTTAGAAGAGAAGAAGAACTTTTTGAGCGGTATGAACGAAAGCGTTCATTGTTGGTAAGCTAATTTACTGCTAAAATTTTGTAGATTGTCATTGTTCGGGTTTCTCAGTTCCTTGTTCAAGAAGATATACTTGAACTATAGAAGACATATTAAAGATTGTTATGTATTATATCAGAAGAACAATATCTTAGCCTTTTCAGCTTGGCCTCACATTCTATATCGTTATTATTGCAGCTCTGCCACCTAGTGGGGAGGATGTTGATACTTTGCAAAAGTATCACTACTTTTAAACCTAAATATAAAAAAAAAACTTCTAAATTCTATTCACAGAAGAAATGGTACTTGAGCATCCAGAACAAATAGTGATTAACTAGTCTATATTGTAGAAATATGAACATTTAAACTATAGACTGAATTCTATGTAGGCTCTTGTTGAACCTTTTTAAAATACCAAACAAAAAAACAAGTGTATTTCTGAATTGCTTTGTTCTGTAACGGTATTCTATAAAACTTCCAGTTAACCTTATCAGTTTTAGACTATAAATGATATAGGATTATACTGTGTTTATAACAAAAATTTTAATTTACCTATATTTTCTCATTCAAAGATAGAAGAATCGAATTTGGACTTATTGGTAGATCTTTCTGATAGAAATGTCTCATCTCAGGATATATTCAATATCATTACGAAAAGGTAGGCTTTCGTATAGAATATTCAATTCACGTAATTAATTATTATATGTTTATTTAATAAAGAATTCAACAAGAATCCCTAAGAGACGAGAATAGTAAATATGCAAGGAATGGTTTGGTTATAGGAACATATCGTAATATCAAAAGACAGCATAGAGGAATGACAATTAAGATAACAATTTATTCGGATTTTGTTGAGAATGGTCAAGTATCTTTTACTTCCGATCGTAAGATTATTTTCTTTATTTCGTTGTTTCTTTTTTTTTATGATTATCATCTATCTATTTAAGCTTATTTTTGTATTGTAGTTTGCGATTCTATTCAAGAAGTTCTAAGAACATGCTTCTCAAGGATGACAACCCAAGATATTTTAAATATTAATATCAATCGTTATTTCCTCAAAGTTGATGATAGATTTGAATTCCTGCCACCGTAACTATCTTGTTTATTATTATTATTATTATTATTATTATTATCAATTTTGTGATATTTAATTAATTTTTTTCTTTTATTTCTAATATTATTCCAGTTCTAGTGATCTGCAATTGGCTCAATTTGATTATGTACATTATTGCCTAACTTATAATCAGGATATTGTTTTTAGACTAATATGCGAGAATGAAATTCAATCCGATTTAAGGTTCAAGGTTAGTTGTTTTTAATTAAATCACTAATTAATCTCTATTTAATCGTCTTTTATTAATATAATATTTTGAAGGGAGTTGATAGAGATGCAAAAACCTATAATATAAGATCTGGCAGCATTCGTAAAACGGATATATTCAACGAAAATCTAACCTGGTAAACATATTAAATCTAAATACGTACACAATATTACAGTTAATATTTATCTAATTATCATTAATTAAATTTTTATTAGCAATGAAATAAATAACTATTTAAAAAGTTTATACGAAACTGTAAAGAAAATAAAAGAGATGACTGGCCAAGTAAAAATATCTTTATTAAATCGTTAATTCTTTAATCGCTTATCCTCTTTTTAGATGAATAGTCCCGATACTGAATTTAAAAACAAATATGGAGAACTTTTTGATCTAGTCGATAAATTTAATAAGGATATGTTTAAACAATATCCATCCATTTTGGAAAGTGTTAAATCGGGATTATTAATTGAATTGAAAAGGTATAGAATTGAATATTATGATTATATTGTATTAATCTTATGTTTATTTATATTATTTAGACTTGGACATAAATTTTTATCCGATCTCGATTTACTCGTGAAAGTAATGAAGAATTTAGTTAGTGTTTATTGTCAAATGAGATGCTTGAAATACGATTTTAAATCGAATATAAATAAGAAAGAGAACAAAAATCTTCCTTCAACTCAATTTAAATTAAAAATTCCAGTTGCTTATTTCCATTCCCTTAACGGACGTGATGGGTATTTATAATATATTTTTCTTTTTTCTTCATCCTTTCAATCTTTGTAACAGGATATTATCTTACGAACTATTTGGCCTGTGTTGTAATATTTATTATAACGGTAAAGAATTACCGGATGTTAAACGAGTAACAAAATTTTCGCCTAGAGAAGGATGCGGAGTAATTTGGGACGAAGTGTAAGTTAAAATAAACAATAGATGATATAGTGATATAGGAAATTTATATTAGAAAGAGTTGCATCATTTACAATTAGTTTATTGTTTTGCTTGATTCCATCTTTTGAAATCTAAAAATAGATTGTCTTTTATCTATTAACAGAATTAATTTCGGTGTGCCTATTAATAAACTTCCAAGAGAGGCTAGACTTCATTTTAGATTGTTAGGAAAACGACGTCAAGAGCAAAGTTTACCTTATACATTAGCTTCGGGAAATCTACAATTGTTTGATGATAAATTGTAAGCATAATGAAGAATTTATTTGTTATAGTTTTATTAGATCGTGTATCTTTTATGATTATTATTATTCTCTGATAGTAAATTAAGACAAGGTCCTGTAGTTTATGGTATGTGGCCTAAAATAAGAGATAATTATGTCACACCAACTGGTACTAGCATCTCGACATTAGAAACTTCTGATGCTAAACACTACGTTTTAGTTGAGGTAATTATTAGTATAAAAGAATTATTAAAGTTTTTATAATATTATCCTACTTTCAGTTTCATTTCGATGAATTTCAAGAGTATTGTATCTTTCCCGAATTTTTTCCCAACTCTTCACCCGATTTGTAAGGCGATTTCTTTTGCAATTGTTTACACTATATTCTGTATTTCTTTTTAAAAGTATTGCTCAACCATTCGAAAGTATACCTAATGAAACGACAAAGAGAGACATAATAAAAATTTTAGATCATACTCCAATAGTAACGTTTGTATCTTCTTGTAAACAAATATTTCCATTCATAATTATGATTTTTGTTTTCTTTTAGGTTAAGCCAAAATAACGACTATAGCATTCTATGGAAGCATAGAAATTATTTATGCACATTTCCAGCTGCATTGCCTCTTGTTCTTCATTCTTGCCCGTCTTGGTCACACGATAAACTGTCCGAATTGTACTCTATGTTACAAGTGTGGCAACCTCCATCACCCGAGCAAGCTGTACAGCTATTATTGCCGATGTAAAAAGCTTATTTTTTTCTCTTTTTTTTCTCTTTTCCAATTTTATTTTTTCTAGATTTAAGTTCTTTATTAAAAAGACAAACAAACAAACAAACAAGCAAGGGATATTGATTTATTAAAAGGTTTATAAATAAAAAACAGTTTGTTTGTCATCAAGATTCTATTAAAATAGGTATTAATAAAGAAAATATCCCCCTTTTTTTCCTTCCCTTACCAATTAAATTTTGAGTTAGAATTAATAATTAAGCTATTAATATCTATACGTGACAAACAATTATTATTTTAATAGTTGTTTTACGCAGCTTTATTTAACTTGCCATAAACATTAATCCTCTCTTTCTCCTCTATAATTTTCTCAACTATCTCTTATTATTTTTACCATTCTCTCTCTCTCTCTCTCTATCTCCATAATATCTATATTTAAATAGGGAGTGGCTGTATTTTGAGAGAAAATGAAAAAAAAAATTATTAAAAGACAAACATTTTTTTAAATAATAAGGGAATTAAAAATTTGCTTCTTATCAACAGATTTCAAGATAGTAGGGTTCGGTCATACGCAATTGAACAGTTGTCAAAGTTAACTGGTGATGAATTAAGGGTACTCTTACCCCAATTAATCCAGGCAGTGAAATTTGAAAGTTATCATCATTCGGAATTAGTTGAATTTTTATTAGCGCAATCTATACAAAGTATTCGTTTTGCTCACGATCTTTATTGGCTATTATTCCGAGATGGTCAGGATGGTGGATTTAGACCTAGATACGAATTATTATTTGGAGCTTTAATATCCATTATATCACCAGGTTTGCAGAGTGTTTTTAAAGAGCAAGAGAGATATGTGAAAATATTAGCTGGAATTGCGCACGACGTTAAAAGATGCCAAAAGGATGAGAAGAGAAAAGAATTACTTCAGAATAAATTATCTCATCAGGATAATTTTCTAATTCATCTACCATTAAACGTGGCCATGAGAGTAAATAGTTTTGTGATAAAGGATTGCGACTTTTTCCGTTCGAAGACCTTTCCCATAAAATTATGTTTTAATAACGTCGACAATCCGTCGAATAGTATTAATGTTATATTTAAAGATGGCGACGATTTAAGACAAGATACGCTGGTTATGCAATTAATCGACGTTATGGTTCAATTATGGCGAAAACGAGGATTACACTTGCCAGTGGTTACCTTCCGGTGTTTGGCAACAACTAAGAATAAAGGTAGTAAAGATGAATAAAGAGAGGAGAATGTTTTATTTCAATTAAAATTTGTCCTTATTCTCTAAACCAACAGGATTAATTGAGTATATAACTAACTCGGAAACCTTGGGAAGTATACATAAATCCTTTGGAATTGTAACAGGACCTTTCCAAGAAAATTCTATTTTGAAATGGCTTCAACTCCAAAACAATCAACAGATACATTTCGAACAGGTAAAAGAGACAAACATACAAACAAACAAACGTCTACTATTTATTAAAAAAAAAAAATAAACTCTTCCTTAAAAGGCTGTGGACAATTTTCTAAAATCATGCGCTGCCTACTGCGTTGCAATGTACGTTCTGGCGGTTGGCGATAGGCATAACGACAATATAATGATAAAGAAATCTGGCCAATTATTTCACATTGACTTTGGAAAATATCTTGGCGATACTGAAAAATTTTTAAATCAAATTAATAGGTTTGTATTAATAACAGAATAGTTTTTCTCTTTGAAATAGTCTAATCTTATTCTTATACTTTTCTATTATCTTTCGTTTAGGGATAGAGCTCCTTTTATCTTTACACAGGAGATGAAACAAGTAATTAATCGGGGTAGTGCCGATACGGAAGAATTTCAAATATTTATCGATTATTGCTGCGATGCATTTAATATTTTAAGACAAGAGCAATCATTACTTCTGAGCTTATTTGCTATGGTATAAGACTAATCTATTTGTATTATATATACTGTTATATAATAGATATTCGTTATATCTATTCATTTAGATGTCAAGGTCAGGAGTACCCAATGTTGACGATAATTCGTTACGTTTTATACATCAACAATTGAACTTTATGTTCTACGATTTAAAGAAACGAGATGCTAAAGATAGAATAAGCGATGATGCTGAAGGAGCTTTCTATTTTACTCAATTAATCAGAGTTTCGTTGGGAGATATATCCGTATCTTTAAACTTTCTCGTTCATAATTTGGCCAATTCAAGAGTTACGTCTACAAACGATAGCTATTTCTCATTTCAACCTAAGAAATACACGTAATACTATACAAATTACAGCGTATTAATCTTATCATCATGATTTTTTTTATCATACTTTAGCATGAGAGAAGAAGGAAAAATTACAAGAGTACAAGTAAATAGTATTAGAAAATTAAAGTCGGAAGATAAAAAGGAAGAGAAGCTTGTACGTATAGTTTGTTTTGCTTGTTTACATTTATCAATTAAAACGTTTCTATAGTATTTTGTTTTGGCTGTGGAAAGAGAACAACAATGCACTCCGAATTATGTATTTAGAAAACTATCCGAGATAAAGCAATTACGTAATAAATTGACAGAAAACTACTCAGATATGGAACGCTTTATTCCAGATTTTGCAGTACCGTCTATCTTGCCGTAAATATTTATTTTAGTTACAAGATTATTGTAATTTTTAATATGTTTCTTGTTTGTTTTCTCTTTGATTTAACAGAAAAAGCATTTTTGCCTCGAAAGAATCAATCTATGGAGAAAATAGAAGAAAAGTAGAGATTTTTCTAAATTTACTATTCATGGAGAAACGTTTCGTAAACGCCGCAACAGTTAGTATTTATCTATCAATCTATCTTTTTCTCCCTCCCTCTCTCTCTCTCTCTCTCTCTCTCTCTATCTCTAACTCTCTAAATCAATATGTATTTACTTAAAATAAAGGGTTAAATGGAAATGCTTTAAAGTTTAACAATTCATCTCTAAAAATAGCTGTTACGCCTGCGTTTAATCAAAAACTAGAACACTTGAAATCATCTATAAAAAAATATGTATTTTTTTCTTTCAGAGCGATATTACGCATACATTCTTCCATCCGACTCTTTTAGACGAAACTATAGCGTCCGAAACTTATCAGCAAAATGCCTCTTCCTGTATGCGTTTCTTTTTTAAATATATATTTAATTGTACCTTTTAATCTTTCCCTCTTCTTAGATCTTCATGATATAAGGCCAAAACCTGAACAGCGAGGTAGTCTTGGACAGATAAAATTCTCTGTTTACTATGAAAAGAATACGCTAAAAATTTTCATACAGCACGTTAAACTTTGCGTAAGTTTATCTCATTCTTTTTTCTTTTCTCTTCTGTTGATAATTTGTTGTTTTCTTTTCTATTTTTAGGGTAATTTCTTAGGCTCGGGACAACCTAATCCCTATGTTAAAACATATCTTCAACCTGATCCGGGAAAAAAGTCGAAGATTAAGACATTTGTCGTTCCTAATTCATTATTTCCAACGTATAATTCAATTGTAAGTAGGAGAGAGTTACGTTGTAATGAAGTTGTTTTTAATTACATACACTTGATTTAATTTAACAAATCTACATTTGCAGTTACACTACGAAAGAAGTAGAGAGTATTTAAGAACCAAAGCTCTCTGGATAGCCGTATGGAATCATACAACATCCCAACATTATTGTATAGGCGGTCATCAAATGGATTTGAATTGTGATTTGCCCAGTCATTATGTGCCCAGTCAATGGTATCCTCTTGAAGTTATGATGTACTCATAAAACATACCTAAGACAAATATCATTTATACATTCGTACCTATCTGGCTATTCCTTTTGTCATTCTGCCTGCAACAAGCCCTATATAGCAGATAGGCTGCAATCAGGAATTAAATATAGATTTTAACCTGCAAATAAGCAAGAACAACATAAAGAAACAGAAAAAAAGTGAAAATTATTTGACACACTTTTCTTCTACTTTTACATTTTTGCTAATCCTATTTTTTGCATAGTCTTGATTTAATATTCTTTTTTAAGGAATACGGTTGTATAACGTACTTTCTAGGTGCATTTGTATATATCAGCAAAATATTTTTAGACGGATATATAAGGGAAGAGAGAGCGAGAGAGAGAGGAGAAAGACAGCAAAAGGGGAAAGAGAGGCTGTTAATAGAAACATTTATATTTATTACTTAGCCTCCCACGGTCCGTCTCTCTTTCTTCTTTCTTTCTTTCATCCCTTTTTCATTTTAAATATACCTATGCACTATCTATTTTTCTTATCATGCAACAAATGATAACTTTTTATTGAAAAATGTCATAATAAAGAGAAAAGTAATGATCTTTTATCGCAGGATTATCTTTCTTCCGTGGATTGTATGAGTAATAGAAAAACATGAAATATATATGTATACTGTTATATACAGTATATATATATATATATATATATAGATATTTTTATATTAATGGGATAATAGAGCTATCGACAAAATCACGTTAAAAACGATATAGAAACAAAAGAAAAGTCTCTCGAGGACAGTCGTTAATTGGTTCCATTCGTTGTCGACTAACTCCTTATGAGATGTAGCATTCTCGTTATTGTTGCTCGCCTGTGGGTTATTTTGCAATTGAGCGCAAACTCTTAAGTACTTCCTTATATCTTCTAACGTCTTCTCCAACGAAAGGGTTGGTGATCTTGGAAGAGCTTCGTTATCAAATAAATCATCGGCATTTATCATTGTTCTACTCATTGAATTTACTCCCGAACTATCAACGGGTAGATATTGAAACTTTCTAACGCAGAAAAGAGTCCTTAGTTTACCCAAAAACAGTTTTCTACACAAATTGGGAACGCTTTCGGTCTTGAATTTTCTATCTTTAATATTCAATAGAATAATATTGATAAATAGTACAAAAAACAGAAAGAATAGGGTGAAATGATAATATAGCGCCAATGCTGGAATAGAACCAATTGAAACTGGAAGATATTGCGTAAGAGAGATAAACAGTATTAATGTTGTAATAAAAAGTAACGCTATAATAGTAAGTCTATCATTAATATGGCTTGGTATCCAGAATATTAGAGACGTCATCATTATAGTAAAGATGCAGGGAGTAACATAAACTGCTGAATGGTAGGTCGATTTCCGTTTCATAGAAACGACAAACGTTAAACCTGGATAATTTTCTCCTCCTTGGTCCGGATTAATTACAAATGGTTTAAATTCCATTATTATCCATTCACGACTTTCAATTTTGTGCGTTTGCCTCATACCTTTCGGTATAGTAAACTTTAGTTCATTAGATAAATAGTCAACAACTGTAAAATGTAGCCAACAATGTTGCGTATCGTAAGGAAATCTCCAAAATTCAAAATGACAGTCAACATTGAAGATGGCTGGATACGTCCAAGTAACATCACCGTCACTAGTAACACGTACTAAATATTTTTCAGATGCTGACGAAGCAACAAGAGATTCTGTATCCGCCCTATAAATATTTTTTAAAAAAAAAAAAAAACAAACTAAAACAAACAAACAAACAAAAAGAAGAAATTAGAATTTTGAAAACGAGGAAGAAAAAATATATAATGAAAAAATTACATAAAACCTATCAACAATCACTTGACAATATGAGTACCTATTTACTTTCGACTTTTTATAGAGTCCTTAACAATTGGTGTACAACAATGACGCTTTTAGACGCCCAAGAGACTCTATTATCATCAGGATTTCAAATTTCTAGTAAATCTTTCTCCCCTTTATATTAATTGCATTTATATTGAAATATTATACAGTATATATACTGTATATATACATATATATATTTAACGACCATATTATTGAGGTCATTAAAATATATACTGTATATTCTGCATATATCTGGTTTTTTTTCACCTATACAGCCATAGTTAGATACAACTGTATAGGTAAACGCTTGTAGACCTCCTAATCGATTTTTTAAAGCAGTATTGTGCATGATAAACTTGAGAAGAAATAGCAAACAAAATATGATGTTTAGAAGAAAGCCAAACATTTTTTAGTTGTAAAATCTTAAGGAATTAGGATCCTCTCTATTTACACAATACATATATATATATATATTAGTATATAACGTATATGTAGGTTTTGCATGATATATACATTATATATACTGTATATACACCACCTATACTCACATATATTATATATCAAGGGAAAGGTGATGATTGAGAAAGTGAGAGAGAGAGGATCAGAAAAACTTATTTAAAGAAGATGGAGGGAGATTAGGGTAAAGGAAGAGAGTGAGAGAAAAAAAATAATTACATTAGAGATTAATTAAGAAAAGACTGATGAAAAATCCCTTTATGATTATGATTACTTTTTTCTCTCTCTCTCTCTTTCTTTTCCCTCTCTTCTTCTTTTCTCTATTTTAATAAGCGTGTTTTTCAGGGAGGAGAGTGAGTGTGAAGGGGTGAAGGAAAGATAGAAAACCTAGAAATTAAGTTTAAGCAGATTTGAAGTGTCTTACATGTTTGAAAGAATAATTCTGGGTGTCCAAATATTCTGAACTTGTAGCCGAGTTGTATTCACATCTGCAAAATCCTCTTTTGACCATTTCAAGCGATCATCCTTCCATTTTAGACGTAGCCAACTATTGACCCTTAAAAGATTCTTATGTTCTACCTGTTTTGTAGGCGTTATGAAAGAGGGAAGTAATAACAAATACAATAAAAAAGAAGCAAATAGAATCTACGTACTATATGTATATGTGTTATACGAAAGTATAAAATATACAGTATATCCTCTCCCCTTATAAACGTAAATAGAAGAGAGGATAAAGGCAGGAAACGGAAAGAAAGACTAGAGAGAAACGTCTAAAGGTATATAGTTTGGTAATAGTTGTTACTTTATAAATGAATAAAAAGAGCTAGTAGTTAGTAGACTACAAGGTATAAAAGTCCTTTACATACTATATAAGCATAGCATATACAGTATATATTATACAGGTATATCGTATGAAATTCATTATTTACTAGTCAATACGTCGATAAGTCAGTTTCTTTCTAGCAGCCAAGTTTCGTATTTGCGTATTGTATAAATATAATATTTGTACTTACCAAATCCATGACCTTTGGTGATACTAAATCAATTTCCAAAACAGATGTTAATCCTTCGTTTAAAGGCCTAATTGCCGGTTGAATATTTTTAAAACGCTTATGAAGTTCTGCCTCGCTTGCACTTGATGTTAGGGCAAACAATCCGAAATTACCTATTTAAATTTGATCAAAATTTCATGCTTGTATGTATTTTATACGTAGAAATAATAATTAATAAATTATTAATGTTAATAATAATAAAATAAAATTCCCAGCTTACAAAAAATAAGGAGTTTTAGAATCATGCTGCCTAATGCTAGCGCCTGCTGGGAAAGCTGAACAGAGTTGTTATAGGCCAAACTGTAGGCCTATTCCAATATATTTATTCAAGTCTGTATTGTAAAATAATCTATTTCCAGAAAATTTATATCACATTCAATTCAACAAGAATAACAATTAATAGAAATATTACATAAAATCCATACAAAATTAGTGCGTATATTTTCCCTAATTTGAATTTCATCAATGGAACCATTATAAAAGATAGAGTGATTGAAGCTATCAAACTCCCAACCATAACTTTCTGCAGTTTTGTTACTTTGAGCTGAAAAAATTAAAATCATTTAAGAATTTATGAAAATAAGTTAAAAATGTTGTAAATAATCTTATTGATATATTTTTGTGTGTATTCAATGGGTTAGGTTATTCTTCGCTTTTTCAATATTCAATCTTCGGGGACAAAAGAATATTTCAAGATATTTCTCAGAAGAATAGTTTAATAACAATGTAAAGTCAATTTTTTAATATTTTTTACCTGTACGATAATTCAACTTGTCGTGATCATCAGTTTTATATTAAACATTGATTTTACTGTAAAACTACGCATTTACGTATGTATATAGTTATTAAATATTTGGCAATAAAATCATAAATTTTCACATTTTTTTTATTAGGAAAAGCGTTATCTACCATTTTCGTTATTCTATACCGTTTCAATATTACTAAAATAGTTGGCTTTTTGTATTTTTATAAAATATTCATAAATAATTTTTAAGGTTATGTTTCCTTTCATTTTAATAACCTTAATGTACCTAAGAAGTACAAGCGAAATGTATATAGGTAGCTAGAGTTTTGAGAACATCTTTATGAGTCATCTGCAGTAAAGTATAAAATTGCGATCCCAATATCACCTTTTGTAAGATATGGTGTTTCTTACTTTTATGAAAAGATATCAATCTATGTTTATAAAGATATAATATTGATCCCCACTCTAAAAACTATTTCAATTATTTATTGCATGCCATCTTCCAAATATCAGATTAGCGATATACAAAGCAATAAACAAATAAATTCTGTATCGCTTCTAGCTGGTTATAGAATATATTAGTATTACTCTTATAATTATAATTATGATTATGATTATTATTATTACTATTGCATTTCAGTGGAAAACGCCATTGGTCAATAATTTTCCTGCTGTCGTTCTTATGATTTTTACTTTTTATACAGTATACAATGACTATAAAGAATATTTTCTCCTATTCTGTTCTACATGCTAATATTGGGAGATGTCTGTAATTTTTTTCTATTTAAAGCGTTACATGACAGCTAGTCATCGGTGAAAATTTGTATGACTCACCGTCAGGGTTCCATGTCGTACCACTTTGATTAGAAAAGGCACACCTAGGCCTAGTAACAGATCTGAAAAGGTGAACTTTAAAGTTGTTGTCGCTTTATGATTTTAAATATCGAAATAAATAAAATATTCATACTGATTTAGGAAGAAAAAAAAAAGAGAGCTTACTAAATAAAGGGCCACCAAAGCAAGCTGATATAGCTGTTCTTGGGAAACCTTGCTTGGCCATAGCAATATCGGCTATCATGTCTCCCAGAGAGTTTCCCCAAGCCAGAAGAGTCAAGCCAAGAATTCCCGGAGATATATGTATGTAAATGCCAATTGCACTAAGAGCATTCACGACTTCATTAGCAATTGTATTAATCCATAAGATGGCCACAATAAAGGCCAGATAAGAGAAACCCTAAGAAAAGTATATATAGATTGTTAAAAAATGATAAATAGTCTAATAATGCTAATTTATGACGCGGTATTTATCTTACTTTATAATATACAGGAGGCTCTGAGAGAGTTGATGTAAAGTGCACCAAGACAGCCAACAATATTCCAATTGTTGTAAAAATTACAAACACCGGAAATCTTCCACCAAGGTAGGTTAATGCCACTTTATATATAACAAAGTAATAATAATTAATAATTCTAATTATAGAACCCTAAGGTAATGACAAACCTTCGTAATTTGCTGCAAAGATTATAAATGTTGTTCCAATAACGCATTGTAAACAGCTTAGAGGTTTATTCCAACTATCTTCCTCAACAACTGGTGTCGTTAATTTAAAAGCGAATAAGGCCGGTGACTTAACCACATCATAAATTTTCTTATATATCGGCTTCTCTTTAAACTCTTCGTAATCAATAGTTTTTAAACCGTTTATCAACAAGATTAAGAATCCCTTCTGTTCAGGATCTTTCACACTCAAAAGTGGTACGTCATCATTATTTTCGCTACGACCCTCGGCCTCTGATTGACGGACGAAGGTATCATTAAATGTAATTTGTGAGAAGGTTACTTCGTCATCTGCCGTTACCACTGAAATAGAAACATAAGAGACTAATGTAATTTAATACATCATCAACGTGAGAATATTAGCTAATAATGATGTATCATTTCTAAGATTTGTTTGAAGATCTCAAGTTTTCCATCTATACGACAATTACATTTTAGGGAAAAAAATTTTAAATTTAACTAACAAGGATCGCTTTGAATTGAGAGAGGATCTTTCTGCGTACTCTGCCATTTTTTTCGTATGGCCCTTGCCGCTATAACAACTATAACATAAAATATGTATAATCCAAGATAGCAGCAAGACCAAATAAGTGTTACTCTTCCATTCCATATCAATCCTAAAGTCATACAGGCTGCAGCAATAAAAAATATTGTATCTCTCAAAAAAGGCCTTTGCATACAGGAGAAAGGTTTCGCAAAAGCAACTGAGCCGGCAACGACCGTTGTTACAAAGACTCCAGCACCTGTTAGGGCGCAAAGAGCTAATGATATATCACCATTATGGCTACTCTTTACGGCTGATATGGATGAAAATACATCTGGGGCTCCTGAAAATAAATAATTCTCAATAATTGGCATCTTATCAATGTCAATTTATGACGTCGTATCAACGTCACTATTCGACGTTAGTATGACTGATTGATACTAATGTTCACTTACCATTTCCAAAAGCTAATAATGTTACGCCCTGTCGTAGAAAATGATTATATTCTAATGATTTAATAAACGATTAAACAATATTATCTGACTTACAGCAATGTTATCGCTGAGTTTCAAGGTTTTTGATATAATAACAAGAGACGGACAGAAACTGTTAACATATGAATAATAAAACATATTTATCTATACATAAAATTTCACTTTTTTATAAAATAAACTTTCTTTTTAATATTTATAAATTTAAAATGCATTAAAAATAATGAAAAAAAGATGAAATCATTACTTACAAATCATCCGCAACAACGGCAAGAGAAATGAAAAGAACTAGCCACCATAATATCTACGTGATTGAGATATCATCATAATTAATAATTAATTAGGAAAAAATAATAATTTTTTTTAGCTGTTACTTACAACAAGAACTAATCCTAAAAATCTTGCTGAACCATTAAAGTCACAGTAAATAAACTGAGTATAATCGATATATCCATCATTCGAGATACAAGATTGAGTATATTTTATGTATTGACAGGCTAGAGATGTATTAACACTATGAACATTACAATTATCTGAGTTCTATATGGAAAGAATTAAATTAATTAAAGTGAGAAAAGTATTGAAAAAAAAACTTACGTTCATTCGAATGATATCTCAAAGTTTCTTGGAATAAATAAAAATCGTTGAAAAAAACTGATTTAAACAATAAGGAATATTGACTAAACTCTTCTAATGGAATGTTTAAAGCACTAAGGAAAAAAGTTTGTATAACTGCTCAACTGTTATTCATCGTGACATCTTTAATGTAATCTCAATGATTTCCAACCGGTAACTGAGCCAATCAGTTATAGACGTAAAAAAAAAGGTGAAAGATTCAGAGAGAACATCTTTCTTTTACCAGTTTATTTCATATTGTCGTGTGGAACCTTCACATTGTAACAAAACATGATTGTACATTTACAAAACCGAATGTTTTCATTAAATCGACAAGTTTTTACTTTCACTAGATGTATTTTTATGACATGCAACAGAAAGGCTTCAAGGTGGATATATTCAAATACTATTTATAGTGATTTAACGATAGAGATCACTTGTGCAATACTTTTTTCAAAGTAGTTCTTTTTATTCGATAAAGGTTGGCCGAAGTTGGTCTACTAGAAGCGCCAAGGCTTCAAGAGAAATATGAAACTGGACAGGTACCATTGGCTTAATCATTAATGAAATTTATCACTTTTTGAACATTACAGCTATTCCTTCATCGGATATTTGGTTACAGAGGTGTCATTATTTTTCCTTGGGTTGGTAAAGTTTTTGACAGAGATCTTGCTACTAAAGGTGATGTAGCGTATGTAGATAATTAAAATATTTTGCAAAAATACTTATCAAAATACATTTTATTTCACTCAAAGGAGTGATCTTAGAAAGGGAAATGATTTAGCGGATAAATCGTCCGTTTCTCCTCCAAAAGACGTCAAGGGAAGAACTCATACTTATTATCAAGTTTTAATCGACACAAGAGACATGTCTCATATAGTCTGTCTATACTTTAGTATCATATTATTTGAATAAAGAAGTTCATTACAGAGAGTGGGAACTGAATCAGTTACCTTTCTAAGTAGTCAAGATAGTAGGGGAACCTTATACTCTATACCAGGATTAGATTATGTTAGTCACGAAGATATTCTGCCTTATCAGTCTACAGAGACAAGTCCAATAGAAAATCATCTATTTGAGAGATTTTTGAAGAAAACATCTCCAGAGTCACATATTTGGTCTGCAACCGATACACTAAGAGGTTAAAGTCCAAAACTTTTTTCTTCTTAAATTTTGCATTCATCAATGTTTTTGTTTTTCTTTCAAAATAGAATGGCAAAGAAAGAATCATCCCTGGTTAGAGCTGACTGATGTACATAAAGAAACTACAGAAAATATGCGAGTAACAGTTATGCCATTTTATATTGGATCCAGGGTACAAAATCTATTATAAATTTTGATATAACTTTTTTATATTACTTTAATGGATTAATTTCTGCAGGAGGTGCAACAGACATACGTATATTGGGTAAATAAGTGTTTGAATATTACTCCTTTTAATAAATTCATAAATAAAAATAATCTTTTTTTGCAGTGGAGATACTGCATTAGATTAGAAAAATTAGGAACAGGGAACGTTCAATTAAGAGAAAGACATTGGCGAATATTTTCATTATCTGGCACTTTGGAAACAGTTAGAGGTCGAGGCATTGTTGGCAAGGTGGTTTTCATCTTCCTTAATTTGAATATTTATAGATGTTTAGTCAATTTTTATTTTAGGAACCTGTATTTACGAAAACGCAACCTGCTTTCCAGTACACAAGTCACATTTCACTCCAAGCTCCCAGTGGTCATATGTGGGGGACTTTTAAAATGGAACGAGAAGACGGCTCAAGTTTTGAATGTAGAATTCCGCCGTTTTCACTTGAGAGTAAGAATGTCGATCCCCTCACAACTTCACCAAATCCACATGAATTATCATAAATTCTGATCTTTAATAAGCGAATTTAACAATTTTTGAAAATTATGAATTATCTTTTATTGTCAATCTTCTGTACATAGTATATTGAAAATAAATGTTTATATTCTACGAGCAGATTGATTAAATTATCTCGTGATGATGCCTATTCTTCTTCTTTTTGTTCCAACTCGAACAGAATATCTTTAAATAGTTTCTGTGCAAAATACGGAATTAGGAATTCATTGAAAACATGAGAGGTCAACTTACTCCTTGGTTTAATCTTTCAAATAACTTATCACCGCCTTTATCGAACATAGTTTCAAATCCCAATGCACCAACAAGGATCGCCAAAGTGAATGTAGAAGTCCTCCTCAAGGTACTTCGGTATAGAGAAGTCAAAAATTGCGACATTGTCTCAGTTTGTTACTTGTGCCTCCTTCAAAGAACGACTTTAACGGGCAGGAAGCGGAAACATGGGTTTACTTAATATAATGATAGCATTTAAAACAATCACCTTTTATTTTAAGAATACTCTTTAATATGTTTTTGTGGATAAGTGATAAATTTTCTTATACGAAAACACATTTATAACACATTTTTGCGCATGCGCAGTTGAATAAACCATTAAGCCAATATCTTCATATAAACTGCCGAATAGCAAGTAAAATATTGTTTGGCGCTAGTTCTAGCGTAAAGTATGTTCCTAAAATTAGCATGTTATATTAAAAAATAGTTTGAATACCCACAGAGCGAATATGCAGAACGGTGATCTCAAAAATTGTGATAACCACAAGATGTTCCTCAAAATACATTCAGAAAAATTTGATCAATCTGCTCTCCTTTCTATATTTGAAAAGCATCTCTCGAAGCGTATCATAAATAAATGCGACAATCTCTGTAAATCACTTAAAAGAAACGAGTAATTATATTTTAAATAAAAATTAGACGGAATTTCGATAGCAACTTCCTTAGAGGATACTTGATAGAATAATAGAAATTCCGCCATTATTTATAACATTTTTCCTTAAAAGGCATTTCATATAGAAATTTCATAATTTTAGAATGTCAAAAAATGAAGAAAAAGAAAAGGTAGCAAAATACAAAGCACTTTTGGAGAACAAAAATGCGATTAAAGGCAACGTCGTTGTAGACCCTAGCGGTCGAGTAGTGTAAGTGTGCACCATATGCAACTTTCTTCTTTCATTTCACTTAAGCGACATCAGAAACTTTTGATTAATGTATTACTTAAGAGGATTACAGGCAGGTGCTGCTCTGCAGTTGAGCAGTATGAAGCCTGTGGAACCCTCGTTAATAGAACTTTTCGTGTCTTGTTGTGTTAAAGCATTACAACAGGCGGAATATGATGTTCATTCCCCATTCAGAAAACTCTGGATTAGATTAAATAACTCATTTTCTAACAGTGCCAGAATATTTCAAAGATACGTAGACTCAAATCCTCCAGTCAACCAACTTGTATTTCAGCCTTATTTTTCATACAAACGAAAAGAGTAAGTGATCTCTATAACAGTTCTTCATTCTTATGTATTTCTTTTATTCTTCAGTAATGATAACGAAGGAAATAACTCTGATTCATCTAGAACAAGTGCTATACAAAATTTATCTGGGTAATTACAACATTTTCATTTATTCAAACATAATAAATAGGCTGTATAATTATTAGTGAGAGTCAAAGATCTGAAATATCGACTGTTACTTTGTAAGTATATCTGAACACATAGAAAACGTCTATTAAAGAAAAGCATGCTCTATATATTGTTCACAAAAACTTTTGTCTTATTTGTTTCATCATTTCTTTCCGTTCAGACTTAAATTTAATGAAACTAATTTTGATGACATTAAATAGTACTATTTTTTCCTATTATCTGCGCTTATAAATAGCAGGCACCAATTGTTTTGAGGTAATAAGATTGGATTAATCGTTGAATGGTGTATGTGTGTGCGTGTGTATGCGAACTTTAAAAAAGATTATGGTGCTGAAGAGTATGATTGGTGCATGACGAATGATTATTAGTGTTGTTTGTTTGCATGTTTTAATTCCTATACGGTGGAATCTAAACGATTGATGTAAAAGAAAATAATCAAATTAATGATAAAACGATATACTATTTTAAAACAACCAAGAATGCTTCCACCATACTCGAATTTTATGCCTGTTCTTAGAGACACTTGAACTAGCGTGTTCCTTGAAGCGATGTTCTTTTAATTGATATTTTCTTAAATTTAAAATTTTGTATTTTTAACTTTTCAAATAACTTTTCTCTTTGAAATTTTAACTATTGACTCTCATAAAGGTTTTAAGGTTTTTACGAGAGAAAATTAATTGAAGTGATTAAGAACACGCTCTTTCTTGTTTTTTTTTTTCTAATTTATCACTTTATATTTATTTTTCTATTTTTCTCCATCATCTGTCATCCTGGCTAAATACTACTACGACTTTTTTTTCTCCACTTGTAAAACAAATAAATTTCTTGAAATAATATTTCAAATATGCCTTCCAAACGGATTTTCCACAATTATTATGTATATGCACTTAAAGTTATGTATGTACCGTATCCTTACAAGTTAATTGTTCTTGCGGATTTTCGTAACTTTAGACTATACTGTCCTTTTTTTCGCGGGAATTTTCCTGATTAGGCGGTGAGATGGACGGTTTAAACTAATTTTAATTTTGAATCACGTAACTAATATATTGTTTATTCAAAATTACTTTTCGATATGGCGCACTATCAGATAAGTATAACTGTGCGTGTACGTCTTTTTGTAATTTAAAAAAAAATTTTTCTTTTTATTCAAATATTTTTTTCTCTTAGTTAATACAATGTTTGTATCATACAGAAAATCGACGGAAATCGCTCAAAAAGAATATTCAAAAAAGTTTGTTTTTTGGGTTTTGTTATCCGAACACGTATTAAAGTTCTTTTTCTTCAACTAATAGAGATAATAAACGAATGAATAATAACTCAGAAGATGTCAGAAGCTGTAATTCCTCAGTATCTGGAAGGTTAAGTCTTATTATTTAATATTTTTAAGAAATGTTTTTAATTTTTTTATCTATTTCATTAGTTCGACAAAGAGAAAGTTAAATGTTCTATCTGAAGAGATGAATAATGATCGGTTAATATTAATTTTTATTATTAGTAGTATACTCTCTTTACGAAATCTATCAATATATTTTAATTGTTATGGTTTTGGCTGGACGTCTTACAATTTATGTTGTAAGATACATTTGTTGAATAATTAAATGTTTATTATCGTTTTCTTATTTATTTTTAAACTTCAGACTGTTACTATTTTCGGTAAGTAAGTAAAGCTGCTGTTCGGTTAAAATATAAACAAAATTTGAAGACGTTACCGTTTTATACATTTTTTACGAATAAATCGATAGCCGTAGTGCATCAGCGACTAATCCGTACAAAAATTAATTACAGTAACAATTAATTGATCTTTTTTTGCTTTGCTAACAGTTTTTTGAGTGGATAGTAAAATAGATATGTTACTTATTACTAGGATATTAATACGTAAATTTATTTACAGAGATGTACCAAGTGATAACAATAGAAGTCGAAGCAGATCGCGAAGTCGTTCAAAGAAGTATAAATAATTGCATATTTTACTCTATATGAATCTATTATTATACTTTTTGACAGACGTCTTTCTAGACTTAGAAATGGGAACAAAAGTGTCAGCTGCAGCTACAGCAGATCAAGGTCTCCTTCAAGATCTTCCTACAGGTCAATTTCGAGGTCGAGGTCTAGAACATACTCTAGATCCAGATCTAGATCGAGATCTAAATCACGATCCCGATCACAATCTCGATACAGGTCAAGATCCAGATCTTATTCTAGATCTAGATCACGACGATCCGAGTCAAAAAGATCAAGACATAAATCTAAAAAGTATGAATCAAAAACAGTCTTTGAAAAAAATTAATATACTTTATCTCTCTCTGTTTCGTTAAGACGTCATAAGACATCGAAACGAAGAAAGAAGTCAAAGCATACGAGAAAAAGCTACAAGAGCTCTAAAAGTAAATCCCGATCTAGGTCACCCTCTATTAGGCGTCGGCCACATTCGCCTTCACATTTAGATAGACGTCGCATCACAAGGCGAGTATAAAGAAATGAGTATGGATTATGTTATCACTTATTTTTGACGCATGCCGTACTGTTAAAATTTTATTCTGCATTTTTTTATGTTATTTTCTTGGTATCCTGGTGCTTGTCTTTGTCGTAAAGAGGTATTATTTTGTTTAATCCTATTATTTTCAATTTTCTTTGTTAATAAGAAAAAAATGGCACAAAATTTTTGGTATACAGTTTTTTTTCCCCCTTTCATCATTTAAAATTTTTTTTTGCATGTTTGGTTAAGCACATTTGTTGTCAATAAGGTACGTTTCTTAATTGTCAATAGTCAGATATAGACATTACCTTATAAAACTTAAATATAATCGGTAAACAGCGCAAGGAAAAGGCCAGTACCTTATTATAGGCCATCATCCTCAGATAATTCGGACGAATCTCTTTACTCATGAAATGAAGTCAACGGTTTAGACTAATGCAATGAAAAATTTTTAAAGCGTCAATCAATCAGCCTCAATTCACAATTAAAAATGAAAATATTCAATATTAAATAAAATGGAAATGAAATTTGATAAAAAAAATACGTCTTTTTAATAAAATTATTTTTCGGTATCGATTGCGGTTCCGTTCATTTTTGAATTACCCATTGAATAATGAGTAGCTACGCTATTTGTTTTATTCTCGAAAGAGGAGTCGCTCTTCTTAGAGAGATTATACATAGAGTAAGCCTTATCAGTTGTGATCTCTTTTTCAACCTCCAAAAAGTACGGAAGATCCAAATTATCACTCTTGGCAGTGTAAGTCTCCAAAATGATCAGATCATCACATTTGGCTGGACAAGGGGGTTGATAAAAATCCAATTGGAAATATTGGTTACCCCATAGAAAACACCTCCTTTTCTTGTACACAGTATAGTGTGAATTATCTCTTTGAGCAATTAAAAGCTTATATTCCCTGGATGAAATTTGAACTTTTGACTCAACAATTTCAACTAAATCCGCGTTAACAACACTCTTACGAATAGTATGTGTATAAGTCCAATGTCCTGTTAATGATAATGAAAGTTGATTATCCGGTGATATTCTTTAATCTTAAATTTTTTTTACTTATTTTACTAGTAAATTTTTTGATAGATAGTATATTAGTACATATATATATATATATGTATAAAATAAAATTTAATAACATGCCGAAAAGATCTAATCTAAACCAAATCCTCTTGTAAAAATAATAATTTTCCAAGCGTAATAAAAGGTTAGTTCGCATTATGCGGCTAATTAAATTAGAATAATTTAATAACAGAGTGAAAACGCTAGAAGAATAGTTACAACAAGTATTAATTTTATAAAGGTGGGAAAAATAAATATATCAAAATAGAAATCGGTTTCTTTTTTTGCTTTGTTTTATGGCTAAACCACCTGTAGGCTTAGGTCCCTCTATAAAAGGATAGTTAATATCCTACCTGTCTCCATGTCCCATTCTTCGTTCTTCCGGTTAACTAACATACGAAATGATAAATATTTGGTCTTTTTTGCGTGTGTAATTTTAATAGGTTTAAAAACATAACTATTAGGAAATTCTACTATTAATAATATTATCTTATTATCGTCAACACCTTGAAGTTATCAATTCACTTTCTTTTTCTTAATAATCAAAATTTTACTAACCGTGTTGACCTCTGCGTCGAACTCTTGCTTGCTGCTTATTATCTAATGTTACGAGATAGTCGTGAACAACAATAAAATCTTGAAATTGTTCAAAAGCCTTTGAAGATACAAAAGTAAAATGTAAATAATGTTTGAAAACTAATATTTTAAACCTACCTCTTCTGGTGGTGTAGAACGAATAAGGAATTTTCTCTTTTTACTATTCGGACCTAAACGATCGCTAACATCAATTCCTAAACGATTGCAAACGGAATCTATCATCCTGGACAATTTGCGTTCAAAGTCTGTCGTATTATCAATGACGTCGTAATAAGGATGTCCAACCCATGCATTGGCTACTGCCTGATCTAATGCTCTTGCGAAATCTAATTCTTCCGATCGACAACCATGACCATCAATTGAATAATATTTTTCAGCTCCAAGTGCAGATGAAACCATGTGTATAACCTGATTATATCTACTATCTCTAACTTCAACTTCATTCCATTCGTTTGTTTCCTTCATTCGATCCCATTGTCCTGGTTTCATATAGGCCGTAGCATCCATGACACCACGATCACAAATTACAAGGCAATTCTGATTGCAAGTTGATGCCAATTCAAAAAATGTTTCTTCTAATTGTAACATTGTTTTCACAAGATTTTCTTGAAATTTGTAAACTAAAGAGAGAAATGCTTTTGTAAATAAAGAATATTTAAAACAAAAAGTTTAACACACTCTCTTCTTCACATAAACTCGTGAACTTAACTCCTCCGCTGTAAAGACGATTTAGTTTTAACTTATTCGTTAATTATAAATAATTTACAATATACCATAGGAGAGTATTAGCCGCTTCGGGAACCCTATACACCTTTTTTTTGAAGAGAAAGAAGGAAAATGGTGATTAAAAATATTAAAAATCCATTTTATTTTAATACAAACCTTCCAACCGATGTTCTCAAAGAATGAACATAGTCTTACTTGTCCAGTAGTCTTTCCTCCGCAGGGTCCTAAAGAATTTAATGATAAATCAATATATGTATCAATGTCATAGGTAACCAAAATATGAAATCTCATATTATCAAATATCAAAGTAAAGATGATAAGATAATAATCAAATCGATACATTTTTCTGTTTATTTGTTGTCATTGAAGTTTTGACTAAGAACAAATATTTATCAAACTAAACTGATACTTTTAATAATAAAAGATCACGTGGCCGATAAAGAAAGTCTTTTAATATATTTTCTACATAATTACGTTCTTTTAAAATCTAATGTCATTGGGAAATAAAAGTATAATAAAAAATTGATCACTTACCACCTGTTAAAACGACCTTATAGACTTTATTATTGTGTTTTCCCACTTTTTGAGACATTATTGACTATGATCTACGTACAAGCAAGGTAAGAAAGTGAGCATAGGAAAGTTGTAACTACGAAAACACTTTTTCGTATTTTTAAAAACCTGTTTAGCCATACAACTTTGGACATTTTTTTTAAAAACAAAAGTTATGATAAATTTTATATAAAGAATATGATTTTGATTTTAATTTAAATAGACGCTCTTTTTACTCTATTTTATATTTTGTAATGTAGATGGCGGCATAATATTTACTTAACGTATTCCTATATAAGTAACGCTTATAGTAGCAGCTGCGCAATATGGGGTTCCTTTATAGAATGTTAATAGTTCTATGTTCTTTTTATAGAACAAATGCGTAAACGTTAATTATACCAATCAATATATATATATATATATATATATATTATATTCAATATCATCTTCTATTCTATAAACAAAATGTTAATGATTCAAATGATCCAGTAAAGAGAGAAAAAGAGAAAATAATAAAAGATAAGAAAAAAGTTAAGGATAAATTATTATTTTTTTTCAAATGATAAACAAGTTTACGAAGATATAGTTTAAGTAAATATTTATTTAAATGAATATTGTTGTTTTGTTTTTACAATAGTAAAAAAAATTCTCATGTTCTACTTGCTTATAAAAAAAATACTTTTTATTTTTTGAGAAGAAATATAGGCCTACTGTCCAGAATAAATAAGTAAATAAATAAGAAAGAAAATTAAAACGATTGACCTTTTTTAACCGAATGATTACGTAATACATTTTTAAAGCGAAAGTTTACTAAATTAATTCAATTTAAGCATCTGGCACTAATTAAGACTGTAGAAAGATTGAAAGAAGAAAAAAGAGGGTGAGTAAGATAAAATGAGATAGATAGACTAAAAAAGGGGAAGATTGAGATAGAGAAGCGAAGAGAAAAAATTAAAGAAATTTAAAAGTGCCTCTCATTAATTTTTCACACTTTTCTTTAATAAACTTCAATAACGGAAAAGTTAATTATTCAAATCAATTTTACGTTGACAAGTTGTTTTTCTTTTGTTTTGTTTATTAAAACGAATAAATAGGGAAAAGAAAGAGAATTTGATGGAAAAGTTCATGAGTAAACATTAGAATGAAGAAAACAAATGCGCACTTCAGAGAAGAGTTTGGGTAATTAGGTAAAGTTTTTTAATTATTGAATTCTTTCCTTTTCCCGAAAGAATGCTTTAGGCTTCATTATTTTGGATTCATAGGATGCCCTGTCTTACAAAAGGGAAAATTTATTCCCTAGATACAACGTTAGCAGGGAAAGCGTTAATTATTTCTATTCTGCATTCTTGCTCACTCAATACTACCTTGGCGTTTGTAGAGGAGCAGGTAAAAAGAAGTAATATATAAGTTTTCTATTAATGAGGTATATCTTTCTAGTTTGTCAGAAAGTGTTACAGAGCAATTCATCATCTGTACACAGTTACCTAGTCAGTCAAGTTCGTTGAGTGCATAAAAATATAAACTGATAGTAAAGTGCAATTTATCTAACAAACACTTCGCATGTCTTAACAAAAGATAATTTCTGCTTGACAAACTATTATATATATATATATATATACATGTATATGCGTGTGTGTATGCATGTGTGTGTGTGTGTGTGTGTGTATGTATGTATGCGCACTTCTGTCTGTATGTACTTTAGCGTATTATAAACAGATTGTTATATAAATAATCACAAGTGCATTTTGGAGTTTTATTCTGTATTTGGGGCGAAAAAAACGTTAATCATTTCATTTTCTTTCTTTTTCTTTTCCTTCCCATCATATTTCTTCTTTTGTTAAGTAAGCTCTTTATCTTAATAATCCCTTGTACATTAGTACATCCATTGAAAATTGGAGTTGATATTCTAGCTATTCTCACTCTGGAGAATTTTAAATAGGCACGTTTTTGCCTTTGATTTAATACATATGCCTATTCTGACAGATTTTTCCATTCTTTCTCATTTATTAGAATTTATATCTAAGTTTGATACTCAGAAAGTTTCTATATATAGAACTTGTTCATTATGAGAAGGTAAGAGGAAGTTCTTAAACACGATTCAACGTGTTTAGTATGTCTCGTTATTTCAGTTCTCTAAGAGAAAGTCTCTATGAAAAAACTATATAAAAATACATTGATTATAATATTAATGTATTTAATATGACTGACTAGGAAGGTTAAGCTATTTAAACTCTCTAATTGGAGTAATTTAAAACGCTAAAACAGAGTGATGATTTCCTTCGAATGTCAGTTTGTCAGTAACTCCTAAGGTTATTCGTTTGTCTGTTTAAAAGATATATTGTTTATTTAGATATTTACAAACTAAAAGATAGGAAAGATTTAATGAATAAAATAATTAGGGAATAAGAAAGTAAATTATCATATTCTCAATGAAAAAGTGCTATCAAGCATGGGATATCTCGTTAAATATCATCATGATTTAGTAGGAAAATTTAATTTTTACCCTCATTCGGAAAATCTTTCTTATTTATTCCCCTATTCTAAATTGTTTGTCTAGGTCGGAACCGGATAATAAAAAGAAAACAATCGGGCGAAACTTAAGAAGACTTACAAAAACTTTACTGATTGCAAACAGCCGTGGGTTTGGCTTCGCTGATTGGCCGCTGACCAAATTGAGAAACTAGACTGATATCAGTCGGCGTGAGAATTTTTTAAAGAGAGAACTATGCATAGATTGCTGTTCTTCATTGCCATCGGCCTACGGATGTTGGCTTCGGCAGAATGGGAAGATTGGTCCATGTCTTCAGAAATACGTTCAAATAGGCGTTGCATCGACATACCATCAAATATGTCACTATGCAAGGATTTGAATTATACTCAAATGGTTTTACCGAATCTTTTGGATCATGAGACAGTACCCGAAGCTGTTTCCCAGTCAACTATATGGCTTCAGCTTGTCGATCAGAATTGTTTTCCCCATACAAGACTCTTCTTATGTACTCTATTCGCTCCACTCTGCTTCGATCCCTTAGTAAAACCTTGCAGAAGTTTATGTGAGGATACGAGAAGACACTGTGAACCTATAATGAAAAAGCATCGGTATTCTTGGCCAGTAATTTTGAATTGCAGCAAATTTGAGGAAAAGGATCCTTGTGTAAGGGCACCAAAAGCAGCACAAAAGACCACTCCTACAGCACGTATAGCCGTAAGACCAACCGACAGTATCATTAAAAAGATGAACAGTAATTATTTTAGTTATTTCCTTTTTCGACCTTAATAATGAAATTCTTCTTTCACTTTCCAGATAATTCTTGCGGTGAATGCGAAATGAATACAAAGCCTTCAAATAGGATGATATGTTCCTCAAAATTCCGTAAGCCTTTCACTTAAAAGAGTAACAAAGTAGATACGGCGTAATAAAACTTATTAGAATTCGAATCATGATTTAAAAAAAGATTGTTTGTCATAAAAAATAATTCAATTTTACTGGAAAGAATGTCTTTATAAATTTGCAAACTTTTTTTTCTGCAGTGATAAGGACCAGATTGATTAATATTAATTCGAGGAAGGTCTTACAAACATCCTCGAAAAGGAAGTTAATTCAAGGATCGAAAAAACTAAGAAAGAAGCGTCTAATCTTAAGGTGTAATGGTTGTAGAGGTATAAAAAGCGGTTTGAAATTGCTGTTTGGATCTAGAAAAAAGGGAAGCTATATCGTTGAACATATTATTAGTTATGATAAGAAGAAAAAGTGGATGAAGTCATTGAATAGAAAAACACTTAAATCTAAATGTAAAAAGTACAGAAAATCACGCGACAAAGGAAGAAAAGCGAAAAAACCTAGACTTTGATAGTTCGCCAAAGAAAGATAACCCTACGAAAAAGGGGTGAGGGGGCGAAGGGGAAGGGGTGGTGTCGGGAACTTTAATTCTGTTTAATTTTTTTTTATCTTAGAAAATAGCTTTTTTTAATGTTTATATCAGCTTTTGGCTTGCCGTTCAATTGACTAAAGTGAGAGAGAGCGAGTGAGAGAATGAGTGGGGAAGAGAGAGATATGGGTAAGAGAAAGAGTAAGAATGAGATGCGGAAACAGAGAGAGAGAGAGAGAGAGAGAGAGAGAGAGAGAGAGAGAGAGAGAGAGAGAGAGAGAGAGAGAGAGAGAGAGAGAGAGAGACAGACAGAGAGAGACAGAGAGAGACAGAGAGAGACAGAGACAGAGACACAGAGGGTAAACAGTGAGAAACAGGATAAAATATTCCACGTGACGCAACGGTACTCCTCAGAACTTCTCAATCTCTTTTACTATTTTGTCGTTTTTTTAAAAGAGAGAAGAAAAAGAAAAGATAAGTGAATCATTTTGTATACTTAAAAAAACCCAGCAATTTGATGAAGATTACATGATCTTTTCTCTTTCTGCAATTAAACTGTTTAGTAAGTAGAATATATTCATATCTGTAAATGTGTATGTCTTTTTGTTATATAAGCGAATCTATGACTTATATATATATACATTATTTATGTATATATTTATCGTATATTAATTAATAAACAAATATGATATTTATAGAATTATAAGAAAATAGTAATTCAATAATTAGAAGGACTTATTAATTTAGAAAATATATACATTGCCAATACTTTTATTCAACAAGATTTAACGCTCTAAAAGGAAAAGTATCTATTTTATGGATTTTTTACCAGCATATACATTATAAATCTCTAGGAATTTTAAAGAAAAAATATAACTTTAAACGATAGTCATTTTCTCATGAATTCCCAATGAATAATGGATAAATGGACATTTCTTTCTCTTTCTTTTTACATATTTTTCTTTTTCGTCTTATATACTGGAAAAGCGGCTAATCTTGATGGTTTGTTTATTATCATAAATAAATAGAAATATTCAATTGGTATATTTATCTTATAGTTTATAAATTATTGGAAAAATTTGGCAAGAAATACGCAATTTCGAGTAATTCTTTAACATGGTCTACCGCTCTAAATACCTGTAGAAGTAATGGTTATACCGGTCTATTTAGAATAGATAGCACTGAAGAAGGTATGTAGAGCTGCTTCTTAATAGGTTAATTATTTTTAAAGTTGAGGTATTTTTATTCTAGCTGAATTTATTCGCCAAGAGATTTTTAGCCAATCAACCAAAACGTATTGGATAAGCGGTAATGATAAAAAAATGTCAAATTCCTTTAGATGGGAGGATGAGACACCTATTCCATTCACTTTTCTGGATTGGTTTCCAGGGCATTGTTCAAGCGTTAAATGTAAATAATTTTCAATTAAATGCTTGTGAAATATAATAAGATAATTAATCATTCAAGACTGCGATGTCCAACCAAACGATAACGGAGATTGCATTGAGTACATGAGGGAATTTTATTCATATAATAAGCTTAAATTGGCCAATAGACACTACTGGAATGATGGTAATTGTTATAAATCGACTCAATTCATATGTGAAGGAATAGGTTTGTACTTGAAAACGTTGACAGGCAAAATTACAATTTGTACTTTTTTCGCACGTGTTAAATAGCTCCAACTACATCTCCAACTGTTGAAACTACAACCGTGCCTTTGACCACTGAATCTACAACTACTGAACCGACGACAACTGAACTTATAAGTAGCAAACATACAACAAGTGAATCTACTATTCCTGAATCTACAACTAGTTTGGGCCAAACTACAACTAGTATGGGGCAAACAACAACTGATAAGGAGAAGGAAACCAGTCTGAAGATTGAAAGTAGTTCTCAAACCCTGGAAAGTTCACGTTTCCATGTATCGACAAGATTATCGACTTTTCCTTCAACGAGGCGAAAACAAGCTATTTCGACTTCTCAAGGACTTTTGTCCTCAATTATTACATCTTCTTGGAAGAGAAGTTCAACTATAGAATCGGCAACAGAGCAAAATATTTCTATGACTCATGGTATTTTAACAACACAAGCTCAAAAAACTGAAAATCTAACCTCAATAGAATCTGATACAAAATTCCCAACAACTATAAAACAAACAACAGTGTCGAATGGAAGAACCTTTAGGAAAAGTTCAATTAGTCAATTATATAAAAAGGAGACGATGAGTGAGTTGACGTCAACAGAATCTTCAAGAATCTCAGATTTAACAACTGATGCAAAAATCAATAGGAAAAACTTTCTTTGGAAAATGCCAACGGAAGAAGCACCTAAAGGTATGTTTAAGAGGAAAAAGATTATTCATTGATTAAATATGCTTTTCCTACTCTTAGAAAGAAAACCCTGGCATATCTTTACGGATGTAAAATCTCTGATATTTGGTTTTGGTTGGCCTTGGGTACTGCTATTTCTACCCTGTTTCCTATTAGCAACTTGTTCCGATATCGATACCGAAATACGTAGAAGGTTAAAATTACGACGAGCATCCAGAAGATTGTCTGACTGTTATGAAACTGTTTAGAGAAGAAAAATCTATATCTATTATCCAGAGAATAAAAGGATTCTTCTTTTTCAAGCTTATTTCGGTCAATGACACTGATAAGATGAATGTTGATAATGCTTTATGATTAAATTATTTTTGAGGGAAATTACAAATTTATAGACTTTATTATACAACTTAAAGATCAATGCCATTGCCTGTCTCCTTGTATCTAAATGCGTTACCATTTATTAATATAAATTAGTCTTTATCTCAACATTTAAAATGTAATTGTGACATAAAAGATAAAAAAGTCATCAAGTGGTCTTTTGAAAACAATAGAAGTTTTATTCAATAATATTAACATATATATATATTCTGAACATTTCTAATTTATCTCTATATGCAACATAAAAAGAACTATTCACTTATTTTATCTGTTTCTTTATAATTCATATATATATATATATAGATTATATGTATATGTGATATAATCATAAAGAAAAGAATTATGAAAACACTTTGCAACTATAAACCAAAGAAATATGAAAAGAATACAATTTTTTTATTTTCTTTGAGCATATTCCACAAAAAGAACAAAATATGTTCGAACAAAATTATTCTTTCTTCTATTTAATTTTAATTTTAAAGTAGTAATGCTACTTTAATTATTATTGATTAAAATGGGATTAAAGATTACTTTTTAGCATAAACAAAACACTTTGTAGAATAAGTTTGTTTTCTATAAATTCCAACAAAATAGAACTTGACCTATTTGCAATCTCTTTCGCAATATTCGGCATGTACAGATCCGTTGTACTAGCTCTCTTATTTTTCACATGTCAAAGTGATATTTTTTGACTCTTGTTGCACAATATGTTGCGAGAAATAGATAAGTAATCTTATCATATAGGCTAATAGTTTATAAAGAAATATATATAGAGAAAGAATTTACATATCTAAACTTTCTTCAACGAAAGAAGATCTGTTCAATAGTTTTACTCTACTGTTAATAAAATTGTTCATAATCACTTTAGTGTTCAACTATGGAAAGATCTTCAATATATCACATTCCAGTAGATGAGAAAAATCAAGGCCACGATAACCAAGCTTTTAGGTAATACACTAATACGTTATGACTCTGCATATTTTCGTAATGAAACGATCAATCTCTGTCATGCTTTCTATTAATATTAGCTTTAGATTTGATAGTAATGACGCAGTTATGTTGATTTAAATGTTCTAATATTTTCGATGACACAATATTTTGTTTTAAAATATTACAATACAAAAGAAATTACAAAGAATTATTTAAGTGAGAGACGTCTTAGACCGTGAGATGGCGTATCTTAATAAACCCTAATATATTAACGAAACGTCCTTGACACCCTGAGTCTACTCTCGGTATTGCACCACAGTTCCGGTTTGAAAAAATTCAGAAAAGGCCGCCTAAAGATTATCAAATGAGTTATTTAGCGAAATTAATTGGGTCAAATGATCTGTAATATAAAAGCCCGCATTGACTACCAAAATAAATATCATTTTCTTTTTAATAGTTTAGATGAAACAGATGGAAAAGAACGAAAAAAACTCATACAACAAGGTTTTCACCTCCAGTTCCAGAATATAAATGCGTCAGTAGTGACCAAAAAGAAGGAAAAGAAACAAATTCTCTTCAATGTATCAGGAGAATGTAAACCAGGGGAAATTTTAGCTATTTTAGGGCCAAGTGGGGCAGGAAAAACCAGTTTAATGAATATTCTCTCTGGAAGGAGTCAATGTTCTTATACAGGCGAACTTCTAGTTGATGGAAAAGTACCTAATAAATCTATAAGAAGGAAATTTTGCTACGTAATGCAGCAAGATTTGTTCTTCGAGGCGTTAACACTGAGAGAAACTTTAACAGTATGTGTTTTTTAAAAATGTTCTATTTGAAGAATTCCATATCACTTATAGTACATTATTAATTCATTTTGTTTTTCTTCCTCCTATAAATAGTTTACCGCTACAATAAGGTTATCGGACAGTATGAGTCAAAGGGAAAAGCTTAAGAAAGTTGATGAAATTGTTGAAGTATTAGGCTTGACGAACTGTATTGATACTGGTAAAGACATATAAAATAAGAAAAAAGAAAATTCATTAATCATTTTTAATTACCCTAGTTATGGGAGGAGTTAGTATGAGAGGTTTATCTGGTGGTGAAAAGAAAAGAGCGAGTATAGCTTGCGAACTACTTAACAATCCTAAACTCATGTTACTTGATGTTGGTTGATATTGTATTATAATAATTAAATATACGTAATATAAAATGTTTTAGGAACCAACTACTGGATTAGATTCAGGAGCTGCCACTGATTTATTTGCAGCCTTAGAGGAATATTCATCAACAAAAAGTCTACCGATTATAACAACTATTCATCAACCAAGTAGTCATATATTTTCAAAGTTTCATAACATAATGCTTCTAGTCGATGGAAGGGTAATAAAAAATGCTTTTATACATATATTCATTTATTAATAAGTGAATAACAATTAGAAAAACTTTTAATATATACAGTTAGGATATTTCGGTGATAGAGTTCACGTTGTTCCTTATTTCGAAAAAATTGGTCTACCCTGTTCAGCCAACTATAATCCCGCTGACCATTTACGTAAGTCGACTTTGTATACAAACTGTCCACAATACAAAATGTTTACTAAACTAGAAAGAGCTATCTGCTCATGGGATGAATGACAGGTAGCAGGTAAATTCTTTCTGGTTAAATATTTGTTACAAATAAACGATAATTATAGTTGATTCTATAATTTTTCTTCAGTTGAGCAAGCTAAAGACGCCGATGCAAAGAAAGTGTTATTAGAAGCTTATGAAAATAGGTTAATTTTTTTTTTCGTAAAGATAAAATACAAAAAATTACATAAGTACTAGGGGAATAAAACTATATATACAGTGTTTAATGTTCATATCATATTTATTGCATCATTTTCTTTCTATCTATAATTATATGAATCATTTTTTTCTTTAAAGGAATATATTACAAACACAAGATGCGGAGACTGGTGAGGAAACGGAAATGAAGAAGTCTTCCAGTACACTTGTCGAAGGTTAGACAAGAAGATAAATTTATTTCCTTCTTAAATAAATCTTTTCTTATATTATTTTTTTATTTTTTTGAAATACATACATGTTTAGATGATGAGAAAAGAAATAATAGAAGCAATGAATTAGACTTGAAGTGGCCAACTGGTTTTGTAACTCAATTCCTTGCCCTTGGAAAACGAAATTTCAAATCAGCCAGAGGTCAACTGCTAAGTAATATACATTTAACTTTTGTAAGTATTAGACAAGATGTGGTTATTTTTTTTCTGAGAATTAACAAAAAGAATTCATTTTTATTAGACATTTCTAGTTGCCGCGATAGCATCGATATTTTGGTTTAGAATACCAAGAACTGAGGAAAGACTTGCTGATAGAACTGGAGCTGTAAGTCCCTCGCTAAAACCAATTAATTTTTATCTTCTCAAAGAATTTCTAATTTAAGGAAATGATTCTTATTATTTTTCCATTTTTTTTTTATTCTAGATATTCTTCATTGCCATACACACCCAATTCAATGCTGTTTTTCAATCTATTACTTCATGTAAGTAAATTTGCTGACATTTTTTTTTTTTAAATAATAGTCATTTTTTTTATTTCATTTTTGTTTTCTACTTTAAATTAGATCCGACAGAGTGTAAAATAATCAATAGAGAAAGATCATCCGGCGCTTACCGGTTATCGGCTTTCATGATGGCTAAATACATTAGCGAAATACCTTTACATTTGATTAAGCCTGTTGGCCAATTGATCTTGATGTACTGGGTTATGAATTTGATGCCCAGTGCTGGAAACTTTTTTATGTGGATCGCCTTAACAATTCTCACAACTATATCTGCTCAAGGTATTGCAATCTTTCTTGGAACTCTTTTCACGGATTTCAAAACCTTGCTCGCAAGTACTGCCATAGTTATGTTGACAAATATGTTGGCTGGCGGATGGTTCGTTCGCCAACTACCAAAAGCCATAGTATGGCTAAGATATCTCTCTTTGATGGGCTATGGATTTGGTGGATTGTTTATAGTTGAATATAAATACGGGGATCCTCTTAAATGTGCTCCGTCCAATGAAACAGCATTTAACGTTTGCAAAACCAATAGTACGAATACAATAAGCGGAGATGATATTGTCGAGAAACAGGGAGATATTATGCCACTATGGCTTAACATTGTGGCGCCAATCGGCTATATATTATTGTTTCGAATTTTAGCCTACTTGAATTTACGTTTCATAAATAAACCTAACAAATAAGCTTGCTTATCAACAATTTTCCACACTATTGTTTTATTGAAATATTCTCTTACAGATTTTCATATTAACACAACATTTAATCTAGATTTTCATTTTCGTTCAATTTTTCATACACTTTCAAGAGATTGAAGAAATCGAGTCTCTTTTCTTGACTTGCTCTGCGACTCTCAAAGTTACTATCATCCCTCTTTCCAAATCTCGGTAAATATTCCTTGAAACAAGCTTGACAGTTGTTCTTATTTTCACAACCAGAACATAAAGCCATGGCGAATAAATTATCAACATTCGAAGCGCAAACTAAGAATAGGAGAATCCCACCAGCAGATAAGCACTTTCTGAACGCCATCTGATATTGTAGAGATGCCGTTTAGAATTAGATAAAATATAACCATATTTAGATGAAGTGAAAAGAGCAGGGTAGATGAAAAGAGAAACAGAATCGAAAGAGGAGGGATTGTAAATTAAGTTGTGGCAAGAATGAGAGATACGGTAAAAACTATGAGAAAAAAGAGTCTATTGTCAGACGTCAAGATATAGAAAAGACATGAAGCAATTTAAAGGGTGGAGGAGAAGGAGGAGAGAGAGGGAGAGAGAGAGAGAGAGAGAGAAAGGAGGAGGAAAAGATAGGAGGGGAATATAGACAAGTGACGAATAGTCCTAGAAAAGGAAATAATTGTACCAAGGACAGAAACATCTTCAGAAAGAAAGAGAATGACAGAGTAAATACAAGAAACGAAGAAAGAGGAAAAAAGGGAAGAAAGGTTTAATCGTTTTTTTTTGTGAATGAATAGCATAGAGATAAAAAATCAAGATATACAACGAACTAAAAAGTCACATAATATTTTCAAATATCAAAGATAGTTTTCTTCATTTTTCTAAACGAACGGCGATCGGCATTTGATAAAAATTAAAAAGGAATTATCGGGTAGATAAGAAAAAAGAAAAAAATAGAAAAAGTTATCATCTCTTTCTTCTTTTTTACTTTGTTTTCTTTTTTACAATATGAAAATTAATTGAAGGGAAAAAAAGGGAAAATCTTTAAGTTCTATAACAAATAATTCCTTGACCTTTAAAATCCATATTCCTCTTACCAAATCTTAGTGAATTACGTATGTAATCCTGACAAACTAGCTGACAATTTTTGGGTGTTGAATTACAACTGGAAAGGCAGATTTCGTTCATCTTGGATGCGGAGACAGCAAACGTAGTAGCCGGAGCGAGAAGGATGAGGATAAGGAGAGCAAAATGCATAATTTTCATTCTAGAAACAATAGGGTGAAAGAGAAACACACCAAGACACACGTTGCTAATTAAATTAGATCAAAGATATACAGCATATTGTCGAAAACTTTGATTTATTTAAATAATTTTTTTTAGCTTACTTCCTATTCTTTCTTTCTTTACTTTTCTTTCTCCTATTATTTGTAACCTGTGAACGACTAAATCAATTTAACTCTTTTATTTCTTTAAGTCTATATCTTGAATGTCTTTTAAAAATAAAAACATACGCTTTTAATAAGATTTTATTGTTTCTTTCCTAATTCTATCCTCCATTCCCCTTTTTCACTTTTTGTAATGTAAATATAAAAGAACTCTTCAATCTGATTATCTAACCGTACTAATTTATCCTTTTCTTTACGATAAGAGCAAAACGTAATTGATTGTCATATAGCTTTCTCTTCATTTTATTCATCTACTTGTCGAAATGGAACTTTTTCCTTCTTTTCGTTCAAGAACTACGAGAAGAGAGCGAGCGAGAGAGAGAGAGAAAGAAACAGAAAAAAAGCATAAATAACTAAATGCTGTATATCTGAAGTTGAAAGTTTTAAACTTTCTATTTGAAAGATAGGAAAAAGATTAAGACATAAAAGGGCTAGGAAAAAAAAGAGAAACATACCGATCGCCGACACGGAACCAATTCGAACGAACAAATGTTAATATTTTACAAATGCAATTTTATTTATATATTCTTATAAAGATGTAATACATTACACTTACGTAATCGGACTAAAGGTAACAATAAAATAATAAATAAGATGAATTAATCAAATGCAGAAGCTTACTTTAAGTTGAGATTGAACTGCGAAAGAAGCGAGCGACGGCTATAATGAAAAATAAATCCCGTCTACAGCGCCCTATACGAATATTATTCGTAATAAGGAATAAAGTGATCCTAAAATATTCTTCTGTAAATCTTGTACCATTACCCACTTATCTTTTTCGAAATATATGCACGGGAGTTTGTATAATCTTATCTTAAATACATTACCTAAATATTAATAAATATGTAAATGTATATATTCTATTCCTACATGTATGTATGTAAACATGCACGTATGTATATATAGTACACTAAAGTAAAAATATCTAAAAGCGGGAGAAGCGAATTGTCAATTATATACAAAAGATAAAATATCTGTAACAAAAAGAATACGTAACATTAAATACAAAAGGATAGAGAATGGAATATTAGACGCCATCTATAGCTAATTTACATATCTAATATATTTTAATACTTTGTACTGTATAAGGAAAAATATTGGAATGAAAATATATATATATAAATGTACTGTATATAGGTTTTTACGTAGTTTAATAGAGAAAATTACTTATTAGATTTGATGAAGAAATTTCCACTTCTTAATGTATTCTACCTATTCTTTAATATAATTACTTAGAAAGAATGATAGTAGATAGGAAAAAGGCAGTAAAAACCTGTCAATATAATAGATAAATTAGTATTAATAGAGAGTAGAAAAGAGAATTACATTAGTTGTGTCAGTATTATCTCGATTATAAGTAGTATATCTACTAAACAATTTACCAATAATTCAGTTCTATAAAATGTAACAATTCATCATTGATAACGTACTAATTGTTAACAAATTTAATATATATACAGTATATAATATATATATATATATACAGTATACACCAAATTAAACAATAGAGAGACCTAAATATTTCTTTTGTAGGCCTTTTCAATTAACTTAGTTGAGTGAATATAAGGCTACTATTATGTAAGGGATAATAATATCATATTATAGTAAGTATGTACACAAAATCTATTATACCAATCCAAAATGCATATTTTACGTAATATAAGTAAAGATAAAAACTGCTAGCATCAACGGTAAGATCATTTCCGGTCAATTACTTTTTATTTCTTTATTTCTTTCTTTCTTTCTTCTTTATCTTCGGTCTTTTGTACTTTATATAAAAAATCTAACCAAGAAATAAGAAAGATGTTTATAAATATATATAACATTAAAAATTTAAAGACTTTAAAAATTACATATAAAAGTTATCAATTATTATTTTAAATACCATAAAAAGTATTATTAACATATCATTATCATGCATTTATTGTCTATATTACGATTAAAAGTAGTTATATAATCAAATATCAATTTAAATTAGAGATATTTTCAATTGTTTTTTTTTTATATTCTTTTATTGAATTGACTAGATTTATAGACAACTTTTAGTTAACTTTAAATAAATAATTGAAATTTTAATTTATAGATTTTCTTGTATACAATTCGATGTCATCAGATTACAAATTTCTGCAAATTTTCGATACTCTTTTCGAAGGAAATTAAAAATAAAATACAAAAATAAAAGATCATCGATAATGAAGGAAAAAACAATAGGGTGAGCGAAAGATTACCCTGGTTTTTTATTACCAGTTGTAACAACGGCCTTGCGCATGCGCTTTGAATTTTATGTTTTTAGCACAGCTTGGTAGATCAACCAGTTCGAAGCATAATTTAGGCCTATGTATTGTGTGTCGTAAAAAAGTAGTTACTAAGAGAATTATGTGAAGGAAGTGAAAATCTGAGGCGGTAACAATGCAAGGCTATGAGCCTTCACCGCCAATAAGAACGTTCGAACTTCACGACGTAAGGATATTTTGTTTTTATTTATTAACCCACTACATAAATATTTTCCCTTTTAGCTACCGGATTATAAGATACCAAAGGATAGGCTAACGTGGTCTCGTGTTCGTTTAACGAGCGATAAATATATGTGTATAACAGTTGACAAACCGAATAATACTACGTGTAACAGTCAAGTTTATTCATTCGATCCTACAAGTCAAAGAAATCAACCTAGAATTCAAAAGTATACTATAGAAGCTGAATTAGCTCAAATAAGTCCTGCTGGAGACTTTATTGCTTGTAGATGTAAGTATTTTAGAAAAAATGAATAAATAGAAATTTTAATTGGAAACCATTGTATTATACAATATCAAATATCGCTTAGTGAAAGCCTAACTTGAGTAATTTGCCATTTTATGGTTAATCTTCATTTTGTATTCATATATGTACATAAATTTACAACATATTTATTGATAAACTATGGACGACAAAAAAATATGTTAAAGAATACAAAAGAATCGTTCGATTTTTAACAGTATAATAGTAGGAAATATCGATTCAGTGGCGAAAGGAGCTATTGTAACTATCCATTATATTAATTTTTTTCCCATGCGGGAACTGCTCATACAAATCAATATCCCCTACGGAAATGATAATGTAACTAATTAACCAACAGATAAACAACATATTGTCGTTTATCATCGATCCCGTATAATTAACAAGCAAAGTAAGAGGAGGATAAGGAGCCAATCATCTATAAAATTCTGGTTATGGATAAACAATGATGTTTTGGCTTTCATTACTGGTGATGATATTTGGTATTGGGACGTTCATAAAAGTAAGTACTAGGAAGGAGTGGGTCTTCTCTCTCCTTTCTTTTTTATTGTTTATTTTTATTTCCAAGTAAATAGACATACAAATAAAAAATTTGTTTCTCTTCTCAGACGATAAGCCTCGAAAAGTATTGAATGTCGCTAAAAGATTATCCGACATGCAGATTGTATCTTTCGAAGTTGCTCCTAATAATAAATGGTTTGCTCTAACAGCGCTAGTAGCAAAGGTTTGTAAACGAATAAGATGTTTTAGTAAGAAAAGACAGAGAGCTGGAGAAAGTAAAAAATAACAGTTTGGGGGAAGGGTTAGGTGGAGGGAAAACGGAAAGTGAATGCATAGAGAGTTTTTGACAATTAGGAGCACTTAAATCTCTCAATTTATTTAATATCTCTTTATTTTTACTACTACTAGTACTATTAAATATCCTATTTCTTCTATGATTTATAGAATGATTAAACTGTCATTAACTCTCTATGACGTTTTAAGTGCCCGCTTCGCTCTGTTTACTTTACTCTTCTAGTATTGATATCAATCTATTGCATTTATTATTGTTATTTTTTATCTCTATGCGTTTGTTTTATTGCTTAAGACTACTATTAAATGGTTTTTTTATAACTTTATAATTACTATTTCCTCTTTCACATCAATAGGAGGAGTACATCGAAGGAGTTGTACAGTTGTTTTCTCAGGACTATAATTTAGGTCAATGCATTTCCGCCCATGCAGTGCATTTCTTCCGTTATCAATTCGAAGGTAACAGGAAGGAAAGCAACATTCTGGCGGTTGCGACCAGACATAAACAAAGTCGATTCGGCAAAGTATATATTATAGAATTAGGACCTCATCAAAACGGAAATTACGCTTTGTCCAGCCATTCTGAAGAGATTACTTTTCACGATACGACAGATTACTATGATTTTCCTATTTCTATTCAGGTTATAAATCAACTTTTTACTATTTAAAAAAAAAGAGTTCTACTCCACAAAGTGTTCTTTTTTATTTGTAAGTTTTTTTCTTTTTGTATTTTCAGGCTAGTCAGCATTTAGGACTTTTATACGTTTTTACGAAATATGGAAAATTGTATATACACGATATAGAAAGTTCGAATTTTTTATACTGCGAACAAATATCGGATAGCATAGTCTTCTCCACAGTACTTTGTTCACAATCATCAACACCGATTGCACTATGCACTTCCGGAAAGGTATTACGTCATTTTATTTACTTATTTATATATAGACTATGCTATATATACTGTAGAAAATATATTGCACATCTACTTATATTGTAAAATACTAATTATAAATTTTTGTTTTTTCTTGCTAGATTATACTAGTGGAATTGAATTTAGCTAAATTAGCTTGTCATTTAAAGGATAGCGTCTCCTATCAATACCTCGCTCCAATTATTCAAGGAAGAGATAAAACCGGAAACTGGTTAACTATTAAACGCTTAAACAAAGAAGAAATACCATTTGTAGATGATGGCGTTGAAAGCGATAGTGAAAATTCAACGTCCATTTAAATTTAATATTAATCTTGCTAACGTTTAAACTGCATTTTTTTTTCTTTACTTTTGTCTAGTTCGAAAAGAGAAGGGGGGGGCTGAGATGGAATTCTGTAAAAATAATTCAATGCCATGTATTTCCGCTGCGTGCTTCTTGTTCCTTAAAGTATCCTTCCAAAATTTAAAAATAGATTATATACATAATATTCGTTTAAACTAATCAATTGTACATTTAATAACAGTACATATGCACATGCACACCTACACATATAAGAGAAAGAAAAGGAAAGATACTTTAAGTTAGGCTTGTGTCGTATATGGGAATTCATTATTATATTCCGTTCCAAAGTATTAGTTGACGATAATTTAAAAAAAAAAAAGAAACAAAATTCTTGTTTTTTTTTTTTTATTTTTTTTTTTTAAGTTTAAGTTCATTAATTTAATGGTGCTAAGAATTGTGGCTATAAATTGCCTGCTTATTGCTGTTTCTATAAAAATGCCTTTTGCTGCATCTGTTTTATAAATAGTTTCGTATGTATTTTGTATTGAGTTCTGTTAGGCAAAAGAATATGCGAATCATAAGTTACAAACAGTATATTTGTATTGAAACTTGTATAACTTTATTATATATTTATTAGTATCAGTATATGTCTAATTCTTATATTCTACAAAGATAGAATAACATTTAATATATGAATACACGTAATGTTGTAAATAGCTTATAACCATTAGGCGGCGCTGTATGTTACATTCTAAATTCTACGGCTATCTGTCTCTTCTATCTTACTAACGCAGATGATGAATAAGTCATAAATAAGACTGAAGCTAATCTTTCCGTATGGTGATCACGTATTTATTCTGTCTAAAAATTCAATATATCTACCACATCTTAGTATTTCCGAAACGTTCCAGAAGGAGAACATTTTAAATTCGAATACGCTTTTACTAAATATGAAAAGAAAACTATTTAGACTAGTTCTTCAACAATTATATTATAGAAGCAGTGATTTTTATTGTCAAGAAGCTATACAAAAATTAAATAGATAACAATAATAATAATAATAATAATACACAATTCACTCTCCATTTGACGTAATGTTTTTACTTTACTCCCACGTCACTGAGAGTATTTTCTGTCCTCCTTACTCCCCCTCACACCTCCTACAAACTTCTTAATTGTGTTTTCTCCCATTCTGGACAAAAAACTGCTTCTATAATCTTGATTGCCAGCAGTATTAATCAACTGAAATCTGCTAGTGACACTAAATCCAGACAGAATACGATTATATGCGTTGTTCATATGCCGCATAAACTTATTATTAACAAAATGATGATATACTATATATTGTTATTGGAAAGAATACAACTAAATTCTTATAAATGAATTTCAAAAATTCAGCTTGACAAACTGTTGAGATGAAAGAAAGCTTTATCTTTATAATTATATATAAAATAAGAAATTTTTCTAAAATATGTCATACATACAGTGTACATACTAAGTTATATATACGAAGTTGCATCAATTAATGAACATTCCTGTTAAATAACATTTCTAAGATATTTATATCAATTTGTATACAGTACAAAATTTATATAGTACATTGGTATATCTATACACTATTTATATACAGTCCCAATAAAAAATCTTGGGCAGGGGTGTCCTTAAAGTGGTAAAATTTCTGGCAGGATGCCTGTTCCTGGCAAAAAGTTAGATGTTAATTAGATAGGAACCCACTTTTTTAATTTTTTATGACATTCCTGAGTACTGTCAGACTATTCTTTGAAACAAATTATTGCAAAACTTTGAAAATGGGTAAAATAAGGCTAGAGATGCGAGAGAAAATTGTGGAACTGGACAGAAGAGGGTTAAGCCAAGTAAAGATCTCAAAAGAGCTAAAAATTGCTCGCAGTACTATTCAGTACAATCTAAAAAAGAAAAAAGAATATTTTACTATGGAGGACAGACCCAGGTCTGGCCGCCCCAAAAAGATTTCAGAAGCAGACAAGAGAAATCTTATTATGATTTAAAAAAAGGATCCCTTTTATACAGCTAGACAAGCTTATAGCCAATGGGCCATAGCAGATAAGGTGAGTTTATCTCCTGCTAAGAAGATATTATTCAATAATGGATTAAAAAGCTACGTGGCAAAAGTAAAACCTTTAGCAAAATTGGGGAATCGAAAAAAGAGAATTCTTTTTGCTAAAAAAAACCCTTAAAAAAAGGAGGATGAGCTTGAGAGTTATATTTTTTCCGACGAAACAACATTTGACCTGTTTCCTAAACAGAGAGTCAGAGTCAGATGTAAATGAGAGGACAAGGACAAGCCAAGAAACATCAGGAGCAGTTTTAAGACCCAAGACTGTAAGCTGATGATCTGGGGAGCCATCAAATATGATGGTTCCAGAGCTCTGGCATATTGCTCTAAATCAATAGACTCAGAGAAATATATCTCAACTTTAAAAGAGTATCTACCTCCCTGCTATAAGACAGAGAACATCTTTCAACAGGATGGAGCATGATGCCACACCTCAAAAGTATCTAAATCTTTTTTAAGATGAAACAAGATAAAGTATCTAAAAGACTGGCCAGCACAGAGTACAGACTTGAATATAATAGAGAATCTCTGGGCATTGCTCAAATGAAGAGATTACAAGAGAATTCCAAAAAATCTGGAGGATTTGAAAGCTATCATAGAAGAGGAATTTTTTTTGATTCCTGAAGACTATATAAAACATTTATATAGCTCCATAAAAAAGACATGCCGTCTTGTCATCCAAAATAAAGGATATGCGATAAATTATCGAGTCAAGTCGGAATTTTTACATTATTTGAAATACCTGCCAGAAATTTTACCTCCTCCACTTTTGTAAAAATTTGTCATTAAAAATTACTGGAAAGTAAAAAAAAATTTTAAATGAATTTTATCTTTAAATTCAGTTGTATAAATGTCTTATCCTTCATTCTAAACAAAAAAAATAATTAAGCAAGTCATTTTAGGTAAATATTTCACTTTTTCCACTTTAAGGACAACCCTGCTCAAGATATTTTATTGGGACTGTATATATATATATATACTGTATATATATATTGTATATATCTTTACAAGTATCTTTTAAAAAACATTTCACCTTGGTTATGAAGGAATTTAAACAGACAAAGTCATCTTCTAACTTGTTTTATTAAACCTTTCCTTCGTCTCATATTTAATTGCTCTTAATTAAATTATTTTCAAAGGAAGTATTCTTTTTCAATAGATTTCCATACTTTACTCTACAAAAGGTCACTGTACCAGATTATGTATAATTTTTTCGAAAGAAAAAGAAGAGAAACGCATAGCTTTAATTTATGCAAATAAAATAAAGAATAAGCATTGATACACCAAATAATAAGTATTATTTAGAATGGATTTTGTATACACTGTACGTATCTTTGTATGTTTGTATGTATATGTTATAAAAATGATTATAATTATCTATTTAACCCATAATCAACATGATTGTTTGCAAAAAAAAAGCATATTTAGAACAAAAATATAGAAAGTATTTACACTATTAATAAATCATTAGCTTAGATTTCAGACAAATTTAATTATATAATACTATAATATTGGAGGATTTCACATTAGTTGAAGTCGATAAATACTTCTTTATAAATTGTCTTCCATAGTATTAAAATATGAATATTTATAACAAACGTTTATATATATTTTATCCAATAGGTGTTGAGTATGACTGATGTCTGGAATATATATATATATAAATTTATATATTCCAATATATATATACAGTATATATGCATATTTATATATAGTATATATAGATATAGATATAAATGTACAGCATATAAACACATGCTCTTAAATACTGTGTATATATAAACGCCAGTCAGACCTAGCTAATCTATTCTTCGGACAACATTGCTCAAATCAAAGGTATAGTTGTTTATTTAATGATATTTTTCCTTTATATTAACGTTATATTTAATATATTCGTTTGTTATCTTCAACGAGGAAAATAAGATTATTTTTGTACTTGTTGCAGATATAAAAAATGTTTAAATGGCCAATTGTACTTGCTTTTTTGATTTTAAATCTTGGTATTTTATTATCAGCATCTGAAATAAGTAAGTTGATACCTTCTTATTTCCGGTTATCGTTTGAAAGCTAAACTTAAGTTCATTTTAAATAGAATATCGATTCAATCCATTTGGAAGGGTTGTAGAGACTCTTTGTGAGGGTAAAAAGTGCCAGGAGAAAACTGAGAAGAGGAGTTCGTTGATTAAGTGTCCAGACAATATGTCTAGACTACAGTGCTATGATGAATACTTCTCAAGAATGATATCGGCATCCTCTGCTAAGCAGCAAGTTCCAGTCTTAGGGAAACGTACAGCTTGTAAAGGCAAGAATTTATTTGATTGTTTACATAAAAGCTAACTATTTTCGTCCAGTCTGTATTTTTTTTCTCTGTTATATATTTAGAGATAATATAGCCATTTCTTTCCGTATTTAATGGTATGTTTTGTTATATATTCGAAAATATACTGCTTTAGTTTAATAAAGAATTTACATATTGCCTAAAATGTATCCTTGTAGCAGACTAATTTATTTTTGTTAATATATAACACTTTTCCTCTTTCTTTTAATTCTTAAATGTCGTCAAATGAAGTTGTGAATACATTAATAATGCAGTAGGAGAATGGTGATGGTGTAACATAAATTTTTGTAAATCGCAATGTATACTGGCTTACTTGCATTAATTAAATACATATCGTTTACTAGCTGACCCTTCATTAAAAAATTTCACTCGTTGGACTGTGTCACAGGCATAATGAAATCTTTCCCAAAAATAATAGCGCCCGTTTCCCGCCAAAAAAATTTTTACGGCAGATCAGCACCAATTTTTCTACATTATTATTTTTCTATTTTTAAAAGTATCTATTTATATAAAATATTTTATATAAACCAACATTTGTAATTAAAGGTAAAATTTTAGTTATTTATTTTTTAGCAAGATATAATTTTCTTCCCACAGTTAGTGCGGGACAGTTATTTAGTTGAATAAATGGCGCCAGTTTGATACAAGACGAGTTATTTTATACTAATTTTCTATCAAATGGACGTGAAAACGCCAAACCCAAAACCGAGACCAATACCTACATATTTGCTGGAACCTGAAGTTCTATCTACGAAAAGGGTATGTATTTTTAAAATTGATATATTTCTATTTTAAGTCGACTAGGATCTTCAAATTGTCAACACCTCCAAGTTATATATGTAGTCTTAAATCTTATAAAAAGGCTGTTTATCTGTCAAATATTTCGTTAATATTATTATATTAATATTCCCTATGATATATTTATAGTGCGACTAAAATATGTAATAAGAAACGTATGGGGTAAATTAAGTCTTAGGCGAAAAGACAAGTCCTTATCACTGATGTCAAAATGGCGGATAATATTTTATTTTTTTTAAGGAAAAAGAAATAAGACTTCATCAAGAACTACCACCCAAGTTAATTAGAAGTGCACCGCCGGTTAGCCGCCTGTTGAGACAGAAAAGACGAAAAAATGGAACCACTTATTTGTCACGTATCCTTTCTTAGTCATATCTATCAACAGATTTTCAACCGTTAAAATTAATCTTCTATTAAAACTTTTAATTTTATCAATTCGAGAGTGGAACCTCCAATGTGGTATAACTTAGTAGCATTGTTAACGCTGCGTCAACAGCGTGGGAACGTTCATCTTGTGATGTTTCTTATCATATTGCGTAATACCATCAACAAATTTCAGTTGTTTACCTAGACTTTTCCTTAATTCAAATTTTTTTTAGCTAAAATTCAGAATAAATTAAAGCTTAATTCACCGAAAGAAGGTTCTATTGATACCTTGAATAAAAATAAATCAATATTATCTGAAAATTTTATTGTTTTATCACGAATCGGTAATGGATCTTTTGGGGAGGTACTTTGATAAGATTTTTGTCTTCTTTTTTCTGTTTTCTATTCCATTACTATTTGTTCTCTTGTAGGTGTTCAAAGTTCGTAGTAAAACTACAGGGGAACTTTTTGCCATAAAACGTACCATAGACTGCTTTAGAGGAAACTTTGATAGGTAATTAGATTACGTAATAATTCTTATCTCGTAGAAATAATTAGTGAATTTTCAATAGGAAATTAAAGATGCGGGAAGTTGATAAATATAATAGAATTCCATCTCATCCCAATTGTGTGAAATTTTTCCGAGCTTGGGAGGAGAACAGACGTTTCTTCATTCAAACAGAATTGTGCTATGCCAGTTTGGACAAATATGTGAGTCGGGAACAGTCAATTCCGGAGATTGAGCTTTGCTACTGGCTCATTGATCTACTTAAAGTAAATATAAAACGTCGATTAATCACTTTTTATTTTTTTACTTAATCATTATTCTCTCGTTAATACTATAGGCTCTAAGTCATCTTCATCGCCATAGCCTAGTGCATTTAGATGTTAAACCAGAGAATATTTTCATCGAATTAAACGGAATTTGCAAATTGGGTGACTACGGTATAATGCACGATCTATATTCAGACAAAGTAAGACTCTCTTTCTTGTTTCTTTATCTTCCTGGCTTGTTTAATTAACCTATTCGTATTGTTTGTTAAAGCATATTACTGAAAGAGACCTCTATAAGAGCTTTAAATATAATAGCTGATGGAAGTTCTAAGAAAAAGCTTTTATTTATGCTTTATCAGACAGATGAATTGCGTTAAACGTGACAAAATTTCAATGATTTTTTTTTTAGTGTTTCCCCTTAATATCTATCTTTACTCTTATTACTCATATTCTTTGATTTTCATTTTTAGGATACGGATTTTCAAGAGGGTGATCCAAAATACTTGGCACCGGAAGTTATGAATGAAAGCTTCAATACAAAAGCCGATATATTCAGGTAAGTTTTTCAGAGATATATATATATATACTAATACATATTCATTTTGTCCTCTTTTTAGTTTGGGGATGTCTATGCTAGAATTGGCTGGTAATTTAAATTTACCAAGAAGAGGAGCCGCATGGCATGATTTACGTACTGGAAAAATTCCACACCATTTTCTAAACAGTAAACGAAATTTTATCAAATATTAACAAACAAAATTCTTGTCTACTTTGATTAATATTAAAATTTTAATGTTTATTTTTAATCGTATCTAGATTATTCGCCCGAATTTCAATCGATTATTGTTCAGATGCTTTGCCCTAATCCGGTAAATAGGCCTTCTGCTGAAAAGATGCTATCATTTCAATTTTTCAAAAAGGTAATTAATTATTATGTCGAGTAGAAAGAATAATTAAAATTGTTATCGTTTCTTTGTATATACAATAAAATTAATTTTGTATATTTATTTATATAATAACAGATAGCGTTGGACCGACAAATACCTTTGTCAAGAGAGAATAGTGACTTTGAACTTGTGAGTTTTTTTTTTATTATTGTCGCATTTCCTATCTATTTTTATTTTATATCAACGCTTAACATATATCAATTTTTCAGGATAATTCGTACGAAGAGCCTACTGATACTCTAAGGTCACCGAGTGGTAAGTAACAAATATACTTGAGCACGATACATGTTGAAAGATAATTGGTGACTAATGATTTACAACCACTTGAAAAAAAAAATCATCTAGCTCCTTCTTCGGTATCGAGTGATGACGAAGAGTTGGCTTTTCCCTTAAACTTTTCGTTCTCCCAAGAGTCTCCAAGTAGAAGAAAAACACCGTCTTCGTAAATAGTTTTCAATTTGTTTAAATTTTCTGTTAAAAGAAGTAATAATGAAATTCTTTTCTTTTTATTTTAGTAATAAAAAGTACCTTTGTAAGACTGCTCCGGATAATTTTCGTATAAATTCTAATTTGTACGAGGGAGACGACTTGGACAATTCGGAAAATGATGAGCATACTTTGGCCAGAAATCTTTTGCAGGTGAATTTTTTCTTCTTTCTTTTCTACGTGCTTATAAAGTATGACAAAGATGAAGTATATTGTAGGCGTCTATATGTATAAATAGAATATATATGCAACTTGAAATTTACTTTTTTTTTTATTACAATTTTTAGGATTTCTGCAATATTGATGAAGAAGATTAAATTGTTTTTTTTATCGTGGGGGAGAAAACGAATTTTCGCTTAGTATATATATATATATATATATTTTTATATGTTTAAATCAAAGATGGAACGGAAAAAAACAAATTTAACGGTTGGGTAGGGCGAAATCGAAAGTTGATAAAAAAAAAAAAACAGGGTTGGGAAAAGAACCTCTAAATGATATATACACACTCGCAATGGTGCTTTCTGGAAAAAAAATTTAACGAAAAAACATAAAAAAGGAATTTTCTTTTTTTCTGTTTTTTTCTTTTAGCTTTATTTTACTTTTTCTTTTTATACAGAACATGTCAAAAGTTTTTTTTTTTTAAATTAATGAAGCATGTCCTTTTATTTTTACTTCCTTATAAAGAAACTTTTTTTTTTTAAAAAAATCATCTAATTTCTTCTTTTTATATATATATATAGTAAGTTTTATATATAATAATAAAAATTTTTTTTAAAAAAAAAAAATCAACCCCTGTTTTCTCTTATGTAACAAAAACTTTTATTATGTTAAAAAAGAACCTCTTACTATATTTCTGTGCTTTTTGTTTGTAAGGAAGTAAAAAGAAAAATTAATGAACTGTCATATTTGACTATGGAAAAAAAAGAATTTATATATATATATATATATATATGTGTGTTACAGTCAAAATAGATTGATTGAAAAAAGAATATGGGTAAATACGTACGTATTTTGTTTTCTTTTTTTTTTTCAATACTATAAAAATGACTGAATGGAAAAAAAAATTACTATACTCTGCAGAGAAAAAATACATTACACGTATAAAGTTAATTTGTCGAAAAATAATATTGTTCTTTTTTGTGTATGTATTGATGAAAAAGAATTTGTATGAATTATTTCTGTTTTTAAACGAAATATTGAAACTTTTTTTTCTTTGAAAAAAAAGTTAGTGGAAAATATTTACAAGTGCTTTTTTTTAGATATATATATATACATATATATATATATATATTATATAACTTATATATATATATATATATATATATTTATATATATATAACGTTTATTTGAAAAAATCTATGAAAAAACATGTCTACAACTTTCTCTCTCTTTAAATTTCTTTAATCTATAAACGAACGCCATCTGTGGTTGCATACGGTGAACGGTTTAGCTGATCGTTGGAATATTTTAATCTAATGGTGAAAGTAAGAAGTACTAGAGTTATTAGAAAGAATAATACTAGCAGTGACCCGGTTATCCATAACCAAATCATTTGAATATCGTTGATATCTTCATTCTTGACATGACCTCTTATCTTCTCTATCCCTCTTAATGTTCTTGGTACCAGTTCGTTCCAGAACGCTACTTTGTCGGCGTTTAAATGCTGATAATTTTTAACTCCGCTCTCTTTGATTGATATGTAATAAGCACCAGGACGGAACGGTTTCCATTCAAATCCATCAAAGCGTAGATTTTTACTGAAAAGGTCGTGTTTTCGAGTTAATATAACATAAAAATTTATTCTTTTAGAGTCACATGACACAGAGCCGCGGGTATTTTATTATTCTTTTAGCAAGAAAGTAATTCATTAGCGCTTTGATTAGCTTTTTAGAAAAAGTAATACATTGAATTTTGAACAAAAAACGATAGATAAATCTAGAGCGAATGAGAGGAGAGGAAGAGAAATTAATATACTGTATATATAGATTTATATAAATAAATACTCAACCGAGATTTGGCAATCGATGTCCAAATGTCCATGACTAATCGACTGACGTTAAAGTCACTTTCGTTGTAGTAGCGTTCACCGTCCTGATCGAGAGAACGCTTCTTTTTACGAAAGGGCCTAGAGAAGAGATATTCTAATTCGATCTGATGATAACTACCCCTTTCGTCGTAAGCAAATTCGAAATTATATAAGTATACTCTGCATTTCCTCCTTTGGAGAAGATCAGCATAACGAACAGCCGGAGCGACCAACATCATATCAGTCATTATCTATAAAGACGTTTATATATTATTGAAAAGGCTGCCTCCATCTATTCCTTCAAAAATTTAACATTATAATTACTTTTATGTATTGTTTCCTGTTGTTGGTTGGGTCTTTTCTTAAAGAATAATCTGTATACGCGTACTTAATTATATCTACTATTGAATTGTCCCAACCGAAACCCGAACCAAAAACATGTGAGACATATATTTCAAATCTAGATCTTCCCATTCCAAACATGCTAGTGCTTGTATCGGTAATAACATTGTCCAAGGCGTAGTTCATCCCCACCATGTCGCTAAATTCGTCTTTTGTTACCCCAACAACGTAGAATTCATTGCCGCATCTCTTCTTCTTAATCATATTTAGGGGATCGTCGGTGATTATTCTACCATCAACGTTCGGTCTAAAATCATCTCCATTTAGCGAAAAGGTTCCACCATCCGTCGACTTTAATTAATAATAACAATCAACGGTTGATATAGACAGGAAAATGTCAACCCACCCGATCCTGTATGAATTTTAATTGAAGCTTTATAAGACTCTTAACAGAAATGTTCCGAAGGCAAGTAATGGACGCTTGGAAGGTTGATCGATCGCAAGCCGATTTCTTAAATGCCAAATTGGCTTGACGTTTTAAGTTTGCTGTTGTATTATGATAGGCCCAGTGGGCCGTGGGCGAACCACTTTGAAGAACAGCATTATTGAATAGGCCTAATTAAAAGAAGAAAAGTTTTGTCAACTATTAAATAAAAGAAAAAAGAAAAGAGAAGAAAAAAAAAAGAGAGAGAGAGAGAGAGAGAAAAACTTTCTACCATCCCTTTTACTTCTGCCCTTTTTTTATACTCCTAGTTAATTGTTTTCCTTTCTTCCTATTTGTTTTAACATTAAAAGAGATGGATCAATTTTTTTTCACCAAATGGCAAACTAAACGGTAATTAAACAAATCGATTATCCTAATATAAACTATATAGATTCTTTATTTATATAAAAATGCGTATAAATATATTTATAAATGCAAAACAAAAATAAAGAAAGAGAGAAATCTGTTAGGCCTATTCTCATTTCAAAAAAGAAAATTGACAAACCTTTAGCAATTGGTGAAAGTGATAGAAAACCAACGCTCGAACCTCCAGCGCTATTTCCGAATAAAGTGATTCGATTTGGATTGCCTCTGAAGGCGCGAATATTTCTATTTATCCATTTCAGTGCCTGAATTTGATCAGCGAGACCGTAATTACCTCTTAATCTGTCAGTTCCGTCTGTAAGGAAGCCTATTACATGGAAAAAAAAGAGAAAAAGTCGTATTTTAAAAGCTGTACCATGTTAGTACATAATATATTATTGCAAACATTTGACAAACTAAAACTACAGTAGAAAACTAAACGTCAGATAGTTTTTTTTACCCTTTTCAATAAAAGTTCTATAATATAGAAAAAGAGAATTTGTTTGTATTTTTTTTTTATAAAAAAAAAATACAAACAAAAGTAAATACAAGCAAATTGATTATTTTATTAAAAAATGAACAATATGTATAGTATAGGCCTTTATAATTATATAAATTATAATATAATTACCAAATATGCCTAATCTGTAATTGATTGTCACAACAACAACGCCATACTGAGATAATCCCGTTCCATCGTACATGTTTTTACTTCCGGCCTTATACGATCCGCCGTGTATGTAAACCATAACGGGATAAGTTGTATTTTTACTTCGCTATATTGAATAATCATTAATATGGACGTTTAATTGGTTGATCCAAGAACAATAAACTTAAGAGAAAGAGAGAGAGAGATACAAAGACTCTGAACAAACCTCAAAAGGTGAATAGATATCCAACTTTAAACAATCTTCATTGCCGTCAATTCTCGATATTTGAGGACATTCGCTAAACTCTCTTCTTCTTCCATCGATATTCTCGACATTTGGTTCTTCAGGATTCTTTTTTTTTGGTGGGGAAGAAGGAGCAGAAGAGTGGGAGGGAAGAGATAAATTACAATTGTAGTTTTTTGAAAAATAGAACAAATATATTAATGATTTAAATAGCTAACCAATGCCAATACTTTCAACTGTACAAAGTTAAAGTATTATTAAGAATAAACTAGGCCTACCTTAAATCGTAATTTCGCAATTGGAGACTTGGCGTAGGGAATATCGTAGAATATATCTACAGTTTTCGTAACAATCTTTGCATCCTTTAAACGAGGTAAGGCGTTCTTTATACGCTTTCCCTTAACCTTACCGTAGTTAGTCAAGACACTAACTCCAACAGAATATTGGATTAATGAGAGAAGAGCTAGAAGTAAAATCGATTCTTTCATAATTCCAATTCTATATATGGTTTTTTTATGAAGAAAAAATGAAAGATAGAATTAACAGAAAGGGAAAGAAGTAAAGAAAAAAAATAAAACTGTAAAGGAGCTGGAATGTTTTGCCTATGCAGAACTCGAAGCGTTTTAATTAATACCCCCAATCGATTCGCAACTGATCCTTATAGGCTGAAAATACTCATATATCCAAGTTTATGCATCATCTTGACATGCATTGATATGAATATTTATATATATATATATATATATGTTTTATATATAAATATATAATTTATAGTATTTAAATATCAAGTATCTAGAGATATTTATCTTTTTATTGAATTTTTATAGGGATAAAATTTAGATACAATGTAACAAGAGAGATTTTATTGAGATATATATATATATATATATATATATAGAGAGAGAGAGAGAGAGAGAGAGAGAGAGAGAGAAAGAGGAAATATATATATGTATATACATTAAAACTTCTCTACTTCTATCTTCTTCCTCTTCTTTCTTTTCCATCTTCCTTATTTTGTAATAATATCTCTTAAGCCTTAAGATTAAATAGGCCTACTTATTAATTGTATTTTATTCTTTTCGTATCAGTCAACTCCTCAATTTAGTAGAAATTGACATTGTTTTTCTTTTCTGTTTAATTAGAGGATTGTGTGTATGTATATGTACCAATTTCATTACTCTTCCTTTCGCGTGCGCTCTTTCTCTTTCTCTCTCTCACTCTCTCTCTCTTCTTTCTTTAACTCTGAATTTCTTTATTTCTTTCTGTCTCTCATTGATATTTATTGACAAAGCATAATTACCTAGTCCGTTTTATGTGACCATCCCTCTTTTTCCTTATTATTCCTATTAATCATGTTCGTTTATTTAAGTATTAGATTTATAGATTACATATAGTTATATCCATTGAATGTATAAAGATAATAATGTACAGGTAGGGGAGACGAAGAAGAAGAGGAAAGGATCGAAGAGGAGTAAGGAAAAGAGATGAAGAAGAGAAAGATTCGTTTTAATAGTGTGGTTTTTTGTGTAAAAACGAAAAGAGAACGAAAAAAGAAGAGGTAGAAAAAGAAGAAATCATTGATTTTATTAGCATCATTATTATTAGTATGAATTATTCATTCAAAGTATTGCGCATGTCCTGGACGAAGTACTCGTATTCGATATACGATCCTTTTGTTCATCCAGCCAACATTCAGTTCTGCAGGTTTCTGTTGGAGAAGTTATTGGGAATTTTTCAAATGAGCCACTCTCCGATATCATCAAAAAACTATCCTCCAAGTCGGAAAGGACCGCTTGAACGGGTTTTGAATTCAAGTTAAGCCTAGAATATTCTGTCTTATTAACGAGATCGATTGCTATTAGCAGATCGTTCGAATCGGTTGTCACTAAAGAATTCTCTGTAAGGAAAATGTTTGTCAATAAACCGATATCCGAAGGAAAACGTAGTTTGTTCAAGAATTTTCCCGTTTCAATGCACCAAATGCTTACAAAGCGTTCTTCTTCGCAATAAGATGCCATATTCGATTTGCATGATTGGAGCTGAGTTACCGAACTTTTATGGCCTTCTAAACAAAACACATGTTCAGTTGAACCTGTATTATTCCAAACGTAAATTCTGCCCAAGTTTGTTCCGTAAGCTATTTGCTTTAAGTCCGTAACTATAATAGAAGTAACTTTAGAATCTTTTAACTCTATATGTAACTTTTCTTCCCTATGAGACTTAGCATCTCTAAAATTGATAATGGTTCCATTAAGGACCACTCCAAACTCTGAAAAGACGTAGTGAACGGCTAAAAACGATAAAGTTCCATCAAAATAAAATGTCTGCGTTAATTCAAACCGGTCTTTAGTAAAAACTTTAACATTTCCATTATCTAATGCTACAAACAGATAATCCATTTGTATCTGTATAAACTTGACGACGTCATCTTTCAAATCCACTACTTCTACACTTTTGTTTTCTTCTACATCCTCTTCAATCAACTTACCATTTTGTAGGCGTATTAACGTTTTAGAATCTCGGAATAACGCCAGCTTATCGTTAGCGAGCTGCATAGCTAAATGACGTCGGCGTCACTTTGATGGTTGAGGGTGAATAAACGCCGCGTTCCTATAGTCACCAGTTGATTTTTTGCTTTGGAAGATTCATTCAGTAAATCGACTTATTGTTATTCCAGTCACTAAGAAACAGTGTAATTTTACGTCAAGTTTTCACCTTAACAATACAAACTTGGAACTACCTTTTAGAATAGGCGAACTATTGATCATAGTTTGTCAATATCTCCTCTTTGTATGTGCTCACGCCGAACGGACACTAGCTACATAAATAAGATATAAACAGTAAATTATATTGTCTCTTTAAGTAATTCAGAAATGTCATTTTTTTCTTTGAAAACAATAATTATTAAGCGGAAAAAAAAGAAAAAAGAAGAAAGTGAAAGCAACATAAAAGAGAAGGTTTCTCTCTCTCTCTCTCTCTCTCTTTATTCCTCTCAATCGTTCTTTTTCTCCTCCTTCATTCAAATATTGCAGCAATATTATCTGGTATCAAAGATAGGTGAAATAGGCATAATAATTTTAAAATACTATTACACGAAAGAGTACAAATGTATAGATATTCCTTATAGGCACATAGTATTTATCTCTTTCTCTCTCTCTCTTCCCCTCTTTATTATTAATATATAAAATCTTCTCTTTTAATGAGAAAGAAATTAATTAAGGCATGACGGGTTGTAGGTAAAAAGATACAAGAAGGGCATGTTCTCATTCGTGGAATCAAGGATAGTTAAAATCTTTAATCAATTACTATCATGCAATATCCGCTTCTGCAAAATTTTATGACTGTACGTGCTTGATTAGTAATGAAATACGGTTATGGTCACGGACATATAAAACTATTAGAATTCTTTTAATCATTCGCTTTGGTATCTATAAGGCTCACCGAACCGTACGAGAAAAAAGTACTTTAGCAGGAATTGAAGCGAGAAATACTGAGGTCGATTTGATAAAATGTACGTAAATATTCGATAAGTAACCTTAAAATATGTAAGATTTTGGAGTAGGGAATGCTACTACTATTTATAACATATTAAACTCATTTATTTATCTTTTTTAATGTTCAAGTAAATTCTTTATGTGCATTATTTAAGTTATTCCTATCATTTTTGCATAGGAAAACTTTTCCCCTGGATTTGGACGCCATCTAGCGTTCTGATGTAAATCCCTAACCGGTTAATGGTGAACGGTAACCGGTTCCGCCCCCACTGATTCTTCTTTCCTTCAACCAATCAGTAACAACGAGCGATAATACGTATTCCAATAGCTTAGAATTAAAAACTAACTATCCTTGTGTTTACAATGGTTCGTGGTTGGAAAAAAAACCAATTTGCTATTACAATATAAATAATTATATAATTTTAAATTTCAGCTAGTCTTAGTTTTAGGAGACTTACACATTCCGCACAGAAGCGGCGGGTTACCCGCTAAATTTAAGAGATTACTTGTTCCTGGAAAAATTCAGGTTAATTTGAGATAAATCAATTGAAATATATGTAAATTATATTGTCAACAGCATATTTTATGTACTGGCAATTTATGTACTAGAGAAACGTACGATTATCTTAAAAGTTTGGCTAATGATGTTCATGTTGTAAAAGGAGATTTCGACGAGGTATTGTATACATATGGTACCTTTTTAACAATTGTATTTATTACTCTAAATAAACAATTTAGGTATCAACTTATCCAGAGCAGAAAGTTGTTACAGTTGGCCAATTTAGAATAGGATTATGTCACGGACATCAGATTATACCTTGGGGAGATATGGAATCATTAGCTATCGTTCAAGTAAATTACTTATTATTATTTTTCTTTCCTTTCATTATCAAAAACTATAGAACATTCTTCAATTTAAAAGAACAATTAGTCAGTTTACATTTTTTCTTTAGAAAAAAATTCATTTTTTAAGCTTTTTATAGTGGTGGAAAATTTTGTGTAGCCACTTTAATATATTTTTGTCGAAAACATACAGAAAGAGGACAATGAGGGATATTTTTCTTAACAACTAAAGAGGAACGAGTAGTGTCATAGAGCAACGAAGATAGGTACATTTAATTTTACAAGCCTGACAATTAAAGTATTTGAGTGTGAAAAGAGGAAAAACTAATAACTATAGAACAGGACACTGCCCTAGAAACTAAAGCTGTACTGGGACACATAGAAGCTTATTAGAAGAAGGGCTAAATATCAGATATTTGGATTGCTCAGAATAAAAGCTAGATCTGTTGAATAGCTGTTCAATCCCTGTATATTTTCGCTATTTCAATTTGACGTGAACATTGTAGAAAAATGTTAGAAAGTCGAGATCCTTAACTAAGGCCGTTTATAAAAACGGTAAGCAAATTATCAAACAAGTTGCTGAAAAAGTTGGCTAAAATTTGGGGAAAAACTACTTTAATTATAGAAAAATGCTATCGATAATTATTTTTCAAATTATAACACCGGAATAAGAATTTAGTTTTCAATTTCTTCTATTTAAAACGAAAGTATAAGTAAACTAAATAAACTAAACACAAGACTTTCCACCCCTGGATAGCGGTATATATAATATATATATATATATATATACAAATATTATATTGTGTTTATGAACCACATATTTCTTTTTTTAAATTTTTCTAATAGATTTTTTTTTATTATTTATTTTTATTATTTATTTTTTCTTATTCATCTTTTATTAGTTTAAACAGTGTTTATATCTTATCACGCAGTTGTTTATACTATGATTTTTTCTCCTTCTTTTGCTGTTAAAAATAGAGCAAAAAATGATTTTATGTATTTTTAATAATTGTAGATATTTTCTTTTTTAAAAGATTAATAATTGTATTAAGATTGTTTTTTTCTTATCTACAGAGACAGTTAGATGTTGATATTTTAATTACTGGTCATACGCACAAATTCGAAGCTTTTGAGCATGAAAACAAATTTTTCATTAACCCTGGTTCGGCTACTGGAGCTTACAATACTCTGGATAGGTATATATATTTATATATATATGTATATGTGTCCTATTTACCTAACCATCCGTAAAATGATAAAGAAGGATGTTTGATTGTATTATTTTTTTTTTCAGAGACGTAATACCTTCATTTGTCCTCCTCGATATTCAAAAGACTACCATTGTTGCTTATGTATACAAAATTAGAGACGACGACGTTGTGGTCGAAAAAGTAGAATATAAGAAACCATAATAGTTTTATTAGTTCAAAAAAAAAAAAAGAAATACTTTTCTAGTTTCGTTTTGATAGTTCGATTCGATTTGCACTTCCGTTTCTTTTCATTATGTTGATTTTAAATGATATTAGGGCGGCATTGCTTTATCTAAATACACAAAAAATTTACTTTCAATTGGTATTCGCACATAATTGTGCAAGTTTTGTAAGGCTTTTTTAAAAAGATGTGCCTGTTGCATTGTGGTATATTCTTTGAAAATAATAGTATGGTGCGGCTTCCGAGTTTTTCGGTATTTTTCTTTTTTTTATATTTTGTATCAGATATTTAAAAATAAAAGTTTGCGTATCTGTTAATTAATGTTGAAATGCAAATGAATCATAAAAAGTAGACGTATAAACAATACAATTCAAAGTTATTGAGTGTCTTAACTTGCGCTGATCGTTCTGTTCAATTCCCACTTGAATTCTAATTCTAACCACTCTATTAAACATGGCGTGGTAGTGACGAGATAAATTCACACACGAAATTCTGACATTGAGAGTGTAAGTGTTTATCTTCGATATTTTTCTCTTTTGAATCAATATAAATATACATGTGTTATATTTAAATGATTATTGAGTACTTTTAAGCACGATGAGCTAGTTACTCTTATTTACAGATAAACATCTTATCTAAAGGGTTGTTATGTTTCACAGCTTAAGGAAATTTTTTGCAATAACTTGTATTTATTTCATTTGATTGAAGATATTTATACATAAAGTATTTAATAATCAAATAATATTGGAACAAGTTAAAAGAAGTTTAAAGAATGTAAGATTTTCTTGAAAATTTAAGATTAAAAGAATAGCGTAGAAGCTGCAAAACAAATATAGGATTGTTTCCTCTATTATTGACTAAATGTGAATGTGAATTGACTAAACTTATGACTTATCTATATAATCTTATTAGTCATTTTGTTTATTAAACTTAAAAATTTAACGTAGTATTTTTCATTCTATTTTCTCTTATAATTCAAACTTTATCAGATAGAATCTTTAATTTGAACGTTTTCAAAGGTAATTGTTTATTTAAACGTTCTCTTAGTTGATTCGTCGAGTAACTATTGTAACAGATGCGATCTCTTCCTACCCATATATAAATATCTCTATCAATTCCATCATTTTCTATATAGTACAACTCTCCATCCACAATGTCTTTAATAGAGCGTAAATCTAAGGAAAATTTTTTAAAAGATATAAATATGATTGATGATGATAAGTTTCTTATGAAAAAAAAGTTATATCGCATAATACTCTGCTTAATATTTATATTAATATTAATTATTCTTCCATTCGGCTATCTAAGATTAGAGAACAGTACTGTTCAATTTCAAAATGTACAGGTTAGGTAATTTTTTTTTATCTCTCCAATAGATTACATACTTTTAACTAATAACATTGACAATCCTTTTATTCTGGTGTTGAGTTGTTTTCAAAACCGAAAATATCTAAAAAAAAAAAGAAGGTGATACAACGCAATGTGTTGCAAAGTTTGCGTTTCGTATGCTTCAAAATGTTGTTTGTTTCGCTTTTTCTCCAGTTAATTTATCAGAATCTATATCGATGATTCTTTAACTTCCAGTTTCGGAGAATACTGTCGAACATTTCAAAGTCTGTAGCTATGAGTGCTTCGTCGACAAGGTCCAATGTCTTGTCATATGAGGAATATGTCAAATCTGATCGAGCCAAAGTAATTCACTATAAATGTCGGGGTGGAGTATACCAAAGAGGAGGAGATAACAAAATTCGCAGAGTAGAAGTTGATGATAGAGATCTTTCGTGGCTTATTGTTCCTAAAGAAGAATACAGACCTCAGATATTTACAACAAAGTCTGTAATGTTAGATTCTAAAACACAAAAGAAACCTGTTTGGGCTGATTACGATGTTGGTACAAAAGAACTACAAGCTGCAAAATGGAATAGCTTCGATAATCTTGATGGTAGCAGAATAGATAGGAGAAGTTACGAATGTAAATACAAGTTAGAAACATTAAATGGAACTTCGGTTCCTCTAAATCCAAAAGGACGAACGGGTCTAAAAGGCAGAGGGGCACTTGGACGCTGGGGGCCAAATCATGCGGCTGATCCAATAGTCACCAGATGGCAACCTGGAAAAAAGAGAGGCGAAAAAAGAGTCCTTGAATTTATTGCTATACAGAGAAGAGATACAGGAGAATGGGCTATACCTGGCGGGATGGTTGATCCTGGTGAACAAGTAAATGTAACATTAAGACGGGAGTTTGGAGAGGAAGCAATGGCATCTTTAGAAGTTCCACCTGAAGAGAGAGCACGAATCCAGCAAAATGTAGACGAATTATTTCGTAAAGGAGGAGATATGGTAAGTTTTATTTTGTACAAATAAGTCTATTATATAGTTTACTATTGTACTATTCTACACAATTAACTATTTAAAAATTCATATTGATCATAGTCTATAAATAACTTCAAATTTTCTTGCCTACAATGAATTTTCCTATAGATATATAAAGGTTACGTTGATGATCCTCGTAATACTGATAATGCTTGGATGGAAACGGATGCTTATAATTTTCATGACGAAAATGGAAATAGTGTAGCTAAATTTAAATTACACGCTGGTGACGATGCTACTGGAGTTCAATGGATGGCAATTACTAAAGATATCAGATTATACGCAAGCCATGCCCATTTTGTTCAAACTGTAGCTAGGAAAAGAGAGGCAGCAATGACCTGAAGTTAGGAATAATCTAGGCTTTATTTAAAAAGAAAGTCTAACTGTTACTATTATTCTCCTAATTTAGCGTGCCTTGCAACGTAGCTTTATGTATTGATGAAAAACAAAATTAAACTCATGCCTAATTTCTCTCCTCATTTAAAAATCTTTGTTTAATATTCAATTTTATTAATTACAAAGTAAATCACATTATTACAAAAAAATTCTCTCTCATCCTTTTATTGTAATATATTTTCCAATTAACTTAAAAAATGTAATAATAACAATCGCTACAAAATTTAATGAAGAGTTAATAAATCTATCTTTGACTAAAGTTTATATTATAAGTTTCTATTCAAAGTAAAGAGCTATATCATTCTTTATACAAATGAAATTCAATATAAAAAAAGGATAGGGGAATGGTGGAATAGCGGCGAATTTGCCGGACTACTGTTTATAAGTTCCAGCAGTTTTAGCATAGAATTCCCCATCAGCCAGTGTAGAATTCTATTAGAAAAATATTCTTGTAGCAGAACATTTAGCAAAAAAGTATTATATTTACTCTATTTATTTCCATTTGCCTTTTTTTGCTGACTATTTCTTCAATAATTTCCCCTTCTCCCCTAATTAGTCTAAATGTTGAAAAAATTATTTGGTTTATAAGCAAAATGAAGAGTTCTTTCTTACCTAATCCGTCCACTTTCGGGATCAAATTCTCGACGAATTTCTTGAGATTTTTTCTTCCACTCGTCATAAGTCATTGGACGCATGAAATTTTTGGGAGTCTCCTTAGTTTCGCCTTTAAAGAAACAAATTGTTTGCTTATGTTATATTTGTATCATAGAACTGCCAAGTTAAAAAAAAAAAAACGTAATCTAGTGCGTGTGTTGTCGTGAAAATGATTAATACACAAGAAAAAAATGAAATCTTTTTATGTTTAGAGTAACGAAAGTAATTACAAGGGAGCGAATAGAATATTAATTTTATAACTTTGAAAGTTATTTTGAATTTCATAGAAATATAAAAGTGTTTACGAACTTGCTGCTTTTGGTGCGTCAGGAGAGGAATCTCTTTCTTTTTCATCTCGCTTTTTATGCTTTTTAGACTTTTTTTTATGCTTAGATTTTTTCGAATGTTTATGCTTCTTTTTCTCCTTTTTGTGCTTCTTTTTCTTCTTTTCGATTTCAAAAGAACTGTCCGAACTTGTCGACCGGGATGTGGATGCTGTTTGTCTCCTACGCTTTCTACTTCTATCTTCTTCAGGCGAGTCTCTGGAAATAAAGGCTTATTGATATTTTTTCTCTTAGTTTAATTTAAAGCTAACGGTGTTGTCATAATTTAATAGAATTCTTTGCTAATACAAAAGGCGTCGAATATAGAATAGTCAGGTTACCAGTCGTAAACAATAATACATAGCAAAAAATTTCACGTTGTTGATTCCAAGGGAAACTGAAAACTGGTACCAAATTTTGCAATTAAGTGAAATTATACTTTCGATTTGTAAAATTATCTGTTGATACAGCAAAGCAAAGGTAATTAATTTATGCTTTAATTGATATGGAATCGAGTGAAACAGATTTGCTGTCAGACGTTTCTCTTGGACCAAGGGAAGAACCTGTAGGAGGAAATGAAGAACCGGAACCGACTAAGAATCAGGATATTGTGTTAGACAATTCAAGCTTTGAGTTGTTATACGCTATAAAGCCATACCACAAACCTAAAAGTGTTAACCAAATTGAAACTACAATTGAAAACAATCCAAGCTTTGGAACTGAAGCTAATAATTTGAAAAGTGATCTCATAAAAAGAAAGATAGAGACCAAAGAAAACAATGACGCCTTTAAAAATGAAAAAAATCTTAAAGTCTTTTACAAACATATACTAGAACAGTATTCTAAGCCAAAGTTTAAAGCAATAAATGAAACGACAGACGAAGCAAAAAGTGAAAATGAAGAAAAGTGTACAGTCAGTCTAAAACTAGTGATTATTTTAGTTCAAACAAATATTCTTTTGATAATCATAACAATTGGCTATTTTTTTACGTACCCCTTTATTCAATATTTGTCTGAGGAAAAAATTAATACTAGAGCATTTCATGTATCAACTATACCTTGTTTTATTCGAGAGAATAATTCTTTGGATGGTTGCTTGTATAAAAGGCTCAGAAACTTTGGAGAATCCAGCGAAGAAAAGAATTTCTATACTACTTTACCCATTGATTTAGAGACGGCTGAAAGGAAATCCATTGCAAAAAGTCGAAAAAATAGAAATCTCAGGCGTAAGAAAAAGAACAATTTTATTTCTTCCGTCAATAACGATGAACAAGTTCCTGAGGTCAACAGCTGAAACAAATTATTAATATTAGCTCTTTTGAATACTTTTCTCTAACGACCCTTTGGCTTACAGACAATTACTTTACCTTTACAATAGATTGTTTAAGTACTGTATCTTGTTTCTTCTCGAGTATGAGTTTTCATAACATTTGTTAGAGATTAAGGGGAGAATTATGACGTCATTTTGCATAATTTTTCCGCTTCATCTTTAACACAAGTCATATCTTAGAGATAAGAAATCTCTCAGGTGATGGTAAAACTTTCAATATACTTAAATAACAAGATTTTTCTTGTTTCTTGTACTTTGTTTATTATGAAAGTCATATGGTTTGTTACTTACATGATTTTGTGATAATTTTGACCGAATAAAAACTTTCACCAAACTGCCAGTCTCCGTTTTGACTTTTCATCCTAAAAACAAAACTTTTCGTGGCCATATCTTTTGGAAATCCTTTAGTCGTTCGTAAAAGCTTTTTTTTTTATTGTTCCTTTTTAACTAACTACCGAGTTAATATTAAAGGCATATACGTTTTATCTGGAAATTTTTACTAATAGAAAAATTCCATAGAATTCTTTAACTATAAAAAAAAAGTGTATATAAAAAGATTCTTTAGCTTATTATCTGCAAAATCTAATAATCTATATTGTATAAATATTAGATTTTAGTATAGACAAACCGTATTTTGCAGACCAAAACCAAGAGGATGGCAGTATTTTATTATTTTTTTAAATCTCTCTTGATGACCCTTAAATAATATAGCATGTCGGAACACTAAAAAATAATACTTGCCTAGACTTCTTAGCTGGTTGTTAAAAAAAAAAGCAATACTTCGATTTCCCCGATCTAAAACTTTCAAGATTTCTAGTACATATCATAAATATTTTTCGTTTAACCAAAAAGAAAAACACACACCCACACACACTAATAAATATCAACATTCCACATGTTACACTTCTATAATCATAAAGCGACAAGACAATATGTATGTTCCTCGAAGAAAGTTATTGGATTGTGACTTTGAAAGAGAAGCTTACGAACGAGTGTACACTAAGATGATAATAATAATAACATTAGTAACAATAAAAATAGGTGCAAATTACTTTTTAGTATTTAAAAGCGTGCTTGTAAAATGTAATTGTTACCTTTAGAGTATTGTTTATTGTTAAGTTTTTTTTTCTTTTTTTTTAATTGCTTAGACTTCGTACGGTAGAGTATGTATTTCTTTGCATAGATAAAATGCACACAAAAGAAAGTAAGGTGAAATAAGTGATAAAGTTTTCGTGAACTAAGAAATTTGCTGTTTTGATACCAAATACTTTTTTTAATTGTTAATAACTATGGAAAATCTTTATTAGCTTCCACCAGTTTATACCAGTGATAGGTATTTAATAATTGTAGAGGTGTTCCACATTGCATTTCGATAATTTTGTGCTGATCTTCAGGAATAACAGGAATTTCAACTGCTTGGGGTGGAAAAACTTTCAACTCGTCTGGTATACAAAATAATCTTGGAGTTTGTACTAAAGTGCCAACATCAACTAGTCTATGTATTCCGCATTCTGAATTTTGAACAATAGCTCTATGGGGTTTTCCTTTAAACATTACAACCCCAAAATCTCCAGGTTTGAAAAATGTTAACGTTTTTAACGTATGCCATCTAATAATTAAACGTTTAGTGAATGAATCTAAAATTTCCAAACCATTTAAATTATGTTGAACGAAAACGGTACCGTAATTTCCGCTCATGCTAGAATAAATGCATTTCATTACATCCCCTGACCTATGAATATAATGAAATCGTTGAAAAAATTCACAAATTATAGACATAATCATATCATGGCCATTAATTAATAGTTTACACATTGCCATTCCACCAGTTGCCATTAGATTTATGATTGCTGTTCCAGGTCTTCTGATTGAATAATCAAGAAGCGTATTAAAAGCTTGGTTGTCATCCAAGAAATCAAAAATCTGCAGTAAACGGAAAGTGGCTTTGAATATAAGGATAGGCTGCAGTGCCAGCATCTCAGGGATTTCGCGTATATTATGAAATTGAATCATACGATCTCCAATTATATCAGTCAATTGAACCAAGCATTCAGTGTTGAATACCAATTTCACTGTAGCCCTATAATACATATCACTTTTCACAATTACAAAATCTCCAACATCAGGATAATAAACTGGTGAAGATTCGAAACTTTGTTGTAAATTAAACGAATATTCTTCCAAATAGCCTATCGTGGCTGCAGTTTGTACTTCAAAAGTAGAAAATGAAAGTCTCCTCATATTTATTACTTGCGTTATCGTCTGAAAAGAAAGATTTACGGAGAGAAACTGTTAGTTTTTCTACAATTGTAAAATTTAATTCCTACCTCAGATTGTGGATAAAGAGGAATACCCAAGCCATTCAATGAATAGGCGAGAGCCTTATTATAATAAATTTCTCTTCTGATAATATCTTCTTTTTGTAACATGTAGAGAAATTTTCGATGCTCAATCAGCCAATTCAATTCCCCCAAAATATAACGATGTATATGATCTTGTTCGATTCCAGACTTATAGTTTAACAGAAACTTCCTTAGAAGAGCTAGGGTGTCTATATCTGTACAGTGTTAAATTAAAAAAATAAAATGAAATTTATCATTGGAATAGTTGAAAAAACTCATTTAAGAGATCTCTTAAAGAAAATGTTTTTTCACCCAAGACCTTCGCAAGGCGTTCCGAATTCTGGCATTATAACATTGAAGGAATCTGAAACAGATTTTTCTTTTTTTAACAATTTTCATCCAAGGTATTTATTAGGTTATACTTTGTTTAGGTTCTTGGTAAGGTCGATTATCTATTTAAAAAGACAAGTAATAAGTTTTGATTCGAATAAAACAAACAAAATAATAGAAGAATAGCATTAAATCTCTTAAAATTCTTTGAATAAAATCTCCAAGTTTATTATTATCAGCCTTCAATTACGTACATTTTTTGATTTAGCATATAAAAAGCTATAGAAATTTTATATTGCATGTTTATTAAGAACAACGATATAGATTTATAAAGTTTGACAAGCTTTAATAAGTAATCAATTCTGCTAATTTAATTGAAAATTTTTATTACTCACCTTGGAGTACGGTATTGTTGGATGATCTTGGAAACCATCTACTATCAGAACCTGTAAAAAATAAAACGTAATAGATTTTTTTTTACCATAGAAGAGAATGAATATCACTTACGATCAGTGCTAAGAAGCCACCTATAGTCCCAATAGAAATTGATATCGTTCCAAAATTCTATAAAAGGAAAGAAAGTAATATTGAAAGGTTAAAATATATCGAAGAATTCTTGGTAAACTCTAAGAAATTGATATAATTTTTTTAAAAGTATAATTCTAAATAAAAAAAATAATAAAACTATTCAACTTAAATTTTTTACCCATATTTAGGCCATTTATTGACTTATTTTCGCCACCTTCTAAATCTTCTAAGCATAGACAGTCCAACATTTCAAATAACCCAGAATCATCACTTTCCTCCTCTTCCAAATTTTGTTTTAAGGGTTTGCTGGTAAGTTTTTTCTTGTTCATTATTTATTCTTAAACGTCAACTGTCGTTATTCTAAAATGTTCTATATTCTTTTGGGAATGTTTAGCTAAGAATAAAAATAATAAAATGAAAAAGGTAACTTACATTTCGATGTTTACCTAGCAGAGTACCTTTTCTCAATGACTGCAATACTTTTATGATGAGCTATATATATATAGTATATTTAGACACATATATGAAGTATATACATATATATGTTCGATTCCTGTGGCGCCACCAGTCTGTTAAAAAAAAAGAACAAAAAAATACAAAGTTTTTGCGAAAGTTATTATCGTTATTTGATCAAGCTGAATGAACATGATTGAAGTTATGTCTTTTTGCTAATTAAACGATTCTAAATGATATAGGTAACTGTTACAAATATCAAACAACAAAGATCTTTTACAAAAACTCTTAAATAAAATTTCACCTAAAAGGCGTCAAGCGTTGATAGAATACTTTTTAATGGCTTAAGAAATTCTTTACATCCTATGTAAAATATTTTTAATTCTTTTTTATCGTCATTGCTTTATGATTAATACTTTAATTTATTAATATTTTATTGCTTTTATCACTTTTTTAAATGTGTTTCTTTCTTATTAGAAATTGTATTTTTTTTTTACTTCGAACTTTATCAAAGCAAACGCATTGCGTGTAGTTCGAAATGTAGCAATCCTAAATCAAAGAGCAATTCGCTTTAGCGTGACAACATTACCCTTTGCTTTCTAAACATTCACATTAAAGCTCTTCTACGGACGAGAATGTCAACAGTTTTTTATAATTTTTATTCATAATCAGTATACTGTATATTACGAATCACTCAAGTTAACAGGCGTTGCTTTATTTATTACAACAAATAGTTTATATTTATTAGTGTTCTGTTAGTAATAAGACGCCCCTCAAGTCATCGGTCGATTTTCTTATATTTGTAAGCCTGTTGGTATGAAAAATAGTTAAATAAATTTGGAATGGTTCATATACAGTATAATTTATTTACCATTGTTGAGCTTGCACTGCTTTAATGCTTCATTAAAACCGTAGCACAAACTAATATCGCTTTGATTCTGGGCACATTGCAAGAATTGACTAAGTTCGTGGCCACAAGGTCCATTGTTCGCTTGAAGCTGTTGCTGTTGTTGAACTGGGGGTGCAGCTTCAACAGTCTGTTGTCCATCACCGCCTCCAAACATGGCTCTGTTGATAGTATGGCCCTTTAACAGATAAATATTTCAGAATTTATGCCAGGTTAAAAGCATGATCGTTTATAAAGCTACTTACAACGACTGATCCAACTGCAACTCCACCGGCTGTAGATGCCGCTTGGGCTAAAAGACCGGGTTGTTTCGGCTGAGCTGCTACACCGACAGGAGCAGGAGCTGCTGGGGGAGCTGGAGCAACAGCTGTAGGACGAGCTGGAGCGGAGCTGAACGTTCTGCTCAAACAAAAACATCGTTAAATATTCGTTAATGATTCAATTCTTATTAAAATGACGCAACAAATTTTTGACTCCTAAAAGAATTCGGAGAATTAAATCGGATATTGACTAAATAATTAATTTACAGTGAAATACTAATAAAATTCCATGAAATGAGCTTAGATATGAAAAGTTCCGGGATTTAACTAAAAAAAAAAACGAATAATTTATCAATGAAACGAAATTTGATGAAATAGAGCGATAACATAAAGGTCACACATGTTTCAGGACAAAATACATGTTTTCATGCACAAATAGCAGCATCAAAGACGTCTTTTTGAAGAAACTACAATTTTTACCTGGAAGGTCCTCTGGCAGAACTTCTTCGTGGCATATTTAAGTTGTAAAGTATATATTTTTAGCAAAAAAAGTTTAGCAGATAACGCAAGTTCTTCAACTGTCTTTGAATTAAAAATTGTTCGTATGGACACTAACAACGTCCAGGATTGGCGCAAAAATCTAAAATTTTCAAAGCAGGCCTTGAAAAATAGTATTTAAAAATTAAATATTTCAGTATTTTAATCAATTCCTCAAAAATTACATTCCAATCTAGAAGGATAATAAAAGTGGAATATAGAAACAATAGCGACAAATTATAAAGATAGACGCTTGTAAGTTTTTTAGAAACAATTTGTATTTTTTCAGCCCAAATTTCCTATTATATTCTGGATATTTAAATATAATTCAGTTCAAAGGCGTTAAAAGTGTTTGTTTTTTCTTAGTTCTCCTTTTCTGACATACCCAAGGAAAATAATTTGAGGAAAAGAAGTACACCATTTAATCGAAAGTTGTTACTTTGGTGATGGAAGACGTTCCTAACTAGAAGATCGACTTGATTTATAGCATGTTTTTCTGTTACAATAGGTAAATGAGCCTACCAGCATTTGATCTTGCTAATTGACTATTGAGTACAAATATTTAGTAATCATTGCTGTATCAGATCTAGAAGTAAAGAGTGAATTAGGAAGAGATCTAATAATTTGTAACGATATTAAGCATCCAGCGTTGGTTTTCAATTACATTAATAAATATAATACCGACATCATAGACATGTAAGAATATGGTAAGTAATGTTTTTTGTTATTTTCATTAGACGAAAGTCTTTTTTGTTCTATCAATTATTTAGACACCAATTTTACCAAATCGATTAGTTTTTTTTTTACATTATAAAAATTATATTCGAAATTTTTTCCATGTCAGCAATATTCACTTTCTGATTTCTTAATTAAATATAACGAGAATTGTTGATTATGTACAAAAAAACATATTCTTTACATATAAACACCAATAAGCAGAAACTCTAAGTATCACAATTTCTTATACAAACGGATGTCAAATTAAATTAGATAAACATCTTTAAAGTATTCAATCATAAACAGCAGCGTTATTTCAAATTGAGGACTAATTAAATTCTCCCATCTCGCTTATATTATCAACGAATTCTTTTAAATGAAGTTTCAAGTATTTCACGTCACTCTTGATTCTTTCGTATAGCAGTTGAATATCATCTTGATATGACCTCATGCGCTCTTCTTCTGCCTCACCCAGGAATGATACTAAAAAGTTGAAAAAAAGTAAAATTTACATTTTTTTTAAAAAGTATATGTATATCTAAAAATTCCTACTATTCAGTCGTAATTTCATTTCCATAACTTCAATAATTCGCTTTTCGGCACTCGCCACACTAAAGACGAAATGATAGCAGTCGCGTTCCATCTGGGTGAATCGCTCGTCAATCGTTTCTTGATCAAAAACTCTGCATAGATTTAGCCAATTCGTTTGAAAGCTAATACAACTAGAACTTGCCATATTCGGCATCTTCTTAGATAATTCTGTTGAAATTTGTTAAAAGATTAGTGAAATTCAGTGAATCTAGAATTAACATACTAAGATTCGATTCAACAAGTTTAACAACTTTCGACTTTCTTCTAGAAAGTCGATTTAATTTAGCACCAACTTCAGGTAAAATCATTCGCAAATTTCGTATAGTTTTTCTATCCCTTAGCCTATATAAGTCTTCAAGTAGCGATTTTTCCTCTTTGGCCATCATAACGCGTTTTTCAAGGTGAATAGCTTTACGTTCAAAAGTATCTATAAAAAGTTGTACATAATGTTAATTATGCCAGTATAAAATATACACTGTATATATATATAGTTTTTGTATATATAGCATATGTATAAGTTATTTACCATTGCGATAGGGATACCATTCTTTGACGGTAAACCAAGGAGTTTTCGCTTCCTCAATAAATGTATCACTTGTATATCCGCTTGATGTATCTATTATTAAAAGAAAAATTGGTGTAACTCAAACAATTTTCAATTTTTTTACTTACTCTCGATATTCTCCTCATTATCTGTATCTTCGGTCGCACTTGGCGAGTGCATAGAACAAGTTGAACTAGAACCATCGGTACAAACTGTGCTTTCTGTTTCAATGCCTGCTGATATTTCGGGTACTTCTTGAAATTCAGGAATATCTGAACTAGTTAGTTCTTCCGCGTATTCTGTCTCCACCGACGCCATCATTCCTCTTATTTCTTCCGTTTGCGCTATTATCTCTGTCAGTTCTGTTACATCAGAGCACTCCGTACCGTCTGTATATTCAGAGCCTTCCAAACTGTCGGTATTAACGGTAAATTCAGTTCCGTCCGTATCATTCGTTTCCTCACTTTCATCCGAAAATTCGTCGTAAAAAACGGTTTCAGTTTGTCTTACTCTTGTACTGTCGTCTTCAGAAGTTGTATCGTAAACTTTTTTTTTCCCTAGAAAGTTATGTAACCTAGTTTTGAACCAAAACCACGTGTTTAGGAAAAAACTTACGAATTCTCTTCGACTTTAGCCAAAGTATTTCGTTCTCGTCCTGCTGCTCAGATTCAACTTCTATGCCATGTTCCAACAGTTCTGTTCTTAAATCGTCGCTCTCCATTTCGTAATTTTGAAAATTTCAGTATGCGTTTCATCAAATCACGTGCTCTGAAATGACAGGGGTTAGATTAATAATCGAAATAATCGATTTTTATCGATCGATAATAATAAATCGATTTTTTAATTATTAGTCTAAAAACGCCAAAAAAACTTCTTCAACAGTAAAACTTTCTCCCTTTTCATCATTTCAAAGCTTAGAATCATATTTTTATATAGCTTATATTGCGATTATCACATACTTTATTAGTTGCAAAAAGTTGACACTTCTCAGCAAATGTAGGTGACTAAAATTTGAAGATACATACAACTTAATCATATTCATTTTTGAAGAAATACGTCAATAATAATGCAGAATGTGTTAAGAAATCTATCATCTATATTCTTTGTTATTATATTTATAAAGGCTCTGAAAAGTTTAAAGATTTGATTGCATAGTTTTTTGTACAAGTAATAGGGATCAGCTAAAAAGAATTCTATCGACGATTTTGAATTTATGACTTCTTAGAAAATAAATTATTATATTTCAAAAGATTACTATTGTAACTTCTTGGACAGCTGGAGGAAGATAGTATACTTTTTTGAAATGTAACCTTTAAAAAACGGTCATTTCACAATACTTCAAATACGTCTACCTATAGATGGAGCTTCAGAGGGAGGGATATGCCTAGAAATTGGAAATTCAATATATTTCACAGACATCCTGTTGAGAGTACCGTATTATTTATACAAACACGAAAAATTACATTATATCATTTCTAGAGAATAAATAAAATAAAGAAGACAAATGGAGCTGGTTGTGGCTGGTTTTTAGATAGACCCGTTTATCTTATTCTAATCAGTTCCATATTACGTATTCTTTCAGTTTAAACTTTCTATTATTAAGATCTGAATACTATAATTTAACCAGTGTAGACTTTACTTTCTGCTAAAAATGTATCTTAAATTGGTGATGTGAATCTTTCCCACTTTGACTATGGGTAACTGATATATTTAATATAATTTAGAATAAACATTTTTAACAATCCACAGCTGACCAAATACTTATTGATGTTCCTCATCAAGAGCAAGAATGGAGCTGGGACTGTGGTTTAGCAAGTGTGAAAATGATTTTTCAGTGAGATTTTTGACTAGCTAGAAATATTTCATTTAAATTGCAAAATTTATATTCCAGATATTATTCAATTCCGTATAGGAAAGATTTCAATGAAAAGAAAAAAGCCTTGTCTATTCACACTAGCGTATGGACCATTGATTTGTTTCGTTTATTAAGGGCATATAATATCCCTTGCCGTTTTGCCACGATAACACTTGGAGCTAATAAGGATTATAAGTCGATGAGCTTTTATACCGAGGCATTTAGAAAGGATGAATGTCGGATTAATTCCAGTATATCAAATGCCGTTGAAGGTGGTCTTGGTGTCGAAAAACGGCACGTTACACTATCAGAAATAATAGAACATTTAACTAAAAATCTGCCTATTATTGCTCTAATTGATTCAAGTAACTTGAAATGTTTACAATGTCATAATTTGGACATTCTTTCAAGTATATGCCTGGCACCATGTATGAAAGGATATCAGGGTTAGTTTGCCTTCTTAGTTTTAAAGCAAATAATTTTGAACTTTTTACTTCTTAGGCCATTTTATAGTTGTTCGAGGATTCCATAAACAAAAAGAAATAATATATTATTCAAATCCAGCCAAGAGTACTGGTTAGTACATAGTTTTCAAAGTTTATTTAAATATAAACGTTTTCGTCTTCAGATTTATGCTGTTGTACATTCAAGGTTTTCGAAGAATGTCGAACAAGTTTTGGTACAGATGAAGATCTAATATTTATCGACAAGGAGCATACATCCGATATGTGCTATAGCTTGCTGTAGATTTATAAAGAAAATTGTTTTTTATAAAGTTTTCTATTCAAAAATGAAATATTTAAACATACAAAAATAAACAAAAAATGAGGTTCAGCTTGGAAAATTCTTTTTTAGCTTTGAAGCCATTGCGATTTGAGCTTCTGTCGTCATTGCACAACTTTCAGATCTCCAATCTACTCTATCTGGTACATTCAATAAATCGACATCTGCTAGTACCCGTCTTTATAAAGAAACACAAATTAATAATAAGACAAGATATATTAATTTTTACTTTACCTTCCAAAGCTCAAAATCACTCTATTTCCGATTTGTTTGTCCAATTGACAGATGTGTATTTGTCCTTCACTATCTTCGAAGTATAAATAGCCGATACATTCCGGTGATATAACCTAAAGAGAGTGAGATAAGTAAAAAAGAGCTTCAACAATCAAAATTTAATTTACGCTTTTCAAGTGAGTAGTAGCACTATCATAGGATTTGAACGAAAAACCGTTAATAGTAGCGTGTTTCTTCAGAGTATTAGCAAAGTTCGGTCCAACATTTTTTGGAATGGGAAATACCTGAGATTCATCATATTTAATGTAATATAGGTAATGATGTATATGTTCAAACCTGAAGTTGCATGTGGGGCGTTCTATAATTTCTTTCAAAAAATACAACCGAAAAGTTCATAGAATCAAACATGGCTCTTATCTTCACCTTATATCTATTTGAAATGAAAAAACAGTAGGGAGGCGAAAATGAAAATTATTGACAATTTACCCTTCAATTTCGGTGAATGTGTCCTCATCAAGGCTCAAAGATGAAGACAGGTGCTCGACAGGAAGAATAAGAGAATGGAAGGCAATTAAGGGACCTTTTGCTAATGCTGCATAAGCATTCGTTCCAATGTTATAAATCAAATGTTTTTCGACGTTTGGACTTGATAAACAAAACCAACAATCTCCTCCAGATAGCTTATCTATTAAAGAAGAGCAATTTTTGGCGAAATAAAATCATAAGTTAAAACTTACAAGGCATTTTTGGTATGACTTCATTATCAGGCTCTTTAGATATTTCTGAGTGTTTCCTTTTGGTTTTAGTTGGCTGACTTGGAGTATCATAGAAATACTGCCTCGAATCATCGGCCTTCTGCAGTGCCCGTTTTGGAGGCTGCGAAAATAAATGGCAATAAGCGAAATTGGCTTCTAGAAGAAAGATCCACCTCTCTATAGCCAAGAGCAGCTGCAAACTTAGTCATTTCAGGGCCAGTATAAGGTGTTTCTGTAGTTCCCGCTGGTTCTTTACGAAATTCTTCTTTGCTCAATCTCCAAACAGGAGTTAGTGACACAGCGTACATCCACTAATGAGAAAAATACAATGTTTTACTATAATTCTATCTTTAGTTAATAAGAAACAACCTTTTCAGACTTTTTCCCAACATTGGCCAGGCTAATGAATCTTGTCACATTTCCTTTTGAATTCCTGTTTTTAAATTTTATCAAAAGGGTTAATTTGAAGAAATAAACTAAATAACCTGTAAGGAGGTGGTTGGTAAAAAGTGTCATGAAGAGCAGAGAAATGATAGCGAGGTTGATTGATCTGGGCAAGGACAGATATAGTTTTACAATGCCCTTTTATTACATCATCACTAAGATTAGGCTTTTTATCTGCTTTCTTGTACACATCATAAGGCCATTGGGACGTTAACAAAACGTCACATTGCTTGAGCTCGGATAGGTAGTTATAATCCCTTCTGGCGAAAGTCCAAGTTTGGTCAGTATCGTCTTTTGATTGTAGTCCGGACAAATACATGACTCTCAATCCACCACTCAATGAAAGAACACCTCGGCGACCTGGTAAATAATCAGTCCTTAAACTAGTTCTTTAAAAAAAAATCGTTTTACCTAAGAAGAAAACATTTTCAGCCAAATTACCACCACCTTTTACATCTATCTTGTCGAAATGGGCTGCAGTTTCTGGTGAACATGGTCCAGTAACGTAGATAGAACATGGAACTTATGAAAGGTGACAAGTGAACTTTGAAAGAAATTTATCACTTATTCATTAATATACTTACATCTCTTTTCTCCTTTACGAAAAGGGTCCCATTCCTCATTATTCTCACCAAAAAATTCGCCTATACAAAACAATGCCTTGACATTTTTAAATTTTTCAACCGTAGATTTCGCTTTATTATAGAGAGCGTTAAATTTTCCTTTAACGTCTCCACACACTAGACTGTAATGTAAAAGAAAGCATTAGTAGAAAAGCTAGTAAAATGTGTATTTATTACGAATTCAAAGTTTTCAACGGAAATTCTTGGGAAACATTCGAGAATATTTTTGAAAGGTATGAGAACTTACATTACTGAGTTCGTTTCGGAGCCCATTTCGAATACTAAAACGAATAATTAATCAATTAGGCGCAGCTTGTAACAACAGAGCCTAGAAGGCAGTAGTTGAATTTTGTCACTCCACGTATTGTAATGCACGAGGGTAATACTGTAAAGGAAGACAGGAAGCTGGCATTAAGATAGACTGGTTATTGTCCCGCAACCCTTATCCTGAAAGCAATTTAAAAATAACCAGGTGTCAGATTTTTCTCTTTGAGACAAAAAGAGTCAAGATATATGAGCCACAGTCTTTTATTTTGTAAAGAAAATATTATAATAATAGCAATTTATTTATCTAAATTTTTTTATTGAGTACTTTTATGGTATCTCATGATTTGATCATTTGAAATATCTCTTATCAAGTATGGGTACCAGTTCCATGGAGCATAATAAACAGGAAACCATACACCATCGAAAGAAAATTGGCATTTATGAATTTTTTAAAATATATTTTATAAAAATAATAGAAACTATTCGACAGCAGTAAATTATTATTTGCTAGTAAATTTAGCACCGTATTTTATTTCTCAACAGTACTTGTTATATTGCACTTTCAACGCTAGAACCTGTAAATATAAGTAAATAATACATTGGAACAAGATAAGAGATAAGAAAGTTTCTTATTCAAGTTACCTGAAACGATATCAATCTCAAAAGCGCTACCCTCTTCGAACTTTTTTAATTTATGCTTTAACGTTCGAATCTCAAATTCCATTTTATCTTTCTCTTCCTCAACTTTTATAATTTTTGTTGATAATTCTTTATTCTCGTTTGATACAGATTCCAATTCAATAAGAGCCATTGATAAATCTTCTCTAAGATCATCTAAATCCGTCTCAGAAATATCTTGTCTGCGTAAAATGACTAATTGCAAGTTTTTAGATTTCATACTGTTTCTTAAGTCTTCATCTTTCATTGTACAAATCCATTTGTCATTAATCTTCAGTATTCTAATTAATAATTAAATAAAAGAAAGATATTTAAAACTATGTTTTTTTAAGAAAGAAAGAGAAAATTAGAGCCTATATACAAACAGGTCATTTTTAGCTAAATTGCTATCTGGATGAGCATGATGTACTATAAGATGATGATTAGATTCTCTTCCATACATAAATTGTAAACCACAACTTGTATCCAGATTCACAATTTCTATTATCTTTCTCTCTTCTAGGACATTTTCCAGTCGGGGACCTTCTTGTTTAACCTAAAAATTTACTGAGAATAAGGTTAAAAGCTTGCGAATTTTTTTGGCCTACCTCTAATAAATTGAGTTCTTTTTTAGCGTTTTCCAAGTCTACAAGTATCATTCCTTCAGCTTGTCTTAAAACTTTATAATCGTTGTCGTTATGGCCTCCAAGATTTAGGGAGTTACGCTTCTTCCTATCGATTCTTAGTAAAACATGCTTCAATTGCCTCTCCAGTTCAATTATCTTTCGTTCAATTTTACCTATTCGATTGTGGTTTTTGTTTGTTTTCGTTTTTTTTGAAAATGACAAACATTGTTAAAAGAATTTTATTGACAAAATTAAAAGAAAATAGTTTGTTTTACTTTGTTCAATGCAATTTTTACATGTCGCATTTTCGTTAACGAAAGTACGTTGCTGTTTATCAAATTCGTCTTGTAAAGCATTAAGAGCTCTTTCCACCCGGACAACTTCCTCAGCTTTTGAGAACAATCTAGAATTTTCTTCCTTAAGCACAAGCATATTTTTATCTCGTTCCTTAATACTTTCTTTTAACAGTTCAATTTCCCTTAAAATCTGTAAAGAATCGAATTCCTCCTATTAAGATTAACAAATATTAACCTAGCGACTTAGAACAAATTCGTGAATGGTCTTTGTTCAAATGTTTTGTTTAAATCGCAAACAAATACTTACTTCCAAGTGGTCGTCAGCTGTTTGATTAAGTCGCGGTGTGGTTCGTCCAGAATTAATTGGGGTACTGGTTCTCTCCATGAATATTGGTGTAATCGATCTTTTATTAGGTAATTGGGGTTCAGCGGTTGACGGCCTAAATCTTTTTGAAGATGTCCTCTTTAATGGCTTATCGCCTTTATTAATGTTTTAAAAAAAAGTTAATTACATTATAGGTACATATAGAAATAGGCGTTACTATTTTTACTACGTACAATCCAAAATAGACGCTTCGATATTAGCCATTTGAACTTCAACAGTATGTAATTTTGATCGTCTGACTGGCGAAGGTAAAAAACTTTTAGACGCTTTGGCTAAGAGGTTCGAAGCTGTTGATTTATCGCACAAGTAGAATGAATCGTTCTCCAAATCTAATACTATTTCGTCATTTTTTACCAAAGAATATACTGATTTTTCTTTGTCAATCTGTATTAGAACGTAATCTTCGCTATTCTTTGTATCAATCTTAAATTTCCTTAATGCCGTCATAATAACATCTTTACAAGTTGATACAAAAGAGACGCTGAATTGTTTCCCTCTAGATTTTTCTCCTTCAATTTTGTTAATAATTTTGACGCTTGCACCATTTTTGTGACGTAATAGGAAGCGATTCTTGGAATTTCTTCCCCATTCTTTTTGTATCTTGTAGGGAGATTCGCTGGGATTTAATTCGCGATGAGCTCCTTGACGAGCTCCTTCTACGAACCATTCGGAAAGATAGAATAAATTGAAATCATGCGTAACGTTGTGTTTATTAAGGAGATTGTTTACAATTTCCTTAGCAGTAGTATCTTCTAATGAAGCAAATTTTTCAGCGCATAACGATCCTGTTGGAACTATGAAAGGGACTTATACGTCTATTAAAAGTATTCCATAATCCTATATTTTCTCTTTCATTTACTTAATTTAAAAAGATTTCTTTCTTTTTATAACAGAAGAAGGATGTATGGGAAGAAAAATCTATACAAATTTATTGTACTTACTATTATCACCAAAATCATGCCAAATTTCCACCCAGTTCATTGGCCTGAAGGATTTTTTTAGACTTCCCTTTTCCATGTATTTTCCCTGAACTATCCTTTTTACTCCTACTATTTCTTCTTCTTCTTCTTCTTCTTCTTCTGCTTCTACTTCTTCTTCAACTTCTTCCTCTCCCCCCTCCGCGTCCTCTTCCTCCTCTTCCTCCTCATTCTTCTGTGCCTCCTCTTCCTCCACCCCCTCTTTCGTTATTATCTCTTCCGCCGCCCCCACCTCCTCCTCCACCCCCTCTTCTATCATTTTCTTGTCGAGGCCATTTAAATGCTTTAATTTACTTAACTCAACTAATATTTTTTCTCGGTAAGATAAAATTTTAATATTCATCTTATCTAATCGGGAAATTTAGATAGTTAAACATCTTTATATAGATATATATACATATACCGTATACAGTATATGTTCATTAAATAGTTTCTTTGTTACCTAATGCCTTTCCATCAATCAATGGTAATTCTTTAACGGAAATAGCTGAAATTAGAGTCATTATTTTAATATAGGGTTGACTTAAACATGTTGATATTTCGAATTCTTTGTTATTTATATGCTTTATATTTCTTTGATTTTACTTACAACGGAAATTCGGTGAAAATTTTTCAAGTTTGATCGATCCTAACCAGTTATTTACATCTTGACGAGTCCAATTTGATAGGGGTTTTCCCTGAAGAGCGATATTTTTTATGTAAGAATTGATAAATGTATATTTTATTGTTTAAGATGTAAAACGGTACTCTGAATTTTAAATCGTCATCACTCTTATTGGGGCTTGGAAAGTGTTCGATGTTTTTGTTGCCGAAACTTGGTGAGGCAAACACGTCGTATGGTTGAAAATCTTGTAAAAGATCATCGGCTTTACGCCTCTCTTCTTGTAGTTCTGTAAGAGAAGCGTTAATCCTCTTATCCTGATCCTCTGAAGCTTTACGTAAATCCGATAAACGATTTTGTATGAGGGAGCCAGATATTTCTAAGTTGTCTTCGTTCGATAGAGAATCAAAAGACTTTTTTACTGAATGGCGATGCTTTAAAGCTGATAATCCAGCAAGGCTTATCCCTAATTGGCCTGAAAATGGGAGGTATAATCTCAGTTTACAAAATATCTATTTGTCATGCGCTACGTTTTGCTTAAAGATTGGTTTTTATTAAACTTTCTGGAATTTATCATCTTAATTTTGCAACTTGCTACTAAATGATTAACGTTTTATTTAAACAGTATGTACAATAGTCCTACTTACATAATTCTTCTCGCTTTAGATTTAATAACAATGCGCCGTTGACTTTGCTTTCTGCAAGAGAAAAAGGAGAGGTTGAAATACTTGACAAACGAGACAAACTTGCTTCTTTTTTTTCTCTATTTTACCTCTGACAGAAGTAACAGCTCCAATTTGTCCTGTAGCCAAGCACCAATTAACGACGTCTTCTATATTCCATTCTTGTATGTTTTTTACTTTCCACTCGTTTTCCAACAGATTTTGTAATTTTGGAGGCGTTGGTGGTCCGTCAAATGCTGATATATTCGATACTCTGACTCCTATTTGATCTACATTTGGTAGACTCCTAGGTCTGTTGGTAGCCGTTTTAGCAACAGGTATTCTACTCCTTCTCTGCAGTTCGTCAGAGGGGGTTATAATTTGTGTAGAATTTGTAACAGCCGCTGTTGTCGTTATTGGAGCAGTTTTTGGAACATCAACTTGTGGAACGGGGAGTTGTCGTCTCTTCGACGAGAAGGGTGACCGAATAAGATTTTGAAAATGAGACGAAAGGGGACGCCCGCTCTTCGTTGGCAGAGGCAAGGAAGAGCGTACAGATTCTTCAATAGAAGTTTCGCTCTTGGCTGAACTTGGTCTCGATTTCCTCTTCTTAAACATACTCCGATTTCCTAAATGTAATTCCAAAATTTTATTAAATTAAACGCTTTCGATCCAACATCAAACGAATGTTTGTCATGAATGCCTTCATAAAAAAAGTTAATGAAATTGCAATAAACAATTCCACAACGTAGTTTACACCGTCAACTAGAAATATTTAGAATTGTAAAGAAGCAATGCTTTTGTACTAATCCAGTTGTCATAGTCAAGCCGTAACTCGTCCTTAAGCAAATCTTGGTAAATAGGCCTAGAGAATCGATTGCATGATAACGTGACTGCGAGAAAAATTGTTTATTTATATAATATAAAAACTTTTACAAAAAATATGAGCAGTAAGCTATTCCAAGCCAAAAGCTTTAATGAGACAACATTATATAAATAAAGGAATAAAACTAGAGCATATATAGTACTATATACAGTATAGATAGATATAGTATATATATATATATAGTTTATAAAATAGTCTACCATGCATCTAATTAAGTAAAACGTGGATAATAAATGACACTTGACAGACTCCACGAACAAGGAATATGGTCAAACTGTAGTTTCCTAAGAGTATTACGACAATAAGAAGATTTTTGAAAAAAAGAAATATACAGAGATGAAAAGAGAGAAAATTTAAGAAGGAAAGATAGTGTATATGAGAGAGAGAGAGAGAGAGAGAAAAGAGTTAATGAAAGATTTTGAAGAGAAGTTTCTTCTTTCGTTTATACAGTCGCTTATACAATTGTATATATTTGAATTAATTCTTAATGATAAAAAGTTATAAAAAGCGTTCAAGTAAAGTTTTTTATCTTTTTTTTATTATTAAATTTTCTTCAATTGCAGGAGGACTAGCATTTTGAAGAGTAAAATGGTAAAGACGGAAGCGATTTTTTCTCCCTTCTATAACTTTTAGGAAGGAGAAGATAAAAAAGAATTGGCCATAATTATTTCTCACAAGTCGAGTCATGTTCTCTTTTAATTGAACCTGCCAAATCCGACTGTTTCTTCGAATCAGCGGTCAAATAGGAATGGTATGAGAAAGGGAAGATAGAGGGTAGAAAAACTTGAGTACTATGCTTTTCTTTTTATCAGTTTCCAATTTAAAAAAATCCGGAAGAAATTGATAGATGAAATAAATAGATAAAAAGCTTAATTTGAGTAAAATTGTTAATAAATGCGTAGCTTTCCAGTGAATAATACTTTATTATTTAATTTATACATTTAATACTTTTCAGTGTCTTTTTTCTTATTTCTTTTCAACTGTATCATTTTTATAAAAGTTGAAGTTCTGCTTCAATTTCTCCTTCAACAGTTCTAGCTCTCGTACTCACCGTTGTCCTTTGGCTAGTAACTGAAACATTTTTCCTCCATTCTTTACAAAATTTGATCAAGTTCTGTCGAAATGTAGTACCGCAGAAGAAATATAAAACAAAATTAATAGAATGACTAGAGTAATAAATGATATTTGCTAAAGTTTGTAAATCGAGAATAAGCTGAGTTTGCGAACTATTGCCTTTGACAACAACATCGATAATAGCTTTTGCTTTAAAACAATGTGCTGGAGCGTTCAGGAGAACAAAAGCCATTGAGATAATGGATAAGACAATAGTTATCCTCGACTCTGGAATTTGTACTGTTTCACCAGTTAAATCCTGCCTTGCTTTTACCGATTCCCAGATTCTCATGCTCATTCGAATATTAGCTAATAAGATGATAAGACATGGAGCTATGAAAGTAAAAAATGTATCAACATTCGCAAAAATTGTAAGAGAGTAACGCCAATCAAATAGAGGTTCACAGGTCAGTGTAAAATTTGTGCTGCTGTTTGTCAGATAACGGCGTTGAACACTAGTTGCAATCGGTTGAATGAGATAAGCCAAAAGGGCAAAGATAATGATACACAGAACAACTTTACTAGCTCTCTTCGTTGTACACCAAACGTTCTTATGAAGAGGAATAAACACGGCTATATATCTTTCGACGGTCACGGCAAGTACAAACCATACAGATAGAGCCGCTGATACGTGAGAAACGTATGAAAAGATTCTGCAAGCCACTACATTGCTAACTGGATTAATAGAAATCCATTGTAGCCAACTTAATATTAAAACTACCAAGAACAATATGTCAGAGAACGCTAAAGCGATTAAATAGACGCTTGAAGAGTAGTTTCGAAGAGAAGTAAGTAGAAAAATAAATATTGAAAGAATATTTCCAAAAATTCCAAAACCTATAACGAAAGGTAAATAATAGATATGTAGAATTTGATTGAATTTTGTAAATGTTGGTTTGTCAGTAAAGTCGATACTCTTGTTAGGTTCCATCAGGGAAAAGTACCGTCAGAAGAAGCCGACTAACTATCGACTTCTGCACGTCTTATACCCTACCGCCTAGTGACGTCATCTATATATATTCACAACTTCTCCCCCTCCTGTTTCCATAAGTAATAGCATTACTATATAATTAACTTTAAAAAAAAAATCATAAAGATCTCTCTTTCTCTCTCGCTCTTCACTTTTTTTCTTCTGTTTCCTTCTCATATTTTCCCCACACTTGAAATAAATAATAGCAGAAATATAGTATATAAACTATATTAATTTTCATATATGACGTTTTCAAAGTAGTCAAATGAACAATTGAAGTGATTTGTTTAAATTCTTTTGTCGAATAGGCATTTATTCTAATATGCTTCCTAGAAAAATCGTATTAAAAGCAGTTAATGTACTCAAAATCTTATTTATACTTTGATTAAGGACAAGTATAGTAATATCAATAAATTCAATATAGATGTTTAAACTATATAGAATAGCTTAAACTATCGAATATACGTTATAATTTACAGTTTAAACCTATTCTTTGTTTACTTTGTCAACTTTATAAGATTAAGTGATTTCTTCTTTTCCTTAACGTTCCTAAGAATTTCTTATGTAAAATAATAAGATAATTATTTTTTGTTTTCTTAAAAACTATAGTAACCATAAAGAAAATTTGTTACTTTGCAATTTAGGGTGGTGACGTCATGAACAAGATTGATGGGTATTATAATGTTGAAAGGGACTAAATTTAAAGAGTGTCTCGAGAATATGAGATTTCTAGTAAAGAGTATCATCGCTGCTCAAACGCCTAAGGCGTCAAAAGGCTCAAAGGTCTTTTTTATCTCCTTTCATTACGCAATAAACTTGAAAAAACTCTCAACAAAACTTATAATAAATCTAACACAAGCTTCATTTATAATTTGAATTGATAAAAAAAACTAAAAATTATGCATTTTCAATAAATTGTTCATAAATCAACAATCATTGATATTGTTTAATTAATCAAACTTGTATGGATATAAATATACATATATATATACAAATATATATGCTGTATATATATATAGATATAGATATCAAATACATACACATTCATAATAAACGTGACATTAACAATCAATAAATATTTATTAAAAGCCGTTTCTGTTAAAATGTTCAAGTTTGTAATAACAACCTCTTAATCTTTTTTCACTCTTTTTTTAGCTTTTTTCATTGTCCTTTCTCCGAAATTCCTCCATCTTGAATAGGTTAACAAAAGAATAGAAAAGTTTACAACATATATTGTAAAGCAAACAACGCATATATCTTTAAGAACATATGCTAATATATAAGCAAGCCATATAGTTCCTATGTTTGCCAATACTGAACTTGAGACTTGAAAAACAACACCTAATTTATAGGGAAGAATACCTAAAAAAAAATTATAAATTGAAGAAATAACGATTATAGCTTAGACAATTAAGTATGTACAATATACAGTATATTTAAATAATAGAATACCTGCTATTAATTGGAAAATATAGAAAAATAATCCAAAAACACTATTTGGTTGGTTTAGTGCGTGATCATCGCCAATAAAAAATTGTAGTAATCCAAAACCTCGCCCGTATCTGAAACGACATGATATATATTTAAAAAATTTTTAAATTTTCTCAATGAAAATAGTAAATGAAGAGTTGACGATAAGAGTAAAGAGTAAAACAAACAATAAAGGAGAAAACATAATAATTATATTCCATCGATATAGTTCTTTCGAATAATTCTAAAAATGATGAAAGTATTTTTTCCGAGATCAATTTTGTCTTGAAGTACTTCAAGTGCTAGTATAAAGTCAGATTATTCCGATTCTTCATGAGTAGAAAATATACAGAATATATACAGTATGTATATACAATGTTATATATATATATATAAATTTGTACAGTATATTATACCTATAAAGCAGTGAAAAGAAAATAGTATACGCCGCATAATACAACAATATTTAATTTGATTGTTTTGATGCTTCATCGGCAGAAAGAAACTTTATCCTTTGGAATATATATATTTGCGACATATTTTCAGCCGCAAACTCTATCATTTTTTGATATCTAAGAGGATAAAAATAGAACTAATGGAAAGGTTTTTTTTTCAAGATCTGCACAAAATTTTACGATGTGACATAACAATATGTAGTAATATTAATAGCTTAAGTAAAATGTTAATACAGAATTAATTCATCCTAAAGAATTATAAATATTTAAGTATTTTCCTTATTTATGATCATTTTTATCCTTCTATTTTTATCATATGCGTGTGTAGTCTTCACGAAGCTTTAGTAAATATTTTCTTTTGTAAACAAATAAATATCTTTTATTACTTTCAAATAGATAGCTATCTTAGCTTCCCAAAAAAGATTTTCTGAAGAAGTAAATTAATTAAATAACAATGAGGGTGTATTATAAGTAATCTGAAATTTCAAAGTATAATCTAATCAGAGATGTTCCTTAGATAACGACTGACTTTGGAATGTTCCTAGTTTCAATATCATTTATCTAATAAGATCTCAAACCGGAATTAGCGAGATTAATAATCCTTATTGTACTTAATTTAACCCCTGATAAATTAAATAAAACAAGAGCCATCTATCAAAGAAAATTACATTTAAAAAACACCTCTTTGTAAGGATCGCCGGAGAGGGCGATAATAGAGGCTTTTCTTACCTAGATAAAAATACTTTTGAACAGCTGATGCTTTGATTGATGTCGCAGGTTGCTTCATAACTGGGATTAAGAGACTTTGCATGTTCTACATAAAATGCGTATACTGATGCCACAATTCCTAGTGTACAAAAAAAGAAGAATAAAATTCTTTGAAAGGTAGACGGCCACGACTGCATTTTTCTTCCCTAGTTTGTACCCGTTTTCACGTGTTTCGAGCAGACAATTTTTCGAAAACTTTTGGCGGTGTTTAAAAAATGTGTTTATTACTTTAAAAATATGTTTTATTGCTTATAATTAAAAGTTTTAATGTATTATTAAAAATATTCATATACAGATGATGCCATCAGAATAATCTATCATATTGAGTGGATTCGAAATACATTTCTTGGAACACACTGGACAGTTTCGCTCGCTATCGAACCAAATAACAAGGCAACTTTGACAGAATGAATGCTAAAGAAAGGAATATTAATAGAAAAAAAATTTAATAAAGAAGAAAGCAATAGTAAATGTAATAAGATTAAGTTTGACGTACGTCACATGGTAGTATAACTGGACGTTGTGGACAAGGTCTAAGGCACATTGGACAGTCAATATTGCTTGTTGTCGGGTTATCAATCGGAAATATTCCCTATAAAAGAAGAAGAAAACTTATAAAATGTCAATTATTTTATAGATTAATACAAATTAATGACGTACCAATCCTTTAAATAGTAACTTCATGTCTTTAAATACTATTCCAATGGTTGTTAGAATATCGAATGCCTGTCGAAAAATTTAAGAGCTATTCTGTATATAGGAAGTATAAATATAAATTACCTTGATAATACAATAGATATTTAATAAAAAATAATCAATTCCCGTTCCTGATTTAAAGAAAAAACTCATCCATACTCGGAAAGGAACAGCAGAGCGATATAAATAAAACAGATCAGTAGCAAATTTTAGTATAACTATTCGATTTCTCATCGGCCATAACTTATCGGGCATTGAGATCGTAATGGTTTTAAATAAAATAGATCCAAATTTTAATGTACAATCCAGCAGTATTACTGTCCAAAATACTTTGGCCAAATCGTTCGGCTGAGAATCCAATTGAAATATAAAGCATTTATGATACCCCTCATTTTTCAATACAAATATGAAAAGAATCATAACAGCTGCAAGGTAAAATATTTGTAGAAGTAAATAAAATAAACATTCTAAAGATTCTTTTAATATCTTCTGTCTCCTGCTTGTCATACAATGAGCAACAATTGTTCTTTGACATTCAGTTTGCGTCAAAAATACGCAAAGTAAAACTATTACCCAACTAAAGTATTCACTTAATAATTTTAAGGCTGTTTATGTATGTTCATCGGATACACTTTATCTTTATCATTAATATATATTCTTGAAATGTCAAAAAGATTGATTAATTTAATAGTAAAGAGAGAAAAAGAGATATCATTGCGTTTTCCGATTAACAAACAAAAAATGAGTAGGAGGAGGACAATTGGTAAAAAAGTATGCATCTTTGAAATTTTTTGCCATAATGATTTGTATGATTCTGCTTGAGAATTTTGGTCCGTTTTGTCTTTTGGAGTATGCAAATCAAAGGGAAGATTACAATTTTTCGTTGATTCATTCATGAAAGAAATACTTATTTCCTCTGGCTAATAAAAAATATTCTAGATTATCTTAGGTTTTCTTATATATTTCGTCTAACTGACCATGGAATGATTACTCGATGTTGACATGTTTAGTTCTCTTAATTTTCTTAAAGCTTAATACAAATCCTCTTTCGAAAAAATTTCGTCTGCTAGTTATTTTCCAACTATTCTACTATGCTAGCGCCATCTTATTTAGTTCTCTTTCGTTAGCTCCATCTATGCGATAACAATTTGCGAAACACTAAAATTACATAGAAAGCCGTTTTAAAAATACCGCAATTTGTTGAGTTCAGTCTTTATTTGCAACTATCTTATTACAAAGTTGATTTTCCATTTTTCAAATGTAAAATTTATTTAGATTTGGCAAAATGTTGTAAATTCTCAAGGAATTCAATATATTTCTTGTGTTCATAATTCGTACTGAACTCGATGAGATTTTCAGCGAATGAAAGATCGATTCCTCTGTCATTTAGCACTCCAAGAAGGTAATCGTAGACAACTCCATCCAATGCTGCTCCTTCAACAACGAAAGCATTCTCCTCCCATTCGACATCATTCTTCAGCACCGTCACCTCGCTAATTTCAATTATATCTATTTCAAAAAAAGTGCAATAATGAATACAATCATTTTAGTATTGTTGAAAAAAACTCATTTCTCATATACCTTCCTCATTAGATTGTTCAGCATAATCCGCTGGCACATCATATTGTGGGAATACGCACCTTAGCGAGATTGTATACCCATTACTTTTTGTTATACTGACGACAAAAGCTGGCTTAGAGACCAAATTATCTGCCAAGGAATCGTCAGCCTTTTCGCTGGCATTTGCATCTAAAAATAATAAAAAAATAATTAGAGTTACTTGAAAATGGTTGTTAGTATCGAGATTTAATATTACCGGAATCATCTTCAACTGTAGAATTATTGATAGAAAATTTGACGACGATTCTGTAATGATATTCAATTTTAGCTCAACTCAAAGAGAAATACTAATGACATTTACTTTTCTCCATTTTCATTCTTTGTCAGAGTTACCAAAGCGTCGTCAAACTCCACTTTGAATCCTTCTTCATTGAATTTTAGTGGAATATTTCCTTGTTTCTTTTCAAGCTCAATTTCGGACTGTAAAACATCGATGAAGGCTCTATCACCTGAACGATATTGAAAATATTTTTTGATGAATTAAGACAATTCTATATTCTATTAAATGATTCACCATCAGTTTGAATACCGCGACTATGGCCGAATTTTGAACTAAGGATCGGTGTTCTCTTCGTGATGAAATTCCATGATGACCTTGCAGTAAAACTGTCTGCGAAAGCCCATGCGGATAGGCTGAAGTTTCTAACTTTTGGAACTGTTTTAATGCCACTGTTGCCCAAAGCACGCATACCACATCCCAAAGCAAATCTCCAAGTATTTAGAGCCATTTTATGATGTTGCTTGTCGTTTTAAAATTAATATAAAGAAATAATAGAGCTTGCGTTGAAAAACACGTGAAGTGAATATTCTAAATATATTAGTAAAATTTTAGAGTACTACCAGGTATACTACCGAAAAAATAAAAGAACCGCGCTTAATTCAAATACCACTTTAAAAAGTTGTTATTCTTAAAAAATAAATGATAGTCATAAAGATTATGTTTTATTACAAAGTTGGACAGAAATATAATTAAAACACACTTGGTGGTAAATTACTGGTAATTTCGAACAATTCTTTTAAGTTGATTAATGTATTTATAGAACATCTAATAATTTTAATAAATATGCTTCTTTCAACAACATAAAATGCTATTTTCTTTCGTTTTTCTACGATAAAACATTGACGAAAAATTCTTTTTTCCCCTTCATAATATTAACCGTTTTTACGTTATTTCAGCCTTTAAAAGTATTGTTTTTCTGGACGGAAAAATGTGCAGAATGTTAAAAATTTACTTTAAAAGAGAGAATCTAGACGTCTGTCCTAAAAGGAGGTTAAAAAAGAAGTTAGTTAAGGTTTAAAAGAGAGGATACTTATATGTAATTTGTTTTACTCTGATAGTTGATAACTGTTAATCTGTGGAGAAAATTACAATTCTTCAAAAGACACAAAGAAAAAAGTCATTATCTCGTATAATAAACACTAAAGAAATAAGAGAATTGTTCGCTTGTGCATTGTCCTTTCCTTCCTTTTTGATACGTAGACGTCTAGTTGCGATAGAGTTTACTATTTTATTTATACAGGCTACTTTCTAGGCTAAAGCAGATTGAATATCATCCAATTATTTTATATGTTACTTTTATTATTTAATGACCTATATTTTTACTGATGATTATACAGAAAAAGTGAGTAATTTTTTAATGGGTAGTCTATAGTAATAGAGAAATCTTGCGCATGTTAAATAATGATGCTGCTCGCAAACAAAATAAAGTCTAGACTGAGAGCCAGCGCCGTTGTTTGTCACAACGAGATTCGTTTCCGGCTGAGATAGTATAAAGCGAATCGAAAGAGTAGAAATATATGAATTTAAACTGTAATCGTTACATTTTCTCAGGCATACGAAGAGCATCTGTTACAAGAGTAATTTTAAAATTCGTTGCAGAGCTAATCAATCAGTAATGGCAAAGCTAGCAGGTAAATAAATACAAATTTTACATAATAATCGTATTTTCGTGTAGACCTTTCTTTTCGTTGCTGATATTTCATATTGCGAAATAAAATAAATATATCTACAACGTTTTAAAATATCAACTACATATAATGTATCGATTTATATTAAAACTAATTTTAGTTTTCTTGGAAACTGTGGCGTTTTATCTTATATAACGTATCTGTCTAACTTGAAAGTAAATATAACTTAGTCATGAGAAATACTTCCAGATGATAAGCCAGCAACCTACTACCTGAAGTCTATATCAAACACTTTTGGTAAAGGACCGCTGAAAATTGTTACACAAAATGAAAATGGGCCTTGTCCACTAATATCACTCATGAACTGTTGCATTTTGAAAGGTTACATTTCTCTATAGTTGAAAGTTGATCCATTTCTTCTTTTTTTCTTATCTTTACTTTAAAAATAGGTTTCCTAACTCTTGACTCTAAGGAAGACTTAATTACATCGTCCTATATAATTGAGCTTCTAGCTACTGCTGTTACATCAGAATATGCCGTAATTATAAAAACATTAATTATTAATATTACAATTGGAAAAATTATACTAAAGAAATACATTCATTAGGACGACATGGGAAAGACATTTCCACCTCAAAAAATTGCAGAATGCTTGAGTAATTTATCCAAGTTAGAGAAAGGAGTTAATGTTTCTCCACAATTTCTCGGGTAATTTAGAGTTCATCACTAACAACCTTTTTTTGTTTGTTTTTATGCTTTGTTCTATATACAGGGTAAAAGATTTCCTTGACTGTTCTGAATTAGCTCCATTTAAAGTGTTTGGCATTCATATTTATCACGGATGGATTGTGCCTCCAACAAACCCATTAGTTCAAAATTACATTGGAACTCTATCGTAATACATTTAGATATATATATATATATATATATATATATATATATGTACAGATATAATAGTAAAATGATGCTACCTTTTGAATATTAATTACCTCACTAGATATGAAGAAATATGCGAAAAAATGATGAGAGAGGAAGATAATGGCGAAAATATTGAATCAAGTATGAATATATGTGACTTTTTTTATTTTTTATCTTATTTATTGATTGTGCAAATTATTTAAAATAGGAATTGCTACTAATCAATGGATGCTAGACAATTCGGCTCAAATCACTGATTATGGTCTAAGTAAAATTAGAGAAACAATGATGGAAGAGGAAATTGCGGTGCTATTTAGAAATAATCATTTTTCGACTATTACTAAATCGCAGGTAAGTTACTAAAACATTCATTTTCTTATCGTAACTTATACGTGAAGAGATAGTACAAATGGAACAATTATTAATAGTAGGATATTGTAGGAGGGTTTATCTTTAGGAAGGGGGATAAGTAAAAAAAAAAGAGGAAAATATTAATAAAATGTATACTATTTATAATAAAATAAGATTACCTGATTTAGATATTATTTGTAAACAAGCTTTTTCCATATTATATCGTTGCATAAAGAAATCAATATGGGTTTTTATAAATTTACAATTTGTCGTACCAATACAATCGGTAAATTTCTTAGAGTTTCTAGATGGGAGAAGATTAATATATTTTTAGATAATTTATAATCAGAAAAGGTCAAACACGTTTTGTAGATACTAATTACCGGCATATATAATCCGCTTCAGTAACGTTTGTGAAGGATGATGCAAAAAATTTCTCTGAACAATAATGAAGATTTGCTAAATCATCCAAGTAACTATTACAATCTATTTAAATAAAAAGTAAATAATAACAGAATAAGCAATTTATATTATAATTAATATTACTAAGAATTATATAAATTAATACCAACGGCTTATATCAGATATGCTAATGAGGAGCTTTGTATGTAATTTACTGTCGTTGAAGCATTTGCTTATTCCCGATTGTATTTCCATTTTATTGATAAATTTATAAAAATTGGCTACTTCTTGACATTTTGTCTCGGCTAAACAATCCAAAACCATTTCTACAGCTTTACAATAATCTCCATCCGTTGTTTGATTGACTACTATACCATTTATGCAGGTCTCTAAATAATCAATTTCTTTATTTCGATTATAACAAGCTGTAACCGAATAGAACAACAATCGTAACACTTTATTAATATGTATATATTTATATATGCATATAAAATTTGTTACTTTCTAATGATCGACAGTATCCCAATGTTACATCGACGTATTCCTGAGTATAATTCGCCAATTTTTTAACTCTAATAGGGCATTTTTCCAAGTTTAGATTTCTACCGAATTCTCTCGTTTTGGCGTTTGTTAGACGGCTAAAATTGTTTTTTATTTTATTATAAAAACGTTATATATTTCAATTGAAAACAAAAATGATAGATTTATTCTATCTTTTTATATTATTATTATTTATTGTACTGTACCCGCATAAGTCAAATATTTCAAAATTTGATAATTTCAATATCTCTCTGGCGCCTTTTGGTTTATCATCTTCGTATGAATTTTTTTCCTTTAAAATTTCTCTTAAGGCTTCGGAAACGCTTAAAATATTGCATTCATTTTCGGTTGGATCTTGGAAAATGGACAGATTTATTTATATAAATAAATAAGTTTTATTTAGATAGCTTACTTGTAAAATTACCGCAAAACGGTTTCATTAAAACCATATAACTGTAGGTTGATATCTCCAAATATTTATCCATTATTGGACAATCGATAGCTTCGTTAAACATACATTCAATAAGCTCGTAGGCGGCTATACAATAAAACTCCAAATTGTTACTTTCCTGATAGGCATCTTTCATTGTAACATCGAATTTAGTACGACATTTTTTTATATTATTATTATGGTTAAGGGTATCTTTACAAGTTAGGAGCTCTCTTTCAAACACCTTTGAACTGAGGGAGAATTCAGAAGGTATTTTAGCGTTTGGACAGGTTCCCTTTAAGGCTTTTTGAAATTTTTTTGATATTGAAGCGGCAAACGGACCCAAAATTTGACACGATGATATAATAGGAAGAGCGCAGGAAATAGCATCTTCGAATTTAGAACAAATTGATTTGTGCGAAAAGAAAACGAAACATTGATAGAGATCCATAGCTTTTTCCACATATTTCCCACATTTGTCAACGGAAAGACATTGTGGACTCTTGTTATTAACAGCTTTCTGCAGTTGATCCAAGAATGATTTATCTTCGCAATTCTTTAAATTTGATCTTAAACAAGCTTTAGATTCGTGCATTCTCACTATTTGACCCCTTTTTGTTTATATATAAAGAAATTTTGTATTTTTCTTACGAATATTAAATAATAAGATAAATAAATTGTACCTGCATTTCTCTTCAATTAATTTAGGATTTGTAAATTTTGAAAATGATAACATAACGTTATTGAGATCTTTTGTGCAAGAACTAGCCGTTATAGCGTCACATTTGTAGCCAAAACCATACTCTAATTGAATATTGAAAACGATATAAACGAAAACTACTCTGAGAAACGACATGACATCAACTGAATTATAAGTTATTGCGGATTAATAAGACCACTCCCTTTTATTAAAGGGATTTTGAAATCATTTGAAAAATTTTATTAAATTTTAAACAGGGAAAACTCATCACTCTCGTCACTGATCAGGGATATCTTGATCGTCAGAATATCGTTTGGGAAACACTCTCGGTGACTGGAGCTGGTATTTATTTAAATCATCAATTTCAACCAATTGCCGGGGAGGAATCTATAAGGTTTTAATAAAAAAAACCTTTAGATAATAATTATTAAAATGTTTTAATCGTTATTCAATTGATTCCAGTTTAAATAATTATTACTCATCGGACTTAACTTCATTAGAAAGGCAGGAGAAAGAATACGAAGCTGTAGCTGGTCTTATGATGATGAAAAATTCTGGAGAGGATCTCATGAAAGCTATCGATGAAGATCCAACGATAAGCGAAGAGTTAGTCATTTTTTATGCATGTTTACAATACGAATATAAATTTTTTTAATCTTTCCAAAAAGCGATAGGAAGGCGGTTAAAATGGCTCAACAGGAGCTAAATTTAACCAGAAGGCAGGAAGAAGAAGATTATAGTCTTGCCAAAGCTCTTGAACTTGAAGAAGCTGCTAGGCAAGAAGATCTAAATGTTGCAAAAGCAATGGAAATACTCCAAATGGTAATGTTGGCAGACAAATGAGATGAAATAATAATACATAATCAACTTGATTGATTTAATTTTTTTCCGTTTATATTAGGAAAAGGAAGAGGAAGAAATACGAAGTCATAAAGTCCCAACACCGCCATCCTCATCGTCCAATGTAAGAGAAATAGAGCTTAATGAGCCTAGTCATTAAAAAAAAAGCAAATTAGCTTTTTTGTATTCTCAACACTCTCGTCTGACCTGTATTATTTAATTTATAATTTTCTCTCTCTTTCTCTCTCTCTCTCTCTCTCTTGTTATTTGAATTATCTACCTCTTATAATCGCTTTTTCCTTAATTATCACTGTTTCTATTTCTTTCTCACCTCTTTGCCATTATACAGTATATAATATATCTATAGGTTCATATGTCTTTATATAGGCATATTATTTTTATCATGTACATTTGATTTATTAATAGCATATTGTTGTTCTTGCCCATATAATTATCATTTTTTTTCATTTTTGCAGAACTGCACCATATTGTAATAAGAAGTATTGTAAAAAAAAAAAGGGAATTTTCGTGGTGGTGCTAAATCTTTTAAAGGAAAAAAAGAAACTAACACAGAAAAAAAAACAATCGAATAAATAAAATGTCCAATTAATGAATTGATACATTGAAATAGGATTGATGGTAGAAATGAATATCTTTTGAGGATTTATTATATTTCCTCTTCTTCTTCTTCTTCTTTTTTAAATAATATCTCGAATTTATTGGACGCAAAAATGTCCTTCGAATTGTGAATTATTCTGTTTACAAATGTTTAGTAAATTTTGTTTTTTTGGCGCACTGTGATTGTTCTTTTTTCTTGGGAACAATTTCAATTTTTGTTGATCCAAGACTATTTAGCTGTTCTAAATATTAATAATATTTATAAATGAATTAAATGTGAGAATTATGGTTTTTAATGCTATTTGTTTTTATCAGGTTTTCGTATATATTCTTAATTTATATAAATGTAACTTATGCAAATTGTTCATGTAAATGAATGAGAGAAATTATACTGTTAATGTTTCTACTGTAATTGTCCAATGGTCCGCTCCTTAGCGTTTATGACTCTTTTATCTGCAGATGTATTTGTCTTGTATAGATCTTATTGGGATTTTGGGTGAGAAGAAAAACGCAAAATTTTTTATCTACTGTTTTTAGCAGATAAATTACATTTTTGACTGATTTACAACTTATGGTTTTTACAGGGTAAGTTAAGGTTAAGCTTGAATAATCATAACGTTGCTCGTTTCAGATATGTGTCAAGTTATGGCTTTGTTTAAAAAACCTGATCAGTTGTAAATTTATCACAAACGTGATTTATCAGTATTTTTATAATTAAGACGTAAATATGTATTCATAAGTTATGTATAATAAAAATTATCGACAGTGTTTCCCAATCTTTTCAACAATTTTCGTATGCTACTTAATGACTTAACATATAGATCCGTTGGCTGTTTAAAGAAATTTCTTTGATAAAGCCAAGCAAAATTATCTCTAATATCGTCGAACATTGGAAACGTCACTTCTTGGTCAAAGTCAAGAGCTTCGAGGTCATGAATAAGGTTCTTGACCCTCCTTTTCTCTCCCGAATCTTCATCAGCACGATGAAAGTCGTCTGCCATCGTTGTGAAATTTTTGTGTTTCCAGTCTTCGTCGCAAGCCTCGCAATCGCAGTCAAAAAAATATTGTGCAAGGAGCTTATTTTGTCTGCTGGGCTTGTCCAGCGTTGCAAAATTGTTTCCATAATCCACAAAGATTTGCTCGTTTCTTGCAATTGGTTTGATCGCTCGTACCGTACATGTGGAGCCAGAAAATATAAAATCCACATTCGGATTGCACGAATGATTAATACAACTTATATCTGGGTATAAACCCATACTATTGTCAGACATCTCAATCCCATTACAAGTGATAATAAAGAGTGCCCTTAACATCTTCTTATGATTTCGAATTCCTGTGAAATAGCATATATAATATGCTAAAGCTTCAAATTGCAAGTGCTCAAGGTTGGATCTTTTCAAATTATTTGCCACCATATTTATCCATTCTGAATCTTCTCTAAGTAGCAGCTTGATAGCCAAGACACCCAATTTACCAATAGAATGATGATATAAGACATTAGCCAATCCGCAAATTATCTGATGAGCTGCAAAATTTTTCGCGTAGCAATCTTCCGTACAAAATATATCATCTGGACAAGAATCGCACGGATAAGGCGCACCTGTTTTTTTAGCACATCCACTACATACTCCTCTGCCTGGTGTCACGCTGATCTCATAAGGTTCCCTAGACAAGATCTTCTCTCCAATTCTAATCGCCCTTGTGGCGTACATTCCTTTACCCTTTTTACCAGCTTCATCTATTTTAAACGGCTCAGAAGGAGGAACAACTGCCGGTGCTATTTCAGCATTTTTTAACTCTTCAAGAAGCGACTCGGAAGGATTTTTGCTGTTTTCTGGTTCAATTTCTATCGCCTTTTTAAAATATTCTAACGCCGTCAGCTTTTCATCCAAATGAAGACAGATATGACCAAGTCTTCGAAAAATTTTCGCTCGACTTGGCACAGGAAAACCGAAAAGACACGCCAAACTATCCTCCTTAGCCTGCAACAGCTCTTTTTCAGTTTTCAGCGAGTACAGAGCAGCTGCCCTATTAGCCAAACAGTATGACCATTCCAGGGAACCTCTATTGCTCAGAGCGAGAGCCTCCGAGTATATTTTAATTGCAGTTGTATGCTTTTTATGAGCAAGGTATTCATTGCCCCTTTGTCTTTGCCGCATTGCTTTTTCCTCGTCTATACGCCTCTTCATTTTGTACACTTTAATTTCCTTAAGTAATTCATCCAGCGTGTTTAGATCTCTACTTATGTGTCGTACTTCATACATTTCTCCGTCATATTTGGCTTTCAAATGTAACAGAGTTTTTTTAATAAATTCATCATACTTGATAGTAGCGTATTTAGCCATTGGAAACTTTATTACCCTCTAACCGTTCTTTCACACTGTTTTAGAGAAAATGGAGTAATTTCAGAACGCGTAGGAAGCGGGAAAAACACCTTTTAACTATAAAATTATTCAAATGACTTTTAAATATATATACTTTTAACTTTTATAACATTTCTATAAACTAAACTTTGTTTTATGAATAACGATACTCTAAACGCTTAAAAAAAGTTGTAAAAAGTCAAGAACTATATTTTTTCTCTCATATTCCGTAAGTAGTCCAGTGGAACATTGTTTTTTATCGAAGAACCCACGTGTTCAACCCCTACTCGAAAAACTACTCATATACAAATATACATACATATACATATACAATATAATGTCACCAACATACTTTTAATTCCTGGCTAATACTCATTAAAAAATAATAATTGATTATTAATGTTTTACCGCCTACAAAAATTTATTTAAGCATTGTTTTTCATATAGGAAAATAGACTAAGTCTATAGAAAATTGCTATAAAAAAAAAAAACTAAAAAGAGGGAATTATAATCCAACTTTTAACACGATTTGTATTAAATAACAAGGAAAAAACAATGTTCCGCAGCTAAACTTTAGTTAAAAAGAAAAAAAAGTTTTGGTAAATATGCTGGAATACCAACTCCTAGATAAACAATGCAGTCAAGTTCTACGTATTAAGGTCAGGTGGAAAAAAAAGAAGTTTGGGTGGTTAGGAAAAATATACTAATATATGGGCACACTGTATATTTAATATCAATCTATATGTATTTATATTCAGTATATGGATGTATTTTGAGAGAGCGTAAGGAAGGGAACAAGTTAAATTTTGGACAGGGTGGAATAATAATTTAGTTAAGTACGGTAACTGATACTATACGCTGATAATTATACACTTATTACAATATTCATGAAACACTCTTGACCGACTACCGGCAATCAGTTTTCTCATCAATAATCATAGAAAGCCAATCGCTTTTTTGCCGGCACCATAATCGTGCCAGCACCGTATATGGCTCACAGCGGAACTTTCAGTACGGCTTTACCGCCTAGGTATAGTAAGCAAATTTCGAGGAAACAAGTCACCAGAGAAGAAGATGGAGAGGATCAAACAGGAGATTATTCTGCTCCTAAGAAAAAAGAGCGTCAACAATGGAAGAAGAAGATGGATTTTTTATTGTCTGTTGTTGGTTTCGCCGTGGACTTAGGCAATGTTTGGAGATTTCCATATATCTGCTATAGAAATGGTGGTGGAGCCTTTCTTATACCATATGTTATCATGCTTATTTTCGGCGGATTGCCTCTATTCTATATGGAATTGGCGTTGGGGCAATTTCAAAAGTCGGGTTGCATAAGCGTTTGGAAGAAAATATGTCCGATGTTTAAAGGGATAGGTTTCGGTATAAGTGTTATAGCGAGCTACGTAGCTATGTATTATAATACTCTGATATCTTGGTCGCTTTATTATTTTTTTTCATCATTTCGGTCGCGATTGCCTTGGGATAACTGCAATAATATTTGGAATAATAAAAACTGTACTACGAATCAAACATTGGGCCAGTCAGCCGCCCAACAATTCTTTGAAAGACATGTTTTAGGTGAAAACAAGGCGAAAGGAATTGAAGATATTGGTAATATTAGATGGCCAATTGCCTTATGTCTGATGGGAGTTTTCGTACTTGTCTATTTCTCTTTATGGAAAGGCATCAAAAGTTCCGGCAAAGCTGTTTGGGTAACAGCAACGCTGCCTTATGTTGTTTTATTTATTCTACTAATAAGAGGTCTAACTCTTCCCGGCAGTCTAGAAGGTATAAAGTTCTATTTGACCCCGAGATGGCATTATCTTTTAAAATCCAAAGTTTGGGTGGATGCTGCGGCGCAAATATTCTTTTCCCTTGGTCCTGGTTTCGGAGTTTTGCTTGCTCTATCTAGCTATAATCATTTTAACAACAACTGCTATATGGATGCTTTGATAACTGCTTCTATAAATTGCGCAACATCTTTCCTTGCTGGTTTTGTGGTGTTTTCTGTGCTGGGCTATATGGCAAATAGACATAATAAGAGCGTTGACGAAGTAGCAAAGATGGAAGCAGGCCTAGTATTTATCGTTTATCCCGAAGCTTTAGCTACTTTAGACGGTTCTGTATTTTGGGCCCTCATCTTTTTCCTGATGCTAATTACATTGGGTCTTGATTCAACTTTTGGCGGATTGGAAGCCTTAATTACGGCTGTCTGCGACGAGTGGCCTGAAAAAATTGGGAGGAGGAGAGAGTTATTTGTTGCTTGTCTGGTAGTATACTGCTTCATTGGAGCTCTAGCTACAACGACAAATGGTGGCCAGTACGTTGTAACGCTTATAGATACTCATGGAGTTCCAATTTCCATATTATTTATATGTTTCCTAGAAGCCATTGCGGTTAATTGGTTCTATGGAGTGAATAGATTTAGTGAAGATATTAAAAAGATGATAGGCTATTCACCTGGAATATTTTGGAAGTTGTGCTGGAGTGTTATTAGTCCTGTGTTCTTATTTGTAAGTTAAATAAATATAAAAATATTTTGAATATTTATCATACATATTCATCTATCTTCAGACACTCTTCATCTTATCTATAACTGGATATACAGGTTTAGAATTGGAAGGCTATGTATTTCCAAAATGGGCATCTAGTATCGGTTGGGCGATGACCTGCAGCTCTATAATTCCCATACCTGCTTATATGATTTATCATTTTTGTTTCGTTTGTAAAGGATCCTTTAGAAAGGTATTGTCACCTCTAAAACATTCTTCTCATTTCTAACCTATGACAAATAACAGAGACTTCGGGGAATGATTACTCCAAAGCCAGTAAAGGAACATTCGAGTAGTAGAAACCGTAGACGCCACCATGATGCTACTTACGTTTAAAAAAACAGAAATATTATTTATGTTATAGTTTTCTTAGAATACAGAAAAAGTCGTCACATTCGAAAAACTTTAACTGCGTAGCGCCATCTGTGACTCATAAATAATTCCGAAATAGGCCTCTAACATTACCATATAAGGAAGTATTTCCGTGTCGAGCACTTCCTTTAGTGGTCTTTTTTTAAGCAAAAGAATTTTTATGATATTGCTTAGTTGGCTACGTACTTTCAATAGATAAACCATTCATTCGAAGATAAAATATTGTTTATTAAAAATATGAGTACTGAAGCGTCTTTTGGAGATTTAGAAGCGTTCAAACGGGCCAATGCTTTTGTTCGGTAAATATTTAGTAAAAAAACACTAATACTATATATTTATAATGTTATCGTACATATGAATAATTCCATAAGGATTTCCTAACAAATGTCGTACTTATAGGGAAGATGGACAAAACAGGGAAAGAAAAGCATGGCTTCTAGTTGAGCATGTTAACGATAATCCATGTAGTCTACAACTATGTGCCACCAGCGAAGATAAAGGAGACAGTCTGGATGAATTTGTGTCGAATCTTAGGGATGATCAAGTTATGTACGGCCTTATCAGGTTAACAAGCTCGGTTGATATGTCGACGACAGTTAAATTCGTTTATGTTAGATGGTAAGCTCATCTCTTTTAAAATTCTCTTATCTACTTATATTTAATCGGTTTAAACCAAAATTTTTGAAATAGGATTGGGCATGAGGTACGTTTCGTCAAACTTGGAAAATTCGGTGTTGTTCATGGCAGTATCTCGAAGAATTTTGATCAATACCACTGTTTCGTAGAGACCAGCAATAAATCAGAACTAACAGAGGCTTGTTTAATGGACAAGTTAGAAAACAATGCTGGTACAAGAAATCATGTTATTGATGGTCCAACCGTTGGTAGGCAGGAAAGAGGATTCACCGCAACGCAAACACAAACAAGGAAAGAATTTAAACCGTCCCGAGTAGCTCCGAAACCATTGGCAATTGATGTTGCTCCCGAAGTTTATGAAGCAATAAATAACGTCCATTGCGATTACGAGGAAAACAATTGGTGCTTAATCGGTTTTGAGAATGGTAAAGTTGATAAGAAATTAGTTCTCTTAGACGAAGGAGTTGGTAATTTTGAAGACGTCAGTTCGAGATTCGAAGATGATCAAGTGATGTTTGCCCTGTACAGACTAACAGATAAAATAGATGATATTTTAACTGTAAAGTTTGCCTATATATATTGGTAATTTCTTTAAGATATTTTCATACTTTTATTTCAAGTACTCATTATTTTATTATACCACTTAAAACATTGTATAAAAAGTTTTTAGGCTTACAGTAATTTGATATTGTAAAATTCAGGCTAGGAGAAAGAGTAAAGCCTTTGCAGAAGGCTAAGGTATCAGCATATTGCCAGCCGATTGAAGCCTTGTTTAGAGCACACGTTGGTCTGACAATGTCAAGTAGAAGTGAAGCAAAAGAGTCGGTAATCGTTGAAAAAGTAAGATACCACGAATAACGTACTTTGTCTATATGATTTATAATTTATTATGTTTTCTGTTGAACAGGTGTCAGCTAGTACAGGATCTAAGATTTGGGTTAAATAGCAAAAATACCATTGATTGGCTTTATTTTCTTTGAATAGATGCCATATTTGTTACTTTTACATATTTCTGTATTAGAGCTAACGAATATTGTTCTTGTAATTTGCCTTAAGTATTAGTCTTTCTTTACATGAGAAATTCAAATATATTTAAGAGTATATATATTTATATTCATATATGTATACTTGTAATAGAAATTGTCTTCCCCATACTTGTTTTATTATTCGAAATTTGATACAACTGAAACAAGTTTAACCGTTTTTCGAGGACTCTCCATCGCGTTATCCTTTTTGAAGTTGTTTGTTTTGAATCTACTGGAAAATAATATGCATGAAAAATCTTAATAGATATGGATTTGTCAAGGGAATAACATATTATATAGTAATCTCTTTTACAAGTTTGTAAATGATTGTTTACGATTAAAAGTATTTGCACTGAAAATACTAACGATAACGTTATATTTACTGAAGTTGCTTATAGTTTCGTCTATTATAAATGCGTTCCGTGATCCGCTAATAAACACAGCTCTACAAGCTTCACCTTTAAACATATAAACAAAGTTAATTTTAGCAGTCCGACTTTCTTGAACTTTGATGGAAAATTTCGTTCTTGGGTGATGTGGTACTAGCGCCATCTCGTTGACTAGAGTGTTCTATATTTTTTTCGTGTTCAACATGGCGAACTCTGGTGACGATGGTTGGAACGCTGGCTTTACAAATACGGTTGAACTTTTAATTAAATTTCATATAAGGGCGATTCATCTATTCATAAATATACTATAGTTGTGTTTATTAAATTTGTTATGTCCTCCGATAATAATACGTTTATTTATTTATTTTCACTATAAGTATTTTTCGCTTAGATCATTTTTTTCGTTTAACAGGATAACAAAACTTCTGTCATTGACATGGAGTCCTTTGACGATCGAGACCCTGAAATAGAGTTAGCTTCTTCTGATAGTAAGTTTTATGCAAAAATTCGACCAGTTTTAATGATAAAGCATTATTACAGATATAAGTTTTGGAAATGCCAGAGTTACTTTCCTCTCAGATTCACAAACTCCTAATAAATCTGTAAGAACAAGTGAAATGGACAGTTCTTCTGAGGGATTGAGAAAAAAAGTTGCCGAAAATGTTACATCTTTCGTATGTATTTCTATGTAATTCTATTGACATTGTAAAATCTTTATCAATATTCTATTGATTACCAATAGATGTGGGATGCTGGAAAGCAAGAAGCCAAAAAAGCCTTCTCATCCTTTTCAATTTATGGGAGTATTGATATTCTTAGACCTTATTTTGATGTTGAACCGTACGAAGTTAGAAAGAGATTACTATACTCTCTCGTACCATCTAAACCAACTACTCAAATAGTTAGTGTTTCTTTAAGAAATGTGAAATGTTCTGTAGACTACATCGTTTATTATTTCGTTTACCTTTCAGAAATTAATGAGGGAGCTTTACGGTCCCCTAATGCTAGTCTTCACTCTTATAGCCATCTTGCTCTTTCAAATGAAGACTTCAGATCATACAGTGGTTTGTGTTAGACTAGAAATAATGATGCAACAGTTTTCTAATTATAAACTGAATTTAATAGCAAGAGGGAACTTTGATGGGTACTGCTTTCGCCGTCTGTTTTGGTTATTGGATCGGAACTTCTAGCTTTGTTTGGGTTTTAAGTTATGTTTGCAATAGTCGAATTCAACTTGTACAAATTATGTCAATGATTGTAAATAATTTTTATCTAAATATTTCTCATTCTTAAAATATTTATTACGACTGTAATTTATTTTTCTTCCCCATTCTCCGCAGGGATATGCTCTATTTGCACATTGTTTAGTTTTAGGATTTGGAACAATTTGGCACTCTGGACACGATCATGGTCTTTTCTATTTACTATGGTTGATATTAGGAGGACTATCGACCGTAAAAATGGTTAAATATAATTGTTCAACTTTCTTCATTTAAATTGATTACTTTTTTATTATTATCTAGGTCTGCATTTTATTGGGTAGAACGAACGGTCAATCTCAACGGTTAATCATCTCCGTATTTGTGGCAATTTTTCACATGTGCTTCCTATTATATCTGCATTTTGCGTATCACAAGATTGTTTTGGGTAAGTACAATTTTGAATTATAAATAAGTACGTTTTTGTATCAATCATCTACCTTTTATTTCATTTGTAGAAGTATCAAATGCATTAGATGGAAGAAATATGGCAAATGTCCCAATAAATCCTTCTGATGATGATTCTCACAGTTAGTTTGCCTTATTAATGATCTTTTACTTTTTTCTGCTGTTTATCCAGCACTTTTTATTCTATTGGTGGTCTGAAAGCAGGAAATGGGTGTATTATATTCTGTATCTGTCTATATAGCTAACATATTTCTCCTTTTCGTATATTCCCTCTCTCTCTCTCTTTACCTATCTATCTATTTTCATTCTTATTTTGGTCCTAAATAGTCTGTTAATTGATTGATTGTCTTTTAAATTCAATTTATTACTTAATTAATTAATTAGTCAGCTTTTGAAAGATTTTTTATTACTGTTTGGTTTTCTTTATTTTTGCGTCAATTCTTCAGCGGCAGAGATTAATCCGTCCAAACTTGAAAAAGGATTAATTATTGGGAAAATTGTTGAAAAAGCAGCTAAACTAACCATAAATTCAACCGTATCGAATGTTATCCTTAGTTAGAAAATCATGTCCATTGAACTAGTGAGTTTTTTTTTAAAGAAATATATATATATACTGTATATATATACTGTATATATTATATAAATGTATATATGCTGTATAAATGCTATTGATTCTTTGTACTTTTCAACCACTCCTATCCCTTAAACCCCTTATCCTGCTTTCAAATTTACATATATTATATTAATATATATATATATAATTTCTAATGAAATTGTAAACCATTAATTATAAATCTCTCAGTCTAATTATATCGTATTGGACTTTGTACTTTTGGGCCAAAAAAAAAACAATTCTATTACCCTTGCTTTTAGTTCCTTGCTCATAATGTATTGCCTAAATGAAATTAATTCTATATATGTAAATTTAATATGGTCTATATAAATGTAGGGTGAAATTTTACACAAATGTTTTTTTACCGTGTACAGAAGTTTGAGGTTGTTTCGAAGATGACAGAACTCTTTTTGAGAAGTTGGATGAATTTTTTCTATAATATGTGATAATGAACAATATTTTGTTTTTTTTTCTAAAATAAACATTCTTCTAACTGTATTTCGTAACAAAAGTTTTTGTGAATGTCTTAATTTTCAGATTTCACACTATTTATATCAAAATCTCGTATCTCATCCTCAAGACTTTGAGCTAGATCTCTTAGCGAATCCACTTTGCTGCTGATGACTTGAATACGTTCGTTAGCAAATATCGGGGTGTCTTGTGAACCGATTTCAAAGGACGTCTGAGCAACACTATTCAGGGAATTATAGCAAGCCTGATAGTTTGTGCCGTTTTTCTGAAAGAGTCAAAAGTTTAAATTATATCTTCAGTTATGTTGAGTTATTTTTTATTACAATAACAGCCTCTCTTTTTATTTGAATAGTGTTACGCAGTCCTATGATAGTCTGCCAAACGACATCCTCATCTTCTATATAATTTGTTTTTTCACGGATATTCAGAGTTCTTATTAAAGTTTCGAGAATCTGTAGTGATAGATTAGCTATTATTATTAGTTATACTTTCTTCCATTAAGTACTTGAAATACGTACGTCTACATATTCTCTCAGGGAACTTATATAAACGAGGCCGCTCTGAGAAAACATGTTTATGGCCGCTAATGTTGCATTAGTTGCTGAATTCTTTAGTAGTTCATGAGGTGTCAAGTCTTGTTCTAACTGTTGCTGTCAAAGAATAAGCATTTAGTTAAGACAAATTACTGTACAAAGCCCATTATCGCTCACTCTCAAATTTGAAAGACTATCTTCCGCCTCAGACACGTATGCCATTCCAGCTCCAACTCCAGCTCCAACTCCAGTTGCTCCACTCGATGACATAGCACGTCGCACTCTAAAACTGCCTCGTCGAAATCGCAAAAAATGAGGTACGTACAAACTCTTGAAACTTCTTAGCATGAAAGTTCCAGGTAATTTGCCCAGCATGTCAATATGGCAGTATTGAGAAATTGGCAAAATTGTCAACCAGTTGTCTCGTAAAAAATAGCGCCATCCAGGCCAATATAAATTAAGAGTAATGCGTTTGAATTAGGTTCAAATTTCATAAAAAAGTGTACTTAACAGACTTAGATAATCTAATTTGTCAATATCTTAATGTGTTATTATTTTTAGTTAAGTAATTTGCTATTTTAGCAGTTAAGAGTGTTCACTTTAACAAGCTTTAAATATTTAAATGGTGTAATACTTTAAAAAAAAGCCACCTACCTATAAAGCAATTTCAAACTTATTTTCTATAATACATATACAATAGTAATTCATCTCTCCACACTTCTGATTTCCATCAGTTAAGGTTGCAAAAAATTTCTAATAGGGTAAGTTCCCTCTTGCAGATGTATTATACGAAAATTTGTTCTATATTATTGAGAAAATATTTAAATATTATCTTTAAATCAGGTAATTATTTATTACATTTGATTTTTTTTATAAAATATTATTTATGCATCAACATGAAAGAAAACATTGTGCCGGGCGGATACATTTGGAAACCTTTTGCGTAAATAAATATGACCTTGACCTTGTTGACTACATTTACACACATTCAGCGTTAAAATAACGTACACCTACTAATTTTTGTAGATTATCAGAGAATCTACTTGTAAATTAAGTTGTAAAATATCTCGATAGAAATTCGAATGGATTAAAACAATATCCGAAAAAGGAAATTTTATCTTAAGAAAGGATTTTATATTTTAAAAAAGACTAGATGGATTTTACGCCATCGATTTCTTCAAATTTTTATCTTTTTAGCTGATTCCTGTTCTTAATCTTTAAATTCAACGTTTTATCATTATTCATTTGTTGGATATTTAATTGCCTGCTAAATTGACAGTATTTTTTGTGGTAAAAGCTGAAAATGAAAAGAGCCGAAGATGAGTGGCTTCATCAGATTCTGGACGAGATTCAGCTGGAACAATTTTTCACCCCAATAAAAGATGAATTGCAAGTAACAAGATTGGAACATTTCGACTTTGTTAAAAATGAAGATCTCGAAAGAATCGGTATGTTTTCTTTATTTCCCTTTTTCTATCTTTAATATACAAAAATGAGATTTCTTAATTAATTATGTATGTGTGTATGCTTTAAAGGAATGTCTCGTCCCGCAATAAGGCGTCTTTTAGATGCTGTAAAACGAAATAAGAAGCCCAAATTACTTTCTTTATTCGATCGTTTCTTCATACAAAGTTCAAAGAATAGGAAGGTGGATAGATCTCCTCAACAGCTATCACTTACTCCAACATTAACATGTCTAGTCGACGAAAGGGATTTAAAGGTAGAAGATAAACTTGGAGACGGTTCATTCGGGGTTGTTAGATTAGGAATATGGAAAAGAGGAAATGAAAGTATTAAGGTTGCTCTGAAAATCTTAAAAACAGAGTCTCTCTCCATTCCCGGTGCTATTGACGATTTTGTTAAAGAAGTTAATGCCATGCATGCCCTCGATCACAAAAATTTGATAAAATTATATGGAGTTGCCCTATCACAACCCCTCATGATGATAACAGAGTTGGCACCGTTGGGATCGTTAATTGATCAGCTGCGAAAAAATCCTAACAGATGGATGATAAGTGCTCTCTACGAACTGGGCATTCAAATAGCAACTGGAATGGCTTATTTAGAGTCAAAGAGATTTATTCATAGAGATTTAGCTGCAAGAAATGTCCTGCTTGAGTCTTATAAAACTGCTAAAATAGGGGATTTTGGCCTTGTAAGAGCCCTCCCTTCTCAGGATGAGTATTATGTGATGAGTGCTGAAAGCAAGGTCCCGTTTGCCTGGTGTGCACCAGAGTCCCTTAAAACTAGACATTTTTCACACGCTTCTGATTGTTGGATGTTTGGAGTAACTCTGTGGGAAATGTTCACACATGGTAGGGAACCCTGGTTAGGCTTAAATGGCTCACAAATATTACAAAAAGTTGATGAGCTTAATGAAAGATTAGACCAGCCACCTCATTGCCCAAATGACTTATTCGAATTAATTAAAAGATGCTGGGCGCATTCTCCAGCAGAAAGGCCTACTTTTTCAGCATTATGCCACTTGTTAAGGGAAGTTCGACCTCAAGCAATGAGAACATTGTCTTCAAACGACGAAGAAGGACAATTGAAAGCTGATCCAGGAGACTTACTTACTGTTATTTGTGGACGAAATGATCGTTTCTTTTGGATCTGCCAGAATGAGCGAACGGGAGAAATTGGCAAAGTTCCAAGGCAAATTCTCTCCTCTGATAGAAGAGTTGGAAAAGAGGATATCTCAAAGCCATTCCGAGACTCATTTATTCATACTGGCCATATGGATTGTCAGGGAGGAAAGTCTTGGGGCAGTATTAAAACTATCGATCAAATGTATCTACAGCCACTAGATCCGCCAGATTTAAGATTTGACGAAGAGGAACTAGGGAAATCCACTGCATCGTCTACACTAAATCAAGTTAAAAGTAAGTCATTCTATTTTCCTATTCTGTCCAATTAAGCTTTATTCAAGTGTAACTATAGCAAATTGAAAGTTTACTTTATAAATTATCTAATAATTAAAAGGCCTATAGTTTATGGCTATTTAATAGATGACAGCCTGTTTTTGCTAAGTATAGGTTTTGAGTCATGGTGAATCCTGGAAAATATAGGCTTATGAAGACACTTAGATAATATATATATATGCCGTATTACAAGCTTTGTGTTGATTTCGCTCGGCCAAAACTGTTTAAATACTAGTCATATTAGTAAACTAGCGTTAACAGTATAGGCTTGAGTGTTTAGATTAGATAATCTTGGTAACTTTCTTAAATATTCATCGACCTTACATACCGTTGTTAGATATTTATTTGTATTTAAAAACTTGCATAACAGCGGTATTATTACCCGGAACGAAAGCAACGAAGCAGTTCTCTTATAAACGTTTTAAGGACAACGATAAACAACTTATTGACGACTTAACTTCATCAATGTCAAAGAAAACGGACGATTTTGAAAAACCTCTTATTGATTTATCACCAACTAATCAAAGTAAGTCGGAATTTTCTTGGGATGGACCACTTTCAGAGAGATGTGGCAGTCTACCGACTGCTTTGAGCGAAGTAACTGCACCAGCTGTAAAAGATCCTTTCGAAATTGATCTTAGTAAATTGAACGGATCTAAGAAAGCGGAGCCTCTATACGACCTTCCACCGCTGCCTAACAAAGCTCCTACACCTTCGCAATATCCTACTTACTCGAACATTGACAACTTGCCTACCTACTCGAATGTTGGCGACAGCGCAGTTAAGTGGTCTGCACCCACTATTGAACCATCAATGCGTAACGGTGTTCAGGCTTCTTACACACACTATTATATTAAAGATTCAGCTCCAGGAGGACCAGAATGTCGTCAAACCAATCCAGGTGACGGCCTAACAATGCTGCAAGCTCGTGAAGCCGTGAAAAAGGTCTCCAAATCTGTAGATGGCGTTAGCGAAGAAGAAGCTCAAGCTGCTCTATTAGCCTGCAAGTGGAACGAGGAGAGAGCAGTAAGATATTTACAAGTCGAAACCTTATTCCGATTGGGTATAGGCTCCAGAGAGAAATGTGAAGAGTTGTTAAAGAAATACTCATGGGATACTCAGAAAGCTGCTTCCGCTCTACTCGATTTAGCAAGCACTGGAAGCACTGTTTAAATATTTCCCCTTCCTCTATTATCAAACAAAAATCACAGTTCCTACTGCCAAATTTTTTTTGTATTTATTTTTTTTTTTTCAATTCTAGCTAATTTTTCATTCTTCTCCAATTCTTGTCGTTAATATAATACGTATATTCTATATTATAACACCTGCCCTCATTTTGAAAAACAAAAAATCCACAAGATATAAGAAGCGATAGAGAAAAACAAAAGCGCTTGTTGCCTTTACTTTCGATAAAGCTATATTTAAATTGTCTGTTTTATATACAGTATACTGCATATATATATGTATATAAATATATATATGTATATATTAATATTATGAACATATTAATAAACGGGATGATTTGTTCTTGAGCTGAGAGTGTTGAAACTTGTTCCCAAAGTACAAAAAACTACTATTATTAGCAATAAATAATGTTATTAAATTGAAAATAAGACTTGTATCAATCAAAATTTAACCTATGTTTTAGTATATACAGTATATACTGTATATTAGAATTCTTAAAACAACTAGTTTTATTTCCGGTTAACTATTATTCAGTCACAGGCTATAAATTTGTTGCTGTTTTAGCATATAGGCTGAGTGACAATATATACCGTATTTATTTATATATCGCATATTATTGCATTATATTATAATATATAACCTATTATTATTAAACTGAATTTACTTATTAATTCATAAACAATAAAATATCAAATACTAAATAATTTATAGTAAAAGAAAGTGCGCAATTCAGTCAATTAACTATTTACTATAAGTACTATGTGTCATATCGCCATCCTATAAATAAGTACATCTAGTAAAGTTAGTGGCGTTGTTATTAAAGCAATTTATTTGTATCTTTTTTTTTTGTTCTATAGTTATTAATATTCGAATATAGAAGAGAAAAAAAATCCAATATATAACTCTTTTGGGGAAAAGAAAGAGTAAATGTGTCTGTACGGGTACAGGCAGTATTTTCTGCTTATTTATTCAGGATTTTACTGTAAAATATCATGCATATTTCTTCGTCACCTTGAATGTTTATTTACTTGAAAAAGTATTAGGTACAGTTTTTCTTTAAATATTATCATTACACGGTAGTAGTGTTTTCAGAAAGAAAGAGACTTAGGAGAGAGAGAGACAGAGAGAGAGAGAGAGAAATAATAAAGACATTGTTTATTACTTATTATGTATTCTAAGTCCTTTATCTTTTTAAATGTAATCTGAGGATAACAATATTATTTTCCCCCCAAGGAAGAGTCGGGGTCTATTCAAATGGGCAATGAAAATTTATAAATCAAACAAATAACTTGGGGAAATATCTATATAATATAAAGATTTCTTTTTTAATAAAAACAATTTATCGACTTTCATAATAATAAAATGCTTTAAGAATTCGAATCCATTCTCCTTAAATTCTTTTGAAGTTATCTTTGATCTATCCCTTTTAATCATTTTGTCTTCTCTTAGTTGATTTTATGTACGACAGAGGGAGTTATCGACTTATTTTTTTACTCATCAATCTATCTTCATTTCGAAAACCTGCAATTTATTATCACTTTTTCAGAGTTTTTTCTTTTCGGAATGTAATGATTCACTTCCAAAGATAAAGGTTTTGAATATTTTAGAACGTAGTCACTAGATGGAAAATCCTAATTTATCAGTCAGAAAGAAACGTACTTACTATAAATTTACTAAACGTTAGCCAAGTACAAGTGTACTGTACAAGACCTATTAAGTTTAACACATATGATATATCTTTTTATAAATGGATTAAAAAGAATAATTAAGGATTATCCAATTGTATTGAACGTACAAGAAGATTAAACTGTAAAATTTCAATAATAACAACAATAGAGCGTATTAGTAACAAAATATTATAGTAGGCAAGAACTATATAGAAATATAATTATCCAGCTCTTATTAGGTTGTACCAAAAATTTTTTGTTAATGAAATTAATTATTTATAAATACAAGATGAGAAAATCAAATTATAAGATAATAATTATTAATTCATATTGTAAATCATTCGAAAACTTGCTAATGGTTATTGTGTTAGCCAAAAACAAAAATCCATAAAAGAAGACTCTCCCATTACTGTAAGAAGATCGGGAGGCTGATTACCGGATGGTGGGAGAGTAAGGGTTAGACTGCAAGAAGGATTAAAAACAAAGGACGTAGGACAAAACATCCAAGGTGTTTTTATTTAATGTAGATGATATAGCAACGTGTCTCTCTATCTCTTCTCAACTGAGAAGGGACACAGGAAGCGGAAAAAAGTCTTTACTATAAGGCTTCGTTTCAGAGTCAAAAGATGAGCTTCAGGCTACTTCTCTTTTTTCCATCAAATAAATAGTCATCCATAAGCAATAGGAACATCTTATTGGTATTAATATTAGTATATTAAATAGCAATAATTAATCATCCTTTAATTTACATACAGATTTAAAAGAATCTAATTAATAAAATGACGACATAAAAACTATTTTCAATATTTAAAATACAATATTAAGAATATTTCGGTATCAAAGGTGAGATTTCATTTAAAGAGAATACCTCTGTTTTATATTTCAAGTATATCAAATCAACTCAGACTTTTCCACATAATTAATGAAAAAGAAATTCCTTTGGTGTACTTTTGCACAAAAATAAGAAATAAATATTTTTTTTCGATGTAGTCCAATACTGAAAAAAGAAGGAAACAAATCAATAGGCTAATGAAAAAGATTTCCTCTATCTAGGTCAATTGCAGATTTTACTACTGTTTATAAATTAAAATATTAAATAATAATTAATATAGATTGTAATTAGCATTTCTCGTCAATCATTTTTGTATCTCTTGGAAGTGACAACTGTAATACCATAAAAAAGCATAGTATTATAGGAAAAGCTAGAAAATTCTATAATTTGACACGCCATTGCTAACGTGCTCCTTTTTTTTATTTCCTTTTCTTCCGTCTTCCTCTAAAGATTTAAAAAGCAACAGATTTTATGAAAATTATGGAGCAAATGTATTTTCTAAAAATATGTTCTTTTCCTATCGCATTTATTAAATTTGATTAAATTTTCCATGATTCATAAGTCAAAGCTAACAAAAAAAACATAAACAATATTTAGAACGTTCTTTTATAAAAAAAAAACGAAATATAATTTTATTCTTTTAGAATGTTTTTTTTTTTTTTTTGTGAGTTCATACAGAGTTGTCTGTTTGTTCTTTTCCCGGAATTCTGCCTAGTTAATTATTGGGTGCGTTCTTGACATCTTGCCGAAAGCTTGTATTAAAAGTCAGTTTCAATGTCAGTCGAACAATTTTTCGTTTTGTTACTAAGGAATGCATTATACTTTATTCGGGTTTTCCGGAAAGAAGAATGACATATTCTATCCGGATCTCAGTATAAGAAGTTTGTCCTTGGTAAGAATTTTATTCTATTATTCTACCTGGATATTTTGTAAATCCTATTATTCTACCTGATATGAAGAATAAATGAATAGATAATTTCATGATTAGATATTCCCTTTTTGCGCCTTTTCATCCTTGCGATAGCCGAAATAATATAAATCTTTTCATGCAAGTATCACTTAAATTAAATTTAGAGCAAGAAAAAAAAAGAAAGGCAACAAGTAAAACAAAAATCTCATCGAAGGAAATGGAGATAATGCAAAAGACTGTTGTTAAAATGAGCTATTGATCTGAACGAAGCGAGAAAGAATGTGAAGAGAAGAGCGGAGGAAACAACTTCACCTATTCAAATTTGCAGTATAGCATGATTTTTTTTATAGATATTATAATTATATACTTTCTGTACAAATAAGGGCCATGAAGAGAGAAAAGACAGCGTTCCTATATGGTGATAATATTTCTTGAGTATTAACCCTTTCTATTTAATAGTATATTTCAGAAAATAATCATGAATGTATATACTAGAAAGTGCCGTTTTGTTAATAGGTGTCTGTTTTTTTATAAAAGTAAACTTCAACTCTATTATCGAGAACTAAAGAAAAGGAAAACTAATTTATCATGATTGTAATCATGTAAAAATTAAGCCTTGTGAAAAGCATGACATCCGTGATTGTTTGTCAGTTTAAGGGTACTAGTTGCTCGGGTTAATATTGAAAAAGTATAAATGATTCTATTCATGATAAATATTTTATGTTTGTCTTTTACGCTTTAAGTAAACTTTTTTGTTTTAATTCTTTGTTTTTTTGTTATCAATTTCTCTCTACAACAAAAAGAGGCTTACCATGGAATATTATACAGAAGTACTACGCTTTTATAATGGTACTCCATAGCATTCATATGATATTTAGGTATAATATAATTAACTCCCAATAGTCCCAAGTAGTTTGTCGCATTCTAGTCAAAGATCTTTGTTAGAATATTTAAATTTTTCATCCTCTTTCCTCTTTTCGTAGAAATTATTTCCCCTTAAAATAGAGGACTTTTTTTTCTAATAATAGAAAGTATAGCATCCATTGTATATAGTAAATGAGAATGCATCTTAGATGTTATTTTTTTTTCTTAATATTTAATAGGTTATACCTGCCAATAGTAGAGCTTTTAACAGACGTACGATTAAACAAATACATGCGACATATTATGAAGAGGTATAATGTTACTTTTTCTTCGTCTAAGCATCCCTTCTAACGCCAAGATATTAATATTTTATAAAGTATAAGAAAATATATAAAATTATACATAGCACTTTTAAACAGTCATGTTTCTTTCATTTAAATGATTCTTTTAAAAAGGCATACATTTATTTCAATTGTATCAAATTTACATCTAAATAGGATATAATAATTCCTTATAGAGTCAACTTTGCATATTTATGCATATTTCACTCTAATACTCTAGTAATAAGGTATAAAAGTGGAAAAATAAATATTACTAATTACTTTCAAATTCCTTTTTTAATAACAAAATGAAACATTTATTGACTTTTTCTTTTCTTTTTCAGAATTGTCAATTTTTTTAAATACAAATATAAACTTAACAATAATTAAATTTTTTTCAGGTATTTTATAAATAAGTAATAAAAATAAACTATGAAAAGCTGATTATATCTTTAGTAATACAGACATTGTGTTTCATATTCATGAATTTCCTTTGTTTGTAGATGTCTATATATATACTGTATATATATATATATATATATATATGTGTCAGAGAGACAGAGAGAGAGTGAGACAGAGAGAGAGAGAGACAGAGAGATACATAGAGACAGAGATTATCGTTCATTTTTCATAGTGTGTTTTTAGATTGTTGCGATAAAATGGAACGTCAAAGGATATTAATCCTTAAGCCGTTTAATATCGGATGACATTGCAACCCTTTTATATTGCCTATAACTTTAAGAGAAAAATCCTGATTCTATTAAGCTACTTTGATACGATAATGCGATATTATCTTTTAACAATTTTTACATATTCATATAGACCGTCCTTTAGGCAACTTGTATAAAATATTCCTATCAGATATTTCAACTATTTCTTTAATTTGTTTAAAGGAATAAAAAAAGAATTTTAAAGAGGAGGAAAAAGTAGAAAATGCTATATAGAATATGGAAATTGGTTCATTTAAATGATTATAGAAATGCCAACTCTAATGCAGCAACTGCTTTGTCACCACTCATCATTTACGCTTAAAAGAATTATAAAACCAAGATAATTGGTGGGAATCTTTTGGTTTTTGTCTAAGCTATTAGTAAATTAGAATGCTTAGATAGAGAACATTTAAGAAATATGTAAAAAAAATTATATAAATGTTAATCAGGGTTTATAAATGGTGTAGGAGAATTATTCAAAGAAAAGAGAAACAAAGGTATATCGACTTTGAACTCTAATCTGTCGTTTATATACTTATATCCTTATTCTGTATATACCGTACACATACTTTTTAAATTGGTATATGCCAAGTTTTGGACGGGTGTAAAACACATCCATTATCTTTAATATACGATCCAACGGGTGGTCAAGATTGAAAGAGAAGAAAACCTTTAACGTTCTTAAAATATCCATTAAACTACGGGAATAGAAAATGAGAGGCATTGAAGGAAAGAAAGAGAGAGAGACTGAGAGAAATAAAAAAAGTAAGACAAGGGAAAAAAGATAAATCTTGAGTAGGTATTTATTATAAATTTGAGATGATATAATTTGTAGAGTGGGGAATTGTGAAGGTTGCATGTAGCGTCACTATCGTGATAAGTCTACTCTTTTTGCAAAAAGTAACTTTTAGCATTTATAGAATATGTTACCAAAATTTTCAATATGCTTTTTCCACGTAATAAAATGTTACCAATAAACTAGAATTCCCAAATATCACGATTTAGTAGACGTTTAAACGAGATAAGCATACCTGGTTACTCGAATTAAATTTCTACTTGACAGAGATGGAAATGGAAAAGGACTTGAGAAACCCTACCAAACTACAGTTGATTGTTTTTATTGAAATAATGCAAATTCGTCAATTTAGATGTATTGTATATCATTTATAAAGCTTTAAAAAGACTCCTAAATCATACAGATATTTATAATTATGTTTAGTATAAAAATGATTCGTTATTAAACTACTTCCATTCAGCCGACAAGTTAATACCAACCAAGTAAAAAAATTGATCAAAAAAATGCTCCGTTTGGTAGTCATAGATGACTTGACAAACATTTCTAAAGTCAATGTTTCCCGTCTATATTTTTAGTACTACAATAGTTAAATGTAAGTTTTTCACATACGTTATAAAAATAGTATATACTCTACTTCGTCTTTATTTATATTGTATAAAAAAAACGCTCTTTTTTCTATTTGACATATCATTTATGGAAGAGGAAAAAGAGTAAGTTACCAACTTTAGAAGCATTAAAAAAAAAAAAGTCTGGAAAATGTCAAGCATAGAACATTAGCTTATGATGAATTTCAATTTTTTTTTGTTCAGGTTACTTTTTCTATTAGGCCTGTTAAAAAGGGAAAAGAAAGAGTCGTTGTCGTTGTTATACAGTATTAAACATTGTTTTGAAGTGTTTTATTAAAATTATCATTGCGGAAAATATAATTAATTCTTTTTGTTTAGAATGTTAAAATTTCTAGATAAAAAGTTTTTGGTTGATAAGATTTGTTCTAATTATTTTTTTTATTATTATTCTTTTTAATAATAAAAGCCAAATAAAAACGTATTGTAAATAAATCGGTTTTAAATATTCCAGGGGTGAATGTTCTATTTAGTTAATCAGTTTTCTGCTCAGGGAATTTCTCTTATTAGTTCATAAACGGAAATGAATATTCCAATAAATAAAAGGGGAGGATGTAAGAGTATTATGTATACCTTTTAGACTTTTGTAACCGACCGACTTTATCATTTTATAATTATTTATATTGTTTAAATAACTGAACTCTCTTATAGTTATTTCATAGTATACAAATAAATACTGTATAAGATATTGCAATTCGTTCATTTTGCAGCATATATACAGTATATATATATTTATATATTTACTGTATATGCGTGTGTATATTGTATAGAATTTTGTCTACATTATCGTCGCATTTATTCCCCTAGTAAGGAAACAGTAGAATTAACTAAGATTACTCTCCAGAGTACGGATAAATATAATGCTGGACACAGTAGTAGTAAATTATCAAAGGTCTATAACATTTTAACATATGAAAGCAAACATGCACACTTTGACATTGAAATATACATTTATACGTTATAAATATTATCTATAAACTATACATAGAAGTGTGGGTATCCAGATTTTTTTGTAGAATGCATATAAAGATAATGCATTTTTTAAATACAGGTGGAATATTCTCTGTTTAGGTTACCGTATACGAATTCTTCATTTTCACTATAGACGTTGAAAGTGAAGAGGCACGGTCGTGAAATATTAGACATAATATCTTAAGCATATTTACCATAACCCACCCACGCATTCTGGAAAAACTTAGCTATAAAACATCTTTTTTTCGGTATTGTTGCGGCTGAGCGTTGCAGTACTTTTTTTTGGCTTATTCTTTCAACGTACAATCTGATTGGCTAGATTAATTTTTTATACCTCAACTGCAAGCGTATGTTTTTAGGATTAAATAAACTACTTTTACTAATTTCTCTTACATCCTTTGTACAATAAAACCTGAATTATTGATTAGAAATCTATTTGTGTATTTTTTCTCCATTAGCTATATTTCTCCCCTAATATTTAGATCTTTAACATAGATGGCTTACCTTCTGGATAGGGATGAAATCAATATATTTTTAGGTGATTCATTAATTATAAATATTGTATAAATATAGAGCGTTTCATAAGTTGCCGCGAGAAAAAATTAGCATATAATAGGTTTGTGCTAAACGCATTGCTCGATGTGTTTATTTCTGTTTCGGAACAGGTAGCCTCACATATACAGTAGGGAAAATAGATTTTCAAATCCAAAATGGCCGTACACCATCACGATTTCGGCTTCGGATAGTTGTTAAGTATAGCTTTCTTGCCAGGAAATGGCAGGAATAATTAAAAATCAAATATTAAAGCAACTATCAAGGTAAATTCAGTCACGTTACTTTTGTAATTTCTCATATAATTTGTTGTTTTGTCACTGATCCGACGTATTTCACAATTGAAACTTTACCATTTTACTTCAGGTTTGCAAAGAATTTGTCTCCAGACAAGATACATATTAGTACATTAAAGGGACAAGGCGAATTAAGTAACCTAGAATTAGACGAAAATGTTTTGACTCATGTGTTGGACCTACCCAGCTGGGTAATGATTAAAAGCGCTTCTGTTAATAGAGTAGCAATAAAGGTATATTTTTTTTTATCTATTTCTTATCAACGAAAATGTTGACCTATGAATAACTTCTTCAATACTTGCTTAATACAGATTCAATGGACCAAATTAAAAAGCGCTCCAATATGTCTTGTAAGGATGATATTGAATTTCTTTGTAATCGATATTTATTGTTTATTTTGCAGTATCTGGACGAAGTTCACGTTGATATGCAAACCTGTGAAACATTAAGACCGCAAAATACTACTCCAATGTACCAAATGGCACAGGGACGATATGGATTAACTGAAAGTATCGTTGATGGTATGACTGTGTCGATAAACTCAGTAATCGTTAATTTTTTATCACCAACCTTCCATGCATCTATACAAATTTCACGAATTCTTGTGGATAGTGTCACGCCCCTATGGGCTAGAGCAGATGATTTACGACAAACTAGGTTAAAAGATGAAGCTAGAACTCAAGTAATTATATTTAAACAAGCAAGATGGCAAACGTTAAGGATTGAGGCTAACGCCCTTTTAGATTCTGCCCTTACTACACCTTTAAGATTAATATCAAATCAAGCCAAATTAAGGATAACTTTAAAAAAGAGGATGAGCGATTGCCAAATGATTTCTTCGAAATTACAATTACACTTGGACGACTTACTATGGGTTTTAACTGATACTCAATTAAAAGCAGCAATCATTTTTGGAATATCCCTAAAACAACTGATCGATAAGGCCAGAACAGAAAACGTACGGATGACTGATAATAAAGACATTTCGATTAACAGAGTAAAGGACAAGAGGAAATTAAACGATCGTGATAGAGCGTTTATTAAGCACGATCCTCGCCATACTTCCTACCACGTTTATACTGGACGAGTCGACGTTCACTTATGCGACGAAAGTGATGCTGCAATCACAGGTGCCGCTATGCAATTGTCCCTCTTTCGAATGGAAGTGCACTTTCAACCTTATCATAAGGCAGGCGCAGAGAGAACCTGGTGGGCGGGTTATGACGAAAATATGGCAGCCAGATACGAATGGGCGTCAGATTTGCTTGATAATTTTCGACAGCAATTAGACCTGGTAAAAGACTGTTTAAAGATTGCAGACTGCAAAGATAAATTGCTAGAGTATGGACTTATATTTAAATTAGAGGATTTTGCTATCTATAGAGTATCTACACCTCACCAAACACGTAGTGCTAGTAAGAAATTCATTATGTCGGATAAAAAGCAGTTGCTACTTCCGAGTGATATGTCGTCCTTACACTTTGATTTCACCGAATATTTCTATTCTGACCCACAACAATATTATCCTGTCCCACCGTCGAATTTATACGCGGTTTTCAATCCTATAAAGGTGAAGCTAGACTATCTTTCGATACTCTGGCTACATTCATTTGTACTAGGCCTTTTAAATAACTTAACGTCAAAAACAGAGAAGACGAAGCCCACAGAAAGCGCTCATTATAATATTAAATTAACTAGTTTAATGCCTAGAATTATATTACGAGCTGGTCCTTCAGAAACTACCGAAAACCAAAGAGAAAGACCTCACGCTGTTCAAATACAAGCCTCTAGAATAGTATTAACCAACGTTCAACTGGAAGCCAAAACTTCACTACAACAACTGGCATCTACCCTACGCTCGTTTAAAGACGCTTCTCTATTCTGCTCCCGAACTTTTCCAAATCACGTTTCAGACATGATATGCCTACCGCCTGTGTTTGAAGATCACGTGCAAAAAAGTGCTGACTTGTTCTTTGATTCTAGCATAAATGACGTGCTGGCAGGTCGCCGTTTACCACCGAACGGCAACGTAAATTTACGGACTAATTCCCTGCATACAAAATCGAATCGGGACTTGTGGTGCTTGCATATCGAACAGATTTGGGCTGAATTTATAGGTGTTTTAAGCTCCCCTAGGCGACCTGTTAATTTTGTGGAGGCGTTTCCAGTAACTATCTGGCTAACAATGCCAAATGCTCAAACTAGTCATCAGAACTATGCAGATTATTCGTTTCTATTCAACATAAGCCATAAAATCGCCGTAGAATTAAATCATTATCAGTATTTGTTCTTGCTTAGGCTGCTTGAAGCCATAAAAGATACTCAAGATAAACTGCTGAAAGCTGCTCAAACTACGTCCAAGTCTTCATCGTCGACTGTTTCCCTATCGGCTATTGTCCGAGAAATCGAATTGGCTTTTGTATGTCCAAGAATTCCAGAACTTCCTCCCAGTTATTTGGATGCGCCAGAAGATTACGAAGCTGATAGAACAGGTTTAAAAGCTGTCTACGATTCGGTTGATGCAAAAAGGCATGTAGAAGATGGTAACGATATGGAGACGTTGGACAATGCTGTTTCTAGTCAGCATAACAGTACGCCCATGTCTTCCAGTAGAACATCAACGAGACTGCCTTTAGAAGATGACATTGACGATGTTAGTTCAGTTCGCTCAGGTTCAGATGCTGATGACGAGTACGTTCAGAAGGTGCTAAATGGAATCGTTGAACCAGCTTTTATCAGTACGAGAAGAATGAGTACAAGCTCTGATGGGACTGTTTCAATTGGTGAGGAGGCCTTGGACGACAATGCATCGGTCACATCATCAATAGATAGGTTTAAATCTATAGCGTCAATAAGTGCTATAAGAATATTGGGTGCTCAATTGGCTGTCCATAATCGTTCGGATACATTCGTCGTTGCCGTCACTGTGGATCATGTTGTTCCACGAGAATACGGTAATGTCTCAGTTGATAGTTTTCAGGCCAAAATAATAAATGGTAAGTGTATTAATTAATATTTTATATATAGTATCCTTATTCTTTCTTAAAAGTTCCATTATTTTCAAATTGTTTAGTTTGATTCACTAAAAATAGTATGTAAATTATACAGCTATCACATAATTACGATTATTATTATTATTATTATTATTATTATTAATAGTAGTAGTAGTAGAAAACATTATTTTGTTTGTTTTAAAAATCAAGAGAAAACTAAACAAAACAAAGGAACATATTGTACTGCTCTTGCCTGGCCAATTTATGCGTTTGCAAGTTACAACAATACCGGTTCTACTCGAACCTTTAAACAAGTGTTTAAATAAAAATGGTTTATTCAAAATAATAATACTTAAGCAAGTGCAATATGAGAGTTCAATAGCAGAGTAGATAGTTCGTAATAGCAGGTTACCAAATTACCAAACTGTCTTCCAATGTTGAGGACTAGAAGGTTGGCTCCAGTGGAGGTTGTTTTGAGGTTATCTTCCCAGGTTCTTGGAGACACGAATGCTTAAAATGAAAATTGTGAGGATTTATATACTTTGAGGTTTGCCTCTGCTAACTTTACAGTTGCCGAACTGTGTAGTTCATATTTATCTTTAGTAACAGAATGTTACAAGGTTCAACATTTAGGAAGGTTAATTGAATTATAACCTGGCCACACCCTAGGCAAGTTAATTGAATTATAACTTGGCCAAACCTTAACTGGCAATTAAAGATGAGCCTTCAGGCTGACTAATCAAACCTGTGTTTGGCCAATGTTATAGCATTTTCTTGCGCAGGTTTTTAAGAGGTACATGTATAAGTTGCATAAAGTAATATAGTTCAAGCATAAAATATAACCAAAGTTGTACAATATGAGAAGAAGTTTAAAAATATCTTTATTATTATTTACAATTGATTAACAAAACTATATTGTCTAATCAATCTAGCGACAAGCAGTAAGTAGAATCGGTGTAATAAGCATGTTAATTCTTTCGATCGTGTTGTTCGATTTTTCTCTTATCGAATTTCCATTTTTTCTACCCGCGTATCGATTGTTTACCCTTATATTTATTCATTGATTCCATTCTATTTTTTCTTTTAATTTATACATTTTTTTCCTTTTTAAAAAATAAAAAGAAGAAGTGAAAAAGAAGAGCAAAAAAAAAATCTATTAATAAAATATATTACTATATATAGAAAAAGAATGATAATTAAAAGAAATACCATTTAAAAGATAATAGTATTCCTTTTATTTTATTTTTTATTATTATTACAATTTTTATTATTGTTATTGTTAAAATAATTCTTTTTTCATTATCTTCTTCTTTTTCTTATTCTGATTATTCTTATTTTTCTTTTCTTTTCCATTTTTTTTTATATAAACAATACGCACTTTTAAGCAACAAAAAAAAAATCAATAAAAATGATATAAAATTGAGAAGAAAAGAAAGGAGAATTTAAAAAAAATATATATATAACAAGCAACATAACTGGTATTCTATTTGATGATGCTTTAAAAAAAAAACAGATATATATATATATACTGTATATATATATATTTATTCATATTTATATATATATAGTTTTTCTTTATTTCCATTTTTTATAAGTCTAATTATTTTCTTGTTTTTTTATTGAACAGATAGAGGTGCTGAGGCGGATAATTTCTTACCGAAACGTAATGAGCCTCCCGTGAAATTACGTTATCAAGATTCGGCTTTGAATATTCAAATATGCGATCTAGATTTAAAAATAAGCAACTCATCCGTTACGAATTTAGGCGATTTATTCGAGGATGAAGTCCTTACGGAAAAAGTTTTTCCGGTTAAAATAATTATTGACCGAGTAAAGTTGACTTTATTAAATGATCGACCTCCAACTTACATGGATACATCGCCCGGTGCCGCTCCACTTGATTTAAATATTTCACATGCTGTTATTACTCGAACAGAAGATAGAATATTAAATATAAATAGTAAGAATTATTTTTCATTTCAATTGTTGGTCTTTTCAATCTGTTATCTATTTTATGCTATTGTTTTATCTAAAATTGTAATGTGTATATACAACTAATCCCATTGTCTTTATTTAGGTATGAATAATGACATGACCGACTTGCGAAGAAGATTTAATAGCTTGATTGATAAGCATCAAACTGAAGTAGCGCACATGCTAAATGATATAACTCATTTAAAAGAAGATAATTCTGCGCTGCGTGGCCGATTGTTCCACTTGGAACATGTCTTAGCAACAATTGGAAAGAAATTGAATATGAGAAACGATGTTTCAAGACCTTTATCCGAGCAACTACTATATAGAATTGATAGACTCCAGCAAGACGGAGCAGCAGCTGTCCAACAATTAGCAAATACTACCACTAGGGTAAATCGACTGCAAAATGAAAGAGATCAATTAGCTAGGGAATTGGAACAGAAACAATAATAACAATTAACAATAATTTTCCTCAATATATATATATTGTATATACCGGTTGTTATATACAATAGATATGTTTACGTATGAAATTTAATCTAAAGAATGAAAGTAGAGAAAAAAAATAACTCTACAACAACCAGAGTAAGCGTCAAATTTATATCAAGGAAAAAAAAAGAGACAAACAAATTATTATAAAATTAATTTTCTTAAATTGAAATGATAGATAATATATTTATATATACATTTACTGTACATTATATATAAATATATTTCTTGTTCAGATAAAAGTTGCCAAGAATTTTTGGCATTAAAACAAAATTAATAAAAAAAAAAAAAAAAAAAAAACAAACAAATAAACAAACAAAAATTATTTGAGCTTTCTTGATGTTGAGTCTTTCGTTTTAAAAGTATTTTTGAATTTATTCCAAAAAAAGAGAAGATAATTAAAAAGATGGAAAAAAAAATGACTTTTAACGACTTAATTCATATAGAAAATGTTACACTTTTAGTCGTTATCATACAGTTACATTTTCTTCCTATTTTTTTATTTATTATACATTCCAAAACAAATATAAACTATGCCAATTTTTTTGTCCTTATAAGAGTTATAGAAATTGTTTATAAATAAATGAATACATAAATATATATATATATATATATATATATATATATATATTGTATATTATTAATCCTATTACTATTATACACATTCTTTCAATGCAATTTTTATAAAGGTTTAATCTATGCTGTTATATTGAAATAAAATGACAAAACTTTGTTTAACACTTTCTTTGCGTCTAAAAAAATCCTTGTCTGTATTTTTTATTAACTTTTTATTTAAAATTGAGTGAGTTCTTTAGGTTTTAGTCACTCGACATTACAGAACAAGTAAGGAGAGAGAGAGTACTTGTTGGTTAATAGGGTAAATTGTTGAAAAGCGAATGAATGGGTTCATTTAATTGTCATTTTAGTCGTGCCAGTGACGAAGAATTCGTATCCCCACCTGGAATGATGCTGTGGAAGAAAAAAAAGATGTTGGTTGATGATAAGCCAGTGGCTATCAATTTAAGAGCTTGTTTAGCCGGAATAAATGCTATTCTAACGGTATATAGAAATTTAAAGATTCATTATAATTGTCAAGCATTTTCCCTCTTCTCCATAATAGATAATGAACGTGGCTAGTTTGATGATAAGCATATTGATGTTATTGTTACCTAGTCTTACTAATATAAGAGAAAAAAAGCTTATAGACGAAAAAATGTTGGAAAAAACTGGTACAATATTCTTTATCAATTTCATTTTTAAGAATAAGTTAAAAGGAATATTCTTTTTTTTTATTAAAAAAATAGGTTTTGCAATGGGTGTATCTGGGTTTACGATTTTTTCTTGTGTCATAGCCTATTTAGTCGCAGTTTTAGCTAATATAAAACTAATTACTGTGGTAAGTATTATCCTTTTTATCTCTGTTTGTTCATATGAAAACAAGCTGATTAATTAAAATAGTAGTAGTAGCAGAAGGTTGTTTAATAGCTTATAACGTTCTACATGTTTTATTTAAGAATGTTCCTTCTACTCTATATTCTATACAAATTTCATGATACATACAATATTTTGATTATATTGATGATAAAACCATAACAGTACTTGGTTCTCGCCTTTGTTTCGATAGCCTTAAATGTTGGGTTATCCTGTAACTACGCCATGTTTTTGAGTGAGGTAAATAAATCTTTTTACACAAAAAAAAAGACATCTATAGACTGAAAAAAATTGACATTATTTCACCTTTAAAAATCTTATATATTGTATTTAAATAGGGTTTCGTTCAAATCTCAATATTATGCAATGTAAGTACAAATTTTGTAATTATTAATTGATTTATGAATATTAATTAATTTATTTAAATATATTTTAATATTACCGTAATTATTTCTAGTGTCCGAAAGAGATGGCAGAAATAAAGAGATTCCTAGTAATCCTTATAATTATAGGCTTCGCAACAACCTTTCTTCAGGTAAGAAGAAAGTTAGGCTTACTTCCAATTATTAATTAACTTTTATAGTATATATACTGTATATTAGTAATATCAATGTAATAGACGGATGCATTAGATAATAATCTTTTATTTCCACCCTTAAAAGGTATTAATTATCTAGATTGATGGAAACAATGTTAATAATACAAAAAGACAATATATACAGTATATATATATATGTATATTCTTATACAACTATAAATTTACTTTTGTATCTCGCTCCTATTTTATATAAATTATGTTAAAATGATTTATTAGACTTCCTTTTTAATTATATTATATCTGTTATCGATAGATGATAAGCTACGCATGTGGTTTAAGACTATTATGGATGGTGGATGTTCAAAAAAATAAAAGCGAAAATTTGCCATCTTGTCAGACAACTGGTACGCCGATGAAACGACAGATGCAAGTTACGCCGAGAAAAATTAAGCGTTCGGTTAGCGCCGAAAATGTAAGTTTTATTCTATTACTGTTATTTTAGACGAAAGTGAAAATACTTATATTTAAAAGGTTTCTTCCGATCTGAATCCTTGGGAAGTATCGACAAAACGCGATTACTTTGTCTGGGCGACGCCTTACGGCCATTACAAATCCTATGACGAATTAGCTTTAAATTCAGGTGGATTAGCGTTTAGTACCCCTTTCGACGTTTACGGTAGACAACGAACAAGATCGGCAACGGCTTCCACTTCAACACCCGAAAGAGTCTTTTGTAAGAATATTGCAGAAAGTGTTAAGCCAAGAAAATAGAAAATTTGTGAAGAAAAAGATTATACCCTTAAAAAAGTAACAAAACAAAATCGAAAAAATATAAAAAGAGGGGATTTGGTGGTTAAAATAAAATTTATATAAAAGATATTCTGCTTTTGTTTGCCCAAGTTTTCTTTGAAAATAGAATATTTTTGTTTATTGTTATAACTAATTAGACTTGTTAATAGGGTAAAATATTTCTAAACTGGTGGCGGTGTGGGGTTAAAGCCAGCCTCAATGAATGCTTTCTCCATATCCAAATAGATATTTGGATTCTCTATCGTTACAGGAATTTTAAAAGGTTTTCCTGCCGCCATTGCTGCTATCGTATTCCTTGCTATTTTTCCTGATCTTGTCTTCGGTAGACCGGGTACAATGACGACTGTCTTGAAAGCAGCTACTGGTCCAACATGCTCTCTTACAGCTTTTATTACTCTGTCTTTAATCTTTTCTGGGTTATCGGCTTGACCTTTAAATGTAAAAAATGAATAACAAGCGAAATACGTAAAAACTATCAAATTATACCATCTAATATTTACATTTAACTGCATAGAAATGGTTAGTTGACAGACAAAGAATAAAACAACGGAAAAAAATATCTAAAACTCCTAACCGTGCTTTAATACAACCAAGCCTAATGGAACTTGTCCTTTAACTGGATCAGGAGTTCCAACCACAGCGCATTCGGCTAATTCATCATCTTCAAGAATAGCTTCTTCTAATTGACCTGTCGACAAACGGTGTCCGGCAACGTTGATAACATCATCCGATCTGGCCATAACTGCAATATTTCCGAATTCATCTCTGTAACCAGAGTCCATTGTATCGTAATAGCCCTAATGTTTTGTTTTCCAAGTGGAAACAGAGGAAAGAAACATCATATAGATGGTTAAAAATTTATATTTAAACAAATTACTGGATATTTGGAGAAATATAATTCTTGAAATCGATCATCTGCTTCCCAAAGAGTAGAAAGGCACGTTGGAGGTAAAGGCAGCTTGGCAACAATTTGACCTAATTCGTAATTGTTACATTCAGTAGTGTCTTTGCGAATGACACGTAAATCCCATCCTGGTACTGGTTTACCGGCAACGCCTGAAGGTGGATATAGATCATTCCCGAGGCCTACATTAGTAGCTGTAATAGCTGATCCAGTTTCAGTTTGCCACCAATTATCCAAAATTGGTACTTTAATTATATTTCTGATCCACTCCATAGTTTCATGGTCGCAATGCTCTCCGGCAACGAAGAGATACTTCAAATTTGGAAAACTATACGGTTTAACGTAATCTGCGTCCGGATCTTCCCTCCTAATAGCTCTTAATGCGGTAGGGGCGACAAACATAGCCGTTACGTTGTGCTCCGAGAACATTCGGAAATAGGCGCCCGGATTAGGGGTATTAACCGGTTTACCCTTATATAAGAATAGTTTTGTGTTGATTAAGTTATATTGACATTTAACGACTATTCGATTATATACATACCTCGTATAGTATTGTTGTATTTCTATGTAAAAGTGGTGCATAAACAATATATGAGTGTCCAACAACCCAACCTAAATCCGACGCCGCAAACCAAACCTAATAACAAATGGAAAACAATTTGAAAATCAGTTAATAATAATATTTCGACAAATCGCTTACGTCATCAGGTTCTAAACCGTATATATTTTTCATGGACCAATTCAGAACTACAGCATTACCGCCGCTGGGTCTAACGACAGCCTACAAAGAAAAAACATTCCACTATACTATACCGCCTGATTTAATCAACTATGTTAATTGGGGGTTAAACCTTGGGTAGTCCCGTAGTCCCAGATGTATATAGAATATATAGGGGATCTGTAGCGGAAACTGGAACACAATCGACACTTCTAGCTCCACTCATCTCTTCTTGATAGCATACGTCTCTACCTTTCACCAAAGGGGCGTCCGCAAACTGCAGTAAAGATATATACTGTATATATACATCTATATACGTGTTTGTAATAATCTAGTACATAGGCAATATATACTATTTGTATGGAGAAGATGTGTTTTTCTATGAAAAATCAGCACTAATAGACATATAAAGTATGCTTAATAAAATAAAAAACGACATGTAATTTACTTACATCCGTTTCTTTACGATTATATATAATGCATGTCTGAGGCTTAAAGGAGGAGAATTCAATGGCCATGTCTAGAAGTGGTTTGTAATCGACGATCCTATTCGGTTCTACTCCACAGTTGCAGCTAACAATTAATTTCGGCTGAAAAAGAACCCCAAAAAAGAACCAGTTAGATAATTATACTAATTAATAAGAAACCCAACATCTTCCCGCATCCTTTCCCCTCATAACATTGAAATTAATTTGCATATTTAACACACGAACTTGAGCATGACTTATTCTACTGGCCAATTCTTTAGAGGCAAATCCTCCAAAGACCAACGAATGAACAGCTCCTATTCTGGCAATTGCTAACATAGCAACAACTGCTTCTGGTACCATTGGCATATAAATTAAGACTCTGTCACCTTTTTCAATACCGTGTTTCCTCAAGACAAAAGCAAATTTGGAGACTTCTTCTTGTAATTCCTTGAATGTCATCTTTCTTATTGTATTTGTAACTGGACTATCGTGTATAATAGCTAGGGAATCGCCAAAGCCGTTGTCCACGTGACGATCCACGGCATTATAGACTGTATTTAATTCACCTCCAGCGAACCTATATAAGGAAAAAAATGGGTGTATATATTCCTTATTAGTCTGTTATTGTCTCTATAGAAACCATTTAGTGAATGGCTCATTGGAATTATCCAGGACCCTATCCCATTTTTTGAACCAGCTAATTTGCTCAGCAGCCTCTGCCCAAAACTCTTCTGGATTCTTCAACGATTTTTCATAGACGTCTTTATACGTGGCGGGAAAAGGATTTATGACCTGATTGTATGTAGAGCTTGCCCTACATCCATTTTTAAGTGTAACATGAGCATAATTTCTCAAGATCGATATTGAATAATCGAAGCTCTTTTTTAATCTTAGCATTTTCGATTATTGCGTTTCACAGTTGAATTTATAAACTGCTAAAAACGGAACTTTTATCCTTGTCGCTTACGATCAGCTGCTTGTATTTTTCCAGTCAAGACCTCTACTTTTTAAAAGCACTAGCGACATCTTGTTGGATGTAATTAATAATATTTTATACTTAACCAACAAAATGAAAATGCTTACAACTATACTAATTTTAACAAATAGTCAATTTTTGACAATAAAACAAAGTTGCAAAGTCAATAAATTAGACCGAAGTGATAATAGAACCCTTATTCTTTTTAATGAAATCCCAACAAAGGAAAATGTTACTACAAAAAATAGACTTTTTATATGATACGACCAAGGTTAGCTAGTTTCATTATTGAAATCTTGACCCTGAATTAAGTAGGACCAGTTTATTTGGTATTTAGTAACACCTTTCCAGAAAATGTCTATTTCGTACCAGATTATATAGTTTACAAAGCACGAATCTTGTACTTTTGTTTTATATCTAAACAAATAAAACAATAACAAAGTTAATTATGCCAAATATTGAAGAGTCTAGAAATGCTAATAACCAATCCATAAAAGTGTAAGTTAAAGTTTCGTTCACTTTGATCCGAAAGAAAAAAATTTTTTTTAAATATGTCTGTCTATATCGCTCAAAGAAAAAAAAAATGATTAAAAGTGCTTTTCATTAAACGAGAACAATGCAATAGTTGCAAACTGTTCCCCACTCATAAATTAGACTAATTTATATTTAAAAATGTAATTTTTACCTTATTTTTTTATTAAAATTAAAGATTTTTGTCATAATTATTAAAAATTATTAAGAATAATTTTCTGTTATATACAATTATAGTTTTTCCGCCTAAATGTAAAAGGTGTTAAGTTTGAATTAATTAAGTGTATCATCAGTTAGTATTTTATGAATGAAATGGATATGATAGAATGTTCCATTTTACGGACAAAATTCTCTATTCTAATTTAAATAGTATAGTTTGTGTTTGTCACGGATTTTAACTTAGGAAGAGAAAAAGAAATAAGATTTAGCACAGTATGTCCTAATGGTTGTATAACAAAAATTGTATTTTATGAGATAGTATAGTATTTAAATATATTTACTTGTATATACAGTAAGTCAGATTAGCGGCTATTCTATAAAATCCTTTTCTTAGTTGGGATTTTTAATCTCATGGATTTTCTAAATACGAATTACTTTCTTTTTTTAGATCAACTGCTGATCAATCCCTAGATAAACTTAGTAATTTTGTTAAAGGGATTGTTACGAAAGATAATTTCGAACAATTACCAAATGATAATGGCTATAAAATTTTAAAAATGACCCTGGAAGAAGGCAATGGTCCTTTCTTACAATTGAACCAACATGTCGAAATTGGATACGCAATACTAAGAAGAAACGGAACAGTACTTGAAAGTAACTTAACTGAGTCAGATGTTCTTCCTATTACCGTAGGAGATAGTTAGTATAAGTATAATTTCAATAGTGTCTAGAATACTAATTAACATCATGTTGTTACAGATAAATTCCTTCCTTGTATTACTTCTCTTCTCCAATCTATGAAATTATATGAAAGAGCCTTGTATTTATGTGATTTAGAATCTCAAAAGAGTCACCTATTCAAGGAAAGTCCTGCTTTTCCTACGGGGGAGGATACAGTCATTTACATCGTTGTCCATTCAGTTGATAAAGGTTCTAAACATTTCACTTAAAGACTATTTTATTAAATACTAATTAACTTGTTTAATCGTAATTCATCCATAGGAGAAGATATTTCGATAAAACAAAATAGGTGCATCATTAAACATACGATTATTAAAGGCGTTGACAATCTAACAATAGAGAATATGGACACTTTCGTCACAGGTAGGAGGAATAAAGCACTTGTTATTCTTTTAAGCTTATTATGATGATAGACATTATTAACGATATTTTACAAATATCTTATCTGTTTTTTAATTACTACAGTCGAATTAATCGGATTCGTAAAAGATCAAATATTCGATAAGAGGATTGAAAGTTTCGTTTTGTGCGAAGCGCGTGAGAGGAATATTGTCAATGGAGTTGTGTTGGCTATTAAAAATCTAACATTAGGTGAAAAAGCTAAATTCTACATAAAATCTAGTCAAGCTTACGGAAAGTACGGATACAAACCGTTTAATATTCAACCGAAACAGGATATTGTTTACGAAATAACTTTACTGAATTTTGTCGATGTTCGTAATAAGTATTTAGAGGAAAGAAAAGATAAAACTACAAATAATTATATATTCGATAGGCTCTTAAAAATGCCGGATTATCGAGAAGCGAATTACTGAAATGCTGTACGATGAAGAAGGATTGCGCCAAAGAGCTTTTCACAGTTTGTACATTTCACAAATCCTCTTCTTTAATTAACTAAACAACATTTTCTCTAAAGCGGAAACGGTATGACATCTCTCGATCGATTTACAAAGACATTTACGAGAATTGTAAGTTAGCTTTTTGTTCTGATAATACGAAAGAGCATGAAGAAATGGAGTCTTTAATGGCAACGGCAATTTCCAATGCTGCTCAATGTAGCCTTAACTTGGAGCTTAACTACGAAGCCATCGACGAGTGTAAACAGTCGCTATCTGTTAGAAAGAATGATGAAAAAACTCTCTTTAGACTTGGAACAGTAATTATTCAGGAAATATTATGTTGCATTCAGATTAAAAATGGTTTTTTCAATTTATAGGCCTATTATAGATTAAAGTCTTTTAAAGAAGCCGTAGAACAGTTTAATAGCGTTCTTTTAATAAATGGCAATAATAAAATAGCCGCTTCCTACCGTTTAAGAAGTGAAAAGGAGTTAAAAGGACAATTGAAGGCGGAGAAAGAGAAGTACATGAGAGTTTTCAATAAAATGTCGGCCCCAAAAGATGTAAGTCTTTTTACCTATGTATACAATATTTGTAATACATTTCCATAAATACAATAGACCCACTACGTGGCGTGTGTTTACATAATCCCTTTTAATAACAGGAACACAATAAAGACTTTCCTTCTGTTGACGATTTCAATGTCGAATCTGTTAAAGGAATGGTACCTCTCGACGAAGAACAAAGAATGTTCGATCATGACCCAAAATAGAATAAAAAAAAAAACGAATAATCGTCTAAATAAATATTATTATTGTTCTTTTTTTTTCTATTTTGTAATTTTTACGTTACGTCTTTTGAAAAACAAAACGTCACGTTTTTTGTTACGTTGTTCTTTTTTTTTTGTTCTCTACATCTGAATAAAAAACTCGGTACTCTTTAAAAACGTCGATCAGCTATCAGCTACCCAATTCCAGTGTGCGCCTGAAGAAGTTAAGAACTTGGATAGTTTAGTTTCCCAGAATTAATTAGGTATAAAGTATTACATTAGGTAAGGAGGGAAATTAGCGTACGTAATCAGTAAGAACTCATTGTAATTTGAATTAAGAATCATTTCTATCTTTCAATAAGGTGTTGATAAAACATTAGGTTAACTATTATCTCAAGTGGATTAATCTTTGATCAAATTAAGTTATGAATGCGGTAAATTAGTTTAATTAAAATATCAGACAAACTGAGTTATAAAGCGGATTCGAATATAGTCAATCACGTGGTTTTTTTTCCTAGACGGTGGCGCCCTTTAAAGCTAACGGCAAGTCACTTTCTGAAAAGGAGAAGTTCAGGCCAGATGACGAACAGAAAAATGCATTGTTCATCAATTAGTGGAAGAAGTAATGATGGTGGTGATAATGGCGATGATCGAAGCAGGAATCAAACTTCTAATGAGAAATGCCACCTTATTCGTGTACGCTCAATACGCAAGGTGCGCCACAGAGTAACAGAGAAAAACTTGCGTAAGATTCGTGATTTGATCACTGTATTGGCTCATGAAAACAAAATGCTTCGAAAACAGCGTGATTTTCTTCGTCGAAAAATCGAAGAGGCGAAAAGAAATGTACAGGAAGGATCAATAGATGAAAAGAACGATTAGGCAAAATATGACATTCACATTAGTTGTTTATTAGTCTGTTGTTCTATTTTGAAATTGATACGGTAAAGTACTCGAAAATTCTCTCTTCCAGTTGAATAGGAATCATTGTCATTTTTGCCTCGTAAACAATACGGCTTTTATGTTTATAAAAACATATACCTACAAGCAAACTCTTGTATGATTTATAATATAAATGTATGTAATTTTTTGTCCATCTTTTTTAAAAATAAATCTATTTTATAATATATTTAAAGGATAGATAAATAATACACAAAAATAACGAAATACCACCAATCAAGCTTAAAAATAAAGATTAACTTTTCGTATGCTTTTTTTATTTCTCTAATAAGCTCTTTCTATCATTATTCATTTTTTTTGTGCGAGTAGTACAGCAACGTTTTTCTTCAGAAAGCTTGTATAATAAGAAAAAAAAAACGTTTCCCTTTAAAAGTGCTAAATAGAGAAATATTTTGAAAAAGACACGCAAATATCCTTTAGCCCTTTACTCTTGTAGGATAATTAGTTAATGTATCTAGGAAAACTCTTGTACAAAACAATCATTTACTCTATAAGTTATTATATTCATCATGCATATTGTATATATCAAGAAGCGTAAAGGTGATCAACCGATTTTGTCATAAATAACAATAGTTTGAAAAGATCCAAAATGACATTAGAGCTTCTGTTGATTCTACAGTGTTAAGATATAGATTGCCAGTCTATTTAGTTTTCATACTACTTTAGAAAAGAAATATTCTTTTTTAACATATTATTTTATTTAAAAAAAAGGGAGGAGTGATGGGAGAGGGAACCACTCCAAAGACAAAAAAATTAATGATCCCTCGAATCATTAAATGATAGTGATAAGTTTTATAATGAAATATTGGATTTTTAAGATATCAAGTAATCTGCAATTGGTACAGAGATTAATTTTACGCAAAGTTAAAATAAATAAATATATAAATAAAGATGGATTGATGGGTAGATAGAAAATTAAAGGAAGGAAAGAGATAAAGACAAAGAGAGAGAGAGATGGAAAATTGTATGATTAATTTGAGTATTCTTTAATTAAACCGATAACAAACCTATTCTAAATTATTACTATCATTTAAGATGAATTAAAACAATCAGTATCTATCTATTTGGAAAGGAAAAAGGATTGCTAATTGCGTAAATTTTTCAATATGTACAGTATATATAAACATTTATAACATCTATAAGTGTATTCAAATGAAAGAATTACACAGCCTTCAGTTCCATGCATTATATATATATATATATATATATATATATAAATTTATATATACTACTATATACATTACAATATTTAAACTAAAGGTTGATGGCCAGTTTTGTTATTAGTAACATGAAACTATATCTTATTTAGTCATTTTTCTACTTTTAATGATCTAAGAGCTTGATAAATAAATTATTAATAAAATTAATTTTCACGGTTTTCGAATATAATTTTATTTTTATTTTTAACACCTTAAAATTTCCTGTGGTAATATGAAAAAAAAATCATTTCCTTTCCGTCTTGTGAAACACTCTGAAAACGGAATGAAATATAAATCAAGGTCTTTTCTTAACGAAATAAAAGATCATGTTTATTTTACAGTTAATTGCCCTTGTGCAATATAATTTAGCTAAACCATGATCTCGTCATATAGTTCAATAACCCTTAGAAATTAGGATGAAAATTGATGCTATATCTATGTATAATATTTTGGGTAACATAAGAAACGAAATTCTAAACTTGTTTCATTTAATACTTTCTTATTTTTAGATACAGTTACGTGTATATAAAAAATGAACCTATAAAACTAGGGTGAAATTATTGAATTGCCATCCATCATTAACGAAATGTGTTACCTTTTCTTTTTAATTAGTGTCCAATATATGGATTCCATATATAAATATGTGAATATAAACTATTATTAGCGTTCATTTGTAGTCTCTATTGTTAATGGGTTTGTATTGATCGTTAAAGAGGCAATAATTTTAAAACTCCCGCTCTGCATTCAATGAAAATATGCTTTTTGACTAGAAAAAAAAAACAACTTTAGTTTATCGACTAATGGTTTCATAATTTGTTTAATATTCGAGGAAGGGTATTTATAGATTATTAATTTAAAACTAACTTTCATTTTTCTGCGTGTCATTGACATTTCAACAAAACACTATTGCTAAAACGTTCGATTTGCAAATATGGCCGAATAACTTCCGGCAGCTGATAAAGACAATATTTACAAGTATCGTAATAAGTTACGAAATGATGATCGAGTGAAGTGAATCCGTTCGACTGTTATTGAAAGATTTAGCTTGATTATAAGATTACGAAGTGATATTAAAAGTCAGATTAGTAAAAGATGGACCGAAAAAGAAATACCGATGATGCTCCTCTCCTAGTAAACGAAGATCGCGCAACAGAAATAGAAGAAACTCGGACCTTGGAAGATGAAACAAACTCTCATATGCATGAAACGGGAAGTAATCGTCTTGGTTATATAACTGTTGCAATTCTAACATGGACGAATCTTTTAAACTACATGGATCGTTTTACTGTTGCAGGTAAACACTGTTATTTATCAGATATTATCAAATGATTAGATATTACGTAAGTTGGAGGTTACTATTTCAGATTATTCCGAAAAGATAAAACTTATACATTTCTCTGCACAAATTGTCAGTTTAGAACATAAACAATTAACATTAAAAACAAGCAACGGACCCAATTTTGGTCCAGATAATATAAATTAATAATCTATCTTGATAAAGACCATAAAATAGCACAAATGATCATAGTTATTATTGTTTTTCTTTCTTAAAATTATTTACCAAATCACAAGTAGTACCCTTATCATACAAGAATTGGTTACGTAAACAGTATAATGTCCACCTATGTCTATTGAACATTATCCATATACCTATTGATTATTATAATACAATATTTTAAACGAAGCTTGCGACACGTAACGAGCGTGATTGAACCTGCTGTCTTATAAAAGAATAAAGAATAAGAAGAAAAGTACAAAAAAAAGAAAGAGGAATAGAGCAATCGCTCCAAGAAGAATATTGTCGTTTTTTTCGCAATAGAATAAAGAGAAGCTGATTGATTCTATTTAGATAAAATAGAATATTTAAAAATATGACATCCTCAAATTACAAAGAAAAATGTACTATGTACGAGGAAAAGCATCCTTTAGAGGATAAGTTTGAGTTAGACAACGGAGACGAAGTCGAAAGAGAATCTTCGGGAAATCCAAAGAACGCTATAATTATTATGTTTATATTAATATTAGCTAATTTACTGAATTATATAGATAGGTGCATTTGTGCTGGTATGTTCTTTTTTTTATGATTATAAATGTTAATATATATATATATATAAATTTAATGATCGATAATGCAATAATAATAAAGATTTATGCTCATTTTAAACAGGGGTTTTACAATCGATTAAAGACAACTTCTTTAAAAATGATAATACTCCTATGAATTCAACTCTCTTTGGTAATGGTACAAGCGGAAATTCGACAAGCGATGACGATCACCTAAACGAACTTGGTCTAATCCAAACGTCTTTTATACTCTCGTATATGATTTTCTCACCGGTATTTGGTTACCTTGGCGACCGGTACAATAGGAAAGTACTTATGTCGGTTGGAATATTATTCTGGTCAGGAATAACACTTGGCAGTTCATTTACAACGAAAACCTACTGGAGCTTCTTATTGATGCGTTCTCTTGTAGGTGTTGGTGAAGCAAGTTATTCGACTATTGCTCCAACGATTATAGCTGATTTATTTGTCGGAACAATGAGAACAAATATGTTATCTTTATTCTATTTCGCTATTCCAGTTGGGTCTGGTCTTGGCTATATTATAGCATCGGGGGTTGAAAAAGCTACAGGCGATTGGCGGTGGTCGCTAAGGATTACGCCTGTCTTTGGTATTGTTTGTGTATTACTTATTATTTGGCTGGTGAAAGAGCCTTCTAGAGGAGCTAGCGAAGGAGGATCTCATCTGCAAAGTAGTTCGCTTAAGTCGGATGTTGTTTATCTCGGCAAGAATCGTAGTTTTATGTTATCCTCTCTGGGCTTTACATGCGTCGCATTTGTTACGGGCGCTCTTGCCTTTTGGGCCCCATATTACTTGAATCATTCCATACTTGCTCAAACTGAAGTAACAGGTGGAAGTCCAAAGATGAGTAGGGAAACTGTTAGCATGGTTTTTGGGTCAATCACCTGCGTTGCGGGGATAACAGGAGTGGCTATTGGCTGGCACACTGCTAAATTTTTAAGAAAGTATACGGAAAAAGCCGATCCTTTGATTTGCGCTTTTGGCATGTTATCATGTTCGCCTTTCCTCTTTCTAGCTCTTTATCTATCAAAGAAATGCTTAGTCGCAACCTGGATATTTATATTTATCGGTGAAACACTACTCTGCATGAATTGGCCAATTGTTGCAGATATTCTCCTGTACGTTGTTGTGCCTAATCGAAGATCAATAGCCGAAGCCGGTCAAATTCTTATGTCTCACGCTTTCGGAGATGCCGGAAGCCCCTTTCTTATAGGACAGGTAGCCTAATATAAGCGTAGTTTACTAATAAAAATTATTTATCAACTCTTTATCTTTTTCAGGTGGCGGGAAGTATTGGAAGCATTTTAGCAAGTTATTCTCATAATTACAAACAATATAAATCTCTTCAATATTCTCTATATATCAACTGCTTCATTTGTGTACTCGGCGGAGGATTTTTCCTGGCTAATGCTATGTATATAATTCCAGATAAAATGGCCCAGAAAAAAGCCGTCAAAGGTAAGTACAATGATTCATTAAGAACAATGCTTTTTAATTGGCTATTTTTTCCCTATCACTAATTCTGCTTTTTTTTTCCATAGAATCAGCAGACGCATATTGCTCTGACGATCAGAGTCTGCCAAATACTGTATTAAATGGCTAGAATCCATACCCAATGATAATGTAACCAATAAGGATAAAGAGATAGAGTCAAATATTAAACAGAGACTGCGTTTGTTTTCTATATTTTTTTTTATTAAACAGCTTGCATTTTTTAGAAACAAAGTTCTAATTAAAAAGAAAAAAAAATTGCCTTTTTTTTGTTTTTCGACTTAAAGAAAACAATCAGAAAGAAATTTATTAAATATTTATTTTTGTCTAATTATCATGAGCCTTCATTGTCTTCTGAAGTGAATTTTGTAATCGAAGCTTGTTTCTGACGATAAAGTCCATATTCTGTCTCCATATACCTGGCCCAATTTTCTGTCGCAAGACTAGGAACGTTGTCCAAGAATTTCCAAGAAAGAGAAGTAAAAATATAAAGGCAGAAGCTAAAACCTGCCACTCAATGCACTTTTCATTTCTTGATAGAAAGAATAGATAATAACTACTGTACAGTTGTAGGAGCTGAATAATTATAATCAAATGATATAATTTCAGTGGTATATATAAACTATCGACTTACATAACCGCCGCACAAGAACGGTAAGATAAATGTTAATCCTCGCCACATCCAGGATTGAAATCCCTCTGTAATTTAAAACCGAAATAATCTTTATTATACCTTTTCCATTAGTAAGTACTGTATAGTTAAACTACTAGATGTTAAATATTTACATACCGACTGTTATATCCATATTATGCCTTTCACCTAAAGACCTCAAACGATAGAGCATTCCTCTCTGATAGTAGAATTGACCAACAGAAACCATACCTAGAAAGGAAATTTCAACAGTACTTTCATAATTATTTCCACAAGTAAAGGAATACTTACATAAGTAAATACAAAAGAATAAGTATTGTCCTCTAAATTGTGTATAAGTATAACCATCGGGCCTTTAAAAAAAAGAAAAAAATCAAATGTAGTATACAGTATATAAAATGATATTTGCATGTTATTTGAAAACAAAATATTTTTAAACGATCAAACTATTTTGATAATATACGTTTAAACAGTAGGCCTATTGATAACGTTGTTTGAAAATTAAAAACAAATTCTTTTTTTTTGTAGCAGTCAAGGTCCTTGAAAATTTATGATTTAGCTTTTCAAAATAGGCTTAAAGACAAATTTTAAAGTAAAAAAAAAAAAAGACTTGAATTTATTGATATACATTTGCCAGAAAAAATATCATTATTTATCTATGTAAATACATACCATATCAATACTATACCGGCGCAAACCGTCGATATAAAATGATGTGTCATCCACCATCCTTTTATCCTTGGAAGTTAGAAATAGAAAAATATTATAAGATTAATAATGACAAAAACATGGATAAAATACCTAGATCCATTGACTTTCAATATACTCTCGCGTATTGTTAAAGTACAATAATACCAAACAGTTAAAAACTGGAATGCGGCATCTGCTACCCTGAAAATTTTTTTTACTATAATATTTTTCCATATAAAAACAAAAAAGAGAAAAGAAACGATTTTTTCGATAGATAGAAATTCTCTAATTTTTTACAAACCTAAAATACGGTGATAAGAAAATGATTAAGCCAAAGAAAAAGACTATTATGTTAACGTATAGCTTAAATCTTTCATAATCTTCTTTATACTTGTATCTTTTTTGTAGCGTAATATGAAAAATGGGAAAAAGGATATTATTATTTAAGAATATATTATAATGATGTTTTTATTTTGTTTAAAAAACGTAAAAGAAACAAAAAGTGAATATTTTTATACTTACTTGTCATGTTTACTAAGCAAAGATACGTTTACAGAACCCAAAATTATGGACAAATATATTCTAAAAAATTGTTTGAACATTATGTTAAAATGTACAATTATTCTAACCGAAAAAATTACCCATTTGTATGTGGAAGATTTTCTTCTAATTCCCTACAGCAAGCCTTCTGCTCATCCATGCTGGTTTTTAATTCTTTCAATTGTTCTTCATCCTCCTTACTTAGAGATTCCCTGGAATTTTAACGATTCGTTAGATTTAATATTTCTTGCGATCGAAACTCAAACCCTTTGAGATCTTGAAGGATCTGTTTCATGCGATATCTTTGATGAGCAATCCCGGACATGCATTTGCTTTGGAGCTCTTTAACCTTCTCGATTTCCTTACAATAGTTTTCATGCACTTTCTGATGGTGTTTTTAATAGTTAAATCAATTGGAAAGCGTATCCTTTAAAATAACACTTACTTCAACTTCCGCAAACTCGCCAAGTAGTTCCTCCCATTCTTTCTGGGCAGTTTTAAGAGCATTCGAAGTCATTTTTTTCCGAGACCAAAGGTGTTTTTGATAAGGCTCTTAGACTGACTGCAGATGTCCTCTTTATCGCTTTCGTCGTCTGCAAATCTAGGCAAAATAGTCTGTTACAGGTGGCGTTAGTGAAAATTGTCGTCTGTTAAAATTTGGCAATATAGTTGTAAAAATGATGAATTTAGGATATGTTTTTTTTGGATTTCTTTCTTTAGCCTGTACAATAATACAGCTAATATCGTGGAAGAATAGGAAAAAAACAAATTCAAATGCTAATCCAAATTTTGTATCTTTTCAAAGGAGTTACCTTCTTGCATACCTTCCAGCCGTTGTTGGAGATTGGCTGCAGGGACCTTACTTGTATGCTCTCTATAGCCGATATGGATTTACGGAAGATCAAATTGCTATTATTTATGTGTCGGGTTTTGCTTCGACAGTCTTTCTTGGAACCTGGTTAACTGTTCTTTCGAATAGATATTCCTCAAGGAAAGTTTTAATGGTGACAACAGCAATTTACGCAATATCCAGTCTGATGAAGCTATCAGTTAATTACGGGGTTTTAATAATTGCACGAGCTCTTAGTGGTCTTACAACACCAATCATGTTCAGAACATTCGAAAGGTGGTACTTCCATCAACATGTAGTAACATATGATTTTCCAAAAGAATGGATAGCCTCATCAATGTCCAAAACTGCCGTATTTAATGGTCTTCTAGCCATCAGCTCTGGTATTATTGCACATGTGATGGCCGAATGGATGGGATATGGTCCTGTTGCTCCTTATATTCTTGCTGCTCCATTCTTAGCAGCTTCAACATTTTTAATTTTTTTCCAATGGAACATCCCCGATGAAGCTACTGATAACAGCCAAAGAAAATTTTCATTTTTACCTGCAATACGCGAATTAGCTGAGCAACCTGAAGTATTAACTTTAGGTGTTCTAGAGGCTCTTTTCGAAAGTTCCATGGCTATTTTCGTGTTCGTCTGGACCCCTGTCCTGACTCCTCCTAGCCCAAGTTACGGTATTATTTTCTCAACATTTATGATATGCGTTCTAATAGGAGGAGCTGTTTACGAAATATTAAAAAAACACAAAACACAAAATATTTTAATAATAATATCAATTAGTACTAGCTGTATTGGCTTTGCGATTAGTGCGTTTTTCACAACACCAGATCATCCAGCAAGATTCGGTACATTCCTGGGATTATTAATTGTTGAAATAGGGGCAGGTATTTATTTTCCATCCATGATGGAATTAAGAAAACGAATACTTCCTGAAAAACATGTAGAATTGTTAAGGGCTATTTTTGGGGTGCCTTTGAATCTCATCGCATGCCTTGCCCTATGTTCATTACATAATAATACTTGGAAGCAGGGAAACAGGATTTTGTTACTTATATCGTCAACTTTATTATTTACAGCCTTCTGTGTGGCTTTAAGACTGAAAGTTAAATCTTCTAACTGCAACGATGAAGTCGAAGATGAGGCTTAAATAAAAGTGTTCGTTCTACATTCTCTTAACAAACTTCAAAAGTATCATTATGTCGGATGGTCGAACAGTTTGTAAACGACTAGCAGCCAATATCTGCAAACGAATAAAACGCAAGACTAGAATATGGAAAAAAGGCAAATACTGCTTATTAATGTTTTTTTTTCATCTATAAAACTAAGAAAAAAATTTATCCTTACTGAATCGGGTTTTGTCTCATTTAGTTCAATTTTTGCATCATTATTTATATTCAGTTGATCATAATCTAAATTGAATGGTAATTTCATTTGAAAATCTTGATTTAATTCTTTTATAAGTAATTGTTGGCGTTCAATTGCACTATTATAGAGAGCCATTATTCTAACTCTTTCAAGTATGTTTTCTTCGAACCTCTCTATTTTAAATATTTCTGGGAAAAGATTAAATAAGTTTTGAAGCTGTAATTTGCCACCGCCTAATAATTCAAAAGCAGTCTTTTGAGCTGTACTATGAACAGGTCTTACTTCTAATAGCTCGTTCCATTTTTTAGACGTCAAAGAAAAATTTTTTAAAAGATCTAATAATTCATTTACTAAAATATTATTTTTTGAAGCTATACTGTGTCTTTTTTCATGAATAAACCCGTATTTAAATGAAGGTAGTGTAAGCCTTGCGTCAGCATTATCAGGGCGTAATAGTAGACGGAATTCTGCTCTAGACGTAAACATACGGTAGGGCTCAAAAGCTCCTTTTGTAGTCAAGTCATCTATTAAAACCCCTATGTAGGCGTCGCTTCTTGATAATATAAATTCATCGGATCTTCCTCGCGCTTTCATACTGGCGTTGCATCCAGCTATTAATCCTTGGCTAGCTGCCTCCTCGTATCCGGTCGTTCCATTTATCTGACCAGCCAAATATAAATTTTCAATTTTTTTGGTTTCTAGCGTTCTCTTTAATTGGCGAGGATCAACGTAATCGTATTCAACTCCATAGCCAGGTTGTAGCATCTTTGCATTTTCCAAGCCAGGTATTGTATTAATAAGTTTTTGTTGAAGCTCTGCGGGGAGTGTACACGATAAACCCTGAGGGTAAATAACGTTACTACTCAATCCTTCAGGTTCCAACCAAATTCTATGATTAAGATGTCCAAATCTTAACACTTTTGATTCGATTGAAGGACAATACCTGGGACCCTTCGTCTCCTCTGTAACATGTCTATTCAAATGCTGATTTTTCACAATTATCTGATTTAACTTTGGAGTTGTATAGGTTAAATGAGTAACGACTTGATCCTCGGGTGGAATTTTTACTTTATTATTCATGAAGGAAAAAGGAATTGGCGGATTATCGGCAATTTCCTCTGATAGCACAGAGAAATTAATAGTGCATTTATCAATTCTAGGAGGGGTTCCAGTTTTTAATCTTTCCAATCGAAATCCTGATTTACGAAGAGTATTTGATAGACCAATCGATGGTTTATCACCTAATCTTCCAGCTTCTTTCACCTCTAGACCAATATTTATTTGTCCTTTAAGAAACGTTCCAGTAGTTAATAAAACAGATTTTGAAAATATTTCAAGATCAGATTCAGTTCTAATTCCTTGACAAATAGGTTTTTCAAAATTATGATCTATTATTAAATCTTCAACGGACTCTTCAATAATATCCAAATTGGGTGTTTGATCAAGTTCCTCTTGGATATATTTTTTATAAAGTTTTCGATCAATTTGAGCCCTTAATCCCTAAAAGAAAATAAAAAGGAATAAACTATATACCCAACCCACTTTGCATATAGATATTATCTCTCAGCGAATAGTTAGGTAAGCTATTTTAAACTTGCTTTCCGAAGTGAGCCTCTTGCATAAATATTATACAATAAAGTTAACAAGAAATGAGTACTAATTAACAGTCTAGAAATTTGGAATTTTCCATTTCACATTGAATATTTAACCTATTCAAATTCAATATTTCACAAAAGACCTATCGTTCTGAGTGAAAGGTATACAATTTAGCAATAGTTTCATAAAAAGTTCAATTTCATTTACTTTGATTATGCATAAAGGTAGAAATTAATTCGATTAATTATACATTAAAGTATTTACCCAAACAGCGGGACCCTTACTTCTATTAAGGACTTTATAGAATATTCCTGCTTTGTCTATTTGAGATAAACGTATATTTATACTTTATACCACATATACTTAAACATAAAATATTTTACCACATATTTTTGCGCAGATACCGTCTAATGCATCTATTTCTCGAACGAGATGGCCTTTACCTATTCCACCAAAGGACGGGTTGCATGACATTTCTCCTATGGTTGTTTTTTTATGTGTTACCAGTAATGTTGGCGTTCCAGTTCGGGCTGATATTGATGCTGCTTCTATGCCGGCATGGCCACCACCAACGACGATTACCTACAACATATTTGCATCACTTTATAAATTTACAATTTAATGATTGATGTTTCTACTGACATCGTATTTGTTTTTTAAAGAAAAAGATCGTTGAAGTATCCTATGGGTTGATAGTTTGTTTGCAATAAAAGTTTGATTATTCCTAATGAGCGCTGTAATTCGGTAGTACATTATGTTTATTACACTAAGAATTATATATCCTTAATTAATTTAACTTATAAAATATGTCAGGATTTTTTTTTTATCATTTCATAGCTTTGACATGTGCTTTTTTCTTCGAACAATGTCCGTCAAAGAGAAACCGGAAGTAAACAACCTTAAAAGTAGTTTTCGCATTTATTAAAAAATATCATACGGGTGAATATTTTAATGATATACTAATTATAAAACAAAAGCATATTTTTCAAAAATTCTTTAATTCTAATTGGTTGAAAAATGTTCAATGATGAAATTCCGAAATCGGATCCAAGCAACCGATAAACAAATTTAAATTACAAAGTTTCCAGGAATTATTATTATTTTAATTCTCTATAGAAACGGGAATAATTAGTATCGGAGCTAACGGATAACGCTTATACTAATATTTTTTCATCATTAAAGCTGTATTTGTGACTACAAATTTTTGATATATTAAGAATAAGTAAGGAAACTTAATATCGCTCAACATATAGGATAATATTGAACGAAATTGCCGACTAAGGAAAAATCTGGAGAATGCAAGCCCCCATAAGTAATTCAGAGGGGGTTCGTCAAGCTTTACATTTCCCAAGAAAGTCGTCCTATCCTGGAAGACAGTTGGAATTTAGGGAACCTAGAGCACCTTTTGCAGTAAACTATGAACCACCTACTCATAAAATACCTTCATACAATTCTGGTAAGCTTTGTTAAAGAAATTATAGTAGACTTTCGAAGAAAACGATTAAATTTGATACACAAGATATATATTAATTATTTAAAAATTCGCTTAATCCTAAGCATTTAACATAGAGTTATATACACTTTAATTTTGTAGCCATAAGAAATATTTGCCTATAGGGCCATTAAGGCCTATATTATCATATTCAAATCATAATCAAACAATAAGTCCACTGAAAAAGAACTATATAAACGATAAGATTTAAATCATTTTTTATTATCACAAAATAGCTGGTAAGTCGTCTTCCGCTTGTCAATGGCCATATCCAAAACAACATAAAGTCAATAGAAGTTACAATGTTAGTGCTTTGGATCTAAGTCATCGTAATGCTAGCGAGACTAAGATAAGCCGAAATGCTCCATTCGCTCGTACGTATTATTTAATAAAGTAAAGAGTTATACATAAATAATTAACTACTTTACATTATCTATAATAGCGAGACTCTTGGAAAACGATAGCGTTTTCGATTATAGAGGTTATCCTTCCGCTAATGGACTCAGGGCTGATATTCCGTCCTATAGTTCTCTTCATGATCCTCATTTACATGATTTTTTTACTAAAAAGTTTCTTGGTCATGTGGTGAGTAAAGTTGTATGAAAATTTCTTATTTTATATTTTATATTGAATATTATAAACAGCCAAGTCGACCTAATAGCGCAAGTACATCATCCAGTAGAATAAGAAAATCTTTAACATCTAGATTAGCTGCTAGGAATACGACTGGTAAAAAGAAACATGACGTCCTGTACAAAATTACAGTTTTAACCGGAAATAGGAAAAATGCAGAAACAAAATCCAAAGTATATTGACCTATTATTTGAATAAGATTTAACTTAATTCCTTTTGAATTTTGCTATTTAGGTTTTTATAAGGTTAAAAGGTACCAAGGCAAAGCTACCTAGGAAGAGATTATCGAAGAAAATCAAAAATAGGCCTGGAAAGAGATTTGTCTTTGAACGTGGAAGTACAAATACTTTTAAGATGAGAGGAAATGATATTGGAGATTTAACATCTATAATAATTGAGGTAATTATTTTACTATAATCGTGTAATATACATTATTATTACTATTAATATTGTAGCATGACGGAATTACAAAAGAAGAAAGCTGGTTTCTAGAACAAATCGAAATAACTAATACAGCTAATGGAAAAACATGGATATGTATTTGTAAAAATTGGCTATCCCTATTTGAAGGTGATGGAAAATTAAGTAGAGAGTTGTTTGTAAGACAATACTCAAGAACAGGTAAAAAATTTATCATTTTGCAATAAAAATAAAGAAAGAATAATAATAAACCATTAACGACTAATGAATCTATAATTTACAGAGTATGAGATTGTAACTGTTACTGGAGATAAACTTAATGGAGGAACAAATGCTAAAGTATTTGTTACTTTTTATGGAAAACATGGTATCTCACCTAAGATACAATTGAGAAATAATATAGGAGATACGTTCGAAAGGAATAAAAGCGATGTTTTTATTGTTAAATCAAATTGCGTTGGTCCAATTGACAAAATACGGTATGTTATTTTTTTTAATTAACCTGGATAAAATGAAACTATACACGTATATATGTTTTTTTACTTGTTATATTAGAGTAAAAATCTTACTAAATAAAATTTTAATTAAACGTGATATTTCTTTAAGAGAAAGGTCTTTTCCTATTTTCCCTTTTTTCTTTCTTTCCACTCCCTCCAGCTACTACTGTTAAATATTCTGACGTATTTAATATGCTTTGTTTTGTCTTCCTAAACAACAGTATCGAACACGACAATACGGGCCTAGGACCTGGATGGTTTCTAGAGAGAGTTGTCGTAACAGATCTAAAGAATAAAAGGTGGCGATATTATTTCCCTTGCGGAAAATGGTTAGCGAAAGATGAAGGCGATGGAAGGATATCAAGAGATTTAGTTGGAACACTGGACCCATCTAAAGTTGTTTCAGGTATATTAATAGATCAAGCTCTAATTAATATTCTATTGTGTAGCGGTTATTTAATCAATATAAATTATACATAATTAACCAGAGGGAAAAAGTCGTAAGTTCTACTAATAAGATATAATGCATATCACGATATCACCTAGATATCTTTATTATATCATTATTATAACATTAACGTATCACCTAAAACTGATAATATCATTTTAAATGGAGTTGAAGCATGCAGTTTAAATACGTCTTTTTCTTGTCTCATTTCTAGGACAAAAATATAAGATATCTGTGCTTACTGGTTCGAAGAGTGGATCTGGCACAAGCGCCAATGTATATGCGACAATTTTTGGGGAATCAGGTGATTCTGGTGAACATAAATTAGGATCCAGTTTTAAATCAGGAAGGTTCGTTCATTTGTTTTATTTCTCTCTTTTTTATCTTTCCGTTTTAATTACTTCTTTTTAAATAGTAAAAATGAGATTACTATCGAATGCCCGTCTTTGGGTAACCTTAAACGAGTTCATATTGGACACGACAACTCTGGTCTGGGTCCTGGATGGTATTTGGAAAAGGTATAGAAATTAATTGCATTAGGTGATTGTTTTTTAATAATATCTTTGTTAAAAATTAAAGATTATTGTCGACGATATTAAACACGATAGAGTTTACGATTTCCCCTGTAACAAATGGCTAGCTAGGGATGAAGATGATGGTCTAATTTCCCGAGATCTTATTCATAATGTGGGAGCAGTTGGCAACTTGCCGGGTATTTCTTATCATTTGAAAGTGATTACAGGAAATGTTGAATCGGCTGGAACATCGGCAAGAGTTTATATTATAATGCACGGAAGTAAGAACCAAACCAGCGGAAAAGTTTGGTTGGATAATGGAAAATTTGATGTATTTATTAAAATTCTTTTAAAATATACTTCTTTAATGTTTTCTTTATTTTTACTTAGAGAGGACGAACCGACTTACTAGAATTCGATATAAATGAAAACTTAAGTCCTATTTCGAAAATTGAAATTGGTCATGATGACTCTGGTCCAGGCTCTGGATGGTTTCTTGATAGAGTTGTAATATTTTGTCCGGCAACTGGTATTGAACAATTTTTTCTGTGCGATAAATGGTTGGCAACCGATGAAGGAGACGGTCTTATTGAGAGAACGTTGTTTGAAAATACTTCTATGAGAAAAATTAAAGATAAACAAAAAACTTGGGTTGTTAATGTTACTACTTCAAATATTTCTGGAGCAGGAACCGATGCCAATGTTAAAATGGTCTTATACGGAAAAAATAAAGATGGAGTATATAAAAAAACTGATGACATTACTCTGGATAATAGAGGCAATAATTTTGAGGCTGGAGAAACAGATTCGTTTAAGATTCACGCATCTGCAGTTGGAACACCTTATAAACTAAGAATATGGCACGATAATTCAAATCCAGCAGCGGGATGGCATTTAGATAAGGTTTATTCAATTCTTTAAAAAGATTAATGATAAAAAACTAGTTATAAAATTCTTTAGATTGATCTTATTTCTCCAAATGGCAAAATATACCTCTTCAACTGCCAAAGATGGCTTGCAACGGACGAAGACGATTACGAAATAATTAGGGAATTACCGGCAGAAGGAGAACTAGTTAAAAAAGTTCAACAATGTTCGAATCTTTTAATTGCGCTTTTCGTACTTTTCTCATATTCATATAAATTTATATAATATTTTAATTTTCAGTAAAAAAATACAAAGTTCAAATTATTACTGGAAATAAGAGAAAAGCTGGTACAGATGCAAATGTCTACATTAACATCTACGGCGAACAGGGTGACACTGGAAATAGATTCTTAAGAAATTCCAAAACGAATAGAAACAAATTTGAGAGGGGAAACGTAAGATAAATATGATTTTGTTATTGTTATTTTATCATTTTATCATTTTCATTTGTTTAATTGTCAACAGACGGATGAATTTATTATAGAGGCTGTTGACTTGAGAAAGATTAAATGTATTAAAATAGGACACGATGGAGCCAACTTTGGTGCTGGGTGGTTCTTGGATAAAGTTGTTATTGAAGATTTAAGTAATTCTAAAAATAAAGAAACTTTCGACGTTCAACGGTAAATTTTCTTTATTATTAATAATATTTAATTAAAAGTACTTAATATCTTTGTTTTTTATCAAACAGATGGTTCGACAAGGGCGAAGATGATGGATTAATTGAAAGAGTCATTATGCCTGGCGGATCTAGTGCATTGCAGAGTTAGTTGTCAATTGTATTTTCTATAGTTTCGCAATTAACTTTTCTCATTATTTGTTATTACTATAGCAACGACGTATATCGTATCAGTAAAAACTGGAAATAAATCTGGTGCAGGCACTGATGCTAATGTTCATTTGAAATTATTTGGTGAAAAATCTGACACTGATGAATTAACGCTAAAATATTCCGATAATACATCAAATAAATTTGAACGTGGGCGGACTGATGTCTTCAAACTAGAAGCATCTGATATTGGAAAAGTAAAAAAATTTTACCTTAAATTGTCTTGTTCCTTGAATGATTAATCATTCCATTTCAATTCAAATTAGATAAAAATGTTAAGAATAGGACATGACGGTAGTAATCCAGGTTCTGGTTGGTTTCTTGACGACGTATCAATTGACGTTCCATCTAGAGGTGAAATGTATAGATTTGCCTGTCACCGCTGGCTAGACAAATCGGAAGGGGATGGTCTAATAGAAATCGAAATGAATCCTACGGATTATCTTGAAGGAGACATAAGTAAAAACAAAAAGACAATTATATCGAATTTATTTATAATCTATTGATACGTTTCCAGAAATTCCTCACGAAATCAAAGTATGGACTGGAGACAAAATGGGCGGCGGTACCGATGCTAATGTTTTCCTTCAAATGTATGGGGAATCTGGTAAAACTGAAGAAATTCCCCTAAGGAATAAAACTGACAACTTTGAAAGAAATCAATTAGATACTTTTAAAGTAATTAACTATTGATTTCTAATCAATAAAAATTCATTATTTATAATTGGTCTTTTGTTAACAATAGATTTATGCGCCGGATGTTGGTAAAATATTAAAAATTCGTATCGGCCATGATGGAACAGGTCGAGGAGCTGGATGGTATATGGAAAAATTGGTTATAATAAAAAGCTCTCTGGTTGCTGGTCGGAGAAAGTTGAAAAAGAAACCTTCGCTCAGAAAGATTGGTCGTTGCGACGCTCCAGAAGAGGATAACGATGAAGAGGAGGAAAGAGTTGACGAACGTATTATGGAAAGACGACGAAGGAAAACTATTGAAAAGATAGAAGCCTTTGGGGCTGGGGAAATAGATAAAATTGAGGAATATTGGTTTGTTTGTCAGAAATGGTTTGCCAAAGATGAAGATGATAAAAAGATTGTCAGAACACTTTTACCAACAACTCAGGACGGTAAACCTCTTAGGGAGGGCCTTAAAGGTGAGTAGTTTGTCATTTGATCTTCTTAAATTAAAGAATGTATTGAACTGTGCAAATCTTTATCTTGTTCACAGAACTCGATTATCGAGTTATCGTCTTTACTGCCGATGTAAGTGGGGCGGGAACTAATGCGAATGTTTACCTTAGTCTTACCGGAGATATGGGTGATAGTGGTGAGATTCACCTCTCAAAGTCCCAAAATTTTGATAAATTCGAGCAAAATCAAGAGGACGTTTTTAACTTGACTTTCCCCGACATTGGCCGACTTTCAAAAGCAAAAATCAGACACGACAATAAAGGTATAGGATCTTCCTGGTTTCTAGGTCATATAGAAGTAGAAGATCCAAAGAGAAGAGAAATTGTCTATTTTCCATGCCAGAATTGGTTATCTACAAAAGAAGGGGATGGTCTTCTTTGCAGGGAGCTCGTTCCTGTTGACCGTTCTTTGAAAGATGAGATAACAAAGAGTAAATCTCTTAGTATTATAGCAGCCGAAATAGCCAAGGCTAAAACTATTTATACATTGAATGTCTATACCGGTAACGTGTTTAAAGCAGGAACCGATGCAAACGTCTACGTATATTTATTTGGCAAAGTAAGACTCGTTATATATTATTTTAATTTTATTAATCATCTTCTCCATCTGACAATAGGATGATAGTATTGGACCAATACCTTTAAAGCACTCATTGACCTATAGTAACAAATTTGAAAGAGACCAAGTTGACAAGTTTCAAATAGAAGCCGTTGGTTTAGGAACCTTACAGAAACTAAGGTCGATAATTAGTTAACCACTCATTTTCTGATGTGCTCATGTATTTTATCTTCTCTTGTAGAATTGGACACGATGATAAGAATTTATCATCAGACTGGTTTCTGGATAAAGTTGAAATTGAATGTCCATCTGAAGGACGAAATTACATCTTCCCATGCGGAAAGTAAGAACTAAACTACATCCATTTTTTTTAAATTACCGATATCTAATATATAATATATAAAATTCTTCTTCTTTAGATGGTTGGCTAAGGGTAAAGAAGACGGATTGATAGAGAGAGATCTATATCCTCACGAGGATGCGACTGAAACCTATGAAAAATGTGAGATATCTATTGTATTTTCCTTTATATCTATTTGTTTATTGTTCTTAAATCCTTTTAGCCTTTTCTGTCTTTTCTTTTCCCATTTTTTTTAAAAAACAAAAAGCTTTCCCTTATTAGGAAACATCCTTTTATAGACAAGATAATCAATGTTTTTTTTTCAACTCGAAGACGGGGTAAAAGGTAAATTAAGTTGTAATAGTTAATAAATATAAAAAAGCTCATTTTCTCACCCTATCTTCAGCTCCCTTTTCACAAAAATAGTGAAAAGTTTGCAGTTTAAAACTCTATAGTCACATAACACGTCAATTATAAAACTAGTTTGCCATTTATCAAATGCTATATTTAACTATACGCTAAAGTTCTGAGAAACTGGTAATCACCCTGCTTACAGATGCTTACTTGGAAAACCAACAATAGTTAATTAGTTTTAACAATGCAATCTAGTTAGAAACATACTGCTGATAAAAGACAATTGACAAAATATATAGAAAAGTATAAATAATAAACTATTGATAGTAAACCTTTTCGTATTTTGTTTATGTAGTATACTGTAACTAAACTGTAGTCTATAGTCATTCATAATTAGACAATATATTGTTATGTATTTATTGTATATATACTTTTCAAACTAATGAAAGTATTCATGTGTTTTTCGCATTATTTATATACATTATATAATGTAATAGTCTAACAGTGCTATATAATAATGAAAAATGTACCAATATAACATTGATATTACAATAAATGCTATACTATATCTACCTTTATTCTCTTATTCAGGTATACCGTATAACTTTACTATTTATACAACGGATAAAATTGGAGCTGGTACGGATGCTGATGTTTTTGTGAAGCTCTTTGGACAAGATACCTGTACAAAACAAGTTAGTTTATGCCTTGATAAAAGGGAAAGGAAGAAGAAATTTAAAGCTGGAGCTAAAGAAGATTTTGTTATTAATGTTTGTATATAGTTTATACAGTATATATATATATATCTTTCTTTTTGACAAACTACTACACAGTTGGAAGATGTTGGTGAAATAGAAAAATTACAAATAGGTCATGATAATTCTGGTATTGGAGCCGCTTGGCATTTACAAAAGGTAGAAGTTAGAAAACTCAATCCAACTGGAAGTGTAAGTATTTTATTAAAATATTTAAACATTTCAAAGAGTTTATTAAGTTACAAAACAATTAATTTAAGGATGAAAAAGCCACTTCGGTAAGAATAATAATAAAAAATATCAAATTTTTAAAGATCATTGTTGTAATGAAAACGAGATCTACCCATGCATGAGTTGTATATGATTTTTATAAACTATTTCCCCTTATTAAATCCCTCACCTTCCATTGTATAATTCTGTTATAGATACCCCAAACCCTTATATTAATATTTTGTTAATTTACTATATTATTAATAATAACTAAATGAATTAATAATCGAAACAAAAACATAATTCAGGGTTCAGACACTTACATATTCGAATGCGATAAATGGTTTGATAAGAATAAGGGCGATAGAGCTATTGTTAGAGATTTAGTTGCGAAGGATGTCATCAAGGAGAGGAGGAATAAAAGAGGAGCATTGGAAAAAAAGAAACTAACCAGAAGAGATACTTTAACGAGTTAGATATTATGATTTTATTTACTAATCCTTGTTAATTAATTGATCATCGCCTACAAGGATTAATCGTAATTTTTTTCTCTATTTTTTAGTGATCAAATATACTGTGGACGTGTATACTGGAGACCAAAGTGGTGCTGGAACAAATGCTAATGTCTTTTTAACCATGTATGGTAGTAAAGGCGATAGTGGAGAGCAGCAGTTAACAAAATCCGAAACTCATTTTGATAAATTCGAAAGAAATCACTGTGATAAATTTTATATTGAGAATGCGGATCTTGGAAAATTATTCAAAATCTTTATCAGGCACGATGATAGTGGTCTAAGATCTGATTGGTTCTTGGACAGGGTTGAAATTAATGATGAATTTCACGGTGACAAATATATCTTCTATTGTGAGAGATGGCTTGCTAAAAAGAAAGGAGATGGAAAATTAGGGAGACAGATTGCAGAAAAGAATTATACAGGAGAACTGACAAGTAATTCATCCCTTAACTCAAGCAGAAAGGGTAGTACTCTTAGTATGGAATCTCACTCGAGTAAGAGTCCAAGGGTAAGAAGAAAGGAGTTGGAGAATATACCAGAAAATCCAATCCCTTATACCATTAAAGTACAAACTGGTAAAAGTTTTGATCATGGAACCTCGAGTAATGTTTGGGTGAATCTAAAGGGCTCGAAGAAAGAAACTGGTAGAGTACCTCTAGAGTTCCAGACCGAAAACAATAGATTCAATCCGGGTTCCATAGAGAACTTTTCAATTGATGCGGAAGATATTAGAAAACTGAAATCTATCGAGGTTTGAGTGTTCTTCAGTTACATCTTTAGATAATTTAAATAGCCCTATTAAATGTTTTTAAACAGATTGGACACGATGGAGTTTCAACAGGAAGTGGCTGGTTTCTAGAACAACTAACAGTTGATATGCCAACGAAGGGTAAATCTTACACTTTCCAATGTAAACAATGGCTTGCTATCGACAAAGACGACGGAAAAACTACAAGAGTATTTAATGTTGATGATCAAGATTCAAAATCAGTTGTATCGTATTCACCAAGTAGGTTGACTTTTAATCAGACTTTACTGTTTTATTTTTCACCCCTTACAATAAATAATATTCTTTTCTCTTTATTTAATAGAAATACCATACGAATTGACTCTAATTACTGCTGATGAAAGTGGAGCTGGAAGCGATTGTCAAGTATCTATACAGCTATTCGGTTCGGCATGTAGTTCGGAAACTATTCATATTCCGAAGAGAACCGACAGATTCGAGAGAGGAAGAGAAGACGAAATTAAATTTGAAATGGAAGATTTATCGTCAATCACTAAAATGCGAGTTATGGTCGATGGTAAAGGCGAAAGAAGCGAGTGGCTCCTAAAAGAAGCAAGAGTTTTGCATACTTTAACGGGTGATAAATATGTATTTAAATGTAATGAATGGCTGGGAAGAGGACCTAATGCCAAAGGTAGACTGAGTCACGATATGGTGGCTCTGCTAAGAGGTAAAGCTCAACTAAAATCGACAAACTATACAATTATGATTAAAACAACGAATAAAACGCACGCCGGAACCAGTGCAAATGTTACGTTAGAACTATTCGGTGAAAAAGGAAATAGCGGTGAATTAAAACTAAAGAAACCAAAATCGGGACAAAAACCCTTTCAAAAAGGTCAAACTGACGAATTTTCATTCGACTTGCTCAGTCTTGGAAGTTTGCTTAAAATACGTATACAACACGATGATTCAGGCTTCGGGTCTGGCTGGCACTTGGAGAATGTTGAAGTCATGGATAATAACGAAAAATTTACCTACAAATTTATCTGTAATAAATGGCTTAGTAAATCTGACGATGATAAGCAAATCATTCGAGAAATACCTTGCTCAAATCCAAGGACTCCCGAGTCTTCGAGGAGGGGAAAACACACTTATGAATTTGAAATTATTACGGGGGATAAAAAAGATGCCGGTATAGTGCACAATTGCTGGATAATACTTTGCGGAACAAGCGGCGATACTGATCTTATATTCTTGAGGAATGATTCTAAAACTTGTTTCAAGAGAGGAGAAACTGCAACGTTCGAAATGAAAATAAAAAGTGTTGGCGATATTCAAACAATTAAGGTTGGAGCCTATGCAAGAGATGAAGATAGGTTCAACGAAAATGCAGAAGGCCGAACAAATGAATGGTTCTGCCATACCGTTAAAATCACCGATTGTACTACAGGCGATAAATTCAACTTCTCTTGTAAAGATTGGATTCAAGTTACGAGAAAACCAAAGAAGAGATATGCTGTTGAGTGCAATTTAAAAAAGAAACAGGAAGGATCCATAGGTGCTATTGCAGCTCGTAAGTAACCTACTACAATACTGCAATATTAAAAATAACATTTTCATTTAAAAAACAAATTACTCTTCTATATTCTAGCTTTGGAAAACGTTAAATATGATATTCACGTATTCACTGGAGACGAACCGCAGGCGTCTACTGATTCCAACGTATTTATAACAATATTTGGAAAGTTTGGTGATAGCGGCAAAAGAAAACTAACAAAAAAATTCACAAACCTATTCGAAAAAGGCAACAAAGATACTTTTACAATCGACTGCGTAGATCTAGGTATAAAATTAACTTATACCACAATCATTAAGGTTTAAACAATACTTTTTCTTTTTTTAGGAGATTTAACCAAAATAAAAATAGAACATGATGGTTCGTCATTTTTCAAAACTGATTGGTTCCTAGACAAGGTCGAAGTATACAAACAAACTACTGGATCTAGAGTAGTATTCCCATGTAATCAATGGTTGAGCAAGAAGAGAGGGGATCGTCAAACTTGGAGAGAACTGTTACCTCAAGAATAATTATTATCTATCTTTCTCTTTTTTTTATATTTATACTATTTAAAATAACTTTTACTTTTCTATCAATATATGGAAAACAAAGGAATTTTTATGTATTCAGGAATGGAAAGCTTCTGTGATGTAACATTTATGTTGTTTGTCTCAATTTTTTTATTATCATATACTATATATATATTTCATTAGTTTCTACGTGCTTAAATTATTATTTGACTAGATACATTAACTATGATAAACGACACGTAAATATATATATATATATTTTAATCTAGACAATTTCTTTTTGTACATAATTAAACCAGCTATTTAAAGTCAGATAAATCTATATTAATCTTATAGCATACGTACGGATAGTAGTCGGCCTGATTTATGCCTCCTAATCCTGGAATATCTAAAGCTGGAGCATCACCAGCAGTTGGATAAGCGGAATTGTCAAGATGTTGATAAAGCTGATTAAGTAAATCCCTTAGCTTTTTATTGGATTTTTTTAAGGGGCGAACGAGTATTGCTTGAAAATTTACTGGTAAACCATATCTAAAAAAAAATAAATAGCATATAAAAGGGAATAAGAGCAACTTATTAGCAACCTTAGAACTGACTCGACAAATACTCGTAAAGCTTTAACGTGAACCCATGCTGTGAAAGCCTCGCTAAAATTCACTCTAAGCCATCTTACTAGCGGCCCCTAAGAAATAAGAAAACAACTCAATACATAATATTCTATACATATTCGTATAATATAAAAAACGAATCCCCTACCAGCTGTTTTCTCTTGTCCGTTGCTAACTTGTTCAGCTCATTCTTTCCCGCAGCTAATTCCTCTTCATTATAAAGGAAATCCCTTACAATAAACCTAGCGAAAAAGGAGAAAAAGAAAACGGACTTAAACGCAGAATAACCATCAGAGAGAGAGAGAGACCAATTGAAACGGATTTGTATCATAAAGTAACCAATTGTCAATGTAGACTTATTGTTCATATTGAATAAATCTTACCGATTTTCTCTACAATGAGCTTTATATTCATCAACAACTTTCTTGAAAAGTGTGACCGTATACAATCCGTGTTCATTATCTTCAAATATCAAACTGTAATTTTTAATACAAAAAGGAATATAACAATAATAATAATAGCGATAATTTATCAACATTTATAAAGATTTATTTCTCTTTCAATCCAAAATGTAAATGAATTGTAACAAATAGCAAAATCTAATGATAGAATACTTACTTGGTAGATCTAGGCACTACCATATCGCTTAATTTCTCGTATTTTGTATTCCAAATATTGTAGTTGGCCCTTTTTTGTTTTTATAAAAAGAAAACAAAATATAGAATAGTTATAATAAGTAAATAGATAACAAACTTTGGAACGACAACTAAAAGTGTCGTAAGGTATTCAGAATCCAAAACAAAGTCGGTTTTCTTGACTAAATCGCCAATATTTCTTGTTAATAAACTACCACTAATCAAATAGAATTGTAAGAGAAACAAATAGAAGAAATAATTAAACGAATGAATTATTAATTATTTTATTATTACTAACGTAGCTTTTCGTTCCAACGACATTAAATTTCCTTTTAGACTATTGTAGGCCGAAGACTTTGCCTTCAAATCGGTATCGATCTGATTGACCAGCTAAAAACAATAGAAAAATACGCATAACAATAAATTTTCCTATAATTTTTAATTTAACAAATAAACGCACTTTAGCAATAATATCTGCAATGTTCTTTAGAGGCTGCTTGATGGGATATTTTGCCATATCCCACTGAAATCTTGTCAAATAAGTTCCAAGATCCACTTTTAAAAAAATAAGAACATAATGAAAAATTAAATTACATTATATTGCATATAAATTAAATTTTAAGATGAATAAATTATTACTAACATCCATTAGCCAATAATCTTTCTTCTAAATATTCCTTCTGATCTTCTAGAACTTCGCCAAAATAGGTCGCTATTTTTTTGGTTACTCTATTTAAAACGACAAGAAATAGTTCTTTTGTAAAAAAAAATATCCATTCAAAAAGCCAGTTTACTCACTGTTCGCAAAATATATCTAATTTTCCTAATTCATCGGATAGACCAACTAAGACATCTAATGTTCCAACCTGCGATTGCATAATTTAATATTAAAATTTTTTACAAAAAATGACATTGAACCTAGATTGTTATCTTTACGTGCTTACTTTCAAATCGGGAATGTGAAATTTAAAATTATCTGCTACGCCATGTTGCTTATGCGTTAGTTGGTTCATTCGTTCCCAAGTTTGTTGACATGTAGGATCTCCAGGAGCAGAAATAAGCCAAAATTCATTCATTTTAATAGAGTTGATATTGATGTAAGTGACGAATACGAAAAAAAATCTAAAAGGATTCTAAATGTTAAGGCGAAAAATATATAGATTAAAACCTTACCTATCTAGTTATTGCTTTATCAAGATCAAAATGTAATGTCTTTGGAAGATATGTCGATATTTTATCAATTCTTCAAATTTTCCACCATATTACATTTGTCACATGACTTTATTGCCTGCGACTAGATTATTTTCGTATAAAATTATACTTCGGCTATATAATAAAAAGTGAATTTCCCTGAAATAAATAGATTTTTAAAATAAATTATATATAGAAGATTAATTAAAAAATAAACATTTTTCTTTTTTTTTGATTCGATAGTTTCCTGTATGTAGGATCGCCGTTCGAATACCACGAACGACGCGTTTCTTTGGTAACGAAAATATCTGAAGCGAACTACGTTTATTTTTTTCTGATAAACACTTTGTATACGTACGTGTTAAAAGATTAATATGAAGAGAAATGTTATAAACCTTTTCGACATCGATCAAAGAATTTAATTAAAAGAAATTATATGTAATGGGTTGTGGGAACAGTACACCAGAACGTTCAAAATCTGCAGCATCTTTGGAACCTTTTAATAGAAAGCCTAAAATAAGCGTTCGAAGACAATCCGAAGTAAAAAGAGCGGAAGGGAAGCCAGAGATAATTTTCATTTTTGGTAAGACAATCTATAATTTCAAGTATATTTTTAATGCCTATGACGCGATTAGTGATTATCTCAAACAGGATCAGAGATAATTTTATATACTGAACATTATAAATGTTTGTTAGCGTTCCTGTACGCCTGAGTAGATCAAAGTCATTCTCAATGCATCATGTACCATAATCAATAAAAATGGCCTTCGAATATATTTGATAATTAATTTAGGGTCTTTTATGTGGTATTCATTATTTGTTTATGGAGCTACTATTTTAGTATTTTCACCAAGTTTATTTATACTGATATATAATAAATATATATAATATATAGGCGGACCAGGTTCAAAGAAAGGATGTATTGTCGACGACTTATGCAGCACTTTTGGGTTTAAGTTTGTTTCTTGCGAATCATTGGTTTTTAGCGAACTACCGAAGAAGGTAAAAAACGTTATGCAAATTGAAAGTTCCAAAGATATACAAGACTTACTTAAGGTAAATAATGATAATAGTTGAACGTGAGTAATTGTATACTATTTGTATAATAACTAATGTTGTCCAGGACGATTCGTCTCAAGTCAATATTAGATGGATACTAAGCCTAGTGGAGAATAAAATAGAGCAAGATCCCGATAAGGAGTCGAGTGTCTATATAATCGATTATATGCCGAATTTAAAATGTTTGCTGAGAATAGAAAGTATTATAAATGAGTGCGTGAAAGCTCTAGAAGAATTTGAAACGAAGGTTCGCTTAATCTTCTTTACAAAGAAGTTTTTGCAAATAATAAGATTTACATTCCTTTATTTTCAGTATCCAGTATCTTTTGCTCTTAATTTAGCCATACCACCTGACAAAGTGGTCACTCAAAAGATACCTCTATGCACAACTCCAGGTAATAAAATGAAAGAAACAGGAGGCCAGAGCGACGAAGCTGATACGGGAAGAACACAAAAAAGAGCAGCAATATTCGATACATCTGCAAAACCTTTCCTAGAATACTTTTCAAAATCTTCCAGATTGTTAACAATCGATGTCACATGCGGTAATGCAGAATTAATGTGGAATCAGGTTCTTGAGGTATCGTATCGATTTATTTAAAGACTCTGCATTCTGCATTAAAAAAAAAAAAGAAGAGAAAGCAATCATTAATTAAAAGTTTACTTCATTTTAATATTTCTTAGATGTTCGGCGAATTGAAATTCAATGCTTCGAAAATAGTGAATCCTCTACTGCTATTTGCCTTAGGTAAAGTGAACAAAAAGAAATTTTCTCCTTAATAGAAAATGATTATCTCTCTAGAATGCTCTATATATAGTCTCGCTCTTCTAGGCGATATTTGTAATATATCTTAGGAACAAAAGTTGCGTGCAAGGCATATAAGGTTTCTTTTTCAATATAGATGATAATGACGTCAACCGAATTGATACAAGAAAATACTACATGGATATTATTCAATTGGCATCGATTGTATCCGATCCACACAGTGATGCGGTAAGCATGATGATTTATTATTTTTCGTTAATGATTTATTAATTATCGGTTTTTCTTCATATACCTCTACGTAAGAAAAAACTTCTGTTAACCTTATTCGATCATATCAACAAGAGAGCTGGAAGGGCGGATGCATTTGTTATCAACGTTTCCGGAACGTCATTAGCGTCTCTGAAAGATCTTAAGCATGTAAGATTTTCTTCCTTGTTTAACACTAAGAGCAAAGCCTAACGACATTTTACCCTTCTTTTAATCTCTTTCCTTGACAGAGTGAGGACAAGCCACCTTTATTTTTCGATATTGAAGACGGATATCTGGAAAGGTATTTACCAGGAAGCCCCAAAAAAGGGATGCATATGTCTACACAAAAGCAAGGAGAATTATATAAAGCCGTCAGTAGCATAGAAAACGACGTATGCCTTTTCCCCCAACGTTTAGATTCTACAACGTGTAGAACGATCGCTTCATATTTCGCTCATTCAAGTAGATTAGTAGGAAATGTATCTTAATACTTTTCCAAGATTGATCAAACAATAACCAAAACAGTGATAATCAAACAAAAAGAAAATGATAAAAAGTTTTATAATAATAATAGTAATACTTAGGCAAATGTGATAAAATATATTCCTGTTGTTCAAACACAATCGAACTACGAATACACCTATCCTCTATTACTGTATTTTCTTTGATCTCAGAAACTGAATATAAAAGCGAAGCTTTTTTTTTGTTAATTTGACGAACCCTGCATTTTTACAACGTAGTTTTTTTTTATATTATTATTTTTAAATATCTATGTAAAGCATGCTACATTACGTAAAAGGAAAATTAATCAATTTTGACGCTGTAATTTATTTGAAAATTCTCTGTAACGTCATCACCTTAATTGTAAACAAACGCCTAAACAAAAAAATTACAAGTACGTAGAAACAGAAGATTTTTAAAACATGTTTAAAATGCGTCACTGGCCCACTTTTGTGATACTCTTTATCATACTCCTGTAAAACGATGTTACATTGTCGTCCGAATTGAAAAAAAAAATCAAGTATTTTTAAATAAAAAGCAATATTATTGATAATTATACATGCACAACCAAAAAAAATGACAGCTCTTTGCAGTAATTAATTTAGTTATATAATAGGTTTCTACATCTATTGAAGATGTTCTGTACAACACAGCACACTGCATTGGTGATATGATGCGCAATATATCCTGTAAAACTCGATGATTGCGAACAAACTAGTAAGTCTGCAGTTAGCGCGTAACTTCTTTCTTACCTAGTATTATTGTAATTCTAATGTGTATATTAATAACTATAATGATAACAGTCACGTGAGTGGAACGTACTGACGTATGAACAAAAAACTTTTAGGATGAAAGCGATCAAGTGACCAGTTTCCAAACTGCTTTCATTCGACTTGACCTTCTTAGACTTTCCCCTTAAGTTTCGACAAGCCGCTTCGGGGAGGAGTATTAGGTCGGTTGGTTCCAGCAGTTCCATACGGGAACTTCTTTTTATCAGCTGGTTTCAGAATCTGCAATTTACAAAATAGAATTAGTAATTTAGAAGATAAAAAAAAAGGTACACCGGAGAATATGCTTATTTTGTACCAAAAAAATAATAATTTACCTGAAAAGAACACATCAACGTTTCGTCGACGCTCATCATAGCACCAGCATTGTCGAACTCGCCACAATAATTAGGTGCTGAGAAAAGAGTAACCAACTGCCTTTTAGCGAAAAACTCATATCCGTCTTCTACAACCTGTACATATATTTATATGACAGAAATAACATTAAACATCTTCAACAACTTTTCTTAAAAAAATATAAAATTTTATTTTAACAAAAACATACCTGATGTGCTCGACATATGAGATCTAAATCGTGTTTATGCAGGAATTTTGCCACAACCTCGGCTCCAAAAGTGAAAGACACACCGCGATCATTCTCGCCCCATCCCATTGTCTCCTTATCTGGATCCGACCATAAAAGATCGCAAAGGAGACCCTGATCGGGAACATCGGTTGGTCGCATAATACGACGAATTTGTTCCATAGAGTGTAAATCTGGACTCAAGCCTAGAGTAAAAAAAAAAAAATCTTTATAAAAATTTCCATTTATGATCAACTAACATCCATTACATAGCGTCTAAAATGAGGGTGATCACAGGCATACATAGTTATCTTACATCGATGGTAAAAGCTATCTGATATAAAAAAAAAGAAGAAGAAAAGATACTATATATATATATATATATACATATATAGAAATTTCTAAATATGAAATATTTATATATAAATTCATGCTTTTACAATTTTCAAGGGCCTTATTCAGTGACCGCCTCAGAAATAATGAAGAGCTTCTATTCATAAAAAATAGGTAAACAAGTAAACATAACCTACCTCCGTGACAACAGAATATTTTTTCATCTATTATCGCAGCTATTGGCAAGCAATTGAAGCAATCTGTAAATGTCTTCCACAATTTTATGTTGTAACGGCGCTTGCCTGTCAAAGAGAAAATGTGATTATTCAGCGACAGTTTGAAATTATAAATAGGATAATTATGTCTTACACTCGTCGTAGAAACCGTAGATCCTATTGATACTAGCGCATTCGTGATTACCCCTGAGTAGAAAGAAATTCTCCGGATACTTGATTTTATATGCCAAGAGGAGACAAATTGTCTCCAATGACTGCTTTCCTCTGTCAACATAATCTCCTAGGAAAAGGTAGTTGCTTTCTGGCGGAAAACCTCCGTATTCAAATAATCGCAATAAGTCATAGTATTGTCCATGTATGTCACCTACGCAAGTATTAAAAAAACTTATATATAAAAAATCATTTAAGTGCAAATTGATTTTTTTTACATATGCAGATTCACAACTATATGAATATACTAACCGCATATTTTCAAAGGTGCTTCCAACTCCAAAAGGATCGGTTGACTAAGAAAAATTTCACGGGATTTTAGGCATAGGCCTCGTATTTCAGCCTCTGTTAACTGCACGTTTTTACCGGGCCTAGAACCTCGAACTGTAAATATAAGCAAATATTAAGTAATTGAATGAAATAGGTATAAAACATAAAACCGACATAAAAAGAACCTGGGTAAACTTTTATTCGAGAAAGGACGTTGTTTTATAATATCGAAAAGCTCGTATCTTTAAAAGACCTATATATTTATTTATTTCAAAGATAATATTTTTAGATTTGGCACCGCCCATGTTCCGGGTCTCCCTAATTACCGAGTGGGAAAATGGCGCGTACATTGACCCTCTAAAAATGAGGGCGACAGCGTAGTAACAATTTAAATTTAAAACTCCCATCATCTTTTCTTTGTGATATATAAAAAAATATTGTAAAAATTTCAATAAATCTCTCACCAAAGAAACTAATATATATATACATTAATTCTAATATAAATCTCATAAGTCGGATTAAAAGATAAACAGACCTTAAAAAGAAAGCTATCGCTTTTTACTGTGATCGTTCATTTTTATAATAAAAAGACCGCATCAGCCTTTGCTACTTTATCTACAATATCAGTTTTTACCGAGTAGTTTCTTGATCTAGTTATTGCAATGCTACTTTGGGTAGTATCTGGCTCACTAGTCCACCTTTTCCCAGCTGCTTGTTTCAGCCAGGTAATCGGTCGAGTTCAACGGCCAAAGAGATTAAGTAAAATTTTACTTTGGTGATATTTTTTTTCTTAACGCTATAAATTGAGTGTATTATCACCAATACAATGAAATTTTCAGTATAAACATTGTTCTGACGCGTCCGATTTCTCGTTCTGCTCTATTTTACCCAATAGAATAACTTAAAGAATCATACAAACCTTCTAAAAGCCTAGCTATTATGCTGTCTATGTTAAGTTTATCACCGTCAGCCATCTGATTGTAATTTTCAGGTAAATTATACTAATTTAGTTAGATCTAGCTGGTATAAAAGCTTGAAGATATTGCTAGATTATAACGCTCCGTAGCGATCAACTGTTCTGGAGCGAAAGATGGCGAGTCAGCATAATAGTATTCCTACGCCTTCATATATTGAATATAGTTTTTACTTCGTAAGTTTATAGTTTTGTCTCATTTTTTAACAAGAATTATGATCGATTTTTAAGAAAAATTTCATTTTTGAGTTTTTTTTGTATTTATTTTGAAATTATCAACTAATATTTATGGAACTATTATTCTCGAAGGCATCATGGGATTTGTATTCCCTAACTTCAAAATGGCGGCAAGTACATAAACTTCTTCATAAACTAATTTGACGATTTCATCTAATTATTTGAAAACAACAAAGTGAATCATATTGTTTTCACTGTTAATTAGATTCTAGGTATATAAATGAATGACACCAGAATAAACGCAATAACTTTTTGTGACCCTCAATGGCGATAAAACGGAAAGGTGAGTATTCATAGGCAAATTTATAAAGTAAACCTTATAAGAATGCTGATTCGTAGATTTCCAAAAGGCTTCCGCTTTGATTCACGAGTTTCTACTGAAGTTAAGCGAAGACGAAGAATGTGCAGAATTAAGAGACGCTTTAAATTTAGCACTTTTGCAAATGCAAAAGTATTATAAGCGTTTGCGCGCGAAATTCCAAACTCATGAGAAGGGTGGAGGAACATCAGCTCTTAGTACATCAATTAGAGGTTTAAGCCCAATGACACCATTCAGAGATGCTCCTGACAAATTTCAATGGAAATGGATTAATCGAGAGAACCCAAAATCATTGAACGAAACATCAACTAGTTTAAATCAATCTCTTTCTATGCTGCCTTCGATTATTCAAGCAGCCAAGGAGGGAGATAACTCTAGTATTATAGATATAATTGATAAAGGTAATTGTAGAACGGATGATAACGATAGCTAACAATTTGTTATCGCTACTTAATCACCAATGCACATACTCTTCAATCGAACTTCGATTTTCAACGAATAATTGTACGTGTATTTGCACAGGGCAGATATTGACTTTAGCCTTCGATCGTCAATTTGATTGTGCTATTGGGTATAAGTCAAGCAGGGGCATATTTTCTTAATATTCCTCTTATTAAACCTATATCTCTTGTCCATTAATGCATACTTTGTAACATAAGGCGTCCATAACCCAGTACAAGACATACAAGACACTAGTTACATATTGTATCTTGTCCTAGATCCAAAAACGTTAAATGAAGTGGATGGATTGGGAAGGAATGCTTTAATGTATGCTGTACATTTTGGTCATATTAATACTGTGCAGATCCTACTTGAAAGACAAATAAAGACGGATGCAATAGCTATCGGTAAGAAAATTTAAAAAAATTGAAAAAGAGAGAGAAAGTGATCGAGTAAAAAAAGGAGTGCAAGAGTAACATAAAGAATACTTAGTGTCGATTTTTCTACTTAATTTTTAATTATCGTTTTATTCTATCATTTGTAGATGGTTCAACAGCAGCACATAGAGCTTGTCACGACGATCAAGCTAATATTCTTGAATATTTAATAAACTATAATGCTGATTTGAATATTCAAGATAATTTTGGACGCGCCCCTTTACATTGGGCTTGTACCTGCTCTAGTACCGACTGTATTGACGTAATATTTACATAAACCTCTTTTATTCTTCCTTCTTTAATTGATTGATTATCAATTAGTTTCGTTTAACATTTAACAGGTTTTATTAAATCGCGATGTCAGCCTTGATTTAACTGCTACAGACAAGGATGGAATGACTGTTTTAATGTGGGCTTGTCGAATGGATAATATTGATCACTTTACGTTAGTTCTTCAATACAACGCAATCATTTATTATTTACTGTCTTATATTGTTCATATACAGGAAAATAATGAAAGCGCAAGGAGATAAAGGTTTACCACAGCTAGGTGACGGTTTTGAGAGGGATAAGATAGGCCGTTCATGGGTTCATTGGTCCGTTAGAAGGGCAAAACCCCTAGAATGTTTATCTGTAAGTTATTATGCTATTGGGCATGTTTTAAGTAGAGCTTATATATTATTTACTCCCATTTAAAGACCCTTTTAACAAGTGACTCAGCTAATATGAAAGATGAGGATGGAAAAACTGTCATGCACGTAGCGGCTGAGATGGGTTAGTTAATAGTTTTTACTTCAAGATAAACACATACTCATTACACCCAATTTAGGATCATTGGAGTCGACAAAGCTTATTTTGGATATTGTTGGACGTGAAGCTCTCTCTCATAGAGATAATAATGAAAGAACGCCGTTAATTTTAGCAACAATGTGCGGCCACGGAGAGTTAGTAAACTATCTACTCTCGGAGGGAGGTCAGCTATTTATTTTTGCGGCTTCTCTTTAAGAGAATTTTAATTAAGCATCTTTTTGATTAGCCGACTTTGAGAGCACGGATAATGATGGTGCAACGGCCTGGGATTACGCTAGTTGTAGACAACTTCATTACTGTATGCTTATTATTGCTTCTTATATAAAGCAAAAAATGAAGGCTGAAGGCAGAGTTTGGAGTGAACAAGATACACTTTATCCACCCTCGTCTGAACTGAATGGCACACTTAATTCCACATTGATAAATGGTATGCAAAATGGAGGTATACCGCTAGTACCGAAACCTCCTCAATCTCAATCTCCCGAGAATGAGCAATACGGCTATTCTGGTCATACTTCGGCTCCGCCTACAAAAACCCCAACCACACCTAGAACACCGAGACCCCCGAACTGTAGACAAGCGTCACCTTCCCCAAGGAACTCAAAGGCACCGATGAAACGGTCACCAAGTGCTACCTCCGATCACGATATGGCAGAAATCGATGGAGGTAAGAGGAAGAAAGCTGGAGATGGCGCTGAAGTAAGATATTTTTTTTTGCTACTTCCTGATACTATGTGTACATTTTTTGTGCTATTTTTCCAGCAATTAGAGGATGCTGTCATGTCAGTTAGAGGTATATAAGTTTATTATCTATTTATAGAATTATTTATCACGTACCTATATAAACGTAAAATTACTCACACAATGTTAAAATCTGTCATTAAGTAAACAACTAGTCTTTTCTATAAATAGATGATGAAGATGCACATAGTGTAAGTAGCGGTCATATGGACGTCTCCGACGAAGGGGTTGGAGACTATGCTATGCAAGTTGAATCTAGACCTCAGCCACTGCCTCGCAATCGACAATCGCCTTCGCCTTCTTCTTATGAAAGTCACCAAGCCCTATCAAGGCCGAGCGCTTCTCACGTGAGTCACAATTATCCACCGCTTAGAGGCTTTTTTCAAACAAACATTCCTAATTAATAATTACACTCTCTACAGTTTTTAGCTATAATTTTTCATTTATTTATAGGGTAGGAAAGTTCCATCTCCAACAAATAGAAATCAACAGACTAAGCAACCAGGACCAGAAGACTATGTGAGCTTAGAAGATGATCCCGATTCCTCTAGAGGACCCACTGATAGACCTCCTCCTTTTCCAACGCCTTTTGGCAAAGGTAAAACTAGATATAGCTAAATGGTATACTGTATTATTTCTTTTATAATAAACGGCCTCTTTTCTCTCAATTAGATCGAGCTCCGCCAGCTCACCTGAAACCGCTCCAATCATCTCTGGCAGCAGGACCAGTAGCCACTTCAATGGGCGTTCAACAGCGTGAAGTACTAAGAAAGAAGAAGAAAAAGAAGAAAAGGGAATTATCCGAACCTTTGAGAGCTCCTAATTCGAATCTTTTCTCATCGGTAAGAAAATTATGATTCGCTTAGCAGAGGTACCCTTTTAAAAAAAAACAAACTTTCGTATTGCATTTCGGCTTAGTCGCCTAATCTAATAATCCTCTATTAGAAGAAAAGAAAAGTAGTTGCCGTAAACCGTTATAAAAATCCCTTTTCGCTCTAAGCCCCTCCTCCTCCTCTTGTTGTATATGTCAATCAACCATTATTTAAAAAAAACTGTTTTATTATTTAGAATAACAATGAGAACGCTGGTAGAAATGCTTCAGAAAAGCTGCTATCATCAGCAAATGCTGGTCCACAATTGCAGGTTAGTTTTCAAAGCTTTCTAGACAATTATAGGGTAATAGCTTATACAAACATCTCAAATAATATTATAAAGTATATACTATATATTACATATTATATTTATTTTAGCCTCAAACTCAAGCTCTAACTCCCCTCTATGCTGGAGCGAAGAAACGAAACGCTGATTCGGCTCAAAAGTATGCGATTTCTTATTATTTAATACCTTCTTTTCTCCTTTCTATAAAAAAAGCACCATTGTTTAGAATACTAAAAAAATTCCATTATATTTTGTTTTTTTATCTTTAAAAAAGCAAAACACAGTAATAATGCTTATTTGATTAGCAGATCGATTTTAATTAACAACTTAATTTCTTAATGGAAATTTTTACACGAGCGTAAAAATAATTTTATATTTCCATTGTTATTAAGATAAACTAGATGAAAACGTGAGAAATAGATAGATTTGAGTAATTTATACTCCTGTCTCACTTATTTATTCTATCTATCTCTCTTGTTTTTATCTGTTTTCTTTTTTTTTCTACCCATCTTTCCTTTGGGTAATTAAAAAGGAAGAACGATAAGCGCTGTTTGCTGTTATTGTATAAGCTTTAAATTATTTTTACGCTCGTAATATTTCCATTAATAGAGCTTTTCATGTATATTTCATGGTTTCTTCACAATACCATTTCGTTCACTCAAATGCAAAAAAAAAATGAGATTTCTCTATCCAGTCCTAAAATGGCACCACCTCGTCGCATGCCCTCTTCCAGAGCACCTCCTATCCCACAAGCTGAGCCTAGAAATGCACCTCTGAAAAGGACGAATGCTAGCGATGATTTATCTATCGACAGGGCTTCTAGACCAGGTAGTGTGCAGTCTAACGGTTCTTACATTGGCGCTAATCCAATTCAGGTAGTTTGATTTTCTCTCTCTTCCTTACCAATAACACCTAATTTTGTTTCTACATACTTTCACAACAATACAACTTTTCTTTCTTCACTTCAAGTTCCTTTTCTTATATTTTCCTCTCTTCTACTCTTTCTTGCTTTTTTTTTCTTTTTTTTTAATATATTACCAGTGGCAAGTCTTCTTTTTTAAGCTTTATATTTTTTTTCAAAGCAGACGGAGTTCTAACGGTTTAAGTCAATTCCTTCAATCGATCTACTGCAAAAATTTGCATTTTTTTTCCTTTTTTGCTGTTTTTATTTAATTTTTTTGCAGATTTTTTTTTAAATCAAACGACTTTAACAAGAAAAACTTCATAAATAATTTACTTATTATTACTTTGTATTGATTTGTTTTTTGTTTTTTTAAAAAAAAAACACAGGCTCAGGACACTACTACAATGAATACAAGTGGTAATCCTTTACAAAGGAAAAAAATTCCGTCCCCATTACCTAATAGTAGACCATCGTCGACTAACCGTTACGGATCTGCATCAGGAAAATCTACAAGTAGTAAATTGCCTTCATTTTAAAACAAACAAACAAAAAAAAGCCGTCCAGATCTACTTATTAAAGTATTGTAGTTGAGTTTATTTTTGTTTTTTTCAAGACTTAAAGTTTTAATATCAATCCGTCCGCGTTTACACTCGTAATAGATTAAAAAGATTTTCACAATTTATCATATAGTGGTTACAATGAATCCTGCATTGTTCTGTGATAATGAAAATTATTGTTTTCTATTACTATTAAATGTTTCTAATGGATATACAGTTATACATCAAAATGATGTGAAAATTAAACTATTTCAGAGAAAATACATCGTCAAGTTCTAAATAAAATACTCCTACTATAAACATTTTAATAAAGTCTTGTATTGAGTGTATAATTATTTATTGTTAGAGAAGTTTAAATCTACCGCATACCGGTTGTTCAGAGTTGAACTATTTCCGCTTCGATTACCAGTTTTCATTTCTAAACTGATGGCATTATCGGTTGGCACGCTGAAAACTTGTGGTTGTAAAGGTATTAGGCGATGTCTTATATGCGAGCCGAACCTATCAAAAGAAAATGTTGGTATTTTTTAATATGATGTATTTTTACAGTCACATTATATAAATTTCCTGTTAACTTTTAGAAAATATTAGACACGACGGAGTTTAAGTATTGCATAAAATGTAAGCGATCTTACTTGGAGGGGGACAAACATGACAGAGAAAATGGAATAGCTTTAAACTCAATACTAGTTTTGCCGGATTTCGTTACAAAGGAAGAAGAAGATGATATCATGAATTATATAGACAATCAGCCGTGGAACAATTCCCAATCTGGCAGAAGAAAGCAAGATTTCGGCCCTAAAGTGAATTTTAAGAAGCGTAAAGTGAAGTACTTAGATTTTAAGGGGATTCCGGAATTTTCACGCAAAATTGCAGACAAAATGCAGAATATAGAACTTTTAGCAGAATTTTCCCCAGTTGAGGTTTGCAACTTAGAATACGTCCCCGAGCGTGGATCGTCAATAGATCCCCACGTAGATGACACTTGGATATGGGGAAACCGGCTAGTGACCTTAAATCTTTTATCAGACACTATATTAACTTTAACTCATCCTGAAAAAAAGGGTATTGAAATTTTAATGCCTTTGCCAGCTAGATCTCTTACTATTATAGCCGACGAAGCGCGATACATATGGGAACATTCGATAAAAATTTCCCATATAAAGAATAGAAGGATTGCTGTAACTTTCCGAGAACTTGGTAATGATTTCCTGGAAGGTAAATAACTAATTTTCACTTCTTTTATCACATCTTTAGTTAATACTAAATACTTAAACTAAGCGTTTAAGTTTTTGAATAATAAAGTTTATGATTTTGCGATAATTACAGAGGGAAATTTTGAAGATATAGGAAGAGAACTGCTGGCAATAGCGAAGGGAAGTCAAACTGTGGGATTGACATAAATCGATATCTAATTGTTCTGTGCAAAATATATTCTGTTCTATTTCAACAAGACTATATCCTTTATAGTTTTTTTTTTATAAGCAAAATAAAGAGAAACTCTGTCGCCATTTCCGATTTCCAGAGTGTGTTAGTTCTCTTTCGCATCTTTGCAGCTGCAAAATCGATCTGGCGCGCTCTTTTACATATTTTATCCGTTCGAATACTTGAGGTAAATATTTTCTATCCAGTTTTCATTCTCTACCTATCCTTTATATTATATACATCCTAAGCCGTTCTAAGCTACATATTGTAATGTATGGCCTGGTAAGTATAATATTAATCAATATTAAACCTGTTAAGAACCTGTTGCATAATTAATATATAGTTGTCTCACCACTAAGCAACTGTCATAAGTAAATTGCACATCTAAAAAACTTTGTTTCTTTGACGACGCTATCTAATCATATTGTATAAAATATAATGGTGAAATATAGATTGATCATAAAGAATGGACTATAAAAGAGAGTGGTATGATGTCCTTAATAATCTACGTCCTTGCTATAATACTTGGCCTGATACTTAATTGGATGTATGAGAAAACTCCGAAGCCGACTATCCAACCTATGGATCCAAGACGTCGTAAAAAGAAATCGGAACGTTTCAAACTGAGCAGCGTTTATGCCGTCCTGGGCCTTCCATACGATGATAGCGAGGAAATTGATTCTTTTAGGGCATTTGGGGTAATGGTGCTTAGACTTATTTTTATTGATTTTCTATGCATTTTTCAACGATAAAAACAAAAACGCATATTGGTTTTAAACAGGAACATTTTCATAACCTTGATGAAGTAACAACAGCTTGTAAGAAAGCCGGATTAGGCAAGGCCAATTTAATAATTGGTGTGGACTTTACGGCCAGTAATGAATGGCAAGGAAGAAAAACATTTAATCAGCAGAACCTGCACAAAATTGTTGGTAATAAGATTCATAACCCATATCAAAAGGTAATATATATTTTGGGCGAAACATTGAAGCCGTTTATTGATTGTGATTCCATTCCTTCGTATGGCTTCGGAGACGCTTTAACAACTGATGAAAGCGTTTTTTCATTAAAAGAAAATCATTGTAAAAATTTTGAAGACATTTTGGAACGCTATAATATAACAACACGAAAAGTAACGCTCGGTGGTCCGACTAGTTTCGCACCAATAATCAATAAAGCTGTAGAAATAGTTAAACTGAACGTTTCTTATCATGTACTGGTTATTATTGCCGATGGCCAAGTTAACGAGGAAAGTCCTACAATCGACGCTATTGTAGAAGCAAGCAAGTATCCTCTAAGGTAGTTACTTAGCTATCAATAAATTGCTGCTATTGATTTTGTATACGCCTGTATTTTTTTTATATATACAGTATTATTGTCGTTGGAGTTGGAGACGGTCCTTGGGACGTTATGGAAGAATTTGATCATCGTTTGCCTAAACGTCAATTTGACAATTTTCATTTTGTAGATTATCATTTCGCAATCTCTTCTGTACGAAATTCAAAGCACGCCGATGCTACATTTGCCTTACATGTGAGATATTTTATATAATAAAAAAATAGATGAAAGGGACAAAAATCATATATATATATTATATATCATGTCAGGCACTTATGGAAATTCCCGATCAGTATCAGAAAATAATCTCTCTGGGCTATTTGGATTCTTCGCATCAAGATTAATAGCTGCTCAAACATAAACCGCTTACAACTGTAATTCAATTGACATTTGTTTTTTCATCCTTCGCTAACCTAGTAGGAAAACTATTGATTATGATTGCATAAGGACTTTTGGGACCTTTTCAATGTTATATTTATTTACTGTTTTGCAGATAAGTCGTAATTGATATTAATCTTAATCTTAATATTTTACGGCTTTACTACCAGAGAAAGAAATTCCATTAATAAGTTGTATGACGACTTGAGTACGCGAAAACTTGTTATGATAAACAATTATCCTTATTCTCTTCTTACTCGTGCTATTTTTACTATTTACTGTATATACTGTATATATTGTTTAATATGCATAAAACTGTTAATTATATATAATAAATTTATGTCTCTATAGAATATACAGTTAATCCTTTCCTTGTGTAATATCTTTGCTGCTGCTGCTGCTCTACTAATTAGAAAATAGCGCACGAAAAAAAAAATCCTACATTACATCCTACAATACATTTAACAGAAATTCCAGATTCTAAAAGGGTTAAAAGTGTTCTTTTTTCACCCGACTTTCATCAATAATAATCAAAAATTCTTATCATGGACCATGAAATACAACTTGTAAATTAATCTTAGGGGAAATGATATAATACCTTCCATAGTATTATTTTCATTATAACCTCCATTCAACATTTGTATAAGCTTTTAAGTGCCAGAAACCTTTTTTCTTTTATTCTTTCTATTCCAATTCTTCATAACCGGCTAAATATAAAATAGAGAGGAAATTTACTTTATATTAGTTTTCACCTTCCGCTGCAACGATTTTATATATTATATATAAAATACAAACATTTACTGACAAACAGCGTCTAGAGAATTAAAACTACTCAATATTTTTTTAAGAGAATAGTATTATTAAATTCTAGATAATTTTTAGATGTAGTAATGAATCTATATTATTTAAATACCGCGTAATCCCAGGATAAAAAATAGAAAAAAATCCCATATGTATCGAATTAGGGATAGAGATTGTGAGTCGTAATTAGAATTTGATTAGAATGTTGTCATATTATACCCCATATATTATATATACATAGTTTGTTGGATAATATAAAGAAGATCACAAAAATGGAAATTTTATCACCTAATTAAAAAATAGCGATGACAAGATACTTTCAAACCAGTCTTCTCTTAAATAGATACATATAGATAGAGATAGAGAGAGAAACTAGTGCGTGATAGAATAGCCCCTTTTTTTCTCTTCTCTCTCTCTCTCTCTCTCTCTCTCTCTCTCTTCCCCTTTCTCTTTTCCAACTATGCAGGAAACTATCCCTCCTCTTTTGATCATATCTATAATTGCAACGTCAAATGAATTTTATTTAATTATTAATATTTTATAAGAAATAATGTTTCTCATCTTTTAAGTATTTTAAATGTTATTTATTCTTTTGTACTATAGTCATCTTTTTTTTGTTACTTTTAAAGTGTGCTCTATTTATGGATTACAGCCATTATTTGTTCTTATTATTTTGACACTTTTGTTAATTTACATTTTAAGGTTTCTTTATTTGACTATATTTTTTTTTGTTCCTTTTTTGTTGTTGGAAAGTATTTTCTTTTCGTTTCTACGTTTTATACTACGAGTAAAGATAATGCAATATTCTAATAGTTTTCAAAAACGGAACTAAATGCACTGCCACCAATCTCTTTTAATAGACTCATGTCTTTAATGAAAGACTATAGTCGCCATCTATCGGTTATAATTTCGTATTCCTACGAAGACAATCTAATGTCTCGTATCCATTGACAACGAAAAGCTAGCATTTCCTTACGAAAGATCGGCGAAAACAACATGACCGAAATGGAAGAAGAAATTCAGATGGAAAAACCACATATCTATGTGGAAAGAACTTTAGCTATAATTAAACCAGACGCTACAGAAAAAGAAGAAGAAATTAAAGATATAGTTCTGCGGTCTGGTTTTACAATTCTCCAACGACGAAAGGTTCATCTTACTCCAGAGCAGGCCAGCGAATTTTATGCAGAACACTATGGAAAGCTTTTCTTCCCCTCATTAATTGCCTATATGAGCTCCGGTCCAATAGTAGCTGTGGCACTATCAAAAGATAAAGCCATTTCTCACTGGAGGCAATTACTCGGTCCAACTAGTACATTCAAAGCAAGAGACACAAACCCTGATAGCTTAAGAGCAATATACGGGACGGACGATCAAAGAAACGCTTTACACGGAAGTGACTCTTACTCAAATGCAGAAAGGGAAATTCGCTTCTTTTTCCCAGACAGTAAGAATCAACATTTTGCTTATATTTCTTATAATATTAATTTAATAGCTATTCGATCAACTAAATTTCTATTTTTTATTAAATAGGCGTCGTAGAACCAGTTCCTGTTGGCCAAGCCGCAAGGGATTATTTGAAAAGGCAAGTGAACCCAACTCTGTTGAAGGGATTGACGGAATTGTGTAAGAACAAACCTCAGGATCCAGTAATCTGGTTAGCTGATTGGTTGCTGGAAAACAATCCTAATAAACCGTCTATTAAAGATCCAATCATACAAGAGCCAATAGCATAAAGATTACAAACATTTATTTTTTTATAAAGTTTCTCTGTAATACAACTTAAGTATTTCGTGATATTATTCAATTATTAGTTGCATTTATATAGCCTCAACCTCCAATTCGGTACTCTTTTGCGAGTTCTTTTTGCCTCTTTAAAACTAATGGAATATCTTTATTAAAGCTTTCCTCCATACTTGTCTCCTCTTCTTCCATTCATCTATCGTTTGTCTTGGACAAAATCCACGGATATGCATAACTATAAGAAAGAGAAAACACAATGGAAATGTTCAAAATATAATTTAGATCAAGAATATTAATTAATTTCATTCTAATGAATGAATTTCCTTGCGAAGAAATCTAATTGAAATTAAATACTTTTGTTTCTTACTCTGTAATATAAACAAACATAAGTCGTTACGAATAGATCCGCTAGATGACATATTAAACTCAACGCGCGACATCTACTATATTATGCTTTAAGCTCTTACTGTTAAAACGGCATATATCCATTCGATCATATTGAAAATTTGTATATAAAATGTAAAGATATATCTATTTATAGAAATAAACACAGCATACTAATCTATATTTCTAATATTACTTTATTTACCTTTTCTTTTAATATCGCATAGTTTCACTTTAGGTCCAACTAACATATGTCTAAAATTGGCAAAATGATCCCAAGAAATGCTACAACTTCTATTCTGAAACAACTCACTAAATATACAATAGGATGCTTTTGAACTTTCTCTCGCTCTCCTAAAATATAATACAAAAAAGAGATAAGAATTATTTAAAAGATGAAAAGTTAATATTACGAGCAAGAATCTAGTCGTCCGGTTCTAAATCGTTTAAAACATCTTTCGCTTATATCAGTAAAAGGGCAACCATTACAACTCGATTCAAAAATATTAATGGCAGTATCAAAGTTTTTTCTCTCAATTAAACCTTTAGTATACTTTCCGCAATCTAAATAATAGAAATAGATAATTTATTATAATCGTTTTCTTTTGAATATTTCTAACTCTCTTAATGTTTCTTACCGACTGTTGATGAATTTTTGAAAGCCTTCTCAACTGTAGATCTTAAAATCTTGATATAATTTCTATTAACATCAACAAAAATATATTAATTAACGAACAAAGTGAAGGAATTGAATGATTAAATGATTAATTGTTTACTTGCAATTTTTTTTAGTGGAAAGTATATTTGAATACAATTCTTTCGGTGTCAAAAGCTTTTCTAGAAGTTTACCATGCGGTGAACACTCGACATTTTCTATAAAATAGAGTAAACATATTTTAAACGTTTATTTATAATTGAACTTTTTGATACTTACTGTAACAAAGTTCTTGAATTTTCTCTTCAGTATTGAATGCAATAGCATTATGAATAATGAATGGATTACAGTTACATAAAGCCTTTTTATCTTCCTTTAACATCATTAACCTCTTCTTATAGCACATTGATTGAGTTTTAATATTTGCCCTAAAAAAATAATATTAACACTTATTGAATAAATGATTATGAACACTTGAATAACATACTTGCAAACTCTTCCACCTTTGTCTTCCATCCCAAAAGCAAGTGAAAGTTCGTAGTTGACAATTGGTAAATTACACGCAATCAATTGTTGACAGAGGTCTTTGTTGGTATGCTCGCTTTTCACTGGTTTATTATGGTGATGATGATGGCGATGGTGATGATGCCGATGATGAGGCATCTTTAATGCGTTATGTTTCCAAAAGAAAAAAGCATTACAACCAAAAAGAAGCGTTGAGATGCTAGAATAATAATAATTAATAAAACTAAATAAATATAAAGAGAGAGAGAGAGAGCAACCTAAAGAAAAAGAAAATTTTATTCTTCATCCTATCTCTTCTTATGATGAATGAAAAATGATTATTGTTAGCAGTAAATCTACTCAATATATGTAAAAAACGTTTAAGTAAATTGTAAAAAACATGTGCTTTAAATTGATTTGATGAAATCAATGTAAAAAAACAAGAAAGAAAAGAAAGAATTTCAGAATGTATTTTTCAGAAGTTACGATTAATTTACATATTTTATAGTTTAAATGTAGAAGGTGGATGAATTCTAGTAAATTTAACTATTGATACAATTAACTTTGCTATATTATTAATTTTCTCGGTCAATTGAATTAGGATTAAATCGTCAAAGTCTTTGCCTAATGTGTTTATCATTGCCACAACCTGATCTTCCGAAACTGAATTTTCGATTCTAAAATTAAAATTTTAAAAAAACAAATAATTATGTAAATAATGAAATCTGCTCTAAAAAAATGATTTATACCTCAATTCAATAAGGATAAATAATCTGTCGATAATCATTTGTTTAACTCCGCTCTTCCAGCAATTTTTACCTAAACTTTTACATTCTTCATGGAAAGACTTTTTCATTAGGGATAGATGATCGTCGAGGAAAGAATTTGATTGTACTTTGTCTATTGATAAATGAAAGATTTGCTCGGAGAATTCATTTAGTTGAAAACAATCTAGCATTGAGTTTGTTCGACAATTTTTTAAGATAACTTGACGGGCGGAGTTCAATATTTCGCTTATAATTTCTTCCGACATAGACTTTTGACCCCTGAGGGCGCTCTTCGCGGCCAACTTCATCTCGCCAATAGCATTTGATGTTGATTCAAGATTTACTATTAATTTGGTAATCTCTTCTCTTAAATGAGTTCTCATTCTATTTAGTATTGAAGTTAATTTAGAAGCTAGGGTAATTTTTTGAAACTTGTCCATATGACTGGTGTATTTTATTGGTAGTTTTTCTTGGCCAATACGAATAGGCTTTGCGAGATTAGTTTGAATCCCTATTAAATTATTTCTGAAAGCTTTCATCATTGGAAAAGTATCGTTGCAAGTTGCTGGTAGTACATCTTCAAGAGACGTCCTATATAAAGCCTCTGCGTCCTTGATACTTAAATCACTGTTCCATTGTTCCCTAATAGCTTCTATTGCTGTATATACAGGCTTCGCTGTCATGAAATATATATAAATATTTAGATTTACATATATTATTTAGATTTCAAATAAGATAAGAAATAAAATAAAAATCAACTGACTCTCTGTGTTAGGTATTGAAAATTTTGACAAATCATGAGTGACTACATCTTCGATGTGGTGTCTAAAGGCCGTTAAGCATTTTCTTTCTTCTGTCCTCATTCTTTCGCTATACTTTTCCAAAGAAACCATCCTTAGTAGCATTGCTAAAGATAGAATTTCAATTATAAAAAAACTTAATCGAAAATGGATAATGTTTATGCAGATAAAAATTAGAACATACTTTTTATAAAATCCAATCCCATCATAAAACCACAATTTTTATATTGTAGGGCTATATCAACAAAAAGTTCGCCCAAAACTACACAGCGCTCTTCCCATTCAGCAACAGCGTTTCGTTCAACTTCATTATCGAGAGGAGGACTGATAAAATCATTATTCATCCTTTCAAGTCGAAGTTCGTCGAAAAATTCATCAGATATAGCTGGCTCGTATAATTCTTCGCTCTCTGAAGTTTCCACATCATCTACCCAGCCTCCTAACATCATTTTTTCACTTTCTTCATCTCCAACAGCTCTGTGGGAAACTAAAATAGAATTTAAAATAGAATTTAATAAATGAAATAAATAATTACATAATAATAAAAGTTTGAGAACAATAATATACGAAATTTCCAATTTCATATTTTGCCTATGTTATCAGGAATAACACAAGGTGTATGGCCGTCTCGTGAGTACATATCTACTATTGGCCTATCTATCCCACATGGAAGGGTTTCAACAGAAATCTGGTTGCGTGTTCCCAGTGGGAAAGCTATAATTTTTTATAAAACTTTTAATAAACCGGTAATTGTCAACGGTCATCCTTAGCGAAATCCTCTGTCTGTCTTATCCAAGAACTAACCATATGATACAGTTATGCCTATTTGTCATATGGAAAACTGGAAAATCCCGGTTGGTTATCAAATATAATACAAAGCGTTAAACTTTTGAAACTTTTTTTTTTCAAAAAAATAAGCTAAAGAAGAGAAGTTATTGCGTAGTTGACGTTAAGGAGGAAAACCTCACGTGTAACAATGATACTAAAGTTCAAAAAATAGTTTATCCTGAAGGCACAAAATCTGAATTGGAAAAGCCTGACATTGTTAGTATTCCCGAGGAAAAGCCAAACACGCGTACAACACGGCCGTTTGATCCGGACGCCATTACGATATCAGTCAAGGATCCGAGGAGGGTGGTAGAAATATCGTTCTCCTCCAGAATATATTTTAGTCATTTACAGAGTTCCTCTCTAAATGATAATAAGACCTCAAGTGGACCGTCGAACCCCAAAAAGTATAATGACGCTGTTATTACAGAAACTGAACTGCCTCCTGAAACGCGCCGGCTCAGACGCAAACCGGAAGTGCAACTTCTTCAACAAAGCAAAGCGAGAGAGGCGAACAAAACTAAAGAAGATGCGTCAAGCGTTTCTGTAAGTAAAATGTTCACTTACTCGGAAAAGATTAGGAAAATTCCTAAAGAAAAATCTAGATAATTTTCTTTCTTTCTCAGTTGCCGAAAGCCCCTCAAGGAACGAAAAAGAAGACTAAACCAGCTCGCAAAGCAAATTTACGGGAGGTGGACAACTCAGATGTGCCTTACAACTTGTACGACATGAATAAAACTATACTCGAAAGGTTGGGCTTACCTATTAAAAATTATAAAGAACTAGTTGCAACAAGTAGTTATTTGACGGATGAGAGTATAGCTGAAGATTTGGTAGGATTACGTTTTTGTAGAGTAGAGCACAATCTTATTATATTTGAAATGATTATTTAAACTTTAGGAAAACTATCTTCAAGCTTTGGGAGGGGAGAATTCAATAGACGTTATTGAAAATGCGCTCAAATTAATAATCGATGAGAATCATCGCCACGAATTTCGAATGGAACCGCGTTATTATCGTTTAGAAAGAAAGAAAATGGGAAAAACTGCTATACAAGACTTCTTCCTTTATACAATCTTTAAGAGTAAAAAAAAAATAGGCTTTCAAATGAATATATACCTATTAAGATATTATACATATAAATTTATATACAGTATATATATATACATTTCAGACGCGCTGCTACGTCATCAACACTTGATCCTGCTTCGAAAGAGCAAGAGAGCGAGAATAATTGAAGAAATCACCTCTTCGTGGTTTAAGAAACCTAAATAAAACCATCTTGCTTGTCGCTGTATATTCTAAAGTCGCTATTATGCTATAACTTACTCATTTTGAAAAAAACGCTTATTATTTTATCGATAAGACAAAGAAAAAGAACGTTTTTGAAATTAATTATCTTTTTCATGTTGTTGATATTAATGATTGTTAAAAATTCTTTTAAAATTCTGTTAAAAGAGTTTTTATAGTATTTTTACCCTCTGTATATCAACATATACTATATACGTCATGTTTTGTGCTATCTATTCTGCCTTGACTAGCTTCTAGTGTGGAAAAAACAGCATTTATTGAAAAAAAATTATCTATTTGCGAAAATTAATATATGATTACGAAAATTTTCATTATTTAAACGTTCAGGAAATCATGTGTGCCATATATATATATAGCTTACTGACTATATAAAGTTATTGCTTGTATGAGATTGATCAGTACTTTTTGATTGATTGAACGATAGTTTAAAAAGCGTAACTTACAAATATGTTCAAGGTCTTAGCGTTGTTTTTAAGTATGTTTTCCTACATTTGAAAATTGTGTAATAGTATAATTTTCTTACTTTTACTTAGTCAGTCACCAGCTTTCCAATTGCTTTAAGCTCAATCAGAACTGTAATGTTAAGACAACCTTACAAAATGAGATATGCTGTTTGGAAAACTGTCAGGATTGCTTTGACTGGAATGGAAAACCTATTGTTAGCTGTGACAGTGTTGAATTAATATCAATCGATAAACGTTCGAGGGAGTGCAATGTAGAAAGGCGGTTCGGAAGACATCTTTGTTGTCTTGAAAAACCAACTTGTTATTGTACCGTTCCAGCAGTTTGTATGTAAGTTATATTTTGACACCTTGAGTAATGAAGTATATTGAACGTTATTTATTTTTTGGTTCGTTGGGCTTCTAAATAAATTTGAGAAAAATTTAATTAAATAGTTGCTATTTATACCAAAAAATATAAGTTTCGCGTAGTATTGCCTTAAACTAACGGTGAAATAATAAGAGGATAAGGAATAAATAATTTTCTGCAGTATATGTTTAGCAATAGTGATACAATTTGAATTAAAACTATCTATTATTATGTGGACACAGTGGCTCCCTGTGGCGAATATAACAGTTGACCAGAGATGAAACGACGCCAAGTTTCTTCTCGCAGCAACCGCTTTTCCTTTTTTACTTTTTTCAGAATTCCTTTATTTTCTAGGGCTCGTCTTGATAGGTAAGGTAATACCTCTTCTACAGGACCGTATGGCACATATTTATAGACCGAATAGCCGGCTTGTCCAAGGCTGAAGGACACTTGATCACACATGCCATAAAGTTGGCCAAAGCAGACTATTTTATCAGAGGAACTAATGCCAAATTCTTTCATTCTGAAAAATTTCAAGGTCAATAATGGATGTCATTGTTAAATAAAAAAAAGATTAATTTTCTACTTTTTAACAGTATATCGAACTGAGTCCTCATTATGAGTGGCTACCATAACAGCAATTCGGCCTTTATCTAATCTTTTAGCCTGGAAAAGTATTTCACACAGAACGTCCTCGTACATCTTTGTAGTAGCCTCGTAATCGACATTAATTGGGTCTTCGTAACCCAAGGTCAGCGCTCTCTTCCTCTCTTGCTCCATATAAGCTCCTCTAACAATTTTAGCTCCAAAAAAGAAATTCTCTCTTTCTGCCAATGCTAAATCTGTTCTTAAAGTTGATAAGGATTCCTTAATACAACAAAAATTCAAGTTAATATCCTCTGAATAAGATTATTCATATTAAAGATGCGAAAGAAAGAACTATTCACCTTTAAATAACATTGATAAGTGTTAAAAACATATGCTTTCTCCTTGTTAAATTTTCTCATCATCTCCATGCATAGCCGATTTATACCATTTTGAAAGTATGTTTGTTCAGCGTCAATCATTAATCTTACATCTTTTTTTATTGCGTATTCAACAATAGTATTAATTCGTTTTAGCATATTCTTCATTTGCATCTCCTCCGATACAGTAAAGGACGTAACTATTGGCTCAAAGACGCCAGTTTCTGCATTAGGGGTTTTTAATAGATTACCTAATCTAACATTAACTTCTAATAGATTATGCCAATCTAACATATCAATTTCACCATCCCCAGAACTATCGAGTATTGTATACCATAATTGACGTTCTGATCTCTTAATTTTTCTAGTTTTAAGGTGTCTTTCGAACTCTCTTCGCTTAATCGCTGGTACAACATCAAATTCTCCAGCAGGTATTGTAGCAGCAATAACGTCATAATATCGTCTAACTCTTTCCAATACTTCGGAGAGTTGAAGCTAATGGAAAAATTATAAATAAAAATAGAACATATACTACAAAAAATTGTCATTCCATTGAAAAAGGCTATATCATTTCAGTAATTTAAAAATTAAAAAACTACCAAAAATTGCGGACGGCCTAAAGCTGTTAATTTAATAGCTGCAAATCCAGTGGCATTCGTTGAGCCTAAATAATAGTAGGATGTTAATAATATATACTTTAAATTATATCTAAAAATTAATACCGCTAACTCCATCTATTTCACGAAGGAATATCTTCATAATATCGTCGCATGATTTTTCATCTTCGTAAAAGTGAGTTCTGGCTGCAATAACTTCTTCCCTTCTGTCGGCAAATTGTGTGTGATATCTATACTGTACATTCGGTCCAGCTATAAAAGAAAAAGGAATTAAGAGATATTTTTCTTCATTATGAAAAAAATAATTCAGATATAAAATGAAACAGACTATGAGTAATATTCTCCGGTTGATTTTCGGACACACATGATCTGTAAAAAGAGAAGATTAAGATAAATAAATATATATATATATATATATATATATTAGATACAGAGTAATAAAAGTTTAAATAGTTCACTCTTTGTAAATATAGCAAAATTATAACACTTAGGACTTTAAAACGAATTTTTCAAACTTAGCCAAATAGCAAAGGATCATAGAAAGATAGAATAATGATAAAATGATAGAAATTATTATGTAAAGAAGCTGAAAAAAAATCAGTGAAAAAAAAATTTTGAATTATAAAGTTCTATTTGAATTGTCTTTTTTATGGTTCTCCTTACAATTTCTATTTATATCTTTGAAGTCCATAAAGGAAGAGATAAGCTGTTAAAGAATGATATTAAATTGTAAATTAATAGAAATATTGCTTCACCCGCTAATCTTATTTATAACCTTAAGCAGAAGTGTAATCATTTTAAGACAATATTCAACTTACTCTTCTTCTTGCTTTGTTGCTTGTTCTTTAGATATATCCTTCTCAACACTATAATCCAAAATTGATTTAACGCCAAACAATTTATTTTTTTCGATTACTGATTTTATTGTTTTTTCATTTTCACCGGCAACAAAATGCCCATAGAACGAACCCTTCATAAAAGCTTTGAACAGCTTCTTTCCCAACACTTTACGACCGACCTTCATAAGCTATTGTAACAGTTGTTGACATTTTTAATTGTATTTCATTTGAGTAAATTGAAAAGTTTTAAACATTTCACCTTCTTGTTGTTATTTACTAGAAATTCAATACTGCATAATTCAAACACCATCCATGCCCTTATTAAATCAAAGGTTGTTTTACTCTTGTAAGCTTCTTTAGCATTTTCAAAAGATAGGTCAAGTTGTTTAAAGGCGGGGTCATCAATGTCTTTCTTATATCTCCAATCATCGGTTGAATTTGTACAATAGGAGGCTTTACCAAATATTACAGCTGTCGATGGGGAATGATAAAAGGGAATCTTATAGAAAATGTTATACTTTTGTTTCAACAGTCTACACAGTCCGCCAGCCATGTTTACCACGTAAGTTTCGTAGTAAAACAATTGTGGGCTCTTATCCAAATTAGTATTTATTCAGAAAAAATCAACTGGGAATATGATAACTGTTTTTCCCACTAGTAGTGTCATCTAGTTCGATCAACGCCATCTGAATATACCGGCATTGCCCAATCATTAAAATGGCGCCTGAGACGTTGAAGGTGCGTGTCCACGAACTTTTTCGAATTTCTTAAATATCATATTAAATTTTTGTTGTTTTCCTTTCAGGAAGAGTTGATCCTACTAAAAGATGTACTTAAGTTGGTATCTTCTATAAATTTGAGAGACCAGCGAAGAGCATGCAAGGAAATATTTAAACTGATTGCCAGTTACGGTAAGTCCTTTAAATTCGTAAGCCGTCTTTTATAAGAAAAGAAAGTTTCATTCATAAAGATGACAGCCCAAACAGAAAAATCTAGATTTTGACTTGACTAAACTTTCAAAGTTTAATTTAAATCTAAAAATATTTAATCGATCGTTCACTTTAGCTGTTAAAAACATGAAAAAACTTTATTCATAACTCAGTGTAAAAATATGGAATCGTTATAAGCAACAATAGTTTGAATAATATTTATAATTTCTGCTTTAGGTGATTCAACAAATGAAGTATTCAAAGTCGTTAGTGATTTATTGAAAACTGGCCTACAGCGACAAAACAGTAAAACATCTAACAAGCTTCTTCCAGGAATTGTAAGCTATATTGCGCAAAATGGTCATGCTGAAAAATTTGTGCCTTACTGGGAAAAGTCTTTAAAGGCTTTCCGGAAAGATTGCATAAAATCAAAGTACTTTTTTTTTACATTCTTCTCTTTTAGCTAACCTAAACGTTTGATGAAAAAAAATCTTTTTCTCTCCAGATCAACAAGCTTTATTGCTTCTAATTTCATTTTGTGCACCATTTTGCTTATTGGACCAAAAACTAATGTTGATCCTAAGCTCTTCATCGAATCGGTAAAAATCTTTATTTATTAGAAATAAATCAGCTGAAAAATGCTTAATTTACTCAGATCTCAAAGCTATGCAGTATAGCTTTCGTTGATGAAAGAGCTCGAAAACTTGTACAAAAATACCTTAATCGGTACTTTAGTAGCTTTCCGGTAAGAAAAAGAAAAATACTCTCCCTCCCTCTCTCTCTCTGTATAACTAATATTCAATATTAATGTAGAAGGAGGGCCCTGAAAATTTATTAAATAATCTACCGAAAATAGAAGAAACTGACGATCTTTGTTTTTATTTTATTGTGATACAATATTTAAAAAGGGAGAATAATGAAGATGCAATAAAGAACATAACAGTATGTATTTTGAAATTATAGACTGAATTGATATTTATTCAATGCTATCTTTTTCTACACTTTAATAGACTGAGATTGCACCTCAATTTTGTAAACTACTACTTAGCTCTAAGACTGAACTACCCCTGCATCATTTGGTGGGTTTATATTTATATACTAATATAAATTTATATTTGAAGCAGATATATTAATTAGTATAATAGTTTTATTAAGATAAATTTTATTTTAAAGGATATCTGCAAGCTCATCTTAGGTCTAGTTGATAATTCTGAAATGGATTCTATTTACATATCTCCTATTGAGAAAAATATGCTAAGAAATCCAGAAACGGCCATATCCATATTGAGAGTTATGTTGGAGAGTACAAATTTAAATATGTCTCGCCATTGTTCAATGTTGGCGAAACATATTTCATTGGCCTTGAGAAATAAAGAGGAAAGTATAAGAAAGGAATCACTATTGGCTGTTAATGCTTTAGCCAAAACTGTTGATGATGGTGAAGCAATGTACAAATTTATCAAACTACTTTTCGACATTATTGGAGGGTCAGAAGGTAAAATAACGCAACCGGGAATAAAGGCTATTCTTGTTGAAGCGATAGGCAAAACAATTGTAGATATTACACCACACCTTGAAATAGCCGATAAAGTCTGTGAACTATTTCTACCTCTCATAAAAACTGAAGTTAATGACTCATTGCTTAACAATATTATTTTAGCATTCGGGAAATGGGGGCTTATTGCAAAGAAAAAATTGCCTTCCAATGTTCATCAATATTTATTCAAGCAAAGTCTTACAATGAAAAATTCTACACCTAACGCTAAATGTTATTATTTGAAATGCATGTATGATCTTATTGTTGAACATGATCAGAATTTGGAAAAGGAAATGATAAAAATTGCTGACAAGGGTACTGCTAATCTTGGAAATTCTCAGATTGTTGTACAATCTTTAATTGCAATATGTATTTTATGGAAAATGGGTAATTACGGCAATGGATATTCCGATTATATGAAGCAGTCTTTACCGAATTATCTAAAATCAACAGTTTATCTTTCATTTAAAACACTTGTACAGGCTCCCGGCAATTTACGTTTGGATATTTCGAGAATGGTTGAATCATTATATAAACATCAACTTATTACTGATACTAAAACTTTTGCCTCAACCTTGACCATTGGTCTTTTGCAAGCTGATAATAAGGAAAGAAAGGACCATGTTGCCATAATTAAGAGAAATGTAGCACTAGAATGTGATGATTTTATAATTAATATTCTTGACGAGCTTGGTGAAAAATTGTCCGAATTTAGTGGAGATATTGTTGAAAGAACTATATTAGATTTATGCTCCTGTCTTGTTGACAAGAAATTGGAAAGTAAAATAGCATTTTTAATGAACGTCTGCCTTTCAGTGCACTCAGATAAAATTAGCAATTGTACGTTTCTTTGGAATAAGCTACTTAGGCAATTAAATTTAAATTGGAATGATTGTTCAGAAATTAAATATATCCAAAAATTTACTAATCCAAATGAACTATCTGAGGATTGGAAGAGGAGCGTTAAAAATTTAGCTTTGACTCACGATAAGTTCACAAAAGAGTTTGTTAAAGAATCAATGAAAGGTCTTCGAGAAAATTATGTTGAAGGTGTTGAAGAGAAAGATGTGGCTATAATGAATCATCCAGAGGACGATCTCTGGGATATATCTATTCTAATAAATGAAGAAGCAGGAGATTCTAAAAAGAATTTAAAAAAGGAAAATAAGTTATATTCCTATGAAGAGCAATTAGCTGAAATTGAAATAAGGCGTGAAGTTACGAGAAAGCGTATTGCCGAGGGTAAAGCTATAAACTTAACAAAAAAACAAGAAGAGCTAAAGAAAGCTCAAATGAAAAAAGAAAAAGAAATTAGAGATAAATTAAAAGCCGTTTACGGAGAAGTTGATAAAGCTTGTATTCTTCTTCAACAATGCTCAACTTCTATTTCTGAAAATCTTATCGAGAACGTTTTGGAAAGTCTTAGGCTACATCTTAATTCTCTTCTTACCGCTAAATTGGCGGCGGCCTGCTTGTTCAAGCTGACTGACTTCTTATGGAGAAAGAAAGCGGATGCTCAAAAAGTATTCTGTCGTGAACTTGTTGCCTCTGGATTTTGCCGTTTAATTGGTAATCGGCAAATTGTTGACAAAGTTCTAAGTGATTGGAGTTCTGAAGATCTCTTCGCTCAAATCAGGCGTGCTATTACTTACTTAAATATTGAATGTAAGAAAAAATCGACTTTTGGTTTGGCATTCCTTGTTTGCTTTTTTGATAAAGTTACGGCTGATGAACATTTCTTGAACGATTCCGAAGTTAGAGAAAATATATGTAATATTATATTAAGTCATGCTAATGAAGAATACGACTCTCCTGAATTTATCGCTAATAGAATTGCTTATTTACTTACAAAATATTCAATGCCCAATAATGCAACGATCGAGGATTTAACTGGAAAAACAATTGAAATTTTCGTTTCCAAAATATTTTACCTGAGCGAAGAACATTCTTTAGAACTCGTATACACAATCCTAGATACTATTCAAAATAAGCATTATATTCTTCGAAAAACGGGTGTTATTTGTATGGATCATCTGTTGACGGTTATTGAAGAATTCGCTCCAGAAATTATGGAAAGAGTGCAAGCTAGGATTCTTGTTGCCAATTTCGATGGTACCGAAGAAGATTACGCAGTTGCAGACGATGATAGTGATGATGAAAGCTTTTCATTGCAAATTTCAAAGAAATACGCGGTAGCTTTGGCCGTTAAAAAACTACTGTCGAACCATTCCATTCCCGAACCGAATACGAATGTAATCAATTATGCAATTTACGACTTACAACATGATCAAAGAGCTGTTAGAGTAGCCGCCGCTAACGCTATCGTTGACTCGTTACAAACAGTTGAAAACATCGCTACTTTCTGTGGTGATATAATGACGACCTACGAAAATTTATGTCATATAGAACCTCCGAAATACGATGAAATGGGAAGGATTGTTGTTCCAGCTTCGCCAGATTTATATGAGAAAAGATCAACAGTCATTTATTGCTTATATTTAATATCTGTAAATATGAAATTGGACGAAAGTTTGGCTATGTCTTTTGTTGACTTTTATTTAAATCTGGCTTTGAGAGATAATAATAAAATAATCCGGGAGAAAGTTCTATATTCTGCAAAAAAGGCTATTGAATCTTTTGGTCAAGATTATCATTTGGAATTAATAAATCTTGTTGATGATTGGATAAAGACGAGCGAAGGACAATCAGATATATTGGATGAACAACATCACTGTGCGGTTGTAATGTTGGGTAGTCTTGGCAAATTCTTGGATAGGTCCGACCAGAGGGTAATTTCCATACTCAAACGTTTAATCACCTGTCTTAATACGCCATCTAGCGTTGTTCAAATGTCCGTCGCAAACTGTTTGGCGGATCTTGCCGACGCTTTAGAAGACGATTTACCTACTTACATTAGACATTTGCTAAATAGTCTTTTTTCACTAAACGCCTATGCGGAACGGGTAGGATGTGCCTATGGAGTTGCCGCCTTAATAAAAGCTTACGGTATTAATGGATGGTGGGATTTTGAAATTACAGACCAAGTGAAAGGGGCATTGAGCAATAAAAAATGCTTTCAATTTAGAGAATCAGCTCTTCTTCTTGTCGAAAAATGTTGCTATCTCCTTGGTAAGGCTTGTGGTCCAATGGTCTCTGAATTAATTCAGTATCTGCTGGATTGTTGCGCCGATTCGAACAAGCATGTACGCGAAGCTGCTGAGGATACAGCTAAAGCCATTATGTCGAACCTTACTCATACAGGGGTTAAACTTATTCTACCTGATATCCTAAAGGGTTTGACTGTAGACTCCTGGAGAACGAAAGCATCATCCATTGATATGTTGGGAGCTGTTGCTTTTTGTGCACCAAAACAACTGTCTGAGTTCCTACCTGGTATAGTTCCAAAGCTTATTGACGCTCTTTCAGATTCCCATCAGAAAGTAACCGAGGCTGGCCGTCATGCTTTATCTCGAATAGGCAATGTAATAAAAAATGAAGAAATTCAAACCGTTGTACCCATACTTCTCGACACAGTAATTGAACCAGCTAAACATACAAAACTTTGTCTAGAAACTTTAGCTTCTACCAGATTCCAAAATCAAGTTGATCCACCGTCTTTAGCATTAATTATGCCAGTTGTTTTAAGATCTTTCCTTGATAGAAGCGTTCAGAATCGTACAATGGCATCGAATATCGTTGGAAATTTATTTTCTATATCATCGAAAGAGCACGTTCATCCATATTTAGAGTCGGTCATGAATGGATTACAACAAACATTGATTGACCCTGCACCTGAAGTTCGAGCCAATTCGGCGGCCGCTTTAGCAAGCGTTTATAAAACCGTAAAGAACTCGTCTGAAGTTGTATCGTTTATTAAATGGCTCAAAGAAATGATCAAGAGCGAAAACTCAACCGTTGATAGATCAGGAGCTGCTCAAGGTATATCTTACATTTGGTCCGTAACGGACGACAGTACACTGGAAAGAAACGTTTTAACAATTGTTAACGTTATTAAGGATTATGAGAATGTTTCACCATATGAAAGAGATGGTCACTTGCAGATATTTCTCTACCTACCAGAAATTATTGGTGAAAGATTTGAAAAGTTTATTCCTATTATCATTAACCCAATACTAACGTCCTTATCGGATGAGAATGAATACGTTAGAGATATGGCTCTAAAATGTGGAACGGGTATTATAAATAATTTCTATCAGGCCGCTATTGAAATGATGTTACCTGAATTATTAAGTGGTACGACAGATGATAATTGGAGAATAAGACTGGCTAGTATCTCTCTGCTTGGCGATCTTTTGTATAAGATTACTGGTATATCTGGCAAAATGACAACTGAAACATCAAACGAAGATGATAGTTTAGGAACGGAAAAAATGAATACAAGTCTACTTGTAGGTCTTGGCATAGAAAAAAGAGATTTAGTTCTTGCGGCTTTATATATGAGCCGATCGGACGTTACTTCCCAAGTTAGAAATAGTGCAACTCACGTTTGGAAGGCTGTGGTTTCTCATACACCAAAGACGCTAAAGGAAATTCTCCCTATTCTTTTTGACAGAATTATTGAACTCTTGTCGGCTGATTCCTATGATAAGAGACAAGTTGCGGCCAGAGCTTTAGGTGATGTTGTTAAAAAGTTGGGCGAAAAAGTTTTATCGCAAATTATTCCTATTTTGGAAACCGGTCTAGATCATGAGTCAGAAAGCAAAAGACACGGTGTGTGTGTTGGTCTGGCCGAAGTTGTTAAATCAAGTAACAGGGATCATTTGCTTGTATATGCTGATACATTGGTACCGACAATGTTTAAAGCTCTAATCGATCCATCTGAAAATGTTCGAGAAAGGGCCGCTGATATGTTCCAGGTCCTTCAAGAAGCTATTGGTAATAAGGCTGTAGAAGAAATTCTTCCCAAGTTAACTAAAGCATTAAGGGAGGAAACTGAGGACGAAAGGGCATTGGATGCGCTCAAACAATTGCTTAAAGTTAAAAGCAAAGTCATTCTCCCCCATCTAGTCCCAGTTCTCATTGCACCTCCGATTAATACAACCGCACTGGCTCATTTAGCTGCTGTTGCAGGAGATTCTCTTACCCGATTCTTACCAAAGATAATTCCGGCGTTGCTAGTAGTACTAAGTAAAGAGGAAGATGTTTCGGATAAATTTGATGAGTGTTGCGAAGTACTAACTGCCCCACGAGATTTCCAGGCTGGAAGAGCTGTTATAGACGACCTTAGCGATGAATGTCGAAGTGAATCGCTAGTAAGACGAGCAGCCGCTTGCAATTTATTATGGAAATATTTGAAGGCTCGAAAAACATTCCCAATGGAATGGATTGATAAGATCTCCCGAATAGTGTTTACATTATATTTAGTGCCGAACGACAAAGTTTTGGCTGCAGCGACTAAATGTCTATCGGTATTACTAGATAGTTTCGACATTGAGGACTGGTCCAAGAGCATTTCGCTCCTTCGTCAGAACATGCGGTTCGTTATGAGTGAGGCAAAGGATAAAGAGGTACCTGGCTTTGGCGTTCCTCGACTGGGGTTAGTCCCTCTAAGCGGACTTCTAAAAAAATTACTTATGACATCCAAACCTGACGTGAAAGAAGGAGCGGCACTTATGCTTCACGATGCCTTAAGAAGGTCTCCAACGAAGAGCCTTTTGGAAGTTGGACAAGCCCTTTGCGGCTCTATTATTCGTTTGCTCACTGAAAAACATAGTGTAACACTTAAAATACCGCTTATTGATTGTCTTATGATCCTTATGCAAAAAGTTAGCCATCTGCTGAAATTTTTCCTCTCCCAAATATCTACCGCCATTACTCGTGGATTATCTGAACCTAATAGACCTTTAAGACAGAAATCAGTAAACTTAGCGATGGTTTGCTTCCCGTACATGCAAAAAATGAAATCGCTCCTTATTGATACACTCCAAGGATTGAAACAAGACGATATACAAATGAGAGATACCTATATTCTAACTATTCGATATGCTCTTCTCTATTGCTCTGAGCATATGGGACAACAAAATATAGACGAGATTCATCAAGTCATGACTTCAATAATGCTTCACGACAGCACAAATCGCCATCTTAGTGCCGGTTGCTTAGGGGTTTTGATAGCGAAAGATTTTGAAAACCAACAATCTTTATTGAAAACAAGTATTGAGAAAACTTTGTCACCATCAAGTTCAGCCGAGGAGCGACATGCTCACATCTTAGTTTTAATGACCGCCTTAAAAGAAGGAGCTGAAAAGATTTTCGATAACGATGAAATTAAATCTAAAATCTGTTCAGCAATAAAATATGCGGCTATGTCGAGTAAACTCCCTGTGAATGTTTGCGGTTTGAAAGCTGTGGGATTTGCGCTATACTACTTGGCATCAAATCCAAACTTAACCATTCCCTCTGGTCTTTTAGAAGTTTTACAAAAAACAATTGATAATGACACGATTGATGTACGACTCGTAATTGCTAAATCGATTGTTTATATATCCACAGCTGTTAAAGATGACGAGGTGCTCCGTGATAGTTTATTAATACCATTTACCAAAATCCTTCTCAGGATAGTAAAAGATAAGAATTCAGCAGTTAGATGCAGCGCTGAAGTCGGTTTGGTCCGTATTCTTAAAGGTTTACAGGATACAAAAGATTTGGCTCTGAGTGTAAGTTGATTAAATAACTCGTTCATTATTTGGCTTAAAAGATATTTTATATTCAATTAGGTCCTTAAGAGAGAATCGCAAACAGTTGCTGATACAGCAGAAGACACACTTAATAGATTATGCGAAAAGAAAAGAAAGGAAATTGATAATTACGATTTCCTTGAATCTCTCGATCATACTTGTACGTTATAATGTTAATGCATGTTATTGTATCATTGTCAGCGAAGAAATAAAATAAATTTAGACATATTTCAAAAGCAAAAGATGTAATGACTGTATTTCTTTCTAGTTTCAAAAAATTGTTGAGTTGTTCTAGATTAGTAGATCATACAATCGACATAGTTAAGTTTAAGATGGATATCTAAATCATGCGACCGATAAATATTTTTAAGAAGTCCACAATAAACAAAAAAAGCATATCAAATAAAGTTTACATAAAGCAAATAAATAATTAGAAGAGCCAGACGCTCCTGCCAATGCGTACCAAAATAGTAATTTTTACGATAAGGTTTGGAGTATAATTTAAGTTTGTAGGTTTATCTTTCAGTTTCAGTAAAGAGTAATTACTTCCGTCCATCAAAGTGTGCGAACCAGGGGGTTCCAGCACGGGACAGGAAGCTAGTTCTAAAAAATTTTTGGCAAATAGAATACGGGACTACAAAAACGATCAGAGAAACAAGCCAGAAACATAAAGCACAAAAATACTAACACTAAGGCTTTGAATAGGTTTGTTTTCGGTAGATGTTAACGTGTTCCATACAATAATTGTAAATTTTACAAAAAAAAACAGAAATAATTGCATAAATATAGATTCGCAAACAAAAAACAGAGCTTCGGCATCTTGCCCTATGATACTTTGCAAATCTTTTCAACCGGGGGGGGAAGGGGGCGAAGAAAAATTTATTCTCCTAAATTTTTAAAAGCAAGTTGGTTATGACGACAGAAAACACGGGGTCGTTAGTTCGTCTACATTAACGAAAGTTCTTGTCAAACCTAGCTTCAAAGTTGGAACTTTTCGACGTAGCAACAGGCCTTTCTACCACGTGTACTTTTCAAACAATGGCGGCTTGGTCAGACTCGAGCCCTTCGTTGCCGTTCGTTCAGCATGCTTCCATTTAGAGGGCTAAACGTAGTTCTTTTTTAAGTTGGCCCATCTGAACTGCCTTTCACAGTCGTCAACTTCTGTGAAAATGGCGATGTTCCATGTTCTTCAAAACACGTGGTTAACTTAAATCTGTGAAAAAGCAACAAAATGAAATATAATTATATGCATTCTGATTATTTTAACATATTCTAAATGTTTTATACTAACTTTTAAAAACTTGAAGTTCGCCCATAAATTTCAGCATGCACGACATTGTTTTTAGTAGAACAATCAGCTCACCTCCGTTTTTTCTGTCGTGCAGACTGAAAAATCGCGTCCCCTTATATACAATTTGGTGAGTCCTGTCAAGATGTCTCGTGACCTACGTGACTGAGTCATCAGCCCATATTTTTTACTTTAATTTTAGCTTAATTTAAGCATCGTTATCATATGTAACATATTCACTTAGGATCTTGGCATGTTATATAACATTTTGGTGGTATTTTTTCAAAATTTCGTCCAGGAATTAAAATTTTGAAAATTTGCTCCAAACTTGAATTCCCCTAAAACAAAATGGTGGATTGACCTTGAGAGGGCAAAATGGCCATCTTTTGAAACCACGTGCAGCATAATTTTAAGCTAACATTTTCTAACTAATTACGAAACTTTATGCGAGTTTCTATGTTTAGTTCTTGGCTATGAACTTAATAGAAGCGTTTCTTGATACTTTTTAATATACTAAGGCCAAAGTAAGCGAATAAAGTACACCATCCAGGACTACAAGACTACGTGATAATTCATTGTCCTAGATGTAGTTTTAAACTGCTAAATAAGGTACATAGTTTTTTAAATGACCTTCGAAAGTCAGACGATCACACTTCTGGCCAAAGGCATACTTGTCAAATTTGTTTTCTACATGGTACGCTACGTATAGACTACCGATGTACTCGAACTTTTTCTCCCGTATATCGGTAGGCCATACGTAATGTAACTTCTAGTTCTCTTCGTTGAATTTAATAATTCAAAAACTAAACTCTACTTATATTGGAGGATGTCAATGTTCTACCAAACAAAACTGTCTAAGAGCGAAAGATTAAAATTGTGCAGTAGTATATTTCATGTAAGTATATGATTCGTGTTTGTAAAAGAAAGCTGTAAAGAGGACAGAGAAGGGTAAGAAACAAAAGAAAAAAGACAATGCAGAGGAAAGCCACAAAAAAGACGTTTGAACGAAAAAGTTTCATAAGGAATTTGCTTTCAATTGGAATTAAATATCATCTAAATAAATGCACATAAACGCTTCAAGATAATAGAGAAATTCAATATTCTCCTTTGTTAACTATAACTGAACAATGTAAAGACATAGAATAAACTAATTTCAATTGTTAACTCTTACAATTAAACTAATAGAGACTTTAAATTACTTCAAGGTTAAGATAAACATTCTTCCTTTCTGGAAGCTGAACAAAAACCAAGAAATTTGATACGTCAATAAATTTTGTTAGAACAAAGCCTTTTTGTCTTTTTATGCACTTCTCCCTTCAGTGCTTATCTTTATGAAATGAAAGACGAAGATTACTGAAATCATAATTCACTTCATCATCTTCAAGAAGTGATTCGCACCAGGAATCAGAATCGCTGCTTGACTCGTAATCCTATGTTGCATTCAATTTAGTTAATGAGCTTAAGTTTTTTTATATAGACTTACTCTTGAATCCCTGTTGAGGAAGGATTCTAGTTTATATTGTCGGCAGCAAAAGTTACAAGAACAAAAACGATTTCTACCGAAGTACTGCAGCATAACAAGACCGCAAGAGACAAATTTGCATCGAGGCTGAAAAATAGTTACATTGCGATAGATACATTCATGCTAATATTAATTGCCTTATTAGAGAATTTACCATAATTTTCGTATAACTTATGAAAAGATAAGCGTTAACGTTATCTTCTCCAAATTGGTTGGCAACTTGAAGACCAGTTTGTCCGTATCTATCATAAATTTCTTTTGTTTTAGCATCAGATAGAATTGAGTGAGCGTAGTTAATTTCCTTAAACTGCAAAAAAGGAATAATATGATTATATAATATGATAATATAATTAACCGGGATTATTACCATCTCTGTAGCAGCTAGATTATTAGGATTTCTATTGGGATGATACTTAAAAGCAAGCTGTAATAGTTAATTATAAAGTTAATCAAACTTATGCTATATACTATATATAAACTAATACTGTATATACTTAATAAATAGTATATTTATATTTTTTAATACTATTACCTGTCTGTAGGCCTTCTTGATCCCATCTTGAGTGCAATCGTATCTTAATTTTAGAATATCATATAGCTCTTTAGGATTTCCCCTTTATTTAAAAATAAACAATTGAAGATTACGGAAATATGGCTAATATATAATAATAAATTACTTACAAATTTGCCTCTTTGTTTAGAGGAGTTGTCATCTTCGTTCGATAATACCAAATACTTAATTTTCTTTATTTACCCAATTCAACAACTGCAAAACGTAGGACGAACAAAGAAAAAGTAACGAACTCGTCTTAAACGTAGATTGCTAACAAAACAACTGCAAAACATTTAAAAATCTAAAAAGTAGGAAATAACAGGCTGGAATAGAGCATAATTTATACTAATTATGTCCCTTTTTACCTTTGCTCTTAGACAATAACAATATATTTTATAAATATTTTACTTGAAAAAAATTGCTCTTGCTGCGATTTTTATTGATGTTTTCGTGTGACCACACCTAAGATTTAAAAAAAAATATTAAAGTACTAAATATACTTTTGCCCGCAGTTACAAGTTTCTTTTGCTAAAAACTGCAAAAATACAAATATTTAATGAGTTCTTTTTATGTGGAAATAAAAAAATTATGTGCATAATAATAATAAAAAAGTGTAAATATCCTTTTAAGTCGATAAAAGTTCGAATAAATGTGTAATGAAGATTTTTTAACGTAAAAGTGATTAATTCAGTTAAGTTATCAAAGTTTTTATAATAGAAACCAGATTCATTTGACAATTGTTCGAATCGAACGTTTTTATTTTTTTTCTTAGTTTCTATTTTTAAGTTGTTTTCGTAAAAGTTGTTTTTCTAACCTCTAATTGGAAAGTTAATGACATTTCTGATATTTTAAAACTTTTCCACAACGTAGAGTTTATTAAGATTAAACGTCACGACAATTAAAGCTAGTACAACAGATATAAGAGAAAGGACTTCGAAGCTAATTCAGTCCGTCTCTCATGAGCTGAAACTTTCTGAGAATTTCACGATCGTTCTCCTCTTTGATTCTGACCTCTTCCTCACTCTCTTCCTCAAGTGCTACCTCATATGCTAGAAGACTTCTCAAAGCCCAAAGTTGCTTGCTTTCATCCATCTTACCTCCAGCTGGTTTGTAGTTATTGAGTGGCGACTTTCTTTTTGAGGCTCTTTTCTCCTGGCAGTGGTTGTCTTTCTCCTTGTAAAGGCTTGCCTCCTCACAGGATTTGTTTTTCTCTTTGTAAAACTTGTTCTCTTCCTCGTAAGGCTTATCTTTTTCCTCGCAAGATTCGTCCTCCTCCCAGTAAGACTTATCTTCTTCCTTGTACAATCTGCGCTCTTCCTCGTAAGACTTGTCTTCTTCTTCGGAAGATTCGTCCTCCCAGTAAGACTTATTTTCTTCCTCGGAAGATTCGTCATCCTCCCAGTAAGACTTATTTTCTTCCTCAGAAGATTCGTCCTCCTCCCAGTAAGACTTATCTTCTTCCTTGAACAATCTGCCCTCCTCAAAAAATTTGTCCTCTTCCTCGCAAGATTCATCCTCCCCCCAATAAGACTTATCTTCTTCCTTGTACAATCTGCCCTCCTCATCAGACTTGTCTTCTTCCTCGCAAGATTCGTTCTCCTCCTCGCAAGATTCGTTCTCCTCCTCGTAAGACTTATTTTCTTCCTTGTACAATCTGCCCTCTTCGTAAGACTTGTCTTCTTCCTCGCAAGATTCGTCCTCCTCCTCATAAGATTTATCTTCCTTGTACAATCTACCCTCCTCTTCGTAAGACTTGTCTTCTTCCTCGCAAGATTTGTATTCTTCCTGGTAAGAAATGCACTCTTCCTCGTAAAATATATCTTCTTCCCCGTAAATTATATCTTCTTCCCCGTAAAATGTATCTCCTTCCTCATAAAGTCTAGCTTCATCTCTACAAAGGGTCTTTTCATTCTGATAAAGTCCCGAATATAGAGTCGAGTAGGTTTGACGGTTTTGTTGAATGTAGCGCTGTATCTCGTCCAAGTTGTTGTTTCTACCATTAATCGCCTTAATAATATGCCAGCAACCTTCCGCAAAGAATTCCGCAATATCAAGCCCAATGTTTATAGTTGCTCTAACAGCTCTGAAAAAATCTATTCCAAGAAGCAAATCATTGTTATGCATGTCCAAAACCAGGAAATTGCAAAGTTTTTTGCCCATTCCGAACTGAAGTTCGTACTTAACTTCTCCATGGGTTTGAATTTCAATCATGTTTGTGGTTTTAGGTATGCATTCTGGTTTAGCCACTTCGGTTTTTGGGAGTTTTTGCAGAGCTGTTTTAGCAATCAAGGAACGTCGGGCTCCAGTATCCATCTGGGTTTTCAGAGGAATCATTCCAATTCTTAGCAAATTAATGCAAAAATCGGACAATTCCATATTCGAATCAGATGGTAGAATTTCGTGTCCGTTGCGTTGGAGCTCTGAGAGATTGATAATAACAGTACTATCTCCGACATCAGCTTTTTCATCGCTCGCCGATTCATTTTCAACCTCTTTAATAGTAGGCATATCAGAGCGATCATCTTCAGTTGACCAATATGCGGCCTCTGCCAAAGCAGGCATACACGCTCGTCCGTGGAAAGGCTCTACATCTTTACTCGATGCATCTGATGAATCACAACTGAAAGATTCGTATTCAGCATAACTTTGAACGACTTTAAAAATTCTATCGCAAAAGTTTCTTCCAATCTCATTGAGGTACTTGTACGGAAGAAAATCTCTATTTCTCCACTGATCTCGGTTTTGCCTCACAGCAAAATACTTTCGTAGTTTTGAATGTTGACCATTAGGTGACCACTGAGGAATGTGACTTTTCATCACCTCCAGCATAACAGAATCAAAAAGAAAGAACAGCTTGTGTGGATTCTCATTTTCAATCAGCTCATGATCGGAGGAATTAGCGTAGTCGGATTCCTTTTCGTTCCATATGTCGTTGTATTCGTCAATTTTGTTTCTCAAATGTTTGCAAGATTCAATCATCTCGTTGTGGATCTTCCTTACGATGCCAATAACCTCTAAACATGGTCGTTCATTGAGATTCTTTTTAAAAAAATGTATAAAAAATATATGATTTACCTTGCTTCTCTTCTAAAAACTTCAAATAAAGTTTGCGCTGCTTAATAAAATTTGAGAGGTTCTTTGATTTTTTAAAAATTTCCTCACTTTTATCTTCCTTAGTTGTAGAAATCTTCATTTTCTTTATCTCTTCCTTCACTTGGCGAGCGCTCTCTTCCAGTTCCTCCGTAACGTCGTCGGCCTCCTCTTGAACTTGCGCACGAAACTGCTTCAAATCTTTAATCGTCACACTTTGCGACGGAATGCCGCTCTTACCAGGTTTGAACTGCTTCGGACAAACACTAATCAAAGGCCCACGATTCGAGAAATCGGGATTGGTATAACTTTCCAACATTAGGGCCGAAATACCTCTCGAATGGCCATTGACATCTCTCTTCACTCTCCGAGTTTTTACCTTCTTCCCAGCTTCCATCTGTTTCGAATTCATAGCAAATATAAGTTTGAAGTCAAACTTGAAAAGTTTTACTCAAAGTCGTAACGAACGATGAACGACAAGTATATTGCGGGGATTCAGAAATCTTATCATTTATATATCCCCAACATAGAGGGGGTGTCGTTGCAAAGTAACAAAATGTATCGGTAAAATAAATAGCCTCATTACTACTCAGGTGGCATCAGGAAATCTGTCAACTATAAGGCTACAGATAATCCCCTTTCAAACTAAGCCGCCAAAAAGTTTTGAATCATTACGTCACAGTTTCCTTTTTTCTTAAAGAAGTTATTAAAGAGGTGATTTTTCATTCAAGCTTTTGTTGAAAAGTGAACAAACCTTGAAATTATGCTGGAATATTTATTAAACAAAATTAAAAAGTACTTCATCGTTAACTTCTATTTGAGACAAACAATAAAAGTTTTATAATTCAGTAAACTTGAATATAAGCTAATCATTTTGATGTATTAAGTCTGATCATAATCCCTAAATGTAACAAATTTAACTGTTCAAATGACTTATTCGAAGACAATAACCAATTAGTTTTATTCATATTTGACGAATATAAATAAATAAAGAAAACTTTTTCTTTAAATATTCTACCGACAAACATTAAGTGTAATTTGACAAACGTCACCATAAAAACAATTGTTACAATTCATGCTGTATGTTGATTTTATCAATGTCATTATAAATTGTAACGCTTTTTATATTAGAAATACTAATGAAAAGAAGAAAATCTATGAAAACAATTATAATTACTTAAAATGATGTCTTTCCTTCACGCTTCCGATACAATCTGATTAGTAGCAAATATTAATTAGCACTGACGGGAGATGGGTAATTTCAAAAGCCGCTTAGCAGGAAACTGAGATTGATTTAAAAAGTAAAAGAATAGATATCCACACCCTTAAAGAGGAAATTTTTAATAAATATTCCAAAATCTCCTTTTGGCATTTAGCGGCATACATCTTTCGTTTTCACTTTGAGTAATCCCGCTGATGAACCTACCTGAGAGGTATTTAAATGTACTTTGAATAGGGAGAGTATAAAACAGTTGATTCCCTTTTTAAAAACTCTACTCGGCCAAATCAAACTTTAGGGAAGATGTGATAACGGTCATTGAAATCTCCATTTGATCATAAGTCATTCAATAAGTAAAGCAGATATACTGATAATTAGTTAATTAAAAACTTTCTCCAAACTTTCTATCTGGGACAGGGTGTTATCATTTCTTTATTTTTTATATTTGATTAGTTTCTTATATTTTCGACCAGTCTCAATTTGTTTATGACTTTATGACTTACAGTTTTAACGTAACAATGCGAGGGTCATTTCGAGGGCAGCATGTATTAATTACGCATGAGCTCTCTGCATGATGTATTCCTAAATTTGATTATTACGTCTCGAAATTGGTACAGCTTGATAAATCGAATTCAAAAAAACATTAAGTGCATTTTGCTCGCCCTCTTATTATCCGAGAAGGATTTTTTTCTTCTCTCTTATACAAAAAGTTGCTCGAAAAAGTATTTACCACGAATTAAGGCGTGTTTTATAAGTAACGATCTGTTTACGATAAACAGGGTTATCTTCAAATATTCTCCCAATATGTTTTAATTAATAACTCTATAAATAGTATTATAAATTATCGCTTTTATCATCAAATGTATCCCTTTTTGTCATAATCTAGTGATTTTGGATACGGATCACCTTTCGTAAAAGGCTATATTTCCTTTCCATTTTGATGAGATTCATTAATGAATAATCTTAATGTAACAATTTTTAAAGATCTTTGAATTTGTTTCTCTTTCCAATCAGCATAACTCAAATGATCCTGTCTGATGGGATGCCTGAATCTCATGAATTTTTTAAGTCTATTCTGCATTTCGAATAGCTCTTTATTCCCATAGTTCCACGCCCCTCAATCTTTTCTCCCTCTGTCAACTTTTCTCCACTTCTTTGTTTAGAAGAATTTCACTTTAAATGAAAAGTCAAACTATATAAATGCAATAATTTCATTTATCATAACTAATTTTCAATTAATTCTCTAGTTTAGCTCTGCAATATATTTAAAAAATTTTAATCTTTTAATAAACATTTCCGATTATTTACTTATAAAATTAAATATACCTGGAAAGTTTAAATTTATCGCTTTTGTCAACGAAATATTAATATTTGTCCACTAAATATTAATATTTTGATGAAATATACAAATATTTAATTATAATTTGTTTTCTGGAATACTAAAAAGGTTCTTTTTTCCGAATTGAGTTTCAGATGGCGTCTCTATACATTTCCGTAATTATGTATTCTAGGGGTCGCTGATTGGTTTAAACATATGATTTAGGCAACTTTAATGTCATTCCAATTGAACCAGTTAATGACGACAGGTTGAAAATAACTAAAAAAGGGTATTGTTTTATTTATTCCTTTGTTTTATTTTTATTATCCAGCTTTAGAAGGTTGTTGATAAAATACATTCTATAAAAAGAATATTTAAATTATTAGTAATACTCATCACGTGAACGCTGTAACCACGTGGCAAAGTATTTTCTCCTATATTTAGGCTTTCTACTTTGCTTAAGAGTCAACAAAATAACTAGTAGGCTGATTATTTAAATATTTGTTTAAATGTACAGATTAAATATACACTTTTCTTGAATAATTTATCAAGCCTGTTTTTTAAGCATTCGATTGCTATATTATATAATAAAGAACATTTATCCTTAACTTATACTTTTTATTAGATTTCCCGATTGTTTAAAGAACAATTTTGAAAGCTAATTAGAAATAATGAGAATAAGATCAAAATTCTATTGGTAAATTTTTCAATTTATTCTGTTAAAACAGCTCTAAAATTTTCTTCTTTCCTTCAGTTACAATTATACAAGTGAAATTTTGCAATTACAAATAGACAAAATATCAAATAAATATCAAGTATGAGAATCAAAACCGATATATTCTAAAGCTCAATCAGGCATCAGTTTCCCTCATATTACTGGACAAATACTTATCCAAGTACTTTATCGCAGTTAATACGAAGGCGGTACTGATGACGAGAACTTGCAGCCGAACTTGAAAAAGTGCTTTCGGTATTTAGACAAAAAAGTGATTGTCTTTGTTTAGACGTTTGCGTGTAAAAAAAGAAGATGTATTCTCCAGTTCCCGTAGCTACCAATTGTACCACACTACCACGATTGTTAATACCAAACACATTGTGATTTAACGTGACACATTGGAGAAAAATGAAGGTTGAGGTTGGTCAAGGAGAGGAGTAGGTTCAATTTCGACACTTGCAGTAAAAAAAAAGAAGATGCACCCTTCATTTTTAGTAGGCACTAATTGTACTCTCTATTACTCGACAATTGTTGAATCCACAACATATCGTCGCCAATAATAGCGCGAATACAGGAGTGAACACAAGAGAATATGTTCGTCAGTTCAAGTCATTGGGAGTTTCCAACAGCTGGGGAGTACCAATGACCAGAATTTGCCCAACTAAATGAAGCGTTAAAGACAACAGCAGGCATTGGGCCCTCTTCAGAGTTTCAAGTACTATAATACTCTAGTTGTCTACTTTTTCTGTAAAAAACGAAAGTTATGTAACCAGAAATACTCGAAAAAAGAAATTTCAACTTACTAGAGCTGATAACCAAAGAGTGAAGAGACCAACCAATTTGGTCTCCTAACTGTGACTGAAAACGGCACCCTTTATATACGTTTTGGCTGACACGCGAGGTAACAACTCAAAAACAACAAACAACTTACCTCGATGATGCCTTGATGGAATTGTTCCACTTAAAGACTAATGATTTTCTATACAAAAAATATACACGGACTTCGAAAAATAGAGATATAAATTCATATTTTCAATTTTATATTTAACAAAAAACTATTCAAAAAACAATTTTTTTCTTAAATAATGCACTTTTGACTTCCAATCACTTAAACCCATAGAAAACCACTCGAAATATGGAACTTCAATTACTCGATATCCTAATATATTTAAATGTTTGTTTCGAACAGAGAAATTTCCAGTCAAACGATGAGAATCGTAGCAATAGTTGTTTTCAAATAGAGTCAAAATTGCTAATCTGTTAGGAATAGGGCAAAATCTCTCCTCATCATCCTATAAAATTTCGTATTTTTCTTCTACAAACCTATCCCAATCTTCTCTCACAGGAATATCTGCTCCTGACACCTCTACTGGTCTTTTTTTATCGTCCAAAATGCACTCATAACCTGCAAAAGAAAATCTTACATGTAAAAAACAACGAAAAAGACCAAAATCTATTATGTATTATTGATACATACTTATTTGATGATAATATGGGCTATCCACTGAAGATCTGAAATACTCTTTTCCATTCAGTAAATCCACAAGTGCATTATTCACCTCTCTCAGGAATCGTTCATTAAACGGAGACAGACGGGATGGGCCTATCATTAATATTCAATCATTAAAAAACGATAATCAACTATTCAATTTAAACAATACAGTATAATGATGCATGGTAATAGAATATATCGGCCGTTCTACTTACGTGAACGAAACTCTTTAGAATAGTATTCCATGAACCAAGGAATATTTAAACTAGGACATTCCAAAATAATAGCTCTATTTAAGCAAAAGAGCAATCGCAATATCTCCGATCTGGATTGTGGGTTTTTATCCATAAATTCATCAATTAGGCTAATGCTAGACAAAGTGAACATTTCGGATAAAATATGAATTGGGAAGACTTCTAAAAGAGCCAAATTCTGAAGGCAGTTCAATTGAGCTAAAATTGAATTATTTTCCCTAAGCTCCTTGTAAAAATGAAAAATGATATCAAGAAAAGCGTTGAAGTTCTTAGGTTTGTAGTTGACGAGAGCACAACTTCTTAAGACGTTCATAACGGATGTAAGATTAAGTTCTTGATTATTACAATTAATTGTATAGTCAATAAGATTGTCGTAGACTGGTGGAAGGTGATAGCGAAGATCCCTAAACGTACGAGCAACTTTATTGACAGAAATTGGATCTAGGTTTTTAGTGCTTTCGACAAATTTACCCATCACCTTTTCAGTGAGAACTGAATCTCGACTTTTATTAAAAACAATCAGTCCAGTTGCTAATTGATAGAGATAGTCAATGCTAATATTCTTCTCATTATCAATCTTCTGAGCAATAGTTGAATGTAAATGACGCTTAATATTAGATATCTGACGCTGAAGCACCTGGTTATGTTGTCTGTCAATCATATTGAGGCCGGACGCAAGCTTATATAACCCAGAGAAAGACCACCTATGCATAGCATTCAATAACTTGTCGTAAAGGTTGTCGGATAATTGTGTTGTACAAGCTGAGATGAGGTAGGAACATATTTTTGGCATAATCCAGTTACCAAGAAACTGTTGCTTTTCTAGATTGTTCATAAGAGCGTCGGTGAACTTCTCTTGATGTTTAACGTCTATAAATTTACGTCTGACAATAAATTTTATGACTTTCTCGTATCGAGAAACATACTTCGTCAATAGGTTAGCGTGACGTGCAACTTGCTCTTGAAATTTATAAATAACATCAGTATTTGAACAATTACTATCATTCAAGCACAGGGCAATATTCGATAAAAGAACAATATCCATATCGTTAAAGCGAGGTAGAATTGCTTGCTCGAATAAGTAAACGATGTCAGATGGAGTTCGGGCATTTAGAGCAAAATACAGATTAGATATTTCTTTAACAGGTAGATCTCTGTTTAAAAGTTCAACAGCTCGCCTCTGAGCTTCGTCAGAAAAAGGAGCTTGATAGAACATACAAGATTTAAGACTATGACATATTTCAGCTATATGATCCGATTTCATGGTAGATATAAGTGGATACGTTTGATTAATAATGTCTTGAAGAGATTTTCTTACTTCTGTTCTATAATGACTTTCCCTAAATTTGTACGAAAATTGGCTTGTCGTTCTTATCAGAGAAGATGCATTTTCAATATCATCAAGGAATCCCGGAATTTTGGATAGTTCAAAGACTCTTTTACTTAATTCGTAGAGGCCCTCGTCGGACAATATTGTATATAAATTAATTACCGACCGACACAAATATCTTACATCAGCTTCTTTCCATATTCTATTATTATCTCTGACGTGTAATAGTAGACGATCCAAGACGGGTTTACCCCACCAGAGAATAGACTTGTTAGCACTTCTTAATAGCTCGGTAAACAATAATATCTCTTTTATATCAAATTCTGAAGATTTCATAGCACAGTCGGTCATCAATCTGGACATAAACTCATCACTGGGGTTTTCACCGAGAAGAAGAAGATTATAAGTAGCTTCTACAAGCTCAGTCGAAGATAGATTGCTACTGTTCTTAGTTATAATATTCTTAGCTTCAATAAAGTTTACATTTGTCTGAATATCATTGGTTACTGTCGGAAGTTGCTCATTCAATAGAAGTTGAATATAAGCCACAGAGGGATTCTTATGAAGATGAGGAAGCTTGTTTAACTCTTCATATCTTTTATTGCAGAGCCTGCTAATATCTTCTACCACATGTTGAGGCCTAGATGTTGACGTTACTAAATTATCAAGATGTTGATAAGATGAGGTGAAAAAGTCTGAACCAATATCAATAGTAATATTCCTGCTAATGAAGAGCCCATGATGAAGTCGATTAATGACTTTAAAGTTGCCGAATTTTCTGAACATGATACAATTTGGGCGATATTACCATTTCAGTACTTATTACTAAATAAAGAATTGTATATTTTAATTTTTCTTAAAAAATTATGGATTAATTTCCTCTGTTGATAATCTTTTTGAAAATGATCTTTACAACCAAGTATATTAAAGTTGCTTTTTTTAATATTTTCAAACAAACCGTTCTTCAATGGCCTTGAATGTTTTAAGGTCACACACTCTACCAGTATTGTTTGACTTTGAAACTTGCGTTCCGTATCTATATAATATAACTTTGAATTTCAAACAAGGATTTCAATTTTTTTTTAATATAGCATAAGATTCAGTTAACCTATTGCTTTCTATTTTCAAGCTGTTGGCTTAGAAATATTTCCAGTTGTTACTCCGAAAGGCAGGTTATTTTTTATAAGAATTATCTGTCATTTATCGTAATTTATTGGCGAAAAGTCTTCATTTTTGCATCATTTATATTTTAGTGATCCCTTTTTTTTCTTATTTTTTGCCCTAATCCCATAAAGTACTGTCTATAACAATTTTTTTTAGATTAGGTAAACTTTTTGTCTCAAAAAGTCTACTGTATTTTGTTTACTTTAGATATTTACTATTTTTAGAATAATTACAATATTTGTCATAAATTATTTTAGTCTTTTTTAATTAAACCTTTTTACAAAAGTTTTTTGAAAATGTTATTCTTTTATCTAATTTTAAAATGTTCTATTTTGAGAATCTTTTTTTTTTTTACTTTTGTCACGTTTAGTTACGAAAAGGAATTTAGGAAATATATAGGATATTCTCTTAAATATTAAATTTCTTTGTTTATATTATGAATAAATAACATAATTAGTTTGGGTTTGCATAAAGTGAAATGGGGCTCGATTATAAATCTCGAACGTCAATGACTTATAAAATATATGTTTTAAAAATTTATAATAATAGTTATTTACTATTCTTTCAGCTCGCTGCTTCTATAATTTTTTCATTTAATCAAGGTAAAAACCCGCTTAAATATTTTTTAGCATTCACTCCTTCTTTGTAAAGAGCTATCTTATATCAACCTATTTTAAGAACAATACTGGTAGAATGACAATAATTATAGAGTCTGAATAATAAATAATCTATTTTTGTTTTATACTTCATTCAATATTCATTTCTTATATATTATACTCGAAAAGAAACAAAAATGTAACGATTTGATGTTTACGCTTGCTTGATTTCCCGCTCTAAGTTATATTTTTCGCGCATGCGCATTAAAACCGCAATATGGCGCAGTCATGATCTGATGAATACATTTTTGTAATTGTCTAGGAAAGAATTTGCACTACGTCTCATAATGACTACACAACGGGGAAGGAGTATGTCGTAAGTATCAATTTTTCAGATAAATAAGAGGCAGGTTGATTGTTTATAATTCATTTTTACTATTTATATCTAAAGTTAAAAGGATATGAGAACTTCAACTTCACCGAAATTACGCATTTACATAGCTTAATTCTGGGTGATTCTGATTAATCATTTATTAAAATATTTTTTCAACTCTAGGACTTCGGGTCTGACGCTGTATCAAACTTTGAATTTAGAGAAAAGTAGCACACCAGATGAAATTAAGAAGGCGTACCGGAAGGTAACTGTAGATGTTATCATTGAAATTTCTTGTATTAATTCTATTTTTTTATTCATAGTTGGCCTTAAAATATCATCCGGACAAGAATCCGGATAATCCTCAAGCCACTGAAATGGTAAACTTTATAAATATACTATTATTATTTAAGCGAACCACATGTTACCTACTCTATACGGAACCATTAATTGAAAGTACCAACCATTTTTTTCAGTTTAAAGAAATCAATTATGCTCATTCAGTGCTTTCTGATACAACCAAACGGGGTATTTACGACCGATACGGTAGTTTAGGATTATACGTAGCTGAACAATTCGGGGAAGAATATGTCAACACCTATTTCGTTCTCAGTTCACCGGTTGTCAAGGTATATCTTTCCTACATTGTGCATTCATAATATCTTATTACTAATGAATATTTTTCAGTGTATGTTCATGTTCTGCGGCGTCATAACACTTTGTTACTTTGGATGCTGTTGTTGCTGTTGCTGTTGCAACTTCTGCTGCGGAAAATATAAGCCACAGCCGCCTCATCCTGACGAGGATACTGCTAACTTATATGTAAGCTAATATACACAGTATATATATATATATATGTATATTTATTTTTTTCTTAAATTTAGCAACAGGAAGATTTAAGCAGTGACGCAGGTTCTCCACATCAGTCACCCCAACATGGTGATGCTAAGCAAGCTGGAGGATTTAGCGATGCTATTACAAGTCAACCTTATTCTACATCTGGAGCTAACGAAAGTACGGCTATATCTAGCGCCGGTAAACCACAAACGTATGGGGCTGAGAGTTGAAGTGCTTTTTTTCCTTGTTCACTTTTAGTCCTGTACTTTAAAAGATAATTTGACTAGTCGTTCTATATCTTACTAGAATTAGAATATTCTTAGAATATTCCTGTTAATCTGTTAAACTTTGCTTGCACTAATATTTTGGCTGCCTCTGCTTTATTGACTCTTGTGATTCCATCAGAAATTCCCTACATTTGTGTTGCGTTTAATATCATTTAAGATTCCAAAAGTATACTTTTAGGCTAATTGTAATGTGTTTCAGATACGGCAGCAGTTGACAAATAGTTGTACGTGCGTGAAGATTAGTGTTTTTCAGATTCTATATAGATTTAACCTCTTACCAACTCGACATTCCTTTCAATATTCTGCATGTGATTTGTTGTAAAAACGAACGAAGCTAGTCATGTATGTTTAATGGCATTTCGTCGAGTTAAAATAAAACCATTAGTTATTTTCATGAATATTGTATTGAACTATTTTGGTTGAAGATGGCACTACATTATATTCATATGTATTATTATTGCACTCATGTTACTCTAAATTTCATTCACCACGGAGATAATATGCATATAGTATTTTCTTTCGCTTAATTCAAGTTTCCTCTCTCAGCTTGATCGGCTTCAATAGCTTCAAAGAGTGATTTGAAATTTCCTGCACCAAATCCCTGTTACACAGACAAGATAATGTTATCAAACACGTGTGATATTTTGATAAATAATATATTTAACCTGATGGTTTCGTCTCTGTATAACTTCAAGGAATAAGGTTGGACGATCCTGCATATTCTTAGTAAACAATTGCAACAGATAGCCATTATCATCGTAATCAATCAGTATTTTGAGTTTTTGCAAAACGTCCAAATCTTCGACAATCTTAACTTTGGATGTTTTTAGGCGTTCACGCAAGTTGGTATAATATCTGTCAGGAACCTCTAAGAAGTGTTGTCCTCTCGCACGAAGTGCTGTAATGGTTTCCACAATGTTACTGGTATTAAGAGCAATATGTTGAACTCCTGCGCCGCCGTGGTAGTCAACGTATTCTTGAATTTGACTCTTGCGCTTTCCAGGAGCCGGTTCGTTTATTGGCATCTTGATTGTTTCTTCGTAGTTCGTAACTACAATTGAACGCAACGCAGAATAATCGGTATGGAGTTGGGTATCATCAATACTCCAGAAACGATGAAACATCAAATTCTTCTCGTACCTGAAATATTGTCGACGGAATAAACTAAACTCTCTATCTTGAGAAAATAAAAAAAGAAAGTAAGACTGTATCCGCTTTTATATATGGTTAGTTCCACGGCTCATCTTTTAAATAAAATAGATGGCTTTGGTATCTAACCAATAATTTTGTTCTGTTAACAGCTTTTAACAACTTACCATTCTGCAGCACTTGTCATTTCATTATCAGGTTGATTTCCAACAATATGATCGATAAATTCCAGATTGGTCTTTGGCAGACTTTCAAGTAAAACATCCTTTTGACGAGCAGGTCCATAGTTGGGCAAAAACTTTCCATGATATTTAGATCTATCAATAAGTGTGTGGGTACATTCACCATACGTCTTGATTTGAGCAAAACGTACAACGCCATCATCATCACTCTCACTCCAAGGTTCCTTTACAACTTCAGCACCTCTTTCAACTGATTTCTAAAAATAAAATTCGGTTGCAGTTGACCTTCAGTTAAAGATAATAGATAAGATAAAATACTTTAAAGATTGCATCAAGGTCTTCAACACTGAAAGCGACATCTCTGACCGCATCACCATGTTTCGCAATAAAATCGCAGATTTCTATTCATAAAAATCGACTAGTATATATTGTATTACATTTTTAAACAATAAGATTTCACCTTGTGGATTGTTCGGCTCCAACGAAGACACGAAAACGAAAATTATTTTATTTTGTTTGACGGCATGTGCTGCGATTTGGCGGCTTCCTGTTTCCAAACCTTTATACATAAAAGGCTCAAAACCCATTCGTGCACAATAATGAGCTGCAGTCTGTAGATGAAGGCATGTTGCATTATAATTTTAGTTCTTGAAGAACATTCTATTGTTATACACACCTGTTTTGCATTGCTAACCCAAAACGTGCAATGATCGAAAGATAAGAACTTTCCAGCTTCCGGCTGAAATAAAGAGACAGCTAATAAACTATGAATATTTTTTGAAGGTCAAAAATGATAAATCGATTATAATCTAAATAACACCATATGTGTAAGGTGCTACGTGAGGAACACTATTTTATTGCATTTTGCATTATTCTATTTCAAACATTCTACAAAAATTAATAGCAATACTTGTAGATGAAATTTCACTGACTTTTGGTCCTTTATCAGTATACGAAGTCTGAAAAAAGAATAATATATAAATTTTTAAGCATAAGAAAATATTATTTCAAAGCGAGCAAAGTGACCTACCATGTCGGGTGATCTGCGTGCGTTCTCCCAGCTACAACGGAAATAGTTTTAAACTCTGGGAGCGAGAGTTCTATATTATGCGCATTTTCGTATTCGACCAAATAAAAAAAATTTTTAAATTGACATTATGCGAATTTTAAATATTCTTTGTTATTTAAGCAGTATTTTTAAAAAGTTTTTAAATTTATAAATACGAAAGTCCCACTAACAATCAATGAAAAACTTCCGTTCGTAGATATCTTACAAGCTGCCCTCACCGAAATATTGCTCAAATCTACATTAAAATATTTGTATTGATTATTTGTTGTTTATTAAATAGATTCTGACAATATTATTCTCTAAGAAATTCATGTTAAATGGTATGTATGAAAAAGTTTTCATGTTTTTTATTGGTGTAGATGAATCACGATGTGATAAGTGATGTGCGTTATCTATAAGCTTATTAACCTTTTCGTTATTCAAAGATACAATCTTTTGGATTCTTTAATCTTTTAAGAATAATTTAAGATATAATGTAATTTAACAATTTACCACATGTTGAATTTCAGAGCTATTACATAACATTGATTGTTTATTTAAGTAGGAAATCTTGCATACACTTACTTCTCTTCCAACTGTTGATTCGAACGTCTCGCATTTCAAGATTGAAATTTTAAATATGTTGTTTTTATCACAGATAGTCAAGTAGAGTATGATTTGAGCATTATGGGTGTGAACGAGAATGGTGCTTGTCTGTAAATCGTTGACATTTTACAAGAAACATGCCAAAAGTTGGTAACAATGCCAAGGTAATATACAAAATACATCATTACAATTTGCCAAATTATTTTACTAAAATTTTTTATTTTTAACAAAGGAAATTACCAAGGGGCTATTTCTAAATGAAGATCCGGAAAAATTATTCACTGATTTACGAGAAATAGGCCATGGAAGTTTCGGAGCTGTCTATTTTGTAAGATTTAATTTTATTTTCTATAAGGATCTGTCTAAAAATTCTTTTATAGGCACGTAAAGCTTCTACAAAAGAAGTTTTTGCGTTGAAAAAGATGGTTGTTACTGGCAAGCAGGCTGAAGAGGTAAATCTCTTATTAATTAAATATAGTTTTCCATCTAAGATAATAATATATAATAACTATAATCGTCTTATTTTCTTCAGAGGTTTGAAGATATTAAAAAGGAAGTGAAAATTTTAAAATGCTTGAAACATGATAACATCGTCAAATTTGAATGCTGCTACCTACGTGATCATGTTGTTTGGGTAAGTAATATTTTAATAATGGATATGTATCAATTCAAAGACAAAAGAACAATACCGTTAATATTCTCCTAGCTTGCAATGGAATACTGCCTGGGTTCCGCTTTTGATATCTTAGAAGTACATAAAAAATCGCTTCAAGAGGATGAAATTCGGGCCATCTGTGCTGGTGCTTTGAATGCTCTAGTTTATTTGCATTTCGAACTTGGTGCTATTCACCGCGATGTTAAAGCTGGTAATGTATTACTAGCCGTAGGAGGAGTAGTGAAATTAGCCGACTTTGGATCGGCATCACTTGTCAATAGAGCAAGTAGCTTCATTGGTACACCTTATTGGATGGCACCAGAAGTTATAACTTCAATGGACGAGATGCTATATGACTGTAAAGCAGACGTATGGTCTTTAGGTATTACCTGTATTGAATTAGCAGAAAAAAAGCCACCGTTGTTCCATATGAACTCTATGGCAGCAATGTATCACATTGCACAAAGCGATTCGCCTAAGCTATGTGAAGCTAGGTCCAAATGGAGCGAAGGATTTAATGGTTTTGTTGAATCGTGCCTCATTAAGGATGCTACAAATCGTCCTACCTCGAAAGAATTACTAAATGACCCATTTATTAGTGATAGAAGAGACAGCGATTCTGTAGTGCTTATGCAGCTTATAGAACGTACCAAAGAAGCCGTAAGGCAATTAGACCAGCATTATAGAATGCGAAAGATATTGATAAACGATCATGCCAGTGAAGAACTCGAACCAAATCCCGGTCGAATAGATGGTGAAGGCGACGTTACTATTGTAAGTTTTCGATTACTGTTAGTGTACTATTAATAACCTGTCTAATATTCATACAGGATAGTACATCCAGTAATTCTAACTCATTAACGAGTCGAACAAGTATTCAGAGTTCGGACTATATTAATCATGAAGAGGCTAAACCACCTGCCGGAAGTTGTGAAGTACCGAATGATATGTCCTTCCATCAGGTCAGTATCAGTATAAGTTGTTTTTTTTTTAAAATGTTCCGTTTTTTCCATATACGTTTTACACAGAGACGTTATATTCACGGAAAAGTGAGAGTCTGTGCTTTTCTCCTTAATTACCTATATTTTTTTTCTTCATTAATTCCGTTTTCTTTTTAATATTTTCATTATACACAAATTCTTTCCTTATTATTTGCTAATTTTTTTTTTATTTTATACTTATTATTTATTATTCTTTAACAAAGAATATATAGAACATTTATTGCACGAGTGTTTTGCCTAAGGATGTTCTGTTGTTTTGTATAGTATATTTTAAAAATTTTCTTTATATTTATTTGTAACAATTATTAGGGTCATTTTTTTTTCTTTTTAAATTTTTAGCAAATTTTTGTTTTTCCATATTTTATATATTTGTATGTTATTTTTTTAAAAAATATTTTCCACTGTAGGGTGCTGATCGGGCAAATGATAGCGCACTTGAAAACTTCCAAACTATAAAGCCAAGGAAAATGGTTGTACAAGAGCACGTAAGTGAACTTAATAAGGATATTTACTTTGTAGCGCTTTATCAACACGCAAGTAAAGTAAAATAAAACTTAAATCTTAAAGAGATAAAACGCCTTATAACTTGCATTATAGTGTTGGAAGTAAAAAACAAAAACAATGTTGAAAAATTAATTCTAAACATATTGCTATAAAACAGAGACAGCACGACGCCAATGGAGCTCAGGAACAAATGCGAGGCTATAAAAATATGAGGAAACAGCAACATAAGGAGCAAAAGCAGTTAGAAAATAAGCAAATGGCCGAAATGTCAGATTTCAAGTCGAAACTAGATAAAGAAATGGAGCAATTAAATTCTACTTTTACAAAATTTTTTGACAAGTTACTGCAAAAACAACAGCATGATAGAGAAAAAATGGTTAATTATTGCTTTTTTAATATCCTTTAATCGTATTTGTATATATTAAATTTGAAGATTAAAAATTATTTAATTAATCCTTTTTGTGTTTCCTGTTTTATAGCAAAAAGCTGCTCAACAAAGAGAAAGAAAACTATATAAGCAGATACAATCTAAACATGAATCGGAAATGAAAGAATTTAAAACAATTTTGCAAAAGAATTATAAAGCAAAAAAAGAAGCCATTCGTAAGAGTTTAACTGGCAGCTCTACTCCTAAAAAAGAGAAAGAACAACAGATGGTTAGACAAAAAGAAGAATTAGTAGCAGATATGAACGTCAAAGAAAATTATGAATCAGGTCAAAAAGAACATTTCTTAAAGACGCAGATGAAAATATGCCAACGTAAGCAACTGCTACGACTTCATCAATTGGAGCTTCGACAACTGGAAATTAGAATTGAGAAAAGAAGTAATCATATTTCAGAGAAACATCAAATGTGTACTAAACAGCATGAGTCGACTCAAGAGTTCGAGTTCTGGCACATGTCCCACCTTCATCGGCTTAAAGAGGATCATATTAGAACCCTACATCGCACTGAGAAAGAAAATCAAGAACAGTACAATTCAAATGCTCTGAAAGAGATGCATAAGAGGCACCATCAAGAGAAGAAAAATCACCCAAGCCTTGTTAGAAAGAGAGAAATGGAAATTATGAAACTGAAGAAAAACGCTATTCAAACTATAGAACAGCAGTATAAGGTTCTAAAGATGCAACGAGTAGCGAAAACGAATTCTAAACCTGAACAAAAGGAACTAATTACAAGATTGGCTGAGGATCAAAAGCATAAAAATCACGAGGTGGAAGGCCAATATATTAAATCCATACAAGACATGAAAACGAGTGAAGAACGTAAATTGAACGATAACATTGAAAGAGAAGCAAGAGAGTTAACTCAAAAGCTTAACCAAGAATTAGAATTGCTGCAAGCTTATCAAGGAAATCGTTTGGAGCAAATGCAGAGGCAACATAAGTTGGAGCGTAAGCAACTGGAGGAGAAAGTTAGCGTTCGTAGAATTCTGTTGGAGGAAAAATTGGATGAAGAGATAATGGCGTTCGATGCTCAACGTCGCCAAAGCTCAAGAGACTTACACGAGAGACAAGGAAGGGAATTAAATGAGTTCGATCAGAAAGTAGTTGATTGCGGATTGGATATAAATAAGATTGCAGAGGAGAGTCTGATTATCCACGAAGATGGGGTAGATATGGATGAGCTATCTATTCAGGGTTCAATGATGTCACTTTCTTCATCTTTACCTTCCCTTCAATCTGCTAGTGCTCCTTCGCCCACTCTGCAATATCATTTGCATCATGGAAATGATAATTGACTTGTTTAACCGCTATTCCAAGAAGTTTTCCAATAGAATACATGGACATTTTTACTTGCTCATCGTATATACAAGTGAAATACTTATAATTTCACTTGACTTTTAAAAAATTATGTAATCGGAGCCATCCTTTTTGCTTCTATAATTTTTTCATTATTGGGAGCTGGCTATTTTAACTTCTTTGAATGCACATTTATGTTTTGTTTTAAAAAATTTATCTATTTAACTGTGTACAATTTGTATAATATACAAAAAAAATGAATATTCAACTATGAGATGTTGGTTTTTTTTTAATACATGAAATTTAATATACAAAAATCTAAATTGCGACGTTGTGTTTTGCAAAAAGATGTACGGATTTTAAATAGTTCTTAATTTTAAATAAAGAGCGCTTATTGTAAATCGGAAATCGTGACATATTTTTACGAAACATTTTTTAAAAAAATTATCTATCATTTAATTTTTATTTTAAAAACGTTATATTTTATTTTTCAGGTGAAAAATATTTTATACGAAACTTTCCAGCAACATCCCTGTCGAACGTCAGCGCAAGCAAGCGGCTGTTAGCTAAAAAACAGTGTAGAACGGGATGTTGTAGGGATTGTTTGGGCTCGTTTAAGAGCCGTATTTAATGATCTAGAATCGTAGCAGAGAGGCAAAAATCAACGTTTCTACCAAACTATGTTCTAAAGGTATGAATTTCTTTAAAGAAATCTTTCGATTGCTCCAATAAGAGAGCTTTTGAGAGAAAATTTATGGTATAATTGTCTGTAAGCGTCGCCATTTTAGTCAGACAAATCGGAACGATAAAAGCTGAAGCTTTTGTACATTTCCTTTCTTTAGTAAATTATTATATAATAATTTTTATTATATTGGTGGCTATTCACTTTTACCAGATTGCTCTTAAGATTTCGTATTTCAGTGCTTTTGCAGAAAAAAGAACAGAACGTTCTATTTAGGATGCTATTGAAATTTTCGTATCTTTCAGGTGCAAAAGAACGAAATGGCGAAGATTCAGAAATAAATGGGTTCAAAAAGATTACAAAATAGACATAATCGCGTGGCTAAACGTAAACACTGTAGTGATAAGACAGAGGATGAAAACTTGGTAGGCGGACAGCAGAATGTCGATGAGATGTATTTACATCAGGGTAATAGTACTGCTATCGCCGAGTCAAAGAAGAAAGGGACAAATAGTAGCGGAGCAAATGATGGAGATTATAAATTAGTTCAACACGAAGTTCTTTATTCGCTAACAAACGCTTATGAAGTCCTAGAGTTTCTCGGACGAGGTACTTTTGGACAGGTGGTGAAATGCTGGAAGAAAGGAACAAACGAAATTGTTGCCATCAAAATATTGAAAAACCATCCGTCCTATGCAAGACAGGGGCAAATTGAAGTTAGCATTTTATCACGTTTGAGCCAAGAGAATGCTGACGAATTTAATTTCGTTCGGGCTCATGAATGTTTCCAGCACAAGAATCACACCTGTCTCGTTTTCGAAATGCTTGAACAGAACCTCTATGACTTCCTTAAGTGCCAGAAATTTAAGCCGCTACCGCTTAAGTACATTCGAGCTATAACTACGCAGGTACATATATGGATGTATACATATTTATTATTCTTTAAGTAAAACAGCGTATCAGTATTTATATTATTCTTGTCTAATTTGCTCAATTGTTGCCAAAAACGTGAAAACAAGAAAATTCTATTCTATTTTTTTTTGATTATATATACTGCAATCAAAATCGCTAAGTTCAATTTTTTATTTAGGTGCTAACCGCTCTTCTGAAACTTAAGAGCCTGGGACTGATTCATGCAGATCTAAAACCTGAAAATATCATGCTTGTTAATCCGACTCGATATCCGTATAGAGTAAAAGTGATTGATTTTGGCTCCGCCAGCCATGTGTCAAAGGCTGTCTGCTCGACTTATTTACAATCGCGCTATTACAGAGCGCCTGAAATTTTACTGGGTTTACCATTCTGTGAAGCAATTGATATGTGGTCACTTGGTTGTGTAATGGCTGAATTATTTTTAGGCTGGCCACTCTATCCGGGTTCTTGTGAATATGATCAAGTACGCTACATTTCGCAAACGCAAAGTCTTCCATCTGAGCATCTCCTGAACGCTGCTACGAAAACTACACGATTCTTTCGACGTGAAAATACAGAATCAAATTATCCATTTTGGCGACTAAAGTCGCCTGAAGAACATGAGGCCGAGTACAATATTAAATCGAAAGAAGCGAGAAAATATATTTTCAATAATCTCGACGATCTCGCCCAGATCAATGTACCCACTGATTTAGATGCTGCTGATGCCCATGCCGATAAGGTAGACAGAAGGGAATTTATTGACTTACTTAAACGCATGCTGACGTTGGATCAGGACAGACGTATTACGCCTTCAGAGGCACTAAATCATGCCTGGATAACGCTTGGCCACTTTTTCGAGTGCAATTTACAAACGAACCTAGTTAAGCAGAGCATAAGCGCAATGGAAATTTGCAGGAGGCCAAAGTCTTCTCATACTCTATATGATCTGCCAACACAGGGACAGACGCCTTCGTCTGCCAATCTAGCCCTGACGTTCAACAATATGAATTCGCTGACAACTCACATGGCCGCTGCGGGTGCGGCTGCTGCAGCAGCAGCCGCCCATTTAATGGTACCTTGCAGCGGTACGGGAGCCGTACAAACTGCTGAGCTAGCCTATTTGCCGCGCGTCACTCCGGCTGGAGCCCCCGCTGCCGCTTATAGCGCGGCGGCAGCGGCGGCTGTCGCTTCCAATCGCTTGCAACAACACCATCCGCCTAGATCTCAGGATTTAGCCCATTATCAGCACCTTGCGTGTATGACCTCGCCGCCTAAAACGTCAACGGCAGCCGGAGTGACTCAGGCACAGAGTTCTCATTATTCTGTGCATAGAATTGATCCTAGCGTACCTCATTTGCTGACTCAAGTAGGAGCTACTCAACACCTGGTGCCCGTCTCCTTATTGGATAACCACGGGAGACATATGCTTGTACCCAACGTAAGACTTAATAACCCACCCATATATCTTCTTCATAAAGAGCTTGAATTATATATATAATTCTTTGCCTAAACAGGGTGCGGCCTGTGCAGCAGCTGCCGCTTCTGCCGGTGCGGCTAGTTGGGCTGCATGTGCGGCTAATGGAGCGCACACGGCTGTTATATTACCTCCCTCAACCGGAGCACAATCATCCTGGTCTCAGTTCGTTGCTGCTACCACACATGCTCCTCCAGCAGCTCATTGCCACAGATCTAATGGGTCTACAGAATCCTGGAGGAGATCATTAATGTCCAGTTTAGAAGTTGAACAAGCAGCAGCAGCAGCTGCCGCGGCTGCTGCGGTTGCAACCGGAGCTAATCTGTTACCATCGACTTCCGCTGCCACGGAACAGTATCTGGTCCAGCCACACCACTTTCTTCTTCACAGGCAATCTCAGGATAAGCAGGGCTCCAATCAATCGTATTATGGCTCTTCTATAAGTGTCTCGGGATCAGGCCCTTCACAGTTGTCACCAGTAAAAAAGAGAATAAAGGAGAATACCCCACCAAACCATGGTCCCACTAATAAAAATCGTTCGAAGTATCACTATCAACCAATAATTATTGATGATAATTCACCGAGTCCATCTTATCACGGAGCCATTGGCCAAACCCGGACCACAAGTTCGATAAGTGTCATCACGATCAATTCGGACTCTGAAGACGAAAAACGAACTAAGGATTTTTGTATGAAACAAGATTCTTCCCCTGAACGAGGAGATGTTAAGAAAGCAATCTCACCAACAATTGATATGCATCCGAAAACATCCAGAGCTCCATGTAGAATGCCACCAAAGAAACATCATAAGATGCTGCACGCCCTTGATTCAAAGCCGGTTTTACAGGTGAAAAAGGAACATCGTCACGTCTCTGTCAATGTTTGAACGAGTTTTTTTTTGATTTGTAGAGTATGTAATGGAATTAGTTTTTCCCTTTTTTCTTCTCTTCATCCTTTTTGTTATTGAAAAGCCTACTTCATTATGTGTTTCAACATCTGTTGTACCGTTTTAGCATTATTGCGGAATAGAACCGCAAATCAAAATTATCTTTTGGCTTATGAAGTTCTCGCATGTTTCCATTTGTTGTAGTTATTGATAGATTATGTTCTATTGCTTAGTCCACATATATATATATATATATATATATATATATATATATATATATATATCGTATGGATTGCTTGTGTATATACTTACATATCAACTGTTCATGTATGTGAAGGTGTGTAAATTCAAGGTATAGGGGAGTTACTGAAGTTCTTCACTTAGCCTAGAAACTTTTTTATTATTAAAATCATACTGTGATTTAAAAGAAAGTCGAATGCTTTACAAAAACCAATTTGAAAGCTGTTTGTACGTGGTAGCTGGTTTCTACGTATGTGTATATTTTAGAATAGCATTTTTAGGCGCCTTGCGCTCTCGTTATTGATCACTTCCTTACTGTAATAATCCTAAAATAACATGAATATATATTGATATATTCATCATATAAATACATATACATCTGTATAGAAAATGTATATAAAGATATGTATTTATATGTATAACTTTAATATTTAATATATTCATATATGCATAGCAGCAGCAGGTGGAGCTAGAGCAACCAAGTTGTTCTATATCTTGAAATAACAATTTCATAGGATTTATATATATATATATACTGTATATATATATATATATGCACAAATGATTGATAAACAATTTTCAATATGAATAGTTTCTTTTGTTTATCTCAAACATTGAGATAATTTATATCTTGTCGTTTTGGTCGCTCTACCTTTACTGTGGCTTTACTTCTGCTTAAGTGTATGCAATATATATAATCATATTACCGTATACGTATATACATTTATTCGCGCCTATTTTATCGTCTAGTCATATTTAACAACTATCGTAATTCCTGTCGTATTTATTTGTAGTATAACATGTGCTTCAAAGCAACACGATTGTGCTTTTTTGTGATAATTCGTGGACGGTAACTTAATATTTTCTTTCGATGCAATGCAATTTTGTCACACTCGTGTTGAATGATTGTAAAAGTGTATATGTTTAACTATACATATACATTTACTTCTGATTATGTTATGTATATACTATCTTGTATTATACATATAGGCATAAACTATGAATCTATATTTATATAGTAGTTTGCAGTTTACATAATTTGTTTATTCGTTTCAGACTAAAGCATGTATGTTCATTAAAAAAGAAACATTTACCATATAGTTTGTTAGGATATGAGACAATATGAGTCTATACGCACAAATTGAAATTTTTTAAATGAGTAACTTTTTCCTTCCCTTATTAATATAATCAAATTCTGTAGGCTTTCTGTGAGTATAAACATTACAACCACTATAAAAGAATAAAAAAAAGAACCAACACAACAAATTAGTGTCATCATTCGACGAAACGCATGCACGATCTCAGATAGCATCTTATTAAAATAAAATAAATAGTCGTTGCATTATTAAAACTCATTTGAGGATGTAGTAAAGGACAAATATGTATACATATATATATATAGGATATATATAAGAAATAAGCATTAAATTTAAATTGTCAAAAAAGTATAAAAGCCATTTTAGTGTCGTCAATTGCAGGCGTCAATCAAGTATCGATAAAAATGGGCATAGTGACGTAGACAACACCTAGAAAAGAAATTTCGCCAGCTACAAGACTTTTATACTGTAAAAATCTTAGCATGTGCCTTACTATTACAGTAGGGTACATTTATTTTTGCGAGGTTTCTTTTTATTTTTATCTTTGCCTTTTCTATCTTTCTGCAAGGACAAATAAAAAATAGCAAGTTATTGCAAAAAATACAAAGAGATAATAAGAAATATTAATTATATTAAGATATTTATACTCACGAATTTTCGAATTTCCCTGACTAGCGTGTAAAAGGCATCGTCAACTCCTTGCCTTGTCTTTGCCGAAGTTTCGATGTATGGAATGCCAAAACCTTCTGCTAAGCTTCTTCCTTGAGAATTTTCGACGGTGCGCAAAGGTAAATCAACCTTATTACCGACCAACACCATAGGAACTTCATCGGCATCTTTAACTCGTTTAATTTGCTCCCTATATTGATTAATATCTTCGAAGGACTTTGAGCTATTTACAGCAAAAACGCAGAGAAAACCTTCACCGCTTCTCATATACTGGTCCCTCATTGCACTTTTAATAGATACAAGCAGATAATACAACTGATACAACCATGTGAAAATACACATACCTGTATTCCTCTTGGCCAGCGGTATCTAAGATGTCTAACAAACACGTTTCTCCATCAAGCACAACTTGTTTCCTGTAAGAATCCTCTGTTAATGGTAAAAAATGGCACATCATTAAGTTTAATAGTCAATTTTCTCACAGGATAATTACCGATCGTCGGATCATATTCCTCAACGAAACTGTCAGAATAGGCAATTTAGAAATCGCACGAGACGCGTATAATTAAACTCCAAGGGAAAAACTTACTGATTTTGAATGAGTTGAATTGTTAGAGCACTCTTTCCAACACCTCCAGCTAAAATAAACAATATTTAATGACAATCAATACCTTATTCGCGCCAAACTTACCACCGACGACTACCATTTTATATTCCGTCATATTATTATTTTAAAAAATTCTCTAAAAGGCTAATATTTTCATTAAATCGAATAAAACACTAAAATAAAAAAAATTAATATCTTCTTCTCTCTATCCTCCTCGATCGGCTGCGTTGTGATTGATGATTAAAAGGATTGTTCGCAACGCCCAAGTCGAGGGACGGAAGTCAGTGCCGCAAAAAGAATTTTTTTATAATTTATTTTTTTTTTTAATTTAATATTTTTAGAAGAAAAGTCAATGCTTTTTGGTTTTTTAAATGCACTATAAGGCATAATGCAATCAAATAGTATCATTATTTTTAAGAATACCCTTCTACTCAGTCATCTTACTAGTATGGCGATCGTTTAATATTCTTCACAAAACCTCCATTTTAAAGTTTCTTTCTGAGAATAAAGTTCACTATCTTTAAAGAAAACATTTTTTTTCAAGCCTGTTCACACTGACACCTAGTAAGCAAATATGTAAATAAAGGCTAATCTTCATGTCTACGTCACAAAATTGACGGTGATATCTAAAAAAAATATAAAATTATTGAAAAGACAGTTGGTGAACGTGGATACGACATTTTCACTTTGTTTTTTAAATTAATATTAGTAAATATTAAAGCCAACCGCTTGAGGTCGCTTCAAATTGCTCAATATCACGAAGATAGTCTTTGGAAGGTTATTCCCCTTGTTCGCAAAAATATTGGAAATTCCAAAAATAATATTCAGTCATAAACGTTTAAGTTACTTAGACAACACTATATCTGAGATTTAAGAATAATCTAATACGATCTGAGTGGAAATTTGGATATTCTTTGTGATTGATCACAAATTTTTGGGTAATAAAATAGAACTTGGGAAAACTTCTAATATTTGTTATGAATCCGACGACTGTAAACATTTCGCAAAATACTTCCCGGGTATTTGATCAAGCTTTCGTTTCAAGGACCAATGGTGAAGGTAAAAGATGCTGTTACAATATGTAAACAATCCCGATCCTTTGAAATAAAACATGCTTAGTAATAATTAAATAAAATACATAATTATAATCTATCCGTTCGAATTCTTATACATTTAGCACAAAATCAATCAATGGCTGAAATCTTATGTTTTATATTTACAGCAATGATTAAGGCACAGCCTTATGTATCCTTTGTCGAGCAACCTCAAGAAAGAGGATACCGATTTCGATACGAGAGCGAAGGAGCCACACACGGCGGCATACAAGGCGACAATACTAAAAAAAGTAAAAAAACGTACCCATCTGTTCAAGTTCATAACTTTCGTGGTAACGTTAAAGTTGTCGTTCAGTTAGTTACAACTGACTTGCAGCCGATTCTTCATCCTCACAAATTGGTGGGTAAGCACTGCAAATACGGCTTCTACGTTCAAGATTTTCAACCGAATGATAAAATGACATTTACACTGCAAGGTTTGTCTATAATTCATGTGACAAAAAAGGAGGTACCGGAATTATTAGCCAAAAGAATTGAAGATGATAAAATCTTTAAATCTGAGATATTAAGAGCATCTGATCTATCATACGAGCAACCTTGGAGTCAAGAGATAGACGAGAATACTTCTAAAAATATAGCAATGAATGCTGTTAAACTAAAAGTATCAGTCTATTTAACGGATGCTGAGAGTGGACGAATTATGACCCCTAATCCATTTTGGGCATACTCAAATATCGTTCACGATAGCAAATGTACAAATGGTACGAATCTAAAGATTACCAGAATTGATAAAAAAGAAGGATGCTGTACAGGAGGCGATGAAATTTTTCTGTTATGCGAAAAAGTTCAGAAAAATGACATTGAAGTTCGTTTCTATGAGACTAACGCTCAAGGAGAGCTTGTTTGGGAGGATTTCGGTAAGTTTGGAGTGCAAGATGTTCACAAACAATTCGCAATTGTTTTCCGTACTCCTGCTTACCACGATACTAAAATAATAAGAGACGTTACTGTTTTCATGCAATTACGAAGGAAACAAGAGAGAGAAGCGAGTAACTCCATTTCATTTGTATACGTTCCGGAACGATCAGAAATGGCTAGCATAGCCAGGAAAAGAGCGAAACGACTACCAAGTTCGTTGAATCCAAGTCATCCTTCTCACTTTCCGCATCAGCCCGATCATTCAAATAATATTTCTCAAGGAAGAACTTTCAATGGTGGAGAATTTCCAAATATTCCAGATTCGATGCCAAAACAGAATTCTGGACCAATGGAATATAGCTATGAACATTTATTGTGTACAATCTTTCCAGAGCAAGTTGAACAAGGTTGGAGTCCAGGACCAATGAACGATGCTTTGAACGAGATCGACCAACTTATCTGTAATTACATGCCGTCTGAAGAAAGTAACGGAGGAGATAGTGGTATAGACTCTTCCGAAACACCATATGAAAGTCCATTACCAGATATTGGTAGTTTTGAAGGTTCTGACAACTTTGACATAGATAATTTAAAAGTTGATGATTTAGAGAGTGACGCTGCTCCAGCATCTCCACATCCGATTCAAAGCGAAACGAGTCCAAAGAATAGACTGAGGAATATATGTTCAACACAATTACAGTTCTTGAAAACTCTGTGTCCAATGAATGTCGATTACGAGACAACCTTATACGTAGCCGTTTTATGCGGCGAATTGTTCATTCCAAGTGTCGCTTTCCTCCTAAAGGCGGGTGAAAAACTCTCGATAAGGGATGAACGGAAAAATACACCATTACATATTGCCATTCGTCAACGATATTCAGTCAACTTTATAAGGATACTTTTACAAGCTCAAGACATTAGTGATTGCATTAATTCACCGAATATTGATGGCCAAACTCCGTTACATTTGGCAGTAAGTAGCAACAATCTACCAGTTGTCGAGGCTCTTATATGCGGGGGAGCCAAATTGAATATTGAAAATAGTAAAAATGGTAGAACACCTTTATACCTGGCTGTTAATAATCAGTATCACGAAATAGTTGAAGTTTTAGTAAATCACGTTGATAATGTCGATCTCGCGGACGGTTCTGGCTATACACCTCTGGCAGTAGCCGTCTTAAACAACGACTTGAAATCTGCTAATATGTTAATACAAGCCGGAGCTGATCCAGACGAACTTCAGGATGATGGCTTGCCAATTATCCTATCAGATCTTTCTGAAAAGGTAGAAATTTACTTAAACAATTAATTTTAGTATCTCTTCTTTCTTATTTTAATATCCAATTATCTTACAGATGGTATCAATACTAAATAAGAATTTGCCTATTGGGAAAAAATATGATCTAGAAGATTAGAAAGAGATTCGGATTCATCCGAAAAAATAAGTCAATATTTTCATAAAGATGAAATTTTTCATTATCATAAAATTCTATTTTACTCTGTTGTAATTTTTACTTTCCCTTTTCTTTAATAGTAAAATTTTATCCTTCTCATTCTTTTTCTCTTATTCTTCTATCATCTCTTATCTATGTCAATTTTTCTTTAAAATGTATAATTCATATTGACCGGCTGGTGTCTTGTGAATAAATGTTAAAGAGTAGATTGTATATTGATGCTTTGCCATTGAAATTAACATATTTTTTGTTACATTGCCCTTTCTTCTTTGTTACCTTTATAATTGTCGAATTAATGAAAATGCTTAACTGGTACTTTTTTTTTCTTTTGTCTGTCAAAAAAAAATTGAATAGATAGATAATTAAATAAATAAAAAATTAGCTAAAAGTTAAAAGAGTGCAACGGGGAGATTTGTCATTATTGCATAAAGACTTTGTATTCTTTTTAACAAAGAGAAAAATAACAATTTTTTTTTGAGAGAGAGTAACTATTACAAGGTTAAAGTTGGCTTTTTGAAGAGAATAGATCAACCAGTAAAGATCTGTATGAATCCGGTAGTTCGGTATGCCATAAATCTACTAGAAAAATGCACCTGTCCGAAGTACTATTGTTGAAAGCGGAATGTAAATATGAGTCATCGAAAACAATACATCTTCCATTTTCCCATTCGTGTAGCTGTCCGTCAACCTTAAGCTTAGATTTATTATCTACCTGAATACCTAATAAAGCGGGGAGGAAGAGAGGGAAAACTCTTCAAATTAATTTGTATAATTATTTAATGAAAAATCTCATTACCAAAATGACATCTTAATCTGATATTGCATGGCCCGTAATGTTCTTCTAACTGGGTCTTTGGAGATAAAACGGAAAAGCATACATTTCCAAAGACACAATCACATAAAAAGTTAGGTAGACTTTCAACCAGCTTGGCTACATCCGGAAATAAATTACAAGTATAATTACATCTTTCTCCTTGGTTATAAAAATAGAAGGCTCTCCAGGAACCGGTTAGTGTAGTATTATTACACCAGAGCTGGGGATATTCTTTAGCCTTTGAAAATGTTTGGTTTAGAATTTCTCCGCTCTTTTCTATTAAAAGAGCGTCCTCAATAGCATCAGCTGACCAGAATGGAATAGAAAGGAACGAATTATCGAAATAAACATTAGGCTTTTGTTTCGAATTTTCAATGCCTTCTAATTTTATGGCCTTTTTTATTCTATTGCGCAGAGTATTGTGTATTTCGAGCGTCTCCAAACGACGCAAAGCTTTCTCCTTTATAACGGTATAGAGTTTGCATCTTACACAAGCCGGAGATTTACAATGTGACGCATTTTGCTTGTCTTTTCCCAATAAAAGAAAACTAAATACTGATATTGCAAAAATAGTAATAAATGTAATAATAACAGGATAATAATGGAATAGAAAATCAAAGATATTCATTGAACGATAATAGGTTTTACATAAACGTACCAATAGCGGTGAATCGAAAGACAGACACTAGATGGCCTTTTGTTTACAGGAACTTAAAAAAATAATAATAAAAAAAAACGAAACGGTATGTTCTATAAAAAGTTATTCCCCATTTCTTAATCATAAGAGATAGCTATTTTTTATATGTTCGATATAAAAAAAAATAATCTCCAACTGTTCGATAATCTAGAGTAATTTAACCTGAAAACGCCTAGTTTTTGTCTACTTTATCTCCAAAATGTTAGACTATTTATATTTTCATAAATACTGTATACATATTTATATATGTATCATGACATTTATAATTATCCCATCTAGCGTCCATAAAGAGTGAGAGATATAGGAAGAGAGAAAAAGAGAGAAAATGATATCAATAATAATTCAACTAATTATTTTTATTTAAAAAACTTGTACAGTATGTGTTATATTTTTAATTGATGAATATTCATAACTAACCAACCACCTAGTACGAAACAAAAGACACACCAAGCATGCGTATATGCATATGTATATATCTAGAACCGTAAATGCAGTAAGAGTTACAGTATATATATTTATATATATCAATGAAAAAAGAATATCATATAAAAAAAATCTTTATCTTCAAAAGACTAGGGAGAATCATATACAATCCATTGATGTTTGTAATTTTACAATAAGAACAAAGTCCCTAACAATATTTTCTATATGTAAATACAATTACGCAAAATGATACTACATTATATGGGAAATATTTATCAAACTATTCATCCTTCTCTCTATCAATCTTTTATCCTTTTTTATTTTATTTTTTTTTAGTTTTTTTTTTTTATATCTATACTTTCTATTTGTTTGTTTGTTTGTTTTCCTTTTTTATTATCTTTTGTTTATCCTTTACAAAAAGAAAACGGTCAAGTAAAGAACTTGAGTATTAGAAACTTTCCTCTGTTTGTATGTACGCAAGTATGTATGCATGTATGTATGTATGTATGTATGTATGCATATATAAATCCGACTCCCTATTTTCATTTAATTTCTCTTTTTTTTGTAATTCTTACCCCAACTTTTTAACAGTTTGAGCTTTGAGGAAAATCCAATAAATTGATTTTTTTTCCGCTTAAAGTTGTATAAAAGAATCTAAGGCAGCAACGAGAAATGACTTCGTAAGTGTCCTGACCCGAATCCATCTATGTAATTTGTAATATGAGATTGTTTATCGAAATTAGTTGCAAATTGATTATACTATTAAGTTGTATATTTTATATGAAAAAGAAGAAAAAAAAACACATACCGCTTTACTTCTTTCGTATATTTCGAAATCATCAGTTTGAATATCCGGACTATCGTAAGCGGTTAAGAGACATAAAAGTGCTCTTGTACAGTAATCATTATCGTCAAATGAACAGTTGCTTTTATCAGAATAGCTATCGCCTTCCATCATAGATTTTCCATCGATTCCATTTATTGCATCAACAAAACGTACATAATTGTCGCCATTATCAGAATTGGTTCTCAAATTATTTACCACCTCTTCTTCTCTATCATTTTCCGATTGTATATCGTTAGCGGGAGGAGACGCGGTAATATTCCCCTCTATTAGACGGCTACCAGAGTTTTTAGCCTTCTTTAATTTGTCATTCTCGGCGAATAAATTCAATATAGTTTCGATATCTTCGAATAAATCCTCTTCCATTGTAACAATACTCTTCGCGCTAGAATAGGGGCTCTCACCAAAGCTTATTGTAGATATTTCATTTTCCCATTCGCTATCTCCCTTTGATAATTCATCATCAGATCTCGTGCTCATTTCAAGTTGATTCTTCATTCTGCAAAGTTCATTGATTTCTTCGTCGAACGAATCGTCACAATTATTCGGCTGATTCGGTAACGTTAAAGGTTCTTTAGACGTACGAAATATTTCAAAAGAACTATCAAGTATTTTCGTATCGGCCGTCTTCTCAACCGTAAAATTTCTAATGGCCAAACAAGCCTCATAAGTATAATTGTCGAATGCGAACATATAGTCGAAATTATTAAAGTCCTCTCTAGTAAGCTGAAGAATTTTAAAATGAATTTAAATGAAATATGATATTCTAAGTTTGTAGTTTGTCCCATGAAAAAAGAAAAAGGACAAAAATAAAAAAAAGTACTATAAAACTACAAACTTGCTGTGGTTGACTTTTTAAATAAAGTCCATTTTGTTTCATTCCTTCTTCTACAAAAGGACAAAACGAATCTTTTGATTTAGCAACATCAACACCTCGAGTTTCAATATAAATCTTCTACATAAAAAATAAAAGAGTTGACGTAGAAAAAGAGTATTTACAGTTATAAGAACAATTCTATTTTAATACCAACTTACCGTAGACGACGATATACATATCTCCATTAATTTATTAAGAGCAATGACACTTCTAAACTTATCGTCTGTAGAAAATAGAACATAGAAATTAGAATATTAATTTTCGTGGCAAATGTAACAAGCAATATATATATATATATATATTGATATATATATATATATCTAAAACAAACCTTTTGAAACGAATAATATGTTAATAGTTTCCTCCGACATTTTATAAGTTTGTTAAAAGAAAATGAAGTGTCAAATGAACTTATTACCACTGTTAAACTAATTTAGGCTTTAGGATATGGCGAGTGCGCGTGTGCAGTCTGTCGCCATTTATGTTTTATATTGTTCAACTAAAGACTGTCACAGTATGAACTCAAATACAGAATTTTGGATCCAAAGAGTACCATATAAAAAGCGCGCCACTTTTTTTTTTTACTTTGAAAAAGCAATACTATAGTTTAAAATATCTTTTCATTGTTTATTGATAACATTCTCGACAATAATTTACTAATAAGAGGATTTCTAGATATAATCTTGCAGTAGACGTATATACGCTTGTCAAGAGATAGAGATTTTTCAGCCAATTGACAAACAAATACAATACGCGTTATTTAGTCCTCTTCAGTTAGTAATATCTGATGTAAATAGAAAATAACTTGTTTAGAAAACAAAGACACGTAATTAACTCATTTTAGAAAAACAAAATTATGCATGCAATTCTCTCAAAAGAACAATAGAAGTAAATTCCATAAATAAAAATTTGGACGCAATAACAAAGTAGATTTTTTAAGCATCCATAGACTTTTGATTCATGGTAAAATGCAAGGGGGTAAAAAAAAAGAGCATTTACATCATATCAGCATTTAGGGCGGTTTGCAAATGTTTAGCCTGTAGATTTCTTGGTCCAGGTTCTGGCGTGTAGGTAAAATTAAGTCCTGTAGGGAAAATTACGCCGTCTCCGCGAACCAACGATATTGGTACCTTTAAAGGAGCATGAACGTATTTCCATTCCGAATTAAAGCACGATATATCAGGAACAACGCACAGCATTGATTCTTCACATCGGAACATTGTTTCTGCCTCTACTGTTTCAAACCAAACTTTGAGGTTTGGAGTAAAATTATGGCCACTTAATTCCAACATTGCTACATCTCCACCTCCCCCCACTTCCAATTGACTTACGTCTGGCACAGGTGAAACGGGCTTACTTACGGGTCCCATTCCTTCGAAAAAGCTATATTCTGCTTTGTCAGTCGATATTATTGTCCACGATGCACCATCATTGATCATTTCTTTGTTAGGCTCTTTAGGACACGGAGTTGATTGAAATTGTATAATCCTCTCCTGGGCCAAGCAGACGTACATACGCTCCGTATCTTTCATATAAAAAGCGCATTTGTGTAATTGTGAAACAGGATCGTCTGCATCTAGTAAAGCCGTTTGTTTATCAACTTTACGGATTATAAGCCGTGGCAAAGTCATACCAGTTTCAACACATACCAATTTTACAGTTTGACCGTAGTGTATATATCCATCACATACGCTAAATTCTTCGCTCTCATCCTCATTATCGTCTAATAAATGAATTGTAAATGCTCCCCAATGAGTTGAAGAGGCATGAAAATTACACAAGTCACCGTTCTTATCTACGTGAAGATATCTGGTGGAAACGGTTTGCGATCTTAAGCGATTAAAGAGTGCTACTTGTGTACCGCTCTCTATACACAGGTCGGCATTCTTCAATGACTGTTTCTTTTTTGATGGTTTGCTTATCACCTTTATTCGCTTCGAAGCAAAAGAGCCGATATCGTGACCGTTTGAATAGAATAATTTGACATTCAAATGAAAATGTTTCCTCTTGTCGGAATCCGAAATGAATAAAGTTTTTGCAGCGCAGTAATCTCTTCCTTCCAACTGCAGATGGTTCATATCATGGTTCGAATTTCCTATTCCCATAAAGGCACACAATTGCCTATCGCCTTCCGCAATACCATCTTCTTCCATCTGTTCCACGCGTTTCTTCCATCCACCATTTTTAAGATAGATGCATGGTGGTGGGCAAAAAAATCTCTTTTCATTACCGTAACTTTTCTGGGCAACCTTTGCATGGTATATTACAAGAGTATGGTGACATCGATGGCTTAAATAATCACGCATAGCTTCCCTGGAGAAAGAAATAAGTTGTAAGAATTATCCGTACAATTAATAGTAAGACACCAGGCCAGAAAGGCTCTAGTGCTTTCCATTTCACTTACCTAGTCAACCTGGTTTCTGTCAATTGGCTGACAAGAAAAAAAAAGATAAATTGAAATCTTTAATAAAGTAAACAGGAATGATAGATAACAAAATTTTAGATATTTACCCATTATTATTGGTATTTGCTAATTTTAGGACTGTATCGTTAGGTTCTGTTCTTGGATTTCCATTAGACGGTGGTGACTTTGAAGCTTCGTCATTGTTCGGAGAGATTATTAACGGTGGCGGTTGGCCGAGTTGTCCATTTTCTTTGCTCGTTTGAATTGGAGCATGTTGAAAAGTATGAGGTTCTGAAAAGATAAGATATTAAGCTGAATATAGAAATTTTTCAAGGTGTATTCTTACACCTATACTTAAAAATTGACTAAATATTAAATGAAAATTGAACTAAACCTCCAGCATAAGTATCATGATCGAAGAACCTCCTAGCAAATTCATCTATGGAATAATAATCATCTTCAAAATATCCTTCCATCTCAGATAAAATAACAGTTTATTATATTTTTGAGAAATCTTTGCGTAAAAAAACCAAAAGTAAAAAAAAATGAAAAACGATGATTCCTTCACGCTATTAATTACATTCCTTCAAGACTAATTGTCTTTACGACTCTAATGCTAAAATGTCGCCAACGCGGCACTCACTATCGTTATTTATTCAATATTAATTATTAGGAAAGACATCTGTTGATATCCAAAATTTTTCTCACACTCTTTCTTTAACTGTATTTCTTTAACGTCTTTTGTTTCACTTTTTTTCTTCACAAGTATTAGATTATCATTATTAAGTTATATTTATTTTTTCAGCTATATAGGCCTTTTTTTTAAAAATTGTTGCTTTCTGTTTTTGTTTCTTTTTTGTTTTTTGCACTTTTAATAAAAGGACTTACCGTGGAGAGATAGAGGTGGATACATAGGCATAAGTACAGGTTGAACGTTCTCTTGTTTAGTCACCTTATGAGATCCAGTTCCCGATAAATCAACTGGTCCTGAATCGTGGTACATATTACTTCCGCCTAAATACACGATATTTCCATCAGAATATTATCTACATAAAAATTGTCCTAAGGAAATATAATAATTACTTTGATGATGCATATGCAAGTAAGGTGAAGTAGGTAGTAATCCAACTCCAAAAGTATTAGTGTGTAGATTTGAATGTTGAGGAGTATGGTAGCCGTAACACCCCTGAAAACAAAAAAATAGAAATTAGATCAAATACTAACGAATAGAAAAATCAATGGTAAAAGTAAAACAATCAGTAAAATAATCTTTGAAGACGAATAACTAACGAAAATAATTCGAAAAAGCAAGAAAAAGAAAAAAAAACTATTCAAAAACCATAACTAAAGTACAACTTTCTGTGGGAAAAAATGAAACATCTTTGAATAGAAATGTCATATATTATCTTTTTGTCAGAATTCTTTTTAAAAAACAAAAATACCATAAAATAAGTTAGATGAGAAAAAGGATGTCTCAAGCGATTGTTACGAATACAACCGTAACGGTTAAACATAATATGCTTAGCCGGCGACTGCATCTCGTTGAATGCTAACAGGATTGTATAAAAAAGCTTATAACGTTACATAAATTTATCGGCGTAGCACCTACGGGGGTATTTATTGGAAACGGATTTGTTGACAAAAAAATCGAAATAATTTCGCTTTCTTTCTTCACTATACTTAATACTTAATGACCCTAATGCTCACTGTTTAATTAGATAGCAATAGTTTATATTTTTAAAAATTAGATTTAATTAAACAAAAAGTTTTTTGTCATCGTTCTAATTAGCTCTATAATTTCGTAAGAAAATATCAATTTAAATTTTTTTTCACAAGAGAAAATCGCTGAAATTCATTTCTCTTTGTAAAAACATATTATAGAGAGTTTGAATAGTTTAGCTACCTCAAAAGAATTAGTATAATTACCTACTTGATCAATATTCCTTACCTGAATTTTTTTTAACAAAACAAAAAGAGCGTCTTTTCTTAAAAATAAATTAATCTTCTAAAACAAACAAATAGAGACTAAAACTTAAAACAAACCAATAAATTATTAAATATTATCTATATATATACCTATATCTTGTTATTAGATTTATAAGAATACACTTAATATTAAGATATTCTCTAAATTATAAGTCGTTTCCACACCCCTAGGAATAATTTTTTGATATTTTAGAATCAATGCTACTTCTAAGAATTCATTTTACAATAATAAATACAGTCTCCAAATTGAAATGAGAAAATGATTCGAAAAAAATATATAATATAAATAATAATTATATTGAAGTACGTATATATGATGTAATAACTGAAAATTTATCTACCACACAAGTTATAAACGGAATGATAAGCGATAATAAGGATGTATTCTTTTACCAGAACAAAAGAACAAAATTTGGCGCCAGTGAATTGTTTTAATATTTAATCAGAACGTTAGAAAAGAACTATGAAGTATATTGTTGAAAAATGAACATCTTTTCTTATTGACCAAAGAGAAATTTGATGGACGTCTTACTTGATCTAAGGCTGTTCATGCATACTAATTACATAAGTTCTACGTGACTTATAAAATAAAAAGTACCCGTTTCTCTTTTTAAATATACTAAATATGCAAAGACAAGGGGGCGGGGCGGGACGGGTAGAGGGGAAAGAGTAGATTTAAAAGGAATTGCTTTATTTTTTTAGCAAACATTGTTATAAAGCACCTGTAAAAAAACTGCAAAGAGACATTAGCATTAAAACAGGGCCGTGAGAGAACGGCACCTGTAGCATAGCGTGTGCCGTAATACAAAACACTCAATGATTTTCCTTATGACCAATTTTCCTCCTAAAAACAATGAATCTTATGGTAAAACATTTTTCGTGAAGAACTAAACTAGAAATAGAAGGTAATTTCTTCATAGAAATTAACTATATAACTTCCGTAAGGCTTATTCTTTCGTTAACCTTCCATACCCTTGATAAGTGATTGACAGGTGAATTAAATAGTTTATTTATTTCCTACTTAATCTAAATTCGAATTACGATAGGTACTTAAGATATTTAAAAGCGCCATCATTCCTGACCTAATTCCCATGGCTGATTCACACACTTACTTTTAGTTCCCACGCCTTGTCCTGACTGGTGCGGATTTATAAACAAACTATAATTGATAACTTGAATCGCTTAGAAATAATTTTTAGCGAATTTCAAGTTATTGACTCTTGATCTCTGTTACCTCAGTTTGGTTTTCTTCTTTACATTTTTCTTTAAATCCAGGCATTGCACTTGGAGAGAAAGTTTGCAAGTCCTTCTATTATTACTACGGATGGCGCCACTACGCACCTTTAAAATAAAAGATACGGAAAAGTTCCAATTTTCTTTCTTCGTCCCGTATCCATTCGAGGAAATTAGATATACGGATTTTAGGAAATAACCGTTCAAATTTCCTTCTTTTGAGGCAAAAAAGAGAAAACTCGTGAGAAAGAAAATGAATCGCTCAAAAAAAGCAATAAACAATCAGTTAGTGCGCAACCGTGTTCCGTGATTAATAGGTGAAGCGATTAACTGACCATTCGACTGGAACCATGTATAGCAAAACAATCACTCTCTTACCAGTTTTCAGAAAAACTAATTTCGCGGTTTATCGACAACTTTGAAAATATTTATATTATAAAATCTTTCAATATCGTATTGTTAATTTTTCATAAGAAAATAAATACAAAAACATTTTAGATTAAAAATTATTAAAAGTAAAAGGATTTCTCTCCGCCAATAGTTATAAATAAATGAAATATAAACCGTCAATAAACTTTCTTTTTCTCTTACTTTAAAAAGAGTTCAACAAAAGTAGTGGTATAAAAAACTATTAGTGTGAAAAAAATATAATTTTCATAGTTATTAAGTATAAATCACTACAATTTCATAATCGATAGATAAAACTTTACGATATTGTTAAATGTTCCAAAAAAAGTATAATAACATATTCGTTCAAACACGAAACCTCTTTTCACTAAGTGAATGAAGATAAAACTTTTATCATAAATTTGGATGTTTAAGCCGCTCAATATATATATTTGTTCTATTGGTACATATCGTACTCATAGTCTAATTAGAAAGTTGATTTTCAGAAATTAACCTAGGCCTAGTTGTTGTTTTTCGGAGGGATACGCGCAATAATATAAATGGATCATCTGTTAAAGTTTCCCACATAAAGAACTATTTTTAATTCTTAATCGATGAATATCCTAAAAAGGAAAACAATTAAAGTTGCGCAAAGATTAACTTAAGCCTTTTTTTAGTGTCTATAAGAATATTAGAACCAATAAAGGATAACTAAAGCCAGAAATAGTAAATCTGGTGAACGAACTATGTTTTAATTAAAAAAGATATAATTAATTTGAGGTGTGAAGTACGGCGTTTAATAAGAAAATAAAAATGGCGCCTCAATATAAAAAAATCAAAACGCCATCTTTAAAGATTATTGTGAGAAGTGTCTAATTAAAAGTGTATCAGCTCATTTTGCACTAAGACAGAACTTCGAAATGTCTTCGTTTGACATAAGTGTTTTACTCGTTTCCAAAGGTTTGCTTTTCAGTTATTTTTTAAGTTAAAAACTTCTTAAAAATTATTGAATTCATTTTAAAAAGTTAATTCTTTAAATAGAGAATGTTTGCCGAAGTGTTATCGCACAGGCGCTAATGTGTTTGGAATGCCGAAAGACAACTCAGGTTGGTGTTACTGGTTGAAAAAACTAATTCATGTGTAATTAGATACTGAACTTGACAATAGAAGTAACATTTATTTCCCTTTTAGAGAGTTCTTATTGATAGTTGTGGAGTAGATGTGAAAAAAGCGGGTGTTGGTCCGAATTGTATAGCTGAAGCTTGCTTCCTCGCTAGAAGGATTGAAATTTTTGATCATGCTTCTAGACAAGTAGATAATTCTTGAATTCAATTTTTCATTATCCTGTAACACTGTTTTTCGCTTTTTAGCTTACGAAAGAAGACTTTGAACGCTACGATTACATTTTAACTTTCGACAATGCAAACTACGAGGCTGCAATGGGTATTAGAGATGGGGTTAAGCAAAAAAAAAGCAGATTTTTTAGTGTTAGAAGAAAGAAGAAAACGCCAAAACCTATTATTACGAGAGCGAAACTTAGACGCTTGACGGATTACTATCCGAGAGCTTTGAAGAGAGTCGACGAAATATACGATAATAAAAGAGCTGTAAGTTGAAAATAGAATAACTTTTCAAGTAAATTTTAAACGAAAATCTTGTTATTATCCACAGTTGGAAGTTTTCCAGAATACTTTTGGTGTTATAAAAGATTGTTGCCGCGGCTTCTTCGAAACAGTAATTCGCCGCCGCGAACGAGTTGACTACTGATAATGATACATATACTCCATTTTTCTATTCTTCTCCACTTCTCTCGCTCTTCTTTTTAGTAGTTATTGAATTGCTTTTAATTCAAGAATGTAGGCAAGCTAAAAAAAATATGAGTGACATAGAGAAGAAGACAGTGAGAGAGAGATATATGGAGATGGAGAAGGAAATGTAAAAACTAAACTAAAAGATATTCTAATTGACTAAACTTTATGTACTTTCTCGGTGTATGTTTATTAACGAATCTAAACAATTCATATTTTATTCTCATTCCCTTTTTCTATCCATCATTCATTCCTCCCTTTTTTTGTTACACTGTAAAACATATTACTAATTTTCGACGCAGATTTATCCAAAAAAATAAAAAACAACTATGTAAAAGGAAAAAATGTCTTTCTCGTCAAAAATCTTACCATCGTTCATTATAATGTTTGTTTGTTCATTGAATTTTGTTCGTTTAAAAATAAAAATAAATTCAAAAAATACTTTTTTGAAACAAGTTTCTTCTTGTTTCAGGAAAAATTAAAAGAAACAAGAGATAGATATTATATGTTTATATAAAACAACCATTTATTAAAGTAGAAAAACGACACCACCATAGTTTTTTATGTAAAGATTATATTAAATGAAATAAATATATACACCGGCATGATTCATTTTAATTAAGAATCATTGGGGATTTTGTATACTTATTAATTTTTTATCCTTGTTTTGCGGACAGTTTAGTGCTTTTAAATTTCTTTTCTTTTTTTTATTCTTTTTTTTCTTCAAAGTGTTTTTTTTTTTTGATTTATTTTCTGGACGATTATACTGTTATGGTTTTCGTTATAAATATTTGCTAACGATGATCGTGATGATTATAATTTTCGGCGTTTCAAAACTCGGCTTTTATTGTATTTGTAAACAACACATTTTTTTAAACCCTATTCATTATGTAAGCAAGTGTTCGTGGACTGCTTTTGTGTAATTGAGTAGTTATTTAGTATAATATTACTTTTGTAGGCCTAGTTTAAAAAATTTTGCAACAGACGTCTTAGTTACTACATTATACTGTAGGTGGCAGTTATTGTTCCCTTTCGTCTGTGTCATTTTAGCATCGTTTAAAATTTTCCTTTTCATCAGCTAATATAATGTATACGCATATTTATTAATCACTTTCTATTTGCTTCTTTTAAGGTTACTTTCATGCCTTCACTTATATTTTTTTATATATGGTATTCGAACAAAAGCCGAAGATAAAAGAGAAGAGCAAAGATAACGTAGAACAAATCATATTTTTCTTTAAATATTTAGTCAAGAGACCTGGTATTTATAGACGGGAATTTTTTTGTTTTTTAGAAATCATGAGAAATGATTAAAGGATGAATCATATATTTTATATAGCTTTTTTATATTATTCGAAGTGAAATCAAGTAGTTTCAGTATTGTTCTATTTTCTTCATGTTAATCTGAAATGCATAAGTTAATCATCTTAGTTTAACCTGATCCCCGTTATACTAGAATAAAGAATCGGAAGTCCATTTGGTTGACATCCGTTTAAGGAATCTATTTGTAAAGAGTACCTTTAACCTGAGCGATTTAATTATTGTCGGTAGGGATAAGAAAACTACATTTTATTCCCATTTATGCATATTTTCAAGATTTTTCTAAATACAATTAATACCTGTCAGTAAGTGAGCAATCTAGGACAATCTGATAAGGAGTCATAAAAAATCTGGAAATAACATTTCAAGTTATACAATACATTAGTAATGAACAAGATGGATAAGATAAAACCCCTTTGGGGTGTAGTCTTTCAGAGAATAAGGAAAATGGTTAATTTTAAATGAAAAAACTACATTTTCTTTGACATAAATAATAACATTTCAATTATCATTAACCTAAAAGGAATGTACTAATAGAAACAGGTGGTTAACAGGAAGAAGAGGGTATATGCACAGATGGGAAGAGAAAGCATTTTAAACTGGTCGTTTTCTTTTTCCTTTTTAAAATATTCAAAGTATTTTAATACTCTTAAAAGGTAAAAAAAAAAGAAAAAAATCAACTTTTTCTTTGTTAAATCATCCAACTTTGTATATCGATATATTAAAACAAATAAATATAAAAAATAAAAAAAAGCAACAAAAAGCCCCCTTTTTTATTATCGATGTTCAATTGTTTTTTTTTTATTATTATCTGAGTCGCGAACAGTAAGATTAGCATGCAAAACAAAGTAGAGCGCATTTACGTATCACAGCTTCGTTTTAAAACGAACTTAACGAAATGCCCATTAACGATAAAAAAAACAAAATTTCCGCTTGTTCCGAATGCGTTCGAATCAGGAAACAAATTTTTTTTTGAGATACAACAGTAATAAAAAAAGGAAAAATCTTTAGCACTTGATCGTTGAGCAATCAAACGGAAATTTCGTACGTAGAACCGTATTTTGCTTCGGGCACGTCGTCTAAGGGAGGTGGCGCCAGGCCTTCTGGAAAATCCATAGCTTTTGCAAACGACATGGGCCGTTTATGAGTGCCTGGTATATTGGGTATGTCGCGTATGTTTGTTTCGCTTTTTGCCGTTTGACTAGATGCAGGTAATGAATTTATGGGCTCTTGTATTGGCTTTCTTTTCCTTTTATCGGTGATTAGTGCCTGATTTGTTGGATAAAGAGCGTCACTGGCAAGATGACTCTCTCCCACGAAAGGCCGGCTCTCGTTATATGGGGAAGTAAGTTTAGGCTTGGGTTGTGTATGTGGTGCTGGAGGATTACTAGCCGCCTTTTCATAGAAATTCGTCATGGAACCTTTATCAGTACTCCTATGTAAACCAATTGGCTTTGACGGTCGGCCTTCGTCCATGTACGGTCGACGATTTAATGACGCGGTTTCATTTGCGTAATTAAGTGACCTCGGTGGATGATTTATCGCCTCCTTATAGTTCGTTTTTTGTTTGATGATTGGCTTATTTCCAGTTAAGACTGACTCGCGACTTCGCTGTAACTGTCAATAGGAAAAAGAAACAAAAAAACATATTAGATACTTTTTAAATAAATATTACCATATCCAATAAGAAAAATAAAATTAGATTAAACAACAAACATACTGGAAAAAAAAAGAAAAGAACAATAGGAGAAGGGTTTAACCGTTAAAAGCCAGAAAATAAATACATATAAAAAAAATAGAATAGAAATATAATAAAAGTATAAAAAAAGAATAGAATACAAAATAAAATTATTTAAAATATAAAGACAATAAAGATACGAAAACTGGTGCAACAACGGCGCAGGGGCAGGCGGAGAAAATAATGAAGCATCACACCGCAACAACAGTTACAGCATACCTGGCGTTCGATGTCCTGTTGTGGCAAAGTAGAAGGTTGTTTATGAGGCAGCCAGGAGCTGGAGGCAAACTAGTAATATTGTCTGCCAGCCTCGCCCTGCACCACGCATACATTTTGCATACACCTACACGCACGCATAACGTGCATTCTACTCTTACGCACATTCATACGCGTATATATATATGTATATATTTATATACACACACACGCAAAGCACATGCTTTCATCTGTATGTTTGCTTATGAAACAATAATGAATACCAACGGTAATATATATATATATATACATAAATACATATGTATAGTAGAAATATATAGAGTACATATGTATTGTACATATAGTATACATACATACATACATATATATATATATATATATATATATATATATATATACACATATATGTATATAAATAAATTTTGTTGCTATTTTTCAACTTACAGAGGCTGGTGGTAAAGATGAAAAAAAAAAAGAAACAAAAAAGAACCTTAATCTAAAGACCTTACATTGTTATATTTTTTTTTTTTGAATTGATGTTTTCTATTTCTTTTTTTTTTGTAGAAATTTTTGTTATTGCTGAGACTTTTTTAGTTTAAATATATTTAGCTTATACGACATACACTCATCGTGTATTGTTACAGCTATCCAAAAACTCTATATTTGCAAGCTTTTTTGTTCTCTTCTCGTTTATAGTGTGGGCAACGTGCGAATTGTTATATCTGGGATCAAAATTACTTTCCTCTCTATTCGTTGCGATTAACAGCTTTGTTAATAAGCGAATTACTGCCTGAAAATCTCACTTTCGATATACATGCATAAAGCAGCTCAAAAGACTATTTATCTAAGCGCTTTTTTTTTTTAAACAGAGTCATAGTGCAATCACACATAAAATAAACTTACCTGCTTATAGACGGCTTGTCCAGAAACGGTTTTACCAGGGGCGCCATTATTTGGTTCCATATAAACGTTGACATCTTCTGGGCCAACTTCGTAGTGTATACGAGAAGATTCGGCGCTTAAATGAGGATTCTTCGTTCGTACTTTCATGACGGAAGGATAGAGAGGGGAGCAGAAAATATATTGACAATTCCTTTTACAGCCCTTATCAAAGGGATTCTCAGCTGAGGAATATTTTCCAGTCACCTAAATCAATATTTTTATATTACGTCCATCATAGGGATTAGAAAACATTTTTTCATTTGATAACTTACATGCTCATTTGTAGTCCTACCTCGGGAGACAAGGACTATGTGAAATCCAGTTAATCCAAAGATAGGGAATGCCAATAAGCCGACGATCACAACTACAATGATAGAAATGACGCAGTTGACCGTACTCAGATCATCTTTATGCTCAACGATATACATAAGAGATAGTGTAAAAACGTTTATCATATGAGTAGCCAAGGCAATAAGAAACATGAAGAAATGCCTATAATTTCGGCGTCCAACGCAGTTGTTCACCCACGGACAGTGATGGTCAAAAGTATCTATACAACAATTGCATGTACTGCAATGTGAGCACCTTGGTGGTCTATAGAACTTGCAGGTTGTACACCACTTCATTCGAACTGGTACACCTAGTATCTCCGCATTTTTATAGAGAGGAGCTCGAATATCATCGTCTCTAAGTTCATCGTTATGCGCTGTAAAAATTTTAGTCTAATAAATCAGTAGAGATGCAATTATATGTAACCTTTGGGATAGACGCCAGGATCCATAAATGTTGCTGCTATAAAATTTGCTATTACATAGATCGTGATAATGGCTGAGTAGTATGGAATCGCTGGATGTTTATCATGTAGAAATTTACCCCTAGTAGAGAAAAAATATGTAGTTTGTATAATCCTACTATAAAATCGAATTATCTCTGAATGTTTGTAATTTACTGACCACACCTGTACTAAGATACTTACAATGAACTGAAGAATGCAGACGTTGCACCAATTAAAACTAGCCATGCGCATATTGCTGGAAGTTTACGTGACAACGACTTACAGGCCATTTTTCGCTAAAAAATTGGAAATGTGTCAATTTTAGTATTTAACGATATTGCTCCAATATCGATGTCGACGATCTGTGTACTTCCGGCGGAATATTTCAGCTATTTGCCATGCTCATTGGTATACGCCGTACGTACAAAGCAACTTAACGCGCATGCGCTATAATTGGACACCGTAAAAATTGTCCAAATTGAACATATTTTATATTATTAAGGCCTATCTTGTGACATAAGGATGTCTCTTAATGACGTTCTAGTATATTAATCTTATTGTCATAATCTTACTAAAGCAATAAATTACAATTGTAAAGTATATTAATACTACTTCTTCACAGTATTCCATAAATTACCCTCTTATAATAAAAAAAACACTTCTTTTTATGCATCATACAATAAAGCAGTAAGGAGAAGCATTTTTGCATCTCAAACAACTTCTCTTGTTTCCTTTTATCCAAAAAAGAAAAAAAACATTTTTATAATAACTTGATTCAGTTAAGCCTAAGTTATACAATAGTGGGAAAACAAAACAACTATAAGATTTTGTTTAAATTTGGCTTGCATGCGAATCTAGATTGATCGGTGTACCATTACATAGAAGGGAAAGTTATTTGTAAGCAAATGATTGTTTTGGCAATTTATGAACCTGTTTAAATAGTGTCACTGGATTTCAAATAAAGATAATTGCTTTTTAACGGATATATATTTAGACTTTTAATTGTTATTAATTCATAATAAGTTGTATTTGTATAATAACAATAATAATAATAATAATGATAATAAACAGATTATATAATAAAAATCTAAATATAGATTGAATACTCCAAAGTAAATCAGTCGCCTTCAATGAATTTTTGGCGAATTATATAACATTTTTCTTTCAATAGTTTGTATATGCCTCCCTATTCATGAATATTAATGAGTTGAGCTATATGAGATATTTTATTTAATTTTCAAATAATGTAAATAAATTTTTAAAAGATCGACAGGTCATTTTAAATCTTTAAAATACCACAAACAAAGATTGTTTATTGTTGGGAGAGTTTTTATTTTCTTTTTTTTTTTTAAAGTTGACTATATCTTATAAAACAAATTAAAAATGGAGGAAGGAAACTTAGTTTCTATGTCGGCCATTTCTAAATCCGGTAAAATTCTTCTTTACTTCTTTGCCTTAAATTATTATAAATTTCGCAACTGTCTTCATCTAGGGGTCAATTAGGTCTTAAGTCGATTGTTTTTGGTGCAAATTCTACTTCAAACACTAAAAAATATGAAAATCCTATTTGTTTGTCTCGGTAAGTACAGAAAGATGATTTAAAAAATGTATTTGAGTAAGCAAATGTGTAGTTTGACCTCGGATCTGATTGTCGGCAAGCCAATGACGTTTACATCTGTAAAAAAAATACATTTTTTTTACCTATTTAGAAGTCTTTAAAAGCCGGAAAATTAATAACAGTCTTTTCGTTATCGAATAGGTAATATTTGCCGTAGTACAATGGCTGAAGCTGTAATGAAGAATATCTGCTCCACAAAAAACCTCACTGGAGTAAGTTGATACCTAAATAATGTAGATTCGAAGATTATGTAACTAAATAAAGGATGAAATTTAATCATAAATTTTTTCATATACAGTGGGAAGTCGACAGCTGTGGTACTAGTGACTATAATATTGGAAAACAACCATATCATCTGACTTTAAGAACCTTAAAAGAGCACGGAATAAAAGATTTTAGACACAAAGCAAGACAGGTAATTATCTCATATAAAATTGTAAATTGAAGAATGAAAGAATACTATGTTTTTTTTTCATTTGGTTAGATACGAAGCTCAGACTTTACAGAATTTGATCATATTCTCGTCATGGATCATAATAATCTGTCTGATGTCAAGTATGAGGCACCTAAAGATTGTCCAGCCAACATAGAAATGCTAACTGCATATGATCCACAAAAAGCACCATACATTGTGGATCCCTATTACGAGGAAGATAGCGTATTTGAGGACGTTTATCAACTAATTTCTCGTTGCTGTGTAAAGTTTGTTGAAACTTACTCCAAAAATAAATAAACTTGAATTATATATTTTAATAATATGATATAATAATTCATCCATAATTTAAAAGCTAAAGCAAATAAGTATAAAAAGTAATAAATAAATAAAGAGAAATTCTGAAATATGATCTTTTATTATTGCTTAATATATTAAGTTATTGGGGAAAAAAATAAGCATTTTTTTCATAGCTATACACAAAATGTAACAGAACATTTTTCTCGTGAGTAAGAGAATATTTTACGTTAGCAAAGCAGTAGTTGAAGAATGAGACGAAGCAGAACTTCAAGTTAAGCTGCATATTCTTTAGAAAATTACTATTCAGCACCGACAAATCAAACGATTCTAAGAAAAAAAAAATCTTTGAATAACCCTGCTACTATCTTCTTTTATTAGACCTTTCTTTGCAGACTATAGCTGCAAAGCAAATGGTGTGAAAAAAAAACTGAGCTATATCCCCTTTTCAAAAATGAAAAAGCTAATTTGTCAAAGATATCTACTATTCATTTTGTCTTTTTCTTACTGTATATAAGTAAATCTGCCATTCGAGTTCATGCATACGAAAAATACAATTACGGATATATTAGTAATATATATATATATATATGTATATATATATATATATTTAAATATATGTCCTTCCATTCAATTTTATCTCACTGCCTCTTTTTACTACGTAATCTCCTTTTTTCTTTTAAATTGGACATTTTATGGAAAATATAAAATTGTAAAAAAGAAAAAACGAGAATGAAGACTAGAATTTTTTTAAAAAAATCACAAAACGTTCAACTTTTGCGAACGGTGCATAAACGAATCAATTTTATCCATTCCCAAAAAAAGAATGAAGAAAAAATCTTTTTTTTTCTTTTTTTTTTTTAAAGTCAATTGCTTTTTTTTTTTTTGTTTTAGTAAATATCTTGAAAAGCTTTCAACAGTTCATTTACACCTCTTGATAGGAAAAATAATGTTGATAATGGAAGTAGAATTTATTTCTTTTCAGCATCGCTAATAAATATATCTGGACTTCTGGACCAGTCTTGTTTTTCTTTATTTTGCCAATACTCGTGGGTGAAAACGTGAATGGATTGCCCGTTCGGATCTACAGATTTATCAACAATCTTCTTGAACCAGCAAGGAGTCCAGTTTTCCCCTTCAATTCCTGAAAAACAAAAGAATTTAAAAATGAATCTGAAATAATATAATATTTTTTTTATATATATACCTAAAGTAGCAGCCTCTTCTTCTCGCTTCTTTCTAGCTGCACGTTGTTTTTCCTCCAGCATCACTTTTATCTTATTTGCTGCTTCAAAATTGCCTTCTTCCATCTGACGTTGATCGGGTCTATTTCTTGAGTCAGTGGGGGCAACGCCATCTTCCGGCTCATTTAACTCAACAGCGAATTTTGTCATATTATAGCAAGAGCTAAGTTCTGGATAAACTCTTCTCTTCCAAATTAGCTTATGTGAACTAGTTTCGTAAATAGTCTTGCCCTTAGACATTGTAGTATTTATCACTTTGGCTCCGTCTATTTGATCATCCCAAAAACCACGAAGAACATACCGGCGAACACCATCCTTATCGGTTATTACTCCTGTTACACGGCGAGGTTTATCTCTTGAAAAATACGAATAGGCCGAGTAGTTCAATTGGCACTTGTCTCTTGTGGTATGATTTTGAATAACCATATCACCGTGATTATCAACCCATAGATTACCAAGGATGATATTATGAACTGTTGTCGTAACTTTACGCCAAGTGTAATGGTTCCCGGACTTTGGAAATTCTAGATGAGCAATACCTTGAGGAATAATCTGTAGGTACTTTCCGCGAAATTTTGAGGCCATAGTAAATTCTTGCCAAGCTCTCCAGTTACGACCTTCAGTATATGTTGCACAAGCAGGAGGATGATGGCTAACCTGCTCGGCGACCAATCGCCAGCCAAAATCGTCTCTTCTATCTGCCTCGAAGGTTTCTCCTAAAAGGGGATTGAACGGCTTACCAGTTCGGCTGGCTGTATTTGCGTAAGATGATACAGTAAAAGCAGCTACGTAGACCATCTGCTCGCAGTAGTCATCACATTTAGCTGCCTGATCTAATAGATCGGAGTACTCAAAATCTTCAGCTAGTCTTTGTAACATTGAGAGAGGTTCACTAAAATTTACAGGCATAGGTATTTTGGAAAGCTCCTTTCCAATACAATTCTTAACAATTGACCAAAGATTAACTCCAGAATTTGGCTTACTTGGAATTCTATCTCGTCTTTTCCTAGGGTGAGCAACAATAAGTTTTTGACCAGTTTTTGTCCAACTTTCAATTGATGAACTACTCGATTCTCTTGAATGTTGCCTATTATCTCTGGTTGGGCCCAAAAAGCTGTCAGCGCTTCCAGCAGATGCACTTCTCGAATGACCTACAATATGTGCTCTATTTCGCCAATCCGGAGACGAATCTTGCATATCTGAAAAGTCTTGAATTTCAACAGCATCTTGAAAATCTTCTGATTCATCTGAGTCTTGGGGTGCATTATCCATAGCAACAGGTAGTGGGGGAGGTTTCAAACCAGAGTTAGAGAGAACCTTAAAGGTTTCTTTTTCAAGTTTTCTTTGCTGCTTAGCTATTTGTTCAACCAGCTTTTCTAACTGCTTGCGATTTTCGTGCTCACTCTTTAGCATCTTCTGCCATCGCCCACCTTGCGCTTGTGCTAGTTCTATGAAATCTGCGCATGCGCCAATCATCGAATTGGACATTAAGCGATACATCGACGCTCTCTCGTTGAGAGCTTTCACTTTAACCGGTAGAGCTTCCAAATCATGATGTGATGTGGGTGACAGCTTTTCTAAATCAGTTAAAGCCTTCTGAAGAGGTGGGAAATGTTTTGTTAGTACATCTCTACATGTCACTAGTGCTTCCAACTTCTTATTTAGGTGTTTCAAAGTATCTTGTATTTCAGCTTTACTCGGGTAAGCTTGTTCCTCGTCGTCATCAGATGATTCTTCATCCTTTATCTGCTTGCTCTTTGCCTCTTTTATTTTATTCAGCCACAAAGTTCTATCCGAGTCGCTTAAGGCTCTCAAATGAAACGTTTCTCCACTCTTATTTGTTATAACAAAAGCTAAAGAATCTGTTTCGTAGCTTAGTTTAGCATTCGCCAAGTTAATCGTACCTCTGCAAGAATGTTCCACTTCATTGGGATTTCTGTAATTTATACATTTTTTAATATAACAATCTTGTTCTATAATCAATTTATTTCGTGTTCAACAGCTGTTTACTAATAAAACCTAAAATATTTTATATAGGTTGGATTCATTAAATGTACCTCTTACTTAATTTTTTTCTAAACAATTTCGCAACTTCCGAAATCATTGATTGACCTCTTAAAATATGTATGATTGACATATACGACGTAAAGCAAAGGACATCGATTAACTGTCGTATGATTATAGTTTGTTTTTATCGCTCTATGTTTTTATTCCGTTATACTTTAATCGTAATGTGTATCAATGAAATATTACGCTAACTACCTGTAGTAGGAAAGCAGACCGTTGTTGAGTATGAAGAATCGTTTCTGATACCCCTTTAAATAATTTGTCCACTTATGAAGATAGCCTTTATGAACGTCTTGATCATTTTCTGAAGCGTTCGTCATGTCTTTTGCTTACTACAAAGCTTCCTTGAACAGTTAACCGGCAATTTTCTTCAGCAAGATGGACGCCCCCGATGGTCAGATGTCGACCCGCCTGTACTAAATACTGAGCACAAGTGAGCGCACCGGACGCACCTAGCGGTGAATTATGATCTAAATTTATATAGGCCTTTATTCTTTTATAAATGCCTAATTTTGTTAATTAATCGATTATAATAATTGGGTTAATCAATAAAGTGACAAAAGTCATTTTACGAAGTTCGTTTGAAGGTAATAAATTGGCTCAATTTTATGGAAACCTTCTTCCAGCACTGTTTCAGGGCAAATTAATTGATTTGAGCTGTATTATAGTCTAAAAAAGAACGATTTGGAAATCTTTGCTCCAAAACCCTGGAATTTTTATTTTTTATACAAATTGATGATTTTTATTGAGGTATAATTGTATATACATTTTTTTTTATGTAAACTGTTTATAAATATGAACACAAGCGCTAAACAGCTTTTTAAGAGGAACAAAAGCAAATTGTACGTCTATCTAAAAACAGAATCTTTAATTGTATCAAAAAAAAAGTAGAATTAATTTTGTTAATTAATTATTAAATCTAAAGTTCAGCTTAATATTATTAGCTTCTCTTATTAAATAAGCCAATGCTATATACGTATTTGGAACAAAAAAGAATAAAGTAGAAGTATTTTATATGTTACATTCTTTTTGTCTTTTTTTTTTACAATCTTATCATTAATTTTAAGCTCAAAGTCAATTTAATTTTATAGTAATGAATAAATGTATAAGTATACAAATTTTGGGGTACAATTTATGCCTAAAGAAATTATATAGTTTGTAATATAGTAAATGGGCTTTCTTCTGTCACATAATTTTATTTTCTGAAGAAGAATGAGACTGTTTCATGTCCCATTTTATTACTTAAGTTATGTTTGTTATATAGACGAAAACGTAAAAATTAACATTTTCCTTTTATAGTGTAATAAGTCTTATTTTCCATATGATAATCTTTTTCATTCTCTGGTTTAACTTAACTTCAGCTAAAATATAGACTATTTAAGAAAGGTTTCAATTTCTTTTGTATACCAAATCATGGGAAAGGTATTCTAACCATTTCACAATTCGCTAGCAAATTATCTGTTAAGAGTATTAATTAATTGGAGGGAAAAATTAATTTACAAATCCGACTTGGGTTTAGAGGATTAATAATAAAGCGTATCATTCAAGGACGAATGGATGTGAAAAGCTATCAACAAGATTAGATTTATACCTCAAATGTTTAATATCTAATCTAACGCCTCCAATATACTTTCACAGCGTTGCACAACGGGACAACTAATATATAATTAAGAATGGTTACATTTTCGGCTATCTTTACAGTCTAAATAGACAGATTTATTGGTGAATTTTCAGCGTACTGCTGTTAACAGCAATTGACAGTCAAAGAGGGGAGATGATGAAAATATAACAGTACAATTCCTAATATGCACGACGGCTATATAAATCATATACTTTAAAACAGAAGGAAGAGAACCAGATAAGAGATAAAAATAATATGCTGATAATTCAATATATTAGCAATGAAATATATTTCATGTATCTACGCAGAAATAAAAATGAAATAAAAAATAAATACCTAATTATTCTTTTGATCAACTGAAAAATTAACTTTTAATTAGTTTTTGAGTAAAAAAATCAAAAGAAAAGCTGATTGCATTAAATCTGTAAGATATACTTCCTTATTTTTATATATTGTCTTTGATTATTCAGATGTATATGGGAATATTTTTTATGTCGATTTAAGAAGTGCAAAAAGAAATTTATGCCAAGTAATATATGAATATTACCCACAGAATAGGCCTTTATAAAAGTAAAGCTTTTTTTAATAGATTATTTACTAATTCTTTACATATCATTTGATATATACGTGAATATGTTATATAAATGTGTTTATGTATATATAAGTAAATGTATATGATATTAGAGCTACAAAATGTATTAAGCGATTAGTATTCTTACCAGAATCATATTTTTCCTTTTATACATTGTATGTTTTGGTCAAATTACTTTTATTTCACTAATTATCGAGCAAACGAAAAATTTATAATATACTGTTGCAACATGATTAATATATCTGCAGAAAAAGTTTTTACTAGGTCTTCTTATAAATCTAATCCCGAATTCATGGCAATGTTTCTTAGGTTATTTCGTGCTGTAAATTGATTATAAAAGCGATTTAAAATACTAAGGAAATAGCGAAAGTAAACTTTCTTTCACTTACGTTCAAAATAGCTTGTATCTGTATCGTCATCTGGCTGAGGTATAAATGGGGCAATCATTTCGTGAACGTGCTCAAAATCTATATTCGAAAAAAAGGCATGACTTCGTAATGAACTTGAATTAGGCCTTTTTTCAGGATCTACCGATAATAGACTTTCAATAACTTTCTGACATGCCAGACCATTTTCATTGGTATCCTCCGGAAAAGCTATGTCCCTCCTTAATATATTATTAAACACATCGTGCACGGTACTATCATTAAAAGGTGGAAAACCAAATATAAATTCATAAATGCAGACTCCTAAAGCCCAAAAATCAACAGCAGGACCGTGATTTGAACCAAGAAGTAATTCTGGGGCTAAATAGTCGGGTGTACCCATAACTCTAAAACGGGAATTTTCACCCTTCTCTGTTGATGTATTTTCAGCCTTTATATCTGAAGGTGAAATGTTCAGGTTTTCCATTTTCTCGCAAACGGAATCTTGGTCGCTTTCGAGACAATCGGGCAATAAATCCAAGTCACAAGGTATACCGCTTAAATCATCATCATCTTCACTACATTCGTTTGATGATACATGATGTCTTACTCGGCGATTAGTTTTGTCTCCCCTATTAGATTCGAGTTCTTCCAACTCGATAATAGGGAAAACATCCACTCCAGTGTCTCCTTTAGACCATTTATGAAATCTGTCAGGGGAGAGGCTGCAGGATGCTCGTGTAAACACTTCCGATTGATCAGTGCTAGAGTCTTTAGAAAAAGCAGACACGTTAACGGATGAAACGGTTGAACGTCTGTATGCTATGTTTAAACTGTCAGATAATGAAGACGTAGACGAAGGTGGTGGGTAAGAATCAATTTTCTGACACCTAGATAAAGCTGGTGAGGCACAGACTCGTGAAAGGTGCCTTTTTCTTAAGGGAGACTGAACTGTACGTCTACGAAGTGAGTCGTGAGTAACAGAAGCCGATGTATGACGCTTAGGAGTCTCATCAAAAGCAAGATGCATTGTTAGAGAAAGTACCTGACCAGGTGTTCTGAGGAACCTTGAATGTTGAACTGTACGGTTTCTGGCAGGTGTGTTTATAACATCTATAACCGATAGATCATTGTACTCTCTAACTTCTGATAATCCAAAATCAGTTAATTTTAGATGTCCTGTAGCCGAGATTAATACGTTGTCCGGTTTCAAGTCCCTGTGTACAATGTGCTTCGAGTGTAAATATTCTAGGGCTCTTATTATTTCCGCTGCATAGAATTGTACCATACCCATTGGAAAACATTCGAAAACTGTGAGCAATGATTTTAAATCTCCTCCTATCATATATTCCATAATCTAAGAATAAATCATGCTAGTAGGAATTGACACTTTTACAATATGCTATTTTAAACTTACAAAGTACAAGGTATCATTGCTTTGCAGAGTGTAATATAGGTGAACAATAAAAACATTTCTTGACACGGCCATGGCATTTCTTTCCGCAATAACTAATCAATATATGTATATATATATATATATATACATAGATATAGGATACACAGTCATAATAAGCAATTAATGGAAGTGAATTGTAAAATATACCTTGGTTTATCATATTTTTTTTAATTACGTCCTCTTTTCTCATAACTTTTATTGCATATTTCGTTCCATCACCATCTTTTCTGCACCCCAAATAAACTTTTCTGTTTTTGATTAGTTTTGAAAAGAGATAGAATATTAATATAACTAGAAATTATCATAATTACCCGAAAGCACCTTTACTTATGGGTTTGATGACATTAAAATCTTGTATTTGGGGTGCTTTATTCTAATTTTTGTGAAAAAGAAATTTAATTAATTCAGTTGAATAGAAATATTTTAAAAATTTAGCCTACGTTTTTATTCAAACTCTTCCTATTAACCGATTTCCTTCGATCTGATTCGTGATCACATACATCGTTCATATCTTGTCGCTTATTTTCACAGTATTTATCCACAAAATCGGTGCTTGAATACTCTTGTTTTAGCGAATTCATTTTAACAACATTTCAAAAGTGTCAATGAAATTTCCGGAAATGGATATTTTCAATTTACTACTTCCGTTAATACTAAACTCTGAAGAGAGTGTGATATACTAGAGGAATCGTAAAAATATGATAATATGTTTTTTTGCTTTAGAAGAAATCTTATTTGTTTAGGAACAAAACTAAGCCATCGTTGACATAATTATTGACTTTAATAAAACTTGTATGTAAATATGACTTGATTTTGAATTTGCGCTTTATTTTCTTTTTACATAAATGGTCTTCTTTCAGCTATAAACAACCACTGATAAAGAAGGGACTGCGAGAAATAATCTATAAAAAGCTTTTAATACTTCTTATCAGAGTAGGTACGACGATCTATTTACTTAAAATGCTTGGCTTGATTTCAATCGGAATTGGACCTTAGCGCATGCGCCAAAACTAATTTCTGTCTTTCGCTCAGCTCTATATATCGCTCCGGCCGATTCGCCTAAAAAGTTTTTAAAATGGGTATAAATGTAGTGAAGAGTTTGTTTATTGTTTGTATAAGTATACTATCAGGGAAATTATCATGTTATGAAAATGAACTGACGTTCGAAATTATGCCTGTTAAACGTGATTGCTTTTACCATCGAATTAAAACTGGTCAAAGGTTCACTGCGGAATATCAGGTATGACTTTATTATTTTCAAATGATTGATTTGATCAAAAATTCACTTTTAGGTTATCGAAGGAGGAAATCACGACATTTCTTTTAACGCACAAGATACTGAAGGTCAAGATTTAGTAGCCGATTATCAAGAGCAAAGAAATAGGCATGATTTACATGCAGCTGCCGAGGGCGTTTACTCATTTTGCTTCGATAATACATTCAGCCAATTTTCCGCCAAAAAAGTCTTTTTTCAATTAATCATTGAAGAAGCAGAAGAAAGACTTGATTTTGAACGAGAAAAGACTGGAAGTGAAGACGAAACAGACGAATCCGTTTTCGGAATTAGTCAAAAGAATTTTAAAAAAATAACTGAAGATATTAGAAAAAATTTGGAGAAGAGTATACAAATTCAAAGTGATATTAAAATAGGTGAAGCTAGGGATAGAAGTCAGCAGGAAGAGAACTTCGAAGTAGTAAATTTTTGGTAAGTTCTAAATAGAACAGAATATTCTAGAGAAAGAATAATTCTATTGTGGTTTCTTTTTTTGAACAGGTCAAGCATTCATCTTTTCGTCGTGGTATCTGTATCTTTAACAACGCTTTTATTAATTCGTGGTCTCTTTTTGGATAAAAAAACAGGTTCTGTAATCAAAATGCAAACTTAGAAATTATGAAAAAAGATTGTCTAGTCTCTATCTCTGTATACAGCTTTCTATGCAAATTATAATCAAAGTAATAAAGTAGTTCTAATGGCAAATAGTAATTAAAATGTCTACTTAAAACTAAAAGTTAACAACTAGCTTATTTGAGGAAAATTTATGAAATATTAAAAGATTATTTATTTTTTTGTTTGTTTTTATCTTTTGCTAAACTGTACGAACAATTTAACAATAATAATGTTAGAAAGAGCTCTATTTTCGAACAATTATAATTTTCCGTCCCCTTTTGTAATAAGTTCGTTTGTTAAATTAGAAAAGAAAGTTTTACTTGTACTTGATGATTATTCATCGTTTGTATTTATTTTAATATGAATATATGAATACTTGTATTGTACATGACTATCTTAAAAAACGTTGAGTTCTTGAATACAGAATTATTTTTTATTATGTTGAGTAGAAAATAATTACTTTCCGACATTTTACTTTTGGTGAGTATTCGTAGCTGTCCCTGCAATGACGAGGACGAAAATCTTGCTTGTGTTTCTCACCTTCACCTATGCCCAAGGTAAGTGTTATAAACTGTTGTAAACTATTTACATTTTTTTATATGTAGAAAAGTTATTATTGGATATTTTATAACTAATTTTGTACTTTGATAGCTGTCTTCCACGTTGGATTTCGTCAAACAAATTTGAAGGTCAGAGAACAGTATGGGAAGGTTCATGTTGAAATTGGACCTACCAATGGTATTATGACAGAGAATACTTGGTACGAATGTCAAATTTTTGAAAGTGGAGGCAGTGCTACCTGTGGGGAAGATTACAAGCTAGAAGAAGAGTCTAAATTTCGTATCACGTCAACAAATCCCATAGCTGTGTATGGAGTAACTATTCTGGATGATAAAGAGCACGAAGTTGATGAATTAATTTCGGTAGGAATATTTTACGTTAATTATATAGTATTTATTAATTAAAATTCACTTTTATTCTGTTTAGCTTCATTTGAAATGCTACGAAAAAGGTGAGGGAGGCGGTCACGGGACAAAAGGAGCTTTTATGGTCTCACCTTGCACTACTAAAATCAGTATCGTTGATAACGATCACGAAGATCATGATACCGATTCAACAACCCATATAATTCAGTCGATAGGCCTTGGTTCTTTACAGCGAAAAGTCTGTTATGAGATAGCTGCAGTTCCCTGGGATATAGTTGAAATATATCACGACTCTCGAACAGCTTTTAGCGTTAGCATTACAGTATCCGATAAGAAGTGTGTCTCAGAGCTAAATCTCAAAACACCTTTTAGTAACACAACTGTTACCGGATCAAAGGTACGTCTGAACGATGAAGAAGTTGTAGCGAATTGGATTGGAACAGAAGAATATGCCTACTTGACTGAAGCGTCAATTGGTTTTCAATTTACAATAGTCGGGGCAACGCTATTCATTCGTCAGACAACTCCTATTCGTACAATCTTAGCAGAGGCTGTTAGAAGCGAAGACGGATTGTGTTTAGATGTTCGTTTGAGAAATATTGAAACTGATGGACTGTTTGATCCATTTATATCTGGAGTATTTGGACACGTAGCAAGATCTCGAATGGAATTCATAACTGACAAAGTCGTAAGAATCAATGATAAAACTAGTGACACCCATAAGCACGGAGACTGTTGGAGCATTGGCTATCATGATCTCATATTTCCATATAAAACAGTGGATTTTCGCGGACGCTCTGATTAATACTTTTATATTTGTGCTTACAAAATATAACATTACTACTAAAAATAATTTATATGGCAAAGGTTTCACAATGTAGAAAATAATATGTAAGTCTTTATTTGTCTTTGCTGTCACCTTCGTCACCATCCTTTTCCTTATCATCTTCCTTATCATCTTCCTTTTTATCGTCATCTTCGTTTTTCTTTTCCAACTTTTTTTCGGTTCTTTCACCCTTTGACTCGATCATCCTATACAAACAGTTTTCTTATTTACATTATACTTGAATTAAATGGACTTACTCGTTGCATTCGAAGCTCTCAATCTTTTCATCTGGATCCTTAACAGACACTGTTTCAATAAAGACCTTATCATCCTCACCCTGTAACCCTACTGTTATCGCTTGAATATCTTGCAAACCTACGGCCTCAATTACAAACTCTTCTTCCTGAAATGAATGAAAAGCATATTACCTTGACCATAAGTTCATTTTAAGTAAATACCGTCTCTTCTTTGAAATCTGGTTTTTCTCCATCTTTTTTCTTAAATATGAGTCTCTTCCCAGAATCATTACTCTCGGAATCGAATAGTGTAATATCTAATTGACCTTTATCTAACTTTGAATCTTTTCCATACTTTATTGCTATTTCATACTTTTTAACTAAGTATAAAAAAGAAAAATATAACGCAAAGAAATGACAAGATTATAAGATATCAAACCTTCCAGAGGATCTTTATCTGGCCATTCTGCAGACAATTCAATCATAATGTTTCCTTCTTCTTCGGTGGCTGACAACCATTTATCAACTTTGAATTCTAATTCGTCTCCACTTAGCAGATTTTCCATTAATATTTTTTCAACATGCCAAGAGCTTTCTTCGTTACCTTTACTATTGTCATGCTCTAAACGGACCTTGGTTAGTTTGCCTACTTCATTATAGTCAACTAAGATCTAGAAAAAAAAATTGTTACAAAAATTTATTTTTATTAACTTTTTAAATTTTCTTTAAAGAATGTAAATTTCTCACATCTACTTCATCTTTCGCTCCCTTTTGGAATAATCCTTGTCCTGGTTCAGCTATCGGCAGAGGACCGGAATTACCATTTTCTCCAAACACCGTTAATGTGACTTGAGCATCAGTGTCAGCCTTTTCTTTGTCACTAGTTACTAGTGTTAATTTCCAATCATCCTCTGAAAATATTTTTATAATTAAATCTATGCAAATATATCAAAAAGAAAATATGCGAAGCAAACCATTTGGACCATCGTCATCAACGGCTTCGGTAAGTTCTAGGACCCGTTCAATTAGTTTTTCTTCTTGATTCTCGTCGAACCATCTAGGATTTGGATTTATATTTAATAGATGTTTTTTAAATGTAAATAAAAAAGAAAAGAATAAAAAAATAATATCTAACTTGTCGCAATTGAAAGTAAATTTCTTCTTCGTCTCCATTCTCTCTCTAACTACTACTTTATTCACGTGCCATCCATTTGCTGAACCTCCATTATTGTGGCCAAGTAAAACGGATTTTAGTTCGGACAAGTCTACGCAGTCAATGTCAAATACATCTCGTCGGCCTCTACGAAATAATGCTCCCTCTGCGGTTTTCATTTTATTTAAGGTATAACTATTTAAATATATATTCATTTAAATTGATAAAACCTGTTTTCCTCTTTCCTTTTTTTAGTTTTCTTCTATGACTGTCACCGCGTTCTCCTCGTAGTTCAATAAAGGCTTGAGCATCAGTGTCGGCATTTTCCAAATCGGATGTATAAATTTCGATTGTATATGTTAAGATTTTCAGCATTTCTTCTGCATTCTTTTTAAACAGCGGAATTTCTAGCCAACTATCAGTTTCTGGTGATGACTTTAGCCATTTGTTGGCTTTGAAGAGAAGCTCATCGTCAGCTATGTCATCGTCGGCATCTTCTTTGTTTTCGTCTTTATCAGTATCTCCATTATCATCTTTTTTATCTTCCTCTTTATCTCCTTTATTTTCTTCGTCGTCCTTCTTCTTCTCATCACTTTCTTTGTTTGAATTATCTTCATTTTTGTCATCGTCTTTTTTACCTTCATCCGAGCCATTCTCATCAGTTTTGTTATCACTTTTATTATCTTCTTTTTCTTCATTAGGATCTTCTTTAGGTGGTTCGTTTTCGTTATCATCGTTGGGTTCAGGTAGTTCTTCCAACTTCTTCGCGACAATACGATTCAATTTCCATAGAACAGTTTCGGTTGAATCTTCTTTTTCGGCTAATCCAACTATAACCTTATATAACTCACCAATTTCATCATTAACATACTCAACTAGTGTGTCAAACTTTTCAATACTCTTTATATCAAACTTTCCACTTGGAGGTTTTAAAGTTATCTGCTTAGATTTTCCTTTATCACCGTACAACATTAGAATTGCTTCTCCCTCTATTTCGGACTCCTCTTCGGAACCGGTCTTGATATCAAAATGCCATGGTTCACCTTCAGGTTTCACTTCTAATTTTCTTTCTATTAAACCGTCGTCTTCTCCCTCGTCAAGCCATCTGCATGAAAGAAAATAATAACATGTACTTTTAAAACGTGTACATTTTTTAGAATACTAACCGATTACAGGGGAAGAAAAATTTCTTATTGCCGTCTCCTTTTGTTTCAACTTCAATAACAACTTTATTCAAAAACCAACCGTTACCAGGTTCTTTTCCGTCGTGGCCAATCAAAACATGAGTTAAATCAAGTAAATCTACGGCTTCAACAATAAAAGTATTCTTTTGACCAGATTTGAAATTATCCAAAGCATATTCGGAAGAGGATAACAAGCGTCGTCTTCCTGTATCTCCTCTATTGCCGTATATTTCAAGATATACATTAGCTGCTGTTCCTGATTCATCTTTATCACCAGTAAACGTTGATATAGTATATTTATATACTGCAAAAAAATAGTTTATTAATTGATAATTTTTCAACAATAGTTAGATTAGGTACCTTCCAGTTGTTCTTTTTCTTTATTATCTTTATCATTTTCTGTATCTTTCTGATCTTCATCATTTTCAGATTTTTCACTACTTCCGGACTGGCTTGCGTCAGGCTCTTTACCCTTTTCATTTTCTTTTGCTTTTTCTTCATTTGATTTCTCTTTCTCATCACTTTTATTCGGTTTATCGTCTTTCTCCTCCTCGTTGGGTTTGTCCTCATCTTTATTTTGTTTATCAGTATTTTCATCTTCGATTAAAACTGGATATTCAATCCATCCATCGGTTTCATCCGTAATCGCAAAGGATCTTTCGTCACATTTGAATTTATATTCAGTTCCCGTTTTAATATTTTGCATCTTAAACTATAAGGAAGAAATAATTTGAAAAAATTGAATTTGAAATGCTAGGTATAAAGAGACAAAACCTCTTTGAACAGCCAAGACGGCTTATCATCTTTGTTGTCTTCAGAAAAGCCAATTCGAACCTTGTATGGCTCACCCACAGCTACTTCAGTAAACAACTAAAAAATTTTTGTTTGAGAATTAAGATATAACACATGATAATTTAAGATAAACGTACTTCGAAATCTTGAGATTCTCCACTTTTAAATTCCTCCGATTCCCACAAAAGCAAGTCTTCAGTTTTATTTTCTGAGCCATAGATCGCGATAAGGAATTGGCTCTTATTTTCTGTCAATTCTTCTCCACTAACAGTGAAGATTTTCCACAATTCTCCAGGTGGTTTTTCAATTGGATCTCCTGTTAGCATTAATTCTCTTTCGATAGCATTATCATCTTCTCCTTTATCTAACCACCTATTACATTCAAAGAGGAACAATTTATCTTCTTTTTCATCTTTTATCTCAACTTTTTCTAAGTACCAGCCTTTGCCTAGAATGTAAATATGTTTATTAATTTTCTTTTATAGAAAAGAAAATATTTTAATTTAATTTACCAGATTCCTCATGTTCATGACCAATAACGACTTTGGATAATTTTGCTAAATGAACTGCTTGAATAGTGAAAGTATCGATTTGACCCTGAGCGAACATGGTCTCTTGATCAGATTTCTTTAACCATCTTTTACCTGAGTCTCCATTTTCACCGTATATTTCAATATATATTGGTCCTTCAATACTGGCGTTAAATCTATCGCCAGTTGTTACTTTAATTTCGTAATTTAAGCTAGGTAATGGTGGTATTGCAGGCCAAATGATAGGAAGCTCTACTAATCCGTCTTTTTCTGAATCAAGTTTTATTACATCATTATACTCGCAGATGAAAAAATCTCTGGTGGTCATATCTTCCAGTTTTATCTATCAAAAAAATACAAAAAAACAAAACAAAACACATTAATAAAAACCTCGGCGAGAAAAAACTTCAACCTTTTTTAAGAACCATGAGGTGTCCTGTTTTTCATTTTCTTGATCAAATGCAAGTCTTATCTTAAAGAAATCCCCATAAAAAGATGTATCAGCTGTCATATTGATCTCGAAACTATCTTCTGCTCCAGATTCAAAAGGTTTTTTATCCTCTTCCAAACTCAAGGGGATCAACTCTGTACTATTTGTGTAACCACAAACAACCAAGTGAATGGGTAGTAAAGGACTGGAATTCTCCTCTTCACCGGTCCACGTTGTTACTTTCCACTTTCCTTCTGTTTTTGTGAGATCTTCTACTTCCTCAATGGGTATTGCAACATCGTTCCTAATATATTTCGTTAAAGAAAGTGTTACAGATTCTGTATCTTCATCCCGAGGAAGTATTCTAGAGCAAAGGGATAAGATTATGAAGAAAGGTAGATTATAATTAGAAATTGTTTTTTTTACTAACTCGTTACAATCGAAGATGGCTTTGCGATGATCGAATTTTCCAGCTACAATTTGAACGCTATCGAAGTGCCATTTAACGCCATCCGTTCTATAAATGACTAGTTCGGAAAGTGATCCTAAATCTACAGCCTCAATAACGAACTCATCGGTCTAAAATTAGAAAATAAATTTTTAGATAAATTCATTTTTAGATTAATAAGCTGTTTGTGAGGTTACCTGATTGCTGTCAAACTTTTTCTCGTTTTCATTGTCTATTAATTTTCTTATTCCCGAATCACCGTTCTCTCCTTTAAGGCAAATAGATACCGAAGGCGCTACGTATTCCTCGGAGTTTTTAACAGAATTTTCTTCTTCAGTCAAAACTTCCTCTTCGGCCGTATGAATCGATATGATGTAATTAATAACTATTTGAAAAAAAAAACAAAAAAATTCAAGAGGATTAGAAGCAAACTGAAAATAGAATTACTTTGAGGTATCGGATTGTCGATTCTAATAAGCGGTCGTTCAACAGACAATAAATTTTCGTTTAGGGATCTTGAAAAGTCAAATTCTAATTTTTCTTTTGTATCTTTATCCTTCATTTGGACTTTTAGAATATTCCAAGAGCCTTCTTCAAGTAAGGATTCCATTCTGATTTTATAAACGTCCGTTCCAATTTCGGTCAATTCAATCTAAAATAAAAATTTAAAAAAAAGATACACGAAGGTGACATTAACAGATAGGTGACTTACTTCTTTCTCATTCGAATTGTCTACTTGGAAAATTTGTGACCTTCCGAAAGAATCATAGACGACCAAATTATATTCGGTACGTTCTATTTCTGTGGTTTTAACAGTGACAAACCATTTTCCATCTGAAATAAAAAAGAAATTAAACTATTTCATTGTTAAATTATAATATCTTTTCAGCAATTGGAGAAATAACTACTAGAGTTTATAGTTTTTTCGTCCTTTTCTCGCTCGTCGTGTTGAAGTTCCATAAAAGGTTTTAAAGTTAGATGCAAGAGTCGATCGTTACAACCAGTATCCAACCATCTATGAAAAAATGTTACAAGTTATGTCTTTTAAATCTTACAAATGAATAAACGATTTACCTATCACCCAGAAATAGGAGACTTGAATTTGTCTCTTTAGCATCTTTAATTAAAATATAGTCAAAGAACCATCCTCTTCCTCTACCACTGGAATTATGACCTAAACTGATTTCATTTAATATACCAATATCCACTGCTTGTATTTCGAATGTATTAATCTACAATTGGATTAGCGTAGAATTTTTAGAAGGTAATAAATACTACTAAAGAATAATAACCTTTCCCAAATCGAAAAGGGGCGAGAGATTTTTTTCTTTGTTTTCTTCTCCATCACTCTTCTTCTCTTTCGATTCTTCATTATTTTGATCATCCACCAGCAAGTAATTTAGTAATCTGATTCCAGTATCACCGAAAACTCCATGCAGGTCTAAAGTGATATCGGATTCGGTGTCAGCCCTCAGCTGTTCTCCCGTTTTAACCTCTATAGTATACGTTTTTTCTGAAATATTTAAATACTCAATTAGCTAAGATTGTAGTTAAAAGAAATTTCAAATACCCATTAGTGGAGGAATATCTGGTCTAGCAAGTCCGACTTCAACTGTATAATCTTTAATTTCCTCGTTCACTTCTAAAACCTTGTCACAAATTGAGAAAAATTCTGCATTAGTATCGTCGTCTTTCAATATGAATTTGTGTAACTTCCAGAGAGCTTTCTCTTCTCCATAATAAGCTGTAAATCTTAACTTCACTAAATCTCCCAATTCATCACCAACCGATAATTTAAAAACATTAAATTGCCCTGGCTTAAATTCTTGTGTTTTTTCCTCTTCTTTTTCTGATGTCTCGTCTTTCTTCTCTTCGGTTTCACCGTCCTCAGCTTCTAATAACTCTATATTATCAGAAGAACTTAGTGTGCCACAGAGCATGACAAAGACTTTCAATTTGACTGGTTCGGTATCGGTGCTTGTATATGCTTTAAGGGTCCAATTGCCTTTGGAAGTAAACACTTGTCGATCTTCGCTATACTCGGGAAGTTTAGAGGCCGGCTGAATACCTGAAAAAGTAAACGTTTTTAAAAGGAATCGAATAGGAATTATTCGACATACGAGGATCAAATAGTTCCCTGATGCAAGAGTTATCTTTTGAAGGTTCTAACCAGTCTTTATTCGAAAACGTCCATTCAGTAGGAGCAAATTCGCTTTCTTTAATGACTATTTCCTCTATTAGCCAAGAACCTTCTGGAAGAAAAATTAATGTGTGAAATGCCAAAATTTTAATTAACTAAAGAAACAAACTGCTTTCTGTAGGCTTATGTTCGATTGATACTCCTGTGACACTTCCAACAGATACACATTCAATTCTGAAAACATAAGTTACTAGTGAAATAAAAATGCAAAAATTATAGAAGACAAATCCTACAATATCCAAGGACATAGAAGTCTAAAAGAGTTTCGGGTTAATGTACAACTCTTTACAATTTGAAATAAAAGTCATAGCTATTATTTCTTGCATAAGGAAAGTTTTTTTTGTTATTTAAACGTAGAGCATTCTTCTTGTTTCCAATAAGTTGCATTATTATTTCGTTACTTTTATGTTTACTTATAAAAAACGAAGAAATAACTTACAGGAAAGCGTCAAAAGCTGCTTGTTGCCAGCATTTATCGTTAGTCAGACTTTTCTGCAATATTCTCCATCCTGAATCGCCATCTTTACCAGTAATTTTGATCTTGACATCGCCTTCAGTTCCAGCTTTTTTCACATTTGCCGTCCTTACACCTACCCAGTACCTCAGAATAGCTGTTATAAAAATAAATTATGGGATGTTATAAGATTTTATAGTTTCGAGAATTGTATTTTTATATTTACGAGTCGTTAAATTTTCACTTGTAAAAGGAGACATTTCTCTTATAGTTTCGTTATCTTCTTCATCCTGGGCTAGCCATCTTTGAAAGGGAAAGAGAAGAGTTTGGTTTGTATGCTTATCGGTCATTAATATTGAATGACAATGCCAAGCTGGGAAACCTCCTGAATTATCGTGAAATACTCTAATCTTTTTAATATCTCCAATATCACCAACATTTACCTTTGTAATATAAAGTATACTATTTAAAAGCAACAGAGTAATATGAAATTAAAGCTTACATCAAAATCGGTCTCTTTGTTGCGATCAAACTGATCGTCTTCACCTTTATCAAGGTTTATTTCTTTAGAGACAGACTTAGATCCACAAACTAACAAAGTCACTTTAGCATGCGTACCAGCATTATGGAGATCACTGGTCTTTACTTTGACTTTCCATTCACCCTCTAGAATGAAAATTGGTCACTTTTATTTAAATGTAATGAAAAATAATTTAAAAACTTACGAGTTTTAGTGTTTTCTTTGCATGGTGTTAGTGCTAAACTATCATCATCCAAACCTTAAAAAATATATAACATTTTATTAGCGAGAGAGAAACTCGGTGATAGATGAAAGTAATATTCTTACAGAATAGTTTCAGTTCCCTTTCCGTTAATCGATCATCCTCGTGATCATCAAACCACCGATTGGAATAGAAAATGTATCGATTGGACCCCTCTTTTATAATGATCTATTTTAAGAGTATAAAAGATCTTTTGAAAGAAGAAACTCAAAAGTTTATTACGTTATTACTTTTTCTAAAAACATTCCAGATCCGTAACCGATACCATTATGTCCAATGGTAATTGATTCTAACTCTTGTAAGCACACCGCCTCTAAGCTGAAGAGGTTCTCCGATTTCCGGTCGTAGTTGATTTCTTCTTGTTTACGTAACCAGCGTTTACCTGAGTCACCCCGTTTACCTGGATAAATAATTCAATAGGCAAGGTAAAAATAAATGATTCCTGGAAAAAAATAATTAGATACCGAAAATCGTAAGATATAAGTCTGATAAAGTTCCTGCAGACCAATGATCACCTATGCATACTTGTACTTCGTAATTTTTTACTGAAAAATATAAAAGTACTTAAGAAAACTTATAATTGAATATTAATGACGCTAACGGGGATCTTTATTATCATCACTGGTTTGTTCTCTAACTGTCTCGCAGCTTTCCTTGTCATGAGCCAACCATTTATTGTATATAAACTTTTGTTCTTCTTTTGTCTCTTTGTCTTGTATAATAACCTCTTCTACAAACCATCCTCCCTCCCACAAGTCCTCATCCTCACGTTCCAGTCGGATTTTCCACACGCTACCGCAGTCTTTCTTTAAGGTGAACTCAAATTCGTCTTTGTTTCCTGGTTTGAAGCTTTCATCTTTTTTAAGTTCGCATTCCTTTTTTCCGGCTTCTTCGGTGTAAATTACCAATCTTGCATTACTTCCGTTGGGCTGGCCGGAACTTTCTGCTGTCTTAATATAGGCGATGAATTCACCGGCTGCAAATTGTAAAGAGTATTATTTATACGCATACTATCGCCATCTATCTTTAAAATTGATTAGACGCCAAGAGACGTGGTTATCTAGCAGCTGCCAAGATAAGAGTGGAAGCGCTGAAAGAACCGTAACCATAAACTTTACGCAAGTTAATCGATTTTTGTTCAGCGATCGCTAGACCTTTGATTTAAGGTAAAAAGAAATAAGAAGGTAAGCGAAAATGTCATCTGTATCTGGTCAATGTTCTGAATCTACTACTGAGGAGGTAAATAGTTCGAAAATTAAGGGAGGAGCCTTCTCAAAGGTACCCCTCTTATCCGTTAATAAGGGCGGTAAAGATTGTCTTCATCTACCAACACGGTATTTTGAAGGATTTCCATTAGCACGAATAAATCCCCCAGTTGTACAAGAAGTTGATAAACCGTCTACAAGGGATGCTGCGGTGCAAGAAGACGATGGAAGAATATCTCCATTGGTTACTAATCCAAAAATCTGTTTCATTACTAAGGCCGATAAATCTACCCAGATTGAAAGGTCTACTATCAATTATAAACAAGTACAAACCACAGAAGTTCAAAAGGTTTGTACCGCTATTCAAACAATCGAATCAGGAGAAGAGCGAAAAAGGAATAAGGGACCAGTAAGATTTTTTTCTTGTAATGTGGCCGTTCAGACAGATGAAAAAATGACTGACTATCAGCCACCAAAGAGGTTGGAAAATTTTAAAAGTAAACTTGGCAGGTTGACAAAAAAAGTTAGCGGGGTTAATATTGGAGGAAATCACTTACTGGATTCTGGAGGTGGCTCCTGAGCTAATATTTCTCTTTCTATAGCCGAATCAGATTGGCCCTTGTCAAACCATTGGTTAGACGGAAAGTAGAACATTTTCTCTGTTTTTTCCTCTTCTACTTGCACTATGACCTTTTCAAGACACCAACCAGCTCCCTTTGTTTCCTCTTTGTGTCCAATAATTATTTTTTGTATATCGTCAAGTGAAACTGCCTCAAGTTCAAAAATATCCATTTGCCCTTGCTGGAATTTTACATCGCTATTTTGGGAGTGATAAAGCACTCTTCTTCCGCTGTCACCTCTACTACCATGGAGTTCGATGTACAATTCGGCTTCAGTGTCAGAACTAGGTTCCGAACTAGTGTATATTTCCAGTTTATAAGTAAGTACTATATGATGGAAAAAAAATACATTATTTTTCAACGACTTGTAAAATAATTGAGTTAATTACTAGGCAAAGCCTTTTTTCCGGGTCTCACAGCAGGTAACTCCCGCCAAACATCTAAATCTTCTTCTTTTCTTGAAAGCCATCGGTTGACTTTAAAAGTTAAAAGTTCATTCGAAACTAGATCTTTCATTTTTATTTTTTCTATAAACCATCCAGATTCTCGATCTTCTTCATTATGGCCGATACGGATTTTGTATAATTCGCCAAAATCAGTTCCAAGGTTGACCTTGTCAATATTAATAAAACTATACAGCAACAATAACAACAACATGTTAATCCTACTTTAAATTCATCTGTGGCCCCAGTTTCAAAAGGTACACGTCCATCTTCAACAGGTTCTTTCAGGGCGATCGGACCATTGTTTCCTTTATCTCCGTAAACCCAAAGATTAACAGAGTTCTTTGTTGAATTGTTAGGTTTCGATCCAGTTGTTATCCAAACGATCCATTCACCCGCTAAGTAATATACATTTAACATGAGAGAAGTGGTAATACAATTAAAGTTATATTAACGTTTTGGAGGTTCTTCCTGTTTTTCCGGTTCCGGCTCTGGTTCCGGCTCTTCTTTCTTTTCTTCAACCTCTTTAGGAATTGGTCTTTTTTCTAAAAAAAAATAATAGATAAGTAGTGAAACAAACAACAGTTCAAAAAAAAATAATAGCAAACTTATAAAAACTTACTATTTTTAGATATATAATATTTTAAAAATCGTTAAATATATTTTTGTTTACAAATTAAAATTAATTAGAACAAAAAAATAAACAATTAAGGAGAAATATGCCAAGTTTTAATATAGTTAAGTATGGTGAGACACTTACCTTGTAATAAGAGGAGTAATGTTTACCTCAAGGAGATAGATTAGGTGCATAAATGAAAAATAATGAGGAGACGCTCGTGCATTTTAATCCAACAAAAGAGGTTAAAAAAAATTGGTTAAACTTTTTATAAAACACGAAGATCAATATGATTGCTAAATAAATTAGTAATTCAGTAAATAAAATCAAATAGAAATAACAAAAATATAAAAAGATGTTATATTATAAACAAAAAAATAAGGCATTTGATTATTTTAGACGCCAAAGCAATTAACGTCTATTTAATGTCATAGAGTGTATCTAAGTAATCCCATGAAGTGTATTTTTTAATTCGTACTCTCTTCAGCTCTCTCTTACCTTTGAGTTTCAACGCTCGTTCTATCTTCTTATCATCCATGCTCTTATCAAGCCACCTAAAAGTGTACGATTATGAAATTAAAATATTTTTTATATTACTGAGAATAATTTACTTATTGCACGTGAAAACATATTCATGTTTAGCGTCTTCGCTTTCTCTAATAATTATTTGTTCACAGAACCATCCCTCTCCTGGTCCTTCTCCATCGTGGCCTATGAGACACATTTTTAAATCTCCTAACGAAACGGCTTCCAAGTTAAAAATGTCCAACTTTAAAGAATAAAAATTGGAATAAACAAACATGTATATGCCTAGAAAAAGAAAACAGAACTTGTCCTTCCTGAAATTTTGCGCTATTATTCGAGTTAATTAAAAGCCTTTTCCCAGTGTCCCCCCTTTCGCCGTGTAAGCATATGTATACATTTGCGTCGGTGTCACTACCAGGGTCTTTTCCTGTATAAACTCTAACTTGATAGAGCAGGATGGGTAGCACAGCCTTTCCAGGTCTAACTGCTGGCTGTTCCCTGAAGATGTCCTGATCATCGTGACGACGAGAGAGCCATCTATTGAATTTAAATTTCAGAGTCTCTTTAGAATTCATATCTTGCATCTTCAACTAAAATTCAAAGTAAAACAGAATGAAAATAAAAATTATTTAAAAATGAAATTTATTAGTCTGTACATCTTTCAATTTCCATTCTGGGGGATCCTTTGAACTCAAAGCGCTTAATTCCAATCTTATCTTGTATATACTGCCAATCGATTTTAAATTAATCTATAAAGATTATTATTTAGAAATAGCCGGTTTATTTATGAGAAATAATTAATTAAACCTTAAATTGATCTTGCGAATCGGATTGAAAAATTTCTCCGTCATTTGATTCTCCCAATAATATTGACTCTGACTTATTTTTTGAACCGTAAACAACCATAAATACTTGACATCTTTGAGCCGTTTCAGATGTCGTAATCCAAACTTTCCAATCTCCATCTGAAATTGATAACAGATTGAGAATTGTTCATCTATAACAAACTTTTTAAGTAAAAACCTTGATAGATTGATTCGGCACTGACAGGTTTGGATTTATGTCGTGGTGTGGGGGATACAGGTGTTGATTTCGGTTCTGGAGTTGGAGTGTCACGTTTTCGAGGTTTTTCTGTTTTCTTTACAGGTTCCGGTTCGGGAGGTTTCGGCTTGTTTTTCGGAATACCCCCTACAAAACAATAAAACAATTGAAAATCCTCTATTACAATTCAAAGAGCATTTTTGCAAATTTTACATTTTGTTACATGAGGCCATAAACGAGTATTTTTATCGCCAGTATCCACAGTAGGCCTAACTTGACCATCAGGAGTCATTCCAACAAACAGTCCTCTTTGTGCTAAACTTTCTAAAGCTATATAGCCCTTTTCTTTATATTTCACCACTTTAAAGTGGCACCATTTATCTCCTGCGCCCAAGCAATCGCACTGTCCTTCCCGAATTCTTAGAAATTTTCCTTTTGATCCCAAACTCTCAAATTTCCGGATCCCTCCTTCCTTAACTTTATGTACCCTTTTTTATTAAAAACAAAATATTGTAAAAAAAAATACTTGAATTATTTCTCATAATTCATTTTTACTTGAATTCTGCTGCTCTGTTCCTAACGCCAGTTGCATAAAGCAAGTTTTTATGATCAACCGACAGAGCTTGAATTATCGACGTACAAAGTAATAATACGCCTTGGTCTCTAAACATTCCTTTACAATATACTTGGAACTGTTGTGGTGGACCAGTAATTGTTCCTCTTGGATCAGCCATAGATCCGTTTTGAGCTGCTGTAATATGTTGTAGTACATGTTTTGCAGACTCTAGCATAACAGATCTATCTTGTTGAACTCTAATACGAAATTCACAATATCCGCCTCCTTTGCCCTAATAGGGGTGTTAGTAAAAGAATATATTTAATAATTTAGGTGTATAAGTCTCTTAGTAACTATTTTTGTTTTTACATTTCCTAAAATTCTGCAATTATCGATCGCCACATGGAAGCGGGAATTTTCTGAACTTTGGAGAACGAAATTAGGCCCTCTACGAACGATAACTTTAAAAATTGCTATAAAACAAAAATAAGTAAAAAAAATTAGCTTAGAAGAAAGTCCCAATTATTCGAATTGCCCACTTGTTGCCTCTTTGTCCTGGCCTAGAACGTCGACTGATCCATCGTGATTTACTCGTAGAGCTTGAAGAGTCAATTTTGAGAACAATATGAGCTGATTTTCAGCTATCCATTTCCACTTTTCTAAATCCCACTATTAAAGAAGTTACTAATTATATTTTGTAATGACAAAGTATCCATAATAAATAAAAAAAAAACAATAACAAAGTTTTTCTGATTAAAGAAAAATGAGTAGAAAAAAAAACATTACAAACATTATCGATAATAAACAATTAATCTATTTTAAATAATTAATCAACTTACCAATTCCTTTTCAACAAGATCTGTTTTATATTCTTCTAAAACTTTTAGTTCTCGAACTATTTTTTTGTCACCTTCACCTTCGTCGAGCCAACTAACAAAAAAACAAAAGTTATAAAAAAATGTTCTACTTAGCTATTATTAGAAAGTATAAATTGCTTAGTGATAAGTATTTATAATTAAAATTATTACATGATAAATGGGGACAATACTCTCAATATAGAGAAATATCATTACAGTGGTTTATTATTGAGATATAGAACGTTTTAACCCTATCCAATGAGACTTAAGTCATTATGCCTCTGTAAATTATACATAAATAAAAAGAAACATAGGCCTAAAGTGGTAACGATAGTAATTTTAATCGAAATTATGAATAAATTAATATAAAAGAGAAATAGATCGCTGTATAAAAACTCTAGAAAGATATCGTAATTACTACCCTTATAAATTATTAACAAAAAGTAAACGATTGCTCCTTTTATAATAATGAATAGTAGACTTATTCCATTGAGGTAGAAAATACAAAAATAGACGTTTATAAAGTATAGTACCTAAAGCAAGGGAAAGTCCACTCCTCTTGAGACTTTGGAGATTCTTTTATAACAACTTTATCAAGGTACCATCCTTCGCCTATAGTTAAAGATTTTATATAATCGAAAAAGAAATGAATTACTAAGGATGATTAATTACCAAGAACATTGGCATCGTGTCCTATTATAAGCCTTTTTAGTTTTCCTAGGGAAACAGCTTCGATGTTAAAAACATCAATTTGACCTTTCTGAAATTTTTTCAGGTCATCCTTTTTTATCAATTGCCTGACGCCTGTATCACCCCTTTCCCCGTAAACCGTCAAATAAACGTTAGCATCAGTTCCTGCATTCCAAATATCACCGGTATATACAGTAACTTGATATCTATAAACTAGAATAGACAATTGTTGCTGTTAAATACGATATTACATTAGCCTTTTAAGTAATATATACCAGGAAGAACAGCCTCATCTTTCCTGACAACTGGAAGTTCTCGGCAAATTTCCCTATCGTCCTCATCTCTAGATAACCAACGTCTGCATAAGAATGTCAATTCTTCATTTGTATGAGCGTCCACCATTCTAACTTCATCGCAAAACCATCCAGGAAAGTTACCCGAATTATCATGGCTAACACGTATTTTATATATTTCGCCAATATTTCCGCAATTTATCTACGAGAAAGGGATAAAACAAACGTGGTTCAATTTTTACAAACAAAACCAAAAGGAAGACAAACAATGAAGATCAAAAAAAAAAACAGATAATAGTGTAATAATTAAGAAATAACTTTAACAATTAGCTTTGTGCGTCATGTTAGTTTAAACTAATGAATTTAAGGTAAAGTGTATACAGTATACACTATATCATTTAATTAATAAGCCCGGAAGTCATTTTTTTATACCTCGTCCCTACACAGTACTTTACGATCCTCCTGAAATTTTTAATACGATTGAAATAGACCTTTGATTGTTTTTTTTATCTTAAAGAAAAGGAAATATAATGATGCGGGGAAGGGGAAAGAAATATTTTTTTTTCTTGACTAGGCTTTTTACTATATCATTTATGGTACTTACGTCGAATTCATCTATTTGACCAGACTGAAAATTCTGTCCTTCAGGATGTCCAAGCGTAATTAATCCGGAATTCCCCTTATGGCCGTAAACTGTAATAGTAACTTGAGCCAGAGTTCCGGCCGTAGGTAGTTCATTGGTAGTAACCCAAACCTTCCAAATACCTCCTAATGTTCAATCGTTAATAAATTCCGTTGACAAGAAAACACATAGTACTTACTTGTTTTGGCCAATCTTTCTCGGCGGTCTTTTAGTTTAGTAGCAACTGGATCGTGTTCCTGTCTGGATCTCTGGCGTTTCGGCGGCTTTCTCGTTGGGGGTAATCGCCTTTGGTCATCTGATAATGGTCTTGTGGATGGCTTAAATCTTTCGGATGGGTTTAAGGCAACAACATAAGTGTCACCACCGTTAAAAATACTAGATAAACTTTCAACTTTCTCTCCCTGCGGTGTCCAAAGAGCGTGAACTGCTTTGCCGAACATTCCTGATATGTCTTGGAGAACAATTTCAAAACTTCTTTGAGCACGCCTACTTAAGAGCATACTCCTACGTAAATTAGGATCACCGTTACGAACAATAATAATCTTTTTGGAAAATTTATTATTTCCAGCTGGACGGTAGCTATCCATTTCACTATCTGATACCGCATTTCTAGGTGGCGGTCGACGTCTTTGATGTAGATTTGGTTGGAAGGGATGATCGGAATCATTTTTTAGTGTTTCGTTATATTGCTTTTTACCAGAAGGTACTCTACTAGCCCTCCAAGCTTTAAGTTTAGCAACGCTCGCAATATCGACACCTTTAGCTTTATTTCTATTAGTACTGCAAACGTAACGGCCTTCGTTCTCTAAATCCTCCCAGGCCAGGACCCGTTCCCTACCTCTGGGTGTATATATTGATCTAACACCAAAAGGTAGTTGAATACGTTTTGTCAGTTGATCTTGTAAAGTTCCCATATTTTTATGAATTTTTGGATCGAGCGTTAGTTTTATAGCGGCCACATTCTTATCACCATCTTTGTAGAAGAAACAAGTCTTAATGGAAGGGGGTTGATACAAATTTCTAGAGTGTATCCCCTTCTTTTCTTCAATTTCTTTAATATCGTCGTCCTCCATAATTTAAACGTTCATCTAAAATATTGAACAAATGAATATTAAAGTTAACCCTTACGACAAAGTATGTCAGTCTAGGTTTTATAAACCATACGGTTGTAATATTATATACATTTCAAATAGTCTATATCTTACTGTCTAACTGTATATCCTATATTCTTTGTTTTAATCGTTACGTTTATACGTCCAGTCAATCATTCCTGTCTACTTTTTTACCCCTTTGTTCCTGAGTAGTGAATAAGGACTAACAACTGTCCTACATTCATAATATTCATTTCTAAGTATCTTTTTATGCGTTTAATAACTGTTTACGTAAACAAAAAAATGAAACGCTGCCGAACAACCAGCCAGCTGATAATAATATTAATCGATTCCGCCTTTCGATGACAGAATTATAGAGTAGAGCGAGAAAATTATTAATTTTTAACTTATTTTCTTATTTAACCGTTGCATTTATAGGGTCGAATTTCCTCGAATATTTATAAAAAAATTACGATAGGCCTACAAAGGATTAATAGATAATAATAGTATATAAATATATATATATTGTCTATTGAAATATAAAATATATATATATATATATATATATTAGTATATATACTCTACATATTTCTATACAACATATATAGTAACGTAGTTTGTTTTGGTTGTTAAGCAAATAAAAGGTATAGTAAAGCTATAGCTATTCGGATTTTTTTTTCAGTTGCTATAGTAATTAGTATACTCTTCGTTGATAAAAACAAAATAAAAATATATAAATTTAATGTTTATGAATAGAAGCACGATGAAACCTTTCATAATGAGAAAGAAAAAAATCCCTGCGTAGGCCTAGACGTTTTTTCAATTAATGAAAACCATTGACATCGATTGTTCAATATTTATAAAGAGAGAGAGAGAGAGAGAAAAGAAAGAGAAAGAAAGAGAAAGAGAGAGAGAGAAGGAAGGAAGGAAGAGAGGGATTGGTTCAGAAGATATAAATAGTTGATTTTTTCGAGTTACGATATAACAAAGTGAGTTATGGTTGTTAATATTAATGAGCACCTTCATCAATAAAATACTTTTTCAAATGCCGATTTATTTGTGCAATCGATTCGCTTCGATACTGGGCTATCGTAGAGGTAAGGTAAAACGAGAAAACTGGGTACAGATCAATGTAATTAGAGAAATTATATAGTATACGTAACAAATGATTACTATCTGCGATAACGTGAAAAAAATTATACGGCCGACTGTAATACAATATATATATATATATATGAAGGATTATATCAAAAGAATAATATAAAATTTTTATAGTCTACTAAATGGATCTCAACCAAAATAAAGATATCTTTAATTGACAAAAAAAAAACAAAACAATAACTATATTGTTTATGTTTTTATCATTACTATTACAATTTTTATATAGTTATAAATATTAGAAATAAGAGAGCAAAATGTAAAAATGATAGACAGAAAAATACAAAAATAGATAGTATAAACCATTATAGCATTCAAATTACTTAATTCACCTTCAAATTACAAAAATCCGAGTGATGTATTCCAGTAAAATGTCTAAATCTCAAATAGAAATTATCATTTACTGTTGCAAAATTTCTCTAAAGATATAATAATCATATAAATTAACGCTTAAAAGTGATAATTAAAGTGAAGTGTTGAGGGCGCCACGCCGTTGCTATGCATGTTGTAAACATCATAGGTGGGCAGATTTCCCCCTGTGTTTACATAGAGAGACTTATGGCACCTTTCTGATCAATTTAATAAGGCTTCTGTATGATTTCCTTGTAGTTTGAAAAATGGATGATAATTGAAAGATTAACCGTAAGTATAGTTTTATTTAAGTAATAGGATATCCAATTTATAAAAGGGTTTAAATAGCCGTGTACCAACTTATTATTAATGTTATTTAACAAAGAGTATACCTATTGACATTAAATATATAACTTTTTGTACAATGAGTGACGACAGCTTGTATATTACAACAGCTGAGATTCACTACAATTCACCGAACGAAGGGGAAGAGGAGTCGAACGATAATAAATCGGATAAAAACCTAAATCTAGTATCGGAGATAAATTTCGAGCCACCTCCCCATTTGAGCCAAAATTTCGCTAGCAGTTTAAAAGAGGAAGAAACTTTACGTGAAAATGACGATGAAAAACCGAATAAGGAAGCTTGCTCTTCAACGGAAATCGAGAAAGATGAAGAAAATGACCATAGTTTACGAGGTATGGTTGGGGAGAAATTTTCAATGACCTTTGATGGATTATCCGAAAATAGACAATCTCAGCGTCTACCTAGATCAAATTCGGTTCCAGTATTTTCTAGAATTCCAAGTTTAAAGTTTGTTAGAAAAAAAAGATGGTCTTTGAGAACAAACGAATCTGAAGAGGGAGCTGTAAGTCAGGATTCTCCGGTCGTGGATGAAGAATTGGATGAAAGAGTTGACAGAAATGATAGAGAAAAGAGTAAACAATCGACTAATGGAGATAACCTTAACAAAGGGAAATTAGGAAAGATTTCGTTATTGGCAAGTTGTGTATTTTGTAAGGGGAGTCTACATGCTGCCAAAGTGTTTGCTTGCCTTCATTTCGCCTGTTCAATTTGCACTGTTGGAAATAAGACTCATAATTGTCCCATTTGTACTGATTTGATAGAACCAATGGAGAAAAGCTCTTTCGCCGATGGCCTTAGTCAATTGGGAAGGTTGACGAATATATCGAGTCAGCTATGCGACAATTGTGAAGAAGGTAAACAGGCTAAGCAACGCTGTAGCAATTGTTATCATTTCCTTTGCGACGATTGTACAGAAGCTCATCGAGTCACAAAGCAAACCAAAACACATATCGTCGTAAAGGCTTTTGAATTGAATGAAGAATCGATTAGAATGGGTCACTTAAGGAGGCCAGTTGAATGCTTAAAGCACAGCGGAGAGCATTTAAGATTTTATTGCGATACCTGCGCCATCTGTGTATGTGCTGATTGCCGCCTAAATCGTCATTTGTCCCATCGTTGCGAACCAATTAAATCTAAAGCCGATTATCTACGTAAATCACTGGGGCATTTACAAAATATCATTATTAGTAATGTAGACAACGTTCAAGATGGCTTAAATAGGATTAGGGAGGAGAAACTTCTGCTAAATAATTCACATTTGGCTAGTAGATTAGCTATTAGAAATAGATGCGAGATCCTATGTAAAAGTATCAATTTAGAATGCGATAAGTTGTTGGTTAAGTGCGATAGTTTGGCAGATCTTGAATTAAATTGCCTTACAGAATTTGAAGAAAAGTTGACAAGTTTCTCCGATAAATTGATCTATATAGAAGATCTTAATGATATTCTTATAAAATTTGGTAGAGATACAGATGTAATTGAGAATAAACGGCTGGTAAATGAACGTCTCTCATATCTCTTATCAATTGAAGATGTAAGGTTCTCCCCTCCCAAAAAGCGCCTTGAATTTAAACAAAGTCATTTCGATCCAGTAACATTTTTGGAAGATACAATAGGTCAGATAGAGAGTAATGTAGTTGAGGATAAACACGACTTAATCCCATCTAATGCCGACTATAAGGCAAACAACTTCTTGAAAAGACCTAAATTGGAATGGTCACTCGAGAGTGATACAAATATTAGTGGCCTTACGGTATCTTCAGATCTTCAACTAGTAATTGTTGACGCATCGAGGGGACGTCTTATATCAATTTCTATTGAAACTGGCGAAACGTTAAAATTTACGCCACCTCCAGTAGATCCTTGGGATGTATGTGCCATTTCATCGGGGTATTTGGTCACTGATAAAGCAAAAAATGTCGTTTTAGTATATGACAGGGATAGGAAATTAATAAAAACTCTTCACGGTTTTACCTGTCCCTTAGGACTTGCCGTTTTAAACAATGACAGTTTTATTGTAACCGATGACAAACAAGTCTGCGTTATTCGGAATGATAAATGTAGTAGGCTAAAAACAGTGTTTAATTGGCCGGTATACGTTGCAACTTCACCTGGAAATAAATTTATTATCGTTAGCGATAATTCTAAAGGCTCTGTTACCGTTATAGACGATAAGGGAGGCAGATTTTGGGAATATACGGATAGAAATTTATCACCTTCTGGTATAGCTTGCGATAAGTTTGGTAATATTCTGATTGCAGATCGTACTAGAAATTTAGTTTTACTATTGTCGGCGGATGGAACTAATTGTCGGATTCTTCTTACACCAAACGAAGTAAATCAACCAAGAGCGGTTACCGTTGATAGTTTTGGTCATGTTTTCGTTGGAGAAGCAACGGGCGGAGTAAAGATTTTTAGATACGTTGAAGAATAAACTTGTCCATATATTTATTTACGAATACAACAATCAAATGTAAAAATAAGTAATTAACTCAAACAAATCATTCAATATATTCATTTAGTTCATTTTAATATTTCCGTAAAATACAAATATTTAAAAAAATGGCGCGAAAAACAATCTTTACCAGTTTTCGCACGTATGTTACTTTTCTGTATTTTCAATGTCATTGAATGTGAAATAAACATGGCGTCCAAAATTGTACGATCCGGACTTGGAAATGTTCTTGTAAGACGTTTTGCGTCTAGCAGCGGCCCCTCTGCAGTGGCAGAACATGGAGGTGAATTTACTTGAGCCGATTATTATAATTTTATCGTTATTTACAAATTAAGTATCTTATAAAATTATGATTTTCACAAGGTATGAGAAACTGGAGATTTCTATCATTAGTTGTTGCCCTGCCCGGCGTTGGAGTTTGTTATCTTAATGCCCAATTGAAAGAGGAAGAAGTTCATAATGCTCCTCGTCCAGAATTTAAACCTTATGAACATCTGAGAATCCGTACTAAGGTAAATTATTAGACAATTCAAAGGCACATGTTCTTTACTATAAAATTCGAATTTATCAATTGAATTTTATTTCAGAAATTTCCATGGGGAGATGGAAATCACTCTCTTTTCCACAACTCGCATGTTAATGCCCTCCCAGACGGATTTGAAGAAGATGGACATTAAAAAGTACTTACAAAATGAATAGCCAATGTCCAAAAAATGCACAGTGGTTTTCATGAATATGAAATTCTTTAAATACAAATCGTATAAAACGTAAATCATTTTGAAATAAATTATGACTTGACATTTTTTTAGACAACTCCGCATTAATAATTAAAAAAGCGATAACAAAGATATGTTTATAAATTAGGTAGAGTACCCTACTTATTCTCTAAACAACTTTATTATCAAACGTCACTATTATCCGGCTTATCAAAGCTAATGAACTTGTATCTATTCTTCTCATTATCTTCGCTAATTAATGCACTGATAAATGCATCAAGACATTATAGATGTTATTCATATGACATCATTTATCTATTAAATTTTCTAAAGTAAACATCCGTGATGGGATCGAACAAAATTGATACAAACCCCGAAAGAGAGATGCTAACCACATCGTTTGCCGGAATACCAAAGACCTTACAAAGACAAAATCAACATCAAGACTGCCACCTGAAGAAAGGGTGCTGTAATTTCAAAGTTATCGTTGTAGGTGAATCTGGAATTGGTAAAACGACATTTGTATATCGTTTCGTAACTGGGGAATTTATTAATTTTCTACATCATTCCGTCTCTTTTTCCTTAACCGATTCACTCGATCATACAATAGCATTTGATGGATATAATATTCATTTGGACATATGGGATACTGCAGGTAAGACATTGAACTCTTTTCTAATCAATTCAATCCTAATTATTACTTAATTATAAACTAATTATCTAATATGATAAGGATTAAAATAGGTAATGACGACCTTCGCACGTGTCTAAATAGAAACAGAATTTGAACAAGACATATTATGTAATTTATATACATTTTATCGATAGGTCAAGAACGCTATAGGAGTTTAACAGGAAGTTACTATAGGGGTGCTGGTGGTTGTCTCTTGTGTTTTGATCGAACTGATGAAACGACCTTCAATCATTTATGCCATTGGTAATTATTAAAAATTAATAAATAAATAAAAAAGCACCTCCGTTAATTTGCTATTTTTACCATCATCCGCATCAGGTACGACGATATTAAGAAATACGCTCCTAAGTCTACTATTCTACTTGTTGGACTTAAAACTTGCAGTACAAAAGAAGATGCTGTTGACAAATTTAGAATAGAGAGATTCGCCAGCGAATATAATCTTAATTACGTAAAAGTCGATTCCGAAAGAGGGAAAAGTGTTGATCACGCGTTCAGAAGTTTGGTCGAAGGAATGTGTCAAAGTTTTCTTTTGTCTTCGAATAAAAGGGTTTACAATTCCTTGGAAAGAGCTGACAGCGGTTATTTAAGTTTGGTGAGAACAACGAGCCTTCTAAGACTTCAACAAAGCGTGCAGGACAATAAGTTTGTTCAACAACTAAAGAGTTCGAGGGCGTTTAAGCAAAAAAGGGGGAAGAGGAAGAACAATTGCTGCGGGATTTGTTAGCATAACTAGCCCTCATATAAACTTAAAAATCAATTGTAAATAGCTAATGTATGTCTAAAAATATACAGTATACTGTATATACTGTATATACAGTCGCCAATCAGTCTACTACTGCAAACTGAGTATATATACAGTGTTTATACAAAAACATTAAATTAGCGCATCGTATAAATAAAAATTTTTTCAACAATTAATATTTAACTTGTTATTTAAATAATGATTTGCTCCTAACACATTTATATAATAAACTATGTTTGGAATATAGATTCATTTTTGTTCTTTTAATTTATTATTTAAACTATATTCATAGTCGACATATCTTTCGAACAGTATGATAGAAATAACATACTGCCTTGAACATAATCAACCCTATCTCGTTTTAATATTGGTGATTAGCAACGAATAAAGAACTTCCGCTAGCGGCACTTTCGATTGATCCGTCGTATTTTCCCAAAGCAGCTAAACCGTTAGCTTTTGCTCTTTTCAACAATTCTTCTTGTCCCTTTGCCAAATTTTCTTTCTTTCCTTGCCATGCTTTGAGAACTGAAGCTTGTAGGGCTCTTCCGTAAGAAAAGGTTAATCCCCAAGGCTTCTTTCCAGCATGAGCATTGATTGCGCTCAAATTAAGCGAAGCTTCTTGTTCACTCTGACCTCCAGACAAGAAACATATACCAGGAACTGCAGCTGGCACAGTTCTCTGCAAAGTGGTAACAGTTGCATCCGCAACTTGTTCAGGAGTGTATTTCTTTGTGCATGATTGTCCAGCAACAACCATATTGGGTTTCAACAGGGATCCTTCTAAGTAAACATGATGATCCGCCAAAGCCTTATAAACAAACGACAAAACCTGTTCGGTTATCTTTTGACAAGCTTCCAGGTCGTGATCTCCATCCGACATAACTTCCGGTTCAACAATCGGAACTAATCCATTCTATTTATGAATAAAAATAATTTCATAAATAAAACTGAGTATCAATAATTAAAAAAAAAACAAAACAAATCGATAACACTAACAATCTACTACAAAAAAAAAACCAAGCTAATTGCAGATCTCTAAACTGCAAACTAAACGAAATTTAAAAGTATTTGTATGGAGAGTACTAGGTATTGTTAAAAAAAGTTGATAAACTAAGGAAGTCACACTCAAAGACAATTAAACAACAACGAGAATAGAGTGTGCTATTCTCTTTTTTCAACCTTCTTTCTATTAATGATTGCTTGCTTATTTTCTTTGTCCGTTAAACCTATTGATAATTTAAAAGGAGAGAGGAAGAAAAAAAACCATTTACAAGTGTCAGAAACTTTTGGTATTTTAAAACGTATTTTTATGCTTCTCTTTTTTAGATTTAAGCTTTTTCAGTTAATCAATCGATTTTGTCTGAAAATCTGTTGCTTTACCTGTTGGCAAATGCTAGCATAGCGTGCTAGAACATTGGCATTTTCTAGCATAGCTAAATAAGAAGGATTGTGAGAGCTGATCTTCAAAGTGCAACGCCATTTAGCGAATCGGGCACCGCCTTTTCTATACTCTTGGCAGCGTTCAGCAAGGCCATCCAGACCTGTGATAAGACAGTTGTAAATTTTTCAAATGACCTTGTGAAATTAGTATCTGACCTTGAGTTGTAACTTCACCGTCGGATCCACTAAGGGGAACAACGCCCTTATCGACCTTAATGCCTGGGATGATGCCGTGTTTTTGGAGAACATCGGGGAAGGGGGTTCCGTTGTCGTCTTTTTGATAGAATGTTTCGTGGAACAAAATAACACCAGATATATGTTGGGACAAAAGCTCAGGTTTTGTTGAAAAGAGCAGTTGTCTGTATTGACGACGGTTTTCTTCTTCGTTCGCTAATTGGATGTTGGAAAAGCGTTTACCCATAGTTCCAGTTGACTCATCAGCAGCCAAAATTCCCTTTCCAGGTGCCACAATAGCTTCGGCGACCTTACGAAGTTCATCTTGCTTTTCTTTTGGTAGGTAGACTCCACAACGAGGCATTGTTCTTTCTACAATGTCAAAGAGTCTAGAAACTAGTTTAAGACGTAAAAATCTGCCTACGGCTACACGATTCCGAAAATAATTTATATTAACGTCTAAGGAGACTGTCTCCAATATGGCTAACTTATTAAATGCCCAAAATATCTACTTACAGTATCTTTAGTTAGTTGACGACGAATAACGTTTAACGTGTTCAACGCGACCTGTTAGTGAAGAGAAGATCACAACCTTGACATTCGTGTCAGCTGTTCAGATGCAAATTTCTGATTGGTTATTCGAATATTAACAAAATTTCAACATCCTTAAATAGCGCCAATTTTGAAATGTCATCGTGTGTCGTAAATTTGCGTGAATGTCGTATGTAACAACAGTAAGGTGAGTTTAAAATTACCTACTGAAGTTTATTGAATAAAATGACTAGCCCAAACCAAAGTGAAATTGTTATATTCCCGTTAGATTGGTCCACAATGGAAACAATTTTACAATTAACCAACAAAATTTAATTCTTTACACTTTACATCTAATTAAATTTTGAAAATTCACAATAATTCAACAATTTTTTTTTTTTTTTACATTAAAAAACGCATCAGCAGTCAATTAGGCACTGAATGGGTTACGTTTGACGCTGCCATGATAACGCTCGTTTTAGAAGTCGACATTCGCGTTCCATCCGCCAGATGAGCTTGAGCGTTAAATATTTTCAAAAACAATTCCTTGTATGTGGTAACGTGAGAAGCAGTAAAATCATCGTCAAAATTTTCATCCAACGAATCATCCTTAGGTGACATTAGTAACCTTCCACGTCCTCCTATAACGTATTTATTGTATGAGATTTATTGAAAAACAAATAGTTAGGGAAAAGAGAACAGCTAAGAGTGGTTAAAATTATTTAAAGGATGAAGCTCACCAACACCAAATGGTGAAGACGCGAGGCAATAATGTAAATGCTTTTCGGAAAACTCGTAACCCCAATTAATTCCTAGCCCTCCACCTCCCGCAGCCGCGGATAAGCTGGAGATCGGCGAACCAGACAACGATTTGGGTACTTCTTTGCCGTAGCCGACGCCCCAAACCGTTTTCACCGATGAGAAGCTACCGAGGAATACAGCAAAGCAAAGAACCAATACCTGGAAAAGCGTACGACGGAAAAGATCAGCTGTTTAATTTGTATTTTTAACATAAAAGATGAGCGCTAACCATAACGCAAGTACCAGCAGTATGCGTCGCAGCACCCTTAGATAGTAACGATTGAACTTTCACAAGCAAGGATCTATTATGATTCTCTAGTTGTTCCATCTTTCTTCTCAGATCGTTATTCTCCTGTACGAAAGCTTCCATGCGTTTTTCCAAACTTTCCACATATTCCTTCTTTTTCCGTCTTGACTCTTGGGCAGAAATTTTATTCTTAATCTTTCTCCTGATTTTTTTCAAGTTCTTTTCTTCCTGTTTAGATAGAGGAAGTTTACTGGGAATGGGATATCCCTCCGAAATTAATGTTCTCTTTTCTTCCTCAGTAAGTACCAAAACTCCAGAGGTAGGAATCTGTTGGTTAATAAATTTTTCAATAAATTGTCAAAAAGTAGTTCACTAACAATATTCTTTTCATGATCTGCGCACTTAATAAATTTTTTATACAAAATCTATAAGATGGCGCCCCCTCACCTTTTATAAATATTCTATATAACTACTAGCTATAGTTCTTTCATATAAGAAATTCATAGTTTAAGCATATCATGGGAAAAATGCTGAAAACCGATTATTACATTAAATGGCTTCTACGAATGTTCATAGTACAAAATGTTCAATATCTTTTTTTAAAAAATTGAATAAAACAGAACAGCCATAGGATTATGCTAAGTCGGTCACTGTAACTGAATTTCATCGACATATAATTAATCAATTCTAAACACACTCTAGGCAACGCTGCATATGTTTGCAATCAAATTATAAAAACTTTATGAATGTAAGTTTTAAGAATACTAATTTCCAACTAACAATTCACGTTCGAGAAAATTTTATATCCGGAAAAATAAGCGCTACGACAGATGTATACTATCACAAAGCTACATATTTTAATAAAAAATTTTTGGGTTTCCTGTCACTTTTTTTTGGTTAAAGATAGTTTATAGGCGTTCAACATCTGTACCGTCGCACGTACAGACATGTTATTCTTCCAGACACTTTACCGATACAATGATAAGTTATCAATATATTTTAATGATAATAATCGGTGGTTTGATCGATTTATTAAAAAATATTACTCACCGGACTCACGAAAAGAGGTTGGTTCACGTTGTAAGGCGATGTCTGTATGTGATGATGTTGGTGACGAATAGCCTGCTGCCTTTGTAAAGGCGTTTGTCTTAGAGTTGGTGTAGTTACTTGGTGCTTCACACTTAAAGTAGACGTAGTCGAACCCGGGCTCGACGTCGTGCTGCTATCACCACAGTCATCGCTAGGTGGCGTTGGTGGCATATCAATGTCTAGTTTTGGAGAAAAAAATTAGTTACGTAACAGGAGCAAGTCTATGGTCAAGGTTATATTTAGTACTTACTAACTACACCATTACCCAATTCGGATTTAACCGATGTGCTAGACAACAATAATTGCTTCGAAGTTGGCGAAGCGCGAAAAACAAAAGTAGGCTGTGAAGTTTGCGTCTGGAGCAACTCGTTAGTCGTTCCGACGGTAGACGTCACATCCAATTCCTCATCCGAGTCCGAGTTCGGTTCTTTCTTAATAAAGTCCAATGTATCCATAGTTGAAGTACTTGAGCTGTTTGAGCTAGTTGATGATGAGCAGTAGCTGTGCTCATCCTTAACTCTTGGTAATTCAGCCGATTCAGAAATCATAGGGTCGTTCAACAAGAAGTTATCGAAATACTCTTCACTAGTTGAACAATCTAAACCCAATTCCAGTTGATTGCATATGCCGTTGGTTGTCTGAAGAGGAAAAAATCGAGTATATTCATATTAATTTTTTCCTTACTAATCAATTTTATCCAATCTATCGATTTTTTTTACAAAATATATAACTATATTCTTAAATCCTAGTTAACAAGTTAAAACATGCTTAAAATATGTATTGTATAACTAAAATGAGTACTCTTCCAGTAGACATGTCCCGACACAGCTTTAAAAAAACTATTTAGTATAAATGGTAGTTAGGTTTGAGTTTATGTTGATAATGAAAACACTTGCAAACACGTGTAAATTTGTTCATATAACGACAAAAAGCCGCTAAGACCTAAGTATAAACTACCACTACCAAGTGAATCCTTTTACAGAATCTACCTTCAAAGCGACGCAACCACGCCCGTTTTCCAACAATGAGCCCACTTAAACATTCTATTCAACAATAGCCTAGTCGCGTCGCGTCGGTTCTATTCACACTGGGGCATTATCTACATTCCAAAAATGCACATAGACTGTATAAAATTTTTAATTTAGTCTTGTTTTATCTGAAAATTTTCCTAATTCAAAGCAACATATGGACTTATAGTAAGAGACTGCACGTGCGACTAGAGTAGTTTTTCGCTTCCCATATGGACTTTTAAACTTAGAAAGAGGCACGATTTATCTAAACGGGCGTGGTTGTTTATCATGGTTTAATCAGAAGATTTCCCTTACCTCATCAACGCACTCAAACAGATCTTCTCCTTCAATATCACTCAATCCATTCTCCATCAGTCCAGATGGCTTGACGGAGTCCATAAGGTACATATCCATGTTCCAGTCCGGTCCAATTGCCTTAAGTCCTCGTGGGGTTCGAAAAATCTGTCTTAACCCCAACCTCGTGAGTTTCTTCTCGATTTGTTGGGTGTAAAAGGACGCTAGGTAGCGCTGAAACCGGTATTTTGATGTATTCTTACGCGAACTATATTTTTAATTCGTCGCTCTATTTTCTTTTATGCACGGAACATGAAGTTAAAATATAAAAAATACATACCCTCTTCAATTTTCAAATTCACTTCTTCAGCCGTGTCCTTCTGAGAAGTGAAAATGTTGTTTTTGTTTCAATAATTTGCCTGAAATAAGATAGGTATAAGTTTACATATGCCGGCTAAAGCCCTTAAAAGACCAAAAGGAAAACACATATGTGAAAATGTACTTACTGTGTAAGAGAACTTGTATAACGCTCCGTGTCTGGGGCTCAAAAGACCGACGATATGTTAAATAGAGTAGTTATATCTTCAAGGGGTGGTCCATTAGAGGGTGATTCCTCTCGAAAACTGCTAAAAAACAGCAGTCAAAAACAAAAGAACGTTTATTATTTGCGCGCTTCGCCAATGACGTCATAGGATTTACCAATAATTAGAAGAGGGGTGGGCGGGAGCCTACGGACTTATTAAATAATTCATATTTATTATAGATAGACGTTTCCATTGCTTTATTTAATCGCTGTAACCATTTTGAAGATGTAAAAATTGTAAAAATGAATAATATTTCATCAGTAAAAGAGAATAAATAAATTCAAGACACGACAAAATTAACAGCCGCCGATGAAACTACTCAAAAATATACATAAAAAGCCTTGGCCCCTCGTTTAATTTTTATTATTTATATGATATATTAAAAAACAATGTTTATAATTTGGACGAAAAATATCATATTCTCTCATAGAAATAACACGCTTAATAATCATTGTCAAAAAAGAGAGAGGATATCCTCTCTAATTCGGCCTCTCATTCTCATCTTCTAATTATGTAAAATTTATCCTACTTCCTGCGCATGATATGGGATTGCTATTTTATAGTTAAAAGCATTTAATATAACGTAAATTCACTTGTTTACATTTTTCCGTATGTTATTGAATTATGATAGTTTTGTTAATATTAATGTATATAAAAATTGAAAAGAGGGAATATCACCAACTGTCGAGTCAACGACCTAACTCCTTATCTGCAAAAGCTATTAGTTCCGGCTCGTATTTCTACAGATGTAAGAATACATAAAAATTACTAGAGACTATGTGATTCATGGTGGCAAGTATGATACACGAAGCTTTCAGAGAAGAACACTTTTAGGCCAATAAATAAATCTCAGTAAGTTCAGTTAGGCCGACTCCTTTTCATTACCTCTATAAAAAATCTTATACGGTATCAGAAGTATTAGAAATGTTTATAATTTAAAAGACAGTTAAGTTAAATGACCGGAAGAGTTTTTATCTTTAATAAACATTTGTCTGAAATACAGTTTAATTCTAAAACGGTTTTCTAAGCCAATGTTTGTCTAAGTAAGAATTTGTCTATTTTGCACTTTATTTGTATTATTATTAAGAAAGTACAAGGATACAGTTATCATCCTTTTACAATTCTGAGATAGATAAGGATAAAAAAATTTAATCAGTTAGATTTAAAGTAATCATACGATTGGTGTATTTTGAATCTGTTTACTATTTACATATCAACTAGAACATTAGTAACATTGGCTGTTATTCGAACTTTTCTTATCGGATAACTGAGAACAATTCAAAGGCTTTAACCAGAAACTAATAATTCCTTTTCATTTGATATAAAAAAACAGCTTGTAAAGTGCAAACTTCTATGTTTTATTGAGATGTTATTGAAAAAGAAAGATATTTATACAATAGAGGCGTCTAAACATAAAAGCAACGATTAATTTTAACAGATTTCAATTGGGAATTAATAAATTAAATAATCTATAAAAAAAGATAAGCAATAGGAATTGTTTAGAATTAAATGATGAAAAGGAAAGGGATATTTTGTTAATTCTAGTTCCTTCTTACAAAAAAACAGTATCTTTTCCTTGTGTGAATATTTCTCAGAATAAAATTATTACGTAGTTCTTATTTAAAAAGCCGATGATCTCTAGACATATTCAGCACGAACAAGTTATAGGGTTTTGTGTTTGTATAATCGTAAATATTTAAGATCGCTAAGTACGTTATTCTATTTTCTCGATATTTATCTACTGAAAAGAAAAATGAACTAAACTGAAAATGATTATTTCCCATCTATAATTAATGTTAAGCAAAAATTAATAAGACGTTTAAGAGATTGTTATGTAGCTGTTGAAATTAAAAATCTATATTAACATCATATGATTGATTTTATTGGTATAAAGCGAATCTAGGTTAGTAAAATTGTATGATTGTACAGACTAGTACTTGGCTATTTGCCCAACACGACTAACTGAGAAATAGTAAGTTCAGATTTTTGTCTAGTAACCTTCTTTCCCGAGACTATAGTATATCGTGACGTCAGAAGGCGTTTTCCCAACTATTTTTAGTATATATAAATGTATATTTGTAGTATTTATTTATAGTATGTACAGTAATTTCTTTAAGTTATTCCTTTTAGTATTATAATAAAAAAAATTTTGTATAAAGAATCAACTTTGACAAATGTATATATCTAAAAAAAAAAACAAAGAAAAAAGTCTTGATAAGCAAATGAAAATATTCTATTTATGGTAAAAATTATCATATTTCTGATTTCGATTCGGTAATATTACATACGAGGAAAAATACAAAATTTATTATTTTTAGATAAGATAAGATTTTAAAGGTTAAAAGTAAGTTATACAACATTATCTAAATCCCTAGTTTAGTCTGAGTGTTAGTGAGATATAAAAAACGAAATAGAAGGAAACAATGACAATTATAGAGCAATGTTATTTCTTTTTAATTAAATACTTTTCTCTCTCTCTCTCTCTCTTTGCAACATTTGCGTCATTATTGATTTTTTTGCATAGGAAAGATGTACTTTATATATAGACTTGATGTTTAAAGCATTCTTTAATCATTTGACACTCTTAAGTTGATGGTAATATTATATATATTTGCTTCCATTTTACAGATAAGTCACTATTTAGTAAGGGATTGTTTGGTATATTCTCCTATAAAGTACTCTCAGTAATAGATTAACTGGATGTAAGAAAATAAAATCGGAATTTCCAAGAAACAAAAAGATCTTCCTTTAGATAGACAGAAGAATGATTGAATGAATCATTTTAAACTGAATTTAGTCAGACAAAAGAAGTTTATTGGTATATTTCGGCCATGTGTGTGTGACGGTATATGTATGTGTGTATTGAAAATGGTAAGAATCCTGCGCCATTCTCCCTTCTATTAACAATAAGCCTTTCACTTCCCTTCCACCCCCTCCTCCTCAACAAAAGAAGTAACAAGAGCAACTATTTGAACCGTTCAGCCTATCTTTCCATTGATCAGAGAGTTAAAGCAATTTTTTGTCTTCCATGGAAAAAAAAATGAAACATCTGGGTTTTTTTTATTTTTTATTTTGATTCTGATTGGTTTTTTTTCCCTAAAATTGATATACATATACTGTATATACTGCATATACAATATGTACATTTATAATCTATTAAAACAGTAATTTTTACATCTCTCTCCCTCATTTCATTACTATCACTATGATTATTATAGACAAATTTTCCTTGTAATAAACTAATAGGATGTAAAGCAAGATTTTGAATTTTTTAAACTCTTTTGCCTAACTTAGATTTAATAATAAAATTTAAAGAAGTAATAATAAAAGGTATAACTGACGTCCTCATAAATATTCATAATATATATATATATATAATGCATGCATTTATAATACGAATGTTCTTGAATTTTGAATGAACTATTGAATTCTGTAACTATTGAACTTACACTTTTATATCACATATTGAAAGAATAATACGAATTTTTTTTTCAAACAAGAAATATGTCTTTTCTATAAACTATAAAAAGGAGAAAAGCGCTCGCCCCCTTTTTCAGGTAAAGTTGACCTATAATTCCATTCTACCAGTATATATGAATATAAAAATATATAGGTCAATGTCTAAGGTCTATAAAAAAAGAAGTATAAAGCATTCTATGTTTAATATAATAAATATACTATATATCCTTGATTTCCTTTTTCTATTGATGTATAATAGATATTTTGCTACTTTACTATTGTTTGCATTTTAGAGGGTAAAAAATGGGTGGAATCCCTTTACGCCCAATATATAATAATTATTTTCTCCGCCTTAATTTGAGAGAGAAAGCGTTACACAAAGCAATCTTTTTCTTTTTTTTTTTTTAATTTGACACCTAAAATAGAGACTAAAGATATGAATTAAAGTATCTTTGTTAGTTGTTTCAATATACACTTAGTCGTTTATTTTTGTTTTAATTAGCTTATTTCTTTGATAAAAATAACTCAATTAAGAGATTTAAAAAAGAATTAAACTGACAATTTTATAAGATTTAGTTGTAGAATCAAACTTCAGGTGGCGTTATAAATCGATTGATTAAAAGGTAGCACTTTAAAAGGGATTTAAAGCAAATTTATAAAACTTTATTAATTATAAATATTAATTAAGTTTGCTAAGTTCTTTGACATTCCTAATGTAAAAGGCATCGTTTATTCTGCTTTTTATATAATTGCATTAGGGAAATAAAAACATTTCAGAATTAATTAAGAGAAACACATGATCATATTTAAATTAATAAGGGAGGGGGGAGAGGTTTACTATTCAATAATTCAATACTTCATTCTATTTTAAGGCGTTTGTAATAATTATATACAGATTAAATCGCTAAAAGGCTATTTTTGCCTTAAATGTAATCAGAGTTCAAGCATGATTATCCGATTCGTAACTTAGCCTAAAGTATTGATGTAAAAGATAGACTAAAATTTTATTATGACGTCACGGATTTACTTACTTCCTGGGAATTCCTAGTCAGCTTGTAAACAACCACGTTTTTTTGCTTAATGATCTTATACATTGCAATATACCAGATATAATTATGAGTACGTGCGAAAAGGAAGGATGTTCAGTTGTAGCAGCTAATCCAGCTAGAAAAACTTATGGTCCTAAAAGTAAAAACATTCAATTTAATAATTTTTCATTACTTTTCATCACTTTGCATTCTAATCTCCTTTTTAGAAGGTGCCCTGCGTTCACGCATGATTCCACCAGAAATATTAGAAAATCCTCAATTAAACAAGGCTATGGAAAAGTTACCACACAACTATAATTTTGAAATTCATAAGACTATATGGAGAATTAAATCAACAAACGCCAAAAAAGGTGTCACAATGTTTAAATCTAATAGGGAATCTTCTAAAATACATATTCTATCTTCATTTATACAGTCGCTTTACAATTTCCCGAGGGTTTACTGATGTTCTCATTGACCATAGCGGATATAATAGAAGAGTAAATATATTAATTTTTGCTTTAACTAGTCATTTAGCATAATTAAGAACCAACTATTATGCATAGTATTTCTCATCATTCTTTCTCTATCTTTATTAATATATATATATATTAATATACATAAAATCCTTTACTTTCCTATAGATATACAGAAGCTACGACCTTTATAATGGGGGATGTTACTTATGGTGCATGCTGTATTGATGATTTTACTGCTCGAGGCCTAGACTGTGATTTCATGGTACATTACGGTCATAGTTGTTTAGGTAACCTACCAACTGGAAAAGAATAAAAAAAACATTTTATAGTTATTATTTTTTGTTCAACTATAGTTCCCATAGAAAAGACTGAAGGATTAAACATGTTATACGTCTTTGTTACCATTGACCTGGATACAAACCATTTTGTACAGTGTGTTACTAAAAATTTCAATTCAAAGAAACACTTGGCTTTCGTCAGTACCATACAATTTCTCAATTCTGTGCACGTAAGGATATCTATATACAGTATATACATGTATATATATATATATATACTGCATATATATATATATATATATATAATGAATAATGTTTTCTTCTCTTTTTGATATACCTTATTTCTTTTTATCATATTTCAGTCCTGCACTGATATTTTTACCAATAAAGGTTATAAAGTAACGATACCTCAAGCAAAACCTTTATCTCCTGGGGAAATTCTCGGTTGCACTTCTCCCAAATTACCAAAGGATGTTGATGCTTTAATGTTGGTTTTTATAGTGATAGTATTAAAATTGGTAGAATAGATATTAAAATATCTTTTTCTTTTCCTTTTTCTCTACCAATGATATAGATATCTGGGAGATGGAAGATTTCACATGGAGTCTGTAATGATTGCTAACCCGGAGATAGCTGCCTACAAGTAATTAAGAATTGTTAAATCCTTATTAAACTACCTGGGATATCCTTTTTATAATTAACTTCACATTTTTATTAACTAGATACGATCCCTATAGTAAAGAGATTACACGGGAATATTATGATACGGAATTAATGCACAAAATTAGACAAAATGCTATAAAAGCAGCATCGCAGTCAAAAACTATAGCTGTAATCCAGGGAACGTTAGGTAGACAAGGATCTCGACCAGTAACCGAAGTAATCTATTAAAAATTCAATATATAAGAATCAGCGAAATCGACTTTCTTAGTGAATTGCTTTTATTGCAGTACTTAAAGAAAAAAATCGAGGACAGTGGACGTAAATGTGTTATGGTCCTTTTAGCTGAATTATTTCCTTATAAGCTCAAAGAATTTAATAAAGTGGACGCGTAAGTTACTAAAAATCAAAATATCCCGCCATTAGCTTTATTTAAATGCATTATTTAAAGGTGGGTTCAAGTTGCATGTCCAAGATTGTCTATTGATTGGGGTTCATCTTTCGAAAAGCCGGTCCTTACCCCCTACGAGGTAATAAACGAGGTTTAAATGATTAAACAAGCATTCATTAGTTCTTCCCTTTCATTTATATGTTTCTTTTTTAATTTATTATGCATATTCATACATTTATGTAGGCCGTTACTATAAACAGAAGTATACCGTTCGTTAATATATCGCTTTATCTCTTCAACAGTTGTCGGTCGCACTTGAATGCGTTGCCTGGCAAGATCAATACCCGATGGACTACTACGCCAACAACAGCCTAGGACAATGGACTGTAAACAATGAAGAAAATCGAAAAAATATTTTGAAAAAAAAAAAAGATAATAAATCTATGCGATAATATTTTCATCTTTGGTTTGTAACTATAGAAATATACTTGAATTTTTAAACGATAGATGGCAGAATATGTCGTCCTGTGTTTGTTTACAATCCCACAGACCGGCATGGACGTGTTAATAATAATCATATAGGAGTTAGGTTATTTAAGAAATTTTGATCGATGAGTTATATAATCTGTCGTTGGCTGGTCTTAGGAGTGAAAATTGTCGTGTAAATTATACAATTTTCGACTTATCTTAGATAAACGCTATCTTAAAGACAGAATAATGTCGCTTAAGACAAAGATCAGAGGATATACCAGTTGGGTTAATCTCAGATTAAAGCCGTATGATAACCTTATGAACAATGTCCTAATGGATTTGTTATCCGGAACAAATTTAAAATGTTTAGTCGAAAGTCTTATTGGAAAATCGCCATCGAATGTCGATAGTCTGGATCAACTAACTCAGCAACAGAAGATAACAAGAGTGGAATGGTTAGTAAACGAATTGAAAAAATTTAAAGTTCTTTCGGATGACGTCTTGGTTGACTATAGACTATTTGCAATGAAAAGTGCTGATCATGTATTCGACTTGCTCTGGCGTCTTCTCTCTCACGACGCCAGACTAATGTGGGAGCGTATAGAATTCCTTCAACAAAGCGACGATATTCTATTAGAGCATGTATTCCGTTGGGTACCAGATGCACCTCCAGAAGCTAAGCGAACGGTCAAAAAGACTCAAAATTTATTATCTGGTTTTGGTGCGTCTAGTTTTAATATTGAATATGTAAATGAGGATAACGACGATGACAAAGAATCAAACAATTACGAAAGATTTCCCGAAGTCGATTTTATGAAACGCTTTAAAAAAGTAAAACGTAATAAATTTCCTCCACCGCAAGACTGCATTCTCGAACTAGTAAATACTCAATTAAAACACACTAACGAAGGATTAAAGTTACATTGTGATAGCCTTGATGATTTATCAGATTCTAGGATTTTATGTGCCTTACTTAATTCGTTCGTTCCAAATACATTCACTTCAGAGATACTTTTAAATGATAGATGGACAATGAATTGTGTGTTAAAAACTGCCGAAGAAATGTTCTATTCAAATAGCCTTTTCGATTCGGAAGATCTAGTGGAAGGCGATAGTAAGAGTCTTACAGCCTATTTTCTAGCATTCTTCATGCTGGCTTACAAATTTAAACAATGTAAAGTAGTAGCGGCTAAATCAGTAAGTTTTTTTTATTTAATCATACCTTTGACGTTATATATAAACAACAGATGTAATCCAAACTCTTAACCTATAATTTCAATACAGACGTCAATAAAACGAGCTATCAGAGGATTTCGAAACGAATTAATCTCTGATGGTAGTTTGACAGGAGAAATTAGCCCTAAATTATACGCTAAAGAACGAGGTAAGTACGCTGTACATTTACGTTTTAAAATATAGAAAAGATGAATAGATAAATCCTTTCTGTAAACTTTATCTAATGGTTAGAATTTGCTTTTATTATTGTTAGTTCAATACTTTATATAATGCTCTATATATATTATATTTATATATATAAATTTATATATATATATATACAGTATATATTTCTCAGATACTTATTTATTTAATCATAATAATTTAACACTACACTCTAATGATTTTATAGAATTGGAACAATTATCTAATAAGTTCGACATAGAATTCAGCGAAAAATGGATTAAACACGTTGAGCAAGTTCAAAAAAAGGTGTTTATATCTTCATATATCTATTTTGTTCATTATCTTTTTCATTTTTCTTTTATCTGTATTTAGACTCAAGATACTATTCGGCTGTTAATGAGACAGAAATTCTGTAAAGTTAATGTCCCAAGGAGTCTTACGGTTGGAGATTTATGCCTCTCAATGGGTATTAATTTGGTTAGTATTTCTTTTTAATAATATAGTATTTGCTCTTGATCATTCGTGTTCCTCCGTTTTTAGACATTAACCAACGGAAGTGGCTTTTATTTGTTAGAATCTAGAGAAACATTTACGGAAGGTCGGAAATGTGTTATACACCTAAATCGGCATGATGAAAAGAACGATAGCGCTATTTCTGGTGAATTTGTTGACAATTTTTCCAGTACAAAAAGTAAATTTTCCTTATCTTCCTTTTCGCTCTAATAATCATTGGTTTTTGATTTTCTTACAGATTCATCAAATAATGTTGTTAAACAGATATTAAAGCTTTCTCATTCTGGTACAGCCGATATAAATCCTAAACATTTCGATCAATACGAAGTAAAGACAACAACATCTCCTATATTTATATATTTATTCCTGCTATTATTTTTAGGTGTTCTTTGAGGCACAATCAAAAAATAAGCAACTTAGAGCCGGAACAATCTTTCTTTATCAAGTATTCCCTAGTAGTCATTCAACATGGTATAAAATACTTCTTAAAGCCATTAAGGATAATGATAATGAAACTTTAACGAAAATGGTCTCGTTCTTTCGTAGTACTCCATCTTTCATAAACTGTAAAGATGGTCCTGCAAAAAATACTCCCTTACACACAGCCGCTAGGCTTGGTCATACAGAAATGGTTGGCATTCTCTTAGAGTTCGGGGCCAATATAGATCAACAGAATCTTTTAGGTCAATCGCCCCTATTTTCAGCGGTTGAGGGCTTACATCAAAGGACAGCTCATTTATTAATTGAATGGGGATGTGATGTTCATTTAAAAGATGAAAAGAATAGAACGGCTTTTGATACGATCAAAAACGACGAATTTAGAGATGCTCTTATAGAAATATATAGGCGCTATTCAACAATTGTACCTCTTATTATGTCGGGTGATTCGCAAGCTTTAAACGAAGTTTTCGAGGATCATATTAGTGGAAAGAAACGCTTATGTAGTCTACGAAGCCGTTTTATAAATGGTAGTACGCTTCTACACACGGCCGCTTATTTCGGCGAAAAATCTCTGATACGGAAATTGCTAAATGTCGGATTAGACATTAATCTATTGGATTATAAGGGAGCTGTAGCTCTACATAGGGCTAAAGATGCCGATACCCTTTCCGTACTTACGGCTGCTGGAGCTGAACCGGATATAACTGATTTCGACGGTAACACCCCATTGCATGTAAAATGCTATGGTGATACAGGAAAACCATCGGCGGTCAATTGTGTTGACGGCCTAATTAAAATTGGAGCAAAGCTCACAGTTCGCAATCATAAAAAGTTACTTCCAATTCATTGTTGTGCAATGCAGGGGAGAGTAGATCTAATAAAGATATTAATGGAGGCTGAGGGCGGAGATGAAATGTTGAAGTCGTTGGCCGATGAGGAGGATAGAAATCCACCTAGCTTACCACATTTAGCTTTGGCTAATGACTATTTAAATGCAGCAGAATGGCTCTTAGAGCGAGAGTTCTTTTTAAAGAGGTCAGAGCCAGAAATATTAATTCAAAGAATTATTACGGAAAAAATAAAAGTTAGCGAAAAAATTAGAGCCATTAAACTACTTATCAAATACGGAGCGGATCCTAATCATATTTACGAGGGAAGTGGCTATACAGCATTGCATTACGCTGCATCCGTAACAAATTCCAATGACCTTTTAGAAGTTCTTGTTGAAAGTGGAGCCGAAATTGAAGCGGCTGCTGAATATAATGCTGTTACACCTTTGCATATCGCTTGTCAAGTGAACAATCGATTTGCCGCTTCATATCTAATTTCAAAGGGAGCTGACTGCAATATAAAGGATGTTAAAGGATTAACGCCCTACGATTATGTAATAGATTACGAAGAATGGATTGATTCGGGAAATTTTTCAGATGAAACATGCGCCATCTTAAAAGCTTTCAATCTTAAGCACACAAGAGATTTAATTAGGGCTATTTCCAACAGAGTAAGAATAGTACCCTCGCTAGCCGGTAGCCCGCAACCAGCTATCATATCTGGTTGGAGTTCAGCCACATCATCAAGAAAGAAACCTGTGAGAATACGATCAAGGCTTAGATCAACAACTTCTTTACCTGCAATTCGGAATACAAACAGCAGTAGAAGTTATTATAGATAATAATATATCGTGTTATCTTTTTCATAACTATAGTATCAATTAAAGATAATAAACGGAAGTCATAGAAATTAATTTAATAGCTTTTTTTCCCAGTCTTCCAACATTCTCATGCTAATTCCCGCTCCACCGCAAACTATGGCAACAATCTTACCCCCTTTTGGGGCCAAATTAATTTCTTTGGAGTACAAGGCTGCCAAAGTGGCTCCGCAAGCCGGCTCAACAAATATCCTATGATCATCTGTTCAGTGTTAACAGTAAATAATCCCTGAAGATGAATGATTAAGCCATCAAACCTAAAAATTTTCTTATGGCCACAATCGAATCCTTATCACTAACAAGGTAAGGCTTTATAGGTATCGTCTGTTTCGCATATGCATCATAGAGACCTTCGCAAACTCTTAAAGCACCTAAGCAGTTTGCAATGCTAATGAAACATTAAAAGCGAATGTGATAGAATAACAAACGGATATACTGTATATGAATAAGTATATAAATTCTACCTGGTAATTTTGGGTAAAGTAATTCTATTCTTGGCCTTAATGGCTTCATAAAAACAGTCAGCCCCTTTAGTTTCAATTGTTACCAAATTTACATCATCCCACCCAGCCTTAACTAATCCATTAATTATCCCCATAGCCAATCCACCCCCGCCAACCGACGCGATTATTGTTTCAGGCTTTTCTGTTTGCTCAACTATCTCTTGAATCAATGTCTCATGTCCTATCCTAGATAAGTGATACCAATTAGGACATTGCTTATAAATTTAGATTACGCAAGCCTACCATAAATCCGGATCATCAAAAGGATGAATGAAGCAAACCTCATTATTACTTCTGGCATACTCTAGGGCTCGTTCGTTTGCTTGGTCGAAAAATTGTCCTGCGACTTCAACGTTAGCATTCTGTTTATCAATAGTAAAATAACATTTAAGGCTTTTAAATGTTTCTGCATTGTCATACTTCGTCCTCCAATTTGTCAATAATCGATCGGTCAGTGCTCTGTGGTACGAAAATTTTCATTGGAACATTAAGATTGTTCGCAGCATATGCTGCAGCATATCCAGCATTTCCTCCAGATGATATCACAAATTCTTTTTTTCCATTTTTTATTTCCTGAAAAAGATAAATATTTGGGTCATTCTTTTAGTTTTAATAGAAGTTTTAGAAAATAGTTTCTTTACCTTTTGGATTTTATGGCCTATACCTCTAATTTTGAAGGTGGCAGCAGGTTGTGTATTCTCCAATTTCAAATATACTTCTCTGTTATTTAATTTTGACAAACAGGTACTTTTAATAAGTGGACTTTTAACGTGAAGCATTCTTTATTCAAATGAAACTCGAAAGGAAGTTCTTTAATAACGCCATCTATATATTCTAAAATGATTTTTTAATACTCTAGCTCGAAATTAGTCCGGATCGTCATTTTTAGGGAGTAATCACGTCAGTACAATGAAAAAAAAACGAAAAACATTTTCACTTTGGGAAAATTTTTTGAATGATGTACTTTTTGTAAAAATCGTATTTTTTTATAGGAACTATTTACCGGAAGTGACCGGCGTAGTTCGCCGGACGGAGACTATTCTTCCTTTTTACTGGGTTGTTGGTCAGAGCACGTGAATTTAACAAATTTGTGCCGCTATAAGTCGATTACATGCCGTCCGCGTCTTCAATAGAAGCAAATTCTATTCAGAAAAATATGGAGAATAACATGCTACTGTTACATCAGCCACTTAATGGTTTTCTGGGGACATTAGAAAAGAAAATACGGAATTTAGATAAACGCAAGGTTTTACCTTAGTTTTACATTTTTAAGTCATTTTTTCGACAGCTTTTATTATTCTTAAATATTCACAACAGACTAAACTACAAGGCTACCAAAGCAAACTTGACTCTGGTGAAGTCCTAGAACCAGAACAAAAGGTTAGTTATTCAAGTTGATCAAAACACATGTATGGTTCAATTTTTCTAAATATCCACGAACAGGAGGCTATTTCACACTACGGAGAAGTGCTGGGTGTTATAGAATTTGCCAAGGAAATGCACAAGACCTATACTGAAGTATTAAAAGATGTAAATATATGCTATATTTCTTTTTTTATTCGCCATCATTGCGTAATACGCTCCAATGTTCGATATCTTTAGGTCGCCAAAATAGAATCTGACATTGAAAGAATAAATGATCCAATGAAATCGGAACCCACTACGAAGAAAAGAGAATCAACAGCTTCTGACGATACATCATCGGAATCTGCTGATAGTGAACAGGTGATTAAATTGAAGACGGACGCTCCCTTGAATGAAGACGTTAAATTCGTCCTCAAAATCCAAGACATTTTACTTCAATTGACAATGGAAGAAACTAGAACAGATTTAATAAACGGTGTTAATGAGGCTCCGCAATTATCGAAAAGAGATGTGGATGCTTTAGTCCGAATGTACTCTTTATTGTCAACAGAAAGACGAATAGGAAAAAAATATAATGATATAATATCATCTGCCTCGTACCACTTAATAAGAATAATCAACAAGAGCCCAGAACAAATTCCTGGTTTGGACGTGTCGTACTCGTATATCTGCAAGCTGCTTGACAAGTTAGCAAAAAGTAATTACTTTGATACGTTGATACCTCCAATGGCTCCAATTCAACCTATTCCACCAAATCCTGTTGATACCGAACTACCTGATACGAAACCGGCCGTAATTTACGGAAATGAATCTATTTATAGGTGTCGAGAAAATGACCCAGTTGAGATTGTAAAGGCGGTGCAAGAAGGTAGTTTTAGCTTCCTGCAAGATTCTGTGTTCGATTCTGAAAAAAGAGCCGACAAGACGGATGGTTCTATAATCATTCCAACGCAGGGTACCAATCCACCTAACGACGAAATGAACTCTGGAGCCACGAAATCAATGGACAACAATGTACGTCAACAAAATACTTATAAAGAAGCTATAGAGCCATCATATATGTCGACTATGGAACCCCTGAGTATAAATACGGCTCATTCGGGATTTAATGCAGTTTCAATGCCAATAAGATCGGCATACTCTGGTACTGATACTCTGGTGAGCACACCAGATATACCGCCACCAATTCCCCTCCCTCCTGGACAAGCCGCACAGAACACTGAAAATTCAACGACAGCACAGAGAATTACTGGAAAGGTAATATACAATCCTTATTGAATTACTTAAAAGTAAAAATTATTTGTTTTCACCCAATAGCAATCGCGTTTTCCTTCGGATAAATACCGTAATATTTCGTCGACCACCTACCCACAACGCTATCCGAACAATACACAAGCATCTGTTGGAAATGTAGGCTACGGTATGTCGACTAGCTATGGATCTCGTAACGGTGTTTCTCGTTACCGACCTCCCTCGACAAACAATAGTAATGCTGTGCTATCTCAGTATGGAAAGACGAATCTTCAACCTCGTCCAACGGCATCATCTAGCTTTTTGGGAAGCCGACCATCGACTGGCCGCTCTAACGCAACTGAAACATCCGGGAGTGGTCATAATCATCCAATCAGCGAGGTTTACTTTTGAAAGAACACTTCTTTTTTTTTGCTTATTCGTTCGTTTCATCCATATAAAGTGTTTATTAAACAACTACGGTTAATAAAAATGTGAAAGCGCTTATTTATAGTAATTCTTTAGTTGCGGCACGTAATTTGGCTGATCTACTTCGGGGATTCGCTAAAATTTCTTGCATATCTGGATTGAAAATTTTCCGAGATAGCGGCTTCCACCCTTTTCTGACAGAGTTTTTAATGTCTTTCATCGAATGTGTATAAGCTTTTCCGGCTGATAATATCATTTGTTGTCTAGCAGATAGATTGTTCTTCATATTGAAATCTATTGAATGAAAGTGTCGTTTAACTATTCTATCTTCTAGAGAATGGAATGAAATGGCAACACATGGACATCCTTCATTTAAGAAGAGGTGAGCACACTCTATAGCAGAATTTAATTCGTTCAGCTCATCGTTAACATATATCCTAATAGCTTGAAAGGTTCTTGTCGCAGGATGTATACTCAATTCTTTTCTGCTGCAAATAAATTTTTTGATTTATAATAAGATCAGATGACAATAATTCTAACGTACGAGCCGTATCCCCTGGGAATAGCTGACGATATGACATCTGCTAATTCCAAAGTACTATTAATCAAGCGGTTTTCCACAATTCTCTTTGCTATTAGCTTAGCATGTCTTTCTTCGCCATATTTCCTAATGATTTTCGACAAAGTCTTTTCATTAAGGTGATTAACTACAAAACTAGCATTTTTTTTGCCTTTTATTTGCTCATTTTTGTCTTTTCTGGGGTTATCCATTGACATATTTAGTGGTCCATCTCTAATAAATGAAAATCCTCGTTCGGCATCATCCAGTTGCATAGAAGATACACCGCAGTCGATAAGAACTCCATCTAACGAAGACGGTAATACTCCGTTAGCTATCAGTTTGTACTTAAGTTGGCTAAACTTCGACTTAATTGGTAAAATGTTCGACCTAAAAAAAAGGCAACATTTTCTCTATTATTCAACACAGTATCGGGATGTAAAAACATACATGTAATTATTACAATCAAGTGCAATTGAGTTGGCTAGTGAATCTCTGTCAGCTGCTATAATTCTCATTTCAGGCGCTTGTTTTAATAAGTTCAAGCTGTGTCCACCAGATCCAAAAGTCATATCCAGAATTACCTAGAGAAAATAGAAAGCAATAAAATAGCTTAGAAACTACTTCAATTACTTCAATCCTATCTGCTACAAAAAAGAGAGCATATTACAATAAGGTTAGTCTATGCCTATCAACAACAATTTATAAGCATCATATCAAGACTATATTTATTGGACTGGCAGGAATCGGCTCTATTTACACAATGAATTAAGAATCTATTCAACTTTACCTTATTATTGGCGGGTTTCAATATATCTCTTACAGTATTCAACATCACGGGTATATGAAGAGGTTCCAATGACTTTTTAGCATCTATTTCAGGATGGGAAGCATAATAATCTACTTCTGATATGGTTGTGTAAAACCGATGAGCGATATTCCGTGTTATTCGAAAGTACATGATATTTTTAACTGAAATCATCTAAATATCTTCCTTATTTCAAAATATAACAGCATAAAAAATATGACGCTCAAGAAAATTTAAAGCATCTGCACGATTAATAAAGATTTTATGTAGTTTAATACTCCTAAGTGAAAACTTCAAGAAACTATTGGAAGAACATTGTTTAAATGCTTATGGAAATAAACAAGTAAATATTGAGGAAGAAAATGACAAATCTTATCAAAACGTGTCATTTCACTACTGATATAGACAATAGTAATGTTCTAAACAACATTGAAAACTAATCATTCTAAAGTTATTATGAACTAACTAATTTAAGTTCTTAAATTTTATAGTTTCGAAATTTTGCTAACATTGGATTCTCCGTACGATTGGAGCAGAAATTTGTTGTATCTTCTTCAACGTTTGAAGAAGGATGGTGAATCATTGGAGTTTGATTGGTTTTTTTTGATACCCAATGCATCGAAGTCTGAATAGATTCTCTTTTCGCAACCCAATCTTTGTAACAAATAGCCAGGCCGCTGTTTCTCCAGCAATCGTAGTCTTTTCTTTTAACAGGGTCAGTTAGAACTGATTTCGCCATCTGTAATAATTGAAATTCTTTTTCTTTCTCTGGACAATTATTGCATTTGTCCGGATGACACCGAAGGGCTCTTGCTTTATATTCGCTGCATATTTGCTCGATACTGGATTTTTCACAACATCCCAAAATAGTATAGTAATCTTTATTGATATCTTTTTCGTAGCCTAGTATTTCTTCCATCCTTTGACACTATTGAATAGCAAATAATCTTTCAAATAGGAGCCTATTTAATTGACATAAATGAAATAGATGGCGCCAAATTTTTAATACGAATATTTAAGTTTAAAAGCACCAAAGACCTAAAACTAAATATTATTCTCTTCCTATTAATAAAATGTTTCGCACGAATTTGACAGTTAGCCATTTTTCTGTCTTATAAAGTACTACTTCTCATATCTTTTAACCAGTTTCCATTTCTGTAATGTTTTACCAAGTTTGTAAATTCGCATATAAAAAGATCAAGTTGGCAACACTCAAGTGCAAACATTGGTGAAACATTGTAAGCTGAATAAGTATTTTTGGAAAAAATGAGAGAATTTCGGAAGCAGCGTTTCGGGTCTGAATCTTTTTCATTCTTTTTATATTCCTTTTATATGAAATTTTAATGCGTATAAGTTAGCGTGGCGCTTACTATATTTGAGTATTTTTTCCGAAATATAACTTTATTACTGAAGTAAATGTATCAAACAAATTGTTTAGTTGTGTAAAGTAACTTAGCCTCGAATTGAGCCAAGAATTGAAAACTTTTACACTTTTTAAATAAAGTTTAGCAGGCTACTTTTGGAACATGTCGAAATTATTACAGAATTATCAAGTACTCAATTACACTGACTAAAAAATGGCGGCAATTATTTTTTTTTTCACGCCATATTGAGTTGGTGCTAAGTTTTTTAGTAGGAGTTTCTATTTAACATATCGAGATACATTTGAAGATCTTTGATGAAAATGCAGCAATTGTAAGAATAAATTAGGTTTATTGAATATCTATATTGTTTACTTTATTGTTACATACTTAAAATATTGACATTATATAGGTATGTTTATGGTAATATATCATATATTACTGATAAATACGAACAGTCGAAAACACAATTTCGCTGTTTTTACTAAGACTCATTTGTAAGCCGAAGTTATCTATTAGTTTTTAAATTATAATTAATAACATAGTTAAATCTAAAAGGTTTGCTTAAAGTTTTTGGAACAAAAAAAGTTCTTTAATTGAATTACAACTTTTTCGCGGTAAGAGAATAATCTGGTTACGAACCGCCTCTTAGAGTGGTATCATTTCCGCTTATTCAATATTTGATATTGAGGCGATTCTAGTTCAATAAAACATCCTTTAATCGTCATTTGAACATTCTAGGAAATCGAATTTATAAAAATGAGGTAAAAGATATACTATATTATTCAATTTCTTGAAGTGTAATAATTTAGAATGGAACATAAAAATTAATTCGAACCGGTGTTCGTTATGCACGTTTTTAACAACTAAATTTCAATTGCTAATACGGCATGATTCTCTTTCAGTACTCCCGCTCCCCCACCAGGAAAAGCAAATTCCTCCAGTGATGTTGCGACGAAGTATTTTGACGAAGCATACAGAATGTGTGTCCACTATTTGGAAACTCTTCATGCAGAGGATGAACACATGAAAATAGTTTTAAAGAGGTTTAGAGAATGCAACGATTATAATGTGCCAGGCGGGAAAAAAACGAGAGGCTTAACTGCCGTTCGATCTATGGCCTCGTTTAAGGAAGTCCCTCCCAATGATATTGAATATAGAATAGCTGGGGTTGTTGGATGGTGTTTGGAATGGGTTAATAAATAATATGCTTTTTCAAAAATATTCCATTGAAAATTTTCTTTTTCGAGTACAGCTTCAAGCCTCTTTTTTGGTACACGACGATATTATGGACAATTCAGTTACTCGACGCGGAAAAACTTGCTGGTACAAACAGGTAATTAATTAGCTAGAATAACAAACTGAATGCTAATTGCTCTATTTTATGACAATTGTAGGAGGATGTAGGCTTGGTAGCTGTTAATGATGGCTTATATCTGCAATCAGCAGTATATACCATTTTGAGACAATTTTGCCGTGGTCAAACATGGTTTCGTGATGTTATCGACTTGTTTCTGGAGGTAAAAAGTTCATTGAAGTTTTATTTATTTAAATAATAAATCTCTCTTTTTTAGATTCAGTCAAACACAATTCATGGACAAGCATTAGATCTGGAATCGTCTTGCCCAAAGGAACCAATGGAAGTCCGCCTATCTCTTGGAAGATATAAAACTATTGCAAAATATAAAACATCATACTACTCGTTTGTCCTTCCAGTGAGGTGTGGGCTATACATGGCTGGTATCAGTTCAGACGAAATACACGATCTAGCAACTAAGATTCTTTTGGAAATGGGACATATTTTCCAAGTCCAAGACGACTTTTTAGATTGCTTCGGTGATCCGACAGTGACCGGTAAAGTAGGAACGGATATTGAAGACAACAAATGTACTTGGCTAGTGGCTAAAGTTTTACAAATAGATAATGAAAATATACTACAAATTCTGAAAGAAAATTACGGAAAATCGGGTCAAGAAAATGTAGCTAGAGTTAAGCAATTGTATAACGATCTAAGCATGGTGTCTGTTTATAAGACTTATGAAGAAGAAGCGTTTGATGAGTTAGAAAGGATAATTAAGCAACAGAATATTTTGAAGAAGGAACCGTTTTTGAATCTCTTAAAATTAATTTACAAAAGAGAGCGATGAGAGAAACTTTTCTGTGTTATAAAGTCTTCAGTTGTGTTTGAATAACCTAATTTTTACGTTTCTCTTTTAAGGTTGAAATAAACGAAAGCATATCTGTTTCTAGACAACTGCTAAAAGTATCTTTATTTTAAAAATACCGCGAAAAATCAATCTCGGATCGATTTCGTTGATATTGTTTAATATGTATGACGTTTGTACTCGTTCGTTGCTCGAGGATGAGTCAGACTCGTTCTAGTAGGCTTTCCCGAAACAATGGCTGCTGTTGTTGCTTGGCTCTACGGTTTTGTGGAGAAAGGACAAAATCTCGTAAGTTAGCAACATACTGTATTAAATCTATAAGAATTTTGATAGATTATCAACAGCTTGTTGAAATTTGGAGACAAATTTTTGTCACTCAAAACCCGTCTCTACATTATAAAGCCAAAGCGGAAGCGAAAACTGCTGCCTATGGCAAATATAATGTTCTGCGAATCGTAGTTGCCAACGAACTATTGGATTGGTCTATATCCTATCCCGATTATAATCCTGTATATTTCACTGCTCCTGGAGTCTTGAAAGATAGTAAGGGTGTTAAACCGATTTGGGCGGATGATGAACCCATTAATTGGACACTAACCCCTAATTGGAATGCTATAGATGAAATAAATGGTCACAAAGTAAATAGAATAAGCTATGAGAAGACGTACGACTTTGAGACAACAGAAGGGGACCAGCGTGTACCGTTAAATCCTAGAGGAAGAAGAGGTATTAGAGGAAGGGGTGAATTGGGTAGATGGGGTCCAAATCATGCAGCTGATCCAATTGTTACTCGTTGGGCGGATAGGGAAAAAAGAATTTTGGAATTTGTAGCAATTCAGAGGAGAGACACAGGAGAATGGGCTATACCTGGAGGTATGGTGGACGCAGGAGAAGTCATCAGTGAAACTCTAAAGCGAGAATTTTGCGAAGAAGCTCTAGCATCTTTAGAGGTTAGTGACGAAGAACGTAAACAATTAAAGGAGAAAATTGACGAATTATTTGCAAATGGTGAAGAAATTTACAAAGGTTACGTAGACGATCCTAGAAATACGGATAATGCTTGGATGGAAACGGAAGCTTATAACTTTCACGACGAGGAAGGTTCCAGCTTTTCTAAAATTGAATTAAAAGCTGGAGACGATGCAAAACACGTTCAATGGATGCCTATAACCAGCGATATCAAATTATACGCAAGCCATTCGGACTTTGTTCGTAAAGTTGCACAAAGACATAATGCAAATTTGTGAAAATTTCGTACAGTATATAAATAGTCTTTGTCAATAGACAATAGATTTTAAAACTTGACTTATCATTGTATTAACTTATCCAAAGACAACTAATTTATATATATATATATATATATGCAGTATAAATTTATACTGTTTTTATATATACTGTTGATATATAGAAATAATAAAAGAGAATGAATATATACTTAATAATTCTCTTTGAGTTTATCTGTAACCAAGTACACAGTAAATCAATATGAAAGCATCTCGATGACGCCATTTTGTCAGGTAGCACTATGAAACGAAGCTCCTTCATTTACTTCTTTCCCTTGATTACTCTTTTTGCCCATTTTATATCAACGTGCGTTAGGTGTATTTTGGAGGTGAAGAGATGTAATGTTACTTGTAAGGTCGTCTCTATTTCGTTGTCGTTCCTTCTATTTATTTCATCGTTGATCATTGTATTAAAACTTAAGAAGAGATTCGATCATGAATTGGAAAATCAGAAGATGGAGGTGAAAAACAGGGAAGTATTTATGGAAAATTTTGAAAAGAAGGTTGTCTTATTGAAGAAACGAAGTGAAAATTTGTTACATCGATTGTTACCTCCCACTATTGCATCCGATCTCCGATCAGATAAGAATGTATTGGCAGAAAGCTATCAAAGCGTTACAATATTCTTTTCGGATATTGTTGGGTTTACAAAGATAAGTGCGTCCTCAACACCAATGGAGGTTGTTAGCTTTCTTAACAAGTTGTATACAGAATTCGATAGTCGTATAGACTTATACGACGTCTATAAGTTGGAAACAATAGGAGATGCTTATCAAATAGTATCAGGAGCACCTAGGACTAATGGTATAAGACATGCAGCGGAAGTGGCGACACTCTCTCTCGATTTGTTAAATATGACTGGAACGTTTAAAATTCCTCATATGCCCGATCAGAAATTAATGCTACGTATTGGCCTACACTCTGGACCGTGTGTGGCGGCCGTTGTTGGTATAAAGATGCCGAGATATACATTGTTTGGAGAAACGGTAACCATAGCGTCAAGAATGGAATCGACCGGTCAGCGTAAGTACCTATTTATTGATATATACTGTATACTGCATATATATATTTAAACAAACACAGCGCTAAGGATACATATTTCGGAAGAGAATAAGAAGTTATTAGAGGAATTGGGAAAGTATGAAATTGAAGAGAGAGGTCAAGTAGAGGTTAAAGAGAATGTTTTTATGAAAACCTATTGGCTAACAGGAAAAGATGGTTATAAATTTTCTGCCGAATTAGACGTTTGCGTTTATATACCGAAGAAAGTGAAACTTGATAGAGTTATTGTTAAGAAACGCTCAATTCCCAAATAAGTTAGAAATTCTACGTCATAACTTTTTTTTGTTCTGTTTTTTTTTAAAAAAAAAAAACAAAAGAAAATAAAAAATATATATCTACTACTATTGGCTAATATTAAGTACTAAAAAAAGGTAAAAAGTAAGTCAACGGGGTTGTTTATCGGGTGTTGCGGTCATTTACACTCGACCGGCCCAACTATGAAAGTCAGCGGCTTATCCTACTTCGTTCCGGAAATGGAGATACTCTTATTCCGTATCTCAAAGACTATTTTGGATAGGGCGTTCATACAGTATATGTTCGAACGTCTGTGTTTTTATTTGTACCATAGTTCAGAATGTAGTAATATGGGCAGGTTTACGGAAATGTATCAGGATGAGGCTAAAGCCGTCGACAAGTCAAGAGCTCTTTATATAATTATCTATAGAGTTTTATTAGGCATACCACCATTCTTTCTTGGTTTTGTTTGTGGTGCGTGGAGCGATAAGATGATTGGAAGGAAATTGCCGATGATTATATCTTGTTTAGGTAATTTTATAGGAGCGTACGCTATCATGCTCGATCCCTTCGTTAATTTACCATTACCTATGGTGTTGGCTTTTTGCGGGGTGGCTCTAACTGGTGTACTGGGACAAACGTTCCTAATGACAATGGCTTGTTATAGTTACGCGGCCGATGTTACAACGAGTGAGAAAAGAACAAAGAAATTTGACATGTTACAAGCTATGCAATACGTTGGCTCATTAATTGGTTCTCTTATTCCAGTGTTCATATCCGCAAAATGGGGCAGTGATTTCATGTTTAATATCGTAATGGCTCTATCAACTTTAGGAATAATGATAGCCATCTTCCTAGCCGACGAGACGGTGGATACGAAAGGTCTTACCGAATCATCAAAACACTATCTAGTGTCTTTCGAAACGGTTAAGGATACGGTTAAGAGTCTGATAAGGAATAGATCCAGCTACTCTAGGTGCATGCTTATCATTTTCTTCTTTTCAAAATTAATTTTTGTTATGGGAATCGCATCAACCGGCGATTTAGTTCAACAATTTACATCTAGAAAACCGATGCTTTGGACGCTAAAGGAATACTGCAAGTGGTTATCGATCTACTATGGATCGATGGGCCTATCGGCTATCTTCATTCTACCTATTGTCCAATATTTCTTCAAGTTATCTGACATGTGCGTCGTTGTTATAGGCTTATTTATAAAAACTATACAAATGATATGTATGTGGCTCTTTATGACCGATTGGAGGATTTTGTTTGCAGTTACTGCAGTTGGTTCGCTAAGCGCTACGGTAGCTAGTACACTTAAATCTGCAATTAGTAAATTGGTGGACGAAGATGAAGTTGGAAAGGTGTTCTCTCTCCTAACTTGTTGTGAAGTTGCCTCAAGTATGCTAGGTCAATCTATCTTACAAATGGTTTATAGAGAAACTATAAAAAGTTCTCCGGAATTGGTCTTTCTTCTAATAGGAGCGATATTCGGTGGAAATTTTATAGTTAGTTTACTTTTATGGTTTTTTGTTGGTTCGAAAAAGAATTTGGAGAAGAGTTTCAATAGAGAAGAAACAGAATCTTTAATCAGACCCAGCGATTCTCCAAAGTAAATAATAGAAATGGAAGATAATCTATATATATATATATTTATATATTTCTTGATATGCATAAATAGCTTTGTCTAGAAGATGATATTTTTTTTTTTCAGACCAGTTTATTTATTTTATAAATGTAAAAGTTTGTACTATTTTTCTTTTTATATATATTTTGAAAATTATTTATCGCTTACTTTTCTCTTCTGTCGTCCACTCGAATTGGAATTTAAAGATTAAAAACAAATATATAATATAATACTTGGACAAAATGGAATTGAAAAAAATTACACGGATGAAGAAGAGAAAGAGGAAGAAAAGTTTGGAAGAATACTCTTTTTAAGATGATGATTATTATTAAAATACAATAGCTACTAATCTCTTGGCTATGGTTTCCCTTTTTACCCTTTCCCGTTTTGTAGAAAAAAAAAGAAAAAAAGTATGCCTATCCTTTGTTAAATGCCATTACGACACATGACAGAAAAGGGTGGTAGTCGTTTCTCGTGTTTTTTTCAAAGTCAATTTAAGTTGGATGGAGAAAAAATTTTTGTTGATTTTTTCTTATTTCCTTTCTCTAGTTTATTTTCCTACTGATATACAAATAACGCGAGATTGATTGATTTTAACCGAGGAAAATCTGCTTGGGTCGTTTTATTTCATTTATTTTCGTTTGACGCGTTTAATGGGGCGGAGAGGGGAAAAGGCGGAAAGCTGCTACTAATCTATGGTTTTTGTTGCTGTTTTTGTTCATTTTGTTTCTATTCTCTTACCTTTTTTCTTTCCCTAGAAGTTTTCCTTTTAAATATTTATTTTTCCATCTACTTCTCTCCCTCCTCTTTGTCATTTCTTTATTTACATTGTCATATGTAATTATAGGTTTGTCAAAAGTGGGCGGACTTGCCTTAACCGCCTACTTAAACTGACCGCTAAATGATACGCTAGGTTTTTTTTGTATATAATTTTGTGTATTTACTCTCTCTAAACGCAGTCGTCCCTTCGACGCTTAGCGTTGGTCACGTCGCGACCGTAGCGTCTATCCGGTGCATAGTTCGACCAGAGTCCGCTCAATGTTTCAGCGCAAACCATCTCACCACCACCCAAAGTCAGTAATTTCAGAACAAAAAGACCGTCTCTCCTTAAATAATCAACTACAAAATTTCTAACCCTGGATTTAACGCTGCAATCGTCGACACCGATCGATGTTAATTGACGCCTTACATAATCGACTTGACCGGGCCAATAGATGGCTAGAGTAAACCATTTAACCAGACTGAGTGCAGTTAGGGCGGATAAAATTAGAAACCAGAACCAAATAATTAAAAATATCTTCTCATTGAATAAGTTGATTGTTAGAACACACTGGACAACATAAGGTAGCAGACGTCCCAAATGACGTATTTTGAAATCGCAGAGGGTTACGCGGGGAAATCGTTCGATCTCAGTCCAATCGGTTCCTTCTATAAGCTTCCTTATAATTTCTAAGCCGTATAGACGTTTCGGGTCGACAGCTAAAAAGGCGTCTAGCAGTAATAATTGACCAATGGCGTTGAATAAATAAAGGAGTTTTACACAAAGATACGAGTTGATTAAGTAATTACCATAACGCTTTCCACCAACCAGACAGCATCGCTTACTAATATTTTCTACGCATCCTTTCTTACCCCTTTGTACGGTAAAGAATTTGTGCAGTTGACTGACTAAGTACCTGCCGCTTTTTTCCCTAACTTCTCCATAAGTTGAACGTTCACACACTCTAGACACATCAAGAATGGCTGATAAATTAATACCAGATCGTTTGTGTAATATTCGCCATATTAGGCAAGGTATGAAACACATAAGGGCTTCTATGAGGAGGACTAGAGGAACCCATTGGTAGTAGCTGATCTTCGGTCTGGTTCGAACTCCAATATCAGTTGGTATTCCTTCTTCGAAAGGTACATAATAGGTATTAGATAACCAACAAATAGTATTTGCATAATCCCTATGACTTTCGGTGAAATGTGCTGGACACCAGCATTTAATAGGCTCTCCAACAAATTGTTTCGTACTAACAATCAAACTAAAAGTTACTAGCAAAGATACGGAGTATTGGCGGTTGAGCTTATCAACAAAGTCGTCGTCATTCCTGACTTTGAATTCTCGAACGCTTAACAAAACTCTAACGAGTTTGTCCATTGAGCTGCGGCCGCCGATCGAGTGCAAACAGGGCAAAAAAAATTTGCATATACGACTGCGCCGCTCTGTACCCTTTTCTTCGCTTTTTTTCTCTCTATCTTTTTCTTACTCACTCGTTGTTATTTTTACTCTCCTCTATCTTTCTCTTTATTCTCTAATATTTACAAGACATTATTGAAATTTTTATTAAAGTGAAAATAGAATAGGCTGACAGCTTGTCACCGATATAGCCACATATTCTATGTACACACGTTAAATAGTGATGATACCATGTGTAAATAGAACGTAGCTAAATAGGAGACAGAATTATTTTTCTCTCTAAATGACGATAAATTTATTTGCGAACATTCCGAAAACATGTTTCTCATTTCATGAAATACTTTGAAGAACTTTTTCTTTCTGCCTATTGCTCATTTTCTTCTCTATCGCTGTTAGTAATCTTCTCGAATGTTTTTGTCCGAATGAAGCTAAGTCTGCTTTCGGTGAAATAATTATACATTAATTTATGCTATACTAAATTGACAAGTAATTTATATTTGATAGTATTAATAGCTTATTATCAATTCAAAACGCTCTTCAAAACGGTAAAAATTACCCATATAAGCCCCTAGAATTTTAGAATTAGAATAGAATATTTTTCACCTTAAGGTTCTCTTTTTTTTTAAAAAAAAAAAAAGCAACGTAAAAGCAATATTTTTAAAAGCAACTTTGTGTTTTCTTTCTGTCTTTTGTTTTTTGTTTATAGCATTAATTTAAAAATTGAATTTTTTATTTTAAAAAACTCTAGGTTATCGACCCTTTTGACCTAAAGGGCCAGAAAAATTTACTCCATATATATTAGTATTTACTAGAATAACCTTGCATTGAAATTTATTTTACTCCATTTCCATACGATATAGTTTATTAATTTTGTATTTTTATTGTGGCAATATTCGATATTTGGGGAAAACAATACAGAATATATAACATTAGGCGCGCGTAACTTACAATAAAATATATCAAGGGATTATAGATTTTCCCGCAAACAAAGGAGAAACAATCGAAAAGTCTCAGAAACAATAATTTCCACCACCTGAAAGGCGTGGGCACAGCCTTATGGGGATAAAACAGAAAAAAAACAAAGACAATAGGATGAATATTATATTTCTACTGTGTCGTCATCTGGTGGCTAAACTTGCTCTTTTTAAGGAATTACTATTATATGATATATAACTTAAGCTATAAATCCACCTCTATTAGCCGACCCTATTAGTTTTAGATATATCATCTTCAAACGTTAATATTAATAATTCTATTCTAAATCGTTTTACTTTTTTGTGTTTGTTTTTAAATTCCATCAATTTTTTCGCTTTTTTGTCCAAACTGTCTATTTAGCTTATGAAATATAATATGTATCTGTTTCTTGTCGATATTCGAATGTTTATCTTTAAAAGAAATCAATATATTTATTATACCTTCTAAAATTGGAATAATTTCATCAGCTTCTCTAATCTCGTCCTAGCTATGGAATTATTAATCACGTGATCATGGAACGATTCCTAAAAAATATAAAAATTGAAACCGGAAGTTTTAGAATTTTTTTAAAACAGAAATGAATACCGGTAAGACAAATAAATTTAAATATCTAACCGGTAACATCACTGTAATATTTATTTGCCTTAACCAATGTCAAATCATAACAACACAACTCATTGCAAACAACTCCAAAGGTTTGAATCTTAAATATTTAGAGATTTAATTAGATGTTGTTTTTTTCCTCTTTCCTGTTTTTCTTTTTGTTTTTAGATAAATGGATTTCTATCATCAACTAATTTCTTAACGTGACGACAAGACGGCGAATTTTTTAGATGAACCTCAAAAGGCATATCGCCATAACTCCATTTCCTAAGAGTAATTCCACAACTAAAGCATTGAACACGATCCGTATCACCACAAAAGAAGAAGCCGCATCTCGCTAATTCTCGTCCTGGGATTACGCCTCTCCAAGGCCAGGGAGCGCACGTAGTGGAAAATGTTTTATAACGGTTCATCTGTATAGTCAAATCATTACGAAGCAATGTCCGTAAAGGAATATCATTGTCAAGTTTTCTCATCGCTTCCTGATACTTGAAAAGCGCTTCTTGGTAACTTTCCGATTCCTTTTCCGTTTGTCGACGTTCATTTTCTTGGTCAGAGTTTAAATTATCATTTTCTTCAGATTCGCTATCAGATTCGCTCATATTCTTTGGAACGGCAAGAACCGGCTGCGGACTGGGAAAATGTCTAAAACTATCCGCATCATATCTCGTAGTTTTAACTAAACGCGGAAACGGTTCTGTACCATAGCTACAAAATGCATAATGATTTACATCATCTTTCCAAGCCGAATATAATTTTCCACACTCGTGGCACTCAATGACATTAATCTCCGAATTAAAATAAAAGCCTTTCTTAGCCAGAGAGCAATAAGACATTGATCCGACTTTACAAGATCTAAACGTTATAAGGCGACGAATAACATTCGTTAATCTTTCCTTCTTTTCTTTATTCATTTCCGCTAATTCTAAAAAACAAAAAACAAAAAAAGGGAACAATATAAAAATAAGTCATTATAAAAAAAGAAAAGTATAAAACGACCTTTAACCTAAAAAAAAAACAAATAAAGAAAAGGAACACTCCGACCTTTTTTTCCCAAGGATATTTTTTTTCTCCGAGTCTTAATACTCGTGGTATTTTATTGAATTGTGACGCCGCTAAAAAAGCGTTGTTTTTTTTTATATGTGTCTAAATTAGCTCAAATAAATTCTAAGACAAAGAGATGAGGGAGGGAGGGAGGGAAAGGATAGAGGAGAAAAAAAGGATAAAAATTTAAATAGTTTAAATTTCTAAGTAGCAATGTTGTTGTTACCATTATCATCTTTTTTATATAGATAAAAAGCTTATAAAATTGTCTATTTTATTTTTAAGTGATTACTTAATCACGTCTTTAATGGGGTCAAAAGGTTTTAACAAAATATTTTCGAAAAAACAAGCTGAGTATTTTAGAACAAAATGTCTTATTAATCTAATTCGAATGTTCAAAATAGTAATGTTGTTATAAAATGCTATAATTAAATAGATTGTACTTACTTTCTTCCAAAATTCTACAATTCGTGATCAGTCTGTTTTACAGGAATACACAGGCTAAATATGCCACAGTTCGAAGTATTATATAACTTTTTTAAACCCCCCGTCTAGGTTCGAATTTTCTAATTAATAGGGCTCTAATTAATTACTATAATTGCTTATAATTTTTTGTTTGGGATTGCGTAACCAGATTATTGATCAAATCTTTTTTTCTAAATTTCTCCCTTATTATGCGATAATGTAAAATTTCTTTAAGCGTATAGTACGCCCACGAATTATAGACCGATTGAGGCTGCAAAATTTAACATAATACGATGCCCTGCAACCACAATATATAATTTTTGACTCAATCATTTAAAATTAAGGAAAATTTTTCTCAGTACTATTTTGTTATATTTAATGAAGATTCGGCGGCATACGCACGAATCTTCCTAGAAATAAGTATTTTTGGCTGGACCCTACGCTGTGTCATCACCCCTCACCCCAACCAGGTCATTTTCGCCTACCGGTTAAGAAACGGTTACGTCTTGAGGAATTTAAATAGGAAAATTTTTCCACTAATTCATTGAAAAAGTTGTAATTTTAAAAGGGCGATATTTATTAAAGAAAGTGAAATAATAGCGAAAAACTTTAAATAGCTCTAGCGGCATTTTCAGCTATTCTTTAAACTTTTTAAAAGGGCAAGTATACTGGTATGATTAATAGAAATCATATTTCTATAAACTTTAAATTATATCTTTACGTTTGAAATAGCAATAATGGATTTTCATACACAAATCCGGGGTTTTTACTCAACAAAAAACTCCATCGAACCGGTCGATCTTCCTTCAGAGTTGTATAAAAGGGGACAAGTTCGATAGGTAAAAATCAGTCTAGCAGTTCTCAACAAGAACTTTATAGTTGGAAATCGAAGAAGGCCGGACGAAAAAATGTTGTATTTGTAAGAAGAACTGGAAAATTGTGTGGCTGAACTGTTAGGTAAAAAATCTATACTTAAATATATTCAATTTATATCTTTATGTTTAATCTATTAATCTTATCCTTTTCCTTTCTTTAAACAGAGAATAACAGCTTCAGCTACTTGTTATTATAAAAATAAAAGAATAAAATTCTCGCAAATATCTACTATGAACGTAGACAAATTATGGATGGAAAATACTCGGAATCAATTAGAACGACAGTCTAAGAAGATTATAAATAGCATCATGTGGTTCCATATCGCCTGGTTAAATTAAAATGGAATCGAGGGCCCAGTCGTATAGAAATCTCTGATAGAATTTTTAATTTTCTTATAGACGATCATTGATGATGAAATTTTCTGATATCATGTAATCTTGTTGATTGTTTTTGTTAATGTATCGTGGTATTAAATGAATATGAATACAGAAATTTAGATAATTTGCGACAATTAGAAATATATTCTGTTGTTGTTGTTGTTTAATTAATTTTTGTACTAATTATAAGAGAACCTTTAATTAAACAATAGTATTGGGTATTTTTGGTCCTCTAAATTAATTAGTAACAGTTGTATATACGATCAAATAATATATAAAGGGGGAAGGAGAAGCGAACAGCAAGATAGAGAAAGGGAATACTAATTAAGGATAAATAATAATTGATTACGTGGGCATAAATTTAATAGACTGTTGACAGTCAACGGTTTTTTATCGACGAATATTCAACCTATGATTTATAAAGTAACAGAATAAGTTTGATTCTCAATTTGAGATTGAAGAGTTAAAGAGTTTTTCTTTATTCTTTTTATCATTTCTCCATCATGGATGACAAAAGAATTCCAGCAAATTAACTAATAAGGTAATCACTCTGTATTTGTTTATTTTATCAATATAATGTAAGTAAGGGAAATTATTAATTGCTAATTAAATTATCTTTGCTTATTTTAATTAGTATAAAGATATAAAAAGTAATAATCATATAAAACGATTAAAGCTAAAAGTAAGAGTCTTTTATGAAAGTGAAAGATTCAAGATAAACAATAGTAGTATCTAAAAGCAGGATTCTACTGGACAATAGTTAATTATAAGAGAAATAAAAGAGTATACTCTATAATATGATATTATTCCTCTTGTTATATTCATATATCAATTGAGTCTTTATACAAGTGTATTACATTCCTTTTCGGATTTAGATAGTCCAGCTGGTTCTGATGGAGAAGTCATTTTTCCTCTACGGCTGTTTTGTTTTATAGAAAACGTTGTTTAAATTTGATATTCGTTGGCTAAACTATTCTATTTTTTTTCATTGCAGATCATTTCTCTCTCTCTCTCTCTCTCTCTCTCCTATCTTTTAACTTTACTATCTTTACAATTGTTCTATTATTTCTCTCTCTCTCTTCAGAATTCTATGGTAATAGTCTGAAATGATTATGGTTTGCCTAAAAATACAGCTAAATTCGATATTTGTCTATTCATCTCTTTTTGATGAATAACATTCTACAATTATCTCGGAAGAAACAATTGTAAATCTGTATAGTTTATCTTTTCGCATTGAAACGTATAAATAATATAATTTATCAACAGGATATACAGTAAAATTGCCTATATACTGTACATACAAAGTATATCATCGCACATTAACACCAATAAGTAAGCTCTGTTTCAAATTTGTCTCTTTCTGTAAAGAATTGATATTAAAGTTGACATTTTTTTCTCTCTATTTTCAGAAAAAAACCTTTGGATTCTTGAAAATCAATATCCGTCCTCCTTTTACATTAATTATTTTTAATTAGTTTCATTAATTATTACAAGCATAATTAATATCAATCATATTGTTACTATATACTATTTTTTATTAGTATATATTAAATTGTCATGGCTGTATTTAAATATAAACTTTGATTATTAATGTTCTAATATCTATATTTAGAACAAGCGACAATGGCTAATTTTGATAGTAGTTTATATTCAATTTATCTCATTCTTATTTAAGATTCAAACGATGATCATCTTCATAGAAGAAGACATTTTCTCATTAATATGATAACTATGATTTATCAATATTATTGATATGCTGAGAGATAATTTAATATTTTTAACATTAAATTAAATTAAAGATAGTATGAGTGCTTTTTTTGGAGAAAATTGAAGGATCATTACTCTACATACTAGAGAGTAGAGCCGGAGGTAGAGATAATTAATTAAAAAAGTAAGTTTTATTTCTTTTTTCAGAAAAGAGGAAGAAAAGAGAGAGAGAGAGAGAGAGAGAGAGAAGAATGGAGCGTATATGAAAAATATATAGATAAATATACGCATAGATTTGTATTTATATATGCAATGTATATTGAGTAGAAGAGAACTTTATGGAAAATTTAACAAAGAGCAAGACGTTCTTTCTTTGCCATATGAACATTTTCCTGCAAGCTGCCGTCAAGACATAATGCTTTCAATGTTGATTGTGAAGAAATTAGATTGGACAACAATTGGAATGCAATATTGCAGTTTATTTTGCTGAAGGAATGTTACAAATAAACATTAAGAGGTGTAAATGTCAATTTGCAAATAAACTTTAATGGGAGAATCGTTGTAAATGAAATTAATAGTTTCAATTTGATAGAGTACTTTATCTTAAACAATTACACAAGCTCTACTCTTCGTTCTCCCTCCTTTAGAAATGAGATCAGTAACAGTTTCCTCCTTGTTCTTCTGTGACGCTTTGTTTGAATTATTTTGTGAAGTTTCTCCTTCCTTGTGAGATTTATTTGTTTTGATAGTAACGTCTGAAAATTCACTATCAACAACCGATAAATCACTATAGAAACTTAAAGTGGATAAACCATCTTCTGCCCGTTCAGAGTGTGCATTCCTAAAAATTTCATCTCCGTTGTCTCTTTTAACTTTTTCGAGTAGTTCTACGTTGTCCACTGCGGGAAGGATACTGATATTGACATCATCTGGTTGAAGAATTGTAACTCGAGGTTCTTTCTGGTGATAATTGCATAACCAGATAGTTTTTCCACTGCTTACGTGGCATTTTGATAGATCGTTGGATGAGGTGCTATTATATTGGCGATCCCATATCTTAGCTATTAATTCAATCATAGACACATAACTGTCTCTTATCGTTAAATTTTTCTCTTCATTTTTCTTAACTAAGTTTGACTGTAACTGTTCGATAAAACTAGCACCTTCTTTGCTTTTAAAAACTAGTAAGGGAATGGAAGTGTGCTGGAGAAGAGCGTAAATTCTGACCAAATAAGGAGACCATTGTTTAATATAATTTTCGGCTGTCATGCTCTCAGGTTCAATATTCCATTGAATACTTTTACTATCGGCAGGTAGATGCCAACCCTAGATGATAATATAGTAGATAAAAATGAATATTAGAATGTGTGTGCCTTGAATTGAATAGCACTTACTTCATCATGTTCACAGAGAAAATTGAAACGATATTGTTTCGATTCGAGTGTTGCATAATCTAATATTGGAATATGAGGAAAATTTGACCCTCTTGATAGATCCTGCAAAATTATTAATTGTCTCAATAGCTTTCTTTCAGCCAACTCTAAGAGTTCCGTAAACTCTTCATGATTAGCTTCTTTTTGAGTTTTTGAATTTGTTTTCTTATTTTCATCTAATTTTTCTGTTTTAAGATATTCTTTTACAAGATCAATAACTTCTACAATATCCTCATCTCTTTTCTGAAGATCGACTCTCGAATACGGCAGAGATATCATACCAATTTCAGATTTGATCCAATTCTTACCGGTTCCAACAACAGCAAGAATAATTGGTAATCTTAGCGAAATAGCTGCAAAGCGAAACTCCATCTGACAATTTTTAGAGGAAACATACTCATCTGATACGCAAGCAACAACGATCCTAGCTTTTCTTAAGCCTTCCGCAATGTCTTGAAACAAACCACCTCGGCCTACTTGTTCAACATCCATCCAGCATTTTATTCCGGCTTGTTCGAGTTTATCTTTCAATTGTCTAGGATCAGTCTTACCAAGTGCTGATTCGTTCATTTTTGTCCCTTTCTTTATGGCTGATAAAGAGTTGCTCCAGCAATAACTTATGAAACACGGTGGCCATTCTTTAGCCATTTTATTCTCGAGATTCAGTGACTTTTTCAAATCATTCATCTTTGTGCTAAAATTATTCACATTTTGCATATTGATGTATATCTGATAATATAAAAGAAACGATTTATTAGTATTCTATAAACTATATACAGTATATATATCAGTATAGATAGTATTACATCATCTGAGCACAGCATCCCAATATCAGTATTTTGTTTCCATTTATCACTCTTCTTAATTAGTATTAATTGATTTGGTTTGGATAAATTCTTTTTTGCATAAATGAATAAATTTTTACAGGTTAAATTCTTGATAAAATCGTCCGTCATTAAAGTCAGTACCACTTGAGTAGTTTTCAATGAAGATATTGCTTCTTCAATATATTTCTCGCAAGAATCATTATACAATTTTCTAAAATATTTTGGATTTAAAAAATACCATTAGTTGGGAAAGTTAATTTAAAAATTATAAATCTTACATGGAAAACCCCGCTTTTTCCAATTCATTTTTAATTCTTGTCGCAGAGACAATACTATTCTCCGATCCTTTCGGAGGATCATCGGACAAACAGTATAACATTACAATGTCCGTTACTAGTCCTGATCGAATTTTCTTCAATTCTCTAACGGCGTTTTGCAAATGTATATCGAATTCTTCGTTACCATCAGGAGGTAGCATATCTAAAGATATAACAAGGAAGTAAGTAATTTTTTCTTAATAACAAAACAACAATAACATACTTTGAAGTTGAGTTATAGACACTGTATGGAAGTTATCATTACATTGTAGAAAAGGGATTTTTAACTGTAATGCTTTTCTGATACGTGATGACGGTATCATGGTAGGATTTGAAATACATTGGTGAATGCATTCAGGGCAGGGTAATGTAAAATCGTAACGAACTCCATGAAAAAATTCAGCAATTAAAGTTTCGAAAACTTCGTGGACAAGAAACAGAACATTATCCGGCTTTAACCCTCTCACTTCGATAAGAACCGTTGTTGAGCTAAAAGGCAAAAAAAATTATTTAGAATAGCAATAGAAATAATTAAAAGTTAAACCTTATTTTCTTTAAAAGACCTCTATGACTATTTTTTCTTAAAAAAGATCCATTTTTCCAGATAAGAGACTCGTCACTATACTGATAGAGTCTAACTTGTGCTCTATTAAATAATCCTGAGGGCAGATAATCAAAGTTATATTGCATTTTTGTCTGAATTTCTCCACTCTTTAAAGGTTCATCTTCCCAAGGATGCTATTAAAGATAGTACGTATTAATGATTGTAATGAATTAATCATAAAATGCTTGGCGAAATATTTATTACTTTTGGTTCGAGTTCAGGAAGAAGGCAGGGGACCAGGCTAGCCTTTTCAGTTTTTAAACAAAACGTTAAATCAAATTCTTCAGTAAGGCGTAGCAACCATTCGTGAAGATGAGCAGCATATGACTCTGAAGGCCAAATTTTTGACAAGTCTTTATGCATTAATTTTCCGTCCTTTTTTTAGAGACAATAAATTAAAAGTAAAAAAAAATGACAATGAAATTCTATGATTTTTAATTGATTTGATACCAACCTTTATTGCATTTACTTGAATTGAAACAACACAAGCCATTACGTCCACAATCCATTGTGGATTTATAACAATTTTCTTCCTTAAGAATTCGTTTTGAAAATATAAAAGAGACCCTAATTCATGAAGAAGTTCAACAGCTTGATAAAACTGTAAGGAAGAAAAAGAGAGTGTATGTGTGTGTGTGATTGAGAAAGAGAATATCAAATGAACAAGAAACAGTAAACATAGCTATAAATAATAACCTCGGCCTTATTAAATATACCACTACTTTCAGCAAGTTTCAAGGCGTCTTCTATTGAAATTAGATTAGAATTGCTGCCGGCTCTATTATAAAAAACAAGTTATATATTTATCTGTAAACCAGAAAGGAACAATTTTTTATCAGAGTTTCTTGACAACTTCAAGAATGTAAACATACGCAATTTTCATTTTCTAAGAATATAAGAATATACGATATTTATATATTTACTTACTCGAACATTTGTTTTTCGAAATCTAGCCAGATCATTGGTATTTTCTCATTCATATATTTTTCGTTCAAAGTTATCTCCACCAAACCATTGATTAATTCATTTATACCCTATAAATTTATTTATACAAAAAATTCTAAATTATTTATTGATCCATTATTCTTAACATACCTTGCGACTTAAAGAAGAGACGTAGTAAAATCCTTTAATTTGCGAATATCGCTCTTGGTATTCCAAAGCAGGTAGTTCCGATTTTTCAACCTATGTTAAATTTTGATAATGCTGTAAAAAAGGCTAACTAATATACTTATTCAGTTATACCTGATCAATATGAGTTCCTACAATGAAAATTGGAGCTTTAGGAGCATGACATTCTATAGAGCTTAGCCAGAATTTCAGACCAGCATGCTCGTGTCCTAATCTTACATTCCAGACTAAAAAATAAACGGCTCTATTTGATAAGAAGAACTGATGAGTATTGTAATAAACTGTTTGTCCGGCAAAATCCCATATTGAATACTCTATGGACTGAATAACCCATTTCTTAATCGAAATTCCATCTGTAACTTGTGCACTTTTAACTAATTTCTCACTTTCCTGTTGATTACTCTCTGTTAGTCCAGACACTAAGCTTGTTTTTCCAGCACCTCCAAGACCCACTAGCATTAATTTTGTTCTTCTACATGATACAGAGCCTCTATTTAATGCCCTCATATAGCTCATGATGGCTGTTAGACCCTTGTCAATTATCTCTTTTGGAGGTGTTTTCAAAGATGGACAAGCGTCAATGGCTAAAAAAGATAAAGGAAGATCTGAGATTTTACTGCTTATCTCCTCTAGCATTAAATTATGAGATATATCCAACCACTCTAAGTTTACCAAGTATTGAATACCATCATCCAGAACACGAAAACCTTGAAATCTTAACTCTAGGAAGGATATAGTATTATATGCTTGTTTATGAATACTTTTCAAGATATTCCAAGAGGATAGTCTAGGTAATTTCTTAAATAGACCTGCATGAAATTCTTGCTTTTCACTGGAATCGCTTAGCATTTTATTTTTGTTTATATCAGCCTGTTGAAAAAGATTGACCATGTTTTCTTCGTCTAGTCCAATGGAAATTAAATGAGAATACTCCTTATGATATAAATCTAACAATTCGTCAAACGTAACTATCGCATTTTCTGTTATCTTTAAGTCAAACGGTTTAAAATTCATTGCGCTAAATCTCAAAACGACTAGGCTAGGAAGTTCTTTGATAACTTTTGGAAAATTACTAAACACATTTCCAGTAATAGTTAGATCACGAAGCTGCAATAAATTAGACATTTCCATTGGTAAGTCGGTTATTGCAAGATTCGAAAGATCTAGTTCTGTTAATAGTGTACATGTTCCAATTGTATGAGGAATTGTTTTTATTGGACCATTTGATATGTGTAAATATCTGACTGTAGTTGATATTCTATCCAAATATGTAAGAATGACAGACGATTTGGCATTTTTTATATCTATAAGAGATAGCCTGAAGAGGTTCCCTAATTTTTCATAAGAATTTTCTTCATTTCCATCGCCGTCAGGGATAGTGTATTCATTTAAATATTTGAAACTGAAAAAAAAAATTTGATGAAAACGATATATTCTATTTAATTATTGAGAAAATTACTAATTGCAGATTGTTGCTGTTTGATTATAATTTGATATGTAATATATGATATCATTAGATATTGCTTGTATGTGTTCTTCATTTTTAACTTCGAAATTATTTCCATCATCGACGTGAAAGGAGCATTCAAAAATTCCAGTACTTGGATTATTCATTACGCCTAACGTCTTTTCGGTAGTAAAAACATCTTTAAAAACCTATAGAAGAAATTTTATGCATAATTCTTGGAGAAAAGTTTATATTTATTTTTTACTTTTTGCAGGGGTGTTGTTATTTTGTAGAGGAACTCTTCCTGAGATTCACCACCACCAGCTTTTGCGGTCTTAGCTTCTTGCTTGTCACTTTTAAAATGATTTATAACATTATTTATATCATGTTTATTTAGCAACAGTGAAAGGTAGAACCCAAGCTGGCTTGATTCGATATCTTCTGTAGCCTAAATGATATGATCAGTAGTACTTATAAACGCATTTTATTTTACTCTTTTACCTTGCTGTCTTTATAATATAACCATAGTGTCAGAATGTGAATCATACATTTTTCAACTTCCTCAAGACAAGAAACTTTTGAAACAGTTTTGGCAGACTTTCTTATTATATGATCATATTTTCCAGAAAATAAAGATGGGCGCACAGATGTAAAGCAAACAATATAGGCAGTCATTTTATCAAACTGAACGAGTTCGTTCAAGTAAATTACTGAATCTTCTTTAAGCTCTCGCGGAAAAATTATCCCTCTAGGTGAGTTGAATCCTTCAAGTTTTGAAAACGCTTCGATACTTTGGGGAATCACTTTTGCCCATTCTCTATACAGGAAACCTGCTCAACAAAGAATTAAAAAGACGACAGCAAAATAAATCAAGAACTACCGGATGATTGAGCAATATCTGCCAAATGAATTCCTTTTTCTCGTGGTATAATTGAACACATTTCGTCTTCTGATACGCGTAATGCATGCTCAATCCAATCGTAGGGAACCGATTGACCCCCGACAAAGCTTAAATAATCAGGAAATCTTATCCGTTTTGACGTCTTTGCTGTAAAAACACCTAAATTTATTCAAATATTCAGATAAAAACAAAAAGAAATCAAACCAAAAATATAACTATTAACGCTAAGTTTTAAATAAATTGCCAAAACATCTTTGAGTTGGCGATAACTTTTCCATTTCGGCCGATATTTAGAGCCATCAACATTTATCAGAATTAATTTCTTTTCAGGTAAAATGTTTTCTATGACAGTGGAAGGTTTAATAAGATTTAAATTAAAAATACATACATACCAATGGTTGCAATAGTTCCATAGTGCTTATTAACGCATTCTTTATGTTTTATACCTAGTTTTTGACCAATAGCTATAGAATTGTAGGAATATTCAAATTTTTTTCTCTGATAAAAAAAATTGCAAAAGAATCTTAAGAAATATGCGAAAAAGTGCACTGAATATGTTTTACTGGAGCATATGTAAAATCAATTGTTTTTGAATTAGGTATCTTTAAAAATTCAAGTTTATATTGATTGTTTGGTACTGTAAGGCTGACCAATAGGATATTGTCCATTAATAAATTCAATGTGATTAGAGAATGCTAAAGGGAATAAATAATTTTAAATTGTTGAAAATATATCATTAGCGAAAAATTCAACCTTATACATTGCTAAAATACTATTTCCTTCGAAAATAGGTAGTAACTTCAATGTAAGAAAAGTCGAACCTTTTGGGCTAAAATCGAACGATTTCTTCGTTATCCCATTCATAAGAATTTTAATTTTTCCCTCAACCGAATCAACAGTTAGAGAGAAACCCGTACTTATGAAATGAAACAAAACGAATTAATAGGAGAATTTCGTATTTAGTTATATACATACTCGGCTGACCTGTTGAAACGAAAGAGGATAAGAAAAGTTGAACTGAGAAGTATATTTGAATATATTCACTTACTTCACTCTAAATTTGATACCAAAACAATTACTAATTGTAATTGAATAGAAATTTATCACATCCATTTTCCAATATAATGTAGAATTATCAAAACTATCACCAGAACGAATTGTACTCTGATCACTCTCTGTCAGAATTTCAGTTTTGAAAGTTGGACATAACTCTTTATGCATTTTCCAAACAAAATGTTGCCTGCTAGCTATATTCTGATTAGTTGTTGAAGGTAATATATTATTGTAAGATATACAATAATTATTAACTGTAATAAAAGACGACAATTAATAGATGTTAATCAAAAAATTATTTGACAAAACGTACAAAACTTCAAATGCTCATCAATAAATAAACTAGACTTTGTCTTATCTTTTCTTATCATAAATTTATGTCCCCAAGGAGTAATCAACGTATTCTGGTTTAGAAGACAAGATAATTTAAATTATAGGTTATTTTTGTTAATTCTCACAGAGAAGTAAACAGAGAACATTTTCAGTGAATATTCAACAGCAGTAGAAATTTCCTTTAAAAGACTTGCTAATAAAGATGGGGAATTTTGATTTTTGATAGTCCTACAACATATCTTGACAGTTTTAGACTCTGTAAAAGTAGATTTTCCAATATAGAAAATAGTGTTGCTTTTAAATTAATTCCTTTACCTTTCTCATCAAAACAAATATAAGCTTCCACAGGTCCATCGTGAATAATAATTAAATCGTAATAAACGGCGGCAATTGTCGTATTATGATTTTCTTTGTGTAAAAGAAAATAAATGTGATAAATAATCCGCCAATGAACCCAATGATTTAATGCTGATTTAAACGTGTAGACTGATGAACCTTCTACGATATCTTCTCTTTCCTTTATAACGAAAAAAAGTATTATGAAAAAAATTCAAAATGGAGGCGATTTTAGGGAAACGTTCTATTCTTTTTGTCAGATTTTCTATTCTTTTATTAAACGGAATAAATAGTGTATTATAAATGAAATAAATTAAACAATAACAATTGGACAGTTATAGATGGCTGAAAGTTGTTCTAGCTGGACAAAAGTGCTCTTAGTATTTTGTATTTATCTTCTTTGGAAGACAAGTTAGCTTTTGGTAGCGCGCGAAAATTTGTAGCGTTTGCTGTGTTTTCATCCTCTTTATCGTCAAGCTTAGTAAGTTTAGGTTTCTTTAGCTGATTTCGAACTTTAAATCCGTCAACCCAGCCGCTATAAGGCTTAAAGTTTGTTATACCTAGCTTTTGAGAAAATTCTGCCGCCTTCGAACGCAGCATTTCGTCTGTTATAGGAATTTGACAAGTTTTGGAATCTTGAACGAAGGCAACTAAACATTTTTCAACGTCGTCATGAAGAACTCCTCTAATCTTCCTAGATGTTTTGTTAATTTTCTCATTATAAAAGGCTTCTCTTATCTTTTGTCGATCTCTCCAAATACCGGAGATAGTGCTTTTAGATAGTTCAAAGATTTCCATAACTTCCTCTCGATGATTATCTTTTCCCTCAATACTTGAAATAATTTTATGACGCTCTTCAATTGAAAAGGATCGACGACGCTTATTAGACATTTTTTGTTTTTAAATAAGTCTGCGGGTTTTAAAAGAATGGAGTGATTTGACCACTTCGCCACACTAACGTGATTTTAGGGATTACTATATTTAGTACCGTAATGGATTCTATTTCAACGGGTGTTACTAAATTTAATCATAATGGATTTCTTTACATTTTTAGGCCAATAACACTTTCGCATAAACACTAAAAATCCTTTTAAAAATAATAATGAAAAGACTTATTACATACCTCTAACAACTTGAACATTTCCTTTGGAGCGGATGTCAATTGAAGAGGAAGTAATAAACCACAATTTGGCAGTTTTAATCCTACAGCCGTCCGGAAAAGAAATTCCACATAACTAAATATCTTTTAAAAAATACGTTTTTATTTTCAAAGTAACAACTATATATTATCATTACTAACCTTTCCTGGAGCATTTTTTGAACTATACCAATCCGCTTTCTGACACACTTTCATTGATTTTCGAAGAAAAAACTGATCAATTTTTACATGATCACCACAAATTTCCGATATAGAATATAAGTTTTGTAGATAATTTGCAAACCATTGTGGACTAGCTACGTACCATTGTTCGTCTAAAAAACTCTTCAAAAATATTATATGACCCTAGAATGAAAAGTAGCAGTTGAATAAATTGACATTCTCTTCACAATTCAATAACGCACTAATATATGACATAAATCCAAAACTTTAAAATATGGAAATGAGCATATTTCCACTACTTTATGTTGTTCCTCATCTGCTTTATTGACATGAAATAGATCTGAAGAGAGGATAGGTTTAACAATAAAAAATTTGGAACAACATAAAAAAGACCATACTTGAACGAGAGTTTGCCTCCATAATCTCTGTTATACTTAAAAAACCCTCTCTCTTTTTAACTTTCTTATTAATTGACGCGATAAAGTCATCTAAAGTATCTTCTGTGTACTGCAAATTGTTAAAATATATAAATACAATATTCTCTAATTTTAAACTACAAAAACTCAATTAATCACCTTAAACTGTGGATTTAAATCTACAACTCTTTTAAATGCTACATTCATATAGTTAGCTAAATCCTGGTATAAGAGAAATTTGATATTGTTAATAGATCTTTTAACAAGCTGAAATTTAAAGAAGAAGTATATTAACTTGATCTTTTTTCTCTATATCCAGGTTAATAAAAGTTATAAGTGAATTATCAATTTCTATATTTGACTTTAATTCATATAATAATTGAGTTAAAGCCATTAAATTATGTATATTGTTTTGATCGCTGAATTCAAGCGTTGAAAGTTCTTGGATACTGCAATAAATAGGAAATAATTTTCTGCATTAATTGTTATACTACGAGAATATCATTTCAAATACCTTGACTTTTCTTTAATAGTATTCTTAAATTCATCTATTTTAGACTGCATTATAGAAACTAAAGAATATGTAGCTATGATTTCGTCAATTTTAGTTCCAAATCCTACAAAAATGATTACAGGTGGCGCTTCCGGACTGAGGTTCTATTAAAATAGTTAATTGAATAAGTGTCAATATTATTTTAAAAAAATAGGCAATTAAAAGATTTACCATTTGTAAAAGTCCAATAATTATATCTATCAAATAAAGGGAAAGATGTTCTTCGTCGCATACTAAATTAAATGGAATGACGAGAAGTGATCGTTTGAGTGATATAAATTGTATATAATCCTATTTTTTGGGGGATAGGCATGAAAATTATAATAAAAGATAAAGATAAGATAATAATTATTCATACCTCATAACAATCGTAAAATTTCCAGTTGTTTATTTTCCAATAGTTAAAAACATTTTTACAATATTGTATTTTTTTGTTTGCTATTAAAGATTCGAAATTAATTCTTCCGAATAATCTATCATTTGATCCTTTATTGTCTTTATATAGGCTTTGAAAATGGATTATAACTGCTTTTTTATCATCTAAAAACCGACAACGAAATTGAGGTTCTTTTCTGATACCTATTGAAATAAAGAACAGTTCAGTAAAGAAACTTTTTATCATTAAATAATCTAACTTATGCGTTCCGTTTTCAATTCTTTTTCTAGATCTAGATCATTGGATGCATAAGGATTGAAATAGGGATTAACAGGTCTTAATTTTTCTTTAACTTCTTGAGAAAAGTCACGTGTTAAGGAAATACATTCTCCAGGAGGTTCTTTATTAACAGTAACTTTTGATTTTCCACCTTTCTTAGACTTTCCAATAATTACTGAACTCTGAGAGGCTTGTTCAAAAGTTTCAAATGTCCAATAGCTCAAAGAATTGCATTCATTGAAACTACAATCCTAAAAAAATACCAAACTTTGTCTTAATTTTAATTAGCTCTTTATTTTAGTTCTATTTTCAGTATACAAACCCTAATGGAATTATTTGCTTTTTTAATCCAAAATACTGACCAATCAGTAACATTCGGACAATTTTGGAGCGAAACTTTACGAAGTTTCCACGTTATCTGTTATATTTAAAAAAAAAAAGCTTTCAATAATGAATTGCGAAGTAGTATAAAAACTTACTGTCTCGTATTCTTTAATTGAAGGTACTACTTCATTGGCTAAGCAAAAAAAGTAGTCGTTTAAAAAATCTATATCTTTAATATCAAGGATAGATATCTCATTTATTTCATTGGGTTCCCTGTTTTGCCATAAAGGATTCTAAAGTATAAAAGCAAACGTATAATTTGTCAATGATTCACTATGTTCTCTTTACCATTGAACTTTGATTAAAAATACTCTGTAAAGGCATCCTGTTTTGAGGAAATATATTATATGCATCAAATATTTCATTTTTCATCACTGGTCCAAGGAAAACTGTTTTGGGTACTTGTTTCTTTACTTGACTGGCTCTTTGATAACCCATTGCTTCTATTTCATCAACAAAAGATTTGAAATTTTCTGTAAATAAGAAATAAATAAAGAAATAATTAGATAATATACTGTAAATAGATAATAGAGCATTAAATTTACGTGTAGAGACTCCTTCCCTCTTCCGTACAGCAAATCCAGTCAGTAGTAGTAAAAAATCTAACGTTCGCTGATGATTTACTCCAGAAATGATATCCTTCTCATCAACTATACCTTTACCTTCTTTGAATATATTAGTATTATATGAAATTTTCAGTCAATTTTTTTACAATTTCTTTTTTTTTATTAAAAAACAACTCACCAACTGCTTCAATGATCTTCTGTAAAAGTTGAACTTTTTCTTCAAATGTCTAAAAATAGATAATACTATAATCACTACGCTATCTAAAAAAAATACTATAGATAAACCTACGTCAATTTTAAATTTCAAGTCATCTTCCGTCAGAATATTGCTGATCTTGCTTTCTTTTAATATCTACAATGAAATAAAGTAAAATGCTAAGTATGCATAATTCAAGTATAAAAAACTTACAGAAATCGCTATATCTTTCACATATTGATATGGCAGTTTTCTTAAGAATCGTTCATATATGACTGGAGTTTTTACAGCGTTTATTAGAGCGAGTTCGGCTCTCTCTCTTGCTAGATCAACCATTTTTTATATCAAACAATCAATCAAAATCTGAAATTAAATTTAAATAGAAAAATTTTTTGATTATCAATAAAATGTCTTGGCGCATGCGTAAACTAACACATCCGTTTTCATTGACAACGAAGTAAATACTTCGAGAGGCGGTTGAAGTAAATAATTTATAGGGGAATCGAAAAGGTATTCTCATATAAATAGTTATAGTTGATAGAAATTATGTGGGCTTTCAAAAAAGAACGGAACATTTTGACCAGATTTAATTCCTTCGGAAAATATTACCAAAGATTACTATTTAGAACATTCTCCAGATGGTGTACTGTGAAAGAGCAGTATAACAAAACAATTCGCTATTGGAATTAAAAGAAAAGCCTTCAGAACCATTCACCTATTTGGAAGAGTGGCAATCTCTTTTCTTACTCCACGCTTTTCCTCCTAGTCTGAATTTATCCTACAACTATTCGTTTTTCAAACTTGAGTTTATTGAGTTTAAATGAGCAAAGTATCTATAGCATATAATGCTGACTGGGAAAGCCTAAAGAACACGACGAACAGCTAAAATATTAATACATGCAAATTACATAATTTTCTGTATTTGTAGCAGAAATTGTAAGAATGAGCCAAACTTTTTTCGCTCCCATAGTTTGTTATTTCGAAATGTTTCTTGTAGGTTATAATAGTTCCCTCGCTAATCTTCTGCAGACGTATCACCTCAACGTTACGATAACCGTTAATCCAAAAAATAACCAACAAAAAGAATTTATAAAGTGGAATCTTTATACTCTCCAAAAGTGTATTTTTCCTGACAGACCATCTTTAACAGCAAGCTTGACACTTGAAGCATATCTTTTCTTTGTATCGAAGACTATACTGCTGAACGGCCACTCCCCCATAGTAACACTTTGATTCGTCTGGAATAAATCCTAACTTACAGGAGAAAACGACTGCCCTAAAATTATTGGTCATAAAGTTGTTAAATTTAGTAGGTGTCCATAAGTTGATTGCTGAGTATTCTATTTCGTTACTACAATATATTAATAACATAAGTTTTATTTCTAGCTTTGTAGTATATTTTATAAGAATGCAAGTGCTAAAACATTATCCTAGGCAGCCATTTTCGCACGAGTAAGATGATAATTTTAAATTAACCTTTCTTTAAATTAATTTTCTTTTATGAAAGGTTTATTTATTTTACTTGAGACAGAAAATTTTAGAGAATTCGAAAAGAAAGGATCACGTGAAACAGTAACGTTCTCGCCCAATTACGAGCTGAAGAATGTTTTTTTTTCAATAAGAAAGCCTAAAACAAGATTTTAAAATATTGCTTGTTTTGCCATAATGAATTCGTTTCGTTTCAATAAAAAGTTCTAGGCCTAGATTTGATGATTTTTCAACTCATTTGTTACAAATCTTGCAAAGTTCCTAGTTGCAAACTGCAACTCTCATACGAACTCAATCTCATACGAGTTCAGATGTCAATTTTTTAATGCTTCAATACTTCGTTCAACTGACAAAGAGTCGCTGTCAACGTTTTCCGAAAGTGTTGAATACAGAATATTACATACTTGCATCCCTTTTCTTTTATATATATATTTCGTTGATCAGCCTATTTATATCCTTACGGATATAAGGTCATACTTGTTTTTCGAACATAGAATAATCTAATTTTTCACAATTCTGTAATTTCAGTAATAAAAGAAGAACTATTACAAATAAGATTTTTTTTCCTGCTGATAAAAATGATACTTTGTATATGTTTATATATGATATGAATTTAGTATTTTTCTCCTCTTTTCAAAAGTTAATTTGAATTCCCCTTCTATATTGTTAACTCTGTCAAAATTCAGTATGACAAGTCAAGATCTCTTTTATTCTTATAATAATTGCATTGATTGTTTTGTAGGAGGTAAAAAGTATATACAGTATTAGTAATTATAGATAATGTTCAAATACGAAGCATCATATAGTAACATTTGAGCGTAAGATATAAGATATATCTCCATTAAAACACTGTTTCAGTTGGTAATCTATGTGAAACTCACAGAGGGAATAACTGGATTGCTCTATTGTCTTCTTACTTTATTGGGTGTTTTTATTTATGTATTCCTTTATCAAGCTATTAATATAATATTTTAAATACTACATGGTAGTTGAAGTTTAAACAATATTTTATCGGTATTTTATTCACTTTTCTGCTCTCGTTATTGTGTTCCCCGTACAATATCTACTGAAAATATTCTCCTGAATGTCCTTAAGAAAGGTTATGGAAAGCTTAGAATTTTTTGAAAGAGTTCTTAAGCTTTGCAATGTACTTCCAGAATCAGAATAGTTTCAGGAGATGGCTATTTATCTAATTTTTATTTCAGAAACGTTAAATTTTTTCGTCTTCAAATAGTTATTCGAGTTTATTGTTCCATCAACTAATGAATTAAAGACTATAACAGCTTAATAAAATATTGATTTAAGATAAGATTCTTATCTGATTAACACAAAGATTAGTGATATTAACTTTAAAATTGTATAGATTAGTTCCTTTGGAAATAGGGTTCATCAGAAAACTACGAAGAAATCAATAGTATAGATATTTTGAAAGGATTATGCTTTAACATTAGCATCTACGATCAATCCCAACTTCAAGTATAGTAACATTTATCTCTAATGATCACTTCCAAAATATTACTTCTAAAAAAACGCACTTTCTAGAAAATTCCACTTCAACATTACGCACCATACCAAAACAAAATATATCTTTAAGCAGCTTGTGGTAGATATTAAATTGGTTGAGAACTTTTATTTGCTGAACATTATTATAACGCTATTAATAACTAATTTCTTTTTATGGTAAAGGACAGAAACTAAAAACTCGGGTATGTAGTGATCCTGTGTCTGGAATTTTCAGCACTGAGCCTTTTCATTGTTTTAATTGGCATAGTAGGTGTAATGTTATGACATTGTATTCAAAAGCGTCCCTTTTTCCGCTTTCATTCAAATGTTCTTTTACTTAAACTATTCATTTCTTTCCATTATAGGTGTAGTAGACAACACTGTAGCAAAAGAATTAAAAGAATGTACTGTTTTCCTGGTCTCTTGTTCAGAATTGTGACGTATGTTTGACAGTTTCCGAATTTGGTAGTGAGATAGGAACCAGTTCATATTGCTCTGCGGTCAAATACTTGTAACTGCAATAAGTATAATTGCATTTATGACTCGAACATGTACAAAGTATTCAAAAATAACAAGCGACATACAGTTAGCTTCCCAAAATGCCTATTTTTAAGTGTTAATTTTGCCCTATTAAACCAACTTTTGTAGTAGGACGAGAACCAGTCCTTTCAACGTCTAAAAATTTTATCAATCTTTTTTTCTTCTTTTCTGCTTCAAAATTGTCATTAAAGTATACTAAAAATATATCTAAGGCAATAGAAAGACAAATTTGCAAAAGAAAAATTAAATCTCAAAGAGTAATAGGAAAAAGTCGGTAGAAACGGAATACGGTACCCAATTGCTTCCCAAAGTGGGGCTCCATCACCCTATATAAGTGAATGTCGTAATGTCATTTTTCACATTATTAGAATTATCGACAGCACATGCTTCAAGATATCCAAAAATATCAACTAATCTCTTCTACGAATTTCGTTTTCAAAGCTCCCTATTCGTCAAACATAACTTTCTCTATCAGAAACTAAAGAATTTTGCGGTAATATAACTTTTGAAGTATTATTTAACTTTTTAATCTAATTTTAATGAAAATGTAATAGAGACAAAATGGCGGCCAGTGAAATGCCTAAGGTTCAAGCTAAAGACGTTCAAAGGAGAATAATGCAGCAGAACATAAGCGACTTTCTGTCATTCAGCACGACAGACTACCACACTAATAAAATTGACGTGGAAGGCTTTGCAAAATATCTGCACAAGACCATGCTCGACCTGTATCCGGATTCCGTCATGAACCCTAAAGAAAACCGAAACGAATTAAGAGAATACACAGAGGACATAAAAAAGATATCGTTAGTTGAAGAAAGGATGGCAAGATATCTAGGGAAAGAGAAATTTAGTTGTTCAGAAGTCGTACATAAAAATGTACCAGACTATGTAAAGTCTGAACAAACACGTTCGCAGATTAACCAAAAGCCTACTTGGGCACAGATATCAATGGAACGTAAAGAATCAAGTGGAGAAATGGACCTAGCGGAATTTCGTTATCGACTGGAGAAAATGGAAATCCTTCTTCGCCGATTAATTCCACCGGGTAAGGTGAAGTGCTGCAGAAAATATATCCAATTATCTGTCCAAAAATTTCAGATAAGAGAGAGAGAGCAAACTCCAAGAGCGACACATCTTCACCAGCGCCGATACGAAAATTATCAATTCCCCAAAAAAGACCTTTCCCAAAAGAGAGAAATACTAAGCAAGGCTACTCACTGGACAATTATTATCCCCCTAAAAAAATTGCCAGAACTTTAGCTTGCTTCGAATTTCGCACTGACTATTTATATAATACTAAAAGGTCACCACATTTGAAAAGGTCAGCTAAATTTGAGAGTTCCAGTAAGGAGACTAGGTCGCAACCACGTTCTAGCCAGAAATCTACCGTGATGAAAGCTGAAGGATTAGGTACATTCGAGAACGTTATATCGAAATCAGGGAATTCAAAAGAGCCACATACGAGCATGAAATCTACCCAGACGGAGGCTGAAGGACAAAGTATATTCCCGAACGTTATATCGAAATCAGTGAATCTGAAAAAGCCACCAACAAGCAATAAATCTACCCAGACGGAGGCTAAGACATTGAGTACATTCCAGAACTTTAACTGGAATTTAGTGAATCCGAAAAGTCCACTTACTAGTGTAAAATGCACGCAGACGGAAACTGAAGGGCCATATGGATCCAAAGACTCTGATTCCAAACTGATGAATCCGAAAAAACCACATGTAAGCAAGAAATCTGCTTCGGAAAAGGTGGAAAAGCCAAGTCTGTTTGAGAATGTTGAATCCACTTTGATGAAACCGAAAGACCAACGTGAAAGCAAGAAATCTGCTTCAAAAAAGGCGGAAAAGCCAAGTCTGTTTGAGAATGTTGATTCCAAACTGATGAATCCGAAAAAACCACATGTAAGCAAGAAATCTGCTTCGGAAAAGGTGGAAAAGCCAAGTCTGTTTGAGAATGTTGAATCCACTTTGATGAAACCGAAAGACCAACGTGAAAGAAAGAGATCTGCTTCGAAAAAGGCGGAAAAGCCAAGTCTATTTGAGAATGTTGATTCCAAACTGATGAATCCGAAAAAACCACATGTAAGCAAGAAATCTGCTTCGGAAAAGGTGGAAAAGCCAAGTCTGTTTGAGAATGTTGAATCCACTTTGATGAAACCGAAAGACCAACGTGAAAGCAAGAAATCTGCTCCAAAAAAGGCGGAAAAGCCAAGTCTGTTTGAGAATGTTGAATCCACTATGATGAAGCCAAAAGACCAACGTGAAAGCAAGAAGTCTGATCCAAAAAAGGCGGAAAAGCCAAGTCTGTTTGAGAATGTTGATTCCAAACTGATGAATCCGAAAAAACCACATGTAAGCAAGAAATCTGCTTCGAAAAAGGCGGAAAAGCCAAGTCTGTTTGAGAATGTTGAATCCACTATGATGAAGCCAAAAGACCAACGTGAAAGCAAGAAATTTACTCCGAAAAAAGTGGAAAAGCCAAGTCTGTTTGAGAATGTTGAATCCACTTTGATGAAACCGAAAGACCAACATGAAAGCAAGAAATCTGATCCAAAAAAGGCGGAAAAGCCAAGTCTGTTTGAGAATGTTGAATCCAGTTTGATGAAACCGAAAGACCAACGTGAAAGCAAGAAATCTGTTCAAAAAAAGGCGGAAAAGCCAAGCCTGTTCGAGAATGTTGATTCCAAACTGATGAATCCGAAAAAACCACATGTAAGCAAGAAATCTGCTTCGAAAAAGGCGGAAAAGCCAAGTCTGTTTGAGAATGTTGAATCCACTTTGATGAAACCGAAAGACCAACGTGAAAGCAAGAAATTTACTCCGAAAAAAGTGGAAAAGCCAAGTCTGTTTGAGAATGTTGAATTCACTTTGATGAAACCGAAAGACCAACGTGAAAGCAAGAAATCTGTTCAAAAAAAGGCGGAAAAGCCAAGCCTGTTCGAGAATGGTAAATCGGAAGCGCTGTATACGAAAAAGTCACGTATGACAAAGAAGTCTACTCACAGAGCAGGTGACGAAATAAGTGTGAGTAATGAACTGGATAAAAAGACTGCATTGGAAAAACCTTTTCCTAAAACGCCATGCACTAGTAAGAAATCTTTTGAGACGAAAAAAAGAAAGTTAAATATTGAACAAGGACATAAAAAATCCAAGTGGCCAAAAACGGATTTAGAAACGTCAAAGAAAGTCGACAAGTATACTTTAGCAAAAGAAGCTGAGAAATTGTTACCTGTGCTGAAATTAGACCCGAATACACCTGTGATTAAAAAGATGTCTTTTTGGAAAATTAATAAGACAGGTTCAATATTTGGATCACAATCATACGATCTGAAGACGACAGGAATTAGCAATACAAGCCTTATGTCTTCATTTGAATCACCGAATTCTAAGGAAGATCCCTTAACACCGCCGAATCCAACAACTCCTTTCATTTTCGTGCCTCCTCCAGTTCCTGACGATTCAGCAGAAAAAAGGGTTAGAGAAGACTGGAGAAACGAATGATGCGAAATCTTCAAAGAAACACGCTAAGAAAAAACCCTGAGCATCACACTGTGTTAAGAAATTGTAAAGTATCAACTTCAAGAAACGAAAAAAATCAGTAGCTTATGTATGAAACGTTTAATTGATAATTGTTTGTCTTTACTGTATGATTTTGCATTATAAATTAATCTGATTGCATTTACATATTTTTACGAAAAAAGTGTACTCTTTATTTGCTAAATAAACTAAGAAAAAACATTAAGCTGATTACTTATATACAATTCAACGGAAACATGAACGTTGTATCCTTTAAAGACTTATGGTGAATGACATCAGATATAGGTGTTGTATAAATAGCCAGTCTATAGACAGTCTATTGTTTACAGCCATACGGTGCTTGTATAAGCACCGGTTCTCGTCCGATCACCAAAGTTACATGACGTACAGCCCAGTCAGCACTTGAGTAGGAGACTTTCTGAGGACACTGGGTACCGTATTCTTTTTTCCTCTTTCTTTCTCTTTCTTTATCTCTCTCTTAATATCCAATTTTCGTTTTGTTCAGAATATCATTTCAAATGAATATTTTCGGTTTTTCCAGCTAATCAACTAAATGATTTACATTTTGGAGGAAGATTGACAGGAAAAGATGCTGTATAATGTCATTTAACGTTTAGAAACTTTGTCCCGCCCAATCGGCAAAATAAGCTGCAATACGACTGAATTAGTATTTCAGTGATAAAGTCTTGGGAAGACTGACTGCCTCTCTCATTTTTAATCATAATTTTTCCTCCGAATATCCAAGGAAAGAGTTAAACGAAGTGTAAAGATAGACCGATAAGTAAATGGAACAACTTGCGTCTAAAATGACAATGAAGATAATAAAAAAACAGTAGAAGAATACATTCAGAACTTTTCATACAGGCATTCTGTTTAAATTTTGATCGAATTTTAAGCGAATTAGCTCTCCTGATGAGAGGTGAACCTTTCTTTTTTGTGCAAATGGCAGATAGTATTCTCCCTTTCAAATCATCATCGACTTAAACTACTTAAGTTTATGACTTTTCTACTGAAATCTAGGTTGATAGAAAATAGAGACCTTCTGGGAACATTGAGTACCCAGTATTCTTTTTTCAGAGGCTGTTCAACGAATCAACCAAATGATTTTATTTTTTGTAGAATACAAAGAAAAAGTGTCAATCCTATGAAATTAATCAGAACTGGTTCTCGTTCGATCAACAAAGTTAAGTGGCATGGGACCCAGTCGCCAAAAGTTCCTAGAAGCTCTACTTCCAAGAACTGACTTAAAATAATTCTATCAGAACTGATAATAATATACTTTCGTTACGCCCTATTTAGTTTACTAACTGAAACAACGGACAAGAATCCAAGTATAATAGTATGGAAAAAGGAGTCTGTAAAATAATAGGGTTTGACATAAGATGATAATATAAAGTTTACCTGTTAATCTTTTTCTTCTATCTTTCACTGCGATTTCAAGTGCAAACAATTCTAAAAGAGAAAAGCATCTTAGATGTAGGGAGAATTGCCTTTGTTGTGACAAGATAAGAGAAGGCAATGAGAATCCTCTTTCATTTAGATCGTCCCTATCTCTATCTATATATCTAATTAAGCTGACCAAGAGAGTATTCATTGTAGAGAGTGAGTTTTGTACCTTTTAACCATGAATTTTACAAAATAGAATCAAGATCTCTTAATCTATCGATGCAAATTGCCTTTTCTAGAGTCAGTAATCTCGACGTCTCCCCTTATGGAAATTATATGCCAATAGGTCATCTTATTGATATTGTGCCGACAGTTTCATTACTTTCTTCTCTATTAATATTGTATTATCTTTAGCGTAAGCTGAAGAATCTGCAATATTTGACCAAAGGTGGATAGTTTCACCAATTTCAGCTTGTCAAACAGTTAGAAATCGTTAAAATTGTTATAGATGAATTAAAGACTTTATATGATATCTCCAGCATCGTCTACTCAAACTCATTACATTTGGTTTTAAAGCTGATTAATAATGCGAAGAGGCATTTTAAGTATCTTCTTGTGGTCAAGGAGTTGTGTACATTTAGTCCAATAAGCGATGGATTACTGGTTTATTAGTAGGGCAACTTGCTGTAAACAAAGAAAGTTTTTTTTTCACATATAAACAATGTTTAAATGTATAGACATAAACAAACCAATTACCAAAACAAGTGAGGACCGAAGAAGGAAATTGTTCTTTTTCAACTTTCAGCGCAACAAACCTTTTGTTTAACTATAGGAAGTTTCTTTAATATTTAATAGATTTCCCCCGGCATGTTGTCAACTCTATTCTGGTATTGCGTTAACATTTTAGTAAAGAACAAGAATCTAAAGTCGAAAGTATTTCAAATTCTTTACGGAAAGTTTAATTTTTTTCTGTTTGAATAATTTAAATAAATTTTATTTAGTAAATATTTAAGAATATATTTAATGTTGCTTTTATACCTTTCAGAATATATATTGATATATGCCAATAAATCGTCGTATTAAATAAAAATCTAGATGTAAACAAGACGGTGGCGCTAGAATTTTAATGGCGGCGATGAAAATAGCATAAAAAACATTTGCTATTTTCGGATAAAACATTGAAAAGTTTTAAATTTCAAATTACCAATAAAATTTGAAAATTTAGAAAACAATAAAAGAAATTTAAAAATATTATTTTTTTTTAACCGGAACTGTGTGTACAATTCTTGTTATTCGCATGGTCAGAAGCAGCCATTACGCAAACCTGACTACTCAACTCAATTACGGAAATTTTCTAAAATTTTTGAAAATTTTGACAATTCTTCTTCTTTTTTGATTGTAGGCAAGTAATATTTGCTATAAAGACGACGAATATGTTCCAACATATGAGAAATTATAATGGGAAGGAAATCAAAGCGTATGAAATTAATCATAACATCACTCAAGAAGGTAGATGTCAAATAAATTTGTTTACTTCCAGCTATTTAACTATTTTATTATTGTAGAGCAAACGGCAAACTATAAAATTAATTCTCTTTTATGGTTTTTTATGTCAAATGATCATGGATGTAAATTTATAAATAATGCGACATTTGTTAATATGTTATTTGCCCTAGATATTGATTGCAATCTTGAAAATTTACAAGCTCAACTCATAAACAGATCTCAGGATCTTATTAATCGTTTTATTAGTCATGTTGGTACATCTCTGCAGAATGCCGACACACATTCAATTAACGTGTATCAAGGACAGGACAGTAAAGTTTGTGTTACAATCAATTATTTTTCGGAGAATAGAAAGCATTCAATTTTGATTCACGAAGGACGAGAAGAGATAGACTGTCTTCAAAAGCTTGACGAGAAATTATTATTTTCAGATAATACTAATATTATAATGGTTAAAGATCTCAGATTGAATCCTCTTCACTATACCCTCAACGATAAAATACCCGTTATTGCTTCTTTGAGCGAGGTGATCACTGCCGGATGCCTAGAACTTTATAAGGATCCTCTATTCCAATCAACTTTAATCGACGACCGCCAGATCAACATTTTACGTGATCTGCACAACAGAATTTTTCACACTTTGACTGGAACAGTTAAACTGATTGCTGAAAATGGCTATCTATCATTATACATTCCAATTTGGGAGGACGCACAAAATATCTTACGACAAAATTCTAATCCTTTGGCTAGTAAACTTTTGGATATTCTTATCTCTAAATTAACCAGGTGGAATATGAAAGATTTACGAAAAATAAAATTTCTATGTGTCGCTACCTTCTTGGATCCTCGTTTCAGAGAGACTAGCTTCAGCAAAGAAGAAATACGTCGTGTCAAGTTATCATTGTCAATACTTACCAGGAAAATATACGAATCAAGACGTTCAAGAGGGGAAATTCATCCGTGTAGATCAGAAATTTCTCCCGTCGAATATCAGGCCTATATTAACGATAGGATCAAATGTTATATGGCCATGCCTTACGTTCAAAGTGACGCCGATCCCATTCAATGGTGGAATAACAAGAAAGAAGAACTCGGCGATCTATATTACTCCGCTATTCAAGTGTTGACGGCGGATAATACGAACTTTTTGGATACAAAAGATATTAACGCCGTCGACACCAATGAGATCGCTGTCGATTTTCAAACAGGAACCGAAAATTTCCTCAGACTATTGGAGCTTAACAGAGAATTAAAGGAGATAGTACATTAGCGGTTGGTCGCTTGAAATTTTGATATTCCCAGAGCCTTGCTGCCTCAAGCCACAATCCCAATTCATATGCCTACACCAAAAAATAATTGTTTACTTGAATTAGTTTTGAAATTTTTCCAATTAAGTTTTCAAGTTTTGTACAAAAAAAGTAATAAATTCGAGTTAAAATTTCTCTACTCGCCGTATGACATACAGAAATCACGTCTTTTGCATTCTATTTATCTATTAAAGTGGCTTGCGTTATCAAAAACTAATAACTTTCACCTTTTCTTAGTAAATTTACAAATATTCCCTACAGAATTAAGGAATAGGAATCGTATTCATAATAAGATATTCATTGATAAACAATGAAAATTGATTATTTACGAGACGCATTGTAACACTTGGATGTTTATTACAAAGTAGGGAGAAAGTAGGATTATTTCTAATATTAATTAAAGAAAAGCCCACTAATCTGGATTTCAACAAAGCGATTAGTTCTTTTTTAAATATAGTTCATACACGAAGAATAAGCCGAAAGTGAGTTGTCTTAATTATACTAATATTAGATATTTTATAATAGATAGACAAGTCTATCAGTTGATTTACAAGCGAATCGGGAGGAAATGGGTAGGGCTGGGGTGGGGGGAACCTTTCCAAATTAATCAATACGTAGGATTTCCATCATAGTGATTGTTCAGTGTCGGAAGACTTGTCTAGTAAGACGAGGTGAGTATTGTAGCATCCTTTTTTATTATGTTATTATTGCTTATTGAAAGAAACAACACTTTCAGATATGATTGCGCTTAAGACGACAAAAGTATTGCAAGAATTCTTTAGGATAATTGTTATGGTTAACCAATTTCTGGAACTGCACTTTCCAAAGTCAGCTGTTCATTAGAGGGGGTGGAATAGTAAACGATCTAGAATTATAATAAATCGGCTTTTCCCCAAGTGAAATTAAGAACTTAGTTATTTTCTTCCCTTGTTTGAAAAACTCGCAGAATATTTTTAGCCTTCTCAAATAATATTAACAATCTTTTCTAGGTCAATCAATTTCTCTTCTCCTCACCTAACTGTCTGAGAATTTGAACAATTATATTTATCGATGAGTATTCTGGGTATTTCAATGAGTGGTTAATTGTTAGTTGTACCTTACTATAAATTTAGATCAATCCTCTCTAATAGTCAAAGTTATACTCTCTATTTAGCTTTAATAAAATAACATTATAGCTCAATAGATTGGTCAAATGCAATATCCAAAACGCTCAACTATTGACGCTTATCCCGTAGCTTTGATACTTTCAACTAGCTGGATCATTGTTCTCGATATTCGGTTAAAAAAATTACCCAATGGAATTCACTCTTTCATCTTTAACATTTACAACACGGAGAATGAGTCTTGCTTCGTCATCGATTAAGAAACCTATAAGATAATTCTATCCTAATCAATATTTTTGATAATTAAGAAGAGTTATAAATAGATGTAGAATATTAATTAAAAATGTATTAGATAATGAAATAAATTAGAAGATGCTGATTAATTCGATGAATATTATTCTGTCGATAATATATTTGATATGATTAATAGAGCAAGTTATTATTGGAGATATTCCCTTAACATTCACCCACCCACATACAGACTAGCATGTACTCCCTTTAATTGTCGATTTAATATGTTTTTTATTAATATCAAAATGAATAGGACTCAATCTCGAAATAGTCGAATACTTGAACAGTATAAAATTATTGCTGCGTCGTCACTCACAGACTTTTGATAATGGCTGAACACGATATCGGAAATTTGGAGAAATCCTTGGAAGGAATAGGTGAAGTCCTTCAGCGTATATCCGAAACATTAACCGAATTTGAACCTGTATTCGAAACTATGATGCCAAGAATTGAAATCCTGCTTGAACAAACTTTAAATATGTCTACTGCAGTGATTCAAAGATTAGATAGGACGACTCAAAATCCAAATGCAGCCCGTGGTTAACGTATTCAATTTCTGTATAATCTGAAATCTACAATAAATATCATAATTTCTCAGAGAACTCTATGTTCTATGTTTTAAGTAGAAGATAAATATATTATTTTTTCGATTTTTCCTCTCTTCTTCCCTATCTTTAAGATATAAAAAAAATAGAATAATGTATTCAATTAGTCAATTAAAAAATATTAATACTTCTTAAAGATAACGCTAATTAGCTGTTTACGAATCCCTTACTCATTTGATTAGACTCCCCTTTATCTTATTTTCCCCTATTCTCCCATTCAATTTATCGTCTTTTTTTTCCATATGTTTCGTTTTGTATTCAAAGATACAAAAGAAATGTCTATACATGGAAAGTACTCAAGTCCCTGCTTAAATAGTCGAAATCATCAAGCACCTTTGTGACTTGGTCATTGTAGTATATTAGTTTCATGTTGGAAAAACGATTTTAAATCGAACTTATACTTTAGCTCATCTCCTTGTCACAAAGACAAAGATCGAGTACGCCAAGGGAACGCCTGGGACTCTCTTTGTCTTTTAGTTATTTTTTCTTCTTTTTTTCTCATCTAAATAGCTTTCTCTAATTACTTATTCGAATTTTCGGCGTTCTAAGGCGTCTATCTCTGTAAATATTAATATTTTATTATTAATTCCTATAGATGGCCCCACAGTCGGGAAGATCCTTCGCGTAATGCCTGTAACGAGTATTATTACTGGAAAAAATCTCCTAATTTTAAACATTAGAATACTCGAAAATTTCCCTGACTAAAAAGAAATTTTGACGATGCCAGAAGAAAAAAAAAGGAGATAAAAAGAATACGGCACCCAGTGTTCCCAAAAAAATCCTATCCATGTACTGACTGCGCCGTACATCACATAACTTCAGTGACCGGATGAGAATAAAAGACTGTCTTAACTTTGCGCTATTTATTCTTCGAATCGTGAAAGATGAATACCCTTAAAAAAGCTGTTTTTTTGCGCCACCTACGGGATAATAATTGAAAAATGATTATGAATAAATGAACTCGAAAAAGATGTAGGAATGCAGAAAAGAAAGAATTGAAAAAGAAAGAAAAGCAAAAGAGCAATCCAGGCGTTCCCGTAGAAAGTTCTCCATCCATTTACATGGACTATATAGCGTAAGCTAATGCCATTTACGGTCTATTGTAACTCTCAAATGGTTCAGAATATCGCTATTTAATTACCCTCCTTTTAATAGTAGTACATATAATTTTTACTATACAAAATTGTAACAAAACGAGAGCAACGATGAGAAAAGTCATTGATATTGACCATAAAATAAACCGACAAACTTTACCTACTTAATATTGTCATCATAACGATATGGATATTGTTTTTTCGCCTATTATTAATATCTTTATATTAAAATCTACATATTTTTTGGCGGTAAATTCTAGACTGGTACAGAGATCCTAATACATTTTACCAATGAAAATTCAACATAGGTAATCAGAGTCTGCAATGTTCGATATAGAACATAAGGTTATGGGGCAGTAGTCGGTACATTTTATTACGAATTAGATTTAATTGATTTTATTCAATCCGCCAACCAAAAGAAAGTTGTCTATAATACTGAGATCTGAATGGATCTGACCAACCATTGATAGTAAATAGTCCGTTTTTAGATTTTCTTACCATCAGCAAATTGAAACTTTACTGTTTGAGGCGGATGTGGAACTTTAAGAATAGTTGGTACAGCATGAGGTAGTAGTCTATTCTTTTCGTAGCTGGCGTAGTCAGTAATATAAAAATGATCCGAACATACTTTTCTGTTTTTAACAATTGCCGGATTCGATTTGTAGGCTAGATTCAGTAGTCTGTTTCGCAAATTCAACACCCATTTTCTGCATCTATAGGAGTGATAAGATTAATCTTTGAAAATAGTCTTTGAATTAAATTTAATACTACACACATTACTGGGTCGTTTGGAAATTTATGAAATTTTCTCTTAACTTTATCCGTTGACCTATTTCCGCAGTTGGCGGCTTGACACAAAAAACCTCCTTTGGACATGATGAAATACCTGTGGAAAATAGCGCGCATGCGCAATTAGCTCTGGATTCAGATATAAACGTAAACATGTTATTTTACTTGTTCGACAAGCCAAAATTTGTAATGTTAAACGTTTAAATACGCTTATTTAAGATCTTTGGTTCTTGTGGCTTCCTACTCCAAAGATGTAATAACATTGTAAAGTTAATCGTCCAATCATGAACAATTGTCCAATCATCATATATATATAATATCAATATCTAATAATACTTGCCTAACTTTTGAACCGCAAAGTGAACTAGATCGCGTTAGTCTGTAGAATGTAGCTACAACACTTTACCGCTCGAGAATGACGTTACGCCAGCAGTTGATTTTTTTTCGGAAAAAAACTGGTACAAACAGCGCCATCTTTAGTTTGATTTCAACTAAGCAAAAAGTTTAATAATAGGCTAACTTTAATATTACCCATTATGATATATATTATTAGAAATAAAGATATAAATTTTTTTATTAATTTACAATTTACAACGAAAAAGTCGAAAAACTTATCTAAATGTTTTAAAATACGCCGATAATGGAAAATTTTTAAATTTTTCTTTTTTCATTAATTTGAAATACGGTAAAAATATATCAAACATAAATAGTTTTTTTCACGTAAATGAAGAATTTAATAAAAAAAAGAGACCTGATTTAAATACTAAGTTAAGACGCCTACAAGCATGTTGCTTACTCATAGCTGAGAGTTCGATCACAGAACAAACAAAACGATAATTGATGCAATATAAACTGCCTAAAAAGGGAGAAGGGCTTTCTACGGGGAGTGCATGGATTGATCTTTTGTTTTATCGGTTCTATATCTTTTCTTTTAAATATCTTATTGTTTTTCTTGATGATGAGAGAAGTAAATTATGAGTTATTGGCGATTTTTAATAATCTCATTGCAGATGGCGTAATGTATCAAACAATTCTTTTGTAAATTTTAGCGAAAATTAATAAGCAGAAATCGGATTAAAAATTCTTACGATCAATGTAATACTTTATAAATAATTAAAAAAATACACCCAAATAAACTTAAATAAGATGTACATCGTTTCATGCCTGGTTAAGTAACGCCATCTATATTATATTATACAAATTTATAGATAATAATTTCAAAAGTAAATAACAAGATGACAAAAATTAAAAACATTCTCTGAAGAAAAATGAAGAACGAAAAAAAAACAAATTCAGGTCAAAGAACAATTCAGGTCTTTCTCTAGAAAGCTCACAAATAAAATATAGATATTAATTTTTAAATTAACAACTTACAAACGTTGCACTGAAGTATACAGTGCCTCTACTCTATAAACAAACGTCTTATTTATTTTAATTGTTTTACAATATAAAAAAGAATTCTTCAACAAACTCTCATAAAAAACAAAGGAACCGGGAGAGCTGAATGGTTTTAAAAAATAAACAAACTTTAAATCATTACTGATTTAGATAATCAACAGGATACAATATATACAAATATCCAAATTACACAACAAATTCACAATATTTTTAGTATGATAGAATTGATAGTTTAAGTACTTTAATATAAAATAGTTTCGTGATAAACTTCACTTCTTTTAAATAGCGCAAATTTAAGTAGTTAATTGTATACGGCCATACGACGTTACAAGCACCGGTTCTCGTCCGATCACCGAAGTTAAATGACGTACGGCCCAGTCAGTACTTGGATGGGAGACCGCCTGGGAACACTGGGTGCCGTATTCTTTTTTTCTTTTTTTTCTTCAACTATCAACTCTCCTCTCTTTCATATGTTCTTGCAACATTCTTTTGACTTTTTTGCCTTCTTCTTTCTCATACAGTCTTTATATCTAATCAAAGGAATTACACTTTTGTGCGTATTATGAGTTTTACTGTTTTTTTTCGTTCTCGAATGATGAAAACCGCATTTAATAACAATGTTTTCTCTTGTTAAAAAGTTTTTTGTAGATAGAAGAAATTATGCTCCTCTCATCAGCAAAATCTAATACTTCTGCAATTCAGTCTATGTTATTTTCCATTTAGATATTTCTTTTCCTCATATTAACTGCCGTATTTTTGTTCCAGAAAAGAAAAGTAATACCTGATTGCGAACTTAGGCTAAAGATATTGTAAAAGATCGATAAGAGTTTCTGCTTTCACATTTTTACCTTTTAGAATTTTAATGGGAACTTTGTATGCTCACATAATCCTTAAAAGTGAACGTCTCTTAGAACTTTGCCTACAATATTCTTTTCAATCTGTTTTTATCTCTCCCTTTTTGTTAGATTGAAGTCTTGAAATTGTACTCAATTAAATATTTCCAATGTTCCTACTAAAATTTTGCAATGAATAAACATTTTCAAGAAACTTTTGTGGCAGAAAGAAGTATATAAAATGTTTGTCGTATACCATGAAATGATCTTGTCATATTTATTAATCGACTTTTTTGGAAATATGTATGGAAAATCGACAGATTACAATAAGAACGTGAATGTTATAACAGCGAATACAATGAAAAATAGTTACTGGCTCTTCATTCATGCTTTCAGTTTAAATTCTAATTAGGTTATGCATGATGAGAGGAGTACCTTTCATTCGTATATGAAAGGAAGCATACGTCTTGTTTTTCTAGTCATGGTTTGCTTAAATTGCTTATTTTTGATTTTTCTACTGAAATCTAGTGGGATATTTTTGAAATGATAAGAGACCGAAAGAAGAAAAAATCAGAAAAATAATACGGCAATCAGCGTTCCCTGGCCACAAAATTTCGGTGTAGTTAAATCGGTTCTTTCTTCTTCATATAAACCATCTCCTACTTTTCTTCTAAAGCAAAGTTAAGACATATTTTGTTTCGCTGAAATGACTAATCAAGGATAAAAGATTAGCTTTAAGAGGACCAAGATAGATTGCGGAAAGAAAATAGAAGAAAAAAAGAAAAAGAATACGGCACCCAGTGTTCCCAGGCGGTCTCCCATCCA